ACCTTGCCCGTAGTAACCAAATCAACTCATCCAATCATATCAATCACTGTCGATCCAGCCTTGCAGACACAAGTAAATGGAATTTCCGCCGTCAACTCTGATTATAATTGTACTTCAGACCAAACTCGGCATGCACTGGCTTGCGACGAATCAATACAAAGAAGACAGTCGATCAAGAGTATTGATAGTAGTAGTAACTGTCTACAAAATGCATCACAATCACAATCACATACACTACCACCACCAATAACAACGACAGCAGCATTATTATCATCATCAACAACAGCATCGTCAACAGCTGCAGGACCAACGTCTGCAGCAGCAACAGTAACAGGAGCAGGGGCACCATCAGTGGCAGCATCGGTAACATCGGTAACATCAGGACCACCAGGGGGTCCACAGACACCACACACGGCAACTACAGTATCTCAGTTGATGTCACCACCAGCATCTTCATTCTCACTTCAAGAAAGTGTTAGAGAGAGAAAATTGCCGCCGGTCGATGTTGTAGAGCATTTGGCCCAAATGTTCTACACCCACATCTATTCGTCCTTGCCTATATTTGATCGCAACAAGCTGTTTCATGATATACGCGAACAAACCTGCCCAGAATTTCTTGTCTTATGTCTTTGTGCCATTGGAGCAAGGTAAATAACAACAATATAAAAAAGAGGATATATTCTGTACATTCGATAAATAGAAGCAAAAAAAACGATCAATCAATGGACACAATGGATCAATCAATATCTACAATACCAACACCAACACCAACACCAACATTATCAGCGACATTTCTATCACCCATTTTCAACATACAATAAATATGGGTAGATATATATATACATATATAAGAGAGAAATGATTATTAGCAACAACCAAAAACAAGAGAAAAAAAGCAACCTTCTTTCTTTTTTGAAACACTTATCTTTGTGTGCTGCAGAAACAAAATCTAAAAAGGAAGGAAGGAAAGATAGAAGGAAAGATAAATGAACTCTCTCTCTTTCTCTCTCTTTTTTTTTTATTATTATTATTTTTTCTCCCTTTCTATTATATGTTATATATATATCTCTTCTTCTTCTTCTTTTTTTTTGCTTTGTGTTGTTACTGCTATTATTATCATCATTTGGTGGTGGTACAACATGAATATTATAGATTTTCTGATCGAAGCGACATTAAAGAAAACCCTCCATGGCATGCAGGTGAAAAGTACGCTTCCAAAGCACGAGAACATTTGATAAATGCGATCGATACCCCAAATCTCGCAAATGTCCAAGCCCTGTTGTTGCTGGGGTTGTATGAATATGGTTGTGCGCGTGGACCAAGGTCAGTTTTTTTTTTATTATTTTATTTTATATTCGTTTATATAAACTACTATGTTGCCATAGTAACAGATTATATAAAACAACAATAGTAGTCTAGTAATTTATTCAATTATCCGTCTATTCGTTTATTACTATAACGATAATGATAGTTGTTATACTATGATTACCAAAAAAAAAAGTAGTATTCCTCTATTCCTCTTTTTAATATATTTATGATAATGGCAATTACAATAATAGAAATATTAATAATGCTTATATACTTTATCTCTTAATAATTTATATATATATTTTAAAAAAAAATAACAACAAAAAATAATAATAAATTTTGCCATATATGTATATCAATTTACATTACATTGTATTTATCGATCCTAAATATTCAAATTCACAGAAGCTGGATGTATTGTGGAATGGCAATAAGGTAATAAATAATACAATAATACAATAATCGTAGTAACAATTGTTTATCAGAATGGCACTTGAGCTGGGTCTCAACAAGGAGAGCGAGGCAGACGATGTGGGCGAGACCTTGAGTATGGAAAGCTGGACAGAACAAGAGCTGCGCCGTCGAGTGTTCTGGTCAGTTTTCTTGACCGACAAGTTCACGAGCGCTGCGACTGGTCGACCGTCCGCACTGCAGATTGAGGATTGCGACTGTCTGTTGCCGAGCAACGAGGAAGACTGGTCGTACGGCTACTTTTACACCGAGTCGCTCGACAAGTCTCGAGTGGCTCATTTTAATGTCCAGGAACTGAGGGACAGTCACCTGCTCGGTGTGTCTGCGGCCGGCGGTCGCTGTCGACCCAAACAGGAGCAGAGTCCGTTCGCTCATTTCTTGCGTCTGGTTGCCCTGTTGAGCAAAGTGACGACGCTGATCAACCGCTGTCGGGACAGCAAAAACACCTTGCCGCCCTATCATCCCAACTCAGAGTTTGGAATAGTCGAGAAGCAGATCATTGCCTGGGAGGAGGCACTACCCCAAGCGATGAAGAACACACCTGAGAACATCAGCCGACAGACCACCAGTCCTGTAATTGATGAGACGCTGTTTGTAGTAGTAAGTTGGCGTTTTTGTGTGATGTTGTGATCCAAAAAAAAAAGAGTCAAAATGTCGATTATTGTTATAATAGCAATCTAAAATGTAATATGCATTCATTTATTCATTTATTAACTTTTTATACTTCTTTATTTATATAAAAAGACTCATGTCTTGCACAATGTCATGATCATTTTGTTGCACCGTCCATCGCTTGTACTCGCCGATTCACTTGCTTCAGAACTTGTTCAGCCCGATCTACGCTCGTTTTTGAATGCAAGCATAGAGCGATGTCTGCGTGCTGTAGACAATGTGACCGAAGTCATCAAGATAATCCGAGGATCCATTAAATTGATGCCACCATTCTTGTCCTATTTGACTTATACGGCTGCCACAATCGTGGTCAACAACATATTCTCTAGAAAGCCCGAGGATTCCAAAAAGGCAAGAGCTGCGCTTGGTGAACATTTCAGGATTCTGCAGACTATGCGATCGTACTGGGCCATGTCTGACAAACTATTCTTTATGATCCGTGATCTGTACGCCATGCATAACAATACTGTTAGCCAAAAGCTTACAATGTCCAATCACAACAATAATCACAATAACAGCAATAATGCATCTAGTCGTGGAACCAGTCGTGAGCAATCAGCAGAGTGGTCATCGTCAATCTATGAAAGCAGTTTAACAGCACCAGCATCATTTTCTGATAATGTACAGCAACAAGTACAACAACAACAGCACCAGCATCAACACCAACAGCAGCAACAACAGCATAACCATGGTCATCACCAGCAGCAGCAGCAGCAGCAGCAACAACAACAACAACAACAACAACTTCGACTTCAACAGCAGCAGCAACAGCGCCAACAACAACTTCAACAGCAGCACCAGCACATCCAACAGTTGCATCAACAACAATTTCAACAACAGATTGGGATGCAACAGCAGATACAACAGCAATTGCATCAACATCAGCACCAGCACCAGCAACTACAGCAGCTCGGTCAAGTGCACCATCAAGCATCCCAATCCGACAACGATCGTGTTCTTTCTCAGCCATCTCCTGCCTTACCACCTCTCCAGGGTGTTTTCCAAAACAATCTTACCTATGCACGCAAGATGTCTTTGGCTGACATCACGTCATCCACAGGAGACGGTGCCTCATGCACGAACTGGGCTATGCCAATAACTCCAATGAACCATCACAATAGTAATAGCGATACTGGTAATGGTAATGCTAGTAATAGCAATACCAATAGCAATGGTAGAGATGCAGATCCTCTTGGAAATATGATGCAATCGATGGATACCGGGCAACCGCCTGAGAACTATCTAGATCCGTTTTTGAAGCAGAACATCGCAGACACATCATCGGGATGGTGGCCTGACATGTTTTCATATCAGCAAGATTCTGAAGAGGTTCCAAATGGTTACAAGAATCACGGATATGTTTAAATATTTGAGATATCGTTATTATTTTATTTTATTATATTTTATTTTATTTTATTCCTACCATTACATTTTATTTTATTCTTTACTTCTTTTTGTTGTTGCTGTTATTCCCATTGCCTCTTTCCATTGCCTTTACCCTTGCCCTTGCCCTTGCCCTTGCCCTTGCCCTTGCTATTGTTGACTCTTACTTTTACTGTCATTATTATTATTATTATTGCTGCTATAAATTATCAATTATCTTGCTTTATTATATAAAATAAAGAAGAACAAAAAAAAAAGATATACAGTCAAAGCTCGATTTAGTAATATTTGATTTAGTAATAATCGCGATTTAGTAATATTTTTTTCAGCACTTTTATTCGCAGTCACATAGAGCAAATCTGCAATATTGCTAAAAAACATATGCGGAGTAAGAAAAAATCCATTTGATTTAGTAATAGTAATACAATTTGGCTTCTCCCAAAAGTATTACTAAATCGAGCTTTGACTGTATAGTATTATTATTATTATTATTATCATTATCATTAAAGAATATATATGTATGTACAAATATGTGTATTTATTTATTTATTTAATCCTCATCCTGGGACAAGTTTTTGCCTTGGAAGTCCTGCTTACACATGGGGCATTTTCGATTGAGTTTTAGCCACTGCTGTACACAATCCTTGTGAAAATGATGAGAGCACCTTAATTAACAATAGTGTTAATGAAATGTAGATGATCATCAATTGATTAAGTAAAAAAAAAAAGATGATAGATACCATAGTTTGCAGATCAGGTCATTGTCTTCATAGTCTGCTAGACAGACGGCACAGAGTGCTTCTCCTTCTTGCTGTTGCTGCTGGCTAAATGTGATGGTGTCATAGACAACTTCGGTATCTTGAATCTGTTTGCGCTGTCCGAAACCCAATCTAGAAAACCAGCGGCGTCTTTTGTCGATTGACTTTTCGGCCTGGTGTGTGTCGGAGCCGTCTTCGGATGTTCTGTAACGCAGGGTAATCATGTCCTGAATCTCGGTGTCGGTGGCACCCTGATTAAGTCCGTCAATACCGTAGAGATGTAATAGGCGCATTACATCTAAGATAATCGCATAAAAAAAAACAAAAATTATTGTAAATTAGTCTTGCTTTCTCTCTCTCTCTCTCTCTTTTTTTGGGGAGGAGGAGGTATTGGAGATTATCGAACATCAATAGATTTTATTTTCTTTCTTTAGATTTCAATCTTTTGGTATTGTACATATATGTGCATGTATATATATATAAAAAAGTATTGTATAACTTACGTAACACACTAGGCAGACAGAAAATAGCCGAGATGCAAAGAAGTGTGGGTATGAGAACAATAAGATAACCAAATATGGTCCAGACAAGAATTGTATAGTAAAGACGAGGGGCATCCGTAGAGCAATTGTCTGATGTGAATAAAAAGTAGTTTCCTACAATAAACCACAGAATTGAAAACAAATCAAGCAGATATTTTGCTCTGTTTTATATATACATATATACATATAAAAGAGTTGGTTAAATAAAATAAAATAATATAAAATAAAAAGAATTGTATTTTACAGACCTGTCAGCCCAATCTTTGGAAACATGCTCACTGTTTTCTACTTGTGTATTTAATGCACTCTTTATACGCTGGCGAACATCAAAAGGCCAGACCACACCAGCTCGTACAACGAACACAATGAGGAAAAGGTCTAGAGGTTTGTCGCAGGTTTCATGTTGTCCGACAATGAGCACAACCACACTCACGACAATCTATATATGTATATATGTATATACGTATATACGTACATACGTATTTAAAGTAAAAGAAAGAAAGAAAGAAAGAAAGAAAGGAGTAGGGTAATTAGAGATTGGCTAATGAAATGAGACATTGAGACAATAAAGTGATTGCTTGCCTCAATGATTGTGATTGTGATGGATAGAATGAGTAGATATTGGTTTATTCGAGAGACTCTTTGCCAGACACCGAGTATATGGGATAACCAAAATATCCGGACTATATGAGGTTCAGGTCTCCCAGATACCGCAGACACTGAAGCAGAGGTAGAGGTAGAGGTCGAAATTGAAGTCGAAATAGAGGTTGTCGTAGAGGTAGAGGTAGTCGCTGTGGCAGGAACGGGAACAGTCAGAGAAATAGGAGTAGGAGTAATGGCAGGAACAGGGACAGGGACAGGGGCAGGGACAGGGGCAGGAGTTGTGAGTGAGGTTGACTCCATTATTATTATTATTAAGTATTAAGTATTAAGTAATAGTGCCTGTAGTGTGTGTAATTTTTTTAAGATAAAATAAAAATAAAATAAAAAGTATTTTATATAATTGAATTGAATTGAATTGAATTGAATTGAATTGAATTGATTTGATTTGATTTGATTTGATTTGATATCCTTTTCCTGTTCCTTCTTTTTTAGGAAAGAGTATAATAGAATAGAATAGGATAGAGAAATCACAGTATAGAGTAATTTAGAATTACAGTGATGATTTCAGAGAGAAAGAGGAAGAATACCTGGACTGTCCATATTCTTTACTTTCATGTTTAATTTTGAGACTCAAAAAAGCTGCTTATATGTTTTGAATATGAAAACATCTATATAAAATATACATATAAAGAGAGAGATAAAATATTATGCACTAGCACGTACCACTCACTTTCTGAGTCTGTATATCCAACCTTTGATAATCTCTCTGTCTATGTTTTACAATATAATTTATTTAAATGTGCGCATAAGAACCATAGATAATCGCAACTTTTGTCCAAAATAGTACAAGAAACAAATTCATTCTTTTTTTTTAAAAAAAAAAACACAGAATAATAATAAGTATAGTGGTAGTGGCGATCTTGAAGTGAAATTAGACAGGCTGCACATGCTGTAAATAACAATTCAGGCTATAGATTGTGTATATTGAATGTTTGATGACCTGTCTTTTTTAAAATATATATATATATCTGTCATTACTGATTGATTATTAATATGCTTATATATCTGTATGTCCTAGTGTATAATACAATGCGTATATGTATATGTATATGAATGTGCTTGTGCTTGTGCTTGTGCTAGTGTACTTTGGTTAGATTTGTATTGTCTGGTGGGTTCCATGTGGATATAGTGCTTCTGTGAAATATTTTTTTTTAAAATATACATTTATTTTCTGACTTTTGTATTGCTTTTTCTTTTTCTTGGTGTGCGTGAGTTGCATGTGTATTGTGTGTAACTTGCGTTGGTCGTACTATTGGGCAATAATGAAAGAAATAAAGATGTTGATCAATGCAATTATACAAAAAAAAAAAATAAGAGAATGCTTAATTGTAGTTTAAACAAGATTTTTTAAAAAAAAATCCCTCGATCTTGGACACGGACATTCCCCAAAACATGGCCAGGTTTCCATAACCTTTCTTTCATTTATCTCTCTGTTGTTCTAGTCTTTAAATGATACTAATAATAAACCATAGAGCTTTTATCATTATCATTATTATTTTCCTTGCACGGAATGGAAATATGTTTATACTATACATTTACCACGTTTGGCACAAACCAACCCAGCCTAAGAACGACAAGAACGACAAAACCAACAAGGTGCAAGAGTACTCTACACTTATCTAGCATTGACTTTGTGTGTGTAGTGTGTATTAAGGCTAAGCTTTATAATGTCACACACCGAGACACTTCTTTTAACGACTTTGCCATTTCTGGTTGCCATAGCGACATGCAACCCATGATCTGGATTAGTTGCACTTGAGTTTGCATATCTGGCCAAAATAAAGAAGGCTAGAATGATACAAGACTTGTAAAACAGATATCCAAAAGAGACATAAAATCATATTCGCACACTTGTCTATCAAAAGTATTGTATAAAATATGGTTGTCGTGCACAGACTACAACGTCTAAATTTGCTATAGAAATTGACTTGTAACCTTGGATATAATGGCCCCGTGGTCTTAAGTATGTATGTGTGTGTGGCACGGACTAAAAAAAAAAAAAATTTTGTGTAAGGTTTGTCTTTTTGTCTTTATCCTCTGACCCTGTCCTTTTGGTGCTTACATTTCTCAGTTTCCCTCCCTTTTTATTATTATTTTATTATTATTATTATTATTATTATTATTATTATCGTTCCCCCCAAAAATAAAATAAAATAAAAATAAAGGTGGAAACAGAAACACGGAATACACCTCCTCCAACTACCCCTTCTTATTTTCTTTTCTTTTCTTTTATGATCATTTCTTAATTCATTCATTCGTTCATTTGAACAATAGCAACATCTGGACCGCCTAAAAGCTTAGTATAATTTTTGTTTTATTTTTTGTTATTTTTAACTCCATAAAAAAGAAATTTATTATTATTATGAGAGGAGGTAGTCAAATAACATTTTTCTTTTTTTAATTCCTTCATTCTTTTGACTATCTCCTTTTTTCCTTCTCCCCCCAAAGAAAAAAAAGAATAGTCTATAATGATATTCACCATTATTATCATATTACTTTTTTGCTTAACTTTACTTTCTTATATGTCTATTGCTCCCTAGTAACATTGTAGCACAATTTACATTATAGTCATTCCAGACAAGACAAATACTATATACACTATGTACATTATGTACATTATGTACATTATGTACATTACAAAGACTACATTAGAGTATGCAATAGGCACTTTACATTTATACTTTTATTTATTATTATTTTTATTATTCTCACGCACAAAAAATAATAATAATAACAATACAACAAGAGATTATTATTTTTATTTTGACAGTCAAATAAATCTTTATACGTGGGCCGATATTCAAACAACAACAAATCAAGATATACTGCTTGTATTTGTAGTCTTACTTTTTATTTATTTATTTATTTATTTTCTTAATAATAATAATTTTTTGGGTTCTAGTCTTTTGAATAAACAAGTAACCATAGTAATAAAGTAATAAAGTAATAAAGTAATAACAAAATTAATTGATTAATTAATAAATAAATAAATAAATAAATAAATAAATAGTAGTAAGAGTAAGAAAAGTAAGAAAAGTAAGAAAAAAAATAAAAATAAAAAAAAACAAAAAAAATAAAGAAATAAAATCAATATATTGATACATTTAATTGAATTGAATTGAATTGAATTGAATTGATTTATGTAGTCAATGTGCTTAATGCTTCTTTTAGTCTGCGTTCTTGTACTTTTGCTCTGCTTTGTTTGGCACGTCTGTTTTGGAACCAAACCTATTTAATAATCAATCAAAAAAAAAAAGATTAAACAAGTGTATATTATATTATATTATATTATATTATATTATATTATAATGTTCTTACTTGGACTTCTCGTTTGGTCATTTCCAAGTCCCGAGCTAGTCTTTCGCGAACATCAGAACTTGGTGTATCGGTAACATTGAATACATCAACAAGACCTGCGTATTGTTGTTCCGAGATTCTCTTTCGCTTGGCCTTGGCGATTGCGGTCACGATATAGCCTCCTTCGAAATGGCGGATACCAGTGGTTGTGTTATTCCAGAGGTAGTCTGTTCCCTCGATGTTCTGGGTCTCGATATCAGTGACATCAAAGTCATAATAGACGGTCTCTTGGTTTTTTCCTTGGCCTTGGCCTTGGCCTTGGCCTTGGCCTTGGTTTTGGGTTTGGGTTTGGGTCTGGTCATTATCATTATTATTGTTGTTGTTGTTGTTGTTGTTGTTGTTGTTTTGGTTTGGAGGTGGCATATAGGCAGGCACGCTTAGTCGGTAGCTTTGTCTTCTTTGGTTTTTGACTCGGACTGTAGGAGCAGTGATAGGGTTGTTTCGGGTTCGGTTTCTATTGCTTCTGGTAGCACTAGCAGCACTAGTATTGGCAGTAGAAGCAGCGGCAGGAGTGGTGGTGGTAGTAGTGGTAGTGGTAGTGGTAGTGGTGTTGATGATATTTGAAATGGAAATAGAAGTAGAGGTAGATGTAGTAGACATGTTGGTCGAGTGTGCATTGGAGTCACTGCTGCTTCTGCTGCTGCTGCTGTCGGTGTTGCTGTTGCTGCTAGTGCTAATGCTAATGCTGCTACCACCAATACTGCCTTCATCGCTACTGCTAAAACTATTGTTTCTATTCGTAGTCGTGATTGGGTCGACTGGTTCTTGGTTCAACAAGGCAGATATAGCCAGAGAGCCTCTTCTATTCGGGGTTGGAGTACTGCAGCGAACCATCTTGGATTTGTGGATTTTTGAGGGCTTTTTTTAAAAAAAAAAAAAGAAATAAAATAAATTATTATTATTTAATCAATCAACCAATCGATTTAATAATTGAATTGAATTATTTTATTTTATATTGTATTATATATATATATATATATGTAAATAATATAAATAATATAAAAGAAATAAAGAGGTGTGTGTGTGTGTGTGGAAATAAGAGAGAAAGGTAAAATAAAATAAAATAAAAAATTGACAGTTAAAAGATGATAATTCTCTTTTACCTTTTGGATTTCTTTATAATAATTAATTAATTAATTAATTATATATTATATTATAAAAAAAATTAAAATTATATTAGAATGAGAGAGATAAGCATGAAACTCATGGATGAGATTCAATATTCTTCTCAGCTAAAAGGGTTCAAGCATGAATTATTATTATTTAAGAAAATTGTTGAATTCATTAGAGAGAAACCTGGCTAATTACAATATTGATAATAAGAGCAGTGCTAATGGTAATGGTAATGTTAATGTTAATGTTAATGTTAATGTTAATGTTAATGTTAATATTAACCAGCTAATTATCTGGTTATTTAATTTAATTTAAAATACTAATAATACAGAGAGGTCGATTAATATTTGACATTTGATTTATTAATTGATTGGTAATGTCTTGGTATTTTTTTTTGTTGTTGTTGTTGTATTAACAAAATGACCAATATGTTATATACATATATGAGATGCTGATAACATCATTATGTCTTCATTTAAAGAAATTCATAGGTATCAAGTATCAATTCAACGAGTAAGAAACGTTGATAGTGAAATGTAATATAAATGGTATATGTTGTATGGTGCTTGTGTAGAGATGATTTGTGTGTGAGAGAGTAAATGAATATATATATATAAATAAAAAGAGTAGTATTTGTATGACCAATCATTATCATTATTATTTCTACTGCTCTCACTGTGTATTATGAAACAAAAGAAATGTGTATATGAATAATATAAATAATATAAAATAGCATTGATGATTATTAAATGATGACGTTTTGGTTTTTTAATATGTATTTCAACAAGACTTTCTTGTGTCTAGTCTTCATTGTCACTTGTCTTTTATTACAGTTTTGTATTGTCCTTCAATTTCTGTTTCTCTTTCTCTATTGATTTGTAAAACATGTCAAGTGATATCGAAAGCCTACAGAACAATACTAATAATAATGAAACTGCTATTGTGATAGCCGAAGAAGACCATCAAAATCAACCCAATAATCAATACAGACGATACCAAAATGAAGAAAAAGAAAAGCAGAAAAGAAGACACACGTTTTTTGTATTGTTGATCATTGCGTGTATTATGTGTGTCATTCTCAGCTTCTACGCGTCTACTACTCCTTCTTCTAGTGGCCAGCCTTGTACAAACTACATAATCTGGATACCCAACTGCAATCAAAAAGAACAGGCCCAACCACAACCACAAGAAGAGCAAGAGTATTATATACAATCAATACAAATGGAACAGCAATACGACAATATCATCAATTAATTTTGTTTTGTTTCATTTTGTACGTCTTTTTTTTTCTTCTTTTTATTGCTTAAAATAAAATAAATATTTAAATATATAAAATAATCGATCAAATAAGATCAAGTTAAAACCAACATTGCAAAAATAAATAAAATCAATTTTGATTTATATTAATTTTTGCTTATGGACCTCTTTTTTTTCTCATTTCGACTATTTTATATATAAAAATATTTTTCTATTATCATCATCATTATCATCTACTAAATATACAATTTTTAATCAAAAATCAAAAATCGAAATAAAGAGATCAAAGAAATATGAAAATAAAACACACAGGTGAATATGAAAAAAGAAGGGAAAGAAACAGGCTCTCATCATCATTAACAAGATTATTATTATTATTATAATAATAATAATAATTTGTTTCAAATCCTCACAGGATAACGTCACTGGGTATAGTTCAGATAGGCCTTTTGTAGAGAGTACGTCTGTTTCTTTCTTTCAAAATTATTCTCATATTCACAAGGGTTATATTTTAACACATATACATCTTTATATAATAATGATAATAATAATGATAAAGAAGAAGAAGAAATAAAAAAAAAGAATTCAAAAGAAAACTAAAGGAAAGGGGTATACGCAACGCAACAGTCACCTTTTGGATGATGACATAAAGGATTTAATTTCATCTGTGACTATCTTTTGCTTTTATTTTTTATATTGTATTGTATTCAATTTATTTATACGTCTTTATATGTCTATCTTTATGTCTATCTGTCTATCAACCTGTGTTTCTTCACAGATCAAAAAGAACAAATAAAAATGTTTATTTTCTATTTTGAATCTATTGACTAAAAATATAAAAAAAAAAAATTAAAGCAAAAGTAAAGTAAAGTAAAATAGAGGATGATCATTGATGTGCATGTTTATAAAGAAGTACTAGTAATAGTAATAGATATATGACATTTAATTCTAATTAGTCACCATGGCAACAGTATCTATGTAATTTGAATTTTGACATATATATATATATATCTATCTATCATTTGTCTTTTTAGAGAAGGAAAAGAGAATATAATTTTATATTAAAAAAATGTGTTTTGTTCTCTTTATTACTCAATATGTTTCAATGTGCCTTAATGTGTCTCAGTAGTGTTTAAGTGTGTGTAGTGTGTGTAGTGTGTATAGTGTGTGTTGTGTGTGTAGCGTGTGTGTAGTGTAAGAGATCATTATTTATTTACTTTATACTTTATATAAATGTTCTTTTTTTAACATTTTGCATAAGTTTTCTCATTGAATCTCATTCTCCGTCTGTGTCTATTTTGTTTTACTTTCACTTCTTTCAGCTCTTTAGTTCTATGGCTGTCTGGCTGTCTGGCTTCCTGGCTGTCTATTTTCACCTTCAAATGTCACTCCTTCTACCCCCCAAAAAAAATATTTATATAGATTTTTTTTCTCCCTCCCTTTTTCGTCCTTTCTATTTCTTTTTATTCTTTTTATTCTTTTTGGATTGTACGTGTACGACATAAAACGCAGGATTAAAAACGTAAAAGACAAATCTGTTACTTAACCCTTTTTTTTTTATTTTTTTATTTTACTCTATTTTCCTCCTTTTTTTTTTTTGGCTACTTTCCCTCCACCCCCCCCCTCTCTTTTATTTTATTTTTTAAATAAATAAATAAAACATAATATTAACATATATCTTAAATCAAAAGCAGTAGTACAAATCTCTCTTATCTGCTTCCAACCGTCAAATTACCAACTATTCCTATTTATTTATTGAGAGTAAAATTGGTCAAATACTCTTTTATATATATTATTGACATATATAGTATATATTCACACTTTTATACATATTTGCACATCTATCTGAGGCTAGTGTATGATATCTAAATAGCAGAAAGTAGTAACAAATTTGGTTGTTTCTTAATAACAAGTGTTGTATACATACATACATATAGACATCTATATGTGTATGTGTATGTATATGTATGTACATATGTATATGGTGTGTGTATTGCATCAAAGTTGAAGTTGAATTGAATTGAATTGAATTGAATTGAGTTAACCGTATTTATAGGCCAAGACAAGACAAATAGAGTAAAAATAATAAAAATGTAGATTTTCAATAAAATACAAAGATTGCCATAATGGCTTGTGCCCACAAGACATGCAACTTCAACACCATAAAACAGACACGACATTGTTATTATATATACCAAATACTATATACTATATATATATATCTATATATCTATCTACAATATGCGATATTTTTATTTTTATTTTATATCATTACATAGCTTCTTACAGTGGGTGTTCATCGGCCTTGTTTTAATCACGAGAACATATAGCTTTTCTCCCTTTCTCTCTTTCTATCGATTTTTATATGGGTCATGCCTTTGAATACAATACATATATATATATAAAAAATATGTTTTATTTTAATTTTAAATTTTAATTTTTTTTTGATATAAAAACCAAGTGAATTTATTTATTTTTCTAATTTACCTTGGTTGAATTTTCACAAACATTCTAGTCGCCTACTTCTTTTAAACCAACCAACATCTTCATTCCCCAAATATATACACATATATATATATATATATACAACCTACAACCTACATACACAGGCACACTTCATACAAGCTGTACACTTTATACATACATATATTCACAGACACACAAGCACACGGACACACAAGCACAGACACACAGGCACAGGCACAGACACAGGCACAGGCACCCGCCCATTATTACTTACTGCCTGTTTTTATTTTTATTATTATTTTTTAAAATAATAATAATAACAACAACAACAATATTATTATTACTTGCTTTTTCATTCATTCTTTTTTTTTTCTCTCTTTCTCCCTTTCTTCTCTTTCTTTCCTTTTTCTTTTTCTTTTCCTTCCTTCTCCCTCTCTCTCTCTATCTTGCTTATTTTTATTATATAAATTGTATATTATTTTACTTGACCACCCCATCTATTTATTTTATTTATATATATATATATATAAAATTGTATATATAAAATTGTATAAACGCAGAAATACAGAAAGATGTCTACACATTTCTATCCTGTCACAAATATCGATTGGAATATCACAAACGATCAGGTAAGCAACAATGCACAATAATTGTACACGATCAATCTAACCCGCGATATCCTATTTTTTTCTTTTATTTATTTCGCAAATACACACTACACACTCACTCACGCACGCACGCACGCGCACAAAAAAAATATTAGCATTCAAACACCATGCCAAACTTTACACAAAATGTACGTACAGTTACACACACAGAATAATAATCATAATAATCATAATATTCACAATACTCTCCATCTATAGACATTCTTGCCCGATATTTCTATTGAAAATGAACTCGATTCAATGGTAAAATCAAAATTCATTTACACTTTTACTTGCACTATACCATACATTAAAAACAGTCAAAAAGAATAAAGCAGAAAATAAGAAATAAAGCTTGTTTTTAACAAGTAGAAAAGAAAGCAAAAATACATAGATACATATGTTCATATATACATGAATATACAGTATATTATAATAATATTTGATCTTTATTTTTATTTTTAGCCTTTGTCAGCCATGGCGTACGATGTACAATCAGATCTCAGCTGTGGTGGTCTATCCACAGCTACTTATCAAGACGTGGATCCCTCAATGGACTCCCTTTCCTTGAATTCTAATTTTATGGTAAGATCCACTACAGCTTAACCATACCCTTCTTTCTTTTCTTTTCTTTCTTTCTTTCTTTCTTTCTTTCTTTAATTAATTTTAATCTCTAACATAAAACAGTCTTCTCCTTTGGGAATGTCTCCAAATCCACAATACTCAACCTGGTCCGATGATAATATGAACCAATATACGCCCCCATCGCATAATCACCAACCTCTGCCTTACATGGTCTACTCTCCGGTCACAGTCCACAAGAATCCTAAACGGTCAAAGCGTCCGACAACCTATTCACGCTGGACACCCGAGGAAGATGAGATTTTGCGACACGCGATTGCTATTCATGGTCCAGCACGTTGGTCTCTTGTCGCAACACACATACCAAATCGCAGTCCAATGCAATGTTCCACCCGCTGGATGGGCGCACTCAAGTAAGTTTCTGACCACCAATCCTCTTGCTTTCTTTTTTAAAAGCGTATGAACAAATGAATGAACAAATGAATGAATAATTATAATACCAAAAATAAATAAATACATGTACGCCTACACTACGCCTACACTACGCATACATACATACATACATACATATTTACATATTTACATAAAGATAAATAATAAGCTATCAAATAACATAATAATAATATATTGAAAATCCTTGTTTTAATTATATATTTTACTTTCTTTCTTGTATTTTCTTATTAGCCCACACATCCATAAAGGAAGATGGACCGATTATGAAGATTCAATCCTACGCTACTCTGTTCAGGAGTTCGCCAATTTTGTAGACCACGAGGGAAGATCAATGCCAATGCCATGGAACAAGATCGCCGAACGTATCCCAAACCGCACTGGAATCCAATGCCAGGCCCGCTGGACAGAGGCCCTGGATCCCACTGTTCGCAAAGGAAAATGGACAGCCGATGAAGATGTGCTCTTACGCCTTGGGGTTGTCGAACTTGGTCGGTCATGGATCCGCATCGCCGAAACTATTGAGGGCAGGACCCAGGTAAAGATCAACAGCCACCCAACCACTAATATTGCCATCTATTGATCTTTTATGATTTTAATATTAATATTAATTAATAACCATAGAGACAGTGCCGAACACGTTGGATGCAGATCAAATACAAGGAAGACCGCCAGGCACTCGGTAAACAAACAGAAGGCTCAAGCGGTGAAAAGACCCCTGGAGACACAACAGTCAGCCAAGACGACGGTTCATCTGTCAGTTGCGCATCTACAGAAGAATACCCTCTCGAAGACCAAGACTGGTCATCTAGCCGGCGAGCAAGTGCAGACCAAAAGAATGTCTTTGTTGTTGACGATTTCGACGCCAAATTACCAAACTTTTACAGCCAACCAGATCCTGCCTCGTCTTCTTTACTATCCTTTATTCAACCCCCATCATCACAACAGCAATTACAATCACAGCAGTTACAGCAGTTACAGCAGTTGCATCAATTGCAGCAACAATCACAGTTACACAGTAATCAACTCAATCACGATCAATATCAACACCAGCAACTTCAGCAGCAAGACCAGAGTAGTATGAATGGCTGGTCATCAGCCATAGCTTGTCCTGACAAGCAAGAATATCCTCGTATTTACCCGCATCACCAGCAATAGTCTCTTTTCTTTACTTGATTGCTTTTTGCTTACTTTATTTTATTTTTTGCTATCTTTTTCAATTTCCACGTTCACTTTTAAAGTATCTTATTTAATCAAACTCTCCTTTTATATTATTATTATTATTTTTTGCTGTTGTCATGTTTCCCACCTTACCCTGTTTCTTTATTCCACTCCATCACTTTCCTTTTTTCAACTTCTTTTACTTTTACTTCTTCTACTTCTTCTACCTTTTATATATATATTATTTAATTTAATTTAATTTAATTTAATTTAATTTATGCAATCTTCTTTATAATTTGATACTTATTCTTATCTCTCTCTCTCTCTTTTTTTCTATTCTCTTTCTGCCTTTCTTTACTGTTTATACTCATTCAAACACATTCACTTATACATACATACATACACACACATACACGCACAAACACAAACACACGCATATATATATATATATACAATACTTACTTGCACACATATGTACATGTGTACATGTCTATGTATGCAAGTGAGTTATTGTTTGTATTATATGTAGATGTGTTATATGGGGTGTATTACGTGTGTACTTTTGTATGTGTATGAAATAAATCCCTTTTATTTTATTTTTTGCTTTTGCTTTTGCTTTTGATTTTCACTCGCACCATACAAAAAAAAACCCCGTATTTCTCTCTCTCTCTCTCTCTCTCTCTTTATATATATATATAATAAATGCTTTTTCACTCATACAGATATACACACCTTTACCCATTTATTCGCTCACTCACCCATATGAATACAAATGTAAATGTAGATATCAACTCACTGATAAATCAACATTCTAGTCGTTTGCAAAGAAAGCCTATTGTTTGTTTGTTTGTGATTATTTTATGGGTAGAAAAAATAATACAAAGACAGGCTGACAGACAATGAGATATATAGATTTCCACTTTTTTTTTTGTATATTGCTGTATAATGTAGTACAGTGGAGTGTTGTATATAGTGTGAATATTATTCCTTTTTTTTTGTTTTGTTTTCGTCGTCGTGTTCGTAGTCGTCGTAGTCATAGTCGTTGTAAGCGTCATTTTAAATATACAATTATATGTATGTATGTATACATTTAAGCAAGAGGACTGATGAGCCTGTAAATTTTTTTTTGAAGTAAAATAAGATAATTAAATGATATTTAGTGATAATGATAATAGTAGTAGGGTCTTTGACATACTTCAACAAAGAAGGTCTGGGGTTGCTACGGGTCAAACCGAGGTAGATAACAAAGGGAATAAATCCCCAGTGGACAATCTGCTTCGAGACGTCAAACACCTACAAGCCAAATACAAATGTACATTGAGTAAACAAATAGAGGTAGTATAATCATTCTACACATCCTGTCATTCTGTTATTTTCTTTTTATATACTTATTTTTATTTAGACCTAGTACTATAGAGTATATTGTTTAAATAAAAATTCTAATACCTTCATGATGGTTTCCTTGGTAGAATCGTTCATAATGTAGTAATTCCAAAAGAAGAATGAATAAAAGCAAAAAGAAGAGAGAATAGGTCTTTTTTTTTTTTTTTTTTTTTTTTTTAGGCAAAGCGAAAAATTGATAATATTTTTTTTGGAATTATTTTATTTATTTTGTAATATAAATAAAATAAAATAGTCCTATAAACCTTTACATAACAGGGTCCCCAACCTACTAAACTAATATACTAATATACTAATATACTGCTACTACTAGCTCACTAACTGGCTACCAAACTAAATACACTCATATAAACTCTCATATTATATTTATATATGTATGTACGCAGCTTACTATTGATATGTAACATTATTGCTCTTCTAGTTTTACAGTCTTGGTCTCCACTCACGGACCCACACTCAACTCAACTCCTTCGACTCCCTCAATTCACTCAATTCACCCATATTTATAGACATAGACATATATATATACTATATATATACTATATATTTTAATTTACTTTATTCTATTCTTATATAAATTATATATATATTTATAAAAAAAGAAAGTAAAGAAAGTAAAGAAAAACAATTGTGGCTTGTGATCTATCAATTTTGGACACACATACTCATACTCTTTTTCTCTCTAAATACACACACCCACACACATATATATACAATTATATATAATAATAATAATAATAATAATAATAATTAACACATTTAATAAAACGACAGACACAAAAAAAAAAAATAAAAAAAAATTATTATTACCATGACCGACCTCATTACACCACCCGAGGATTCTCTTGTCAATGCTGTCAAGCAATTAAAGATTGACTTTCCTGAGTATGGAATCAAGAAGATTGCTGCCAAGTTGGCCGAGAAAGAGCCAAAGTGGGCTGTGTCGGAGAAGCGTGTAAAGAAGGTCATGCAAGCCCAGGGTTTGACCCAAACCGAGCCTGTTGTGAAGAAGAGTGGTGTTGAAGACGACCCTTCAGTCCCCGTTTCATACATTGACCCAACTCTCGATATTGCCTCTATCTCACCAAACATTGTTGTATGTAAAAAAAAAAAAAATGATAACAATAATAATATTAGCAACAGCACCATATTAAATCAAATCAAATCAAAGCAAAGCAAAGCAAAATAAATTAAATTAAATTAAATTAAATTAAATTAATTGTATATATTATATGTAGGCCAAGATGGTAGATCGCGTTACTGGCAAGGGTAAGTTAATTCTACTTGTGATAGTGATGAGTATAAGAGTCAATTGATGATTTATTTATTTATTTAATTTATTGATCGATAGGTTTGTTTGCTGCCCGTGATATTGCAAAGGACGAAATCATCTTCCAGGAATTGCCGTTTGCCTACTTCCCTTCATGGGAAGGATTCTCGATGGCTCGACAGGGCAATGCGTGTGGTATGTGTGTGAAGCCTCTGTTGCGCTCCAGCGTGCTCTCGATCCACTGCAGCCACTGCAATTTGACTTACTGCAGCAAGGCATGCCGCTCGCACGCCTGGGAAACCTTCCACCCGCTCGAGTGCACCCACTTGAACCCTGCCATCCGCCCGTTCCTCAACTTCTGTGAAGGCGAGTCCTGGTCAGCACCAATGGCTGTAGCCCGCATGTACGCCCATATCATCCTGGCCAACCAGCGTGGCGAGCTCGACACTGTCTTGGCTCACTACGATGCGTTTGCAACTGTCAACCAGGCCGAGCGTCAGGCCAAGGAGACCGAGTGGATTTTCATGGTAAGCAACAGTAAAACCAAATAATATATATACTGAATAAAAATAAATTCATGTAGGAACATCCTACTCGTGAGTTGTGGGCAAAAGCAAGATCTTTATTGGCAAAGGCTTATAACCCACCTGCCAAGAAATGCAAGATCACCAAACCTTTGCCTGAAGATCTGGCCAAGAAGCTCTTTGAGGACGAAGACACGTTCTTGAACTACCTTGGCAAATTCAACATCAACAACCAGAGCGGTGGAATGTACATGGTCCAGTCGCACATCAACCATAGCTGCTCGCCAAACGTGTGCATCGAATTCCCTGGCCAGACCCAATACAAATTGGCAGTTCGTGCAGTGCGTGATTTGCGCAAGGGTGAACAGCTTTTCGAGACCTATGTGAACCCTCGGTGGAACAAGGAAACCAGAGTCAATTATCTGAACAAGAGTTATATGTTCCAGTGCAAATGTCCCAGATGTGAATCTGACGGCCCATTGACAGCCGAATTGAGAGCTGGCTTGAGATTGCGGGATGAATAAAGTAAAGAAGAAGAAGAAGAAAAACATGTAATATATAGTATTAATAAATAAGAAACCATAGCAACAACAACAAAAATTCTCAAGACCAATATATTACCATGCATATAATTATATATGATATTAAAGTGTATCGGTACCAAATTGAGATTTGTACCAAAAAAAAAATCCAATCAATAGACTCTACAGCTGTCATAAAGCCATTTCCTTTCAATTCTTATTTTTATATGGTGACTGGTACAATGAACCTATAATTTTCTATATTAGATCTCAAGCACATTGAATTAATCTGTACCAAAGCTACTTTCTATAATACTTTCAACCAGATTTTTTTTAAAGAAGAAAAGTATGGCCTAAATATTCATGATTAGCATTAGTATTACTCTTATTAACATGGCAATCATTGATCTAACAAAATAATACTTTGATTTATTTTTTTGAAAATTTCCCGGAAAACCATTCTTGTTCTTTGGTTCAAAGTAACAACAACATCATAGACAGCATACAGTTTACTGAATCCTATATCTTGGATCTTGGATCTTGGATTTTTTTTTTTTTTTGCATAATGTTCCAAGGCTGATAATTAACGACAAGAAGAGTCTGTTTAGATTCATTACAAGTATTTTAAAAAGTTACCATCAGCCACAAAAATAGGCTTTGATAATAAAAAAGACTTTTTTTTTTTTGTATACAATGATTGTCTCCTTTGGATATTAATCACATGAAGCTCAATTATTTTCATTATCCTTGACTTGACTTGACTTGATACCAATATCAGTCAATTGGTTTTACATAGTGTATTATATATTTTATAATATATGTATATATAAAAATTTATTCTAGAAGAAAATTTTAAAAAAAAAAAAAAAATGAGACTGTCAGAAAAAGAGAGGAAAAAAAAATTATTGTGACTTTTTATTTTAATTTATTTATTCGGTAAAAATAATAAGGAAATAAAAAAAAATAAATTTTTCTTCTGGGGGGTTTTTTTTTTTTTTAATATAAATACTTGCTCTATTCTTGTCTCCTCTTTCTTTCTTTATCATCGATCCCTTTCCCTTTCTCTCTTTTAATCATTTAAATCTTTAGGACTAAATATTCCTTTGGTTTAACGAATAAGGCAAGTATTAAATCAAAAACATCTCTTTAGATATATAGTTTTCTTCTTTGGTGGATATTTTCGTGATGAAATAGGCATCGCCTAACTCCCAGGCTAGCTCAGCAATGTTGCCCAAATTAACATCTTTCGGGTCTGATCGATATCCACTTTATATAAATTTTTTTTTATTTATTGTTTTTGGATTTATAAGAATATCTTCAGCTAACGCTTTTGTTTTTCTGAAATATCTTTAGATTTTCTGCAACTCTCTTTGTGTTCAATCTTGTTCATTTAACCCAAGGATCTACACTTTAAAATTAGAAAACATCTTTTTGTAAAATAATAATAATAAAAAAAAACTTTTAAAAAAAAACACATAAATCTTTGCTTGTCTTTATTTTTTTTTGGACTTTTTTTGTATTTTGCCCTTTCTTTAAGAAAGGATAAATTTTAAGCTACATGGCAAAGTTAATCCATTGGCTATTCAAAGATTATTTCTATCAATGATGTGCTGATAGATAAATCAAATAAATGTAATGTAATTTTTTTTTTAAAAACAAAAAATGGTGATAAAATATATAGTAAAAATGTTTGTTTTCTTTGGCTAGATAGATAGCTTGGGTAGCTTTGAAGTATATCAAGTCACATTTAGGGAAATGCTCATTTAGTTGCTATAGTGCGAGCGTATTTTTAAAGGTTGGAAATAGAGCAAAAACTGATATCATTAATATTACAGGCCACTTGAAATAAATAAATAAATGACGTTCTTTGGACAGTTGGTTAACATACGCGTCTTGGTCCACAGATGATATGCACAATTATCTATATTTTGATGGCACGAGACATTCAGTTGTAAGAAACAAGAAAATGGTTCTGCAGAAGAAGAAGAAGAAGAAGAAGAAGGAAAAAGGAAACTAAAATAAGGTGTGATCAAAAGCAAAAGAAAGAATAAAGTATTTCTTGGGGAAGGGACAAAATTTCATCTTGTCGGAGTGGCAACGTGCAAGTATGAGAGCATGCAGTAGTTTGCAAGTATGCAGTGTGCTTATTTGACTCTTTTTGGATTACCAAATATGGAAAGGGGTAAAATAAAATAAAAAAAGGCATAGAAAGAGAATAAATATATGGATGTCATGTACGATACAAATTGTGTGAGATGGGTTAAATATAAACTATAAAATATTATTCAGTTTGATTTTTACACACACGATTATTTTGTGGGATGGTTACATTTATATTGAGTATATGATTTTAGAGTTTATTTTGCCTTGACTGCTTGTGTTCGGATCAGACATATTAAGCAAGCAAAACACAAAAGTGTGGGAGAAAAGAGTGATTTCAAAATAAGAATAATAATCAAGATACCTACACACACAAACACAAACACAAAGATGTATATTCTATATTGTATTATACATATACAAGAAATGAAATCAATGCGAGTCAGAAACGACCATTGCTTCAAGTATTTCTAAAAGCGTCTTGAGACCGAGTAAATATCCATGATCGGGCTCATCCACAGAGTCTTCAGGTGGGTGTGTCATGGGTATTGGTGGATGGACAAGTTCGTCTTGAGTGACGCAGTGGGTAAAGTCAATGATGCGCACATCAATTGTGGAAGGGTGGGCTCCGTCATAAACCACCAGTAGACTAGAGCCATAGAATCTGTAGCCCGGCAGTTGACCAACCACGCAGGCCAGCTGCTTGAGTTTGTCAATAAGAATCCGTGCCAGGTCTGTAAGGGCCCGAGTGCCATCGTGAAGGAATGTGTAAAGAGTGTGCCGGAATGTCGTTGGTGTCAGTAACCGACCTTTGTATTTGTCTTGAAACTCATAACTATTTGTCGCAGGTTTGAAAACCTGTATTATATATTGAATTCAATTTTATTTTCATAATTCTTACAGTTAGTTTTCAAAGATTCTGTCTGATCTTACTACTATTATTGTTTTACCTGAGCACCACATATTCGTACCCCAAGAATTTTGCTGGTAGATTCTAAACATTTGAGGGTTTGGCTGGCTTGTTTAGCAGCCGAACAATACACACCGTGCTGCCTTGTTCCCATCTTTAGATCCAAAACACACGGCTTCTCCAGCCCTACTGTCAAATCCTCCATTACAATAAATTCCTCCATGCCTTTGGTTGTGACTGTAGTTGTATTAAGATTAGGATTAGGATCAGAATCTGATGCTGGTGTAGTGGTAATATTATTGTTGTTATCAATTATTGGAAGAGCAAGTGAGATAGGAGACGCAAGACAGGGATCCCGAAACACAACCTGGTGTTCAGGTACAGCCGGCGTGGTTGGTCTGTTGTGATTGCAAGTCGAAGAAAACAGGGCCTCTAGTCGCTGACGGTCCTGTTCAAGGGCAATCTCTGGTTGGGGACAATAGATGATTCGGATGACTCCCATGTAGCGGGGCATAAAGACTTGACACGGCAAATTGCACTGCAGAACTTCAAAAAAGCGTTGTTCTTTGGTGGTCATTGCTTTGCAGATTGCACCATTCTCTAGTCTGAACATTGTCACATGGCCGCCGGCTCGATGTTGGAGAGGTAAGAGAGCGAATGAGCCGTGGTTGTGTTGATTATGACGAAGAGGGGAACGTTGTTGAGTAGATTCGCAGGGACAAAATTCGACCATTTTTGTTGGTAATAAATAATAATTATATTAATCTATTAATCTATTAATCAATTAATTAATTAATCTATTTATTAAATACACATATAAATGACTGGTGATTCATTCGATTGAAAGAAAACAAAATATAGCATTAACTATTATTATTTTTATGTATAAAATGTTCCTATTTTGTTCTCTGATGTAATTTCACTCTACATTTTTGTATACAAGAAAGAAAAAGAAAGTAGCGTGATGAACAGCAGATTATTATTTTTTTTATTTATTTTTTTATTTTGTACAAAATGTATATTGTGCGTATTGTAAATTATAATTGTGTACAAGACCAGATGAAATAAAAATATTAAAAAAAAAAAGAGAGAGTAGAATGAATTTTAGTGTACATGAACAAGACCAGTGCTCGAGTAAAAAAAAAAAAAGATAAGATATATAAAAGGAAAGATGAATGGGGTGAGATGAAGAAAGAATAAAAAGATTGAGAGAGAGAGAGAGTAGGTTATAAAACTATAAACACTTTTTTTTTCCTAACACTCACACAAGCTGACCATGTACAAAATAATAAAGAAGTAGAAGAAGTAGAAGAAGTAGGTAAACAGACAGATACAAAGACACACAGACAGAATGAAACAGGTACAGACTAGATAGATAACAGAGAAAATGTATATATATATATATATATATAGTGTATGTTTGTGTGTCAATGTTGTTGATGCAAATGTGGGTGGGATATAATAATAATAAAAATAATAATAATAAAAATAAAAATAATAATAGTATTTTTGTTTTCTTTCTTTCTTTCTTTTTTGTAGCTTAGCTCATGTCCATGCGCTCAGTCTTTGGACAATGTTCGTGCTGTGATTGTTCACGGACGATGTCCATGTGAGACTGGGCTTGGGAAACACCTACAACCCGGAGGCGATCAAGCCAGATCTCGGCTCTGTCGATCGTGTCTGAGAAGACGGTCGCGACCGAATGAAGCATCTCAATAGACTCGCCACCAAAGTTGAGCAGCTTGATTGATGTGTCCTGGACATGCGATGGTGTGTGGGGGTTGATTGCAGGCGAGGCCGAGGGTGACACGGTTGTGGATGTGTTGAGGACAGCCCATCGGCCAGGTAAGGCCAGGATAAAGGCACGCACACTGGCCTTGGCTTGTTCTGGAAGACCAGATCCTGCGTATCGGCTCACGACCTCGACAACCTTGCGTAAGGTGTCGACCATCTCTTTCTTGATTGCAGCAAGTGTGGCTGCTGAAGATGAAGACATGGCAGCGACTGTGTTTGGCCCAGATGCTGCTGATTGTGATTGTGATTGGGATTGGGATTGTGATGGTAATATTGAAGAGGACGAGTCTTTTGAGGCAAGTGAAACAAGGAAATTGCGGAGAAGGTTCATCTGCTGATCAATGTGCTGGACAGCGTACTCCAGCCAGCTGAGGCAGTATCGCAAGCACTTCATTGATTCTTCACTCACAACTGCAGCAGTCGTACCTGCAGCTGATCCAGCCTGGGCCACAATTTGTTGCCATCGACTACGAGGAACGGCATTTGTACGGTGTCGAACGACGGTCTTTGCAAGTGTATAAGGCCGATGAGGTGATGTCGAACGAGAGCATGAACGAGAACGAGCCTTGGTGTCTATTTGAATATATACAGATTAGAAAATAAGTATTCTTCTTCTTCTGTGTGTGTGTAAAATATAGAAAAGGGAGTCTTTATTATTATCTTTTTTTTTGTCTTACAAGGATCTTCACGTGGGTCATCTCTTCGTCGTCTGAGTCCGTCGCGCTGTTGCTCGTGATGATCGCTGATGGTTGCACGCGCCAAGGCGTGGGCTGCCATTGTGGGACCATCTTCGTCTGTATCTACAAGTGTTTGTGCTGGATGTGGAGGCGCAGAATACTTTTCTTCAAATCGATCAAGCTGACGGCATCCCCAGGTGTCTACATTGGACAGAACTCTGCGGCCAACCTTGTCATAGATTGGGGCAGCGATTGATTCAACCATCTCAGCACCATACTTTACGTATGAACTCGATGCCTTTGAACTCTCATAGACTCTGAGCGCAGAGTTGACGATCGGTAGGTTGGACATGCGATGCATGAAATCCTTGTTGTTCTTTGGATCGTCGGGGTTGTGACTCCACTCGGCTGGAAAGGGGAAATTGGTCGAGGTTGAAGTCGAGGTGGGAGTGGGGAGTGGGGAGGAAGGTGTGGTCGAGGGTGCAGAGTAGTTTGAGATTGAAATGATTGGCTTTGGCTCAAGAGTCATGCCGCGGGCCATGCTTCCCAAGGCCTCTACAGCTAGCTGGACGTCTGGGTCCTGCTGGTCGATGGCTATCAGAGACGAAGGTGTAGAAGCAACAGACGAGAAAGATGATTTGGTCGAGGTGGTCGAGGCGGTCGAGGCGGCAGATGAGACTTCTTGCTCAGGTGCATTGCAAAGGTCGTTGATAGACAACGGTGAGGTGTGGGTCGCCATCAAAAAAATAATAATAATTTATATTTATTTATTTAAAAAGTAAAAGTAACAGAAGAATGGATAGTGTTCTTTTTATATATTTATAATATGTAACGTGCGTGCGAGTTTGTAAAGAGACAAGAAGTGAAAGAAGAAGAAGAAGTGAAAGAGAAAGAGAAACAAAAATGGCTGGGGATTTTTATTTTTTATTTTTTATTTTTGGTGAGGATCGTTTTTGGCTTTTGCCATGTGAAACCCACCTTGGCTACTTTCACGTGCTACTAAGGAAAATACAAAAAAGAAAAAAAAAAGGTTTTTTTTTGTGTACAGCCACCGTCTTGACCAAACACGGCCATTTCCCGTCCTTCTTTGAATCTTTTCTGTAGCTTATGATTTAACCCATTTCCGCGCCTATCACACGAAATAGTGATACGGCCTATTGATATTTTCGTAGTTTTTTTTTTTTTTTTTTATATACAAAAATATCTAAAATGTACATTGAATCCAACAAGCAATGTCGCAGCCAATCAAAATCAATCTCATTAGCCAATAAAATAAAATAAAAATTAATTAACTAATTTCATATATATATATTGTTTCTTTTAGAAATCATGGCGCTCGAAAATAAATATAAAAAAAAAAGGAGAGCAAGAATTTGTTGTCTCAGGGATCTGTGTTTTCAATAACTTTTTTTTTTGTTTTTTTTTTTACAAGGCAACAGAAATATTGTTTCTGTTGTTAGAATATCCATATAAAGGAGACAAACGCAAAACGTGATTATGTGCGTTATACTGAGTGAATAAAACTAGGTACTTTGATCTAAAGATTATATATATATAAACAAAGCGATTTTTGGAATCTTCAATTCGACATGACCAAGAGTTTCTCCAAACTGGAGCTAATCGATAATCGAGATACCACCTCGTCGCAAGGAAATACCTGAATTAAAAGTTTTATAGATCCACCTCAATAATGCCAACTGTTTTGCACCTGACAACTAAATAAAATAAAAAGGGGAAACTGAATTACGTACTCCATAGCTATGTTTCGCTAATGATTACGACATTACTGATGAAAGAGATGTATAACAGGAAGCCAGACTGAGAAAAACATGCAATGAGATACTAGAGATGGTATTATGAGTACTTGATTCAAGTATTAAACCTTTTCTTTTGAATACATATATATTTAAAAGGTGCGGTCAGCCATAAATTAAAATTATTGGCTAAATTTATTTTGAACTTTTTTAGGGCTGTCCACCCCAACTGTATGTTTCTAATATATCTACATAACTATATTCTATATATAATATTTACTGGACGTGCACGACAATCGATTTGTCTGGGGTCCTTGCTTCTTTGTCAGTCTATCATTTGACCAGCCTATTATGTCTTGTCTTGTCTTGCCTGTCACACGCACACACACACATATATATATATATATCTTTATCTCTCACACTCTCTTTCCCACTCTCACAATGTGTGTGTATATTTCGGAGATGAACTTTACTACAGTTCAAAAAAAGGAAATAAAAAAAAAGTCTATTCAGCTTTGAATCAGTTCTAATTACTTCTTTCTTGATCTGGTACAGTTTGATGACTGTAGACAAGGTGTCAAATATACATATATACACACAATAAGACAACAAAGATTAAGATGGAAAGAACAAGCTCGTCAATTCAAACCTTACTCCAATAGTACAACTGCAATAGCTCCTCCTAGTTCATTAGTTATTGATATTGTGTTAATTAAAATTTACTGTCAAAAATATCCACATTGAAGCATCAGAGTCTAGAACAATGTTGCTAGTTCTGCCGTCGTACTTGGACCCAAAAAGAAATAAACAAAAGATGATGTCAAAAGTAATAGAGTCTACATTGTCTACATTGTCTATTATTGAAATTTTGAATGCCAATAGCAGTAAAAGATAACCTCTTTCTCTCTTTCTTTATGAATACACAGCTTTGTTATTTGTGGCATGAGATTTCAAAAGACCAAAGGACACCACACCAATCCAAAGTAATTATTGACCTGTAGGATAAAATTGTTAAATAGAATCCAAAATAATTTATTGTTTGGTTGAATCTAGTACATTCACTTGCCTTTTGACGATCCTAGTTATCATCTACATGTAAGTCGTTATTAAACTGGAATTGATAATCGTTTCCTAACCCAACAGGATGATTAAATAAGTAAATTTACACGAGAGTTGCGACTCATGCCAATCTGCTCTACAAACCCCAACTTTTATTTATATATTTTTATATATATATTTAATAACCAATAATAATAATAATATAAAGAAATTTCCTATGGGTCCTATTATTTCAATATACATTATATAATATAAATAATTCTCTTTCATCTTTACTGTGTAAATAATGATCGATAGGTGGGGTAGGAAGGCTTTTATATATATATATATATATATGGTCAAGTGTATTACCACTTGTACAATCGCGTGGCTGTAGTACTACACATTTGATGTCCTTTTATAGAACGAAAATAAACGCCATCTGTATTATACCATTACTGCCAAAAAAAAAAGATTTATAAAATATAAATATAAATATTACTATAGGCATTGATTTGAATGAATCAAGGTATTCTACTCTTTGGTATTCTATTCTATTTTATTTTTCATTTTTTTTTGTTTTGATCTCTTGATAATTACTATATTCAATTATGTGCACATTTGGGACACAATAAGCATGCCATTTATCAAACAATATAATAAGTATATATTAACAAGAAGATGAAAAAGAAGAAGAAGAAACAAAGCCAAAAGAAAGATGTGATATATTTGTGACCAGACAAATAATTGACATTAATTCCAGGCGCCGAATGCCGAACAAAGCATTTTTTTTTTAAAAAAAAATTGAACCATTTATTAATATGTGTATATGTATTTGATATCTCATTTGCACTTATTGTTAATCTTATTGCTATTGATATTGCTATTGTGTTGCCGATTTTTTTTAGTTCTTTTGTCAATCTACTAAGCGACCACTTCATCTCGGTTCTCAATAGTTCAACAGCCCCGACTGCCTCTTCAATTGAACAATTGGTTGTCTGTTTAACTTTGTATATTTTGTTGACAATTATCAATCTCCTAGAGTAAAACTGTCGCTCTGTAGACAGATACATGTTATCAAACATGCATACAATATATGTTATACGTATCATTACCTTTTGCAATGCTTCTCCAAGAAGACCCCTTGGTTTTGTTGAGCTCAATTACGGACGGCATAGCATCCGAGAGCCCAACAGACCATTCGCGCCAGAGATCAGTAACAGTAACGATGTCTCTGCTGAGCGAGTAGATACTTTTCTTTGTGGGTTGCTGGATCCATACAGGAGAGGTTGGGACTGGCAGATCCAGAGGCAAATCAGCTACTGACGGTGATTCTGATTCTGATTCTGATACTGATACTGATACTGATACTAATGGTGATATCGATGATTGTGCCAGAGTAGACGGCAGATACTTGGTTCCAGTACCAAACATGACACTGGCTTCTCGTAACAGTTGCATATCGGCTCTCAATTCATGGACGGAATGAGCCAAGCATTTGTCTTGTGACTGCCTGTGTTGCTGATCTAGCAAGAGTCTTTGAAGTGTGGCCTGATGGTTGTCTAATTTGGTGTTGAGATTTTCCAGCTGCTTAAAGATCAATGACAGCACATTTTGAGCTGAATGATCGCTAGACCCTTGACCAGGATTATTGATATCATCCGTACTCTGAGTAAATTATTATTATTGATATTAAATTTGGTTTATTACAAACTTCTTCTTTCATTGTGCAAACATGCAATACTTACCGTAAGGACCATACTACCAAAAGAAAGAAGAAGAGAAAGAGAAAGAGAAAAGGCCTCTTGTATTCTTCTGATGTATCAATAGGGGAATAAACACTAAACTATATCTCCCTCCTCTATCTATCTATCTCTCTCTCTTTACAGCTTACTTTTCCTGTAACACTGCAAGGAATCTTCCGGGATTTACCTTGTTCTTCTTTAGTACTTGTGGAAATTCCGGTCCGCGTGTGACAGGCTCTGAGACGAAACGAAGCTTACCGAGACTTACCGAGACGAAACAAAAATGAAACGAAATGAAGAGACAAAAGGAAAAGAGAAAGAAAGAAAGAAAGAAACTTTGTTCGTTCTCTATCCTTTCATTTTTTTTTTGTCTGAAAACCAATCTCATGTATACATGTACATTATTGAATATAATAGACAATTATAGATAGATCATCAAGTAATATATATTTTATTTTATTTTTATTCATACTGCATTCAGACAAGTATCCAAGAAAGTCATTTGTATCCAATCCAGGCTTTCTCTTAATCAAACCATTTGACTAGGAGAAGATGTTTCAATTTCATTATTTATTCATATTCTAATATTCTGTACTCTGTTATGTGAAATACCTTTTTTTTTTTTTAATATTCTTACCAAATTATCTTATAGCTTATTTTCCTTCCATTTTCATTATATATTAATTTCACCACCAATAAGTATTTTGGTGGTTATAATTTTATACTTTCAAAAAAGTCTATTTGTTCCTGCAACAGAATACTAGGACATCAATTGATTTAATTTAGGAATTTATTAATCTTATTTTTATCGTGTTCTTCTATATCACTTTTTAGTGTGTAGGTTTGATTGTCCCAAGGGATGTTTTAGATTTTCCTCAGGTACATACAGCAGTCACTCGTTTAGACATTACCCCACTGGACTGGAAGAAGGGGAGAGGGAGAGAAAAGGGGAAGTAGAAAGGAAGGGGGGAAAGTTTGGATTTTTTTTTTTTAAAAAAAAAGAACCAAAGTGCGAGAGAGAAAGAGAGAGGGCCAGTCCCATCCCCCTCAAAATGATACGCTCTACACTTCTCAAGCGTAAGCCAATAAATAGAAACAACCTTTTGTATATACATATAAATGTAAATTCTCTTACAAAACGTAATCATATTGGTCATTTCTTTTGAACAGTTGCTCGCCACCAACTTCAACACACCAATCCACGTTTCCAATTTACCCAACCATTATCGCAATACCATTTCGATACATTCAAATTTGTCGAACGACTTGAGAATGAAGGATTCTCAAGAGAACAAAGTGAAGCCATCATGCGATCAGTTCGTCAAGTTATTTCAGAAAGGTAAATGCCATGATCAAAGTAATAACAACAATATATATATATATATATATTAACTCGTTTGACATCAAAGCATGACAGACCTCAGCAAAGCCATGGTGACCAAAGCAGAGCAAGAAAAGGTAAAAATCCTTAAAAAATAATTATTATGCACACACTCATCACCATGTTCGTAGTTACCTAATTAGCTTTTTTTTGTTTTTGTTTTTTGTTTTGTTTTTTGCTTTATATATATATATATATATCACACACACACACACTCTCTCTCTTTTTTTTTTCCAAATCCTTCATCTCGTTTGACATTATAATCGTATTTTATATGTACACACACTTGATTGTGTTCAATTGGATTGTACAAAGACTGTTTACACATACAAGGTGGATTTTGCCCACCTCAAGTCAGAGGTCCAGTTGCTCGAGAAGAACGATTTTTCAATGATGCATGCCGAAAATGAACGGCTCCAGGGTGAGATCGAGAAGCTGCGACAGAAGCTGCGAGAGGAAATTACGCGCACTCAGGCCAATGTTCGGTTGGATCTTAACCTCGAAAAGGGCCGGATCCGGGATGAAGCAAGTGCTCAGGAAATCAAAATCAAGGAAACTGACACCCGGATCGAGAGTGAAATCGCAGGCTTGCGTACACAGATGGAAGCTATCAAATTCCAAATTCTTCAGTACATGATCGGTAAGGGTATTATTTATATGGTAGTAAAGGTAGTGGAGAGTTGGTTTCTTTTTGGTATTGGTTTTGGCATGATGTGTGTGTGTGTGTGTGTGTTTTGGTATATATTTATCAAACTAAATCTTATATGTATGGCTATTTTTCTTTTCAGGTACCATTACTGGTGCAGGCGCTCTTTTCCTGGCTTACTTGCGCATGTTCCGTTGAACCTGATTGTGTAATCTAAATATTTGTACATCGAAATATTTATTTGTGTTTTCTTAATAAAATAAAATCTAATATAATATAATATAATATAATATAATATAATATAATATAATATAAAGAGAGCCTTGTATAGATCGAGTTTGATAGATTGACAGTTTGTAGTTAGACAAAAAGAATAATACACAAGTCAAGTGTATTTAAGCCAAACGGGATGATGTACTGTAAGGCTGCGTGCTGTATGAGCCTAACAACATATTATGCCCCTTTATACATGTAAATGTAAATGTATATAAATACACTCCGACGGAATAAAACATCGTCACCTCCCCAGAAATACACCTCTTTTTGAGTACATCATATTTCTTTTCCTTTTGCAGAATCTTTTCTTAAAACTAGATCACTCATGTCATCAAGAAATAAACGAACAAACAAAGTCCCTCAAAAAGATGTGAACCGTCAGAGCTTGAACGTAGCAGTATTATTTAGCTATATAAAACCAAAAAAGTAAAAATAAAAAAAAAATACCCCAACTGAGATTGCAAACCACATGGGTTTCCCTCGAACGACAATCAACACCGCTATCAAACGTTGTGAAAAGAAAAGAAAAACTAGTACTGCAAAACCAAAGACCAGGCCTGGGAGACCAAAGAAGCTCAGTGTCACATACGTTGCAAGTCTTTGCTTGAGCGTGAGGCGTAACCTTTTTGAGAGTTATGCATATCATCAAAGGAATCTGGCAGCTGCTGGTGTCATCATCTATAGATATACAGTTATCCGACACCTCAAGACTGAAAGTTTTTTGTTTTTGTTGTTCTTACACCCCTGTTTCGAAGCCAAACTTAACCCGAGAACAGAAGAAGAACCGGCTGCGTTGGGCCAAAGCTAGAGCCAGCTTTGGGACTGAGGACTGGAGTAGGATGGTGTGGTCAGATTAGCCGAGGTTTATGCTGAAGGCCCAATGATTATGATCCAGCCGTAATTCGTAAGCGAAGAGAGAAATATCAGGAACGTCATACACTAAAAACAGAGAAGTATGGAAAAGGTCCAAGGATGGTGTGGGGTTTTTCTGGGCTGGTGGGCTTGGCCCATTATCGTTTCTCGAAGGCTTTATAGACCAAGACGCATATGTCAATTGTTTATCTAAGGACTTCAATTCCTGGTATAAGAAATCGGATGGTGAGCAGAAAATTATGTTTATATTTCAAGAAGATGGTGCTAGTTGCCATACTGGGTCTTATACGACGTGGTGGAAAAACCGTTGGGAAATTAAACGCTTTGACTACTGGCCATCGCAAAGTCCGGGTTTGAACCCGATCGAGCACGTCTGGCATGCCCTAAAAGCCAATGTTTAAGAGAGAAAGGTCTCTATAAATAATGTTGAAGAGCCCAAGGCTTGCATTCTTCAGGAGTGGGAGAGATTTGATCCAGGGCTTCTTCGTACTCTTGTAGCGAGTATGCCAGATAGAATCCGGGCAGTGATAGAAGCTTCTGGGAACCACATAACATATTAAAATCTATCCTTATCTTCTATTGTTATTTTTTTATAAAATATATGCTTATATCTATAATAAAGCGAGGTTTCACTTTATTCAGTCGAGTTCTTTAGAAGATATAGCATAAAGAAGTTGATATGTAGTTTATTCGGGACTAGAAATCAAGGAATCTGACTGTGATTTATTCAACACGAGTGTGTTTAAAATCCCTACTTTCAATCCAACTCGGACTTTGCTTTTACTTTCTTCTTACTTCCCTTCTTTTTCTCGTCGTCTTCTTCTTCTTTTTCTTTTTTCTTTCTTTCTTTCTTTCTTTCTTTTTATATTTATTTATTTTCTACTCACATTTCTTGCATGGCATCATCACACTTGACACAGCTGTTGCAAGTGTACACCAAAGGTACCCAGGCATGGTTTACAGATGACCAAGATGGCTGGGTTTCTGCATCTGTCGAGTCAAATGAAACTGTTGGAAACACTGTCAAGATGATTTTCACGAATGACCAAGACCCTACTAGAGTAAATCACAAAACCACAAAACCACAAAAACACTAAATAATAATAAATAAAACAATTAAAATTATTATAATATAATGTGTATTTATTTATTTATTGATGCCTTGTTTTATTTAGGAACATGTATTCGAGGGATCCCTGACAGAACTTGACAAACACAAGGGCAACACCCTACCCCCTTTAAGAAACCCTCCCAAGATGGAAGATATTGACGACTTGACTAACCTCAGTTATCTCAACGAACCCTCAGGTACGCATACATACATACATACATACATATATACATACTCACATCAAGGCATCAAACCAATGCAAATAAATCTTATTACCAATAGTCCTGAACACGATTCGTATTCGTTACCTTCAGCGTAATATATATACTTACTCTGGCATCGTTCTAATCGCCGCAAACCCTTTTGCACGCGTTCCCCTGTACGAACCTCAGGTGATTCAACAATACTCTGGAAAACGCCGAGGAGAACTTGAACCACATCTGTTTGCCATATCCGAAGACGCCTACCGGTGTATGATCCGCGAAAAGACAAACCAGACAATCGTTGTTTCTGGAGAGAGTGGTGCTGGTAAGACTGTGAGCGCAAAGTACATCATGCGGTACTTTGCAACTGCCGATGACAAGGAAACGGCCGGAAAGGTGGCAAAGGACAGTTCGGGAAGTATGACTGAAGTAGAAGAACAAATCTTGGCCACCAATCCGATCATGGAAGCGTTTGGTAATGCAAAGACCACACGTAACGACAACAGTTCTCGCTTTGGAAAATACATAGAGGTAAAGATATCTCCATACACACATACACGGCCTTGTGTGGGGTGAATGTTTTGTACGAAAAAGCAGAGAGTTGTTTCTTTAAAAAAAATGAAAGCGTACATTGTGCTTAACAATTGACCATATATATATATATATATATATATATATATATAAAACCTTTAGATCCAATTCGATAAACAATACAACATTGTTGGTGCCAAGGTCAGAACCTACTTGCTGGAACGTTCGCGCCTTGTCTTCCAACCCCAGATCGAGCGTAATTACCACATCTTCTACCAACTGTGTGCAGGCGCACCTGAGGCTGAACGGGAAAGACTCGGAATCAAGGACTGGACGGCATTCAACTATCTTAATCAAAGTGGATCTGGAGTGATTCCTGGTGTAGACGATATCGAAGAGTTTGAATTGACCCAGTCTTCATTGGAAAAGATCGGCGTGACCAAAGAGACACAATGGGACATCTTCCGCTTGTTGGCTGCATTGTTACATCTTGGTAATATGGAAATCGGCGGTCGAGGAGATGCATCCCTGGCCGAAGATGAGCCATCTCTTGTATTGGCCACCCGTCTGCTGGGTATTCCGCTGGCCGAGTTCCGCAAGTGGATCATTCGCAAGCAAATAATCACTCGTTCCGAGAAAATCGTGACCAATCTTTCTACAACCCAGGCACAGGTCGTCAGAGATTCGGTCGCAAAGTACATTTATGCATATCTGTTTGATTGGCTGGTGGCAATTGTCAACGATAGTCTGTCGTGCCCGGATCCTGACAGTGTCACTGCGTTTATTGGTGTGCTAGATATTTATGGATTCGAGCATTTCCAAAAGAACTCGTTTGAACAGTTTTGCATCAACTATGCCAACGAAAAGTTGCAGCAACAGGTAAAAGTGCCAACACAAAAGTATAGTAATAAATTTAGAGTGCATGGGAACTACTGCATGCACCCTTTTTATTTTTAAAGAAAAAGAGGGGCTAAAAAAAATTAGAATTAAAATCATATATAAAAAAATATAGAGGAGAAAAGGAGAATGGGGAAAAAAAAGGGATTGGGATCTGACTTGTTAGTGTTATAGTTCAATCAACATGTATTCAAATTGGAGCAAGAGGAGTATGTCCGTGAAGAGATCGACTGGAAGTTTATCGAGTTTGCCGACAACCAAAAGTGTATTGAGATGATCGAGAACAAGATGGGTGTCTTGTCTCTGCTTGATGAAGAGTCTCGTCTTCCATCTGGCACTGACCAAGGGTTCTGCAATAAGCTCTATTCGACCTTTAGCAATCCTCCTTATCAGGATTACTTTAAGAAACCTCGTTTCTCAAACAATGCTTTCACTGTGGTACATTATGCTCATGATGTACAGTATGAGGCTGAAGGATTCTTGGAAAAGAACAAGGACACCGTACCTGAAGAGCACCTTGCCCTTTTACAAAAGACAGAATTCTCATTCTTATCGACAATGATGCAAACTGCTGCTGCTGCCATTGCTGCAAGTTCACCAGTAGTGGTATGTTGAAATCTCTCTATATTCTTTAGTAAAAATAATAATAAGACACACACACATATATATATAAAGAAAGGATGAGTAGCAAATATTAAGTAGTATGGGAGAGTTTGGGATAATTTGTAATGTTACTAATTGCAAAAAAAAAAATGTTAGGTCGAAACCCAAAAGAAGTCCAATAACGCTGCTGCAAAAAAGAGTACCCTTGGTTCTATATTCAAGGTAATAAAATCAATCAAAAATTCCATGGATGCTTACAAGAAAAAGAAACACTTTTACACAAAAAGATGTGTACATTTACTAGATGATAATTTATACTTACTTGTTTTTTATTTTCTTATTTCCTAGCTGTCTTTGATTAATTTGATGGACACCATTAAACACACCAATGTACATTATATCCGCTGTATCAAACCCAATGAAGCCAAGCAGGCGTGGGCATTCGAGCCAAACATGGTTCTCTCTCAGCTTCGTGCATGTGGTGTATTAGAAACAATCCGTATCAGTTGTGCAGGATACCCATCTCGCTGGACATTCGCAGATTTTGCAGACAGGTAATTTGTTTTTGCTTGACGCGAAATAACAATAACAATAACAATAGCAATATGTATGTGCTGGCTAAGAAGCCAATAAATTAACTGGTTGTATATACAAATAGATATTATGCTCTCGTAAATTCATCTCATTGGGATCCTGCCACCAAACCAGATATTCGTAAACTGTGCAGCGTAATTTTAGATACCCACATCAAAGACAAGGATAAATACCAAGTTGGTCTCACCAAGATTTTCTTCCGTGCTGGACAGGTAAGAAAAAAATATAGATAAATATTCTACACATTTCAAGACGGTCAAAAAATAATAATAATATTCAATCCACGTATAAATTATGCATATACTTTGGTGTAGTTGGCATATATGGAAAAGTTGAGATCAGATCGATGGAACGCATGCGCAACGTTGGTACAGAAGAATGCCAGAAGATTTATTGCCCGCATCCAATATCTTCGTACCAAGGAGTTTATACTCAAGCTCCAACAACTCGCACGCCAAAAGGTTGCTGCCCAGAATCTGATTACCTTGCGTAAAGAAAAGGCTGTAGTAGTGCTTCAAAAGTACTGGCGTGGTCACTTGGCTCGAGTGAAGCATAAGAGACAACTTGCATTTGTAGTTCAGCTCCAGGCCTGTAAGTTTCTTATACTTTTCACGTATATATATATATATATATTACATATCATTTTCACACTCTAATAACCATAACTTTCTTTTTTCTCTTTTTCTTTTTGGGCTTTCAGCTGTCAGAGCTTTGGTGGCCAGGAAAAGGTTTGCATTGATCCGTGAACACAATGCAGCCACAACTATTCAGCGCATGCTTCGTGGATGGTAAAGTATCAATAATAAGCCTACGCCCCAAAAATAATAGCAATAACAATAACAATAACAATAATGATTACAATTACAATTATAATTACAAAGGCGTAAATCTCACACTTCACACTGTTGATCTATATCTATCTTATTTTTGTGCGTGTGAAATCTAACCAAAAAAAAACAGGGTTGTACGCAAGAAATACCAAGCTCGACGTAACCATGTGATTTCTATTCAGGCGTGTGTCCGTCGCCGAATGGCTCGTAAACAACTTGCAGAAATCCGCGCTGAGGCTCGTTCAGTGAGCCACTTCAAGGAGGTGTCCTATAAGCTCGAGCACAAGGTGAACGAGCTGACCCAGAGTCTGAACCATCAAAAGGAAGAAAAGACGATGCTCAAGACCAAGACTACGGCGCTTGAAGCACGTGTCAAGGCATGGATCGAGCAATATGACATCCTGGGCTCGAAAGCCAAGGACCTCGAGAATGTGGTTGGCAAGCCGAGCGATGTCGATAGCCAGTGGGCAGCTCTCCAACAGGAACGCGAGCGTCTTCAGCAGGATTATACAAACTCTCTTCAGAAGATCAAGGGGCAGGATCAGGCTATTGCTCAGCTTAGTCAGGAACTCATCCGCCAAAAACAGGAAGTGGCCAAGCTTAAACAAGTTTCAGAAACAGTGGTCCAAACTGGTCAGGCACCAGATGTCACGGTTTTGAAACAACAAATCGCTGCTCTCCGATCTCAGCTTTCATCTACGTTGCACCACAGCCAGCCTTCTCAGAAGACACGATCTCAGTCGACTACCAGTACTCCCCTTTCGACAGCCAACCGACATAATGATATTTCTGCTGGTGGTGGAGATTTAGCCGTCAACCAGCTGCGAGTTGGAGAGGTTGCAAAGCCAAGGGATCAAAAGTGGGAGTTTATGGATGAAGAGGGCTTCTTACAGGATATGTTGGACGCACTTGTCACCAAACTTGCTATTCCGTTTGATGGCCAAACCAAGGAGCGCAAGGAAATTGTATTCCCTGCCCATTGCATTGGTCAATATATCATACAACATTTGGCATTTGATAGACTTGCAGCCGAACGTTTACTAGATTCCATCGTTGAGACCATTCAGAAGCATTGTCTGGTAAAGAAGATAATCCTACTACTTGCTCCCCCTTGGTTTTTTTTTTATATATTTGGTTCTTAATGCTAACTTTGTCTGTTTGTTTGTGGAAATATTAAATCTTTGTAGGGTCTTCATGATGAGGAAGCTACAATAGCATGTGCCTTTTGGTTGACAAATATCCAAGAACTTGTGTGCATCCTGGGAAACAATGCGCAGTCTGATTCTGCCGAGATCGCTGTGAACCAGCAAAGTACGGTCAAAATCAACGCAAAGTTAGCGTTGGCCCAGTCCAAGATCTATGGACATATTTCCCGTGAGAGTAAACGCAAGGTATCAAGAATGGTCTCGGCTGTTGTCGAGAACCAATCGTTGCCTGGATTTATTACCCCTGACACCGGTCGTGCCAAGAGCTCGATGGACGATTTGACATCTGTGCTGACAAAGTTGGATCGTACATTGGTGTGCTTCCAAGTTGATAACTTTGTGGTTGAGCAACTCTTCATGGAAGTATTTAAATACATTGGAGTATGTGCATTTAATGACATGGTGATGCGCCGTGGATTCAACTCTTGGAAGAGAGGTAACGTATCATGACATTATTATTTTTTTTAAAAAAAAAGATAACCAAAGACACACACACACACATACACAGATAATTTTGACATATGTATTTATTTATTTTTCTGTGTACAAACAACCTTTTAGCTATGCAAATTCAATACAATGCCAATCGACTTGAAGAATGGTGCCGGTCTCACCAACACACCGATTGTACACTTCCTTTGGAACATGTATCCCAAGCTGCTAAATTACTCCAATTGAAGAAAACTACTCAGGAGGATATTCGAATCATTTTTGATGTCTGTTGGATTCTTTCACCTATCCAAGTCCAGAAACTTATTCAACAATACAGCGTGGCAGACTATGAGGTATGAAATGTGCATATATATATATATATATTGTGTTTTTGAAGAATAAGAAAAAAAAGAAGAAAAATTGTTCAGGATTGTAAACATTTGATTTTTGTGAATTCAACCTTTGTACCCATGCATATAAAAGGATCCTATTGGCCATGACATCCTTAAGACTGTGGCGTCCCGTGTTAGTAGCGGGGAAACACTTTTATTAGATCCGGTCTCATTGGACGAGAGTCAATTTGAGGCACCAGAACCCCGTCAGCAAGCGATTGACACGTATTTGCCTGCCTTTGTAAGTGAAAATACACACGCCCGAGGAGTCTTACTTTCTAACAAATTTATTAATTTAAATAAATTAAACAGTTGCAAGGTCATCGTATTGAGCAGCTCATGACAACCAAATCTACTTAGAAGAAAAGAACAAATAGAGAAAGAAACTAAAGAGGAACATAGCAAACAATCACAGGCAAAGGACACAGACCAAAATGTATATGAAAAACAGCAAACAAAAAAAAAGTGAATAAGAAAAATGCCTTGCGTGGGAGGAGGAGGAAGAGGTTTTCTATTTTATTTTTATTTTATCATAATTCTCATCAAATTTCCCTCTCTCTCTCTCTCTCTCTCTCTTTCTCTCTCTCCATCGTCACCTTCATCTCCTCTCATAACTTCACCTTCACCTTACCATTACCCTTACTTTTTACCCATTCTATCCTCCATTTCCCTTTTTCTTTTTATTTTCATTTTCTCTCTTTATTTTGACTATAATAAATAATAAATATATTTACATTTATGACCTCTTTACCATTCTTGCCTTAATTTAGAGTATTGATGATCTTCCTCTGTTGTTAAATTTGATACACATTTTCAGCCATTATTCTTCCTTTTATGTGGACATTTTACGATTTACGATTTACCGTTTGCCAGTTCTGTAACACCCCCCGATGCAACCACTACCGTTGGCTGGATTATTCTTTTCCAGGGGTGGAGTCTGATCTTCATGTCTACCTAATTTCAGCTTTTTTTTTCTATTATTTTCTCAGCATTACTCCGTGTCATATAACTTATTCCCACTCAGGTTTCAATACTCGACTCTAACATATTACCTCAGGAATCTCAAATATACCTACATCTACTCCCTTGGGTTTCTTCACTCTTCCTCTCCCATCCAGCAAGGCTATTCGGAATTTCATTTGGTCCAGCTTGAGATTCTGAGCTGCCATACCTCTTTCTTTCTCTCTCTTTTTTTTTCCTGCAAGCAACGGCCGGCGCAGTGGCGTGAATTATATGGAACACTCCGATCCCGTACAAACCCTAATCTAGTAGAGACTCATGCTCCAGAAGACTACCATGTCAACACGGACTTTGCGAGCACAGAAGTTGGAAGCATCAGTGACCATTAACTGTGCTCTTTCTGTGAATTTGCATAATGCGACACCTTGTATGTTAATTGGTTGCATATCTTGAGTACCATATATATAAATATATATGTGGGTTAAGGTTTATCGCGATTTTATCTTGCTTATATAAAGAATACGGACTACAGGTAGAGATATTCCAATAACAACAATAAATATAGATAAAAGTAAATAATTGAAAATGATAGCTAAGCGAGGGGGTGCAACTATAAACAATTATCTATATAAAATATAAATATAAATATTACAGGAGTGCGAGGCAATTGTAAAGATTTAATAGGGAGGAGGATAAAATAAAATAAAATAAAATAAAATAGAAGACAGTAAATGCTATATTTGGAGTGCCGTGAGACTGCGTTTATAAACACCTTTCCCCACTCGCCACAAACCCTTTCTTTTACTCCTCTTTTCCCTTCTTTTATCTTTATATCTTTTTTGTTATTAAGCCCTACATGTCCGGTCCACTACCTCAAGGTAAATTTAATAGCACGCCAGATAACCCATAGCAACACAGCTCAGAAAAGATACCTTACAATTCAACAATCAATTAAATTGTACCTTTTTTTTTTTTTGCTTTTTTGCTTTTATTATCCAATTATTATTATTATTATTATTATTATTAATACATACATAATAAATTAAAATTTATCCACTGTATATCTATCTATCTATATTAAATAGGATGGGAAGCCCGACAAACTCCCGAAGGCAGATAGTAAGAGATTAACTAGAATTAACTAGAATGCCAAGAAATTATTATTAGTAGTGGTAGTATGTAGATGGTATGAGCGACTGTCTAAAGAAACCTCTGTCTCTCTTGTTTGTGCTCTTGTTTTCTAGCTACTACATTGACCACAACACACAAAAGACCAGCTGGGAAGACCCACGTAACAACAGTGGATATGGCGGATACGGTGCCCCACCTTCTGCACCTCAGCAACCAGCCTATGGTGGCTACGGTCAGCCTCCTGCACCACCTCAACAACAACAACAACAACAACAACAGCCTTATGGTGGATACGGCCAACCTCCTGCGCCACCTCAGCAGCAACCTTATGGTGGCTATGGTAGTCCCCAGCAACCTTCATATCCTCCTCAGCAACCTTCATATCCTCCTCAGCAGCCATCATATCCTCCTCAGCAGCCATCATACCCTCCTCAGCAGCCATCCTATCCCCCTCAGCCATCCTATAACGGCGGCGGCGGTCATTCTCCTCAACCACCTTATGGGGCACCACCTGGCCCACCTTCTGGATCACCTTATGGTGGTAGCGGCTACGGCACTCCTCCAGCTCCTCCCAACAGACAAGCCTATGGCTCCCCTGGTGGCTATGGCGCACCACCCGGTCCTCCAGGTCCTCCAGGTCCTCCTGGACAGAGCCAGTCGTATGGTGGATACGGTTCTCCCCAATCCCAGCCACCTAACCAGCCCAACCGTGGAAACAACGGCTATCCTCCTCCACCTACTCAGGGTGAGAGCGGTGGATATGGCGGCGCACCTAGATATGGTCAGAGTCCTTACGGCGCCCCACCCCAGCAAGGCCCTGGCGGGGGATACCCTCGACCTCCCGGTGTTGGAGGAGCACCCGTGCCACCCACAGCATCAAAACCCGGTATGTCTACGGCCACAAAGGTGGTTGCTGGTGCTGCAGCTGTAGGTCTGGCTGGATTTGCTATCAGCGAATTTGTCGGTCACGAAAACGATCAGAACGAACGTATGGATCGTCTTGAGCAAGAGCAGCGTCAACAGGAGCACATGAGTAAGTGCATTTCTTTTCTCTTCTTTTCTTTTCTTTGTGTGTGTATATATATATATGACGTGGAATACAAACTTAACTACCCATAAACTTATTTAATTTATTTTTTAATAGACCAAGGTTATGGCGGAGGTGGAGGTGGAGGATATGGAGGTGGAGGAGAGTATGGTGCTCCTCCTCCTCCTCCTCCTGCAAGTGGTGGATATGGATATGACAACGGAGGATACGATAACGGTGGAGGAGATGGTGGTACTACTACTACTGTTATCAAGGAAGATGGCGGATGGTTTGGCCATGACAAAGAAACCATTGTTACTACAGGTAAAGATGAATCCAATACGCGCCTATGCTCTTTGTGTATATATATATATATATATATTTGTGTATTGCTGTGCGTGGGAAAGTGATTATTGCAAATGTGGTTGCTGATAATTGGATACATATAAATACACGCATATATTAATATACAATATATATAATCTTACTGCTTGGTAGATCAATATGGAGACCAAACTATTGTTCAAAAGGATGACGGATGGTTCCGCGATGAGACTACAGGTTAGATTATCTATCTATAAATTCATCAAATTAAAGTTGTGATTGGATTATGTGCTTAATATCCCTTTTTATTATATTTATTTAGTTACGGAAACCGATCGCTATGGCAATACCACTGTTACTGTAAGTCAAAACAACGTGTACTTCTTTAGCACACCTAATAACTAACATTAAATACGTCTGTCTATGTACATATGTATATTTGGAATTTTATAGGAGGATACCGATTGGTTCTAAACCATGTTTGTTTGATACATTTTTCCTTTCTTTTCTTTTCTTTTTTTTTTTGGTTATTTTAAATAAATCTTTTTATGTATATTGATGACTTGGTCCAGGGAAGAAGAAGAATTTAAAAGGGACATAAATGTATAGATAAGTTAACTGTGGTTTCTGGTGATGGTTTTGCCTTTTTTTTTTTTGCTTTAAACAAAAAAAAATTAAAAAGAAGTATTATATTTTGAAAGGTAAATATGTAAATGTGTTTGTGTGAATAGATGGATAAATGGATGGAATGGATGATTAAGTTTAGGTTGAGCTAATGAAGTATGTAAGGTAAGTTGTAAAAGGAGAAAGGGAAGGCTGATTTCTTTTTCAGTTTTCAGCTTTTAGCTTTTAGTTTTTAGTTTTATGCTTGGCGTTGGTCGATCTTTTGTTCAAGGTAATCCAGTCGCTTCATGAGCTCGAACATGCTCTCTGATGGTTCTATCCGCTCTTCCCGTTCAGCAATTACTTCTTTTAGAGGCGAACTTCGGACCCGTTGTTCAAGAGCCATGACTCGCTCTCGACATTCTTCTACTTGATCCTTAAATGAGATGGTCTGATAGTAGTCTTGGACCTGTCGTCGTACTAGACTCTCTACAGTTGAGGCGGATGGCAAACCCTGCAACAGGGTAGCCGAGCGGCGGATCTGATCGTCTAGGGTGGTCTTGAGTACCTTTGTTTGTTCAAGTGTGTCGTGTAAGAGCTCAAATGGCTGGAGAAACTGCTGTTTCGCGGTTAGTTTGGTTGAAGGATATGACATGCTTGTTGCTGTGGATGGTGTTCCTATAGTGGGACGTAGCCGAGCAGAAGCAGGGTGTAGTAATCGTGCAGTTGATGGTTGTGTAGGTGGTTGTTGCTGTGATTGTGATTGTGGTTGTGATTGTGATTGTGATTGAACTTGAGGTTGGGGTGTTGGTGGTTGCTGGGAGGGTACGATAGGTGGACTAGGAAAATCGGCTCCAATAGCACTGGATTGCTGTTGTGGCCATGGTGCAGTCGATGCAGCAGCTGTAGAAGGATGTGGAGGTGTCTTTTGGGTTAGTTTTCGTTTGCGTTGTTCGGTCAAGAGATGATGCGGGGTGGTGGGGTGAGCACGAAGGGGCGCAGAGTGAATGGCGGTGTTGGTTTGGTCATACGAAGGCGTGAAGATCATTAGATTTGGGGCTTTCTGACCGTGTTTTGGAGCAAGTCTTTTCAAGAGGAGGTTTGATGGTTTCGGGAGGGTGTTTGAGAATACAGATGAGGAGGGGTGCTCTTCCGTGTCTTGGAGGGCAAGATGGCGTCGTTTGGTGGGGTGGTCTGACTGAGATAATGTTGATTTTGATGTTGATGTTGATGCTGATGATGATAGTGCTGCTGGTGATGATGACAGGCGACTATAGGTCAAATAAGGAAAAAAAGGAGTGGGTAATACCCACCACGATGAGTCAAATGGCACACAAAATATAGCCCTCAATGGGTAAAGCTCAAAGATCGCCCGACTTCCCAATCCTTTTTTAACACTGGCTAATGTAGTACCAGTCAAACACCCGCAAACAATGAATCTCACAATAAAACACACACCAAAAAAGCAATTTCTAATACTTTTTGATATTTATATTTATATTTATAGAATTAACATAATTAACATAATAATTACCTTTCAACAGTAGGGTTAAATGGCAATTCGCGTGGTTTGAGGTGGGGATCTGAGGGTGGTGAGAGTCGGATGACAGGTGATTGAACCTCGATCATCTTGGCCCCTAGATGCCGAGACACAAAGAAGGACTCGTGCCCGTCTAAACGCATTGGGGCAAACATCGTCTCGACCACAACAGGTGATTGGGGGTGCAGTCCTGGAATAGACTTGAGAAGTGACTGAGTTGTCTCGGTTGACCAGTGCTGCTGGTCTTGACGGCAGAGGTCGGCGAGGAGAGGCATATGTAGTTTTGTGGCTAGCTCTGCTACGGCAGTTGCCATGAGATAGCTCTTTCCGGTCGAGTCCTTGCAGAAGTAGCTCGAATGTTCGCGATACAATTGAAGTAAGAGGTCGTTAAGATGAGATATGGAGTGAAAGAAGAGAGTGGTGAGGTCTTTGATGCAGAAAAAGTCGATGTTGTTGCTGTATTTGTCCATGCTGTGACGAACGCTTGATGTGGGTGGGGAGGTAAGTGGAGGAGTGAGTGGTGTACGGAATTGGTAAAGACAGAAAGTGGTAGGAGGAGTTCCGTATTCACCAAGGACTATAGTGTGAATCTTCATTGTGATATAAAGAAAGGTAAAGGTAAAGGTAATTAAAAAATAGCAGTAACAGAAGAAGAACAGAAAGAAGAAGCAAAAATCAAATAAAAGCAGATTTGATAATTATATTGGTTTCTCCTTTTATAAATCCATTTATATACAAGTACAATTACAAGTACAATTACAATTACAAATATAGATATAAAATATAATCGTATATTTCACTTGTGCCTTTGTGTCTCTCTATAAAATGCATTTAATATTTCAGGCTTATTTGGTTGCCTGCCACCACAAGTACAAACTTATCCTGTGTGCTTCCATCGGAGGACCAAATGAAAAATTGGTTATTAATGATCTCCTCTTCAAGTGTATAAATAAATAAATATAAAAATGAAATTACATGAGGACAGTGGTTAAACGTGGCAGATATTATATTATTTATTACAAGATCTTTAATTGTATTTTCTCGATTCATGGAATCCTAAATGCGCACCTACATAAATGGTAGTTAAAGAAGTACATTATCCAATTCAAATTTTTCTATTTTTGATCTATTTTTTTTTATTAAATTATATTACATTATATTTAAGAAATGAAGGCCCTATTAAATGTGCAGAAATAAATTTACTTTATGGTTTACTAGTACGAATCTCAAAATCCCATGATACTAGAAATATATATTAGAAAATGATTGTTTAAAAGTGAATCAGCACAGAAATCCAACGCAGAGTACCTTTAATAATAGTATTATTTTGCTAGTTACACGGTCACAGTACTGGGGCATTATAATTATGCTGGGTACACTATAGAAACAAAGAAGGTAGAATATCAACCGATAGACAATCCCCTCTTTGTTTAGCCTGTCTTTTGTCCAATTGCCATTAATATTAATATTACAATTATTGTTTTAATTTGATATTAGATATAGTACTCATATTCATATTCCTAGGCTTTGATAGAAGTATCACATTTATCAGAACAAAAAGGCCAATCGAAATACAGACTTTAGATCTACGTGCGTTTATATGAGCAAAATAACTTTCAAAACAATGCGTATTCTATCCAGTGAAATACCAATATATCTATATATTTTTAATAATTTTTCGGTTACTTCCGAGATTTCTGTTTTAGTTGGATCAATAAATAATTTTATTTCATTTTAATTTAATTTATATGTAATTTATATCATATTATTAATATAAATATAATAGTACCAAAAAAAAAAAGAAAGAAAACTCCATTTGTTCGGTTCATTTTTTTTTAACGTAATTTATTCTTAATGATCATCAAATTACGCTAAATAATATTTAAGTTACCGGCGTTGTCACAATAATACTTCTTGCCTCGGTTTAGTGCGATTCATTTCTCTTGTCATTCTGTCAATGACAATAAAAAAATAAAATAAGCCCTATTCCAGCCAAATTCAAATTCAAATTCAAATCTAATCGTAAAAATAAGAATTCATAAAATTGCTCTATTCATGGTCCTAAACCTATGCAAAACAAAATCTTGAGAAGAGGTTATTCTCGAACCAGTCGACCCGTTTCTTGCGGGTTTTACCAAATACGCGATCTACTTGGCGTGTGAGGGCAGTAACACTTAAAGCTGATACCAGACATTACTATATACAATTCCGCTCCAAAATATTTGGTTATAGACCCATCAGTATTTTTTATCAAATATATATGTCAAGTGATCTATGAAATGAGATACTGCGAGTCAATCATATTCATGCTTAAAGTATTTCTTCTCTTCACTTACAGGAGTCTGATATCTGAAAGTCTAGCTAGATTCTTTCTTAAACCTAATATGTTTCCTTTCACCAATTTATATTGGTCCGATACATTAAAATCCTCAGTAATCCAATCATCATCGTCGCTTTGTTTATATATCTTGAAGAAGAAAGTACTCTGTAATCCGTTGGGGCTTGTGGTCAAAAGTCAGATCAGATGAAAATTTAGGTCCTTCATCTTCTCTCTCTCTCTTTTAACTAAAAATAATTAAAGAAAATGGTTACTTTATTTTTCAAAAAGTTTCTTTACTTACAGTTTTGTGTGATTTTGAGTCTGACACTAATTCATCATAACATTCATCGTTACATTGTGATGTTAATGTTGTGGTAGTTGAGGATTTAAAAAAAACTTGTTTTTAAGAAAGCTTTGAAATGGAGGGGCGAAGATTCGTGAGAACTTGTGTAGGTTCTGTTTATTAGGGGTCATCATTCGTGAATAATCGTCGGTAATGAAAAAAAAAAAGACAAACTGGTTGTCTATAGCGGCATATTTTTTGTATTTCTCAAATTCTACCTCTTTGAAAAAGAAAAAGTTCACCTTTTTTTCGATTACCGACATTTATTCACGAATGATGACCCCTAATAAAAGATATTGGTTGTATCAAAATTTGACCAGGTTCCTACACTGAACTACTTACTGCTATTTATACTATTTTGGATTGGGAAAATTATATGACTAGGGCCAGGTAAACTGAAAATCTGAGTCCACAAACTGACTTCTCTAAAGTTGCTATGATTTTGGAATTTACGACAATTTTTTTTTCTAAAGTGAATGCTGTCATTTCCTACAGTGTTATTTCTGATTGGAAGACATTCTGTTCGGTCCGGACAACATAACTTTATTGGATCAACTGTATATATATATATATATATATATAACGAAAAGAAAAGAAAAGAAACGGGGAAAAGAATGTATTAGGGTTGAACTATGCGAAACACACGATACCATAGTGTGTAAAAAATGACAAAATTATTTATAGATATATAATTTATATATATAATTTTTATATATATATATATTAACATGACGGACGAGAACTGTAGGATTCAGATGTCTTGATTTGTTCGGTTGCTAGCGAAAGTCCTCTTCGTTTCTTAACCAATTTTGAAACTGTGCCCCACCCGATTGACGAAAGAGAAGACGAAGACGATCGACGAGAAGACGAGTGTGGATCTAGATAAACACCTTCTTGGTAGACACTTTGGTAATAATCACGGTCGTGGAATTCAAACGGAGACTGTGCTTCCCTCCGCTTAGTGTATTGCTCGACCTTTTGAAGGTCATAGTGAGTTCGTAATTTGTCAAGGAAACCCATGTAGTATAGAAGAAGCAAAGAAAGAAGCAAGAAAAAAAAAGAGAGAAAAGGATCAAAGAGGAGGGAAATGTCAGGCCAAAATGCTTTATTTTTATTTTGGTTTTTAGTTCCCTAAAAAAATAACAAGTCCGGAATAGGGAACAGGCAAGATCTTTTTTTTTTTTCAAAAAAATAATAATAGTCAATTCATCATCCCCTCGCTTATAACAAAACTCGCGTAAAGAGACGTCACAACGAAGTAGTGAAACATATATTAGTATCAATAATCAGTATGGAAACAGATAAAGAAGACTGACCGACTAGCTGACTAACTGATTGACTAACTGATTGAATGAATGAATGAATTAATAAATGAAATGAAATGAAATGAATAAATGATTGATTAGGAGGTTTACAAGTAACTCCAATCCTTGTTTGTATAGGAGCATACACTCTCACACACACTCATACTCACTCATACTCACAAAGGCACAGGCACAGGAACAGGCACAGGCACAGGCACAGGTGCACAAAGCCTACATTAATCGTTCCACAATTCAATAAAAATAAGAATAATGGTTTTTTTTAGAAATCAAGTGAAAATCTAGTTTAAACCATTTGACTGTACTTTTACCCATTTACCTCAATGTCCACAGCTATATATTTACATCTATATATATATCTATTCTTTCTTTCCTGTATTGGTTAAAGATATAATCAAAGTTTAAACAAGACCGTTAATATAGCCTAGTAGTGCAGTTGACGATATTAACTATAAGAAATAGATAAATAGAGATAAATAAAGATCAGCTTATTGAACTCTTTTCAGGGTTCAACAGCTTAATCTTGTCAGAATAAGTCTTGTGTTTAGATAAAGTAAATAAATAATAAAACACTGTGATGGAACATTCCTGCTCTTGATTTATTCTGCTTCTTCTTTATAGTCATTAAAAATAAATAAAGATTCAAGTAACAAAATAAGGCTATTACATACAAATGTTTCTATTGGTTATTTTTTTAGGCTATCAAATAGACAGACATCATGACCCAATGGCTAGACTCTTGCCATGATATAGAGGAAAAGAAAAGAGGAGGATAATGAGGAGGGGGGGGGGGGGGGGATAACAACGATGAATACAATCTTGTTTTGTTTGTTTATTTGTTGCCAACAGTAATAATTATACAATGGCTTCAATCATCAGGCCTCCTGTAAACACATCAGTAGCTTAATTGAATTGAAACCTGGCAATAATCATAACCATTACTGTGGACTCATCAATGCTTGTGTATAACTAGCACAATACCAAGAAGAAAAATAGTATATTCTCAGAACATTCATTACAAATCATATCATATTGTATTTCTTTAATTTTAGCTATTTATCTCCATGGTTTCCGAATAATGATGAAATCTTTGGAAGGTTTGGTGAAGCACAAGGAAAACTTAGCTCTCTTATTTTAGTGCCTTTTTTTTTATTAGTATTTAGTTTAAATACCCAAAATAAATAGTCTTTCAAATGAACTACATCATCTACATATAACTTTTGATTTGTTGGTTCCATCTCAATGCAACTCTAAAACACAATTTTCGATACACTCTTGACTTATTGACTTGACCAAAACATCGAGTAAAATTGCACAATGTTTGCAGTGTGTATACATATATATACATACTTACATACGTACATACATACGTACATACATCAAGTATCAGGTGACTAACGACATCTTCTTCGGCATAAGATCACCGATTTGTTACACCAGCAAGCGATCGAAGAAGCACCTCCCAACTAACCGGGATTCACCAGCCCCATGTTCATAATTTCTCGAGCACCAGATAAGTTCCATTGATCGGTCTTTCACCTGCAAAAAAAAACAAGAAAGCAAGCGAGCAGGCAAGCAGACAAGCAGGCAAGCAAACAAGCAAACAAGCTCATCTCTACCCCTACATTTCAAAAATATTTTTTTCTCTCTCTAAAAAAAGGAAGTCTACAAGCTGAACCAAATATACAGTTACTTGGTCTCCAACTACATCTCGGGTACTTACTTGTATGTATGTATGTGCGTGTGTATAAATATACCTTTGGTCTGCAAAGCCCCGCAAGAGCCTTCGATGCTCTCGATTGGAAGACTCAGATTACCAGGTACGTAATACACAATACTTATTTATGGCCTATATCCGCCGTTGATGTGGCTATTCACAGAAAGTGGTATTTTACTTCCATTCCCTTCCCTTATTTGATTTTTGATTTTGAATCCCAAGTCGGGAATCCGGGTTAGTACTTACTTGGATGTCTATGAATAAAAATAAAAGTAAGAATGTCCGGGTAGATATGAAATGCGAAAACAAAGAGGCCTTTTTTTTTCAACTGTTTCAATAACTGGAACACCTTGGTTACCCTTTAGAATACCAAGGAGATCACTACCAACATTTTAGGCCGTAAAACATGTAATATACACCCTTTTGTTCGTCAACTTGTATAGATATAGATATAAATATAGATATTTATATATAACAACCCCCTCACCTGCCTTCTCTTCTTCTCCCTTTCAATTAGTACACAGTACAACAATCTGTATCCAAGCCATTACAGTCGCCTTTTTCTTTTTTTCTCTTTTTTTTTCCCTAACCCAACTCTATAAACAGCACCTAGAGTAATTCCAGAACACGCACGTGAAATTAAACCAGGGATCTAATTACTCTACAGCCTATATTCTCCTGCATGTAAAAAGAAAAGAAAAATAACTTACAATGGTGGGAGCGTAAAAGATCGCCAAATGCAGTTACCGATCTCTGCTATGGCAACAAAGCATGCGTGTGGTCCTGCTGGTTGGTGTGAGCAGTGCTCACCGAGCAACATATACCTTGGCAAGATTAGGATCTTCTTTATGGGCTGTATAAACTGCCAAGATAAATAATATACACCCGTCAATTGTCTCATAATGAACTCAGTTATTTTAAAATAAATAATCTTGCATAAACTTTCTTTCCCACCGATACTGAACACGATGATACTCATTTGCACATTTAGCCTCACTTTTTTCTTTCTTTTTATAAATCAAGCAAGGCGGATCCAACGTAATTTCATCTAAAGAAAACAAAAAGTGATCGCTGATATGTGCATACTATGTTTAATTCGAGACTTCAGATGAACAACCTTCCAACATATTAATGAGAAGGAAAATACTGATGAATTTCAAGCTCTGGTAAAATTCTTATCAAGAACTTCTGGAAGCACTTTTTTTTCTATCCTGCATTTCACATCTATCCAGAAACTCTAGGACTCTTCCCCCCCTCCTTAATTCATTAATCTGTAGACAGTATAACACAGTTGATTTCTCCTGGACTACAAGTCATGAACTGCCCCGACCAACTGGTAGCTGTAGCCAACGCATTTCATACCAATTCAGGTCAAAAGGCAAAACTGTTACTCAAACTTATGTACATACACACACACATGCATTCTAGAATATTATGATCCAAAATCTTTACAAAATTTGGCAAACAGGATTTGACAATCACATCAATTGCGCCAAAGTGTGTTTTTTTTTCTGTTCAAATTCTGCTCAAGGTCAATACAGTTTCATTACTAGCCATGTCATCAAATAAGAAAAAAACAACAACAGAAGCATAATAATAGCATCGAAAATGTCGTCTCGGTTTATTAAAAGAGTACAGTTTAATAGAAAAAAACTGGGCGAGCCAAGTCTAAAAGGTTACTATGCTGTTTCTTTATTAAATAAATAAACAAATCCCAGTAACAAATTAATCGATATATTGACAAAAAGATTCCCGGGAAATATATACATATCTTTCTGCCTTTCTATACTATTTACCCTTTATCTAAAAGATAAAGTGTATTAACGTGGAAAACATTTTGTCTGTTGTTTAGGCCTCGCAATACACTGATTCTGCGACAGAACTTTCAGCTCACTCCTTGTTATTCAGGGTCCATTCTAGAAACTATAAAATCACATTTGTACAACAACCCTGAAGTTTCATTTTAAACTTTTTTTTTGTTTGATTTATTAAAAATAAAATAGAGTAAAAATAAAACCATGGCTCTATCGACGCATTATTTGCCCGCTTTGTACAATTTTGTCTTCTTTTTTCTTTTCTTTTTTGTTAGACGGGATCAAGCCAAAGATAATGCTAATACTAATAATATTGGTAATCGTCTTTACCCTAAAATTAGTGATTATAACACCTTCAACCTCAAGTACAGTCCTGTCTACACTTTCTAAAGCAAGATGTTTCATACTGTATCCGAAATCTTATTTTATTTTTGTTCATCAGACCTGAGAATGCTGCCCTGAATTTTATACCATTCAGTTTCTAACTTTTAATTATTATTATTTTTATTTTATTTTTTTGGTAGGAGGATACTGCTTAATGTAAGCCTTTTGGCAAGCCACAAAGAACTACATTGAACGATCGATATATTTATGTTGGGAGATCCACAGCAGTATGTGTAAATTTGGATAGTTGATGGGTGGCCTAAAGTCTATCTAAATCTACACATGCTGCTGTGGATACCCTTCATGTTCGTACAGCATGTTTTAATCTGTTTCTTAATATATATATATATATATATATACATATATGTGTCCACACTGGCTTTATTTCCTAATCAAAGATTTGGTAACGTAGGAATCTTGGGATGTCCATACGTATCATTAAATCGCAGACCTTTAGACTACTATTCTTCGTAAATAATGATAATAATAATTTGACAAGATGGCCACAACCAACCAACAAGTTTACTTCAAGAAGAAACTAAGGTTGGTACTTTTAACAAAGAAGCATCTGAATATAATTCCAATGTCCTCAGAACAAGTATTTGCCTTACCCTACACTATATATATATATATATATATATATTTGTTAGAGGCCAATAATACACCATTAAAGAAGTTTAGTGGCTGACTACCACTTTGCTATTGATAAAAAGGAAACAAAATAAAGTCAAACATGAAAACGACAACTTGGAATAGTTGATTAACTGCATTGTAATGGTAATGGAGGTAATGGTTAGTAAAAGCAAATGATCAATATATATAAATAAATAAATATATTCATTTTCATTTTGTTTAATTATGTATATATTTTATATTATATATAATTTGAACTTTGAACGCTTTTTTTTGATGAAAAATACCAATAAAGATATTGCAGTAGATTTCTTTATAATAAAAAAAGACGCCACGGTTATTCTTGGATAATTCTAGTTAAGAGATTGCCGGCTTAAAAGCGACTTGGTCTCTTATGAGGTAAAAAGAATTCCGAAAAATATGTAAAGAAAAAAAACGTAGGTCGTTTGAACAGCAAGCAAACCTTTATAGTTTTTGATTTTTTTTTATCTGTGTCGGAGTACTAATAACTACTCGAAGACCAAAAGCAGTCACTGTAACGACAAAAAAGCGGTAAAATATGACGTAGTCATATGCGTTGCTTTAAAAATATTTAAATTACGCTAGATTCTCTTCGCCGTCTCTTTATCTGTATCCATAGCAACATATCAACAAACATCATGATCATCCTAATTTGTCTAATTTTACTTAACAGTCCAAGTTTGAGAGCATATTAAGAAAAGAACGATGTTTGCTTAATCAAGAGCCCTCGTCATATTGGTCTATGCTATTGGGAATTGACATCAAATCCCTTTTTCATAGAATTTGATTAGAAATACTATTCTATTCCATGTCGGCCGAGAAGTACCCGGCTCCCTAAGTGTGTGTGTGGTTTATTACTTCTTTGAAACTAGAACTATTACTGTTCATAATCCAATAAGATACTCTCCATAGATTCCCTATGAAGTTGAGGTCTGGGACTATTGAACTGCCATATCATTTACTGGAAAGTTCTGGTCCTTTAACCACTCTTCTGCTAACGTGAACTTATGACAGGTAGTAGTGTATTCTTCATGGTCATTCCCCATTATTTCCCCTGCTGGTGACACTAAAAAATAAAAGAGGTTTCATTCTTATCAAATCTATGTATGCATATTGGTCAAATACGTTTATTTGTTTATGTTCTTGTAGTCTTCAAAGGGCTAATCCATTTTGTCTACCACACACAGGCAAACACAATACCAAACCATGAGAGAATTCCCGTCACAATTTTAACCCTGGTCTGATACAATCATCCACTCTGTAAATAAATTTCTTTAGGATATTGAACAGTGATAGGAGCCCAGTTCAGCAGAGGATTAGATTTGGTTAATACTAGGATTTTATAGCTGCTTTGTATTCCGGCTTACTAGCTGACCAGCAAAAAAAAAGATGAAACTTGGTTCACAGCTAATCGGCAAGGTGGACTTCATCTACTGGTGTTTTGGTAGTTTGTATCGCTAATTTCAGTAAATTTACAAGTAGTTAAGAAAGAAAACAATAACAATCCTTCCTTGCCCCTTTTTATTTTCTTGCCACTGAATTGGACATTTATACCACATAAAATCAATCCAAAATGTGTCACTGCAAGTTAGATTTAAGTATGTCGTAGTTGAATCATAAAGATTGCAAGCGTGGTTTAAGAAACTGTTGTGTATATAGCTATAGGTACATATTTAATTGATACCAGGACTATAAAAGATTCATAATGAGAGGCTAGTCTTTAAGTAGCGTGTTTAAAAATAAACAAGTTATGAAAGAGCTTAACAGGAAGTAACAGCGTCTTTTGAATATATGTATGGTACAATCATTTGACATTTTTGCTACGATCCGGTTAAATGCATAGGCCTGGAATAAGCGGATAGAAGCCCAAATTGAAGTGAGTGCATCCCGAGACCACGTGCTTGTAAAAAGAAAAAAAGGAAAAAAAGGAAAAGGTTTTTCTTCTTTATTTCTTATTTCTACTGGAAGATAATACGATCCAAACTCAAATTGGGTGGAGGGAGCCATTGGAACCATGAGAAAAAGAAAATTGTTAGAGTAACAATATAGCAGTGTACATCAGAAGAAGTAAAGAAGCCAAGAAGAGAAAATGGCGTAGAGGGAAGAGGGGTTTGACCGAAACATTGAGAGGAACATCTACTGTCAAACTGTCATGATTTTTACGGTATAAATGATAGAAAGAAGGAGTGAGAAAACATAGAGAAGAAGTGCAGTCATAGTGGCAAGCTATTCATACAGTAAAAAAAAATGTCAATATTGATATACACACATGTACAATATGACCAGGTATAGTAACAATGTCTTTAGAGAATGACAAGCAACATACCATATGTAAGCCAGCAAAGAGAAATAAATTACTGCAGACACTTGGCATTTGTCATCCTCCATCCAAAAATTCATCATGGATTTCGCAATACGCTTTCTCTTTTTTGTGCCAAATACGTAAGGGTTATTACAGAATCTGCTGATTTCAGAGGCACGTTGCAACATCCTTTCTTATAGCGCGACATCATGATGAACTTAAAGCAATAAACCCAAGTTGGCTGCGCATAAATAAGCCCTAAAGATTTGTTATGTCCGACGGAACCACCTACCCCTCCTCTCCCTTCTCATCATACAGGTCTTTCCTTGGTTAGATCAGCCCAGGTCATCTATATATATGCTGTATATTTAATTATATACTAGATATTACAGCTTAATGGATCAACAAACTCGTCAGCGTTTGATAATATAACCCATGCAGTGTTTTTATAAAGTTCTGTTGCTGTTGTAACCATGAGTTCAGATGTAAATAAAGAGAGATGCTGTTGCGAATAGAAACCGTGTCAATTTTGCTTCTTATTTCTAAAAAAAAAAAAAAAGTAGGTCTATATCTTGACATGAGATGAGCCAGCCAATAAAAATGATTAAAAATATATCACGTGAGAATTACCAATACACTGTCTTTTTGTTAACCAATTAGAATTTGATCCGTCTGTGTAGCCTTTTTGGTTGACATTCATCACTTTCTCCATGGTTTCTTGAACTGACTTGGATCACAGTCAAAGAAAAGACCGAGAGCTCTTTTATATATATATTTATATATAACAGGAAATATGTAATATATATAGATATCTACAATTATACAAAATATATGTATATGCATATATTCATATATTTATATATATAATTATCTTAAAATCGAAAATCTAGAAAATAATACCTATAATGTAATAAATATGTAATAAAGGTACCTTTATGACGACAGAAATACGATATAAGATATTCTAGAGATGCTATACATTATACAGCCACATGGTTACATAAGCATGGCCCGTGCACTAGTAACAAGAATACTAGCAGTAGCAATAATAATATAGATTATTCTTATAACACACACACACATATATATAGTATGATTTTTAAATAAAGTTCAATAGATTAATATTGGTATTGGTATTGGTATTTGAGTACAAGTAGGAGTAGTGAAAATGATAAGAAGACGCAGTGTATTTTTTTTGTCTTTTTGATAAGATCATAAGAAATACATTCTTTCAAATCTCTTGTGGTCTCCTGTGTTTGGTCATTGTGTTTTAAGATAGAAATATCTATAGGGTTAGTTAGTATCTTTGGATTCGGAATATCTTGAATAAAATGGATAGATTGTGTTTGCCATAGGTCCCATGAAATCCACCGTTTCTTCTTCTTCTTCTTCTTAATTTCTTGTGCGTATCTTGTGTGTCTTTGAGGTATTTTTTAGATGTTGGATATCCTAATAAATTTGATCCAATTTTTTGCTCTTAAAAGAAAATAATAATACACATATATATATATATATATATATATATATATATATATGGGTGTGTATGATGGGTATGTGGGCTGGTGTTTGTTTATAAACTCTGTGTGAGCCTAACGAAAATGTGATACCTAAGATGTGTAGCCAGACCTTTGGGACACTGTGTAAAATATATATATAAATAAAGATTCTCGTGCTTTGGTTTTACTTGTACATGATACTTTATTTTAGAGAATATAGAGCATGAATTTTTACACGAATTCCTATTTGTTATTCATTATATTACACATTGTGCGCACATCTTGAAACTTTTTTTTTTCAAAAAGAAGAATCTCATCTGTCTTTTTCTTTTTCTTTTTTGATAATTAAATATCATGTCACCTATTATAGAGCTTTCTTCTTCTAGACTCTCGGCCAAAGGTTCTGGAGTTGGGCTGAGAAAAGGGTCTAGTTGCAGCCTTTTATATATATGAGCACATAATGATATCTTAAGATCAGGCCAAAAATACATGGACAGCCAAAATTTATGAAAGCTAGACCAAATTGTCTTCCCAAAAAGCTTAATGTTCCTGAGATGGGACTAAAATAAAAAAAAACTGTGGGTATGACATGTACAGACTGCTCACAGCCCAATTCAGTAATTAAATAAGGAATAACAATAATAAGAAATACTATTAGCTTTATAGGGTTCTGGGTAAATCATTTCGGATTATTATCATTTTTTTCTCTGTATACTTATATTTGGTCACTGAACCAAATTACGGGGGAGGTATTGCCCCATCAAGTCTGTTAGGGTTCTTTACTGTCTTTTTTTATTTTTTTTATTCTTTTGACAAGTGAGATTTGATTAAATCAAAAAATCATATTCCAAAAATAAATCACACACTCAGAGAGAGAAAGAGAGAAAGAGAGAAAGAGAGAAGAATACTGCAGAAAACGCATGCACCCCAATTGTCCCAGTATAGAAGACACTTGTAATTATAATTATTATAGCTGTATATTTGTTGTTGTTTTAAAAATAACTACAAGTCGTACATTATTTGAACCATTCATTGTGAGAAATATATATACCAAAAATAACGTGACATATCATATCATAGCATAACATAGTATAGCATAGTATAGCATAGCATAGAGTAACATATTATAGCTTAAAGTAACATTGAATAAGAAAGGGAAATAGAGAATAAAGTAACAAAACTTAAGATTATCCCGGTGCCTCGTTCTGTGCATTTACCATCCCCTTGGTCTTGGTTCTTGTCCTATTGTTACAATAAAAAAAATGTAAAAAAAGCCAAATATGGATTGTGGATTTTTTTTTAAAAAAATAAATAAATAAAAGTAATAAATATATAGATAGATATCGGTTTTGTCTTTGTGTCTTTGTGTGTGTGTAATATGAAATAAAGAACAAATTGGGTATGTACATTTTGTTTTGTGTGAGAAAGATCAATATAAGATAGATCCAGTCCAGTCCAGCCCAATACAGTCCAGTCCAGTACTGTACTATACTGTACTGTACTCTGCTGCCTAGTCTAATTTTATCTTGTCTTGTGCTTGTGCTTGTCCAGTTATGTCCTGTCCTGTATTTAAGATTCTTGGTCGTCTGAAAGAACATGCTCGATCGGGATGCGCGTAAAGGTATTTCTTTTAGGATTAGTGGATGTTACAGGGTCGGTGATAAAGTCAACCGCCATCTGGCTGTCGCTTTCCTTTCTGCTATTCGTGCCCTGGTTTTTATCTTCCGCATCGTAATGTCCGTCAGCCACACGTTTTGAATGTCCGACTTTTCTTATGGCAATTTGTATTCCCTGTTTGGCAAATGCCCTGGAAAGACGGGTGGATTCTAGAAGCGTACGAACATGGCACAACAGATGCAGAAAAAGATAATAAGATATATGTATATATATATATATGTGTGTGTATGTGTGTATGTATAATTAAGTATTATATAAACTTTAAATATAACAATAGAAAGTCTTAACAGTAATGGGAATGGTACTTTGTTGCTATGACTACGATTGCTAGTCCTATCATTCTATTACTTTATTTATCTTTATATACATATACATATACATAGAGTATTATTATTGGTAGGAGTAGAAGTATGGATATTTACCTGTCATACCAGGGAACTGAAAGGAAAATTGGCGTAAAGTCAAATCAAATCAAACCAAATCAAAAATAATAATAAAAGAAAAATATCGATCGGGTGTTAATGCTTTATCCATAATATATATATATATATATATATATTATCTTTAACCTTATGGAGCCTATAGCTTACCTTCTTTGGTGAATAGACCGTAAAAGGGGCTGAAAACGCTACACTAAGTACCCCACTTGGTGTTCCATGTGGCCCTCTGTGTGTGAATAAAGTATGTATGGCGTCAAACAACAATAAGCATATTATTATTATTATTATTTTGTTGGCTGTTTTCAAATGAACAAGAAGATCGGGTTTGTTACCTTGGACAAAAGTCAATCAAAGTAAATTTAAGGGTGTAGATGCCTTCTGTACGGACCGAGAGATCGTTAAAGATAAAGAAGATTCCTTTTGTGTTTCTGTCGTCCTTGAGATGATATGCGTTTGAATGTGTTGCTCCAGTAAGATTTCTTGCTCGTTCAGGCTGTTGGAGTTGTACGAGGCCAGACATGGGCTTTCCGCTCTCCTCATCAGAAATCGAAGGTATATTGGATATCGATCGAGATATTGGAATCGATACAAGATTGCAGCTTTTTACCCCGTATTCGTCCATTAACTCGCACTGGACTAACAGAAAGAGAGTTGTTCTTTGGCTTTCATGTGCCTTTTTAAGTAAGTGAAAAGAGCAAAATTAAAGTAAAGTAATATTTATTTATTTATTTATCAAGAAATAAATAAATAAGCTATGTATCTATGGCAACAGCTTCTACTTATATATATATATATATTTATATTGTACCTTTTTGCTTGAGTTTGGTCTGCGCGGACATCAAGTCTGAGAATAGGAGGGGGATCAATTGGACGCCTGTCTTTCTCACCAAATCCACATGAACGGGCTCTGATGGGGTTTTGAATGACACCTACAAAGAGAATATTGATATATTTTGTTTTAGATAAGTGCCTTAAAGCATGAATATTGAAGGGGGTTTTTTTTTAAAGAAAAAAAAAACTATACATAGGCAATGATCGATCGTATCTGGATTAGAATTTTCATTGTTTGAAAAGGCAAACGAATTCATTTGAAGAAATCAAGAATAAGATGGATAAAAATTTATATATAAAATTATATGGATATTTAATAATAAGGAAAAAAAAAAGAAATCAAGGAGAAGAAGAGGAGAAGAATAAGAGAGAAAGAGAGATAAATAATGACAATAATGCTAATAATTAAATAACAAGAAAGGGGGGGGGGGGATTATGAATGTGCATCTTGACAGCCAAAAAGAAAATAAATAGCTTTTTTTTTATATTTGTATATTTATATATATAATTATTTTTGTACATATTTTTCACACAGTTTGTAAAATAAATAAAAATAAACAATGCTCATTCTTAAAGATGAACGGTTAATGACATGATCGGGGAAACTTTTAAAAATAAAATATAAATTTTAAGATGTGTTTCTATAGCTAAACTCATTAATCACCCATTCACTATTTACTATTTGCACACACAAGCACACACTTACAAATCGGTATATGAATATGAATATGAATATGAATATAATCTATAATTACAGGCACACATTATACACAAAAAAGAAAGGGGGGAGGGAAGGTGAAAAAGCTGAGTCCACACTATTGGTAAGACTTTATACGTGTGTTCCTTTCTGTATATTTTAGAATACAGCGATATTATATAACATATTATAATATAAAATAATAAGTAATGATCTTATAATGATATTACTAATACTTTACAAAACAAGAAAAATACAATAAAACCACCTTCACAGTCTGTAGTCTTTATTTTTGCCTTGAGTGAAATTAGTATAATATATTCATTTTTTTCTCGATCAAATAAAATTTATAGCTAAAATGAATCCCTTCCTTTTTATATATATATATATATATATTAGTTTTCGAGAACCAATAGAAATCCAGTCGTCTTTTACGCATAGACCGTCCATTGATCTATACTCCTTTCATACTACTAGTATTATTAATACCATTTATGTGTGTGTTTTTTTTCGATCAAAGAGAAAGCAACACATCGATCAGAAATATGTATATAGAGAGGAATTGCATCATAAATACATTTCTCTAAAATAACCAATTAAAAATACATATGTGTATTCAATTCGATTCAATTCGATTCAATTCGATGCAATTCGATTATTTAAACTAACCTTGATAAAATATTATAAAATAATAAAAAATGCTCATTAAGATAACTATTCTTTTTTTTTTGCAACTCTTAAATGATATTGAATATCCGTTAAGAGTATATTACATTCTTAAAGTGCACCTTCCTACTAGACTACACATAGATTTGCTTATATTATACACAGATAATTGACAGGCTTGCCAAGAAAACAGTCAACCAACCAGAAATCATGGTTGCATATGGCCACTCAAGTATATCCTTATATAGAACACAAAAACAAAAAAGAAGGAACGATTATTCTTTCGCTCTCTCTCTCTCTTTCTATTATATGTTTAGGCACTAATTTTGCTTGTGTTGGACGAATTGGCAGTTGTTTGTCGCTCTAGTCTAGTCTAGTATAGTCTAGTCTAGACTTGATTGTGGTATGATTGTCAAACTCACACAGATTGATAAACTGTAGGTTTTTTTTTGGTACCTTGAAACCTTAAAAAAATGAATTATTAAGCATCAGTTTTATACTATAAGGCTTTGATCTTTAATATTTATAATATACATATACATAAAACAAACCAAACCAAAGCAAAACAAAACAAAACAAAAAAAGGGACAATAAAATATTATGGGAAAGTTAGAGGGTCCAGATATATTTATTTGTGGCGTCTTCCATACGATCTTTCTGGAATCCCCTGGAGTATGAGGAGGCATCTGTGAAATACTATAGATAGAATACAGATGCCTCCACAATTCAATAATCCTCGCTCGATCGTCCATTTCTTTTTGCCTTGCTACTGTCTTTTGGAAATCATTGCAAAACATCAGACGATTTTATGTAGCGCCTTTTGGTTCAAAGACAAAGACAGACACACCGAGATAGTATATAACAAAGTAATTATGCATTCATGTATGTATGTATTCATGTATTTTTTTTTGTTTCCTCGCATTTGTAACTTCAATTATCGACTTACAAGTAAAGTTGAAGGCCAATGTGACTTTTGTATAAGCGTGTGCATGAATATGTATACCTATAAGTATAATTGTATATGCACATGCATATGTGTATGTGTATGTAAGTTCAAGTGCAAGTGCAAGTGCAAGTGCAAGTGTATAAGTATCTATATATCGATGCGTGTATCGTATGGAACCACCAGAAATAAAGCAAACAAACAAAGACATAATGATAAACTTTACATGGGATCATTTGGCCACAAAGACCACAAGTATCTTGTGTTCTCCATTCCATTTGGTCATACATTATTTTAAGAACCCTCTGAAGGAGCCACTAAAGATGAAGGGTCTCGAAAGAAAAAGGCAAATATATATATATATATATTTGTATTCTCTTTAGTAAGCCTCATATTTCATTTATTTATTAATTTATTCATTCATCCTTTTTTACTATTACATACATTTATACATATAGAATGTTACCTTTTGTGTGCATTTCGGTCCTTATTTGTTTTCTCTCTCTTTCTCTCTCTATCTTTCTTCTTCTTCTATTCTTCCATACTTCCTATATACATATTGGGTGTGGATTAAAAGCAATGTCAAAAATGACAGTGATCATTGTTATTTTGGGTGCATACATACGATCAAGTAATTAAGGAAGAAAAGAATTAAAAAAAATATTAATAGCTATTCTTGCACGCTCCTTTTTTGTTACAACCGTGGGACAGAATACTTATATTTATATATTTATATTTACACTACTTTATCATTCAAAACTGACCACAAGAGGCTTATTTCTGATATATAAGTAAAGGATATACATCAGCTTTACTCTATATTATGATTGATAACGATTTTAGTTTTATTTTTCAATAGCAATCCATTCATTTAAAAAGGTAAATTTATCTCACATTGTTATTATTAGATTATATCAAGTCCAGTATTTCACTACCATATTTGTAAAAATGGGTATTTTGGAAAACAAACAAACAAACAAACAAAATACAAGTACTGGGTTTTTTCAAAATAGTTTTTTTGGGCTTTAGGGTTTGTTTTATAATACACTATATACAGATTTCTAAATATACAAAAGCACAAATTCGCAACTCACACACGTGTGCCAAGAGAAAGACAATCTCACAGCAAAAGCCATAATTAATGTCCAATAAGCAAGTTCTTACAATCACCGAGGCATAATATATGTAATGCTCCAGTGTGGGGAATAGCCGGTATTCTTCCAGGAGGCGGGGATGGTGATGAGAATATAGTGGATAAGGTATTCCACCAGGTTTATCTTGATGTTGTTTCTGTTGCTGCTGGAGGTGGATGTAGCACAGATTCTGCTTGGCCGGTAAAGAGTGTTTGAAATGTTATCAATTTATCCGATTCTTTCTTTTGTTACACTGTAGGAAATGGCAGTATTTAAAGCTCCGTATGCGCAACTAGCTTCTAGGCCAATAGAAACAGGCGTCTAGAACCCCATATGCGCAACTCGGTTGCGTATTAGCAACTTTTATAGCCAATAACATGCCAAACATTAGCCTATCAACCTTACTTTTGGGCAAATATGATTTATGAGATTTCAGGTTATTTTTGCATCTAATCCAATCAAATATTCTAAATATGGCAAATCTATACCTTTTTTTTTAGGTATATCTATTCTTATAATTGGCTCCACAAATACAAGGTTTATATTGGAATTTTATAGTTTTTATTGATCAAAATAATACAAGTTGGATATAAAGAAGTATGGAAAGAAGAAGTACTATTTTTTATGATATTTAGTAGCAGTTTAAGCTATAAAGTTACTAAATAATATACATATATCTATTTTTATGTGATATTTTTTACATTTTTTTATCTAAAAAAAAAAGGCTATTCTCTAAGTACTATGATATTGATGAAGGTATGTATATTGCTTAATTGATTCTTTTTGTCAAAGAGTATAAACCTGCTTTGTGTGAACATTGCTATGTCTGATTCCTACTTTTGAAAAACCAGAAGACAGATTCCCGGCGATTCTCTAAATCTACCGAGATCTCTAATGAGCATGCGAGCAATCTTGACAGTCAAACTGTACATGATGTAGATATTTTTCTGTCAATTCTTCTCAGATTGCTTTCTTTTGTCAGCTTTACGGATTTCTATTTTATCAGTACTAGCCTTGATAGCTATTAAGTATGTTTCTTTTAAAGACCTTTAATAATTTAGACCTTGTGAAAAAAAAAGAAATAAAAAACCAACAATGCATTAAAAAGTAATCACAGTCATTACTTCTTGATGGCAAAGGCTTCTTTAAGTTCAAATTAAAAATACATAATTTTGTAGGCCATGTTTGTCTCTTTATCCAACTTTGCAACCTGTAAGCAATCTAGCATACAATATTCACGTAAGATGGCTTTTTGGATTAAACACCAAGATAATGATTATTGAATATCACCCTAAGCCTAACTGCTAGAAGTATCAAAGTTACAAGTCCTTCAAATCAATCATATTAATATTATTATTCAATTCCTATGATAAAAGGCTTGAAGAAGGTTTGCAAGAAATACAATGGTTATGCACTATTCTTCAAGATAAATTATATATACCCACGCATATTCTCAGTAAGTTTTTAGTGGTATGTACACAAAATTCAGAACAACGAATATAAAACGCCAATACAGATACAAGGAACTAAATCTTATTTTGATGTATTTGCAAGATGCTGCTAAAATGATTAATACCGTTAGGCGGCTCTCCTTTATATCAATCAATCATTATATTTATCTGGCTGATTACGTACTATATTCTCATGTGTCAAAGTCACATATATAAAAGTCTATAAAAGACAGCACGATTGACAGGCAAGAATTTTAAACTCTACATACTTTTATTCTTTAATCTTATAGCCGTGATATAACTATTATATCTTTTATAACAAGGCAATATTATTATGAAATAGGATGTAGCCCGTATTCAAGGGAGTTTGTTACCGAATTGTAAGCTATTATATATATATATTGGAAATCATGGTAAAATAAAGATGTTGCGAACGGCTTTGTGGGTCTAGTCGTCCGAACTAAACACACATAGAAAGATATGAGAATGCTGTGATCATAAATCCATAGATTTTACTCGAACGTTTGTAATATATAGAAAAAATAGCTATTGGCTATGTTTTGTAAAGCAATCATCGCAAAAGTGAAGTCGAAAAAGAATAGAAATAAAGAAGTTAAATATACACACAAAGGCACAAAGGAGAGTAGTAGGAATTGAAGGCATATTCCCACGGACTAACCGAAGAGAAGTGGAAAGATTCTATGATCATCTTACATTTTCTTGGTCGAAAGAGTAAATTTGAAATAGATAATTTAAAATTAAAATATAAAAGAATTCTACGCTTCAAATTAATGTACTTTGTTCATAGGCGAGCAGGTAAAAAAAATAGATAGTGATATGGAAGGTGTCTTCTCAGGACAATTATGGGAGTCCACTGAACCTTGGACATAAACATAGAAAGTCTTCTTCGGAGAAGCGCAAAAAGACAAATAAATAAAAAGGGATAAAGAAATAATTAAAAGAAAAATATAAAAGAAAAATAGCTAACTTTGCAGTGCAGTTTTATAAGTTGAATGCACAAATTTTGGGCGTGGTGCACATAATTGCCGGCTAGAACAAGAGCATAAAGTAGGACCGGGGAATCTCAGAGAACTTTCTGTGCCATTTTCTGCTGGGAAATGGTTTCCATGAAAGCGCCTGGGAACATGGTTTACTTCGAGACAGGAGATAACATACATGATATGGGCTGGCAGAACAAGTAGCCCATTAATTGCGTCGGTTGTTGATTGTACCTGCAACATCTAATATCATAAAATTTGTGCCATCAATGATGGCAAAGATGCGTTTCTTCTGGTCTTCTGGGAGCACCTATAGAAGATATTGTACTAGGAAGTCAAAAGGATGTGGAATGTCAGAAAGAGCATACTGGAGTTGACAGAGAGAATAATTTTTCCTTTAATGTCCTTTATGAAAAGCATCACTGGTTTGTGGGGGAGTGGCAGGAGGAGAGTACTTGACGCCTTGAGATCAGAGGATATTTGTCTAGGAGATCTCATTTCTCGTCCTCAATAAAAGCTTGAAAGGAGAGAGGGTATTGGAGTGAGGGCAAGAGGTCTGAAAGTTCCTGAGTAGGTGCCCATTTTCAAGTCTGACGAACAGGAAGATTATGGAGAAGAAGGGGTAGAGACAAGCTGATTGTTCATAGGAGCCGAGGATCCTTCCAAAAGATTCAAGTATGATTGACGTTGAGCCCGGCGTGATTCGAGTCGTTTTATGAGGGTGCGGAATGCTTGAGCTTGATATTCTTTAGACATCCTTGAAAGAAATAAAAACTCTAGCTACCGGTTTTTTTGTACAGCAATGATCTGCGATTGAAAAGGTGATAAAAGTACATTAGTTTGAACCATAACACTTTTTTGTATCAATTTTTTAAGAGCATTTTATTTCAAATTAACTTTTTACTCAATAAAATATAAGATGATCACATCGATTTGTATCTTCATGAATATTTGTCTGCTGCTGGTCAAACAAAGACTAATCGTAATCGATTACTTTTCTGCACAACTTTACTTAGTAAAGCAAAATACTGATCTTCGATTTTTTTCTTAGTTATATGTCCTGAGGAAAAAGTTGGTATAGAACATGGATATGTGGTGTAAATATCGAAATATTTATTAGTAAATTGCTTTTGTAAAGTGAAAAAATGGGATATTTGGATCAGTATTTGAGAAATCAATGCTACGCAAAGTTTGAATGGCGGATCTTAGTATGCCTCAACATGATACTTAAGCGTATAAAAGAGCTTTGCTTAACAAACGTGTAGTTACAACTGATTTTCTGTATTTAATTTGTAATTTTAATCAAAATGATCCTTTTTATTAAACGGTTCTTCAAAGTATATAAAAATCATCTTGTTTAAGTTAAGTAGAGCTTTAGTGATATTACTGTTAAGTGAAAGTATATAAGCTAGGATGCGAAGAGTTAAAGGTGTTTTGCTTCTCTCACTCTTATAATCACTATATTGAGCTTCGATTATGTGTCCATATTTACACTATGTGGATATCATATTAGCTATCATATTAGCCTTTGTTTTTTCTTTGTTCTTTACAGATATACTCTCTCTAAACTAATACACTATTATAAAGTACAATAGATTTTAAGCTGACACTTCTATTTGTATTAAAGTGAGCCTTCATTCACCCCAGAAAGTCGCAATATTTTGACAGAGTTCCTTGGATAGACATGTATATAGAACAGAGAATAGAAAAAAGAAGCAAACTAAAGAGTTTAAGGAGATGAAGTAACATTAGTAGTAATAATAGTAGCTTGGATTATGTACCAAGTGAAGTAATACAGACACATAATAAAAACCCAGCGTTATTTTTTCAAGAAAGAAAAGAAAGGAAAAATCACAGCACCAATATATATATGTGTGTGCATTTGGTTTAAATATACTTTTATCAGTGGTCCTCCTTTCACAGCCTTTAAAAACATCATGGATACGAAGTCTCCACCATTCCCAACACTATCATTTGCCAACAAACCCAACAAACCTCTTGCTTCTAAACTCACCAAGGTTTTGAATGGGTCAGTAGCCGACGATGCACGCATCAAGACTGCCCTGATGGCTCTCTCGGACATTCCTAATGTAGACCAAGCTGACCTAAGAAGCAATCTACGTGGAACAATTGAAAAAAGGGAAATCGAAACCAATCGTCAATTCTTAGATGCATTCAGCAGTGTGGTCATGGTAAATAAGAAAAATGCCCATTTATATCCAATAAAGTGTAATATAATATTTACAAGACATACATGCATTTCACTTTATTTATTTTTTAAAACTAAAAAAGCAACTTGAACGCCTCGAGATTGAAGCACAGGCCATGACAAGTGTATGCAAAGACATGCAATTAAAGTTAAACACCACACAAAAAAAAACATCATTGATGATGGAACAAGCGAGTACATTAGAAGAACAGAGGTTAGCGCATAATAATAATAGTAATGCTAATAGAGAATATGCCAAGAGCTCTATACATGCATAATAGAAATTGAAGAAAAAAAAACTAAATGGAATGGAGATCAATGTAGATCAGCATGTACCACTCGATTATTAATTGTTGATGGCTTCTTGGAAAAGTTCATGCTAAGTGAAGAGGAGATCAAGATCCTTACAACATCTTCGCCTGTCGGAAATGCATTTTTTGAAGCTTTGGCACACCTACAACAAATTTACAGCGATTGTAAGCTATTATTAACAACAAAACACCAACAAGCAGGGTAAGTTATTTAAAAAAAAATTAAATATATATATAAAGAGAGAAGAAACGAAAGCAAGATCAAAGCATAACAGTGTCTTGATTTTTTTAGACAACACATTATGGAAACTATGGCTATGTACCAAGAGACAGCATATGCCAAATTATATAGATGGACACAATATGAAAGTCGTTCATCTTTTGGAAATGATAGTATCGATGTGAGCTCTTTGATGGTCAAGGCACTTTCTGCGTTGCAGCATCGACCAGTATTACTTCAGTAAGTTTTGGAAAGAAAATGTTTGTGTGGATATATATAAAGGAGAAAAAACTAATCCACTCGAACAAGAACAATCTTGGATGAGCTTGCTGTGGCACGACGTGATGCTGTGGCGCGTGCATTTATTAACGCATTGACTCGCGGTGGCCCAGGAGGTACACCTCGCCCAATTGAGTTACAGGCACACGATTCGCAACGATATATTGGAGATATGTTGGCGTGGATTCATCAGGCATGTGCAAGCGAACGAGAAATGCTGGAAAGTCTATTCCAGCCTGTTACTACATCCCGGAATACAGACTCGCCTTCTCTCCTACTTTCATCAAAAGAAGTAGTTGAAGACTTGTTGGATTGTGCAATGGAGGGTACCTGCAGACCACTCAAGGTAATTATATATAGATATGAAGAAATCTTATTTTTACGTGTGTGCGTAGTCTATTATTTTCTTTTTATTTAGTTGACTGATTTGATATCTTGTATTTATTTTATATTCCCTCCATCTTAGTCCCGTATGGAGCAAGTTTTGGTACTTCAGCCAAATGCGCTAACTTCGTATCGTGTAGCGAATCTAATCCACTTTTATGCGGTGACAATGAGTAAACTGGTCCAGCGACAAGCTAGTCTGGCAAAGACATTATATGAGTAAGCTTCCAAACACAAATCATTAAAAGAGAGAGAAAGTATGAATGATGTAAAAACAAAAAACAAAGAATCACAGGTATGGCTTACGCCCACTTTTTCAAGACTATCCAAGCTCAAGCTGATCGACTACTTCAATCCCCAGAGGTACATACCATGGATCAATTAAGGGTTAATTATCAAATGGAAAATAAAGTGAAATAATAATTTAATTCTGTGTCTACTTATGATAGGCTCCTTCAAGAGATTTATCGGTTCCTCCTTTGGTGAGAGATATGGCCACCCAATTGGTAAGGATAATAATAATAATAATAAAGCAAAAATTGTAACCAGAGAATTTATATACTACGAACATAAATATTAGAGGGATATCCTGGCTTCGTATGATTCTTCCCTTATTGTCGCCACAAACAATACAGGTGGATTTCCAGAGTTTGATTTTGGAGAAACACTGGATGCGCTCGTAGATCCGCTGTTACGCATGTGTGAGATGTCCGTGGAGAATCTCAATAGTGTCGATCGTGCTATTTACATGGTCAATTGCATGTATCATTTGAACGTAAGTCTTTCTTAAAAAAAAAGAGCAAATCATATAAATATCCTGTGAAATTAAATAGTCTATATTATCTTTTATACACATACAAACACATATATATGTAGTCGATTATGCTTCCATATAGCTTTACCGAGAACAAGAGACAAATCCTTGATGCTCAAATAAACGAGTTATTAGAAAAACTAGCTCAAGAGCAGGTAAGAAATAAATAAACAAGTACATAAAGAAGTGGGTGTAATAATGACAACCATTTATGTTTTAGTACAAGGAATTATTGCAGCAATCTGGCTTGGCTAGAATTAGCGATTCTGTTTCAAAAAAAGAGAAAAACGTAAGTATATTTTATTGACAATCGCAATTTGTTTCATAATAAAAAAGGTGATTAACGTTATATGTATGTATTATACGTGATCTTTACTGCTCTAGATACCTCTGTCATCAATGCCTTTGATGGATTCAATTTCTCTTCAAGGTGGATTTTCTCAATTAGATTCTTTCTTGGTTCGGATCGGTTCAGAAGTATCTCCACCTTTGCGTCGCCTTTCTGCGCTACAGCATACACGACAAGTTCAAGAAAGTGCTATTAGATTACTATTGGAAACTTATCGTCGTATCAGCTCAGCAATTGAGGATCCTGAAAATGGATACAGTAATCCAGAATCAATATTGCCAAGAACAGTAGATGAAATGGAAGCCATCTTTTCATTTGCATTATAAAAAAAGAAATAAATGTTTATATATATATATATAAAGGTATAGATATAAAGGTTTAAAAAGTATTTTTAATAAAAATAAATAACTATACAAGTCAATGTACGGAAAATAAAATAAAAGACTTGGATCAAACAATAGAATAAGCAATTAGGAACACATGTGCGTTATATGGATATTTTAGTAGCAAGTTAACGGGGTCCGATAATACTAGACTTGGATATAGAAGAAGAGCCAAGATCCTCAGACTCGTCAGGCGAGAGAGCAATTGGTTGGTGCAATGGAAGGCATGGGGATTGAGACTCTCCGTGCTGGTCTTTCCATTTTGAGGGAAGGACCCTTATGGCTTCAACAAAATGTTCCCACCATGCCTGGACACCAAGCCGCTGAACAGACAGCAATACAGCAACAACTAATCCAGTTACAAATCCAATACCATCGTTTGAGAATGCGACAAGTGCACCCATGGTTGCGAGCATAATTGTCCAGTTTTCTGCTCTAATCGTATTATTTTCGACACCACGATTAATAGCTTGGGCTGCATGGGCAAGCTGTTGAAAAATAAAATAAAATAACAAGACAATGATTGATATGTTTAGAGTAAATACTTATATATATATGCAGCTCTAGAGTTTACCTCTACACCAGATACAAAGAGCATTACGGCCAGCAAGGAATTAGGGAAATACTGCAGTAACCCTACCAGAGAGCTACCAAATATAATACCCAGTAACAGTTTGCACAGACCAAGCAAAATAACCGAGACTTCTGAGCGAGCTCCAAAGCGATATTGGCCTGCAAGACCTCCTGCACCATGACTAGGGGAGACATCATGTGTAAGCTAACATGTTTTATTACAGTAAAAGAAAAAAAAAAGAAAGTTCAATGAATGGATATTACCAGACAGGCATGGCACCAAACCAACAACCAATAAGATTCATGAGGCCAACACTCATGGAGATAGAGGCTGTATTGACATGCTTTTCAGGAAAGAGATCGTCAATAAGAATACTCAATGCGACGACCGAGTTGAGACAAGTAAGAGGGATTTGGCCGAGACCAGCATTAAGAAACCCAGTACGGAACTCAGCAGGGGTTGGATGGATGATGGTATTTGGATAGTAGCCACCCGCAACCGGGTGTGGGATCACGGTACTCTTGTCAGTAACAAACATACGGATCAGAGCAAATAGGAGGCCAATAAGAAACAAGATCAAGGCGCTTGGAACCTTTGTACGATAACATGCAAACACAAAGATGGTCGCCAGTAATACCCAAGTAAAGTTGTCTGACCAGTTGGCGTAAGATATGTGCCACTGAAGCTTTGTTATCAGATCATGAGCTTTTTTGATCAATTGAACACCTGTGCCCAACTGAAGGCCTACAATAAAATAATAATAAGGTTTTCAGCTTATTGTTACGCTCAATTAGGTCCTACTTTTCTGTCTTACCCCTTACTACTGAAGTTGGGGTATAATTGCTAACTAAATGGATGGTCCGTGTGGCACCAAGAAAGAAGATAACAGCAGCAACACCTAATATTATTTCCCACGTTAAACTCACGTTAAACTCACGTTATAGCGCGTTGCATGGATTTTTATTATTATTTGAAACTCACTTAAACCAGCCGACATATTTTCCTCAATGCTCATGTTAGATGACAAAACAACCGCGGCAATGGCTATATTTATGTATATGTATATGTATACATGCGTGTGTGTGTATTTTGAAAAATAATATTATTTTCAATCAGATTATTCAAAAAGTCTCACCAAAAGCTCCTTTATTTTTTTCAACAAAATACCTTTCATGGGTTGAACACACACAGGGCTTTCAAAGAACAAACCTGATGCGATATTCCATATTCCAGTGAACCAGAGTGTGCTGGTGAGATCAATCTGACCTGCTACAGCAAGAGATATCATAACTGGCAAAAGAGTGCCTAGATCACCAAGACTGCCAGATACCTATTATTTTCAAGACGTATTATTAACCAAGAAATCAAACAACCAAATCAATAAAAACCGTCTCTCTCTCTCTCTCTTTCTCTCTCTCTTCCTTGCTCGCGCTCTCTCACCTCTTGGATAGTAAGGTGCTCAACAAACCGTCTGTAGCGACCGCGTAAATTTAACATTGGAAAGGAAATTTTGAGATTGATATTAATGTCTCAATAAGAGTGCAGGAATAGCATAGTTAGTACATTTTTTATACAAAACAAATAGTGTACTTCATGACCCGAAATAATTCACATGGGAACACACAATGGATTAAGTTTTGGTTAATGTGTTACAACGCTCAATAAACCTGCCCACCAAGACAATACTCATATATTTTATAAAATAAAAAAAGTTCCAAAAATAAAGGAAGGTAATAATATAAAGCAAAACAATTAAAGTGCAGTAGGTCCCACTGCTAACTGGAAACCCCCCCCCCCCCTTTTTTTTTTTTTGAAAATGATAGGTATATTTCAGAAGAGTATTTATTGCTTTTTAGAGGTTGGTTTGACTCAAAAAAGGAAGTTTTATTGCTCATTTTTTGAAAACAGTTTTGTAAAAAAAAAGGTTCTTTGCTTTGGTTATAGAATACATGAAAAGGATAAGATCAACAATAGGTGTTTTATTCAGAACATTTTACTAACGTAAAGGGCAAGACTATAAATATGTTAACTTGTACTCCTCACTGGCTTTAATATTTTTTTTATTCGAATAGCTTTATATAGTCGAGGTTAGGAATATGGAGAGGAAGGTATCACCGTTAAGTTCATGCAGAACGTTGGTGGTCTGAATTGAAGTTAAGTTTAGTTGTCTTTGGTTATACCAGACTCCGTTGTTGGTACATCGTACACAAAAATGGTTACAAGTGTTGACTGTTGGCTTACAGGTTCTCAATTGGGAACGAAAACAGGGAAGTGTATCAATATATATAGACAATTCAATACGATCCAGATATATAAATGAATACAGTACTTCCGCCTTCAAATTGGACAATGAAAAAAAAGCGTTCAATTGACGGTGGTATTACAGTAAGTAAATGAAATATGACTAGAAAGAGCAGGAGGAGCAGGAGGAGTAAGAGGGAGAATGTGATATAGTGTTATGTATATATTATTATTTTTACATAGGTCCAGGTTCGTTCATCTCTCCACTCATTAGACGCTTCCATGCAACTTCGAGATCCTCGCGAATTTCTTTGAGACGCCCGACAGCACTCTCCCATGCATCTTTATCTTTTTCTTCAGCATTGCCACCGATTTCAAGCAGTTTGAGGTGAGGTACACCCTGACCTAACAGTATCTCGATCACGGCTTCCATGTCCTGGCGCGTTACCTTATTGCAACCGATATCCAAAGAACGTGCGCCACTCTGGGTTAAGACCGGTAATATATCTGGATAATCACTAAATCCACCGACTTGGTTACTAAAGAGGCCAATATAGTGGAGATGGGTCGAAAGTAATTTCCAAAGACCCAGACCACCGATTTGATTTTCGCCCAATTCAAGGTGAACAAGAGACTGAGGAATAACTTTTGTAAGCGACTCAATGGCCTTGTCGTCGATTTTGTTGCGACGCAGGCGAATATCAACCAGCGAACTTTTTGCAAGATTCTCAACTTGCTTGAATGCGCTGGTTTCAATACCATTACTATCTAACCACAGATGAGTCAATTTGGAGTTGGAGTCTATTGAGGCAAGAATAGCCTCGAACAAGGAGTTTCCATGTACTGAACGACCATCATCCTCTTCCTCAGCGGGCTCTTCCAATTCGCCATCTTTATTTTCTTCTTCATTTTCGTTTTCGGCGGTTGCAGCAGGTGGTAAAGATAATTCTTGTTCAGGGCTTGAGACGCTCATCATTTTAAGTGTGTGGAGGTGCTGGTTGGTAGCCAAAGCATGCCCGAGTGCACTAGCACCTTCCATGAGAGGGTTATCAGAAATGTCTAATACTTCAAGCTTTCCCAAATTATCGGCAAGAATACGGGCACCGACAGGGCCAATGCTGTTCATTGACACGTTGAGTTCACGCAGGTTAGTCTGAGGGATAGCCTTGGCAAATTCTGGAAATGAAGTATCGTCAATAGAATTCCGGGACAGGTTGAGATTCTGGAGACGTTCATTTTTTTTAAGACATTCGGCAAGAGTCGTGATTGAGCCCATAGTCAGACCTTTGTTTTCGAGATCAATTTTTACTAGTCCTTCATTGACAGCCAGACCCTCGCATAAGATGGTCATGAGCTTGCCATTGAGAACAGATCCAAATTCACTGTTTCCAACGTTGAGAGATTCAAGGGTGTCGTTGAGAGTAAGTGCTTCTGAAAGTTGTTCGACGGCATTGGTGTCGAGAGCATGACCAGAGCAATATAACTCTTTCAGGGTTTTATTTTGTGCAAGGGCAGTGAAGAGTGAAGCAAATTGACTAGGTGTGACAACTCTGAAGCTAAGGATGTGGAGAGACTTGAGAGTAGGGTCGTTAGATTTAAGTTGCTTGACCCATTTTTCGATTGAATTATCAGAATCACCCCAGCCCATGTTTTATATATGTATTTATAAGATATTAGTATAAATGTTATTATTATTATTAGTAATAGTAGTTTTGGTTTTAATTGAAAGAGTATAAAACGAGTGAGTTGTAGAGAGAAAAAGAGAGAAAAAAGTTTATGGATCGGAATACTAAAAAACAAATAGATCGTCACGGTGGTTTCTCCTGCGTATGTTACAGTAAAGAAATAAGGAAATGGAGGAATTACAAGAAAGAAGGGAGGGAGGGAAAGAGGGTATGTGAGGTAGGAAGATCAGAGGGCAATTAAATTAAGCGGCTTCGCGGGTCTCTGCTTTGGCCTTTGCATCGACGCTATGTCTAGAATATTGAAGATGCTTTGTAGTGTTTTTTCTGGGAAGAGGAGATGATTCACTGACTGGGGGAGGAGATAGAATAGGTTCAGGAAGAGGTCCAAGCTCATTGTGTTTAATATTAAGATGGCGCAACGACCACGGAAGTGCACCCATTCTACGTACCACAAATTATAGTTAATAAGGATGCATGTTTACATATATATATCTCTTACCTTGCATAGAACATTTGAAGGCGAAGGCGCATTGCTTCATGGTAGAGATCAGGCATTGCACGGCTAGAGTAAAGACCTTGGCGGACATTTCTCAAAAATACGTAGAACTCACAAACGGCTACCAAACGATCACGACAGTATCGGTCAATACAGGCCCAGTCATCAAAGAAGGAAATTCGGAAGCGGTAAGGAAGCGGTCCGGCAGGTCTTCCGCACGCCTGGCATCCCGTAAAATGCCCAGTTTGATTGGCGTTGCTACTACTGAAACGCTCCCATATCAAAGTCTTTGAGGCAGAGATCTTGAGGGGAACATCAAGGGGTCTACTGGCCTGTTCGGCTGCAAATCCAAAGGGTGCTTCTTCGATAAAACACGTATTCAGTACAATGGCATCATTTATCTTGTGGGCTGACAGACGCGAGGCCGGTCCGAATCGTAAGCACGGCTCGACGTCCTCCGTCTGACAGTTTCTCATAAATGGAATTGTATGAAGCTTCTTTAGGGCTACATTGGGACTCGTTCGGACATAGTTCCCAAATTCTTCTAATAAGATCGGATCCACGCCGATACTCTGGGTACTGTTGGGTGTTACGGAGGTTGTAATAGATGAAATGATTGAGGAGGGTTTTGGTGAATCGAGTGAAGATGTGTCATTGGTGTTATTTACATCAACCATATCCTCCATTCTCAATCTAAGCTCCTTGAGTTGCATTTGTTCTGCCCCCAAACGCTCCTGGGTCTCCTTTAGCTGGTTTTCAAGGTGCTTCTGGGCCATTTCAAGATTATACTTTTCACGTTTCTCATTGGCCACCATGCCGTTCGCCTCCTCAAACAGCCGGCGTGACAAATCCTCAAGTTCGCTTTCAACCATATCTTTGGAGTGCTGGATCTCTGCTACTCGTTCTATTTCGTCTACATACTTATCATTCAAAAGTTCCATGTCGCTCTGAAGAGCAGCGAATTCCTCAGACTTAGCATCCAGACGCTGCTCGACATCCTCGAGAGTGCGACCAAGAGCGTCAATTTCCGCTAGCTGTTCGCTTATCTTGGCCTGTTCAATGCCTAGTTTGTTTTGTAGATCGGCTAGTTCTTCTTCGTACATTTTCTGTTCTTCGTAGAGTTGGTCGATGACAGGTATAGCACGGTTACACAATGAGCAGTGGTTACTCGACGTCTCGCTGATTATGAAGTGGCAGGGGCATTCGACTGGAGACTTTTGGGTCTCATCACTAGTTCTGGGTGTCACCACTCTGGGCGGAAAGTGAAATGCTATGGGAGAAGACGTGCTTGGTGACAGTGGCAAACTAGGAGGCAAGGGAATGAATTTTGCCTCTGCATTGGCTGGCTCATGTGTAGTTTTGTCCATCACTGTTTGTAAACGAGAGTAAAGATTGGCAATGTCTTGGTTGGTTGCGTCTCGCCCAAATTGTGATGAATCCTGATTTATTAAAGGAAGAGCGGGTTCTGATGTTGCCATTCAATCCACAATGTTAAAGCGTAAGAAAATAAAATAAAATAAGAAGATAAATAGAAGATAAAGTGAAATAATAAAGAAGTGATTTTACAAAGGCAAAGAAAGAAAGAAGCAAGAAGAACAAGAGAAGAGGAGTGAAGTGGAGTGAAGTGAAGTAGAGTGAGGTGGAGTGGAGTGGGGGCCAAATGGGGGTTCTTTTTTTTTTTACCAAAAAAAAGGGAGGAGAACAAAAAAGGTAACCTGTAAAATGATTATAAAAAAGAAAAAGAAAGAAAGCAAAAGCAAAAGCAAAAAAAAAGGCAGAAAAAAGTTCTAGTTGATAGGTGCTTTCCAAAAAAGGGTGTTTCATTCGTCCATTTCACGTGACACTCGACATATCGCCTTAACCTATGGCGGGGTGACCTGTCCACGCCAAAGCTCTCGAATGACCTTTCGATTGATAATGTGTCGATCCACTACATCTTCAACATGACATTGCCGTACATTTCCATACATGTGACCTCCAAGACCCTTTTGATGGATGATGATGTTACCTGCAAACTTGTGACCTATAAATACAAGGGTTAGATTTCAACTGTACACACTTAATTTTCACTCTTAAAAAATATACAATAAAAAGAATTTGTTTATACTTGCCTCCGAAATGACTAGTACCCCACACTTCAACACCACCCTTTCCATTGGGTGTTTTTAGAAGATTCTTTTCTTTTAGTACTCGCTTAAATTCATCCACAATCAAAGGTCCCAGCACGCCGCACCGTTTGTCGCGCATTGTATGAGTACACACCAATATAACAGTATCTGCTGTCACTTCTTCACCGCCAGATACTCGATTAGACGGATTCTGCCATACCGACTTCATGGTTGATAGGAATGATGACTCTGAAGACGACGATAGGCTGTCAGGCTGAATAGAAGAATAGATCTTAAAGTCTGGAAAAAATATAACATCGACACCATTGGCATGCATTTCAGGTCGATCGCACACAGTAGTCAATATTTCTTTATCAGGCAAAGGGCGATTCCCTTCTTTCATCCATGCACTCTCTTTTTCGTTTAACCTCCACACCATTCCTCCTTTGAGAGCCTCCACCTTGGCTTTGTCCCACTCAGCACCATTAGGGCCAATGCACACAACTACATGGCGATCTGAACCTCTTGTAGGCATGGGATCCGTGAGATCAATCTTACGACCTAGTACAGCTGGCATAGAATGTTTTGAACAAGGTACAAATCCGTTTTGTGATGCAGGTGATGAGGGTGCTGGACAACATGGCTCGAATCGTCCCAATGGAAAAGGTTTGGTGTCAAATGGAATGGCCATTTCACGTGGAGAGGATTGAGACAGGATTTCCTGTGCAGGTACAGCCATTCTCTGGCGTATAGTAGAGAAGGTTTTACGAAGAATAGGAGAAATCATGCTCACAATGACAAAGGAGAGGATGAAAAGAAAAAAAGAGGTGCATTTTAAAGGTAATGGGTTTAACCGATTCTCCCCGCTCTGAGTTTCACAGTATGAAAATTGCATATACCCTCCATTTCGTATATCCGAAGTTGCGCGAAAAAAAAAGATCTAGTCTAGTTTCCATTAAACAAAATATACAGCATTTGTACGTTCATATACTTGTGTGCGTAGCTTTCTACAAGCGAAGACCGAATGGTATGGCCTTGTCATCAAGAGCAGCAACAATGTTCTCAATGCACATTTGTCCCATTTCTTCGCGAGCTTCTACAGTAGCGCTTCCTATATTTTCCACAAACGTTAATTTTGTGAGTCAAAATGAAATAAAAACAAGATTTAGATAAGAAATAAATACTTACCCAAGTGGGGAAGAATCACACAATTAGGGAACTTGAATAGTGCATGATCGATAGGCAAGGGTTCAGGTGTCGTAACATCCAGACCAACGCCAGCAATAAGCTTTTCATCCAATGCGCGTACTATTTGTTTAATCCCGTGTTAATAAGATTGCATTTAAAGTATGAAATGTCTGTACTATGCACCCACCAAGATCGTCTTGCTTGACAATACCACCACGAGCAGTATTAACAAAAATCTAAAGAAGGATTTATAAGCAACACAGTTAGAACCAACAATAATTAAAGAAACATTACTTTTGTCATTTTCTTATTCTATCCTTACAGCGCTCTTCTTCATCTTAGAGAAAGCTTCATAGTCAAACAGCTCCTTAGTATCAGGTGTCATGGCACAGCATACAACAATATAATCAGAGTCAGCCAAGAGGGTGTCCATGGATACAAGTTTAGCGTTCAATTTAGCTTCGACAACAGGCTTCTTATTTCTACCCCAGTAAAGAACTTCTCCAATTCCAAATGCTTTGAGACGACTAGCAACAGCCTCGCCAATGCGGCCCAATCCAACGACACCCAAAGTACGGTTTGTAAATTGTGATCCACACAACCAGTCAGGGCGCCACTCTCTCCACTAGAATAATAAAGGAGGGTGAAAAAATAGGGCAGTGATGAGATTTGACGAATCATACATCATAATAGCTCTCCTATTCCACACACTCTTTAAAAGCACTTACCTCGCCTGTCTCTGCAGCACGTACAGACTAGTGTGGCTTATATTAGGATAATATATGTGATAATTTCAAAAGTTTCAGTGGGCTTGCCTGTTTCATCTTTCTTGCAGCAGCCAAGGTGAGCATAACGGTAAGATCAGCAGTAGCATCGGTCAATACGTCGGGTGTGTAGCCAATCTTAGTCTCTGTCTCGCGAGCAGTAGCAAGATCGATGTGATCATAACCTACACTCATAGTGGTAACCAGCTTAAGCTGAGGACCTAATATTGGAATATGGTTGGATACTGTGTTGTGTTGTGTTGTGTTGCATTGAAACCATGTTCTAAAATAGCAATTTACCTGCAGTGGTAAATACTTCCTTATCAATTTTATCGGACAATACGCACAAAAGAGCATCGGCACCTATATCCGTTTTACTATTTTATTAGACTTGAGAAATATTAAGCACACACACACACAGATATATATATATATACATATATATATGGTGTATCCTTTATTTTCTTAAATATATTTACCTTTGACTTCTTTCAAGAGCAGATCTCGGGGCATCGAAGCATCTTCCTTCCATTGGACCAAATCAAACCCCTGGGCTTCGAGACGTGCCTGGCTCTCTGGAAGGAGCTTACGAGTAGCCACTACTCTTGGGCCATACAAGACAGACTGGGAGTGAAATAAGGAGCGCTGGGCCAGAGGGCGGGACAAAATAGTAGAAAGTCTTCCACAAAAATGAGACATGATAATACAGAAAGTTGGTTGGGGAAAAATACAGTACAGGGGAGAAAAAGATACTTTGGTTTTTTTTTTAGATTGTGGTTCAAAATCAGTGAATTTCGCAGGAGGATCTCCGGAGTGTTAAAAAAACTCAGAATTTTGAGTTCGAATATGAATGATTTTCTCTTTATGGACACAAATAGATGTCTTATCAAAAAAAATATGTTTGCACTGATCCAAGCTAAGGTGATTGTTCTGAGCAACTGCCAGCTATGAGTGAAGCTGTTAGTGTTAACAATAGATAGTAGTTGCTCTTAGCCCCAACTTATATCCACTCAACCTATCACAGCTATCATTATTTACTTGTGCCCTTTACATTGTAATCGTCCTATTTAATGTTCTTTGTTTCATGGTTGAAGTTTGAAGTCTCCTCCTACAAAAAAGGCACTCTTTACCTTCATATATCGACTTTTTCTAATATTAAAGTTACAGGTACTGGTTTTCTGTCTAATAATTTGGTACTGGTCTCCTAAAAAAATTAGCATGAAAACTGCTTATCAAGAATTCATAATCAACATGAATGGCAGAACAGACTTTTGCTCTCAAGTCTTTAGAGTAATATTTAGGCGCTTATTTGTTATATATGACAGTTCTGACTGGTTCGTTTAGTGGTTTTTAGCCGCCCTCCTACCAGTAAACTCTACAACATCAAATTCTGGCTAGCTAAAATCCAAGAAAGAGATTACATAAAAGTCAACCTTGGGACTAACTGACGGTTTTGCTTTAATATTTAGAAGATTACTTCCATCGTATTGACAAAAAATATAAAAGTTAAATATTCATTTTTTTTTACTACATACATAATATATAATATCTGTGCTAATATGGATCGTTACAAACGGAAACACACTGATAACAATAAGAAGAGCTCCCAAAAAAAAATTCTCGGGACATTATCATAAAGTACTCCAAGGAAAACCGACCAAACACTGCTTTTTTAAAACAGCGCTGCTTGTAGATACATGATACTGCGATCTAAGAAAAACCATGGTAGTTAGCCCTTTAACCTTTAAACATTATTTTTTGCTGCCAAAAAAAAGGTTTGGCTACTTCTGATAAATTTTACTTCCTATGTCACCAAACCAGTCCTAGTACCCATTAGGGGGTTTCACCAACTCTGAATGCTTGACTGATGGATGGATATACGGTAGTTTAATTCGAAAAACGATTGGCTGTGGCGAGTCTTCAAGAAATGAAAACTGAACATCCAGACATCCAAAAAAAAATAGTTCAATACTTTAGATGTCGTGACTTTGCCAAAATTTACAAAATTTTGTACTTTATGTACAATTGATGACAAGGTTCATATAAAAGCAAAGTCAAAAATAAAACATAATCAATCTATGTAAGAGTGGCTATCCGAATACAAAGTTATAGAAGTCTAACTTACTTGTAGGGAGTTTGGGCGTAAGCGCTATATCTATGGGTACTCTAATCAAGCGTATTGTACATATGAATTTTGAGGTATATGAGAGAAACCATATCAACCAAGAGACATTAATTGTATTCAATAGTTCTTTTTTTCTATATTTGTTATTATCGGATAGTGCTTAAGCTACCAATACATCCGACAGTCAAACATCCAGATCTGGTGAAACCCCATATAAGGAAAAGGTCTTTGAATTGAAAATCTAATATATTATGAGAAAAGGATAGTTTTACAATCTGGGCATATTTCACCTTATTTCTGAATCATTATTCTTTACATTTGAAAAGGTGATACGGGCAGTATTGGCTTATATGATGAAGTGGTCCAGACAGTTAAAAGGAAAAGAGAATAGATATCGATCTCCTTTATCATATCCTTGACCCAAATAATGGCAATTGGCAGCTTGTTCTCTCAAGAAAGATCAAAAGAAAACAAAAGTGCTGTGTAAGGATAGTCTTTATTGCTTTCATCTTTCGATGTTCATATGGCTATTTCGATAGTTAATAAAGAAAAATAAGATAGTTAGTAAGATATTACTAAGCTATTACAAAGATGTTGGGATAAACTATGCTTCTTTGCATAATTAATAATAAATAAGAGAGAGAAGTAGAAATAGCTAAATATTTCTGTGGTTGGTTATTACAATTCTTGTGTCTTTTAATTGATTTCTTCGCCAGCTATAAGAATTATATTCTTTTTGCGGCTACGACTTGAGCAATTTTTTTTACATAATTGATACAAAGAAAGGTTTAGGAAGATAGGATATGTCTGGGTCATATGGAAGTTCAAAGACACGCGCAATTAACTAATGAACTAATGAAGAATCTTCTATTTATGTAAGCTCTCAATGAAGATAAAGATAGCGAATATATCTACTAAGAAGATAATGCTCCCTGTCACAAGTTTAATATTGGATAAGAGTGGAAGAAATGACATAATTTTATAGTAATAGTAAGGCTGCCAAGTAGTTTAGATTTTAGCTCTATGGAGATCTCATAAGAATATTCCACCAGAAGAGTGAAAAGAAAAAAGAGGTTAATCTTCAAATACTTTTAAGGAGGTGGCGGTTATTACCTATATGGAATAAAACAATACTCGGACTGGTGTTTATAATATTAAGTGCATGTTAATGCCTAATTGCTTGTCAATGCCTAATTGCGTGGCAATGCCTAATTGAATGTCAATGCTTAATTGCATACATGAGATGAGAAAGGTTAATGAAAGGTCATAAAACTATTGATTTTTTTTAAAAAAAAACTATACCTTTGTATTTATATGTTTTCAGGCATGAGTTGTCAAGTGAAAGAAGATCGGCTAAACGAAGAATGCTAAAGAAGTTGTAGTATTGATTTATTAGAACTTAATAAGTATGATGCCCATTGTTGATACGTGTCTATACATATACATACCTTGCTTGTAAAAGAAAATTCGACCTGATTTTAATACTGAATATTGTATTAAAATATTCATTTATATACTTTTAAAGTATATCCGATAAATCCCAAAAGTAAAAATAAAGATTTTTTTGTCAAGACCTGCGCTTGAAGGCCGATCCACTCAAGTTTACACCCAAGCTTCTCAACAACCCTCATTCCTGCCTACTCGGCATGGCATCAAATTTACCATGACGGCAAAGTATCGGTGAAATGCTTTAATGCCAAACTGCTCGGGACAGGTGTCTGAGACACCCAAGTGAACAGCATAGCATTTACTTAGGCACCTTAACTTTGCTTCGGGTTCGTCCCTCATGTCCAGTTCTGTTTACCAGAGCGTGGGTTACAAGTATCAAAGTCTAAGCAATGAGGGACTTGAAAAGCACAGGGATCATTTCAACAGGAAGCAGTAAAATACAGGCGATTGTACTGGGTAATCTGTCGATTCTGCTGGGAATCTACCTGTATTACCTCACGTCCAGGTGCTCAACGAATTTAAAAAACTCTACGCATCCAGGTGATACACCCTTATACTTGCACCTTTCTGTGACAATCTTGACATGCCCCAAAGGACAAAATCTGGAGAGCCAATATCCAACGTCCTAAGAAAATAGCATAAAGCTACCTCTGCGTTCCTCAGTCTTCTCCATGTTATGTGCCGCACAACACAGAAAAAACTGACGTGGATTTCATCCGGCTTTCGCCTTCATATGAGTGGCTCAGGAAGGTCTTTAACGTCCAGTATGCTCTACACTAAGAGCTACTTTCCCTTACGGTACTTGTGTTCAGTTGGTTTTTTATAAGTATATTTAGCCTTCGATGAAACTTTTCACCAGGATTAGGGAGTTTGTAAAACAACCCGACTCATCGGAAGCTACTTAACACAAAGACAAGAACTCAAGACAAGGTGAGGGGATTGCACCCTCCAGTAACCTTTTCCAGGGAGTGAAGGCTACTGACTTGTTGGTATGTCTGGAAAAGCAGTTCACTAGTTCACAATCCAGAGCAGTCAAAAGACTACTCCGGTTCAAACATTGGAGCTTCTCCATCTCAAACAATAAAGTCCAAGACGGAATCCCTTTTGGTTTCTTTTCCACTGCAGTAAATGCAGGTAGAATCGCTCAAAGTACGGACCAATTTTAGGCCATGGTACCTTGAGCGAACTCAATGACTAGACGCCAAAGAGTGCAGTGCGTTCAATAAAAAAACCAGAATCTCATATTAAGACAAGCCTTATAAATAAGGCGTCTACAATGAGCGAGTTGGAAAAGAGCCCGGAGACTCACTGTTAAAGACCATGATATACACATTTTGCATGAAAATGTTTACGTATATTCCTTTTGATATATCGTGACCGATAGAATACGAGGTACTCAGTGACCACTCCAAGAGTAGAGATATAAATAAAAATCGAGTATAAGGTTAATATACTTATTGTGTCAAAGTGTGTGCGCGTGTGCGCGTTTACTTACCTAGCTGTTAACTGCGAAGGGTGTAAAATACTGAGCTGGTTCTCGGTACACCTCTCCATAAGCATACTTTGAACACTATCAAGAGAATAAAGTAATATAAAAGTATAAAGTGAGTATGTTAATTGAGTCAAAGTATGTATATATTGACTTACAACTCAGTGGACCATACATGGTATGAAGGCACCATCAAAAGAATGGTGGTTAACAGCTAAACAGAACTAGAAACTGCAATAGAAAAAAAGAAAACATCAAATCATAGTTAGCGTGTTGATCGTGTCAAAGTATATGTGTATGTACGCGTTTACTTACCTAGTAAACAGCAGCGGAAGGCTTGAAAAGTACTTGTGCTAAAAAGCAAGACGGGACGGGACACTGGACACTGTGATAAAATAAAAGAAATATCGAATCATAGTTAGTGTATTGATCGTGTCAAAGCGTGTGTGTGTTTGCTTACCTAGCAGATAACTGCGTAGGGTTTAAAAAAGTACTTGTGCTTAAAAGCAAAACGGCACTGGACACTGGACACTGTGACGAAAGAAAGAAAACATCAAATCATAGTTAGTGTGGTGATCGTGTCAAAGCATCTGTGTGTGTGTATTTACTTACCTGGTACATGAACTTGACGTGAAGGACCTCTCCGTGGCTACAGTGGAATGGACGCTGGGCATAGAAGACAGAAAAAAAAACATGCACAAGAAAACACTGTGCTGTAGTTAGTATATTGACCGTGTCAAAGTGTGCATGTGTCTGTATAATACTTTACCTGCTATTAGACTGGACATCATTTTTGGAACTTAGCTAGAAACCGCGTCTGGGGTGCGTTTTCATAATAAATATCAGTATGCACCTTATACGGATAGAAGGATATAGGCATTTAAAGACAATTTTCTTACCGTGTCGGAAACCAAGGACCACCGAAAGGAAACCAGGAGGAAGAGGAGGGATAACAGGAAATTGAGAATTGTATCGATTCTTATATGAAAAAAAATGGGGATGGCGCAGCACGGAAGGCGTAAAATGTCTATTTTGGATAAATCAAAACAAATTCATATGAAAATTAAATAGTTTCATGTTTTCAGTAAAAGCTCCATGTTTTTTATCGCATATTTTTATTGCGTATTTTTTATCGCATATTTCTATCAACGACCTATTGGTATTATCTAATAGATACATTGAATAGTACCAACACTGAATACATTTGAGTATTACCTTGTTTTAGATAACATTTATATTTCTTTGGGGAATATATTTCTATATCTTTATGTTCACACTACTGATAATTATTATTATTATTATTATTATTTTTAAAAAAAATACCAAGTAAATAAAGAAATTCTCCTTAACATTATAACCACACTTTGTTTTCTTTTGCTTCACAAAGTATCCTGAAAGTCATATAAGTAGATAAGAACTACTATTAAGAAAATAATAGCATGTATTTATTAAGCTATTTTTTTTTATTTAGGCTATTCAGTTTTACATACATATGCAATATCTCTTGTGAGCTACAAACATAATACTCTTTCTTACTCTTGATCAATAAAAATATTGTTATTATAATGTATATTCACATATCTTAGCTAGCATGACTTATTCTTTACATAATTATGTCTAGAAGCAAAATTTTAATTATATAAATGTATTAGTAAAGTTATAGATAAATAATAAAGCTGTTAAACCTTTCTTTCGGACACTGTAGTATGTATATACTGTTACAGTTTATATTGCTTTGAAATCATATTAAAATCATTAAAAAAATTATTTAAAGGATTATTGTAGACATTTTACAGCTACTGTAGATCTCTAATAGTACGTATTCATACTCTTTCTTTTCTCTTTCTCTCTGATAAAGACATTACTCTTTGATACAGAGTCTAGTCGGCGAGTTCTTTTTTTTCTTTACTCGACCCTTCTGCTTTTACATTATTTTCAATATACAATATCTATAACTATTTTAACAAAAAAAATGTAATGATGCTTATACCCTATCAAACTAGCTACATATTTTGAATTATATTTAATGCTGATATAGCCCATCTAATAAAATCAGAACAATAATATGTTTTCTAAGATCAAAGCACAGAATATAACAGGTAAGAATCCCTCCATATCTCTATATGTATATATTTTTATTATTCTTCTCTTGTCTTTTACTTGCTGTTTTACTTTTGTGCACTTTTCTTGATAAATCATCAAGACTAATCATATAATATCAATAGGAACAGCAGCAACAGCAGCAACTAAATCACCAATATCAACAAGTCTTCTGATTAGTTTCCAATATTTTCTTAATATTTTTTTTCTGAAATGCATATATTCAATTAAACGAGAACAAAAGAGAAAAAAAAAAGTAGACAATTGGAACTTTGATTTAAATCTTTGACTCATGATAAACAATAAATGAGAAGAATCAAAATAAAAACGTAAAATAGAGTGAGAAAGAAAAATATAATTTCTAGCCAAAATTTTACATGAATTCAATATATTAAATACTCCTGCGAAATAAAGACAGAACTGTATATCTTTTAACTACTATCTTATCTTTTCTTATAGTCTGTACTTCTTGTATATAAATATTATCTTTGTTGCTGTAAATATATTGAATATTGCAGATACACTTAATACTACTGCCCTATTTATATGCTATTTTTAATATATTTTACATATCGTCAAGAACAAACAAAAAATTGCCGGAAATTGTTCTCCAGTAAGACTTTTGAGCAGAAGAAAGAACGCCATTAAAAACATGATAGTAGTCAATATGTGGCGATAAACGGAGGTCACAGAAATATAATGTCGAATGATTCCAGATAAATTGGTAGGAGAGTGGTGAGACGTGCTGTGTATGTTGGTGTGGTGTAAGAAGTTTGTAAAAAAAAAAACATTTAGAAAAGGAAAAAAGGGATTATCAGATAAACATTCATAGTATTTGTAGCAAATAAAAGTGTTTTTCGGATAAATACCCAGAGAAAATAAAGAAAAAGAAAATATAAGTGTGTAAAAGTTGTTTTTTATTGAGTTAATTTATTTGGGAATATATAGTTTTTCTGAGTTAAGCTGATAGCATGTTATTGAGAAAATTGGATAGTTTTGATAATACTAATTGTGTTGGTAATTGAATATGGGTACTTGTCCGAAACCAACAGTGCCACCAGCTTGTCTATAAATACTTAGGCTCTACCAGTATAAGATATTAAATTGATTTAAAGTACATAATCTATACAAGCCTTGAAATATTGTTAAGATGTAAATAATATACTTCAAGTCTTAATATCTTAAGATAACTTTAAATTTAAATATTTTAGTAAACTGCTGAAGTTGATCTTACTGACTGTATTATTATATTATCTGTTAATGTATATATATTTAATCATCAAAAAAATAAAATTAATATAGACTATCCTAACACATCTCTCTATTTATTTTCTTATTATTTTCAAGAGAATAGAGTGATATCCACAATATATAGGCTAACATGATATTATAGTAGATCAGTATATATTATCTTCTCTTACACATTTGAGTAATCTATCACACAAACCACTCAAGTTTCAATTGCCGTGAAATTTATATAATTAAAATTTTGCTTCTAGACATAATTATGTAAAGAATAAGTCATGCTAGCTAAGATATGTGAATATACATTATAATAACAATATTTTTATTGATCAAGAGTAAGAAAGAGTATTATGTTTGTAGCTCACAAGAGATATTGCATATGTATGTAAAACTGAATAGCCTAAATAAAAAAAAATAGCTTAATAAATACATGCTATTATTTTCTTAATAGTAGTTCTTATCTACTTATATGACTTTCAGGATACTTTGTGAAGCAAAAGAAAACAAAGTGTGGTTATAATGTTAAGGAGAATTTCTTTATTTACTTGGTATTTTTTTTAAAAATAATAATAATAATAATAATAATAATTATCAGTAGTGTGAACATAAAGATATAGAAATATATTCCCCAAAGAAATATAAATGTTATCTAAAACAAGGTAATACTCAAATGTATTCAGTGTTGGTACTATTCAATGTATCTATTAGATAATACCAATAGGTCGTTGATAGAAATATGCGATAAAAAATACGCAATAAAAATATGCGATAAAAAACATGGAGCTTTTACTGAAAACATGAAACTATTTAATTTTCATATGAATTTGTTTTGATTTATCCAAAATAGACATTTTACGCCTTCCGTGCTGCGCCATCCCCATTTTTTTTCATATAAGAATCGATACAATTCTCAATTTCCTGTTATCCCTCCTCTTCCTCCTGGTTTCCTTTCGGTGGTCCTTGGTTTCCGACACGGTAAGAAAATTGTCTTTAAATGCCTATATCCTTCTATCCGTATAAGGTGCATACTGATATTTATTATGAAAACGCACCCCAGACGCGGTTTCTAGCTAAGTTCCAAAAATGATGTCCAGTCTAATAGCAGGTAAAGTATTATACAGACACATGCACACTTTGACACGGTCAATATACTAACTACAGCACAGTGTTTTCTTGTGCATGTTTTTTTTTCTGTCTTCTATGCCCAGCGTCCATTCCACTGTAGCCACGGAGAGGTCCTTCACGTCAAGTTCATGTACCAGGTAAGTAAATACACACACACAGATGCTTTGACACGATCACCACACTAACTATGATTTGATGTTTTCTTTCTTTCGTCACAGTGTCCAGTGTCCAGTGCCGTTTTGCTTTTAAGCACAAGTACTTTTTTAAACCCTACGCGGTTATCTGCTAGGTAAGCAAACACACACACGCTTTGACACGATCAATACACTAACTATGATTCGATATTTCTTTTATTTTATCACAGTGTCCAGTGTCCCGTCCCGTCTTGCTTTTTAGCACAAGTACTTTTCAAGCCTTCCGCTGCTGTTTACTAGGTAAGTAAACGCGTACATACACATATACTTTGACACGATCAACACGCTAACTATGATTTGATGTTTTCTTTTTTTCTATTGCAGTTTCTAGTTCTGTTTAGCTGTTAACCACCATTCTTTTGATGGTGCCTTCATACCATGTATGGTCCACTGAGTTGTAAGTCAATATATACATACTTTGACTCAATTAACATACTCACTTTATACTTTTATATTACTTTATTCTCTTGATAGTGTTCAAAGTATGCTTATGGAGAGGTGTACCGAGAACCAGCTCAGTATTTTACACCCTTCGCAGTTAACAGCTAGGTAAGTAAACGCGCACACGCGCACACACTTTGACACAATAAGTATATTAACCTTATACTCGATTTTTATTTATATCTCTACTCTTGGAGTGGTCACTGAGTACCTCGTATTCTATCGGTCACGATATATCAAAAGGAATATACGTAAACATTTTCATGCAAAATGTGTATATCATGGTCTTTAACAGTGAGTCTCCGGGCTCTTTTCCAACTCGCTCATTGTAGACGCCTTATTTATAAGGCTTGTCTTAATATGAGATTCTGGTTTTTTTATTGAACGCACTGCACTCTTTGGCGTCTAGTCATTGAGTTCGCTCAAGGTACCATGGCCTAAAATTGGTCCGTACTTTGAGCGATTCTACCTGCATTTACTGCAGTGGAAAAGAAACCAAAAGGGATTCCGTCTTGGACTTTATTGTTTGAGATGGAGAAGCTCCAATGTTTGAACCGGAGTAGTCTTTTGACTGCTCTGGATTGTGAACTAGTGAACTGCTTTTCCAGACATACCAACAAGTCAGTAGCCTTCACTCCCTGGAAAAGGTTACTGGAGGGTGCAATCCCCTCACCTTGTCTTGAGTTCTTGTCTTTGTGTTAAGTAGCTTCCGATGAGTCGGGTTGTTTTACAAACTCCCTAATCCTGGTGAAAAGTTTCATCGAAGGCTAAATATACTTATAAAAAACCAACTGAACACAAGTACCGTAAGGGAAAGTAGCTCTTAGTGTAGAGCATACTGGACGTTAAAGACCTTCCTGAGCCACTCATATGAAGGCGAAAGCCGGATGAAATCCACGTCAGTTTTTTCTGTGTTGTGCGGCACATAACATGGAGAAGACTGAGGAACGCAGAGGTAGCTTTATGCTATTTTCTTAGGACGTTGGATATTGGCTCTCCAGATTTTGTCCTTTGGGGCATGTCAAGATTGTCACAGAAAGGTGCAAGTATAAGGGTGTATCACCTGGATGCGTAGAGTTTTTTAAATTCGTTGAGCACCTGGACGTGAGGTAATACAGGTAGATTCCAGCAGAATCGACAGATTACCCAGTACAATCGCCTGTATTTTACTGCTTCCTGTTGAAATGATCCCTGTGCTTTTCAAGTCCCTCATTGCTTAGACTTTGATACTTGTAACCCACGCTCTGGTAAACAGAACTGGACATGAGGGACGAACCCGAAGCAAAGTTAAGGTGCCTAAGTAAATGCTATGCTGTTCACTTGGGTGTCTCAGACACCTGTCCCGAGCAGTTTGGCATTAAAGCATTTCACCGATACTTTGCCGTCATGGTAAATTTGATGCCATGCCGAGTAGGCAGGAATGAGGGTTGTTGAGAAGCTTGGGTGTAAACTTGAGTGGATCGGCCTTCAAGCGCAGGTCTTGACAAAAAAATCTTTATTTTTACTTTTGGGATTTATCGGATATACTTTAAAAGTATATAAATGAATATTTTAATACAATATTCAGTATTAAAATCAGGTCGAATTTTCTTTTACAAGCAAGGTATGTATATGTATAGACACGTATCAACAATGGGCATCATACTTATTAAGTTCTAATAAATCAATACTACAACTTCTTTAGCATTCTTCGTTTAGCCGATCTTCTTTCACTTGACAACTCATGCCTGAAAACATATAAATACAAAGGTATAGTTTTTTTTTAAAAAAAATCAATAGTTTTATGACCTTTCATTAACCTTTCTCATCTCATGTATGCAATTAAGCATTGACATTCAATTAGGCATTGCCACGCAATTAGGCATTGACAAGCAATTAGGCATTAACATGCACTTAATATTATAAACACCAGTCCGAGTATTGTTTTATTCCATATAGGTAATAACCGCCACCTCCTTAAAAGTATTTGAAGATTAACCTCTTTTTTCTTTTCACTCTTCTGGTGGAATATTCTTATGAGATCTCCATAGAGCTAAAATCTAAACTACTTGGCAGCCTTACTATTACTATAAAATTATGTCATTTCTTCCACTCTTATCCAATATTAAACTTGTGACAGGGAGCATTATCTTCTTAGTAGATATATTCGCTATCTTTATCTTCATTGAGAGCTTACATAAATAGAAGATTCTTCATTAGTTCATTAGTTAATTGCGCGTGTCTTTGAACTTCCATATGACCCAGACATATCCTATCTTCCTAAACCTTTCTTTGTATCAATTATGTAAAAAAAATTGCTCAAGTCGTAGCCGCAAAAAGAATATAATTCTTATAGCTGGCGAAGAAATCAATTAAAAGACACAAGAATTGTAATAACCAACCACAGAAATATTTAGCTATTTCTACTTCTCTCTCTTATTTATTATTAATTATGCAAAGAAGCATAGTTTATCCCAACATCTTTGTAATAGCTTAGTAATATCTTACTAACTATCTTATTTTTCTTTATTAACTATCGAAATAGCCATATGAACATCGAAAGATGAAAGCAATAAAGACTATCCTTACACAGCACTTTTGTTTTCTTTTGATCTTTCTTGAGAGAACAAGCTGCCAATTGCCATTATTTGGGTCAAGGATATGATAAAGGAGATCGATATCTATTCTCTTTTCCTTTTAACTGTCTGGACCACTTCATCATATAAGCCAATACTGCCCGTATCACCTTTTCAAATGTAAAGAATAATGATTCAGAAATAAGGTGAAATATGCCCAGATTGTAAAACTATCCTTTTCTCATAATATATTAGATTTTCAATTCAAAGACCTTTTCCTTATATGGGGTTTCACCAGATCTGGATGTTTGACTGTCGGATGTATTGGTAGCTTAAGCACTATCCGATAATAACAAATATAGAAAAAAAGAACTATTGAATACAATTAATGTCTCTTGGTTGATATGGTTTCTCTCATATACCTCAAAATTCATATGTACAATACGCTTGATTAGAGTACCCATAGATATAGCGCTTACGCCCAAACTCCCTACAAGTAAGTTAGACTTCTATAACTTTGTATTCGGATAGCCACTCTTACATAGATTGATTATGTTTTATTTTTGACTTTGCTTTTATATGAACCTTGTCATCAATTGTACATAAAGTACAAAATTTTGTAAATTTTGGCAAAGTCACGACATCTAAAGTATTGAACTATTTTTTTTTGGATGTCTGGATGTTCAGTTTTCATTTCTTGAAGACTCGCCACAGCCAATCGTTTTTCGAATTAAACTACCGTATATCCATCCATCAGTCAAGCATTCAGAGTTGGTGAAACCCCCTATTATGTAAGAGTGGCCCTGGCTTCTACGTGCTTAACCGTTCTCGACTTGTGCATTTGTGGAGGCCTTGACAGCTCATGCTGTTTGACTTGGCTACTAAGGCTTAATATTTAAAGGCACTTAATTTTCCACTGATATAGTATTTAGACAAAAAAAATTTAGTTGTGTTGCAGAATTTGGTAACTCCAAAGAAGCGTTACGCAATTTTCCTTGATTCCCTCTTTATATACATATCAACTTTTTGTTTGTTTCCATACACCACTCATTTTTTACCATTTTATTGCGAGTATAGATAGATTCTATTATTATATCCTGCATTTTCAATTACCTCTTGATGCTTCGAATTATTTACTGTCAATCTGTTCTGGTTTAGTGAAGTAAAAGAGCTTGGGTCTTTACCACTCTATGCCCTTATATATTTTCATGATCTCTTTACTTCTGTTAATGTTTGTCTGTCGGCATGTTCAAACTTTTTTAATATAAGTAGTTATAAACTTATCTCAATAAAAATACGAATTCTATAAGAGTGCTTTCTTTGGACTTTCAGTTAGGACAGCCTCCTACTTAATATACACAACCTTTTTATTTCAGGTACTGTTCTTATATTTTATTATTCTTATTTATATTCTTATTTTGTGATTTAATTTTTACCTGAAAATTAAAATTGCCTTAATTTGAACTCAAAATATATTTTATTTTAACGCCAATCGAAGAGAAAAAGCCACGCCCTGGGTTTTAGGTTAGGATCCTTTGGTGCACCCCAGATTCTTATTTCTTAACCATGAAGAAGCCTCAACGTCCTTTCCAGCCTAAAGCAGCAACTTCGTTTATTAGACCTGTAAAGTCGTTCACTCCACAGCCACCACCACCACCACCACCAAAGAGTGGACCTCGTCTAGCTCCACTTTTAGTGGGTGGCGCATTACTCTATGTGACGGCTACCTATGTCAGTATGGTTGTCTTTAAAAGCAAGGGTGACACTGCTGCCAATACAACCACTACAACCGATACAACCGCACCCAGCGAGTCTGCCGCGCCTAAGACGACAGTGCTCAAACCAATCGAAACCAAAGTCACGCCTTCTCAGTTTGATACTTCCCCTATTTGGGAAAGTGTGGCCAAGAGCTATGACAATGAGATTGGGTGGGATGAGCGCGTAATGGGTATTGGATTGCTACGCCGTTGGTTAGTCAGTCAAGCAAAGGTAATGATGCCAAAAAGAAAATACTAAACTTTTACTTAAAATCCAAAGCAATTATACTACTAATACTACTAGTGGTGATAACCATACTTATTAAGTAATTTTAACTGTTTATTTTATTATATGATTGGTTGTAGGGCGATGTGCTTGAGGTATCAACTGGTACTGGCCGTAACTTTAGTTACTACAAGCCTGAAAGCATTACCTCGGCCACATTTACTGATCGCCATCCACCAATGCTTGAGGAAGCCAAACACAAGTTTGAAAAACAACCAAAACCCTGGAATGTCGAAGCAAACTTTATAACAGCCAATGTGGATGATCCCAAGAGTATGCCCCAAGGGTTTGACACTGTTGTAGATACTTTTGGGTTGTGCTCATGTGGGGATCCCGTAGAGGCTTTAGTTTCATTGGCAGATGCTTGTAAGTCTGAGGATTCACGGATCCTTTTACTTGAGCATGGACGCAGTCACTATGATTGGTTGAATCGTTTGTTGGACACCAATGTTGACAAGCATGTTACTCGGTGGGGTTGTTGGTGGAATCGAGACATGGTTGGCTTGTTGGAGGACAAACGTGTTAAAGAAAAAATGGAGGTTGTATCCATGTATAGATGGCATTTTGGCACAACTTGTTATATTGTAGCAAAGCCAAAAAGATCACCCACAGAGACTAAATGATAATAATAATTATATATATATATAATATGTATATACAATAGTAACTTATGAAATGTATTTTATATCTGATGTTTATATACACATAGACATGTGTGAAATTTGGAAGAAGTATTATATATATATATATATATAATATGTGTATTCGAAATTACACACAAAACAAACAAACAAAAAAAACAAAATCCTATAAATAATAGTAATAAAGTAGAGAGAGTATTCATAAAAGTGAGTAGTGGACGGAGTACAGATGGTGTCTGTCAAAAGAGAGTGACGTAGAGGGCTGGTGCATTCGACGCAATTTTTTTTTCTTTTTTTCGTTTTTATATTTATTTCTGGAAAAGAATTAATTTTTCCTTCTTTTATTTTCATACTACACCATGAGGTAAGTAAATCTGCCACTTGGTCAAGAAAGTCATTTATAGTTTAATAATCCAACAATAAATTGTACTCAATCTAAACTAATCTCTACTTATTACCTATAGCAACGAACCTTTGCAAGAAATCCAGGAGGTTGAGATCGAGGTAAGTTTGTTGATTGCCACTGCTCATCGAGATTCGTAAATCAGCAGAATCTGACCTCTTGTTTGTTTGTTCTATAGTCCAACTGGGATGAAATTGTCGATAACTTCGATAACATGAACCTCAAGACCGACCTTCTCCGTGGTGTCTACGCCTATGGGTATGTATTATTGGCTGACTATTATGATCAATATTATCATATACATATACACATTTACACATGTACACATATATATATGGGTGTATATATATATGTGTATATATATATGTGTGTGTGGTTGTGTGTTTGTGTGGTTGTGTATGCGAAAGAAAACTGCAAGACTGATATTAACTTTTATTTCTTACTTTTTAGTTTCGAGCGTCCCTCGACCATTCAGCAGCGTGCTATCATGCCCGTTGTCAAGGGTCACGATGTTATTGCCCAGGCTCAGTCCGGTACCGGTAAGACCGCTACCTTCTCCATCTCCATCCTCCAGTCGATCGATGTCTCCTTGAAGGAGACCCAGGCTTTGATCCTTGCCCCCACTCGTGAGTTGGCTCTCCAGATCCAGAAGGTCGTCCTTGCCCTTGGTGACTTCATGGGTATTGAGTGCCACGCCTGTATCGGTGGTACCAACGTCCGTGACGATATCACCAAGCTCCAGTCTGGTGTCCACATCGTTGTCGGTACTCCCGGTCGTGTTTTCGATATGATCGACAACCGTGGTGCCTTGAAGACCGAGCACATCAAGATGTTCGTTCTCGATGAGGCCGATGAGATGCTTTCCCGTGGTTTCAAGGATCAGATCTACGATGTCTTCCAGCTTTTGCCCGAGACTACCCAGGTCGTCCTTTTGTCTGCCACCATGCCTTCCGATGTCATGGAAGTCACCACCAAGTTCATGCGTGATCCCATCCGTATTCTTGTCAAGCGTGATGAATTGACCCTCGAAGGTATCAAGCAGTTCTACGTTGCCGTTGACAAGGAGGAGTGGAAGCTCGACACCTTGTGCGATCTCTACGAGACTGTCACTATCACCCAGGCTGTCATCTTCTGCAACACCCGCCGCAAGGTCGACTGGTTGACTGACAAGCTCCACGCTCGTGAGTTCACTGTCTCCGCCATGCACGGTGATATGGACCAGTCCCAGCGCGATGTTATTATGAAGGAGTTCCGCTCTGGTTCTTCCCGTGTCCTCATCACCACCGATCTTTTGGCCCGTGGTATCGATGTCCAGCAGGTTTCTTTGGTCATCAACTACGATCTCCCCTCCAACCGTGAGAACTACATCCACAGAATTGGTCGTGGTGGTCGTTTCGGTCGCAAGGGTGTCGCAATCAACTTCGTCTCCAACGACGATGTCCGTATGATGAGAGACATTGAGCAGTTCTACAACACCCAGATTGAGGAGATGCCCATGAACGTTGCTGATCTGATCTAGATTGTATATATTGTTATGTTATAATAAAACGCATCGTAAACCGCTTTGCGTAATTCAGTAGAAACCAACATATCTATATACATACAAATAATACATTGTTTTCTTTCAAAAAAAAATTAAAGAAGTCTATCGATATCATTACCTATTAGCTCAGGGGATCTGTCCCATTTGGTCAGGGAGCCTTGTTTTTCGGGGCTTATCTTTTTTTTTTATTTATTTATTTATTTATTTTGATTTTTGATTTTTGATTTTTTTTAACGAAGTATCTACGTATGAATGGTAAACCAAATATATTACAATGACATTTATTTTGGATGATTTGCTTTATTGATGTTCAAGACTTGTCAGTGTCTTTAGAGTTCAAAAGGTCTTGGTGTAAAGTTCAATTAAGCCTTATAATGAATAACATGCCATGAGCAGGTGATAGGGTCCCAGATGTGGATCTGAAACGACCGTTTTTCTTAGCCACTCACTGTTGGGGATATTTTGTATTGGGATATAAAAGCGGGAATCAGAAAGAACAAAGTTTTTTTTTTAAAAAAAATTGACTACACCACAGAAAAAATTTGATTTGATATTAAGAAAATTAAAACCCGTCTGCTATTTGATTGGATTTTTACATATTTATCGTGTAACTCCCCTTCACTCTCACTTCTTGGAACAAATACTCTCTATAAAGTTAAGCTAGAAGTGTATAGATCTACAAATGGATAGCTAGTAAAATATCACACACACACACACACACACACATATATATATATATATAAAATACTGGAGAAATTATAAGTGTTGGCACTAAAAAAAAATAAGAAGCAAAGAGTTAAGTAAATAAATAAAGTAAAAATAATAAATAAAGAACCAGCAATGGTTAAACTTGTTAAGATTGACAGCATATTTATCAACTTCTATGACTATATCAAGTATAGAAGCAGTCTTTAACTAGAAAAGTGGGCTATATATACCTATTACTTGGAGGGTTTGAGTGTAATACTATGATTGTTTTTCTATAGGATGTATGAATACCTTTTTAATATGGGAATAGTATATTTTTGAAATGAATACGCTTTCATTAATTGTGAATGAATTTTGTTTTTGTTTTATCATTCTTACGCTTAAATACAACAAATGTAGTGTCCTCTTGTCAGCCAACATCAGTTTCATCAGTGTCGTTGTTATTAGCAAACTCTCCTCAATCTACTAAGCAAAATTTAATAAAACCTCCTGGCAGCATTATTCCGAATAAGCTCTTCGATATTATTGACAGTATTATTATTTTTTACACTGAGATATAAAAAAGGGGGGTCAACTTAAGTAGGGGATTTTCGTAAAGCTTTTTTTTTTCGAGGGGTTAAGGGTTGATTTAAGGTTGAAGTTTAATTAAGCACTAATTGACATCCTTTTTCTTATTTCTTTACTTTTTAATCCAAAAGAAAGCCACCTTTTCAATATTTCACTATTTTTCCACCTTATTTATTTTAATTGATAAAAAACATCCTCTTTCGCCAATACACAACCACAAAATAATAATAAAAGCAATGATTCACTAAAGCATTCAAGAAATGTAATCACCAATTAAAAAAAAAGGCTTCTTGGAGGATGCCTAGCAATAGATATATTGGAATAATTATTTTCTTCTTGTCAATAATTGTCCTCTGAAATTTGTCATTTTTTATTACATATCAAACCCCTCCAAAACAGCTTCTCTTAACCTTACAGTGCATTTAGTTTGATGGTCATGTGTTGAATTTTCTAATATTGCGATGTGAAATTGCAATTGGTAAGGGGGGGGGGGGCTTAGAAGTCTAATAGCAATATCTCGATTTTACAACCAACAGGCAACCTGTGATGAAGTCATATCCTCCAAACACTTTAAATTGGTACTTTATAATAATATATAAAAGGATAATAGCAGAGAAGCTAAAACTGATTACATTTAGTGTTTAGTGGCGGTGTTATGGGCGAGAAGTTAAGGCTTCAACTTTTTGAGAAATAACTGGGAATTTGAGGGACAGTATCTAAACATACCAGATTCAGTAATTGAAAAAGCATTTGATTCTTACTTGCAATGTATTATTTCTGTCTTTATGCTCTTGGTTGAAATAGAAGGAGAGGTGAGCAATATTATTAACTCGATTGAAATTCTAGTAGAGGACCTTTTCGGCAGCAAACATACTCTGTTGTTGGCCTTTAAGACTCAAAAGAACCCTGCAAAAATTGCCACCTTTTAATTGTGTTCTTTGTTAACCGGAGGTTTATTAGTAGTATCTCTGTATGATAGCAGTATAGTCATTATACATACAGTATAAAAGATCTCTTATAGGTTCAGCGTAATCGTAAAGACCCTGGATTCTTTCATATTTTGCTATGGTAAATAATTAATAACATATCCAACCCTTTCCGAGTCAATGATACTGCCTATTCTTAAAGCGGGTCCTTTGGTAGTGTCGCTAGTCTGACTTATAATGAAGGCACCAGTAGCATTTTTTTGGATCGTTTCTTTGAGTCTCATTGGACTTCTGTCCTGCTTTCGGAAAACCTAGCGATTTGAACCAATCACTATTTCTCATAGATCTATTTTGTTTATGAAAAACCTCTGCGACATCCTCAAGGCATGCTGGCACAGAATGTTAATGTAAGCTTGAATATAACATGGATATTACTATATTTAAAGAAGAGAGCAGTTGAAGTATCGATACCGAATACGCTTTATGAGTTTGATCATACGAAAGAACGAAATCAATTAATTGCGAAAAAAAAAATAACTTTGGCACTAGAGTATATATTATTTTGTTAAGATCTATATTGCTTTAAATAAGCCGTCAAGATAAGTAGACTTTCTGCGAAGATATATTTGTATACTGCTAAATAAGAAAGGACTCGCATAATAAGTACAATAGTATAGCATGTCTGATATAAAAAAATATAAAAATTATTGGTGTAAGAATAAAACATTACACCTGAAAGAGACTGATAATTTTAGTAATTAACGCACGTACAAAAGATTCTTGATTTTATTTTATCAAAAGTTCATCCTAATTTTTCTTAACCTTTGTCCTTTATATATAATAAACAAGTCTTAAATGTTTTGTGTTTTCGGTTTGATTGGTATTGTTATTTGTTGATTCTGGAAATATTTTGTATTTGGATGAGTATTACCAAAGAATTGGATTGTACAAGATAATTTTCATGGTACCAGGAATTCTCCATAAAACCAATGCAAATCAAGTGTTTATTTTTACTAAAATATCTTTAAACCATAACAAAAATTCAATTATTATATACATAATCAACTGCCTACATATTTCTTCTCCTCTTTTAGCGTAACGGTTTTTCATGTCTATAAAATCATTTTAATAACCTCTCTGATTTTGCGTACTTTAAGTATGGTCTAGCTAATATCCATCATAAAGTTCTAAATTATTACCGAATAAGCCCTTTAGTTACATAGTGTAGATTATACCTAGCTGTATTATGACAAGGTTGTTTTTTTGCTGAAGAAGAAAAAAAAAGAAATATAAAAGCATCGTATTATCTATCTTTGAGAAGCTGTCAACTTTGAGAATATGACTCACGAGTTTCCTGCTGAGCTGTTTTTCATTATCGCATCACATCTTACTAGAAGTGACTATATAAATTGCTCAAAAGTGTGTAAATCATGGAGAAAACCCTTTTACCAACTGATCTGGCAAACTGTTGTTATTAACCATCGTCGCAAAGCAATTTATACACAAAAGGTTTCCAATGGTATTAATGGATTAATGTATATCAAAGACACAATCCCAATTTATGTGAGTTATTGAATCATAACCCAGAGATGAATGCAACATTTCTCTTCTTATTAATAACAAATACACGTACCTATATACTCTATAGGAAGTGATTGAAATGTCTTCTATTATGTTACCAAACTACCGAACTAATGGAGCATTTACAAGGAAATTGAAACTGGGGCCGTTAATCTTAGCATCAAATGCGGAAATAACTGAAATACAAAAATACTTTGTGAACGTGAATATATTGTTTCTATATCCACTTTCTGTTTCGCCGTCGGTTTTTATGAAAAAAGTATATTGGACTGCATGGAGAAATCTATCTTACCTAAATACCGACATTCCATATATCTATGGAACCAGAAAAGCTCAAACCATATTAAATATAGCTTTTTGTATACCTACGCTCAATGTTCTTGTGATCAGGAACATAGATTACGAGACGTCAGACTATTTCTCGGTAGATGATCTGGAGAAACTACACCACTTATTACCAAATCTTACCGCTCTCCGGATAAAGTTTTCGATTGCTCCTGTAACTGTCGAGGAGTTTGAACGCATCGCATGTCCATCGCCTGCAAAGATGATGGTGGAATTGGATATATGCTATGAGCTTACAGATTTTTCATTGCTGTATTATTGTGCGCTAAAGTATCCGAAACTAGAGATATTCAGCTACAAGGCATTGTCTTTCAGAATCCGGCCACTACCAACTTTATTTGAAAATATCGAAGGTCCCTTTGAGCGGCCAGTGAGAGATTTGATGAACATATCGGTTCAGTACCAGGGACACATACTCAACAAATTACGCCGGCTTCCACCATTCTTCCAGAACTTAAAATCCATTGTATTAAAAGATCGTCCAACGAGTCAGTGGCAATCACACATGATATGGGAATTTATTATGAAATTTCATGTCCGTATCACCAAGGCAGAATACAGAGTTAAAGGATTAAGATTCAAAACTTCGCGTGGTAACCCCAGTATGCCAATGGAGATGTGTTTAAACGCATGTTCAGATTCAGTACAAAGATTGTGCCTGACCTGCTGCTTTATTCCATACGGGCCGTCTATACAAATAAGGCGTTTTGATCATTTTCCTTGTTTGGTTTCTTTGATTATTAAACTAAATTATCGAGTGGAAATTGAAGTGGACTATATACTCCATGGATGTCCCGTGTTGGAGCTGTTACTAGTTGATGGAGACGTCCTTATAATAAGTACTGAAAACTATAATAATATAGAACATAATCTGGAGGAACAAAAAGACATTTCACTTTTGAACGAACGGATATATCCAAGGAGTCATGGGTTGAAGCATCTTTTGCTTGGCAGATTAAGTATTATGGCGTATATACTCTATTATATATCCTGCACTTGCAGAAACCTAGAGACGTTGGAATTCCATTGGGTGATGATATACGGGCTAATGTCACAAACGAAGGAGCTTGAGATCAACATGCCGTATACATCTCTCAAAAAGCTGGTTATCGATTATGTAAACTTTGAAAGGATGCACAAGGGATATCGCAAACAGTCCTATTCTTCTCCCCACAAAATCAATTACTTTATGATCGACACAATAGATAATAGAGGCCCGGATTCTAACGGGAAAAAACAACGTTATGAGCGACAAAAGCCTGTCAGTGTTACTGGATTCAACTCCTCGAGTTGGATTTATCGCCCTGTATTTTTTGAAACATACCCAAGCGGTGGAAGAATGTGGAAAGTCTGTTTATTTTATGTCCTCATAGAGAGCATCAATTTCCCTCAAGAAACCGCTAATACAAGGGCAGACGATGCAAGGCCATCCCTCGAGATTCGCCACACGATAGGATTTAGCGAGAATAATCATACTAATACGCTGTTGTCGGATAAGCGCTATCGTCAGTATTGTGCTTCGTTTTTGTTTAAAGTTGTCGAGGAATATTGCGTAAATATGCCAGTCAGTGAGTAACAATTCAGTGAAGCGGAATAAATCAGTTCGATCCACTGTAACCGAGAATCAGACTTTTCCTTTATTTCCCCCACTTTCATCTTATCGAAAAAGGAAATACGAAAAAAAAGAACCGATTACTTTCAAGATCCTCTCCACACTATAGTACATTTTCTATTAATTAATTAATCAATTGATTGATTAATCTCTTTTACGCACTTACTTTTTGTAAATATTAATAAACTTGTGTGCTTTTAAGGATTATATATACATTATACTTACTCGCTATGTTTTTATTACTATCAGTTTGAGACATAAACTAAATGAATAAATAAAGGAATGAATGAACGAATGTTCAGAAAAGGGCTCATATCAAAGAATTTTATTTGTTGGTTACCGGGTTACAATACTTGGAGGACAGAGTAAAATAAAATTTTCTAGAAAGTAGATACCAGATGTATACACTTTGAAAAATTCTATATTATCAATAGATCTAATATTTCTAATATTTGTTTCATCTTCTTCTCTTTACTTTATATATAACATACTATCTTTTTGTATTATAACCATAAAAAAAAACAATAAAAAACAGGCAACCATGACAACAAATTAAAAGTCAGTCCCGGGATCCTCTCTTCCGTCTTTTTTTTTGAGCTTCAAAAAAAAATGAACCTTTTATTTTTTGTGATAATATTTTCGTTTAATATGATATGGTTGATTTTGACTCATATTTTTTTTCAGCTACCTTTTTTGTTTCTCTATTTCTCTTCTCTTCTCTTCCGTTTTTTTTTCTTTCCCACTCTTCCAGAATACTTATACCTCTTTCCCCTTTTTAAAGAATAAAATAAAGAGGCAAACGTTTATTTGAATTAGACACTACACTATACACTAGAAAGATGAGCGACGACCTGATTGAATTGACGAATAAGCTCCAGACTGTGGCCTCATCAATTAGCGCCCATGGCACACTCGACCTTCCTCAAATCGTAGTTGTCGGGTCACAATCGTCCGGAAAATCATCCGTACTAGAGACGATCGTCCAACGTGATTTCTTACCACGGGGTAGCGGGATCGTAACGCGCAGACCATTAGTTCTACAACTTATTACATCAAAGCAGGCTGATGCACCTGACTATGGAGAGTTTTTGCACACTCAGGACAAAAAGTTTTATGACTTTGGAGAGATTAGAGAAGAGATTGAGCGCGAGACGAGTCGAATTGCAGGAGGAAACAAAGGCATTTCACGCATGCCAATCCATCTACGCATTTACTCTCCCCGTGTACTGACTTTGACCCTGGTGGATCTTCCGGGTATGACAAAGGTAGGGGTTGTTTGATACTATATTTTAATTTAATTTCTATTATTATTATTATTATTATTATTGTTTCAAAAGAACTGAAGATATGAGCATATTATTTATATTGTATTTATTGTATTTATTCTTAGATCCCTATTGGTAAGTAATGAAAGGACGAAACAAAGAAATAGATAGATAGAGATAAAGTGTGTATATAAGAGTCAGAGATCCTGAAGAGTTCGAATTTTATTTTGAGATTGTAGGGGACCAGCCTTCAGATATTGAAAAGCAAATTAGAGACCTTATTATGGACTATATTTCAAAACCAAACAGGTACACAAATTAATTTAATATAATGAATAAGAGTCTAAGATGGGAAAGGATTTTTTTTGTTGTAATGATGCGTACAAGGATTAGTAATTAACCAAAGACTTTATTTTTATTTTTATGTAACAAACCGATTAACAACAAAGTATCATCCTGGCTGTAACTCCTGCAAATAGTGATTTGGTCAATTCGGATAGTTTAAAGATCGCTAGACAAGTAGATCCAGAGGGTAAAATGATTAAATAAAATATAATATTATTGTGGTTAAAATAATGTTTTCTAATTTTTTTTTAATAAATCACAGGTAAACGAACCGTTGGTGTACTCACTAAACTAGACCTTATGGATGCCGGAACGAACGCACTCGATATTCTCACTGGAAGATCCTATCCTCTCAAGCTTGGATTTGTAGGTGTTGTCAACAGAAGCCAGCAGGACATCTTGACCAACAAGCCAATGAAAGACGCACTCAAGTCTGAAAACCTGTTCTTTCAACAACACTCTGCATACCGGAACATTTACGCACGATGTGGAACACAATATCTTAGTAAATTACTTAATACTGTATGTATACATATATACACGTATGTGCGGAAGGATACCATATAATATTGCATGTGAATATATCTATATGCGTGTGTACAAAAGAGGGTGGCTCAAACTCATCCTTTTGGAATTATCGATAGATCCTTTTGGCTCACATCAAAGAAAAGTTGCCTGAACTCCGGTCCAAGCTTAGTTCATTGATTAGCCAGACACAACAAGACTTATCACAGTATGGTGAACCTTCACTAGCTGCTGAGCCCATACATCATGTAAGTAAAAAAAACCATAAAGCATATATATTTATATTCATATTCATGATGAAACTCTATTTTTTTATACAGGGAACCCTGATCCTACGTATGCTGACTCGTTTTGCCAACGCATTTGTGGCTGCTATTGACGGAACTTCCTCAGAAATGTCAACTAAAGAACTGTAAGAAATGGAATATGATTATATTATAATATAATCTATTGTGCATACATATTGATATCATTTTCTTTTAATCTTCTTCTTATATAGCTGTGGTGGAGCGCGCATTTATTATATATTCAACAACGTATTTGGACATGCACTGGATGCTATACGTCCTTGCGCAAACCTCACAAACAATGATATCCGGACTGCAATCCGTAACTCGACCGGTCCGCGACCATCACTGTTTGTACCTGAGATTGCATTTGACTTGCTTGTGAAGCCACAGATCAAGTTATTGGAGACACCAAGCTTACGGTGTGTCGAGTTGGTGTATGAAGAGTTGATGAAAATATGCCACAATTCAGAAGACAAGGTTTGTAAAAAAATGGTTATTTGTATATACGAAGAATTATATATAAGAAATAAATGTTATTCATATTAATATTGACATGGGCATATACAATGATAGGAAATGATGCGATACCCCAAGCTCCAGACAAGACTAATCGAGGTCGTCTCAGAACTCCTGCAGGAGAGACTGAGCCCAACATCTACTTATGTAGAAAGCCTGATTGCTATTGAGAGGGCTTATATTAATACCAACCATCCTGATTTTTTGGGTGCAGCAGGAGCCATGTCGAGTGTAGAGCATGAAACCCGCAAGAAGAAGAAAGTTGCCGAAAAGAAGCGGGTAAGCTTTTGGCATAACGACACTTGCAGGATATAAATATCGGCGGACTAATGTTTATATATGGTTGCTCTGTGATGTGTGTGTGTGCTGATAGACTACCAGAGCAGAATCGATTTCTAGTGTTGGTCGTGAGGCAGAGGATGAACGTGCTATGATGATGATGAATGGTGGTTCTCCCCGGTCTGCGGATTCTAATATGCAACAGGGCCAAAAAGACTCTTTCTTGACGTATTTCTTTGGAGGTGCAAACAAGAACGACCGCCCTGCATTGGGCCCTCAGGAGGTGATGGAGAATAGTCATTATGTACCCCCAATGTCTGTCAATTCTATGATGGAGTCTGAACTAGAGCGTAAACTGGAGCAGGCGTCGATCCAGGGTGATATTGTGCCTGTATCGGATCGTGAGGAGTTGGAAGTGCAGCTTATTCGTACGCTTATTACCAATTACTTTACCATTGTGCGTAAGAATGTTCAGGATATGGTTCCCAAGGCTGTGATGCATTTGCTGGTCAACCACTCGCGGGAGGCGGTGCAAAATAGGTTGGTAACCTCGCTCTACAAACAAGAGCTCTTTCCCGAACTTCTTCAAGAAGATGAAGGAATGGCTGCAGAAAGGTCAAAATGCAAGGCTCTCTTGGATGTATACAAACAGGCATTTGATATTGTTAATGGTGTACTTTAAACCAAAAGAAGAAGAGAACACAAATAAAATGACAATAGAACAAAAAAAACCTCTCATCAACAAACACCCCTTACTTCGTCAAACAAAAGTATAAAAAGGAACAACTCCTTTGACGACTATCTATTATATAAATATATATTACACAAGCCTATCTTGGAAAGTGATTTCAATGGTTGGATGAATTTTTTGGCTCTAATTTCATTTAAACAATTTATTACTTGATTTTACATATAAATTAGGAGTCCAAGGGCGGTGAGTGAAATGATGTGAATATCTCTTTCTCTTTTTCTCGTTTATATATAACCCTTGCCCACCCACGCTCATACTCACTTACACTCACTTACACTCACTTACATACTCACTTCCACTCATTCACACACTTATATTGACTGAAAATGGGAGCCCACAGAGTTGATTACCGCATGTCGAAGCTAATTGTCCTTTGCAAGGATTGTGGCAAAGACGTTGGAATGTACCCAGCCAGACACAATTGTGAATACTTGCTGCATGCACAATTACCCCCTCTTACACAATTACCTGAGAGCTCATTGAATGAACGATCCCCTGGCTCAGACTCCAGTTCCATAAAATCTTATTTTGGCTTCTCTCGACAATCCTCAGCCCTATCCCGACAGACATCAGAGCTCTCGGTTGGCTCAGTGGAATCCGACAACACTACCAGCACAACCGGCACAAATGCTCACAGCAATAAATGGGCTCGCTTTCAGAAACCAGAAGAGACAGATGGCTCATACTATGATAAATTCGCTGCTAACCTTCCGGAACAACCAGAGACTGGAAAATCATTATGGGGAAGAGTCCGTCAGAACGAGAAATGGAAACAGATGACGGCTGAAAAGAGTAAGATTTTATTTTTGTTTTATTTTCTCAACAGAACGAAAAAGAGAAAAGAAAACATGCCACTTGAAGGGTGGGGGAGAAGGGGGGTGGGAGACTATCTAGTTAAACTTGTGGATCTTGCTTAGGTGAAAGTAGACGAACGAGCGGGAAGCTTTGGGGTAAATTATTGAATGCTACTCAGGCGATGTCGGTGAGGGAAGATGAACCAGGTAAGGCAGTGTACATATGAGATTGAAGCGGAAAATCTTACAAGACAGAATTGGTTATTCTGATACTTGAAATTAGAGTCGGATGGATCTGACTATGAAGGCGAGAGCCATGTGTCACGGATCCTGCGTGAATACTATGGAAAACAGCAGAAGCCTCTACCTGATTGGATGCGGGAATCCCCTGTCCAGAGACGTGTAACGGTACACACGTCGGAAAACATTAATCGTCAACAATCTGGCCGAAGAAGACTCTGGGAGACTTCTGAAGACAGACCTACGCCAAGAGAACTAGAACGCCATTCACTAAGATCAAGTCCAAGGGACCACACGAGAAGCTATGTGGTCTAAGTGAAACATTGAATATCCAAACTAGACTTTACTTTGCCTTCATTTAAGAGGGCATTGTCTAACAAAAAAGAGGTTCCTTATTTTATTTTTTTTATTTTATTTTATTTTTCATTTGGTGTACTGAGTGTGTACTACACATACATTCAAACACCTCATATTATATATTATATTATATATTATATATTTATTATACAGTCAATAGTGTACCTGGTTGTGTACAATTTTAGTAAAATATTGGCTACTATTGTTTACGATTAAACTACTTTGAGTTTACATCTGCGTGAGATAGATAGAGAGTGTTATCTGCTTGTATAAAGTAATTACTGGTAACTAGGTAGTCCATTTGGACAATTTAGATAGACAAATGTAAGTAACGGTCATCTTCTTTATCCTCGGCGTCGAGGTATCCGATTTTTGGCGAGAGGTGTGGAGTGATTGCATAATGAGATCTTTTGTGCCAACAACTGCGTTAATTTGTCTTAATGTGGCCTCAGATATTTAATGTTTCCTTTAGATTGTTCTATTCCCTATTGAGATTTTCTTTATTGATATGAAACATTTCTGTCACAATCCTTGTAGATTGTCCAAAGCTTGTGAAAGAAAAGAGAAAGAAAAAGCTACTTTCTACCAACTTTGTACGACAGTAACGATGTCCACGCGAGATATTTTAAGTTGTGGGATGAATAACATGTTAAATGTCTTTTTCCCTACTTTCTAACTTATTTGAATACAGACAAGGTCGTCCATGACCAAAGGCTAAACATTCAATTTGAGCCCATTACGGTGAATATCCTCCATTTTGTTAATGGTCATTTTTTCTTAAAAAAAAAAAACTTTCTTGGGTCTTGGATCTTGAGTTTATTGGCGAATTCAATAAAGTCAAAAAACTTGTTTATTAATAAAAATATTTTTATTCATTTATGACTACCCCCCAATTAAATCCTTGTAAAGATATGAGGAGCAGCATATATATGTATATAAGAAGATTTCTTGGAGCCATTACGGTAAATACAGTACTTTTTAAAGAACCAATAGTATTTTGGTAGAAAGAGTACTAGTCCTAAATAATAGAAAACCATCTCCTCTTATTATATTATATATATAAAAGATATCTCACGGCTGTATTTTATTTATTTACCACACATGGATTTGGGTTATTATTTGGAGTTGATTTTCTTGTTGTTTTATTGAGTAGAAATAGGTTCTATGAAAATGCGATCAAAAGATATAAATCTTGTCCTAGCCTTACTTGTTAGATATGAAAAATTATTATTAAAGGACAAGAACAAGAACAACAATAAAAATATAAAAAACATGTGTAAATAGCTTATTTATTTCTAAATATCCAAATTTGGAAAAATTATATTAAGAAAACAAAACCAACGAAGAAGAAGAAAAGACAAAATCTGGAATTGTCTGGATTCTTTAAACTGGATTGGTTCTGTAACTTTTTGTTTTTTGTTTGAATCCACAAGACTTATAACCAAAGCATTCGTCTTCCATTGGATAAATATTTCATAACCTAGCTTTCCTGCCCCTCCTTCCTTTTCCTCTTCTTCGAGAATGGTTCATTGGTAAATTTGACACCATTCTTCTCACACCACTTTGCGAATGTACAGGGGATGATCGGAAGGGTTTATAATCCACATATTCGGGTTTTCTGAGTATTTGATGGTGTGTTTCATTTGCGAGGAATTTATTTTTAAAAAGCAATCTATTTGATTATATGTGTATAAGCATAAACCATCATCATTACAATCTTGTGTCCTTGTCATTTTATTCAGCGTACTCAAGAAAATCAGTGATACCAACGACAAAGGTATCATTAAACCAGTTTGTACAGAATATAATTTAACACATGGTGTACCTATCTGACCCAAACTCACTCGTGTCTAAGCCTTTTTTTTTTTCTTTTTCTTTTTTAGGCAAAAAGCTTATCTCTGGGAGTATATCGTTTCCAGGACAACGGATCACTGTATATTCTTGCTTTAAACCTCACAATCAACTTGTTTATAGCAGTCTCAAAGTGGACAGCTTGCCCTTCCGACCATATCAATGTGTTTGGAGTCCCTAACAAAAGTAATCTACAAACCAAAAATAAGACAAGATATAATTCAATTCAAGAAGATCTCAATATATATATACTGAATGATACTAACAGATAACCTGAATTGTCAAATACAATTTAGTAAAATAGATAATTATAAAGTAATACCCCACATCACTCTCTTCCTTTAATTAAGTAAACAAATAGGTGTCTTTATCTTATCCTTCAATTCAATTCCATCCTTATTTATATCTCCACTGTGCCACAGTCTGGCACATAACATAGGGTGGAGAGAACATTCTCGCTAAATTCGATTGAATAGCCGCTTCCATTATTTTGGTATCAATCAAACCTTGGTGGGAACACTGTGTTTAACATACTCTCTCTTTCTTTTCTTACTTCATCTCTTTCCATTTCTCATCATGCCCAACTGGAACAAGACTCTCAACCACCCACTATTCAATGTTGCTTTCTTTTTGGTATCCCGTCAGATTACTAAGCGTCTTGATTTAGACAATTATATTTGGTACTTGCGTGCCCTTTATGTCACTGCTCAACTTGCCATTCTCGGCATGTCTTACTACCTTATTACAGTTGTGAAGAAAAAGAATGGTAAGCTTAAATACATACATACATATATATAGGCTATGTACTTTGGTCTTAACTTTCTTTACTTTCTTTTCCTTCGATTAATTTTATAGACAAGACTCTGTTGCGTTATGTTGAACCTGCCAAACAAAACTGGGATGGTACTGATGCACCTGAACAACTGGTTAACATTACAGTGATGGGTAGGTGAGATGAATTAAAGAGGGTAATATGAGAGAAAGAAAAAAAAAGAGTAACAAAAGCGATGTGTTGATTAGATTACGATATCGAGGAAATCAAAAAGTCGATTAAGCAATCGTTGATGGGAATTGCTATGATCATCGTATTGCATCTCAAATTCAATTATGTCCAGCCTTTGATTATCCAGTCTATTCTCGGCTTCAAGACATTTTTGCTGACAAAGGAAGCTCGTATTCACATCTGGGGAGAACGTGCTACTACTGGTGAGCTCAAGCGTCCTTTCCGTGTTGTCTCTCCTTTCGGCTTGAACAATGAGAAGATGCAACCCAAGGTTGACCAGGGTTCTATCAAGAAAGCCGAGAAGGCACGCAAGGCAGCATAAAAAAGGAAAACATAATAATAATAGGAAAAGGCCCAAATGCTTAAATCAATTGACTTGGTTTTGCTTTAATATTTTACATCTTTATACGCATTCTCTTTCTTTCTTTCTTTATTTATTTTTATTATAATAATTTCACCTATACAAAAGCAATATAATAATATCTCTGTATAATAAGTGAGTTTTATATACATACACATATGCAAGATATATCTTACCCACATACATAATACGTGGAGATAAAAGCGTATTATGTACTGTATTTTACTGCTTCAATTTAGATGTAGTCTATATATATATATATTTGAACATATAGAAATATAGAAATACTTCTTCAAGAATTTGTAAATATAATTGCATTTGCTCAATGAAGGTACCTTATTTTACAGACAAACTTCTTACTGGGCCATCAATAAATTTCAGATAGCGCAAGCTTTTTCTTAAATATATATATAATTTATATACACCCAATTTCTATCCAGACTAAATAAAAAGAAAACGTTAACCTTAAACGATGATGGACATTGACTCAACCGCACTTAATCCAGGAGAGTCTGAGAATGACACTGGGAAGATCGTTTACGATTGGAACCCTCCAACTGGTATTCCAAAAAACTATGCTTTCAATGGAGCCCCAATTACACGAGAGCAGGTAGAATCACACACATATATATATATATACTATTTTTTTTTAAGAAAATAAATAAATAATCAATCAATCAATGCATAAGTAATGACATTCTGTACAAAAGGTTACAAGCATGTTTGATAATTCCAAAATAAAGGAATACAAAGGCCACAAAGAAAAAGTACACACAGTCGCGTGGAATTGTGACGGACGTCGATTGGCATCCGGATCTGTTGACAAGACTGCCAGAGTTTGGACACCTCATCGTGGCGTAAGCATCCTTCATTAATATTAGTTATATATATATAAAAAGACTGACGAGGTGTTGATCTAGACGGACATTCGGTACTCGATTGAGCTCAAAGGACACACAGACAGTGTAGATCAACTTGATTGGGATCCAACTCATCCAGATCGTTTAGCTACAGCATCGTGCGATAAGACAGCTCGTGTGTGGGATCAAAGATGTAAGTCAGGCTTAAGAATTGTATGTCGTTATACTTACAGTTTATGCTTCTTGTACGTATGCATACGCATATATGCTTTTTGCTCTTTAGCCGGAAAGTGTACAGCTGTAGTCCAGACAGGCGGAGAAAACATAAACATATGTTGGAGTCCTGATGGTAATAATATTGCTGTGGGGGATAAGAGTGACACTATAAGTATCATCGATACTCGCACCTACACAATTGCTAAAACCCAGAAACACAACGTGGAGGTAAGTAAATTATAAACTACAAAATGGCTTGTCGATGAATAGCCCAGGGTTGATAAAAGTTATGAATTAGGTCAATGAAATTGCATGGAACAATGCAAACAACCTATTTTATGTTACAACTGGACAGGGAACTATAAAAGTGTACGAATATCCTTCACTTAAACTCCTTCAGTCTTTGCGTGGACATACTGCGAACTGCTATTGTGTCGAAGCCGACCCAACCAATAGATACCTGGCCGTTGGATCAGCAGATGCGATGGTGACATTGTGGGATATGGAAAAGTATACTTGTGTCAGAGCATTTTCTGAATTAACGTAAGCTCTTCATACAAATATAATAACAATAGGGCAATCAACAAAATTAATAGGAAGCCATTTTCCCTTCTTGTTTCTAATTATTATTAATATTTACTTTCTTAGATGGCCAGTGCGTACACTTAGTTTCAGTTATGATGGTCAATTCATCGCATCTGCCTCGGAAGATAACTTTATTGATATTGTAAGTATATATATATAAAGATCACTGTGGGTACTAATGTAGATGTATGTATATATATATATATATATTCTGTTAGTCTCATGTCGAGAGTGGCGAATCTGTTCATCACATTGAATGTACTGCTGCCATGAACACTGTCGCATGGCATCCACGCGATTATTTCTTAGCTTACGCAGGCGATGAAATGAACTCTGAAGGAAAATACGCTGGAAATCTCAAGATTTTCAATATCAAAGATCCAAGAGAAACTCTGTAGAGAAAATAGTCCGTAATAAAGAATTAAAGACAACCTCCTTTTGTACATAGAGTCTCACAGAATATCACCCCAAATTATAATCAATTAATACATGAAAGAAAGTAGAATGAGTTTCCCTTTTTATATATATGAGTGTGCTTTTACATGTGGGGTGTACTGATTAATGATTCTAAACCAATGCATATAAAGAGTAGTTTAAATATTCTCAAGTGGTTACATTAAATAGGAATGGATAAAAGAAGAGGGATATAAAAAAACAGTTAGGCCCAGCTCCAGTTGATGTGGATACGTCCTGCAGATCCTCCTCCAAGTTGCCGATATACTACAGGACTCAAGTCAAGAGATCCATAACCACAAGCAGGGCACATGTCAACCTTGATTGTACGACATCTCATCAGTTAATATTCATAAATCACAAATGCCAACAATTTCATTTCAGGTACATACAATAGTTATAGTCAAGGTGCGACCGTTGGGACCTGATACACGCACACGACGACCACAGTTGGGATTCTCGTTAGGGTTTGATGCGTAGCCCATTTGTTCTTTGTTCAACGCGGCAACGTATTCATTGTTGCTGTTGTAACTACCACATGAACCTGGCCCAACGTCATAATATGTACCATCACCAGAGAAACCGCGTGCAAAAATTGAACCAGCCTGAATAACAGGTGTAGCAATGGAGAAAAGAATGATACTTAAAAAAGAAGCAAGCATCGTAAAGAGAGATTACTGTATGTCTGTGTATTGAGAGTAAGAAGAGATACTGCAAATGTCTATAATAAATTAACGGTTTATAAAGCTTTTTATTTGAAGCCTCCCTTTCTATGGTACTATTAGTACGTCTCTATAGATCCAATCGAGATAAATCTTTCAAAAATACAATATTAGATTACCCAATACCGTATTCAGGAATATAAGCGGATATTGCCGAGAAAGTATCGTATTTAAGCACGGTAATTAGTACGGTTGCTTTGATTGTTGCTTATCTGGTTAAAAGTTGACTCCCGTTCTATTGAACATCGCAATAATTAATTTATATGAACAGGTAAATTAAATATTATTGTAACCATTGATTATTTCTTTCATTAAACGTAAAATACCAGAGAGATTATTTTGTCTCTTTATCAAATATTTATTTGGTACACCAACCATCTCCCTGTTTGTGTTTCGTATCACTCTATTCATAATGATTTTTCAAGAGTATCTGATAAAGAAATCGTTAATAGCATATAAGCTGGTTAAATCAACTCATTTCTCAAAAGCAATAAGTAGATTAACAAATTTATAAAATACCTAATTTAATTATAGCTATAAGACAATCTTTATTTAGCATATGCAAGAAATATGAATGTGGTAATTGATATCATAGAAGATAGGGCGAGGCCTTTGAAAATGCGCATAATTTTCATTTTTTTTAAAAAAAATAAAGAAAGTAAAAGGAAGAAAGAAAATAAGAACGCCTGCAACTGCAATTTTTTTTCGAGGGTCATTATCATCACCGGTAAATTTAATCCAATTGAGCGCGCTCTTCCCAAGAAATAACTTTGCCGCTCTTGAGTCTCTCAATAGCTTTTCCTATGTTCTCAATGTGCATCTCAAGTGGGATTATATCTGGCGCTACAACTGGTGCGACAACTTGGGTACGTAGTTCTTCGAGATCCATTTGAAAAGATTCCATGCGATCCAACATTACTACTAGTCGTTTAGAAGCTTTGGCACGTTCGGCATCGAAATTGGTCAATAGTGCCAGATTTTCGTCCACAAGAGGTCGTTGTAATCCTTTTCCGTTCACTAGATTAAGAAGATCTGCTAATAAATGAGGGATTTCTGAGCGCTGGTAATTCTTTTCTTGAACAGAAATTTCGTGAATGGCGTAAAGATCCTCCTCAAGTTCATCTAGTGAACCTTGGGCTTTTTCAATTGCCAAGATCAGACGTTTTGCTTCTTTCTCTGTATTTTTTGTTGGTTTGTTTGTATATAGAAAGAAGAAGACAGTATATTGTTAGAAATGTGGGAAGCTTAATAATATATATATATATATATATAAGCATATACCAACTAAACCCATCGCGCTCTCATAAACTTTGCGTAGTTCTTGTCTACTACTTTTTCGTGACTCAACATCAGATAACTTCTTTATCGTAAACGTATTGTAAGTGATGAGATTGTCAATCACCCCCTTGGTTTGTGCTTGTAAACTTTGAATATCTCGACCAAACCGACGAGAGCGGACAAGATAGTCTTTAAGTTTAGCATCCATGATATCTGCACTAACTAAGGTGGAGTATTTTATCATCACTTGGAGATCGCGTGTTGCTAATTCAACCTTCTTTAGCTCTAAAGCAGAGATGGCATCAGCATTGTTCTGTGTAAGCATTGTTTCATAAAGAGACTCCTGTGCTTTAACAAAATGAGTGAAATCTGGAACTCCCATGAGGTGATTTTGACAAGAAGGGACTAATGATCCTAAGAATCCAATAGGGCAGACAATATCCATAATTCCATCAGACAAAACACGGTAGCAGTAGCTAAGAATAAGCATAATGGCAAGCACAGCCATTATTACAGAAATGATTGGTTTCAGCACCATGAGTGTTCCCTTGAATACGTCTATGTGAAATATAAAAATAAATTCATGTCAGTGACGACTATTTATCTATTTTTGCTTCTTTCTATATATATATATATATAACAATATTTATTAATGTTGGTCATTCTAATCTAATGAAGAGCTGTTTCTCATTATTTAAGAAATATTACCTAGCGTGAAATTAATCAAGAATTGGAATCCTGGTATAATCAAGGATTCTTGATCCTCTTGTTCTCTCTCAATCTCATTCATAGAAGACGGTTTTTCTTTTCGCGTTATGCGTGTCATTAATACGCAATAAAAATAAAAGCAAATTCTAAGAAATCAAAATACGTATATTATATATATATATATATATATAAAGGGTCGATTTGAATATATAAATCATATATTATTTTCTGTTTATCATGCAGTACTTAAGTAGAAATCTGGGATTACAAAAATAAACAAATAAAGCAAAACACATTTCACCGCTCTTTCACACTTATCTCACTTTGGTCGGGGAAGATAGTGTGAAGAGTTAGTCAATATGTAACAACCTTTACATGTCCCCACCCATCCTCTTGGTCACTCTTTAAATCCACCCTCTCGGTCAATCTCTACGCTATCTCTTCTCATTTTTCGCTGCACTTCAGCATGTTTTTCTATATGCCTCCCCAATGTTTCCTGTTTGACTTTAGGTCATTTTTCCCTCTGGTAGAACCAAGAAGCCTTAAGATCAGTCCTATCTCTTTGCGAAGTCATGTCTACGGGATGTGTTTTCTTGGGCTCTCACCATCTCTCACTTTAGAAAATACAAAACTCTCAAAAACATCATATAACAGATAAACTCCAAAGCAAAGGTTGTGTCCCCCTCTTTTGCTTCGTAGCATTAGAGGCTCACTAACCCTCTTGAGCACAAAGCTCCCTACAAACAAACAAAGCTTATAAGTATAGCCAGGACATAGACATTCGAATTCCGTGACTCAATTAAGCTGTATAAAAATATAACATTGTAAATTTAACAAAGGAAGGATCTTTTCTACGGAAAAATAGTGTTTTATTATTGTTGCAACAAGAGAGTGTTAGTTGCGATTACTCAAGAAGAGTTTCAGAGATAAAAATCAGCCATACACCCTTTGTAAATCGATCCCTAACATATGTATATATGTGTGTGTATCTGTACATATTATATAATAAACTTCTGTGGGTTTCATTCTTAGTACAAAGCTATTACTATTACTATCCTTTATTTATTTATTTTACCTCGCTATTATTATTATATATAAAGGCAATACTACATTTTCACACTGAAAAGAAAGTAATAATACAAAAATACAAACGTTCATTACAGTAGGTTCGGAAATAGCTGGTCACAAAGACAAACCAAGTACTATTTCTTTATATATATATACTTAATCTAGCATGGTAGGTTTCATGATACTTTGAAGGATACGAATCATATTCGCGGTTTCATATATGTCAAGGTAATATAATTGCAGGACTGCTGTTGATAATATAGTATAAATAAATAAATAATAAAAACCTCTAGAAAGCAATTTATTCATACAATGTTAAAACCACATTTATCATTTTTATACTCTAATACTAGTTCATGTGTATCTGTATCTATTGGTCAGGTCTAGGTAATGTTTCTACTCCAAGCAAATAGCCATATTGCATTTCTCCGCATAAAACCAACTGGTGCTCTACCTCCAATTCACACCACATATAATTCGCTTCATTTAGTGACAAATACTTGGAAGGTTTGTGCCAAAGTGGCAAAATATACTCCTCTGGCCCATATTCTTCATCTTGACTTGCTTTAAGCAATACTTTCAAGAGCATTCCGTGATCAGGGCATCCTTGCGAGCGGCTAATAACCTTAACATCCACAGAAGATCCCAGGCCACCAAAAGGAATGTCTTCATCAAATGAACATTGACCCAAAAAAACATGGACTCCAAAGTAGATATTTCCCTCTCCACCAACCATCTCCCACTGTGCCACTTTTCTCCCTTGGGTAATCTCCTTTTCATAAAAAAGCTCAAAGCAATTCTTGAGCACACCCACCGCGTCCTTTTCAAGATTTACAACAATGGATGTCTTGATTGGAGCTATCTTGTATTGGTCTTTCCATGTTGCCAGGGATCCATTGTTAACAATTGTTGACTGCTCCCAAACCTCCTCACTTTCGGTATAATTTATGTCGGGATTCTCGCTTTTATGTTGAAAGTATCTCTCGATGGACTTGTTGTGGGAATCGATGATATTGTTGACCACGGCATATTCCCATTCTGGATTATACTTTGGTCTGACAGCCTTAACAGGGATCATTTCTCCACCTACGATAATATCTTCCTTTGTCATGTCTTCAAGATATTTAGAGAATGCAATGATATGTGCAGCTCGGTCATCCCACATAATAATGTTCTGGAGCGACGGTACATTTGCCAGGAGGTTGACGATAAAAGAGGACTTGAAAGACATCGTTGTTTGAAATACATTTGGCATTACGTTGTACATTAGCCCTGAGTTGTCGGGCTCTTTATCTTCAGGATCAGGTCGAAGACCAATAGCATCAAAGAAGAGACCTTTGCTTTTAAGAATTGGGTATACGATGCTGTAAAATGGATGGTACCGCCGTCCGGTCAGCATGACTGTCAGGGAATTAGGGTCTGCTATAGCTTTTCGCGCCTCGGATACTACATCTTCATTCCAATATCCATCCCATGCCTTTTCCTCAAGTTGATCGAATGGACCTAATTCAAGACTTCTGTAATCTCTCCACCAGCCAGGACCCAGAAGATTTTCTTTGATGACGGCATTGATTAATGATTTGTGCCAAATATTAGAGCTGAGTAATGGTGATAGAAATAAGGTTGAATCAAAGTCGAAGATTTTGAGAATCGTAGGGTTTGTCTTTGTAGTATATCCTTTCGCAAATGGTGAGGCTTCAAACTGGCGTTGCAATATCCCCTATAAATTTATACAGTCTACAAGTTAATACAGTAAATTACAGTCACTTTGTTAATAAGGAATATGATTTACCTTTTCAATCTTGTTAATCTCGCTTAGATGAAACCTCATTGTTTAAATTCCTTAACAAGATGGATTATGCGAATTTGTTCTTTATATGTTTTATTTTAAAAACTCAGTAAGGTGACGTTCAATCGTATTGAAGGGAGAAAAAAAACTGTAATCCAACACTTGACGAACACGAACAATGATGAAGTAGTAGATCTGGCTTTTTCTTTCTGAAGGGTCGTATACTTTTGTTTACTCAAGTTAGGCAGGTTGCTCCGCATTTTAATAAAGTACATTGATTATCAGGGGTGTAAAATAGGTCTCGTTACCAGTCTACAGATTACTGTCGTATCTTGACTTTTAATCCTATCATGGTTTGATAGATTGATTGAATATTACTCTTTATTATTTGCTTAACTTTATAATTAGTATTCTTTATCCTCTTAACAGTTTTATTTACCGTTAGTACCTTGGCTTTTGAGTATTCTTGGCTCTTTACATATCCCTTTCTTTTCATCCTTTCCTTGGGTAACCTGATGGTCAATATGACAGATTTGATAAGGCGCATCTGATCTTCAAATAACACTAGGATTGCATGTTGTTTTGTAACGAGATTACACAAAAGTTTCTAGCCATTTAGGTCTACATCAGGCTGCTGATTTCCCAATATTACTCTGGTATCGAAGGTACCATATTTACCCACCTTTTTATACGATAGCAGTATTAGTGAGGTTTACCGCTTATCGATCCACCCATTTCTGCATTCTAAACACCATCTGTATATAATCCCTTAAATTATACCTATATTTTGCGTATACTCTTGTGGCACATTAACGTATGTACATTCCCACCGAGAAGAAATGCTTATCCTATGATAATAGAAATATTATGGAAAGTATCGAAGTAAACGTTTAATATATAGCTGCCCATTGAAATTGTGTTTAAATCATCTGTACATGAGAGAAAGGAACGCTCGCATGCATATATTATCAAAGTCTTAGTAAACAGTAAAAATCGTCATATTGTGAAAGGCATTTTTATGTATTACAACTTACGATATATATATTGGCCAATATAAAGTAGACCCAAAGTCTACCTTGCCCTACTATATTTGCATATTAAACTTCGTGGTTTGTATACTTTTAAGATTCACATTTGATTCATTCATAACTTTCTCAATAATTTACAAAAAAAAAACACTATATTGCTTTTAATTTAGAGTTAGAACATACTAGTTTTCAAATATTTTAATTGAAAAGGTCTTATAGTGTCTTTAATATAATCTGTTACAAGATAAAACGCCATATTATTGGAAAATGAGCATTTTATATTCTTATTGGTTCCTTAAACACAAAAGAAAGATCCTTATCAAGTTATATACGTATGCACCTTGTTTTCTTAGTGCTAACAGCAAGTACCAAATGTTCAGACATTAATATTGCCATTTATTTATTTTATTCTAAGAATGATCTTATATATATATATTATAAATTTGGCTTTATATTCACTTGGTGAGGACAGATTGAAATCCTTATATAAATATAAAGCAAATGTCACAATTCTATGCAATATTATTGGATTATAGTTTTAAAAATATACTAAATGCTTTGCTCTTTGAGAACGAGGATGAAAAAAAGTTCAGGCGACACTGATTTCCAAACCTTTGCCCGTTGCCAATTGGACTGAAAATAAGATTATTCTTGATGGAAGAGACCGTATTACGAACACTTGGTTTTATCCTATATGCAGTTGAACCAAGTTTAGTCTTTTTAAAAGACAGTGCGGACAGATAGAAAGTAGTTTGATTGAATAATCTCATTCTGATTTTTTCCCATATTTTATTAGCCATTTTGATCTGCCCACACCAATCATCTTACTAGAAAAATAAATACATTATCTCGAATGGTTAAAAGTGTGAATAATGGTACATTTTACTTATTTTTTTTAAGCGAAATATAATCAATTCGTCTCAAATTCTACATATATACATATTATATCAGCCCTTTTAGAAAATACTTAAGTTTTATCTTTTTAAACGAGCTAAAAGTCTATCAAAATCTATGGATTATTTTTTGTTTTACATCTTTATCAGATTGCTTCTTAACGCAGAAATTTTGTACTCCAAGAAATAATAACCATTTTTTTTTCAATTCGTTTGCAAGCAGTAATACTTGCGCCTGTGCCCTATATATAACGTTAAAATTAAAGACAGACGGGGTGCAATTGTGTTTTCTAAAACTTTAAAGAAAAAATAAGAGTAAAGTATATTAAAAGATAGAAAAATTGGATAAATTATATATTGGTAAGGTCAATAATATCAGAAGAATTTATCGAAGAATTGGTAGGAAAGTTAGTGGTAGTAGTGGATGGCAAGAGATAAACTTTATTCTTTGGGAACTGACCCCAACAGCTCCTTGTAGAAAAATAGTCGATGATACTCCTTCTACGGATAGCATCAAAACACAGCACATTTACCTCAGGCCAGGACCGATGTACATGAGGCTTAACTTTGATTGTTGTCCAGTGGCACGCATGTACATGGTGTAATGCCATCGGAAATGGTTTTTTTTAGAGGCTTCTCCTCTAAGAGTTCCTTCATCACATCTATAATGCCTTCTTGTAATATCTTTCTAATTTCACTCTAGATAAATAAGAAATCATGTGTATTAGATTGTGTAATTGTGTATGTTATATTCTTACTTTATTTTTTTTGGACTAGGAGATGTCTGTGCTTGTGACGGACAAAGTCCTTTGGGAGAGCAGTTTTTCTTTTGGCGTGCTTAGGTCTTCCAGGAGCTTTGATCTCATTTGCCAAAGGAAAGGAAACATTTGGACGACTGATCATCTCACCGGCATCATCGACCAACTCATCAACCATTGCCATAAGATTCTGTATCTGTTATCCTTTTTCACACTAGCAAAATAAGCGTTCAAGCTTTGTGATGCATTTTACCCACGGAGCATGCTTTTCAACAGCAATTTGCTTTGGAGAAATATCATATCCTAATTGCTCCAAACGTTCATCCAAAGAAGACGACAGGATCCATATTTTAGGAATGTTCGATAAAAGTAATATACGATCTCTTGGAAAATCATGGCAACAAAGAAGGCCAAACACCACTTTTACTCTGAGATCGCAATGCTCGTCAGGGATAACCTCTTCCAAAAGCTCGGCACGGATGGTTATCAAACCAATTCCTGAAACGTGGCAAATCAATCCACGGAGGCGTTCGACAGCAAGTATTCTTGCATCGGTTACCAACTCCTCGTCCAGTCTACGATCTTGATAGTTTCCGTACAGTTGTAAGAGATATGAGCATATCTGTTCGAAATAAGAGCCCAAATATCGGAGCCAAAATTCTCCTTTTCAACGCGTTATGGCCACTTTCGATATGCTGTGTTGTCATACAGCTAAAGTGCTTTAGCTTACTGGTGAGATAGCTGATCTACTTCTTCTTGAAACTTCTCAACACCTCCTAAAAGTACTGTATTTATACAATTTACATAACGTATGTAATGAGAAAAAGGTTTTACATTCTATTATTTGCAAAGATTTCTATTATTATTATTCTTACAATTAAATGACAATGACTTTAAAAGGACGTGTTTTTGTTGTTCCCAAGAAATGGGACTGATTTAAAGATGGAGACAGGTATTTTTTTGAAGAAAGTTTCAAGCTGGACCCCAGACTAGTAGTCACACCGAATTGTGTGACCAACGTTAACCTTTCCTACCCTTTTGATAGCTGCTATCATATTTTTACTTGTTCCTTACCCTTATTTATATACATACTCTTATCTATACTTATTCTTTTTTATGTCCATAATATAGAAAGTAAATGGCCACACACACACAAAACAAGGCGAGATGTTTTGGAATGCAGAACACCTTTATTGAAATAGAGTTTTGTCTAAACCGAGATGCTTTATATTTTAGCGCTTTATTCTCAATTAAAACAAAGAACAAATGTCAATTTCCAATGCTTTGTCTTCCTTGTAAGGTCAAATAAGATAAAAAGTAAGATGTCACCCATTAATTGATATCGGTGCTGTTATAGTTAAGGCTTTTATGCGGTAGTTTATCGATAACAAAAAACTGGAAGAGGTACTTGGTACAAGCAGAATTTGTCTGAGATAGACTTTTCTATAAAAAAAAACAACCCTTCATTTTAGTTCAAGACACTATTGCTTCCAACAACAAAGCTTTAATTAATCGTTTAGAAAAAAAAAAAATTTCTTCGAAAGAATGTCCAGGTTTCACAATAATCTGTCATATGTGTAAGACTCTTTTCAACACTATATCCAAGAAGTCAGTGGCATATAGTAGGGGGTTTCACCAGCTTTGGATGCTTGACTGTTGGATGTAGCGGTAGTTTAATTCGAAAAATGATTGGCTGCGACGAATCTTCAAGAAATGAAAACTGAGCATCCAGGCATCCAAAAAAAAATAGTTCGATAGTCTAATGTAATGACTTGGCCAAAATTTACAAGATTCTGTACTTTATGTACGATTGATGGCAAGGTTCATAGAAAAGCAATGTCAAAAATAAAACATAATCAATCTATGTAAGAGTGGCTATCTTAATACAAAGTTATAGAAGTCTAACTTACTTGTAGGGAATTTGGGCATGGGCAATATATTTATGAGTATTCTAATCAAGTGTATTATAAATATGAATTCTGACATATATGAGAGAAACCATATCAACCAAGAGACATTAATGGTATTCAATAGTTGTTTTTTGACATTGGTTATTGTTGGATAGTGCTTAAACTAACAATACATCCAACAGTCAAGCACCCAGAGCTGGTGAAACCCCCTATAAGGAAAAGCTCTTTGAATTGAAAATCTAATATATTATGAGAAAAGGATAGTTTTACAATCTGGGCATATTTTACCTTATTTCTGAATCATTATTCTTTACATTTGAAAAGGTGATACGGACAGTATTGGTTTATATGATGAAGTGGTCCAGACGGTTAAAAGGAAAAGAGAATAGATATCGATCTCCTTTATCATATCCTTGACTCAAATATTTGCATTTGGCAGCTTGTTCTCTCAAGAAAGATAAAAAGAAAACAAAAGTGCTGTGTAAGGATGGTCTTTATTGCTTTCATCTTTCGATAATTAATAAAGAAAAATAAGATAATCAGTAAGATATTGTTAAGCTATTACAAAGATGTTGGGATAGAATATGCTTCTTTGGATAATTAATAATGAATAAGAGAGAGAAGTAGAAATAGCTAAATATTTCTGTGGTTGATTATTACAATTCTTGTGTCTTTTAATTGATTTCTTCGCCAGCTATAAGAATTATATTCTTTTTGCGGCTACGACTTGAGCAATTTTTTTTACATAATTGATACAAAGAAAGGTTTAGGAAGATAGGATATGTCTGGGTCATATGGAAGTTCAAAGACACGCGCAATTAACTAATGAACTAATGAAGAATCTTCTATTTATGCAAGCTCTCAATGAAGATAAAGATAGCGAATATATCTACTAAGAAGATAATGCTCCCTGTCACAAGTTTAATATTGGATAAGAGTGGAAGAAATGACATAATTTTATAGTAATAGTAAGGCTGCCAAGTAGTTTAGATTTTAGCTCTATGGAGATCTCATAAGAATATTCCACCAGAAGAGTGAAAAAGAAAAAAGAGGTTAATCTTCAAAAACTTTTAAGGAGGTGGCGGTTATTACCTATATGGAATAAAACAACACTCGGGTTGGTGTTTGTAATATTAAGTGCATGTCAATGGCTAATTGCGTGGCAATGCCTAATTGCATGTGAATGCTTAATTGTATACATGAGATGAAGAAAGTTAATGAAACGTCATCAAACTATTGATTTTTTTTAAAGAAAAACTGTACCTTTGTATTTATATGTTTTTAGGCATGAGTTGTCAAGTGAAAGAAGATCGGCTAAACCAAGAATGCTAAAGAAGTTGTATTATTGATATATTAGAATTTAATAAGTATGATGACTATTGTCGGTACGAGTCTATATATACATATACATACCTTGCTTGTAAGAAAATAAAAAAATTCAAACAGATCTCAGTACTGAATATTGTATTAAAATATTCGTTCGTCTGTTTTTAAAGTGTATCCGATTTATCCCAAAAAGTAAAAAATAAAGATTTTTTTGTCAAGACCTGCGCTTGAAGGCCGATCCACTCAAGTTTACACTCAAGCTTCTCAACAACCCTCATTCCTGCCTACTCGGCATGGCATCAAATTTACCATGACGGCAAAGTATCGGTGAAATGCTTTAATGCCAAACTGCTCGGGACAGGTGTCTGAGACACCCAAGTGAACAGCATAGCATTTACTTAGGCACCTTAACTTTGCTTCGGGTTCGTCCCTCATGTCCAGTTCTGTTTACCAGAGCGTGGGTTACAAGTATCAAAGTCTAAGCAATGAGGGACTTGAAAAGCACAGGGATCATTTCAACAGGAAGCAGTAAAATACAGGCGATTGTACTGGGTAATCTGTCGATTCTGCTGGAATCTACCTGTATTACCTCACGTCCAGGTGCTCAACGAATTTAAAAAACTCTACGCATCCAGGTGATACACCCTTATACTTGCACCTTTCTGTGACAATCTTGACATGCCCCAAAGGACAAAATCTGGAGAGCCAATATCCAACGTCCTAAGAAAATAGCATAAAGCTACCTCTGCGTTCCTCAGTCTTCTCCATGTTATGTGCCGCACAACACAGAAAAAACTGACGTGGATTTCATCCGGCTTTCGCCTTCATATGAGTGGCTCAGGAAGGTCTTTAACGTCCAGTATGCTCTACACTAAGAGCTACTTTCCCTTACGGTACTTGTGTTCAGTTGGTTTTTTATAAGTATATTTAGCCTTCGATGAAACTTTTCACCAGGATTAGGGAGTTTGTAAAACAACCCGACTCATCGGAAGCTACTTAACACAAAGACAAGAACTCAAGACAAGGTGAGGGGATTGCACCCTCCAGTAACCTTTTCCAGGGAGTGAAGGCTACTGACTTGTTGGTATGTCTGGAAAAGCAGTTCACTAGTTCACAATCCAGAGCAGTCAAAAGACTACTCCGGTTCAAACATTGGAGCTTCTCCATCTCAAACAATAAAGTCCAAGACGGAATCCCTTTTGGTTTCTTTTCCACTGCAGTAAATGCAGGTAGAATCGCTCAAAGTACGGACCAATTTTAGGCCATGGTACCTTGAGCGAACTCAATGACTAGACGCCAAAGAGTGCAGTGCGTTCAATAAAAAAACCAGAATCTCATATTAAGACAAGCCTTATAAATAAGGCGTCTACAATGAGCGAGTTGGAAAAGAGCCCGGAGACTCACTGTTAAAGACCATGATATACACATTTTGCATGAAAATGTTTACGTATATTCCTTTTGATATATCGTGACCGATAGAATACGAGGTACTCAGTGACCACTCCAAGAGTAGAGATATAAATAAAAATCGAGTATAAGGTTAATATACTTATTGTGTCAAAGTGTGTGCGCGTGTGCGCGTTTACTTACCTAGCTGTTAACTGCGAAGGGTGTAAAATACTGAGCTGGTTCTCGGTACACCTCTCCATAAGCATACTTTGAACACTATCAAGAGAATAAAGTAATATAAAAGTATAAAGTGAGTATGTTAATTGAGTCAAAGTATGTATATATTGACTTACCACTCAGTGGACCATACATGGTATGAAGGCACCATCAAAAGAATGGTGGTTAACAGCTAAACAGAACTAGAAACTGCAATAGAAAAAAAGAAAACATCAAATCATAGTTAGCGTGTTGATCGTGTCAAAGTATGTGTGTATGTACGCGTTTACTTACCTAGTAAACAGCAGCGGAAGGCTTGAAAAGTACTTGTGCTAAAAAGCAAGACGGGACGGGACACTGGACACTGTGATAAAATAAAAGAAATATCGAATCATAGTTAGTGTATTGATCGTGTCAAAGCGTGTGTGTGTTTGCTTACCTAGCAGATAACTGCGTAGGGTTTAAAAAAGTACTTGTGCTTAAAAGCAAAACGGCACTGGACACTGGACACTGTGATGAAAGAAAGAAAACATCAAATCATAGTTAGTGTGGTGATCGTGTCAAAGCATCTGTGTGTGTGTATTTACTTACCTGGTACATGAACTTGACGTGAAGGACCTCTCCGTGGCTACAGTGGAATGGACGCTGGGCATAGAAGACAGAAAAAAAACATGCACAAGAAAACACTGTGCTGTAGTTAGTATATTGACCGTGTCAAAGTGTGCATATGTCTGTATAATACTTTACCTGCTATTAGACTGGACATCATTTTTGGAACTTAGCTAGAAACCGCGTCTGGGGTGCGTTTTCATAATAAATATCAGTATGCACCTTATACGGATAGAAGGATATAGGCATTTAAAGACAATTTTCTTACCGTGTCGGAAACCAAGGACCACCGAAAGGAAACCAGGAGGAAGAGGAGGGATAACAGGAAATTGAGAATTGTATCGATTCTTGTATGAAAAAAAATGGGGATGGCGCAGCACGGAAGGCGTAAAATGCCTATTTTGGATAAATCAAAACAAATTCATATGAAAATTAAATAGTTTCATGTTTTCAGTAAAAGCTCCATGTTTTTTATCGCATATTTTTATTGCGTATTTTTTATCGCATATTTCTATCAAGGACCTATTGGTATTATCTAATAGATACATTGAATAGTACCAACACTGAATACATTTGAGTATTACCTTGTTTTAGATAACATTTATATTTCTTTGGGGAATATATTTCTATATCTTTATGTTCACACTACTGATAATTATTATTATTATTATTATTATTATTTTAAAAAAAAATACCAAGTAAATAAAGAAATTCTCCTTAACATTATAACCACACTTTGTTTTCTTTTGCTTCACAAAGTATCCTGAAAGTCATATAAGTAGATAAGAACTACTATTAAGAAAATAATAGCATGTATTTATTAAGCTATTTTTTTTATTTAGGCTATTCAGTTTTACATACATATGCAATATCTCTTGTGAGCTACAAACATAATACTCTTTCTTACTCTTGATCAATAAAAATATTGTTATTATAATGTATATTCACATATCTTAGCTAGCATGACTTATTCTTTACATAATTATGTCTAGAGCCAAAATTTTAATTATATAAATTTCATGGCAATTGAAACTTGAGTAGTTTGTGTGATAGATTACTCAAATGTGTAAGAGAAGATAATATATACTGATCTACTATAATATCATTTTAGCCTATATATTGTGGGTATCAGTCTATTCTCTTGAAAATAATAAGAAAATAAATAGAGAGATGTGTTAGGATAGTCTATATTACTTTTATTTTTTTGATGGTTAAATATATATATACATTAACATATAATATAATAATACAGTAAGTAAGATCAACTTCAGCAGTTTACTGAAATATTTACATTTAAAGTTATCTTAAGATATTAAGACTTGGAGTATATTATTTACATCTTAACTGTTGTGGTGGTTGAAGTTGAAGAAGTTTTTAAGAGGAAGAATTGAAGATTTGAGATTAGGAACGAAGATTCGTGAGAACTTGTGTAGGTTTTGTTTATTGAGAAAGGATTTTGTATCAAAGTTTGACCAGGTTCCTACACTGAACTACTACTGCTATTTATATTATTTTGGATCGGGAAAATTATATGACTGGGGTCAGGTAATCGATCCTATCTGAGCCTTAATCAGAGCAACGTGATCTTGGAATAATTAATGTATGATTAATTATATAAATGTGTGTAGTCCCAATGAAGTATTAACATCGAAAGTAAATGTGTTTATGAGTTATAATTATGCTTATAATAATCTACTGATGTATCCCATATTATGGTGATATCATCATATGAAATATAATCACTATCATGCATGCTAAACCTGTGTGTTAAATAATAAAGTAATCGGTAGATACCTTTGACTGGAATAGCTGAGGCTTTGTATTATTTTCTTCAGACTTATTCTCAATTACAGCAGTAGTCAATACTCATTTACAACATTAACAATATTTCAAGGCTTGTATAGATTATGTACTTTAAATCAATTTAATATCTTATACTGGTAGAGCCTAAGTATTTATAGGCAAGCTGGTGGCACTGTTGGTTTCGGACAAGTACCCATATTCAATTACCAACACAATTAGTATTATCCAAACTATCTAATTTTCTCAATAACATGCTATCAACTTAACTCAGAAAAACTATATATTCCCAAATAAATTAACTCAATAAAAAACAACTTTTACACACTTATATTTTCTTTTTCTTTATTTTCTCTGGGTATTTATCCAAAAAACACTTTTATTTGCTACAAAGACTATGAATGTTTATCTGATAATCCCCTTTTTCCTTTTCTAAATGTTTTTTTTTACAAACTTCTTACACCACACCAACATACACAGCACGTCTCACCACTCTCCTACCAATTTATCTGGAATCATTCGACATTATATTTCTGTGACCTCCGTTTATCGCCACATATTGACTACTATCATGTTTTTAATGACGTTCTTTCTTCTGCTCAAAAGTCTTACTGGAGAACAATTTCTGGCAATTTTTTGTTTGTTCTTGACGATATGTAAAATGTATTAAAAATAGCATATAAATAGGGCAGTAGTATTAAGTGTATCTGCAATATTCAATATATTTACAGCAACAAAGATAATATTTATATACAAGAAGTACAGACTATAAGAAAAGATAAGATAGTAGTTAAAAGATATACAGTTCTGTCTTTATTTCGCAGGAGTACTTAATATATTGAATTCATGTAAAATTTTGGCTAGAAATTATATTTTTCTTTCTCACTCTATTTTACGTTTTTATTTTGATTCTTCTCATTTATTGTTTATCATGAGTCAAAGATTTAAATCAAAGTTCCAATTGTCTACTTTTTTTTTCTCTTTTGTTCTCGTTTAATTGAATATATGCATTTCAGAAAAAAAATATTAAGAAAATATTGGAAACTAATCAGAAGACTTGTTGATATTGGTGATTTAGTTGCTGTTGCTGCTGCTGTTCCTATTGATATTATATGATTAGTCTTGATGATTTATCAAGAAAAGTGCACAAAAGTAAAACAGCAAGTAAAAGACAAGAGAAGAATAATAAAAGTATATACATATAGAGATATGGAGGGATTCTTACCTGTTATATTCTGTGCTTTGATCTTAGAAAACATATTATTGTTCTGATTTTATTAGATGGGCTATATCAGCATTAAATATAATTCAAAATATGTAGCTAGTTTGATAGGGTATAAGCATCATTACATTCTTTTTTGTTAAAATAGTTATAGATATTGTATATTGAAAATAATGTAAAAGCAGAAGGGTCGAGTAAAGAAAAAAAAGAACTCGCCGACTAGACTCTGTATCAAAGAGTAATGTCTTTATCAGAGAGAAAGAGAAAAGAAAGAGTATGAATACGTACTATTAGAGATCTACAGTAGCTGTAAAATGTCTACAATAATCCTTTAAATAATTTTTTTAATGATTTTAATATGATTTCAAAGAAATATAAACTGTAACAGTATATACATACTACAGTGTCCGAAAGAAAGGTTTAACAGCTTTATTATTTATCTATAACTTTACTAATACATTTATATAATTAAAATTTTGGCTCTAGACATAATTATGTAAAGAATAAGTCATGCTAGCTAAGATATGTGAATATACATTATAATAACGATGTTTTTATTGATCAAGAGTAAGAAAGAGTATTATGTTTGTAGCTCACAAGAGATATTGCATATGTATGTAAAACTGAATAGCCTAAATAAAAAAAATAGCTTAATAAAAACATGCTATTATTTTCTTAATAGTAGTTCTTATATACTTATATGACTTTCAGGATACTTTGTGAAGCGAAAGAAAACAAAGTGTGATTATAATGTTAAGGAGAATTTCTTTATTTACTTGGTATTTTTTTTTAAAATAATAATAATAATAATAATAATAATTATCAGTAGTGTGAACATAAAGATATAGAAATATATTCCCCAAAGAAATATAAATGTTATCTAAAACAAGGTAATACTCAAATGTATTCAGTGTTGGTACTATTCAATGTATCTATTAGATAATACCAATAGGTCCTTGATAGAAATATGCGATAAAAAATACGCAATAAAAATATGCGATAAAAAACATGGAGCTTTTACTGAAAACATGAAACTATTTAATTTTCATATGAATTTGTTTTGATTTATCCAAAATAGGCATTTTACGCCTTCCGTGCTGCGCCATCCCCATTTTTTTTCATACAAGAATCGATACAATTCTCAATTTCCTGTTATCCCTCCTCTTCCTCCTGGTTTCCTTTCGGTGGTCCTTGGTTTCCGACACGGTAAGAAAATTGTCTTTAAATGCCTATATCTTTCTATCCGTATAAGGTGCATACTGATATTTATTATGAAAACGCACCCCAGACGCGGTTTCTAGCTAAGTTCCAAAAATGATGTCCAGTCTAATAGCAGGTAAAGTATTATACAGACATATGCACACTTTGACACGGTCAATATACTAACTACAGCACAGTGTTTTCTTGTGCATGTTTTTTTTCTGTCTTCTATGCCCAGCGTCCATTCCACTGTAGCCACGGAGAGGTCCTTCACGTCAAGTTCATGTACCAGGTAAGTAAATACACACACACAGATGCTTTGACACGATCACCACACTAACTATGATTTGATGTTTTCTTTCTTTCGTCACAGTGTCCAGTGTCCAGTGCCGTTTTGCTTTTAAGCACAAGTACTTTTTTAAACCCTACGCAGTTATCTGCTAGGTAAGCAAACACACACACGCTTTGACACGATCAATACACTAACTATGATTCGATATTTCTTTTATTTTATCACAGTGTCCAGTGTCCCGTCCCGTCTTGCTTTTTAGCACAAGTACTTTTCAAGCCTTCCGCTGCTGTTTACTAGGTAAGTAAACGCGTACATACACATATACTTTGACACGATCAACACGCTAACTATGATTTGATGTTTTCTTTTTTTCTATTGCAGTTTCTAGTTCTGTTTAGCTGTTAACCACCATTCTTTTGATGGTGCCTTCATACCATGTATGGTCCACTGAGTTGTAAGTCAATATATACATACTTTGACTCAATTAACATACTCACTTTATACTTTTATATTACTTTATTCTCTTGATAGTGTTCAAAGTATGCTTATGGAGAGGTGTACCGAGAACCAGCTCAGTATTTTACACCCTTCGCAGTTAACAGCTAGGTAAGTAAACGCGCACACGCGCACACACTTTGACACAATAAGTATATTAACCTTATACTCGATTTTTATTTATATCTCTACTCTTGGAGTGGTCACTGAGTACCTCGTATTCTATCGGTCACGATATATCAAAAGGAATATACGTAAACATTTTCATGCAAAATGTGTATATCATGGTCTTTAACAGTGAGTCTCCGGGCTCTTTTCCAACTCGCTCATTGTAGACGCCTTATTTATAAGGCTTGTCTTAATATGAGATTCTGGTTTTTTTATTGAACGCACTGCACTCTTTGGCGTCTAGTCATTGAGTTCGCTCAAGGTACCATGGCCTAAAATTGGTCCGTACTTTGAGCGATTCTACCTGCATTTACTGCAGTGGAAAAGAAACCAAAAGGGATTCCGTCTTGGACTTTATTGTTTGAGATGGAGAAGCTCCAATGTTTGAACCGGAGTAGTCTTTTGACTGCTCTGGATTGTGAACTAGTGAACTGCTTTTCCAGACATACCAACAAGTCAGTAGCCTTCACTCCCTGGAAAAGGTTACTGGAGGGTGCAATCCCCTCACCTTGTCTTGAGTTCTTGTCTTTGTGTTAAGTAGCTTCCGATGAGTCGGGTTGTTTTACAAACTCCCTAATCCTGGTGAAAAGTTTCATCGAAGGCTAAATATACTTATAAAAAACCAACTGAACACAAGTACCGTAAGGGAAAGTAGCTCTTAGTGTAGAGCATACTGGACGTTAAAGACCTTCCTGAGCCACTCATATGAAGGCGAAAGCCGGATGAAATCCACGTCAGTTTTTTCTGTGTTGTGCGGCACATAACATGGAGAAGACTGAGGAACGCAGAGGTAGCTTTATGCTATTTTCTTAGGACGTTGGATATTGGCTCTCCAGATTTTGTCCTTTGGGGCATGTCAAGATTGTCACAGAAAGGTGCAAGTATAAGGGTGTATCACCTGGATGCGTAGAGTTTTTTAAATTCGTTGAGCACCTGGACGTGAGGTAATACAGGTAGATTCCAGCAGAATCGACAGATTACCCAGTACAATCGCCTGTATTTTACTGCTTCCTGTTGAAATGATCCCTGTGCTTTTCAAGTCCCTCATTGCTTAGACTTTGATACTTGTAACCCACGCTCTGGTAAACAGAACTGGACATGAGGGACGAACCCGAAGCAAAGTTAAGGTGCCTAAGTAAATGCTATGCTGTTCACTTGGGTGTCTCAGACACCTGTCCCGAGCAGTTTGGCATTAAAGCATTTCACCGATACTTTGCCGTCATGGTAAATTTGATGCCATGCCGAGTAGGCAGGAATGAGGGTTGTTGAGAAGCTTGAGTGTAAACTTGAGTGGATCGGCCTTCAAGCGCAGGTCTTGACAAAAAAATCTTTATTTTTTACTTTTTGGGATAAATCGGATACACTTTAAAAACAGACGAACGAATATTTTAATACAATATTCAGTACTGAGATCTGTTTGAATTTTTTTATTTTCTTACAAGCAAGGTATGTATATGTATATATAGACTCGTACCGACAATAGTCATCATACTTATTAAATTCTAATATATCAATAATACAACTTCTTTAGCATTCTTGGTTTAGCCGATCTTCTTTCACTTGACAACTCATGCCTAAAAACATATAAATACAAAGGTACAGTTTTTCTTTAAAAAAAATCAATAGTTTGATGACGTTTCATTAACTTTCTTCATCTCATGTATACAATTAAGCATTCACATGCAATTAGGCATTGCCACGCAATTAGCCATTGACATGCACTTAATATTACAAACACCAACCCGAGTGTTGTTTTATTCCATATAGGTAATAACCGCCACCTCCTTAAAAGTTTTTGAAGATTAACCTCTTTTTTCTTTTTCACTCTTCTGGTGGAATATTCTTATGAGATCTCCATAGAGCTAAAATCTAAACTACTTGGCAGCCTTACTATTACTATAAAATTATGTCATTTCTTCCACTCTTATCCAATATTAAACTTGTGACAGGGAGCATTATCTTCTTAGTAGATATATTCGCTATCTTTATCTTCATTGAGAGCTTGCATAAATAGAAGATTCTTCATTAGTTCATTAGTTAATTGCGCGTGTCTTTGAACTTCCATATGACCCAGACATATCCTATCTTCCTAAACCTTTCTTTGTATCAATTATGTAAAAAAAATTGCTCAAGTCGTAGCCGCAAAAAGAATATAATTCTTATAGCTGGCGAAGAAATCAATTAAAAGACACAAGAATTGTAATAATCAACCACAGAAATATTTAGCTATTTCTACTTCTCTCTCTTATTCATTATTAATTATCCAAAGAAGCATATTCTATCCCAACATCTTTGTAATAGCTTAACAATATCTTACTGATTATCTTATTTTTCTTTATTAATTATCGAAAGATGAAAGCAATAAAGACCATCCTTACACAGCACTTTTGTTTTCTTTTTATCTTTCTTGAGAGAACAAGCTGCCAAATGCAAATATTTGAGTCAAGGATATGATAAAGGAGATCGATATCTATTCTCTTTTCCTTTTAACCGTCTGGACCACTTCATCATATAAACCAATACTGTCCGTATCACCTTTTCAAATGTAAAGAATAATGATTCAGAAATAAGGTAAAATATGCCCAGATTGTAAAACTATCCTTTTCTCATAATATATTAGATTTTCAATTCAAAGAGCTTTTCCTTATAGGGGGTTTCACCAGCTCTGGGTGCTTGACTGTTGGATGTATTGTTAGTTTAAGCACTATCCAACAATAACCAATGTCAAAAAACAACTATTGAATACCATTAATGTCTCTTGGTTGATATGGTTTCTCTCATATATGTCAGAATTCATATTTATAATACACTTGATTAGAATACTCATAAATATATTGCCCATGCCCAAATTCCCTACAAGTAAGTTAGACTTCTATAACTTTGTATTAAGATAGCCACTCTTACATAGATTGATTATGTTTTATTTTTGACATTGCTTTTCTATGAACCTTGCCATCAATCGTACATAAAGCACAGAATCTTGTAAATTTTGGCCAAGTCATTACATTAGACTATCGAACTATTTTTTTTTGGATGCCTGGATGCTCAGTTTTCATTTCTTGAAGATTCGTCGCAGCCAATCATTTTTCGAATTAAACTACCGCTACATCCAACAGTCAAGCATCCAAAGCTGGTGAAACCCCCTACAGTGAATATGTGAGTTAAAATTCACGATTGATACTTGTGTTCCCATCGATACAGACAGAAGAGGCCTTTTTATATTATATCCATCAAAACAATGCTTCAGAAATTTCTAAAGTTTATTGTTATATTGGAAACCAAAGCTTAAAAGAAACCAAGAGCATTAAGTATAATAGTGTGTATATATTTTTTACTTGAGGTTGAGACGAATTTTGATTTGTTATAGGAGAATTTTTTTTTTAAAATATCACCTCACAAATTGAGACGATAAATATGCTAAACAAAACTCATACTTTTACATATATATGACATAGAGCGTAGAGCTGAAAAATCTAATATATGTGACCATGATGTAGTTGTTACAAAACATAAAAGAAGTACTGAATATTAAATGGCTAAGCTAAAAAGGCAGAAGCGTAATGTAGAAATCTGTAACCATGATGTTAATCAAGTAGAACGAAGGAATGTATGCAACAGCTGGCGCCAATATGGCTTTAAAAGTTGCAGATCAAAAGAGTTTGCAAATCATACACCAAGTAAACAAGAAGAAATGCAAGGGTTGTTGGGAGATCATACTACCATTTTTTCAAATACACGAATGTCATTTATGTAATAAAATGGCTTTTGCTGAAACTTACTTTGGGTTTGAATAATGTTCTCACTTGTAAAAGTTGCAGGATGATATAGCAATGCGGCTCCACCGCTTAGAAGAGCGTCTTCAATAATTCAAGACGTTATTAGTGGCCATAGTCGACCTTAAAATAAAATTCAAGCTGTACCAATATAAAGTTTAAACGCTGTACTTTACCCAACAATGAAAAGCAAAAAAAAAAAACCAAAAACCAAAAACAATGGTTGTGCGACAACACATCTTAAGAATGCGCCATTTAACTTTTGAAGTACAACATCAATGTGGATCAGGAGCAACAATTTTCTCTGTAAATAGTATATATTGTATATGTATAAATATGAAAAAAAGATGAAAGGGATTCTTGGGTATTGTTGGGTCACTCTAGATCAGCTTCAAATTGATGTGTGTATATATATACTTGAGGGACTTTTTAATACTTTTGCTAATTGCAATGTGTCGCAAAGATATGACATTGATTGTAATGGTTATCTTTAATGAGTATACGCTAAATTACCGAGAGGATATATTCCACCTGACATAAATAGGAAAAAATAACAATACTAATATTATTTGATCCTTTTTGCGATAGGAATTTTACCTGAAAACTACTATATGTATTCTCTATTTTGCCCTTCTGTGTACATTGTGTGGCAATGATTTCCTTATAAGAGAAATCTCCGCTGAGGAGGCTGAATATATTGTGGCTGTATGTTCACTAAAAAAAAATGAAAAAAAAATAGCAGTGACGAAGATTTAACATCATGACACCACCAATTCGTGCATCAAGTCTTCTTAAATGGAAAGATCTTAATGTCTCACCCAATGAATTGCGTCTGGACACTTTAAGATGCGGACAGAGTTTTCGATGGAAGCAAAACAATGGCCTTTGGTAAGCCTACTCGAATTTTGCCTTCTTTGACTTATACATATCAAAGGTCTTGTGTATTGAACGGTAGACTGGTGGTTTTGAAAGAAACAGGTACAAATAAATTTATATTACCTTAAAATTTTTGATGATAATATTTCATTAATTAATTTATTAATTAATAATGTGTGTTTCTATAATACTAGACACTAGTGTTATGTATGGAGAGTGGGAAGAAGACAAGACAATCGAAAAAGATTTGAGAGACTATTTCCAGTTGGACAAAGTATCCTTGTCAGAATGTTATGAGAGATGGTCTGGTATAGATCCTAATTTCAAGGTCAAAGCCATGGGGCTGAAAGGAATTCGTATTCTCAGACAGGACCCTTGGGAGAATCTTGTGTCGTTTATCTGTTCAAGTAATAACAACATTTCCAGAATATCACAGATGGTAAATAAATGTCTATATGCATTTAATATCTACAATGTGTATATATAAAAGTCACCGTGCATGTGAATCATACCATATATAAAATAGGTCAACAAGCTATGTGTCCAGTTTGGGCCCAAAGTGGCGACTATGGATGGAGAAGGATTTTATGCATTTCCTCCGTTGGATAAGCTGATTGGAACTCAAGATCAGCTAAGAGAACTAGGGTTTGGATATCGTGCAAGATATATTGCTCAGACAGCAGCTCAGATTGCAGCCGAACATCCAGATCAGAAAGAGCAATGGTTGCATACATTGAGAAATGTTTCGTTTGATGAAGCCAAAACTGCACTTATGAGATATCCTGGAGTGGGACCAAAGGTTGCCGACTGTGTGGTAAATACATATCGACATACAAATCCGTATTCTTGATTGTTGAATCTGCTTACATATGATCTTTGTTTAGTGCCTCATGTCATTAGATCAGCATGAAGCTATTCCTGTCGATACACACGTGTGGCAAATTGCGATGCGTGATTACCGCTTCAACCTCACTGGTGTCTCTAAAACCAAGACTTTAACGCCTGCTCTGTACAAAGCAATTGCGACCAATTTCCGTGATCTGTTTGGCAGCTACAGTGGTTGGGCTCACTCTGTAAGTCAATTATAGTTTTGATTTTGAATTGAATTGAATTGAATTATTTAATTAATTACTTGAAATTTTTTTATTTTTATTTTTATTTTGTTTTATTTTATTTATACAACTAATATATTTGCTGTGGTTCTTGTAGGTTCTATTTACCGCTGATCTGCGATCATTTGATGATAGAATTATAAAGGAAAAGAAAGAAAAGGCCGTAAAGAAGGAGGCATTGATTGGTGAAGTTGTCTTGAAGAAGCTAATCGTCCCAGATCCAGTGTTGGATCAAGACAATGAGCATGATACACATGTCCGACGGTCGAAGCGACAACGTAAAAATACGATTGGATAGAATACTAAATGAATTTTAAAAAGGAACTCTAATAGAATTAATATATATGTATATATATCTTTTTTGCTTTTGCACTGTTGTACAATTTTTTATTTTTATTTTAATGCTCCGGATTTCCCGATTAGAGCATATGCCATTAAAGTGGCTTTCTTATTGGGTTGTCCCACAAAACTGTTGGATCCAATTAATAGACTGTAAAGTAAAATAGAAAAGATATCAAATATTAAAGAGTAAAGAGTAAAGAGTAAGAATTAAAAAGAGAATTACATTAGAATTAAAGATTATTACTTGTATGAATATTGTGTGTGTGTGTGTTTGTGTGTGAATGTATGTATAATGTATATATAAAGGAAATTAATAATAGTATGAGTATTTTGTGTCAGAGTAATAAGTTTGAGTTTGCGATTGCGATTGTGATTGCATTTGCGGTTGCTTTTGTGTGTTTTGATTAGGCGTGGTGGCGTATGGCGTTACGAGAGGAGGATGAGTGGTGTCCGAATTTTCTTGCACAATGTTTTAGGAAAGATCGTACTGAATTTGTTGTAAATCGAAATCAAGATAAGAGACTGTAAGAACAATGGTCTTTGATCCAGAAGTATAGGTATCAAATTTTACTTACCACTTGAATTCATAGCTCTTTGGTGTTCCTTTAATACAACTTCTTCTTCTTCTTCCTGGTCGTCAAGATAGTGTACGGAGGGAGGCTCGGTTGAAAACGAGACATTTCGATTCATCTGGGATGGTTTCTTTTGGGGGATAACATATTCAACTGCCTCTGAGCTGTACCAAGTCTCGAGTTTGGGAAGTGAGTCGTAGAGGTTGGATCTTGGACAGGGAGTTGACATTATTATTATTATTGTTATTATTATTACAGTATAGAGTGAAAAGAAGCTTTGAAAAAAAAGGGTAGCAACGTATTTCATTTTATCTCATTTCTTCTGATTCAGCTACTCCGAAAAGGAAATTCATTCATTCACTCTTGTGGCGGAGAACGATGCAGAACCAGAAATTAAAGCCTCAGGCTTGTATTAGAGTATGACGAAGAGTACAAGTGTGAATACAAATGTGAATATCAATGCAAGAGTCTTGGTTACTATATGTCTTAACAGTTCTATCAAGATATCAGTGCTCTCTTTCCGTCTTATTGTAGTTCAATGAGTGTTAACACCATGAAAATAACGCTGGATCAATAATAGCCAAACAGATAACTTTGGCTTGGCAATTCTAACATATATTATTGGCTGATGGTTATTTGCTGAGTAAATGTCAAGTACATTAGTATGCATGCACATCATAAAATAAGGGTAAAATAGCACAGGCAAGCAAGCGAAAGACATGATGGTATAAACAAGATTATCTAAACAAGAGGTTGTCTAAAGGATTATGTCTACTAAAGAAATCAAAACGCATGAGGGTTACCGAAAAGGAGATGAACGGGGGAGTAGACACTAGGGGAATCAAAGCAAGGGCAAGAGACTCCATAACGTATATTATGTATTCATATTTCAAACAGCTCATTTATATATCTTTTTTTTTAATAATAATACTAGACATCACTCCAGACAAGATTAAGATCCACAATAACGTATGAAGCATAAAGCTTCTTTATAAAACTAAAATAAAATACATATTACAATATAAGATAAAAGAGTCCAAGGAGTCCTTGGCATCACAATATATATATTTATTAGTTTTGCAGGAGTGGAGGAAACAAAGAGGGGGGGTAAAGGAGGAGAAGGATAGAGCAAGAAGAGTAAGAGACCAAGAGACCAAGAGACCAAGAACAACCAGCCAAAAGATATAAATACAAATATAAAAAAGAGCTTGAGTGAGGAGGGGAGGAGGAGGGGTTTTTGGAGAGGGGATTCGAAGATATATATATATTCTTCTTTTTTTTTACCCCTCTCTTCAACATTGTAAAAACCTAGTGAGTATAAGTCTCTAGGATTCACACCAAAGCAGAGGTATAAAACGAACTCCTTATACACACACTTAATTATATACCTGTATACATTTATACATATCCAGTCGAGGGTTCCCTTTTTATTTTATTTTATTTTTACCCTGAAAATGAAAAAATATAATATATTTAATAAATAAAAAAAATAAAAAAATATTATACTTTTCCCCTCAAAAAGACCAACCTAAGAAAGAACCAACTCTTCCTGTTCATAGACACCTCTCTTCTCATTACTCTCTTAATTACAATGAACGGTAAGTCATTCAACCTAATCAACTCTCATCTCACATTCCTCATCTAGATCAAGTCAACGGTTCATCAGGCGTAAGTTTCTTTTTTCTTCTTCTTTCTTATACATAATCACTGCCCAACCAACTAACCTGTTGTGTAGATTACTGTCATGCGAAAGAAACTCATGGGCTATGTCGGATTCGCAAACTTCCCTAACCAAGTACATCGCAAGTCTGTCAAGACAGGTTTCCAGTTCACCTGCATGGTCGTTGGTATGTGTAACCATCCTTAATTTATCACTAATTCAGTCTATATATATATATATTTATACTAAAATATCCTCAAAGGCGAATCCGGTCTTGGTAAATCGACTTTGGTCAATACCCTGTTTAATACCCAAATCTATCCCAATAAGCAACCTGCCGAACCCACTCATGACTGTCCTCAGACAGTCGAAATTCAATCAATAACCACAGATATTGAAGAAAATGGCGTTCGCTTAAGAATGACCGTAGTCGACACACCAGGATTTGGTGATTTTGTCAACAACGAAGAGAGGTAATAATAATAAGCATAATAGACAAATGGAGTCCAATTGACTCTATACACACCTGGTCTCTAACCAAATTCACTGCACTACAATTTATTAGCTGGAAGCCTATCCTAGACAATATTGAATCTCGCTTTGACGCCTATCTTGAACAGGAGAACAGAGTCAACCGTCGCAAGATGGTCGATAACCGAATCCACGCCTGTCTGTACTTCATCACTCCTACCGGTCATGCCCTGAAACCACTTGATGTCGAATTCATGCGACGTCTCCATACCCGTGTCAATCTTATTCCTGTCATTGCCAAAGCAGACACCTTGACAGAAGAAGAGGTTGTTGCATTTAAACAACGCATCTTGGCTGATATCAAGCACCACAATATCCAAATATACCAAGCACCAGCATATGAATATGATGATGAGGAGACAATTGCAGAAAACCGCGAAGTTATGTCCAAGATCCCCTTTGCTATCGTTGGATCAGATAAAGAGTTTGAAGTCGAAGGAGGCCGTCGGGTTCGTGGACGCAGATACCCCTGGGGAGTAATTCAGGTCGACAACGAAGAGCATTGTGATTTCGTTAAATTGCGCCAGATGTTGATTCGGTGAGTAATCTACAATATCCAGAAGAAGAAGGGAAGAGAAAAAAGTGCTGCTTCTTACGGACTCAAATTATAGTACACACATGGAAGAACTCAAGGAGTTCACAAATGATGTTCTCTATGAGAATTATCGCACAGAGAAATTGTCTGCTATGGGTATCCAACAAGATCCCTCTGTGTTCAAGGAGGTCAAGTAAGTCTAAAAAAGATACACACACACACATATATATCCCCTATTCTACTTTTGCCTTGTTTTTTCCTTGCTGCTTATTATTATTTTACTTATTCATATTATTCTTATTTTTTTTATAATTAGCCCAGTCCAGAAGATGGAAGAGGAGCGTTTGGCTCACGAGCAGAAACTGGCCAAGATGGAGACTGAAATGCGATCTGTATTCCACGCCAAGGTGCAGGAGAAGGAACACAAATTGAAACAATCCGAAGAAGAAGTAAGTTTAGGAGCAACGTGAAATAATTCTACAGATATACTTAATTTCTCTTTTATATAATTTAGCTTTATGCGCGCCACAAGGAGATGAAAGAAGCTCTGGACAAACAACGCATTGAGCTTGAGGAAAAGAGGCGCCGACTGGAAGCAGGAAGACCAATGACACCCGAAAAATCAAAGAAGAAGGGCTTCTCTTTCAACAAATAAGCATTAATACTAGTCGCAGCCTAAACATAACAAGAAACAAAATCCAGTATAAAACCCCCTATATATTTTATTTATTTGGTCTTCTTTTAAAGAAGTCCAATAAAGAAATGAAGTCTTATATATATATGTATATGTATATATATATATTAGAAGGGATCTTCTTCATCGTCATAATAATAATAATAAGCAGTTCTACTTTGCTTAATTTATACTCTCTCTTTTCTTTTAAAAAAATCTTACAACTCCCCTTATTCAATTTTACTATCCACTATTACTTATACTTGAAGAAAGAGAGGAAATGAATCCAAATTTCTATCGATTCCTGTTGACCAAATACTTCTTGTTATAAAACGGTTTTTTTTTGCTGATATTGTTATTTGTTTTATAAACAATAATAAAATTGCCACTGTTTAGATGTTTATTGAACAAGCATAAAAATGTTTGTAATTATGCTTCGAAAAATATCAGCTCCTCTTTCTTAAAATCAATCTTATTGTATTGTGTTGTATTTTCTGTTCTGTTCTGTTATCAGCAGTTAGGTTACACATATTAATTAACTTTTTCAATACTAAATTAATATTTGTGCGTATTGATATATAAATGAATATTTCAGGATATTCGGTAGCAGTTGCTCATTATTGTCGGTAAGAACACAACCAGAACCTACACACTATTACATCCACACTCATTCACAGGTGTCTTACTTGACTTGTTGCAAAATATCTCTAATAGAAACCAAAATTCATTTTGACTTGAAAATGATTTTTTTGGAAGAAACGTTTATTTAAATATCCGCATAAGATGACGTAGAAAGACATACTTTCAGACTGAAGTCTTCGATACACTCAAGCCTTTCTAGTCTATTACTATTTTCTTTAACATAATAAAATGTCGTGGCGCAAAATTGATATTGACCAGTTTGACGAGGATACTTATACCCAAGATGAATTCCTTGCCGAATTTGAGTCACCTCTTCCAGCCGAACAAGTGAATGCTACCATCCAGTCGCGAACCACTGACATTCGAAATCTATTGACTCGGTAATAAGCATAAATATCTACCCATCATCTTCCTCATTGAATATACTCTTAGTGGTGACCAAAATGCTGCCCTTACCTTGGCCCTATCGGATCCACCTTATGGTCGCCATCTCGGAGTTGCAAAGGCATGCCAATGATTCTCTTTATGTGTCTTTTGGTTTATGCTTACACACATACATGTATGTGTATATACCAAAATTTATTTTTATTTTAGGGTATGGCCACACAAGCAGTGTTGGATGTCCTTACACAGTTTCGTGCTACTGATATTACTCCAGTTATCAACTCGATTTCCCAAGACGAGCAAGATGTGTTGATGAAGTATCTCTTTGCAGGCATGGCCAGACCTGAAGTTTATAACTCCAGTGTATTGTTAACTTGGCATGAAAAGGTACGGATGGGTATTTCAATTTATATGGTGTGTTATTCATATGTTTTTCATTATATTAGTTGACAGAGGTAGCTGGTACTGGCTCCATTGTTCGTGTCATGACAGATAAACGTACAATCGTGTAAAAAAAACGCACTATTTTACTTGCTCCCTCTAAAAGAAATACAAACACACACATATATATATACATAAATATGGCATGAATGTTCGCGTACATACGAGCCCATAAACCTTCTCGAACAATTGACGTACACTACTCATATCAGACAATTCTTCCATTTTATATATATATATATCTAATAATAAAAAAAGAAGAACAGAAAGATGACCTTTGCTTAATAAGGCGTGTGGACGCACAAACACACACAAAACCTTTAGCTGAACCATGGGTGTATATAAAAAGAAGAAGAAGAAAAAAGTAAATGTTCAAGCTAATTTGAGTCGGAAACCAGTAGATTCGGATTGTCCTGCAAATAATGTTCCTTCCAATCCTGGATCTTCATCATCATCCATTCCTGCGTGTGCTCCCTGAGGTGCCGATGGGCTGTGGACTTTTCGCCTTTTTTTTTAAAAAAAAATAATAATACACAAATAGACATACACAGCTTAAAATAAGCAACAAAAGAATAACAATATCTCTGTTGAAAGCTTACTTTTCTCCGGACCCTTTGGATGGCCAAGTTGGGAAAAGAGCTGGATCCTTTGGATAAGGTGTTTCACTTTTTGATAGACAAAACACACGCACGCATAAAAATATATATTACAGTTAAAATTGATCCGATTGGTTTTAAAGAAAGGTATTGAGTATAAGAAGTATATTTACCTAAAGAATGGGTGTTTCAGGGCTTGTTCGGCTGTAATTCGTCTTGCAGGATCATAAGTCAGCATACGAGACATGAGGTCAATGCCTGCTTCTGTCATGCAAACAAACCGACTTCGCAAATTGCTGTAACTAATTGAACTGATAATCAATACAGACCTTAATGCACAACAAGCATAAATAACCTACGGTTGTTTTACAAAGGCAACATTTTGGGCGTGTGGCAAACTTGTGAATCCAGGCCAAACCTCTTCACTAGGTGTTCCCAATAGTTTGAAAATCTATCAACAAAAAAAAACAATTTATACCTGTGAGAAAGAGATATAGATTTGATATCTCTATCCAAGCGGAAACACACCTGCCTTGTCAATCTGGTCGATCTCACTCCGACCAGGTAGTAATGGTTCGTTATTAATTAATTCAGCAAAAATACATCCAATTGACCACATATCAATTGCTGTGGTATATTCCTTGGCTCCCAGCAAAAGCTCGGGTGCTCTACAGTATCTATGTTTAAAACGACACTCTGATGGTTTCTCTATATGTATTTCACATTATCGCGTATGTACCTGTACCACAAAGTCACCACTAATTGTGTCATGTTTCCCATCGGACTGCCATACTTGCGAGCCAGTCCAAAATCTGCAACTTTGATCTCGCCTCGATTATTTAGCAGAAGGTTACTTGTCTTGAGATCACGATGGATAATCCAATTTTCGTGCATCAATGACACTGCGGATAATAGCTGGATCATCAATGTTTTAACTTCGGACTGGAAAAAAGGTGCTCGCATATCTGTCATCAATGTCTTTAAATCGTGCTCAATAAAATCCATGACAATAAACACTCTGTAAAATTCACAGAAATACATAACCATGATAATGAGCATAATTAAGTCCCCATAGAAATACATGATTGAGACTTACTGGTTAAGATGGTTACCCATTACAATCTCGCGTACATTAACAATATTAGGATGTTTGGCGATCATCAGTGTATTGATTTCTCTCAAACTAGTGACCGGAAATCCATTCTTCTCTTTCTCGAGCTTTAACTTCTTTAAGGCGACTATATCACCCGTCTCTCTATCGCGCGCTCGGAACACAATTCCGTACGATCCTTCTTCAATATGATTTAAACGCTCATAGCAATCAACGCTGCGACATGCAGACAGTAGAGGATTTGGTGGGGGGCTTGTGGGACGTGGGATCCGATTAGTTTGTGTTTGTGTTTGTGTTTGTACTGGCTCTGGTTCTGGTGCTGGTGCTGGTGCTGACACGGGAGGAGCAGCAGAAATGGTTGCGAGTCGAACTGCTGATGTAGAATCGGAATTGGGTTTGGTGATCTTTTCTTTCTTTTTATGTTTTTTTGGCTCTTGGGGTTTGATATCTTCTTCACTTTCGTCTGATGCCCATTTAGATCGCTTGATTGTATTGGTATTTAAACTCTCCATGAGAAATAAGGCTCTTATTATTTTTTATTTTTATTTTTATTGTTATTCTTTTTAGGTGATGCACTGTGATGAATTGCTCAAAATAAAATAAAATAAAATGTTAATATTTCTCCTACAAATGCTGACGGTCTTTCATTTATTTATTTATTTATTTTAGCATTGGCCTTTCTTTTATACATATATTATGAAAAGTATATCAGCAATATTACGGAGACGACGTTTCCTGGTGGGGTACGACGTTTCTATCTAACCCGTCTGATGAATTGTGACCACCTGTCCGGGCCGGTGTCTTTCTCTAATCCTTCAGGGCAAAATGGTGTGTCCTGAAAATATACAATATATTCATTGTACGCATTAGCTTACTACTTTCCCCCCGTACTTTGCGTGTTTATCAATCTCTTCCCAGGCACCTAAATCTCATTCTTTTAAGAGTTTCGGTCTGCTTTTGAACAACTTAATAATGAAATACTGTCTCATACGAAAAAATGCTGTATATTCAATTAATAGCGGTTTGCGTCCTAAATTTCGACTTGGTCATAAAAAATACATTATATCAATAACCAGTTATACAAAAGATTATAAGTAGTTGCTGTTATTAAAGTGTAGTGCAATCTTGCTTGATATTTTACTATTTATTAGCCTTCTTACGCGTACCATGTCTTTGTCTTTCTTTCACCTACTTATATTCCCAGAGTTTGACAGCATAAACTGGTAAGTAATTATCATCCACTTTTTTTTGCAAAGCACAAAAGAAAGGCTTCACGAATATTTTGTATCTTGCCTGGGATTAATTATTATAACAAGAATTGATTCTTAGGGACCAGGTAGAGTTACTCCATGCCGGCAAAAAGGCCACAATTTGTGGTCCGGTAGAATAAAAATGTCGTACCCCATCAGAAAACGTCGTGCCCCTAAAATTAGGAATTAATACAGCCTTTTCTTAAATAAATTAATGAATAAAAAACAAACTCTAAATGAAATAAATAAGATTTTGTGAATCTAAACCAGAAAAATAGCTTTTAGAAAAAGTCAAGATAGAATTGACTTTAGTACAATAAACTTAACCTGGTTAAAGACGAAAGTGGAAGTTAATTAGTATTAAATAGAGACGTTATTACAAGTGTATCGATGAATACAAAAAAAAAAGGTACACCGTCAAAGATTGTTCTCCAGTACGCCTTCCAAATGATGAGTATAATACAATCTAAAGTATAGTATACTTCAATGGTCGGGGAGATAAATGGGGGTTGAGGGCTTATAAGTTGCAAAAGGTTCTAGATGGGATATTCAAAGGCTGAGGTATACATACTGGCCAAAACCAAAGTTCAAACCTGCCCAAAAATATGACATATGGCAAGTAAGTGCTCGACAGTATGACTTAGGCGGCCACATAGGCAACACATGGCTGTACTATAGTGTGTGACATAATACATTTCTGGTTTGAGGTAACTGTTTACCAGTTACCGGATCAAATCAAACAGCTTTATAATCCAACCCGAGTAACATTACTTTATTTGTATAAGAACGAAATGATCAAACTAGTATATGCCCAGCAATAAATGACAAGCAAAGACAAACGAGGTTCACAGAATATAATCATTACTTCATCTCTTGCTCAAATGATATATGGATATATATATATTACATAAAAAGATTCTTGAGCATAAAAACAAGTATGTGGGTATGACTGATTTTTTAGAATTATTCATGCGTTTGGGTGTTACAGTTCTATAGAAACATTGACTTTATTAAGACTAACTTGAATGTCATACTTTTTTTTTATTTTTCACAAAGATAAGCTGTAAATGACCCGCAGTATATTATTCAGGTCAATAGTATATTTGCAAAAGACTTTGCATAAATACAGTGGTGTAAGTCTTAATATGATAATACTTTTTTTTTCTAAAGGAAGAAGAGGAAGAAGAGGAAGAAGAGGCCTGATATACTTATTATATTTGAGCTACCTTTTAGATATATAATAAAAGGTTTTGAATATTCCTTTAATATAATTGGTCTTTTTTTTAAAAAAAAAGGTATTTCCTGAATTTTCCTCACAAGATTGAATATTTTAAAGAAAAGAAGAAAATAGCTTCTATTCCCATAATACAAATCAAACTAGAATGCATGCTACGTGATGTAAGCGTGAAGTACTACCGAGGCGTCAATGCACATCTATAACTAGATTAAGCCATGGATATATGCCCATAATGATACTATTATTATTACTTAAAAAAAAACAGAATGTGTGAAGACTTGAAAACAATGGCTTACCATGAAGTATGAAATATGTAACTAAAAGTCAAAATATACATTACACTGAACATAAATCCCCATGTTATTAATAGCAATTAAATCAAAGCCAATGATATATACACACATACATATACATATACATATATATATATATGTACGTGTGTGTGGTGATTCATAGTAAATTTACAATATAAATTATTATCAGATGAAAAAAGGAAAGGTGCCTTCAATAAAGGTTCCATAGAAAATGACTAGTCGAAAGTAACTTCCTTTACATTATTCCCTAAATAAATGCCTCTTTAGTTAGTATGATTTGTTGAGATAAATGTAATATACACACCCTTTACAAAAATAGTGCACTTTAATGTTTTTTAAGGAAAGTTTTTGTACAGCTTGTGTCTTGGTATAGACTATAATAATTAATATATATATGAAAAAATATTCAATATGTAATGCAGAGTATTTTAATGACATTTTCTTTGCCTTGTTAAAAGAAAGGGCTTCAAGCTGTAATAAGACGTATAAGCTAAACTTTTATAAGCGTATCGGTAAGTGTATTTCCTTTAGTATTAGTATACTTGTACATGGTTACTTTAGTCCAGAATATTAATAAAGATTCTAACCCACAGATATAGATAATTATTGATTTATACTATGTGATACATTGATAAAAAAAAAGCATGGTATACAAAGTTAATTTATTTTACTCTGTCTTTATCCGTGACAGATTACTTGTGAAATATACTTCTTATCATTCACATACATACACACACACATGCACACACAAAACTATAAAAGCAATTAAATTTTGGTAGCTACAACAGACTTCTTCTCTCAAGACTCTTTTTAGCAATGGACAAAATTGACTTTCAACACTTGTTGAGCGAAAAATACATGATTTCTACCATAGGAGTCATTGTATTTAGCATGGTGGTCAAAGCGGTTTATACACTATTTAAAAATCGAAAAAATGAAAGTACGATCAATCAGATTCGCGGCGAAACCTTTCACGAGATTCCTTCTCCAAAGGCTGGATATCCTTATGTTGGTAAGCTGGGTGCTAAAGTTTAACATATTTTGGTTATAGGATTTCTTCTTTTATATGTAGAATCTACACCTCAATAACCATCTTAAAAAATTCTAGGTCAGATGTTTTCAATGGGAGATAATCCTGGTGCTCAGATTGAAAAATGGCATCGGGAACTTGGTAATGATTGGGCTTGTGTATACTATAATTATGAGTTACTGTTATATTATTGACGTGCGCATCTTTAGGCCCCGTTATACGGATCAAGATGGGCGTTCAGTCCTGGGTACTAATCAATGATCCACTTATTGCACATGATGTGTTTATGAGAAACGGTGCAAAGACATCCAGAAGACCCATCCATAGCTTTACTACTGGACTCTACAGCAAAGGAGGAAGGTATGTATATTTTTCTTTACTTTACAAATAATATATATGAATTTACTTGTATTTTCACATAGAGGCGTCTCCTTTAATCAGCCCGGAAAGCGATGGAGATCTACAAGAGCAGTTGGTAATATATTATGGATACAACCATCAATATCGCTCTAACTATTTTCTCTTTATTAAATGACTTTTAAGCAACCACGGTTTTGGCACAAAAATCAATTGATAAATACACGGAGTTTTTTGAGGCTATTGCTGATAAAACAGTAGATCGGTTGATTAGTGTATCAAAAAAGGATGGGTCCGTGGTTCCTTTCCCTCACTTTCAACTCGCATCGTTTGGTGTGATCATCAAGTTGGCAGTAGGGAAATCAGTAAAATCACTTGATGATCCAGTGTTCACCAAATTACTTGAAATGTCCGATAAAACAATGATGTATGGTGGTATCGTGGGTGACCTTGGATCTTTCCTTCCTGCTCTCAAATGGATCAACATGTTCTCAAGCGTGCATAAAGACATGGTGAAAATGGTAGAGTCCCGCGACAAGAACATCGCTAAACTCGTCAATGAGGCAATTGAAGGCGAAAATGAATGTCTGGCGCAGCAAATGAATATCCTCAAAGCTGAATACGGACTCGTAGATCAGGATATAAACGTTCTTTTTAGTAAGTAGGCATACTGTTTATCATCCCTCTGTCTGCTTAAAAAAAAGCAAAAGATATAACAGATCATTTCTTTTATTAGGTGATATGATTACTGCTGGTGGAGACACCATTGCTGTAGCACTTTATTGGCTTTTTGCTTTATTACTGCAGTATTCAGATGTTATGAAAAAAATGCGGGATGAGATTGACAGTTTTATTATCGAACACAAACGAATTCCTAGGTTCTCTGACCGTAGTGAGCTAAAATATAACATTGCCGTTCATCGTGAGAGTCTTCGTTTCAGAGCTGTCACGCCTTTTGGACTCTCGCATTGTGCCACTGATGATGGTAAGTACACAGTTTCAGAAAGACCAAATATCTAATAAGTCAAACAACAAATATAGTCATCAGTAATGGATACTTTATTCCAAAGGATACGGTTATTCTAGCTGGAACAGATGCACTACACATGAACGAAAAATATTTTGTTGAACCAAAGAAATTTAATCCTGATCGCTACATTGGAATTGAAAAGACAATGTCGGCATCCAACAATGGGCCTGCAGAAGAAAGAGATACTTATGTTTTCGGTTGGGGGAGGTATGTTGCGAAAAAGCCGAGTGGATATGAAAATAAATAATGACCCTAGAATTATAATTAACTTATGCATATATAAGACGCATTTGTCCCGGAATCTATATGGTGAGCTAAGTAGCTACGATACTGGTCTAAAGCGTTTACGATTTGTTAAAGTACATCTCTTTTTTCTACTTAGGCTGAATCAGAAATCTTTAATCTTTGTACTCGAATCTTGGCCCGTTGTAATGTTGAGCCTGCTCTCAACAAAGATGGCACTCCAGCCTATCCAAACTTGGACAAAGTAGTTACTATGGGTATTGTTTCTCTTCCCGTAGAGTATAAAGTTCGGTTTGTTCCCAGAACAGACAGTCCTCTTGATTTTTAATCTCACAAACCAATCCAAGTCAAGATGTATATAACTACATCCCATACTATATTTGTAAAAACATTATTATTTCTGTGTCTAAATAAACAGAATTATATAGCGAAATAACCTCTTCGTAATCAAAGTCTGTTATCTTGAGGTCTATATTCTTTACTGCCCGAGAAAAATCTTTTGCTCTCTTATAAAAAAAATACAATCAACCGAAAACCTGTCTGACTGCAAGAGGTTTCAGAATGCAACTTTGTTGTTCCTGTTAGGAAGCAAATCGCTAGTGCATAAAAAAAACACTTAATTAGTTATGTTTTTCGATTAAATTTCAATGATGTTATACCTTTTGACTCGCAATACTTTAAAGTTTACGTCTTTTTAAACATTTCAAGCTGCTTATTATATCCTTTTAGTAAAGAAGTTGATAAAAAAGCAAACAAAGGGTTTGCAGAGATTGTTATAGATTGAAATATTAAAGAGGGTTTTGGAAACAACCTCAACTGACGAGGTAAAAGTAATCCCCGTACATGATAGGGATGGTGATTTGTGTGGTCCTCTTCATATTCTACCAAAATATGTGATAGAATGGGAATACACTCTTCAGGGTACCCAGAAAGGGATTTTAGTGTCAGCTTGAATGTTGATTGATCACTTACAGCAAACATGTTTTTAAGCTGACATTTCAAATATCTAAGAAGTATAGCTTCAAGCTTTTAAATAACATGATTATTATAGGCTGTGGATAGTTCTTTACAAGCCTCTGTCAAGAATTAACTTGCTCCTGTTTGTAATTTTTTTTACTATAGATAATACTTAGGAAAGAGGCACGGGGTGTATCCCAAGTTCGAATCAAGTTACTTGAGGTATGTTGGGTATCTGTGCTTTTTTCTGGTATTCACAAGTTAACAAACCGAGTATCAGTAGCTTTGCTTGAAGACAATGCTATAATCAAGATATTGGTGGCTGCTAAACAGATAGAAATAGTTTGTAAACTACATAGCTCTTAGTATGATATCCCGAAGGTCTTTTGATGTTGTGATCCCTCATCAGTTACTATTCTTAGAGGGAGTTTCCTTGTAAACGGCTTGTAGTAATACCCAAGATTTTCTTGAAGCATTTCTTCTTTTGATGTGATAAAATTCGGACATCCAGGAGAACGCATATATTTGTGTCCTGCTTGTTTAAATTTTTTACAGAAAGTCGATGAAGAGCTTGAATCATATTTTTTTCTTTTTGCGGCCTCCTTTTCTTGCTTGATGCTTACACTTTTTTCTTTTCCTTTTTTAGTGAATGTTCCCACTATATGCGATTTAGTTTCAGATACTTGAGAGACATGTATCAACTTTTTCTTACCATTATCTGCATATGCTTCTTTGTATAAGTAACACCTGTAGTAGCTTTTGCTGATATGAGTTCTTTTCTAGCAATTTTTACATAGTATATTTATATATAGAATTAAATGTTATAGCATAATTATATACGCATACGATGCTTTCTAACCTTTAAGCAAATTTTCCACATCTTCTTACTAGTTTCTTATATTAATAATTGATTCCTTTTTACTTTATTTTATAATCTTAAATATGAGTAAACTTTGGCAGAAACAAAAGAAAAAAAGATGGACTGGATGTTTTTTTGAGGTCCCAAAACCAAGTAAAAACTGTATTTTGAAATAAGTAGTATGGCAGATAGCTATTTTATTACACACACAGATATATATATATATTACAGAATGTAAGCTAGTAGTGCCAAACTGCATGTATAACAATACATGATCAATATTATATATTTTATACTTAATTAATGCCATTATCCTGCCTTGTATTTGAGAGTGTAGACTTGTAGTAATTTGGTCTAAAATTCTACGAGTCCACACTCTCTCTATTAAAGTAATTATATTAGAATATATAGCTATTATGGATCAAAAGAGACCAGATATAATTATTGTACTTGCATAATGTCTATTTTTCCTTTTGTCATAAGTCTGAAAGTTTTCTAGTGATTGTACAACTCAAAGATGCGAATCGTCCGGTTCAATTTTTAGGATAAAAAACGGTATTTTAAAAAAGAAAAGAAAAAAAGAAAAAAAAAATAGTCTGGAGTTTATGCAGAGATAATTCTTGTCATGAGCATAAACGATTTGTCAGTTTTGACATTAAACTGCTGGTAATATACTTTATTCAAAGTATCCTTTCTCTTTCTTTATTTCATACTTGTTTCATTTTCAGATAGACTAGTAACTCATCTCGAAAATAGGGGACTTTATTTTATTGCTAAGCAGCGAAAGACACGATTAAGAGCAATTGCAGATGCATTGAGTAATGAGAATCATGACATTGTTACGTTGCAAGAGATTTGGATGCTAGAAGATTTTGAATATTTGAAATCCAAAGTCGAGAATGTTTTGCCATTCTCCAATTATTATTACAGGTATTCTACAATAAGAAAAGAACAAAGAGACACATATCGGAAGCAAGCTTGTCGTATAAAGGACAAGAAAGAACATTATTATAAATAATTGTGTGTGGGTCTGTGTAGTGGTGCCCTCGGTAGCGGTTTGGCTATCCTTTCTCGGTTCCCAATTGTTTCGACCTCCTACTTTCGATACACCTTGGCAGGTCGACCACTCAAAATATTCCATGGTGATTACTATGTAGGCAAAGGATGTGCATCAGCATGTATAAATCATCCGGATATTGGGATCATCGAAGTGTTTACTACTCATGTAAGCCAATATTTCTACAGTTTTTCTTATATCACATCATTCAAATGATTGAATATATTAAACACCCTTCTTTAATCTGTTGTGTCGTAGCTTCATGCAGGGTACGGAGATGTCGATGAATACGAAGGTCATCGTGTAACCGAATCCTGGGAGTTGTCCAACCTTTTGAGAGCATCTGCTGCCCAAGGAAGACAAGTTATTGCTGTAATTATATCCATCGACTATTATACAGAATCGTATGAAATTTATTCTTTCTCTCTTACTTAATAGACTGGTGACTTTAATAGCATTCCTACAAGTTACAACTATGCATTGCTTAAAAAGCATGCATTCATGACTGATGCTTGGCTCGAAGCACACAGCGAGAGACTTTCACAGACTGGACTTGATCCAGGCCATCGTAGCCCTCACGAATGTATTCAACATCTTGGAATAACTTGCGATTCTCCTGCAAACACTTGGTCTAAGCATTTTCTTAAACAACAACCTCACTCCAAACAAGTCGGTGACCGTCTTGACTATATTTTCTACCGGCGTACTTCTCAAATTACATGCACTGGATCTGTGGTGGCCATGACAGACTATATTCCTGGTACTCAAATGTGCTACTCAGATCATTTTGCAGTACAAGCAACCTTCTCAATCAATTCACAGCCTACGCAAGTTAATTCGACAAGTCCGTCAGCCGTTCAATTATCCAATCCTTCTTTCACCACCTTTCCTCTCTCAATTGCTCAAGCTGTTCTGACTTTGCTTCGTCGAGACCAAGTCGCCACACGAAAGACAGCGTACAGACTTCTCTTATTGTTTGGTGTTGCAATAATTATGTTGCTGTTTCTCTGTGTTTCTACCGTGGCAGTCTTACCAGATTGGATTGCTCCAAAAGACGAGAGTCAGCTTAAATTCTTGCTTGGGAGTTTGGCAAGCAGTCTTGTGATGATTATCTCTGCTGTTATCGCTACAATCTGTGTGGTTGTCGGTTTTGTATTTGGGCACACTGAAGAACGCGCTTTGAGACAGTTTATCGAAGAAATTCAGCTTTTGGTAGCTTCCATCCAAGAAGACAGCCGATCGGACGCTCCATTTGTACACCTATCAAATCAAGCGAGCGACAATCCTTCACGTGAGACATTTTATAATGAATTCAATGAAAGAACAAGGCTTTTAGATGATGCTTGAGATCCAATACCTCCTTAGTTTACTAGCCCAATATATTTATTATTATTTTATAAATGTATGAAAAAAATACATTAATATTTTGTTTATTTGATTCATAATGTACTATAAAAGTATAATATTTTTTCTTGTCTTTCTAAAATAAAAGGGCAATGTCATGATAAAAAAGGATGGATGGAGATGAAATGAAAGGTAGATAGGTGAGATAGACAGGAGAGGTATGTTCAAGTGAAGAAAGTATGCTAATTACAGGAAGTTTATGTGCAATGTTGTATAGCAAGATATCCAACTCAAATTTCGTCCTCCATCTCACCTCCCAGTTCGGACTTGATTCGTTCACGCAAAGACTCGATGCATGACGCCTTTTGCTCAAGTACGTCGTCTAGTTTGTTCAAATAGTTTCCGTAAAACTTTGTGATTTTTTTGTTGTCTGTCTCGCCTTCTTCTCTAAAGTCGCTCTGACTTGACAGCATTAGCGAAAATTTGGCCACCATTTTCTTCTCGATTTTTATACGCTCATCAAGTTCCTTTATCTGCGCACGATGAAGTCTAATGAAATCCTTGGCTTCTTCTGCCGACACTTCTCTTTCGTCTTCCTCGTCTTCTTCGTCTTCTTCATTTTCAACGATTGTGTCTCTGTCTTCTCTTGCGCTCATAATAGAACTCTGTATATTTGGTGAGATGGTCATTGGCGGTGAATTATTAAGTTCTTGATGTAATGGTGTCAGAATATCTTCATTCTCTCTCAAATCAGGTGTATGGTAGCCTGCTATATCTTCTACTGCATCTTCCCACATGCCTTCATTCTTATGTGGTGTTTGAGGTTCCTCAGATGCGCTGGCAAATGCCTCTTCTGGAGGTGAGGATAGTCGACGCATATAATTCTGTTGGCGCTGAGGGGTTGTTGGTTCCCAGTTACGGTTATTTCGAGGCGTGCCAAGAGCATTGTTATTCGTCATTGATGGATATTCAACGTCCAAAATGTTCTCGGATATTTCTTGATCCCAATTGTTGACCGAAACTGTGTGGCTTCTGTCTTCTTCTGCATCTTCCATGTCTATATCAGCGCTGGTAGTACTAATATTCAGGTCGTTCATCTCCATTTCATTCGATTCCATTTCATTCGATTCGATTACAGATTCTGTACGTGGGGTCTCTGCTAGTAAGCGTGGATCAGACTCTCCTTTGATCTCTTTTACTCTGTACACAAATCCAATACCCATTAGAAAATACAGGTTATATAAAGAAAGATAATTTACCTGTCAGCATAACGGAGTGTATTTAATGTGTGTTCGCTGTTGGACATATTTGGTGAAATTGTCGCAATCATGCATGTCCGAGAGTCACCGATAAACGAATCTCGTAGCACCTTTTACACACACACATACACATATGAGCTCATAGAATATTTACATCCAGATAACGCAATCTACAAGTTATAATTTACCTGCGTTAATTTACTTCCTCGAAAAGGTGCATGCTTTTGGTCCTGGTCCAATGCTCGGATACACTCTTTTAAAGCTAAAAGACTCTTATTGATCTCTGCGCCTTCACGTCTATAATCCGGTAATAATTGTTTAAATAACCACTTGCTGTTTATTTTTTTACTTCATATGTATTATAACTTTTACCTTGTTGTTGTCGATGTTTCTTCACCTCTATCAGCTCCTCTTTCACTACCAGCCAAATCTATAAAACTAAGTTTTCCATATATGGCTGACGGCTTATCAACTGATTTGATTAATACTTGAAGAACAGCATGGGATCGAGATGAATTATTATTTGCCCCAGTTTTGCCTAGAGCCCATGTAAAGTACAATTCCAGAGTTATTGTCATCTTCATTTTTCTTTTTCTGATATTATTATTATTATTATTATTATTATTCTATCCTTTACCGGTCATTCTTGCTTGGCTTCCAAACTCAAATGTGTGCATAAGCCGGTTTACGTCTTTCACAGGAACTTCTGTAAGACCAGCGATAACCACATTATTATTGCCGTCATTTCGTGGAACAAGGCCCTTCCGTTGGTTCAATAAATCGTAGAGCTTGTTCTGATAGATTTCATAAAATCCAATCGAGGCAGTCAAGTGAGAATATTTTTTTTGGCCAAGTCTATTAAAGATATCTTTGGCTGCAAGAACATACAGTCCGTGTTGGAGATCCAACATAGTATAAGTCTTTCCTGATCCTGTTTGACCACTTTTATGTATGCATGTATATAATTATTAAAAAAAAATAGGTAAGGAACTCGGGGAATAATTTGAAAAGTTTTATAAGTTTGGGTTTGGACATTAACTTACTAGGCAAAACAGGTTGCTTTTCCACCTTGAAGCATATAATCAACTAAGGGTCTTGCGGTCCTGTTATAGATCTATTGTTGATAGTGAGACTCTGTTGGCACTCTTTTCATTTTCTTTTACCTGTTCATTTGTAGATGTGCAATCAAAAGCGTCGTCAAATGTAAAAGAATATTGTTCTGTGAACCTGGTCATATCGATCTTTGTTCTAAAGACTTTCTGATAAGTTATTAAGCTTCATTTTCCCTTTTACAATTAGCCTAATATAATCTACCTCGGTGCTTTAACTAGGACAGTATGAGGTCCAGTTACTGGCGCGATATCTTTCTCTCCCATGTTCAACTCTTTTCGACTCAATGGACGTTTCCGAACACATACACGGATCTTTTGATGAAGATCAATTCCAGTGTTTTGGATAGGCGGATTAAATGATACGTTCTTGGTCTCTCTGAGTTGAATGAACTGTTCCAACGTAGTTGACTTGTGCTTGTTGTGGGATGGCCCACTAGATGGGTCTACACTCATTCGACGTTTTTGGGATGCAATTGGCACTCCGTAAGTGTCCAATAGTCTACCGGTGGTATTATGCTCTGTTTGTGTACTATGTGCGTTTTTTTCTTTGTTGATTGCCTGTAAATCATCCATAAATTTTTGAACAGTCGAAGAAGTTTGTCCAGGCTTTGTTCTCGATGGACTAGCTGTTTTTAAAGTTCGAGAACCAGGACGTATAGGAGAGCGTGAAGAAAATCCGCTTGTCCAGGTTGTATTGTCATTTGGAATCTGTGGTGGTTCGCGTCGAGGGAGATACGACATGCGCCTGTCACGCATGGGAGTTTTTGGAGCAACGACAGGCCGAGAAATAGGCTGATTCGACAGGGTCATGCGTCGAGCAGTACGATCGATAGTTGGTTTTGTTATCCGTGTAGGAGCTGGTCGTTTACGAGGAGATGTTGCAGTGGCTAGCGTAGGTGAATGTGGGCGTTGACGTTGTTGTTGCTGCTGTTGGGATTGATGTGATCTTGCTTCCCTCGAAAGGTGATCAAATCTTTGTCTGTCGGCGATCGAGTGGATTCCTAGGACTATGTGCTCTTTAGAATTGAGCTGTAACGTTGTATGGCATGTTTGAATGATTAGCCATGCGCCAGGTATATGAATAATGTATTTAGTACCTTTCCTAAACTCTCGTAGTTGGTGTATCCATTCCTAATTAATCTGCAATTATTGGTGAGTTATTTAGTTTATATTGTGTTGATGGAAATTCATACTCTGGATAATACTGTAGTTTGATAATTTGAGAAGAATTGTTGGATTGATTGGTTTGATCAGTTTTTTATTTTATTTATTTTTTGATTGATGAGTCTTACCTGTAGTAGATCGTTCTTTCTCAAAACGTCTACCAAACGGGTGGCACTCATGATCTATTAAGAGAGAGATAAAAAACTAAAGTAAAAATAATAAAAATAACAAGGGAGAAATTGGTCAAAGGCTGAACGCGTGTCTTTGACCAGACGGTCGGTTTGATTTCTTTCTGTGATAGAAATTATAATAAAAAAGAGGAATATTTTATAGGAGCTTTAGGTAAAGTATTTGTAAAGTGGCGTATTGCTATTTTGGAAGCGAGAGAATTTGGTAGAGCAACTATAGCCTAGGCAAATTCCACGTGCCCGCAAGCGTTGTCTATATTATTATTTTTTATTCGGTTAAACCAAAGAATATAAAGTCTGTTGCCAAGTGACGTAAAGGATGGGGATTGACAATGTCTTTCATAGACATTGAAGAGCATGTGACTGTTTAGATTGATGGAGTTCGACTGTGGCAGTGCTTACCCTATAGAAAAAAAATAGGCGATTTTAGTGAATTGTTGCAAGTTTTCCGGGGTTTAAAGTGTCTTGTACTTGAGTTTTAATTAAGCACCAATTTCTCTCCCTCTCTTTCATATTCTACTTTTTTTTTTACCCCACCATGTTTTTTTGCAGTCAAAGCAAAACATCTTTTTCTTAGCTTTTTCAACCCGTTACAAAACTAAATACCAAGTTATTCAAATCTAATGACTTACCAGCGGTAGCTTGGGTGGGTCCTAAGCGGTAACCAGGACGGAATTCTTTTATCTTCTTTGACTTCTAGTCAGTCTTTGTCTCAAACGACAACCCTCCTGGAGATCTTCTTCTGCTTGTCTTCTGACACTTACAATTTTAATGGTACTGGTAAATCTATTAGGATGGGGCTATATTAGCAAGAGTTTTTGACTCGTTTGAAGGTTCGAAGGGAAAGCTGGGAGCATGAAAGATAGTGCTTAGAAGTACTAAATGTATCAAACAAACAAAGATCAAATTCATGCTTACGAAGTAGATATCTAAATACTACACCATTGGTTGGTTCATGACTATGGTTGTGAGATACAGACCAGTTTTTCACCATTAATACAGAAGGTCAACCAAATTCAGAACTGATATTGCTTTCTAGACATTCTTTAGCTTTGGGTTGGTTAATATAGAAGGAAAGGCAAAACTTACGGAATAAATTTTGATGGCTGGTTTGAATTTTGGTATTTGCGTAAAATAAGCAGATGCTAGAGATAATTACAGTAATATAGGCATAGTCGTGACAATAAATAAGCTCACAATTTTATCTTGCCATTTCTGTTATATAGAAGGTAGTGTTATGATCAAACAGCAGCAAAGAGACATCAGCAAAAATATCTTGCGTGATATATTTGTCAAGATCGAAGAATGGATCGCGTGATAACTTGGGAAGACATATGTACCTCATAAGTGCGAAGGTGTGGGTGGCAATTGTGTGGACTTTAGCGACAATGACTTGTAGAGGTCTAAGGAGTTCAGGGTTTCATCCCGTTTCCTTTATTGATGCCTTGACAGTAAGGACTCGGAATGGTGTATCTTCGTTCATTGTCTTCTAATCCACAATGGACCAGAGATATGAGGTTTGGGCAGTGCTTTTGAAAGTGCCAATTTGTAGTGATATACTAAGATATTGGGTAAGTATATATGCTGCAGTTTAGTTAATAGATTACTTACAAGAGTAAAGAACAAATGTATGCAGAGTTTAAAATTCTTGCCTGTCAATTGTGCTGTATTTCATAGACCTTTTCTTTTATATATCATCTGTGACTTTGACACATGAGAATATAGTACGTAATCAGCCAGATAAATGTAATGATTGATTGATATAAAAGAACGCTACCTAAAGATATTAATCATTTCGGTAGTATCCTGCAAATACATCAAAATAATATTTAGTTCCTTGTATCTGTATTGGCGCTTTATATTCGCTGTTCTGAATTTTGTGTAGGTATCTCTAAAGCTTAAAAGTTGAGTAATTCAATTTTTTTAATTAAAAACTTACTAAGAATATGTGTGGGTGTGTACAATTTATCTTGAAGAATAGTGCATAACCATTGTATTGATTGCAAACCTTCTTCAAGCCTTTTATCATAGGAATTGAATAATAATAATAATAAGATAGCGAAGGTAATAACCAGCTTAAAGATTAATAATGAATTTTTGTGTGTAGACAAAAAGGAGTAAATACTGTTCCTGAACATGTGCTTACATAGGTACATAAGGAACTAAATTAGACAAACAGGTAGTGCAGGTAGATAGCGAATACTTAAATTGATAACAGTATGAAAGCCATATAAGAAACTTTAGCTACAAATATTATCACAAATTCTATAATATGAGTATGTAAAGTCCGAAATAAAGTAAAAGAAATTAAACAATACAAGTACAATTATTGCTATTTTATTTGAACCAAGGTTTTCAACTTTTGGTGTACAGCTTTACGGGCGGACATTTAGACAACGTCATTGGTGGTGGAAATATCGATATTGTCACTTTTAAATCTATTGATATTTTAATGAATATTTATCTGCTGCTGGTCAGACAAGCACTTGTCATTATTAATTATCCTTTTACACAATTTTACTTAATAGAAAAGAGTACAAGCTTTCAGTTTTTTTAGGTGTATGTCCTGAGGAATAAGTTGACATGAAATATAGGTATGTTGTGCAAATATCCATATTTTCATTAGTAAACGTGTTTTTCGTGTGAAAAAATAGGATGTTTTGATCAATATTTGAGCAATTAATATAAAGCAGTCTTTAGGTTGTGAGTTACAATATGCTCCACCAGGTTAATTACATATATAAGACTACGTTTCTGAGCCTATTCGGATATACATCTACTTTTAAGCGTTTAATTTGACATTTTTATCAAAATCCTCCTTTTTATTAAATAATTCTTTATTTCAGTGGTAAATTGCTCTTTTTTTTCCAGTATTATATATCACTACTGTTTATTATTGCCTCTAAAAAGTGAAGTCTTTGAAACAGCTATATACAAAATTCACGTACGCTTAAGATTTACACAATATATCCTAATCATTATAGAACATACAAAGTCATTTTTAACATAATCAAACGAAAGAGTATAATATTTTAAGAGGTAAAAGCAGTTGAATTAAACAAGATACTACACAGAAAAAGAGTGTCTTTATTTATTTATTTATTTTTGGTTATTAAGTTGCCCATTAGAAATACTATATACATTACTATTACTATCATGTAGTAATAATACGCACAACAATGTCCAAGATATACGGCTAATTTTCATCGCAAGAATCTTCATCATCTGAAGTCTCGACAGCATATTTTGATTCATTTTGAATCAAGAATCGGTCTTTGGCTAAGCGAAGAGTATCTTGTACAAACGAGTTTCTCTCCACCTAAGCAGTTTATATATAAAGTTAACTCGAGTTCAGATTTTAATAGTACATTAATCCAAAGTCCCTTAAAAAAATTAATTTACCTTGAAAACATCAAATATGGATTTGTTGAGGAAACGAGGGAGCTCAGTATAGTCCAATGTTTTTAGCTTGTCTTCATTTGCCTTCAATACGGCCAGTAAACAGTAGGGAAGAATATCAGATCCCTTCAATAGTACCAGGTTTATAGTATTTATTAAAAGGGATTTTGGGCCACTGTGGCCAAAGAATGTCCGATACCATCTCACTGCATACATTGATGGATGTATGTTTTCTTGGACCATATGTTGATACAGTCGAGGTAATTTTATAGACATGAGGCTGTTTATCTTTTCAACACTAGCGTACAGCTCGTACGTTGATGAATGGAAAATATATCTGAGACGATGAGAGCCTGGATTAGGACCAAGTAAGGTAACCATAACTCCAAGGGCTTCATTTGGAGGTAACTATTGCATTGGTTACATAAATTTCAGATATATAAATGCATATACCTAAACTCAATATACCTACATGCTCCAAAAGACACCCAGCTATAAAGTTCATGCCTTGACAATATCCAAGCGATTCATCATACACAGCATAAGCTCTAAGGACACTGCGAAGCTGGTCCCTTCTTTCTTTTGAGTCGAACAAAGGCTGCAGTGGCGCCATGTCATGGAGACTATCCGCGATAAGTGATTCATGGCTGGTTATCTTATTAGCCAGGTAATTGAATTGGTATTCTGTTGAATAAGTTGGGTTTGCAAATTTAGCCAATATCTTTTTCTGATCCAAAGGACAAGGGCCCAATATAATCTGCTCTAAAATCTCTTCTTTCTCTTTAATCGAACAGTCTTCTGAGGTAGGTTCACTCAGTGAATCAACAGTGAGCAAAACTCTATAATTAAGTATACACACACATATGCGCATTAATATATAGGTCTTTCTTTAATAGAGATTATAATCTAGATGTATATATCTTACGTAGGTTTAACATGATTCCACAAAAAGTATGCTCCAAGCAGACAGTCGACAATGAAAGTCACCCAAATTATGTGCATGAGTATGTTACCTCTAAATAAAAACAAAACAAAATATGATGGTCAGACAGCTTTATAAAGCAAGGGAATTGATGTTATTTCTCTAGTAGACCTTACTCTCTAGCATGTTTAGAATCTAGGTTGTCGACGATAAATTTGAGCTTGACAGGCAATTTGCTTTTAAGCGACTTAGGGGTTGAAATAAACGTAAAGGTGCTAGTTTGTGCTCCTGATACATGTGGCGTCAATATAATTGTCTTGGTTACAGGTCGAGATGGGTGACTAGGAGAATATTCAAATTCTGTAGATATAATTTGAGCCTCAATCAAAAGTGTAGCATAAGACGGCGGCTTTAGTTGCTGGAATAAAGAACAACGACCCCCTTGTACACCTTTAAACGTGCCCTTGATTATAACTTCGGTTTTGTTAACATAGCTTAAAGGTAAAATATCATTGAAACTGGTTTTGAGAGAAAGCTCTTGGTGGCACATGATAGTATCAACGAATACTAAGAGCATACATATCAGCAACAGATTACACATACTTAAACAGACTATATGTTTTTGCTGCAAAATGTAAACGGACCCACCCATATATATTAGATATAATCGCTGGTTAATATTTATAATAAATTAAATACCTTGTCTGATAAATAAGATTACAGTGTATATGCTTCGTTGAAAGCTCCTCACTATTTACTTTATTTGTAGTGCCTTTTATACAAAAAGGAAACCCCTTTTAATTGCTTAATTTTACGGCGCGTAGAACAGACAATGATATCAGGTTTTATTTTCTTTGAAAAAAATTGAAACATAGGAGCCTTGTTTATTCAGAAAAAGTGTATGGATAAAGATGAGTATATATATAGTATACTCGTTGAAGCATGCTCACAATAAATTAGCTGTATTCTATTCTTAGACTTTTACTGCCCAAACAATTATCATATTGGCTCTCATTGACAATTTCTTTCTGGGTATTAATTGATGCATCACCAAGAAGTGACAGGTTTTTCTTTATGTATTTGAATATACTTGTCTATTTGATCAATGTTCCAAGTTTCATAATGACTTTTTGTAGCGTGTTATCGGGTAGGCAATATACTTGTAGAGGTTTGTGTTTGTAGCTTGCAACCACATTGAATATTTTACTTTCAACAAGATATCCAAGATAAACTGATTATGGCCGGTAAAAACTATTTCTTGTATGCTTCACTTTTCACAAATCTTGTGCAAATTTACTTTGACGGTATGTTCATTCAACCCACAAGAACAATGCCAATTAATCGAGTATATACAAGAATGAAATAAATTCAACCTTACATACTATACTCACTTTATGTATATCAAAAGATCATTATTTATAAAAATAAAAAAGGAGTACTCCAACGCACAGGTAATACTCTTTTTCTTTTAATAATACACGCTCTAAAGTTTCATTCGTTCTTTGAGCCCGTAATAGAATATCAATAAAGCCGAGAGCCAAACACACACCCACACACACACCCACACCCACACACACATTTGTATTTTGTATTATTGTGCTTGCTTTGATTGTTTTTTTTTTCGTTTTTTTTTGTTTCGTTTTGTTTTGTTTGATGGTTCGCACAGCTATTGAACAAGTGGAGTTGCGTAGGATTTATATTGATGTTTATGTAGCATTTAAAGATACAAGCCTTCAGGAGTTCCTTCGCTCTTTCTGTACAGCACCTTTTCTCGTGCTTTGCGCAGATCTTCTGCAACAACTTTCATACGACGCTCACGTAACGCAAGTAAACCAGCTTCTGTGCAAATAGCCTATACATACATAAATATTGCTTAATATTCCCATTTTATTTCTGTGTAGTATAACAAATCTAATTTACCTTGATATCTGCACCAGATAAATCATCTTTAGACATAACAAACTCTTCAAGGTCAACATCGTCCGATAAGGTCATTCTTGACGTGTGAATGTTGAAGATACGTCGTTTGGTTTTAACGTCTGGTAGAGGGAATTCTATCTTACGATCGATACGACCTAAAACAATCGAGCAATTTTTTTTTCAATTTTTTTATTCATCTTATATAAATATATAATTCACTTACCTGGACGAATCAAGGCTGGATCCAGACTATCAATTTTGTTTGTTGCCATAATAACCTTGACATCTCCTCTAGAATCAAAACCATCAAGCTGGTTCAAGAGTTCCAACATAGTACGCTGAATTTCTCTCTCTCCGCCCGAAGTAGAATCATAACGTTTGGTACCAATGGCATCAATTTCATCAATAAAGACAATTGATGGAGCATTTTCTTCTGCAACACGGAACAGCTCACGAACAAGCTTGGGACCGTCACCCAAATACTTCTGAATTAACTCAGAACCAACAATGCGCAAAAAGGTAGCACTGGTCTGGTTAGCCACAGCCTTTGCGAGAAGTGTTTTTCCTAATAATAACAGTGATTTAAGTATAAATAAATGCCGAGAGTTTTTGGCAATTTGGTTTTTAGAGTATGTATATATACCCAGGTACGAAAAATAATAATAGATTATTGACTTACCGGTACCAGGAACACCATACAAAATAACACCCTTTGGTGGTTTGATACCCATTTCTTCGTAAAGCTCAGGATGTGTCAATGGTAATTCTACGGCTTCCTATTTTGTTTTTTGTTTTCATTTATATAAAAGTAATGGTCAGAAACCTGTATTTGTTGGCAAATAGACACAGAATATTGTAATATGGTATAATGTAAAGCCTGTGTATATTTATATCTATTTTCCTTTCGCTTTAAAGAATAAAATATATTAATACGGACTTACTTTGATTTCTTGGATTTGTTGTTCAAGACCACCGATGTCTGCGTAAGATTCTGTTGGCGCTTTCTCAAGCTTCATTACGCTAACCATAGGATCAGCATCTTCACCAAGTACACCAACCACGGACATGGTCTTATGGTGCAACAACACACTACACCCGGGTTCCAACAAGTCTTTATCCACAAAACTCATAACAGATACATAATATTCGGGTCCAGTCGATGAAGAAACAATAACGTGGTCATCATCAATAATCTCTTCCAGATTTCCTACACCCATAGGTGATCCACGAAGATCCTCTACACGTGTTCGCTCTTCCTGATCCCGCTCGTCCTGAGGTTTGAGTCTCTCCTGGTTTTGTACAAATTCTTCCTCAAGTAACAAATAATCCTTTATGCGTTCCATCTTTAGCATCTTCAGCCGACAGCGTGTTGTGGGAAAGACTGGATAAATAATTGATGGATGAGACCAATGCTGTGATTGTGATTATGAAATGGCACACTTGCCTGGAGGAAGCTTTGCGATTGTGTCAGGTCCTCTCTTCTTCTTTTTACCAACGCGGGTGGGAACTGGAGGTTCCCACTTCTTCTTCTTATCCTTTTCCTATTAATTTGTAATGTCAACTTCTAATCGATGACAAAGCCTAACTTTTTTTTTGTAAAAAAAAAACTTCTGGTATTTCGTTTATTGGTTGCTACCTTTTCTTTATTTTTATCATTGCCGCGTGGCAAGTTAGACTGTGAGTTTCCCTATAATATATGTGTATAGATTAGAATCGAAATCAAAAAGGTTAAGCAATTATTGGCATGAGAATTCTTTCTACCATTTCTTGTTGGTTTAAGTCAAAAAAGAATATGTATATGTATTATATAAATATATAAATGAAAGTCAAACTGAGAGGACGTGTGCTTTAAGGACAAAGGCTACGCACACCCGACGCGTAATGAGTGACGTATAGACTTTATTAAATGTCCGATAAACTATGCGCATTTAGAGCATCTGCGGCGGTTACAAAGTTAATTCTTGCGACTGTTTCAATGTAGATTCCGAAATGTTCTCAAAAAATCTTCTGCAGCGGTTACATTACAGACAGCATTATAGATAATATAGTCCATTTTTAAGGCCAGTAACATTACATGTAGTCTTACATTATACATTGATATTTTCTTTTTGAATCGTTTTCTTCCCTCTCACATCCTTTGTTAAAACGAACAATGGTCTATAGAAATGAGCAAAGAAATCCTCAAATTAGGCTCACTATTAATCTGACAATATTGAAATTATTAAATTCATATTTTTAAGGCATTCATAGAGAACAAATGTCCAATAAAATAAATTTTAAGAAAAAGAATATGAACAAAATCATTAGTGAAGAACTGGAAACTAGACAGTCAAAAAGCTCAAATTGTTCCTTTATAATATAACCACAATTTGGAAATCTGTTTTTAACCAGTATTCAATCCCTGGTGTGGCTAAACCACACTATATATAATGTTTTTGATAATGTAACTGCTGCAGATGCTCTTATACAGTGTCTTCTTTTCATTTTTAGACTTTTTGAATTTTTCTATCGACACGTATCCCATTACAGTGATCGCAATGCCAATAGACGAATTGTTCAATCGAGGGGCGGAAAATACAAACTCAACGTGCGAGGTTTTATATATTTAAAGATCGAATACGTTTTTTCAAAAGCCGGTGTTGATTTCTGTACCTTATTACAGTCTTTAAACTCTTGGAATTGAGACAAAGTGTATTTTTCAGACCAATAAAAATTAGGTCTTAGACATAAAGAAAACGATTAAGGCAAATTTTACTATAGTTTTTAAACAGAAAGGGATTATTTTATGGTATTTTTAACCTGTAACTGTCTGAATATCAATTATTCTTTCCAAAGAAGGTAGACATTCTGCCTGTGTTATGATTTTGATTCGTCCAAAAAAACCTAGAACTGCCTGAATTTGAAGTAGAAACACTGTATTTGATTCCCACAATCAAAGGTACGATGGTGTGACTGTGGGGTGAAATTGCTAAAATCACCACATTTGTCCTGCACCATTTGAACACAAAGGATAGTGAAGATGTGAGTAGATGAATTGGAGTGTGGAATGACTTAATGATTATTGTTTTAAAGGGCTCCAAAGAGGTCCAATCAGAAAAAGTCATCAAGCGGGTCCAAACAAAAGGTAAGAGCTTTTTCATAAATCTCTATATTTATTCTTGTTTTATTCTTCTTCAGAATCTAGAATACGATGACCATGAAGAGATCATTTCTGGCCCTCTCAATTTAGCAATTGCCAAGAAGCCTTTTAAGAATCCTAAATACTCTTCGCCGAAGAAGTCGAAAAATCTGAAACAAGTGCTAGCTCTTGAAAAGGCACAGGAACTTGCACTTGATATCCCTACATGTAAGCCTTTGGATGATCGAATATGAGGAATCGGAACTAAAAGGCTGCTTAATTTGATCATAGACCAAAACATCGAATGTCCACCCTCTGTCTTGCCGCAGAAGAAGTATTGTGATATTACTGGTCTTGATGCTAAATACACTGATCCAAAGACGAGCTTGAGATATCACAATGCAGAAATTTATCAATTTATTCGTACTTTGGGTGTACCAAATGTGCAGACATACTTGGCCAGCCGAAATGCAGCCGTTGTATTGAAGTAAAACTATATTGGCAGCTGTTATATATTGTTTTATGTTACAATATATATATGTGTGTGTGTGTGTCTGTGTTATATGCACAAGCAAATATTAAAAATCTGGATCATAATCATCTGAATCATATACATCGTTGTGTCCTTCTATATCAGATCCACCCTACACCAGAAATGAAATTAAATGAAATGTATATATATGTATTTGAGACAAACATAAAAATTTCGTTTATGTATATACAGTATGTTAAATATAGACATTTAAGAGATCAAATTACCATTTCATAGCCTGCGATAGCCTGCTTGAGAAGATCCAACATATCTTCATCCTTCGGATCGACTAGCATGATTGGCGTCTGGTCATTCTTATTTTTTAATCTATCAGTAATAATTTTGCAAATAAATTAAACGCCATAAATATAGACAGACTTAGTACGTACCTTGGGTCAGCGCTGGCCTGCAGCAATACATCAACCATTGCCAATGCAATATCAGGCTCATCTGTATATTGAACTGCCTGGTGAAGAGGCGTGTCCCCTGTGGCAATATTCTTTTTGTTCATATTAATTGACCCTTGATGGGCCAGTATTTCCAAACAAGCTAGGGAACCAAACATTGCCCTATTGCGAATATTGAATATAGAAATTGAATTATAACGTTCAATTTGTTGAACAAAATAAAATAACATAACATACGCATGGTGAGCAGCCGTATTTCCAGCACCATCAGCAAAGTTGATGTCGTGATTCTTTAGTTTGAGTAGATCGATGAGAATGTCATCCTGATCATTTCTGCATGCAGCGATAATGTAATCGTCTAAGGGTCAAAAACCACAATTTCTATGTGTTAGCTTGTATGATTTAACTATAATACATACTGCTAGATAGATTCTGGTCTGACATTAGGACAAGTTTACCTTTATTCTTGATATCATTAAGCTTCTTGTGGGGTTTGGAGTCCGATGGATACTATGGTTATGTGATCGGCTTTTTTTGGGGGGTTTGCTTTATTTTTAATCTTTTTTTATTCTTTTTTCGGCCTGGTATTTTCAGGGATGATTTCGGCTGCCACCAATGTGGCCTGTGCTCCTTTGAATCGCTTGGTTGACAGGTTGGGATATTTAATCTGTAATGGATACTGTCTACATTTAATTGTATAGTCCGGCTAAATTAACCCATGTTTAAAATTAAGGGCCTCTCAAAGTAACATCTTTAATAGTTTATTATTGCTATATTTTCTTGTGAAGAATTATTGGCTGTTCTATTAGTTACACAGGTACCTGACGCCTCATTTTTTTCTCTTCGTCTCAGCCCAGGTACAGTGCCTCCAGTGTCAATTGACGCTTTTAGAGCATTTGCAGCAGTTACATTATCAAAAACATTATATATAGTGTGGTTTAGCCACACCAGGGATTGAATACTGGTTAAAAACAGATTTCCAAATTGTGGTTATATTATAAAGGAACAATTTGAGCTTTTTGACTGTCTAGTTTCCAGTTCTTCACTAATGATTTTGTTCATATTCTTTTTCTTAAAATTTATTTTATTGGACATTTGTTCTCTATGAATGCCTTAAAAATATGAATTTAATAATTTCAATATTGTCAGATTAATAGTGAGCCTAATTTGAGGATTTCTTTGCTCATTTCTATAGACCATTGTTCGTTTTAACAAAGGATGTGAGAGGGAAGAAAACGATTCAAAAAGAAAATATCAATGTATAATGTAAGACTACATGTAATGTTACTGGCCTTAAAAATGGACTATATTATCTATAATGCTGTCTGTAATGTAACCGCTGCAGAAGATTTTTTGAGAACATTTCGGAATCTACATTGAAACAGTCGCAAGAATTAACTTTGTAACCGCCGCAGATGCTCTAAAAGCGTCAATTGGCACCGGAGGCACTGTACATGTATTGATTTCTAAAAAGAAAATATATAGACCTTTAGTGAATTCACTATACATATGAGGATACAGGAATTTTTCCGTAATAATTCAATTTTAAGCCACTACACTGTCAAAAGTATTACGAGGCTTATTAGAGGCGCCTTCCCACTTTTTTTGTTTTTTGTTTTATATGACATTTATGAATAAACGTATTGACTTTTGGCTTTGAATGCTGGTTAAAAATAGGGTAATAAACTTGCCCAGAAAATTATATTTCTGACGGCCCGTTCTCTTGAGTCCACAATCTGTATTTATTTTTATTTTTGTGTACGTGTATATATATATAAAAGAAGCAATAAGTTGAGCAGTACAAAGGTTTCACTAATAAAGACTCTTTTATACATATACATATATATAAAGTCGATGGATATTATGGCTATATTGTGATGACATCTAAGGTTCAATTGAAAGTGTCCAATTGAATGTTTCCTGTTGTGGTTTAATATGAAAATACAAAGGGGAAGGGGATATATATATATATGTATATATAGTAATAAAGCCCCAAGATTACGATATTATTAAGTGACAGACGCTTTCCAGCTTATAGTAACATATGGTATCATTTAGTTTTAGTTTCTAACTGTAAATAATCTAGAAATATCTGTATTTTTTTTTAATAAAACTGTTTCAAATTGGAAGCAATTGGTCTGTCTAAATTCATTAATATTATTGAACAAGCTGCATTATAGCGATATTTTGCTACAGAAGTACAACCAAAATGCTCACAAAGTAACACTCCCTTTTAGCTCCTTTATTTTACTATTATAATATATATATATTCTTTCAATGACCTTCACATATCATACATATTCACGAAAGTCACACTCGAATATCGGACTGTCAATATTGTGTATGTGTGTTTTTAAGAGTGCGAGAGATGCTTCCCACAAAGAATGCCGAAAATAGACTTTTTATATACAATATAATATAATACAATAAATTTAATGAGAACAGACGGCCAGAGCCAGAGCCAGAGCCAACCCAGTCAGGTATACGCACAACCAGACAAGTAGAGAACACAGACAGAGAATTGATAACCGACCAAGTTTTCTCCCAGTTTTATTATTCGTATTATTATTCGTATTATCCCTTTTCTCCTCTTATTTCTATATCTCTCCAACTCTTCATCTCTCTCTTTCTTTCTTTCTTCTCTCCCTTCCTCTCTTATATCTAAAGGCAATGAGCCATCAGCCTAATGCCTATGATTATCCTCCGCGAAATACTCATGATCCATATAGAGCAGTGAGGAAAACTCCCAGTCCTGGTAAAATAATAAAAATATAATAAAATAAAATAAAATAAAATAAAATAAACTAGGCTCATCTTGCTCACACAAAGTAAATCTAGCTGATTCAAATTTATCTTCTTCTGTCTATGAATCAAATCCAGTTCATTCCAGAACTGCCTCTGACAGTAGTACCAGTCGACTTGCCTCCGCCAGCCAGCCGAACAATACTACATACTCTCAAGGATATGATGACAACATTTACCAGCAGACTTACAGCAATAATCCTTACCATGAAGAAGATCCCTACGCCGTCGCAGCCCGACATCACCAAGGCGAAAAAAAAAGAAATAGAAAACGAGACAATCCCGATCAAAGAGCCAATTCGTACCTCCCATACTCCCATCATAGACACGATCCATATGCACCATCTGAGCCTATTTATCTCGAAGAAGACCCTCTCCCGAGTTTCAACTCTCCCGGGAAAGACGGCACGGTGGGTTCTATTCTTCAAGACAACATTGCAATGGACATGGTAGACCACAACCCACCTCGCTCTACTGGCAGAATCAAAAATATGCAACATCTCGAACCACTGCCAGAAATCAAAAGAAAAAGACGGCGATTGTGTGGCTTGCCCGGTCGAACTGTGTTATTCATTGCTTTTGGATTCATGATCGTTGTAGGTGTGATCTGGTACTTCGTCTGGCCACGGACACCCACTTTGCATCTACTTGATGCCGGCCTACTTGAGCCTTCTAATAATTTTAATGTGAATGGTACGATCTATCAAATGGACTCTAGCTGGAGAATCAATATGACAGTTGATAATTCGGACAACTGGGTTCCCACACGTGTCAACACTCTTTCTTTCAAAATCTTTGATTCTACAACTGGGCGTGCTTTTGGAGAAGGCTCTTCGGGATTTCGTGTGTTTCCGGCAAGGACCCAATCCCAGGTCTCCTTTCCGATGACTATTTCATACAAGGCTTGGTCAGAGGCAGATGTCACTTGGCAGAATCTCTATACTGCCTGTGGTCCCCAAAAACAAAATCCGATGCCTGAGGAGCAAGCCTCGCTCAATGTTCGGTTTGAGGTGACTTGGCATATTGCGGGAATGGTCAAGACTCGAGTTGCAACTGTGATTCCGAGTAACGGGTTCGCATGCCCCACGGACTGAGTATACCCTCCCATTAAATTATCATGTTTCTCATTACCGTATATCACACACATACATACACACACACACACACACACACGCACATACATACATACATACATACACACTATATACACTTTTTGGCTGTTCGACCCCTACAAAAAAGAAAACTCCTTTTATAGATAGCAAATAGCCATCTTCATCTTTTACTGTATCTAACCACAATTTCCTAATATGGACCTATAAACTACTCTTGTCCTTAATCAAATCACCTTCCAAATCTGGATACACGACATCAATGTACATCTTTAGTTGTCATCTGAGGTCTTTAAAGGCCTGTTCTTTAGAAACGGAGCTGGGTTTTTTTTTACAGAAATAAAAATAAAGAAAAAAGAAAAAGCATCTGAATTTCAAACAGCAATGGCTATAAAAAATCTATATAGAGTTTATTAAACAGGTACCAAATCCTTTTATACATGCCCACTACTTGTGCTCATGCCAATAGAGCCCTTTTATGCTTGTGAGCATAGGCTAGAGAAGGCCTTTGATACTCTTACTATCCAGGCTATAGAGTTCTGTAAGGTTTATAAATCTTTATTGATCAATATTATTTTTAAATAAATAAAAAATAAAATATAAAAAATATATACTGTCAGTTTCGATTCACTCCGAAAAATCTCTATATTTTATCATATTTTCTTTTGGCTATAAAATAAAAAAATTGCAAATGCCCTGATTTTCTTGTTTTGTAGAAAAACCCTAAATCAAACTTTACAGCCATATCATTTTCTCTTCCTCTTTCTCTCTCTCTCTCTATTTTTCTTTCTTTCTCACCCATATACAAAATTACTCTCACGCTCTCACTCTCACAAACTCATACGTACACATATTTTATTGATCATGGTCGCTATATTTGGAAAGTCACAGCTCGAAATACAAGTTACGACTGATGAGATCTTACTCCAAGGACAAGCTGATGAGTCTGCTGGAAAGTTACTCCAGGGTACACTCGTTCTCAACCTAGCCGAACAAACCAAGATCCGTTCGATTGTACTGGAATTTATTGGCAAAATGAGAGTATCTTGGTCAGAAGGTAAAAGAGAGAAAAAGAAAAAATAAAAAGTTTGTGCTTATTTAAATAAATAAAAAATTGATTCACTAAATGACAATTTGTCTAAAGGTCCGGCTCATAACCAGCGTCATTATAAACAAGAACGCACCATTATATCACATCTTTGGGACTTCTTACCAGAGTCTTCAGAAGGGATCAAGAAGAAGGCGCGTAGCTTTGGTCCAGGAAGATACGAATGGAATTTTGAATTGACTGTACCTGGAGACCTACCTCAATCTGTGTCAGCAACCAGTGGACAGGTTGACTATCTTCTCAAGGCCACCGTTCAAAGATCTGGGCTGGTGCACAACATAGTAAAGAAAATGCCCATAAGAATTTTCCGTTGTCTGTTGTCTTGTGCATTTGAGCTTATCCAGTCCTTTGAGATACACAACACATGGGCTGACAAAGTAGAATATGACATCTCATTACCATCCAAAGTATACACCCATGGAGAAAATATACCAGTAACATTCAATATTCTGCCCATCGCACCACACCTTTCTGTCATATCGCTCATGGCTACCTTGAAAGAATGCTGTACATATACCACCAAGGATCATACCAAGACGGACGCTCGCATTTTACGATTCAGCAGACATGAAAATCCCTTTTTAGACACTACTTTTTCTGACCTTCCTTACTGGAACAGAGTGGTGAACCTCAAAGTGCCCAACACATCACCTTCTGTATTATGTGACGCGAGTAATGACATGATTCTTATTGAGCACAAAATATCTATCATCATTTCAATTGCCAACCCAGATGGATACTTATCTGAAGTACGATGCTCAGTTCCGGTAACCATTATCGACTCTTATGCAGAGCAGCAGTACAGGCTAGACGAACTACCGGCATACAATGACATATGGCGATCAGTTCCCTACAGTTTAGACGTCTTGGAAGCGTTGAGGAGTAGATCCCAAAGCCTATCATCTACCACGTCAGACTCTTCTGTTCAAAGTATAAGATCACCTGCTATTTCATCAGGGTTAAATGAAGGAGTAGCGGTCACTGGTAGTAGATTTCTTATCAGCCAAAACAGCTCACATGATTCCATCATCATTCGTGAAGGGGAGGAGAGAGGGGATGAAGATGCTATCAAACGAGCACAAAACCAAACACGGGAACAATCAATGCCCCTATCTTACTCTGATCGACCCTCAGGTTGGTGGGACGACCAAGCCCTTTCAAGAGTCCCGTCTTATAGAACAGCTCTAAGAAATGACTTTGTGTACGAGGCGTCTAATCTTCCTACATATGATTCTATTCAAAGATCACAAGCAATTTACTCTTAAAACATTATGATAATGCCTGTAGATCTAGAACTGAATTCCATATTATCTATCTTGTTTTCACTTTCTGTCAGATGTTGTTTTTACTATACATGCATATACACTCCCTCACACTTCCGTACATACTCATACTCATATACATACATATATACATACACACATAAATACACACAAATCAGATGTCTTTTTTTTTCTTTTCTTTTATATATATATATATTTATTAAAATTAATTATTAAATTTTTAAATATATATATATATATATGTGTGTATGACGCAATCGGAAACACAGACTCTAAAATAGCGAAATAGAAATAATAAACAAGAGCAAGAGATGAAGATGAGATATTAAGATGAAAAGAAGAAAACATCAGCTGGCTATTTTCTGTACCATTCTGGGTTCAAAATACTTCAAAATTGCCTAGTTACCAAATAAAATAAAATAAAATAAAATAAAATAAAAATCCACGATAGCAAATAAAGGTTCCATGAGCTGGACCCAAGCAAGCTTTAGGATTTTGATTATTAAAGTATAACACATAATTGGTTTTATCATATTAAATAGTAATAAGGATAATAATAGGCACTCCTGTGATCTTCCTTTTTATAATTTATAGTTTCTTTAAAAAAAAAAAACGTACAATTTAATATTGGGAAACCCCAATTTAAGACTAGCAGAAGAATACTAATAGACAAATTTAGTGCTAATTATTATAGTAAGAATATTGTACTGTTTCCAGATATTGGGGTTACTTTGTACAAAAAAACCCCCCATATTTTGTATATGCAGATACACTATGAAGGGCTTATATACCAGTTTCCTATCGCAATGAGTTTGAATTATATATGACGGACATTCATTTCATATATCCCCTGGGTTTTAAGTTAAGAGTATTTCAGGGCAGTAACAGCTTTTACTTTTTTTTTTTAAAAAAAAAAGGATCTTATGCAAAGCACATTTCAATAGAGTATTAATGATCTTTATTTTATTGCTGTTATGTATTTCTGGTTTTAAAGTAGGAAGGATGATTGTTTCTGATAATGTCGATTTGATTCTGTGCCTCACCTAACAAGTTATCAATTAACTCTAGTCTTGCAATATCAAGTCCTGGGATATTCATCATTCTTTCCATGTCCTCTCTTTGATTATACAGTGATGTAATATGAGTCAGAACTCTTTGCAATATCATCGAAGAGCTTCTGCTACTTTCAACTACTGTACTCGTTTCCTCAGCAACAACATCAACAACTTCGTCAACAGCATCCCTATAGTAGAGCTCCGTATCATTTGTCAAAGTATATACAAGACGATCTAATCTTCTGATCCGGGCACTGTCAAAGTATATTGCCTTTAATTGGCTGTGCCATGATTCAATGAAGCTACTCGTCAAGTATCCTTGGTGGTGATGTACAACGTAGGGTCTTCCCCAGCTTCTCAACAATTCTTCGGTTCCAATCCATTTACGCTCAAAATAGCTCAGAAACTGTTGCTGATTTTGGATTCGAAGTTTAAACTCTTGAATTTTCTCAGAAATTCTTGCTCATTTGACTCAATGAGAATATCTTTGAGAGCAGTCTTGAGTTCATACTTGTAACCGTTAAGTTGTTCTGATGTATATGAAGCACCCAGTGTTATCTTGCTGTCCAGATTATATTGCCAAGCACGCAGAACATGAAATTCACAAAAATTAACTGTGGCTTGTGGTAATGTTGCTGTGATTGCATTAGTTTCTGCAATGCTACAATCGACGGTGATACACATGGGAGTAAAATTGCTTTGTACTTGAAGATGTACAAGCCATTGACTGATAGGGGCAGCACTATGATTATTGGTGACCATATATGCAACTGGGGACCCTTTCCATGTCTCAGGATGATATGTAACAAGCGAGTATAGAATCTCAATGCTTCTTGTAGAAATGTTACGTGTTACATCAAGACAAAACGACTGGGAAATGCCCATGAGCTCCATTTGAGTGGGTGATTGGAATCCAAATGCGAACTGCTCTGAATTTTCACTGTTTGCAGAAATATTGTTGGTAAAAATGCAGTAATTTCGCGATGGTAACTTTTCACGCATCCAGATTTCCAGAGACTTCACCACCAGAGAAATTTCTTGTAATCATATTCCCAAAAGAGTGTCGGAGTATACATGTTCATTACATGCCCATATATGGACACACAAGTATCTGCGATAAATTCTGGTCGAAATAAATCACGGATTTAAAAATGCGTTTTCCAAAATATCAAAAATGGTTCAAAATAAATTATGTTTCAAATAATGCGGTTTTTATTTTTGTTTTCAAAGTTGAAAAAAATACCAAGCTATTTCATATAATTTATAGGCAGAAATATATAATATGATCAATTTAATTATTCTAAGCTAAAGGTTGGGTCATTGAGTTCATATCACTCATTATTCTTGAAGACAAAAGCACCAAAGAGCTACCTTGATAGTGGAATAAAAGAGGAATCTAATAAAATATAAATATGAATGAGTATTTCAAGCTTAAAAAATAAGTTAAATAAAAGCTTACCTTTGAGTTTACCGAGATGCATCTCATAAAAGTTTGAATATCTACAAGTGAAAATGAATAAAAGATGGTTAGTATTCAATTACTTTGTAAACTAGGTGTGCAGTTATTACCTCTTAACTCATTTTGACCAGATGATGAAAAGGCTAATGTTAGTTAATGAGACCCGAGATGAATAATTGCATCACAAAGTATAATATTGCTTTTCTATTATACATACCTCAAAAACAAAAATATATAGACACGTCTCCTACAAAAATAATATACATGTAAACACACGTAATGAACAAACTTTTGTCGGTAAAGTAGAGTAAGAAACAACGCAAAGGACGTAATCCCACACTTATTCAAAATCGATTTAAAGAATTCTCATTGGTCTACTGGCTTTTAATACCAATGATGCAACGCAGAAATGTTTTTAAAAAAATGCAGAGTCATTCTTTCTTGGTTTGCCTTATTTTTATAGGTTAAAGAGGTATGCTTTAATAATAAATAATTGAAAATACATCTGTAAATTATTAATAAAAAATATGTGTATATCTTTATATCTTAATTGGGTTGAGTTTTCTCTTAAAAGATTGCTTGTGTTGGGCATTTTTTACTGATATTATGTAAGAAACAAAAAAAATTGTATATTTTTTCTTGTTTGCAATTTTGACAAAGTCGTTTTATATGCTGAAAATCATTGCCTTTGCCAAATTTTAACAGAATTATTTTTTCATTGCTCAATACAACCTCCGAACTTCCTTATTCAACGTTTTGTCTTACTTAAACAGCTTTTTGTTGTGATCAGAAAGGTTTGAAGTAGGACCAAACCTTCTTTCCTCCTTTATTTGGAAAAGAAAAGATTCAATTCACGAAATTACACAAAGAAAAAGTATCTAGGCCAATAATATTGCTTGGGTACCATACACTACCATATTTGGTTTCTAATTTCTGTGGTGGTGTTATTTTCATCAGAGTGAAACCTGTACAGAACATCTTTCATCTATATAGGTGTATATTATTTAACGCTTTATTAAATAAAAGCTCTCTCTCTCTCTCTCTATCTCTTTCTTTCTCGTGTTATTACTTACACACCTTTCTCATTATGTTATAGATGTCTTCATAACTCGGCTTTCTTATATCAACACCCCACTCTTCAATCTGTTCCAAAACAGAAATTCTAACATTTCTACAGCTTTTTCCTTCTTTTAACTGGCCTTTGATGATTCTAATGACCTCAGAAGTTAAAGGTAATGTTCTGATGTCTGAATTATCTCCGGGAATATGATTGGTGTGATCTTTTGTCATACAGAGCATCACAACTTCTGGATTGTTGATGTGCTGCTTAATTTGAAGGATAGCCTCACACTTACAAAGCTTTGAATCTTTTTGTGCCAAGCGAATCTGACGTTTTGGTGTATATCTGCCTGCGCGATGGCACTTTCTTGTCTCTCCAAAAATATAGTCTTTTCCGCAAAGTTTTCTCTTTTTGATCCATTTTGTTGAACAAAGTGATTGAATTCGCTCTAGGCATTGCTGCCATTCACTAGCCTTTATTGCTACTATAGTATCCAAAGGAAGAATTTTTCTTCCTTCCAAAGGTGAATCGACCAATGCATTTTGTACATTCGAAAGGTTGAAGATGGTGTTGGACATGTGAAACTCGTATTTGTGATAGTATGTAATTAAAATAAAGAAATAAAGTGAGAAAGAAAACAACAATAAATAATTGCTTTTAACAAAAGTCACCTTTTTTTTATTGTATTTATTGATACTACCGATGCATACAATGCGCGGCAATTGAAACAAAAGTGTATATATACATATATAAAGAGAAAGGACAAGAAAAAAGAGATAGAGTATCGATTAACTAGGGGTAAGGTCATATACTTATTTGATAGCAGTCACTCTTTGGCCACGGTAGCATTGGGAAGGAATGGGGTGCTATCAAAGACGCAAGCCCAATGGGAACACCAGATTAGATGAGTTGTGATGAATGCAATCATGATCTAAAAAGATTAGACAGGCGAACGAGAGACAAGTGTGAGCAATTATACAGCCTCAGAAACAAATCAGGGCAGAAATAATTTCGTCGCGAAATGAAATACCAAACTTCCACCCATCAACTCAAACCTGTTGCAATAGGAAATAAGTAGATGTTGATTGCATGTTTGTCATACATGCCATACGCTATTGTCTCGACTTACTCTAAAAAACGAAAACCTCTCCAATTATTGTTTGTTTTCAAAGTCAACAACGTTTCAGGGAAAGAATTTTTTGAAAAAACGTTCATGCTTGGCAAAGATTTATATTATACCTAGTAGTATCCCCCATGGGCCAAGTCTGTGGACTTGTTTAATGTGGACCATCTCACAAAACACTTCCAGAAAATGTCTTGATAGCTAAATGCTGCCTTGAATTATTTCGTGGGTCTCACCTTACAACTGATCTACTGGACAATATACAAGTCTTTTTTTTTCAAAGAGGTGGTTTTTACATTTGATCAAAATTTGACTTGAAATGACTTTGTGATACTGTTGTCTTACATTTTAACAAGATTTCCAAGGCTTCAGATGATAAGAAACAACCCCAAAGAATTATATGATCAAATACACCGAGGATTGGATCGTTTTCTCTCACAAAATGAAGTGTCTCTGTCAGAATTCGGATAGGACAAGCAATGTGGATGTTGTTCCTCTTGAGATGGGTCAATGAGGTGGCAAAAAATAAGGGCCTTAGGTTTTTCAAAGAAAGAAATAAAAATACAGGAGCAAAAACAGAGGAAAAAATAATTGAAAGAGTTATTTTTAAGAAAGGAAACGAGAAAATGAAAATCTATTCACACGGTATGAAATTCATATCACTCTTAAATGAAGATTTCATAACAACGCATTATAGCTTGGAAAAAAAATTGAAACATTTGAATAAAAATTGTTGTATCACACTCACCGATTCTATTTTTTTTTCCTTTCCGACACTTTTTGTGTTGGTTGTACTCAAATCTCAAACTCAATCGGTAACGAAGTGCGTGTATAGGTTTAATGTCAATTTGCATACAAGTTAGCAGACATACTTACCCATTTTGTAAAGCCTTTTTTTTTCTATTCTCTTGACAGAAATATAAGGTAAGACAAAGGATACAGCTATGGTTGCTCAAAGACTACTCTAATATATTGGTTTGGAATTATCATGGATAGACTGTTAATATATCAATTGGCCTTTTATGTTTCCAGGGCAACAGCACGACCAGTTTGATGGGCAGCTTCTATCGAAAGAAAGAAAGAATACCATGAAAGTAAACCAGGAATTTTACCTGTAGAGGCATTGACTGAAACACAGGTACGTGCTATAGCTTCATGTGCCATATTATATTTATTTTCCGTAATCTAATCTTGTCAAAAAAAAATATAAATTACTTCCCACACTCTCTTTCATAAGAAAGAATAGAACATTTTCTCAGGTTCTTTGAGCTTGTTTTTCTTTCTTTCTTTCTTAATTTGAATTTTTTTATATGCGTTACAGAAAATCAAAGCACGTAAAAATAGTAGCTGGATTTTGTTCATTTGACATCTTTACTCTTGCTTGATTTCTTCTTTTGTTTTGCAGTACTAAAATACGTACGGGTGACGCATACTGTGTCATACCGGGAAAGTATGAATATACCACATAATTGGTTCTTTGGCTTTTTTATTGTTATTATCATTTAAGAAAAAAAAAAGTAACAATACAGTAAATTAAAGTAAAATATAAAGCACAAGGTGTACAGCACTATGGTTGTAACGCAGCAATATTTACACTTAACTATAAGATTTAGTACAAAACCAAGTATGGCTATGTATCCTATTTCACACGACATCGTGGGATGAAAGAGCCAATCCAAAAAGAAAGAAAACTGCGACTATTTTTATTACCAGAATCAAATATATCCCCATATTCAACATATAAGCCATGCCCACCTTCCTGACTTGCACAACCTAGTGGAAGGAATAGCGATCTAGTTGATAGTGGCCGTATCTCATATAACGGAGTCAGAATGGGTCTTTGAAAATACTATGTTGATAAACCGTTGCAAGCAGTTTGCTTTTGTATTCCGCGGAGCTTGAGAGTGATAAAGGTGCCATGCAGTGTTATCTTTATCAAGATACTATTCCATATGTTTAATATGTTATACAGACATAGCAAACACAAACATCTTTATTCAGAAAGAATGACATACATTATGATAATTAATATTATGGATCTACGAGCCATATTATTGTTGGCCCACAATTTGCATTTACTAAATATCATGCTTTTCAATATCCTTGACTATAATTCAATAATTCTTGCTCCACTAGCCGAACTACCGGCAAATTCTTATCTCTTGAGGAAATGCGGAGCAATGAACGTTCTTGGCCAGACCACAGAGCAACCCTTTTTTTTTTAGGTTACAAGATGCGAATACACAAGATTTCATCAGACTCCTCGAATTTGGTGCCCGGATCTGTGTGAATCGGCTATTCTTTTGGATTGATCTTGGCCAATAACGAATGATGCGGAGTCGTCCTCGGCGGGTGGCAAAATTGAATCGCACAGTCCCTTCAGCCTAAAGAAGTATCAAAGAAGAAGTCTCCTGGAGAAGCATTGTGGAGTATGATGCAAAAATAGTCAAATCTATCATTTTTTGCTTTGTTTTGATAATTAAGTGCTTCAAAAGCTTTTTTTCTATGCTTTTGCACCTAAAAAGTCCAAAAGGCTATCTTTTTTCCCGGGCGAATGCTGAGATGTACTCTCTGCTAACCTCAGACCAGCAAGCTCATCAAGAAGGAAAGGCACCACAAACACATGACGGAATCTAGCTTTTGTATATATATAAGCGGGTCTAACATAAAACACACCAATCTTTTCTTATTAAACTTCTCAATTCTTTTTGGTTTACTTTGTTTTATTCACTCAAGTCAAATAAATAGCATTACCTTTCATTACCACACAACAAAAAATGCCTGTCAACAATGTCAGTAGTACTATGTCATTGGACGCAAACAAGCCTTCTCTTCTCTCTAGCCCAGCCACCCAGAGACCCTCTACCCCTACAACCCATGATCTTGAAAAACACAGTGAGCTGGGAACCTCATTCACCTCTGATACCCTAGAGTCCGTGTCACCTCGCTCCCCATCTTTCTCTTCATCCTTTTCTGGACGTGACTCCCCTGATAGCCTGGACAATAAGCGTAAATGGAATGACTCTTTCACATTTGCTGAACGACAAGAAGCAAGCTCCAACATATCAAAAGCATCTCGTACGTAATTACACTTTTAGTGTGATCAATACTCGTACTTAGCCAAAAAAATTTCTTACAGATACTGAAAATGGATATGAAGATACTTCTTCTCTTTACTCTCAAGATGACCGTAGCCAAGGTTGGCAAAATTATCTTAAATTTGATTGAGATTATCTTACTTACATATTGCTATTGTAGACAGCGACGACTCCCAGTTAGGAAGTAGAAGACCAGGCAGAAAGCCAATGGCCGAAGAGTCTGCCGATGTAAGTGTCCTCACTTATTTACAGACCTTTTCCTTAAACGAAACTAGTACTCATACACTATTCTATAGGAGGACGAAGATCCCAAGGCTAAACGAAAAGTCCAAAATAGGGCAGCCCAGCGAGCCTTCCGTGAACGCAAGGAGCGTTACGTCAAAGACCTTGAGACAAAGATCAAGCAGGTACAGGACAACCACCTGTTTGCTACGACTCAGCTGTTTCAGGAAAATCAATATCTGCGGTCGGTCATCTATCGTCTAGAGACAGAAAACTTTGCACTAAAAGGCATGCAGATCAATATGCCCGGATTAGAGACCGTGTGCCGTGAGCCAACTGAAAGACAAGAGAATTGGACAGGCAACACCATCCTTAGGCAACAAACCCTTTTCCAAGCGGCGCCGATGCCTGTCAACGTGGCTTCTATGCTACCGACACAACAACAATGTCTCCCACCATTCGGATCAGTACCATTGGTACCTGGAAGCAAAGTCCAGGACTCTCGGAATGCTACTATCCAGCCTACACCTGTTCAGCCGCAGCCAGCATATTTGCCATATACTACGTCAAGAACACCTTCCAGAACGGCACCAGTTCCCATTCGTCCGCAGCAAACACAACCTCCTGCCCAGCAATTCACATTTGCTGTCAGTACCCCTGCAACTCTTAGAGCAACTACGACTATTGCCAACCAAAAAACTATCTCCCCAGGTCCAATTAAGCCAGTACGTTTATATGCCGATGAAAATCATCCTGTAACTCAAATAAGAAGAGAAGCCCAAGCCAACCCACCTTCCCAAACACCTGTACCTAAATCAACACCTGCACCCATACCAACACCTGCATCTCCATCTACATCTACATCTACATCTACATCCACGTCTACATCCACATCCACATCCACAGCCATACAAGAGCCAAGCCCTCAGCAAACAACATCTCAAATGTCGCCTGAAAGTGTACATAGTACGGTCAATAACGACTCGGTCTATTCTCATCAGAGCGATCATTCACCCTCAAGTATTTTAAGCTTTAGCCATGTGAACGATTATAGCTTTTTCGATGATCAAACAAACCAAACCAACGACCCAACTTTGTTTATTCAAGAACATGCCGATGAGTCACTCGAACAATTTTTATCCAAGCCACTTTTCGATACTCAAGGAGAACTCAATATGTTACTGATGGATAAGAACCCACCTATGACACCCAAAACTCCCAATTCACATTCTACAACGGAGTCGCCAAAATTACCGCTTAGTCCGGCTCAAACCGTTCAACAACCAGAGAGAAGAGAAGAGGTGACCGGGATTGAGAAGGGTAGACAGGATATAAATACATGCGAATTGTGGCAACGCTTAACACAGCCTGACAAACTTGCCCATTTCAGTGTCGATCAACTACTAGAGGTGGTGAAGAAGAGTGTTCAATGTGCAGATACTGGCCGTGCACCAGATGAATGGGAAATGGACAAAATGATGCGCCAAATGAACCAAGAGCATCTCTAATTCACATATAGAAATCTATTGCTGTACATACATTTAATTACCTATACATGTTTTCTTTTCCCTTTTTACTATGCTTTATTGTATATATATAATTTATAAATATAAATATATTCATTCATGATACTATGCTAATATACTTATCTTAACATCCTATTATCTTATTTATTTTTTTTAATTCCCCAAGTTTTATACGATAAGCCCCGAGTGAGTGGCCTTTAACCTCCTTGAGCAGATTAGTAACTCAAAATCAATTTGAGTGTAACTGTAGGCAGTTTAGTAAGAGTACAAGACAATTAAAAGGCGATGATTGGATGAATCATTCATGCTTGTGCCTTGTTAGTGAACCAATCATGTGTATGACAAAATATCTATTTAAGCAAGATCACTCACACGCCGGTTATTCCCTCTTTATCCAACAATGTGGCGTTGTTTATCTGGGTCTGGTCAACTAGGATATGTTCTTCTTGATAGGAAAACTTACTCGATCTAAGAACGGTAATAGAAGTCACGCAGAACAGCCAATCATTGCTGATTAGTCCTCACACCAAGATCATGGTCGTTCCAATCACAAACCAACCTTTGTTCTTTCTAACACGACAATAAGTTGAAAATCCTATGTTTGTTCAATTGAATATTCTTTTGTACAGAAATTCTGAACGAATAATATAAGAGACTTTAAAGGGGAGTATATCAAGTAGTATCTATAGAAATATTATATTGGTTTCCAAAAAAAAAACCCCAAATTAGATGAACATTCGACAGGCAAAGATTTCATAGTTCAAAAAGCCAAATAATAATAATAATAATATAAAAGAATATTATGTATTAGAAATTACTAGGGTCTTTCAGGGACCATTGTTTGATTAGCTTACATAATGCATTACCTGTTTTATTCGCTTCTTTTTTTTTGTTTTCTTTAAGTACCAATAAATAACTCACTACAATTTGTTTCAGTATAATAATCATTGTAGTTGACCTAGTTAGGGATGATTAAGTCAGACTATTTGTTGATATTTCTGCACAAACCAAGATCAAGATTAACACCAACTCATGCTTTATAAATATGTATCAGTTTCTTTTTATTACTAGTAGACAGACAAAGCTACCTTACTCTTCTTCAATTCATTCATGGCAGTATATTTTATCACAAAGCTCAACACGCCGCTTATCCAGGTTATCCTTTTGGGATTTGTGTGCTTGTGCTGTCCTGGGATGTTTAATGCATTGATGGGACTTGGGGCAGGTGGCTCAATGAGCTCCAATGTGGCCTTGACTGATGCTGCAAACGGTACATTGTATGGGTGTTTTTCCATCGTTGGGTTCTTTGCTGGATCGATTACTAATACCATTGGAGTAAAATACACTCTCACTGTAAATAATATGGATATTATTTAAGTATCCGAGTATTTATTTATTCCTTACTTATTTGTATCTTTTTATAGCTTGGATCTATTGGTTATGCTATATATGCATCCGCATTTTGGGTATATGATAGAAAAAGCATATCTGGTTTTGTGATTGCAGCTGGTGCAATTCTCGGTTGTTGCGCAGGTGTATTCTGGTCTGCCCAGGGAGCTATAATGATGTCCTATCCCGAAGAGAAAAACAAGGGAAAATACGTAGCCATCTTCTGGGCCCTCTTTAATCTAGGCGGAATCCTTGGCTCGATAATCGCCCTAGTTTTGAATCTTGAGAGCAATACAGGTGGTGTCTCTACCGGAACTTATACTGCTTTTGTGGTCATAATGTTGGTAGGCGTAGTATTTACACTAGTCATCGCCTCTCCGTCACAAGTTTTCAGACCCAATGGTACCAATATATCCATGGCAAAAGCTACCCATTGGAAAGATGAGCTCAAGGGTGCGATCATGATTTGGAGTGAATGGCGTATACTCTGCCTTATGCCAGCTTTCTTGGCTTCAAATTGGTTCTATGCCTATCAGTTCAGACTCAATGCGGTTTATTTTGATGCCTCCACACGCGCTCTTAATGATACAATGTACTGGGCTCTTCAGATCGTCGGTTCCATGCTTATTGGAGTATTACTCGACTACCAAGGGATGTCTCGTAAAGGTCGCGGTCTTTTGGGCTTCACTGTTCTTTTCATTTGTCTTATGACAGTCTGGGCCGGCGGATTTGCTTTTCAGCTCACATTTGATAATACCTTTTCTCAGCCTATTCATTGGACCTCTCCTTACTTTGGAGGACCGTTTGTTCTCTATATGATGTATGGTATGTCGGATTCTCTTTACCAAACCTATATGTACTGGCTTATGGGAGCCATGTCCAATGACCCAACGCTACTCGCTCGTTATGCTGGGTTTTACAAGGCAACTCAATCCGCAGGAGCAGCAATAGCATTTGGTATCGATGCAGTAAATATTCCCCTTCGTTGGGAATGTCTTATTTGTTGGATTCTTGTTTTCATTTCATTCCCTCTCATCCTTATTGTAGCCAAAAACATTACAGAGACAAACGAAAATCCAGTGGACGTCATTTGCGTAAACGAGATTTCCACAAAGATAGATTGTTGAGTTAAATCTTGTGTAAACTTTCCTTGATATCATGCACCCTGTGTTTGTAGAGTACACCCCCTCTTTTGTAAATTCGTTTTAGAAATAAATAAACATATTTCCTTTTTTAAAAGAAAAATTGGAAAGGGTCGGCGACTAGTTTAGTATAGTAATGTATCAAATGAGTTTATTTACAGGATGTATGAGGTTATTGTTTATCCAGATTATCTAATAATAGGTTTCATGATTATAGACGCATGCCTATACGATCCATCATAAGGCGCTCATAAACCGTTATCCTTTTATCGTCATCTGTGTAAGTTCTATCTGGGACTGGTCTGGTTAAGGATGCTCTAGTAATAGATTGTGTGTTCCTTTGATTTACGGTTGAGGTAGAGCGAGATGTCCATGTTGCAACAGATTGAGCGAGTGAAACAACATCATCCTCGAGTGGACCTCCTTGATCTATAGAACGAGCCTTGGAAGGATTTTGTGTTCCTGTAGTCCTAATGCTAAGATTGCGGCGTTGATACGATCCCGGGGAAGCGGTTGAATTAGACGCTTCAAATGATTCATGACCAGAGGCATCATCATTTGGGTCCTCAGACTCATATGTCTCTGAGTGTTCCCTGAGGTTAAAGTAAAATCCCATATGGTGCAACATAACGGCAAGATGTTTCATGATATCAAGGTATTCAGCCTGGCTAACCTGATCTCGACTAAATCTAGCTCGTTCATATCCTTCCAAATACACACAACCTAGCTGAGAGTCCACAAGATTGTGGTGCATAAGAAACTCCATATACTGTCGAACGGGTACATAAAGAGGTCGGGCATACTCTGGATTTAATTCAATAGCTGCGTTTTCTGTTCTCTCTCAAGTTTTAGAAGCACATAGTTTGCGGGATCTAGGTAATAAGATATCTTACCGATGATGGTAGGGGTTCTGGCAATGGCTCTCTTAAAGTCGACGCCATCAAACAAAGGTTCTCCTAGTCGATACATAGTAAGATTTAAATATAAATTTTAAGGCTGTGTATTACCTGGTAAAGCACGTCCTACTAGCTTTATATCCGAAGAAAGAGGTTTGCATTCCTTTCTGACCTCTTTTACATTAGTAAATTGGCCTTGGATATGACTAAACACTCTCTAGATGTGGCATACAGATGTACAAACAAACAAACAAACAAGCAAACGAAAAAATATTAGCTCTTATGTCTATTTATTTGTAACTTCCGGAGAAGCAAATTACCTTTGGTAGATCATCCTCTTTAATTGGTATATATAGCTTGGGGATATCTTGCAGTGAGCTCCTTACTGTAAACACTCGACTACAAGAAAATAGTAGAGAAAGAACAGTCTGAAAGAAAATAGAGATCGATACAGGTTTAGGGATTCAAAGACATCTATATAGCTTAAAACAATTTACAAGTAAGACATAGCCGCCCCCAACTACAACGAGATTTCGATAGTCGAATTTGTCACTTTCTGTACGATCTGTCAGGGCCTGAATGATCACGTCTGCTGCTGAAATTGCCAGGCATAAAGCAGTTAGGAAGATGAGAAAAAAGAGAGATGCTGTGTAAAGATGCCGTGATGTTTTTGAAGAAATCATTCTTAATCAAAGACAATCGTCCTGCTTTAAAGAACATCAAGTCCAAAGACGAGGTCATTCTTTTGCAGAAAGCAGTTTTTATTAAAGGTCAGCTGACTAAACCAGTATCTGAAAGAGTATTGCATTTGCGTAACACCATGATTTTGTATTTTTTTTTTATTCATGCCCAAAAAAGGCAGAACAATGGCACGGGGAAATCAAAAATGGACTCTTCTAAGCGCCTTGTTTCTTTTCTTCCTTCTTTCTTTTTACGATTACGATGAATCCTTCAAAGAAATCATCAGCAATATCGTCAGTCGTCAACGATCTTATACGAGCTGCGGCAGGTGGTGATGCGAAATCTGTTGCTGATGAAGATCTCGATCGTTATGTAGCTGATGTCATCCTAAAAGAGGCAGAAGCAAAGAGAAAACAATACAATCAAGTAGGAATCCGCGCATACCAGCCTGATACTGGACTGTAGGTATCGTAGAAAACCTGCCCTGCGATAAACGCACGCGCATTAATAGTGAGTAACAATTTATAATTGTATATTCTTAATTCTTCCAAGACAGACCGCCAAATAGATTACCAAAACCGAACAAACGCTTTCTGCTCAACGTCGTAAAAGCAACAGATAGCCACAACCAGGAAGTAATTAGATCAAACGAAGAGCAGGCGGCACAGGCACGGCGAAAGAGATTGAGAGAAGAAGAAGACCGTCACAATAGATCATCCCGTCGCCATGACCGTCATAATTCGATACGAGAAGAACGGCGAGAAGAACGACGGGAGAGACGTCAAAGCAGATCACCCATATCAAGGCATTCTCGATCACGAACGCCTCCATTAGAAACTCGTTTTGAATCCCCACAACCACCAGAAATAACTGACTCCATTGGAAACAACCCCAAAGAGCCTTTATCAAATTCTAACAATTTAGAAAAGACGCCCCAACGGATAAAACCAGTAGAAAATGTATCATTCAGAGGACGCGGAAAGATAAATGTTGGGGGATCTGCTATGGACAAATACTTTGAAGATGGCTACGATCCGATTAATGACGTTTTGTCAGACGAAGAGGCATTTGTGTTTGAGCCAGAAAAGAGTAAAGAAGAAAAAAAGAAGAAGAAGAAGGAATCAGGAAAGAAAAAGAAAAAGAAAAAAAAGAGTAAGAGTAAGAATAAGAAGAGAAAGACCGAAGAATATTCAAGTGACAGTAGCACCGATGAGTCTCTGGAAAAACGACCCAGCATAAAGCATGTTCGCACTTGGGACATTGGCAAAATATAAAAAAAAGAAAAAGGAATGCTGACAAAATCACTTCATCCATGCATCAGCAAATACAATATGTACACATATATATTTACTGATATAAACATTTAAATCATATTCACGAGACATATTAGACACATAGATCAACATCATTATTAAAAACGTTGTTCTAACCACGGAATTGCTGAAGTACTCTCTATATCAAACGAATTGAATATCTTCAACACAAAGATTTAGAGTATATTACGACAATATACCTTTGCCACCTTATCAACATTACGGCCATATATATTCTTTGATCCTTCTGCTTCAGCATCTTCATCTGCTGCAAGTGCTAATTGCTCTAAGAACATGACGTAGTCGAGATAGATCTGATGTAATATGGTTAGTGATTACATTTTAATAAGTCGATCCTACCATAATGTCGACATGCTTTGTTAGAGTATGCTTTGGAAAATAGTTCTTGATCTTTTTCTTGAGGGTTGGCCGAGAATGTAATCTAGCCATTGTAAATGAATCAACTTAGGGATCAGTATGAGAGAATTTACAAAAGTCAAAAGCAGCTAAGCGACAACCGGTCTTTGTTGTTCAATTTGATTGACTATAATAGGGGGTTTCACCAGCTTTGGATGCTTGACTGTTGGATGTAGCGGTAGTTTAATTCGAAAATGATTGGCTATGACGAATCTTCAAGAAATGAAAACTGAGCATCCAGGCATCCAAAAAAAAATAGTTCGATAGTCTAATGTAATGACTTGGCCAAAATTTACAAGATTCTGTACTTTATGTACGATTGATGGCAAGGTTCATAGAAAAGCAATGTCAAAAATAAAACATAATTAATCTATGTAAGAGTGGCTATCTTAATACAAAGTTATAGAAGTCTAACTTACTTGTAGGGAATTTGAGCATGGGCAATATATTTATGAGTATTCTAATCAAGTGTATTATAAATATGAATTCTGACGTATATGAGAGAAACCGTATCAACCAAGAGACATTAATGGTATTCAATAGTTGTTTTTTGACATTGGTTATTGTTGGATAGTGCTTAAACTAACAATACATCTAACAGTCAAGCACCCAGAGCTAGTGAAACCCCCTATAAGGAAAAGCTCTTTGAATTGAAAATCTAATATATTATGAGAAAAGGATAGTTTTACAATCTGGGTCTACTTCACCTTATTTCTGAATCATTATTCTTTACATTTGAAAAGGTGATACGGACAGTATTGGTTTATATGATGAAGTGGTCCAAACGGTTAAAAGAAAGAAAAGAATAGATATCGATCTCCTTTATCATATCCTTGACTCAAATATTTGCATTTGGCAGCTTGTTCTCTCAAGAAAGATAAAAAGAAAACAAAAGTGCTGTGTAAGGATGGTCTTTATCGCTTTCATCTTTCGATGTTTATATGGCTATTTCGATAGTTAATAAAGAAAAATAAGATAATCAGTAAGATATTGTTAAGCTATTACAAAGATGTTGGGATAGAATATGCTTCTTTGGATAATTAATAATGAATAAGAGAGAGAAGTAGAAATAGCTAAATATTTCTGTGGTTGATTATTACAATTCTTGTGTCTTTTAATTGATTTCTTCGCCAGCTATAAGAATTATATTCTTTTTGCGGTTACGACTTGAGCAATTTTTTTTACATAATTGATACAAAGAAAGGTTTAGGAAGATAGGATATGTCTGGGTCATATGGAAGTTCAAAGACACGCGCAATTAACTAATGAACTAATGAAGAATCTTCTATTTATGCAAGCTCTCAATGAAGATAAAGATAGCGAATATATCTACTAAGAAGATAATGCTCCCTGTCACAAGTTTAATATTGGATAAGAGTGGAAGAAATGACATAATTTTATAGTAATAGTAAGGCTGCCAAGTAGTTTAGATTTTAGCTCTATGGAGATCTCATAAGAATATTCCACCAGAAGAGTGAAAAAGAAAAAAGAGGTTAATCTTCAAATACTTTTAAGGAGGTGGCGGTTATTACCTATATGGAATAAAACAATACTCGGACTGGTGTTTATAATATTAAGTGCATGTTAATGCCTAATTGCTTGTCAATGCCTAATTGCGTGGCAATGCCTAATTGAATGTCAATGCTTAATTGCATACATGAGATGAGAAAGGTTAATGAAAGGTCATAAAACTATTGATTTTTTTTAAAAAAAAACTATACCTTTGTATTTATATGTTTTCAGGCATGAGTTGTCAAGTGAAAGAAGATCGGCTAAACCAAGAATGCTAAAGAAGTTGTAGTATTGATTTATTAGAACTTAATAAGTATGATGCCCATTGTTGATACGTGTCTATACATATACATACCTTGCTTGTAAAAGAAAATTCGACCTGATTTTAATACTGAATATTGTATTAAAATATTCATTTATATACTTTTAAAGTATATCCGATAAATCCCAAAAGTAAAAATAAAGATTTTTTTGTCAAGACCTGCGCTTGAAGGCCGATCCACTCAAGTTTACACCCAAGCTTCTCAACAACCCTCATTCCTGCCTACTCGGCATGGCATCAAATTTACCATGACGGCAAAGTATCGGTGAAATGCTTTAATGCCAAACTGCTCGGGACAGGTGTCTGAGACACCCAAGTGAACAGCATAGCATTTACTTAGGCACCTTAACTTTGCTTCGGGTTCGTCCCTCATGTCCAGTTCTGTTTACCAGAGCGTGGGTTACAAGTATCAAAGTCTAAGCAATGAGGGACTTGAAAAGCACAGGGATCATTTCAACAGGAAGCAGTAAAATACAGGCGATTGTACTGGGTAATCTGTCGATTCTGCTGGGAATCTACCTGTATTACCTCACGTCCAGGTGCTCAACGAATTTAAAAAACTCTACGCATCCAGGTGATACACCCTTATACTTGCACCTTTCTGTGACAATCTTGACATGCCCCAAAGGACAAAATCTGGAGAGCCAATATCCAACGTCCTAAGAAAATAGCATAAAGCTACCTCTGCGTTCCTCAGTCTTCTCCATGTTATGTGCCGCACAACACAGAAAAAACTGACGTGGATTTCATCCGGCTTTCGCCTTCATATGAGTGGCTCAGGAAGGTCTTTAACGTCCAGTATGCTCTACACTAAGAGCTACTTTCCCTTACGGTACTTGTGTTCAGTTGGTTTTTTATAAGTATATTTAGCCTTCGATGAAACTTTTCACCAGGATTAGGGAGTTTGTAAAACAACCCGACTCATCGGAAGCTACTTAACACAAAGACAAGAACTCAAGACAAGGTGAGGGGATTGCACCCTCCAGTAACCTTTTCCAGGGAGTGAAGGCTACTGACTTGTTGGTATGTCTGGAAAAGCAGTTCACTAGTTCACAATCCAGAGCAGTCAAAAGACTACTCCGGTTCAAACATTGGAGCTTCTCCATCTCAAACAATAAAGTCCAAGACGGAATCCCTTTTGGTTTCTTTTCCACTGCAGTAAATGCAGGTAGAATCGCTCAAAGTACGGACCAATTTTAGGCCATGGTACCTTGAGCGAACTCAATGACTAGACGCCAAAGAGTGCAGTGCGTTCAATAAAAAAACCAGAATCTCATATTAAGACAAGCCTTATAAATAAGGCGTCTACAATGAGCGAGTTGGAAAAGAGCCCGGAGACTCACTGTTAAAGACCATGATATACACATTTTGCATGAAAATGTTTACGTATATTCCTTTTGATATATCGTGACCGATAGAATACGAGGTACTCAGTGACCACTCCAAGAGTAGAGATATAAATAAAAATCGAGTATAAGGTTAATATACTTATTGTGTCAAAGTGTGTGCGCGTGTGCGCGTTTACTTACCTAGCTGTTAACTGCGAAGGGTGTAAAATACTGAGCTGGTTCTCGGTACACCTCTCCATAAGCATACTTTGAACACTATCAAGAGAATAAAGTAATATAAAAGTATAAAGTGAGTATGTTAATTGAGTCAAAGTATGTATATATTGACTTACCACTCAGTGGACCATACATGGTATGAAGGCACCATCAAAAGAATGGTGGTTAACAGCTAAACAGAACTAGAAACTGCAATAGAAAAAAAGAAAACATCAAATCATAGTTAGCGTGTTGATCGTGTCAAAGTATATGTGTATGTACGCGTTTACTTACCTAGTAAACAGCAGCGGAAGGCTTGAAAAGTACTTGTGCTAAAAAGCAAGACGGGACGGGACACTGGACACTGTGATAAAATAAAAGAAATATCGAATCATAGTTAGTGTATTGATCGTGTCAAAGCGTGTGTGTGTTTGCTTACCTAGCAGATAACTGCGTAGGGTTTAAAAAAGTACTTGTGCTTAAAAGCAAAACGGCACTGGACACTGGACACTGTGACGAAAGAAAGAAAACATCAAATCATAGTTAGTGTGGTGATCGTGTCAAAGCATCTGTGTGTGTGTATTTACTTACCTGGTACATGAACTTGACGTGAAGGACCTCTCCGTAGCTACAGTGGAATGGACGCTGGGCATAGAAGACAGAAAAAAAACATGCACAAGAAAACACTGTGCTGTAGTTAGTATATTGACCGTGTCAAAGTGTGCATATGTCTGTATAATACTTTACCTGCTATTAGACTGGACATCATTTTTGGAACTTAGCTAGAAACCGCGTCTGGGGTGCGTTTTCATAATAAATATCAGTATGCACCTTATACGGATAGAAAGATATAGGCATTTAAAGACAATTTTCTTACCGTGTCGGAAACCAAGGACCACCGAAAGGAAACCAGGAGGAAGAGGAGGGATAACAGGAAATTGAGAATTGTATCGATTCTTATATGAAAAAAAAATGGGGATGGCGCAGCACGGAAGGCGTAAACTGTCTATTTTGGATAAATCAAAACAAATTCATATGAAAATTAAATAGTTTCATGTTTTCAGTAAAAGCTCCATGTTTTTTATCGCATATTTTTATTGCGTATTTTTTATCGCATATTTCTATCAACGACCTATTGGTATTATCTAATAGATACATTGAATAGTACCAACACTGAATACATTTGAGTATTACCTTGTTTTAGATAACATTTATATTCCTTTGGGGAATATATTTCTATATCTTTATGTTCACACTACTGATAATCATTATTATTATTATTATTATTTAAAAAAAAAACACCAAGTAAATAAAGAAATCCTCCTTAACATTATAATCACACTTTGTTTTCTTTCGCTTCACAAAGTATCCTGAAAGTCATATAAGTATATAAGAACTACTATTAAGAAAATAATAGCATGTTTTTATTAAGCTATTTTTTTTATTTAGGCTATTCAGTTTTACATATATATGCAATATCTCTTGTGAACTACAAACATAATACTCTTTCTTACTCTTGATCAATAAAAACATCGTTATTATAATGTATATTCACATATCTTAGCTAGCATGACTTATTCTTTACATAATTATGTCTAGAGGCAAAATTTTAATCATATAAATGTATTAGTAAAGCTATAGATAAATAATAAAGCTGTTAAACCTTTCTTTCGGACACTGTAGTATGTATATACTGTTACAGCTTATATTGCTTTGAAATCATATTAAAATCATTAAAAAAATTATTTAAAGGATTATTGTAGACATTTTACAGCTACTGTAAATCTCTAATAGTACGTATTCATACTCTTTCTTTTCTCTTTCTCTCTGATAAATACATTACTCTTTGATACAGAGTCTAGTCGGCGAGTTCTTTTTTTTCTTTACTCGACCCTTCTGCTTTTACATTATTTTCAATATACAATATCTATAACTATTTTAACAAAAAAAATGTAATGATGCTTATACCCTATCAAACTAGCTACATATTTTGAATTATATTTAATGCTGATATAGCCCATCTAATAAAATCAGAACAATAATATGTTTTCTAAGATCAAAGCACAGAATATAACAGGTAAGAATCCCTCCATATCTCTATATGTATATACTTTTATTATTCTTCTCTTGTCTTTTACTTGCTGTTTTACTTTTGTGCACTTTTCTTGATAAATCATCAAGACTAATCATATAATATCAATAGGAACAGCAGAAGCAGCAGCAACTAAATCACCAATATCAACAAGTCTTCTGATTAGTTTCCAATATTTTCTTAATATTTTTTTTCTGAAATGCATATATTCAATTAAACGAGAACAAAAGAGAAAAAAAAAGTAGACAATTGGAACTTTGATTTAAATCTTTGACTCATGATAAACAATAAATGAGAAGAATCAAAATAAAAACGTAAAATAGAGTGAGAAAGAAAAATATAATTTCTAGCCAAAATTTTACATGAATTCAATATATTAAGTACTCCTGCGAAATAAAGACAGAACTGTATATCTTTTAACTACTATCTTATCTTTTCTTATAGTCTGTACTTCTTGTATATAAATATTATCTTTGTTGCTGTAAATATATTGAATATTGCAGATACACTTAATACTACTGCTCTATTTATATGCTATTTTTAATACATTTTACATATCGTCAAGAACAAACAAAAAATTGCCAGAAATTGTTCTCCAGTAAGACTTTTGAGCAGAAGAAAGAACGTCATTAAAAACATGATAGTAGTCAATATGTGGCGATAAACGGAGGTCACAGAAATATAATGTCGAATGATTCCAGATAAATTGGTAGGAGAGTGGTGAGACGTGCTGTGTATGTTGGTGTGGTGTAAGAAGTTTGTAAAAAAAAACATTTAGAAAAGGAAAAAGGGGATTATCAGATAAACATTCATAGTCTTTGTAGCAAATAAAAGTGTTTTTCGGATAAATACCCAGAGAAAATAAAGAAAAAGAAAATATAAGTGTGTAAAAGTTGTTTTTTATTGAGTTGATTTATTTGGGAATATATAGTTTTTCTGAGTTAAGCTGATAGCATGTTATTGAGAAAATTGGATAGTTTTGATAATACTAATTGTGTTGGTAATTGAATATGGGTACTTGTCCGAAACCAACAGTGCCACCAGCTTGTCTATAAATACTTAGGCTCTACCAGTATAAGATATTAAATTGATTTAAAGTACATAATCTATACAAGCCTTGAAATATTGTTAAAATGTAAATACTATACTCCAAGTCTTAATATCTTAAGATAACTTTAAATGTAAATATTTCAGTAAACTGCTGAAGTTGATCTTACTGACTGTATTATTATATTATCTGTTAATGTATATATATTTAACCATTAAAAAAATAAAAGTAATATAGACTATCCTAACACATCTCTCTATTTATTTTCTTATTATTTTCAAGAGAATAGACTGATATCCACAATATATAGGCTAACATGATATTATAGTAGATCAGTATATATTATCTTTTCTTACGCATTTGAGCAATCTATCACACAAACCACTCAAGTCTCAATTGCCATGAAATTTATATAATTAAAATTTTGGCTCTAGACATAATTATGTAAAGAATAAGTCATGCTAGCTAAGATATGTGAATATACATTATAATAACGATGTTTTTATTGATCAAGAGTAAGAAAGAGTATTATGTTTGCAGCTCACAAGAGATATTGCATATGTATGTAAAACTGAATAGCCTAAATAAAAAAAATAGCTTAATAAAAACATGCTATTATTTTCTTAATAGTAGTTCTTATATACTTATATGACTTTCAGGATACTTTGTGAAGCGAAAGAAAACAAAGTGTGATTATAATGTTAAGGAGAATTTCTTTATTTACTTGGTATTTTTTTTTTAAATAATAATAATAATAATAATGATTATCAGTAGTGTGAACATAAAGATATAGAAATATATTCCCCAAAGGAATATAAATGTTATCTAAAACAAGGTAATACTCAAATGTATTCAGTGTTGGTACTATTCAATGTATCTATTAGATAATACCAATAGGTCGTTGATAGAAATATGCGATAAAAAATACGCAATAAAAATATGCGATAAAAAACATGGAGCTTTTACTGAAAACATGAAACTATTTAATTTTCATATGAATTTGTTTTGATTTATCCAAAATAGACAGTTTACGCCTTCCGTGCTGCGCCATCCCCATTTTTTTTTCATATAAGAATCGATACAATTCTCAATTTCCTGTTATCCCTCCTCTTCCTCCTGGTTTCCTTTCGGTGGTCCTTGGTTTCCGACACGGTAAGAAAATTGTCTTTAAATGCCTATATCTTTCTATCCGTATAAGGTGCATACTGATATTTATTATGAAAACGCACCCCAGACGCGGTTTCTAGCTAAGTTCCAAAAATGATGTCCAGTCTAATAGCAGGTAAAGTATTATACAGACATATGCACACTTTGACACGGTCAATATACTAACTACAGCACAGTGTTTTCTTGTGCATGTTTTTTTTCTGTCTTCTATGCCCAGCGTCCATTCCACTGTAGCTACGGAGAGGTCCTTCACGTCAAGTTCATGTACCAGGTAAGTAAATACACACACACAGATGCTTTGACACGATCACCACACTAACTATGATTTGATGTTTTCTTTCTTTCGTCACAGTGTCCAGTGTCCAGTGCCGTTTTGCTTTTAAGCACAAGTACTTTTTTAAACCCTACGCAGTTATCTGCTAGGTAAGCAAACACACACACGCTTTGACACGATCAATACACTAACTATGATTCGATATTTCTTTTATTTTATCACAGTGTCCAGTGTCCCGTCCCGTCTTGCTTTTTAGCACAAGTACTTTTCAAGCCTTCCGCTGCTGTTTACTAGGTAAGTAAACGCGTACATACACATATACTTTGACACGATCAACACGCTAACTATGATTTGATGTTTTCTTTTTTTCTATTGCAGTTTCTAGTTCTGTTTAGCTGTTAACCACCATTCTTTTGATGGTGCCTTCATACCATGTATGGTCCACTGAGTGGTAAGTCAATATATACATACTTTGACTCAATTAACATACTCACTTTATACTTTTATATTACTTTATTCTCTTGATAGTGTTCAAAGTATGCTTATGGAGAGGTGTACCGAGAACCAGCTCAGTATTTTACACCCTTCGCAGTTAACAGCTAGGTAAGTAAACGCGCACACGCGCACACACTTTGACACAATAAGTATATTAACCTTATACTCGATTTTTATTTATATCTCTACTCTTGGAGTGGTCACTGAGTACCTCGTATTCTATCGGTCACGATATATCAAAAGGAATATACGTAAACATTTTCATGCAAAATGTGTATATCATGGTCTTTAACAGTGAGTCTCCGGGCTCTTTTCCAACTCGCTCATTGTAGACGCCTTATTTATAAGGCTTGTCTTAATATGAGATTCTGGTTTTTTTATTGAACGCACTGCACTCTTTGGCGTCTAGTCATTGAGTTCGCTCAAGGTACCATGGCCTAAAATTGGTCCGTACTTTGAGCGATTCTACCTGCATTTACTGCAGTGGAAAAGAAACCAAAAGGGATTCCGTCTTGGACTTTATTGTTTGAGATGGAGAAGCTCCAATGTTTGAACCGGAGTAGTCTTTTGACTGCTCTGGATTGTGAACTAGTGAACTGCTTTTCCAGACATACCAACAAGTCAGTAGCCTTCACTCCCTGGAAAAGGTTACTGGAGGGTGCAATCCCCTCACCTTGTCTTGAGTTCTTGTCTTTGTGTTAAGTAGCTTCCGATGAGTCGGGTTGTTTTACAAACTCCCTAATCCTGGTGAAAAGTTTCATCGAAGGCTAAATATACTTATAAAAAACCAACTGAACACAAGTACCGTAAGGGAAAGTAGCTCTTAGTGTAGAGCATACTGGACGTTAAAGACCTTCCTGAGCCACTCATATGAAGGCGAAAGCCGGATGAAATCCACGTCAGTTTTTTCTGTGTTGTGCGGCACATAACATGGAGAAGACTGAGGAACGCAGAGGTAGCTTTATGCTATTTTCTTAGGACGTTGGATATTGGCTCTCCAGATTTTGTCCTTTGGGGCATGTCAAGATTGTCACAGAAAGGTGCAAGTATAAGGGTGTATCACCTGGATGCGTAGAGTTTTTTAAATTCGTTGAGCACCTGGACGTGAGGTAATACAGGTAGATTCCCAGCAGAATCGACAGATTACCCAGTACAATCGCCTGTATTTTACTGCTTCCTGTTGAAATGATCCCTGTGCTTTTCAAGTCCCTCATTGCTTAGACTTTGATACTTGTAACCCACGCTCTGGTAAACAGAACTGGACATGAGGGACGAACCCGAAGCAAAGTTAAGGTGCCTAAGTAAATGCTATGCTGTTCACTTGGGTGTCTCAGACACCTGTCCCGAGCAGTTTGGCATTAAAGCATTTCACCGATACTTTGCCGTCATGGTAAATTTGATGCCATGCCGAGTAGGCAGGAATGAGGGTTGTTGAGAAGCTTGGGTGTAAACTTGAGTGGATCGGCCTTCAAGCGCAGGTCTTGACAAAAAAATCTTTATTTTTACTTTTGGGATTTATCGGATATACTTTAAAAGTATATAAATGAATATTTTAATACAATATTCAGTATTAAAATCAGGTCGAATTTTCTTTTACAAGCAAGGTATGTATATGTATAGACACGTATCAACAATGGGCATCATACTTATTAAGTTCTAATAAATCAATACTACAACTTCTTTAGCATTCTTGGTTTAGCCGATCTTCTTTCACTTGACAACTCATGCCTGAAAACATATAAATACAAAGGTATAGTTTTTTTTTAAAAAAAATCAATAGTTTTATGACCTTTCATTAACCTTTCTCATCTCATGTATGCAATTAAGCATTGACATTCAATTAGGCATTGCCACGCAATTAGGCATTGACAAGCAATTAGGCATTAACATGCACTTAATATTATAAACACCAGTCCGAGTATTGTTTTATTCCATATAGGTAATAACCGCCACCTCCTTAAAAGTATTTGAAGATTAACCTCTTTTTTCTTTTTCACTCTTCTGGTGGAATATTCTTATGAGATCTCCATAGAGCTAAAATCTAAACTACTTGGCAGCCTTACTATTACTATAAAATTATGTCATTTCTTCCACTCTTATCCAATATTAAACTTGTGACAGGGAGCATTATCTTCTTAGTAGATATATTCGCTATCTTTATCTTCATTGAGAGCTTGCATAAATAGAAGATTCTTCATTAGTTCATTAGTTAATTGCGCGTGTCTTTGAACTTCCATATGACCCAGACATATCCTATCTTCCTAAACCTTTCTTTGTATCAATTATGTAAAAAAAATTGCTCAAGTCGTAACCGCAAAAAGAATATAATTCTTATAGCTGGCGAAGAAATCAATTAAAAGACACAAGAATTGTAATAATCAACCACAGAAATATTTAGCTATTTCTACTTCTCTCTCTTATTCATTATTAATTATCCAAAGAAGCATATTCTATCCCAACATCTTTGTAATAGCTTAACAATATCTTACTGATTATCTTATTTTTCTTTATTAACTATCGAAATAGCCATATAAACATCGAAAGATGAAAGCGATAAAGACCATCCTTACACAGCACTTTTGTTTTCTTTTTATCTTTCTTGAGAGAACAAGCTGCCAAATGCAAATATTTGAGTCAAGGATATGATAAAGGAGATCGATATCTATTCTTTTCTTTCTTTTAACCGTTTGGACCACTTCATCATATAAACCAATACTGTCCGTATCACCTTTTCAAATGTAAAGAATAATGATTCAGAAATAAGGTGAAGTAGACCCAGATTGTAAAACTATCCTTTTCTCATAATATATTAGATTTTCAATTCAAAGAGCTTTTCCTTATAGGGGGTTTCACTAGCTCTGGGTGCTTGACTGTTAGATGTATTGTTAGTTTAAGCACTATCCAACAATAACCAATGTCAAAAAACAACTATTGAATACCATTAATGTCTCTTGGTTGATACGGTTTCTCTCATATACGTCAGAATTCATATTTATAATACACTTGATTAGAATACTCATAAATATATTGCCCATGCTCAAATTCCCTACAAGTAAGTTAGACTTCTATAACTTTGTATTAAGATAGCCACTCTTACATAGATTAATTATGTTTTATTTTTGACATTGCTTTTCTATGAACCTTGCCATCAATCGTACATAAAGTACAGAATCTTGTAAATTTTGGCCAAGTCATTACATTAGACTATCGAACTATTTTTTTTTGGATGCCTGGATGCTCAGTTTTCATTTCTTGAAGATTCGTCATAGCCAATCATTTTCGAATTAAACTACCGCTACATCCAACAGTCAAGCATCCAAAGCTGGTGAAACCCCCTATTATGAGTATATTTTCTTATGAGACAATATCACCCGGTTATACAGAATTGGAGCAAGAAATGGGGGTTTGATTTAACTTTAAAACCACCGTAACTGGAGTTCTTAGGTAAGAAATATATCCAGTATACTGCCCCAATTATAAAATTTAAAGAAACTTGTGAATATAGGCAGTGTGTTAGCCTATACACCAGTTGAGGTCGACTCCCCATAATTTGGTATTATAAGCATGGGGAATCGTCAAGGTGTAATTGTATATTTTGAGTTTTGCTTCTCTTGATCCCGACCGGATAAATCAATCAAACGGTTCTACAGAAATCCTTACACATCAAAAACGCACCGGAGACAAATATCTAATTTCACGTGATAGGTGAAAGATCTTTGTGGGGAAAGGAAAAAGAAGAACAAGAAAAAATGGTTTAATAAAAGTTCATCGAAATGCCATCGCCTCCAAAACCCTGGGAAGTCAATAATGCCGCTGTACCTGTAACAGCAGTAGTATCACCACAAGCAGTAACTACGGGAACCTCTAATATAACAAACGCTGATTCAGCTGTGCCAAATGTACCATTACGAACATCAACATTAGGGACAACGAATGGTTTGGGAGGTTCGTAACCCCCTAATATATATATAACACTTGTGCTCATTAGATCTAATCTAGAAATACTTTTTTTCTTATTTATATATGCCTTGGAAGTACAGCTGGATATGGTGTAGGTAGTACATTAGGCGGTGGATACGGCTCTTACAACCGACTAGGCAGTGGATACGGAAGTGGATACGGAAGTGGATATGGAAGTGGATACGGAAGTGGATATGGCAGCGGATATGGCAGCGGATATGGCTCGTATGGTTCTTCTTATGGTGGAATGAACTCATACTCATCTTATAATCGTCTTGGTTCGTACGGTAGTAATTACTCGCCATACAGCCAATTTGGGTACGGTAGTGGAGGAATGTATGGTGCCGGAGGACCTGGAGGACCTGGAGACTTTAGTCTAACACAGCGCATGGAGTCTGGAACTCGAGCGACATTTGATGTTATAGAGCAAGTTGTTGGTGCGTTTGGTGGGTTTGCTCAGATGCTCGATTCAACATACATGGCAACATACTCTAGCTTTATGGCAATGGTCGGTGTTGCTGAACAGTTTGGTCATCTTCGGCAGTACCTTGGTCGACTTTTTAGTATATATGCTCTTATTCGATGGCTGAAGCGAATGTTTTACAAGTTGACCGGGCGAACACCCCCGCCGGAACTAGAAGAGCCCGTAGCACCGCCTGGGGAAGGAGAACATTTACAGGTCACCAGCTCAGAATCAACTGCAGAAGGAGAGCTTACCGGAAAATCAGAGGATGCAAAGCCTACTAATCGTCGCCGGGCTGCTATTATATTTATGGCAGTTGTGTTTGGCCTTCCTTACATGGTATTTAAGCTTATGCAACGTGCAAGCTACCGAAGAGAGATGGAAAGACAGATGCTTATGCAGGCTAGAGGATTTGGTCCTCAAGGAGGTGGTCATTTTAATCAACCTCAGGAAGTCACACATGCACTTCACGATTTTGTAGCGGAAACCCCCATGGAATTGAATCTTCGACGTGGAGATACGGTGTACATACTTTCAAAGGTGGATCCGGCTACGGGAGTTCCAAGTCAATGGTGGCAAGGGCAACTGGAAGATGGTTCTGTTGGTATTTTCCCTGGAAATTATGTGGCTACTCCATCAAAGATAGAACATCAACAAAATATGTTTGATGATTTTTCAAGAAAGAGCCGTTGATAAACCGAGGAATATGATTTAAAAAGTGCCTAATAGGTAGCTTTATCAGAGATAAACATCTTGTAGTATACCGTGTCAAATTATTATAGCATTTGAAAACATCCGTATTTAACGTATATGTATATATTCCAGACCTTTGTTTAAAGCATATGATATAAAATTTCACACTGGGGTGTGTTTGGATATTGTTTAGTAAAGTCAATACGATTATGTTACAAAATAAATACGCGTACATATATTAATCATATAAGAAGCCTGATATAATTTCAGTTGGTTAATAGGGGAATATTCTTCAGAGTATTATATATGCACTATAAAAGAAGTAAAAAGATGATTTTAGTGAGATTATTGGAAGTTTTATAGGGGTTAAAGTGTGACTTACAGTGAAGTTTTAACTAAGCACTAATTTTTTTCTCTTTTTATATACACTGTAAGAAATAAATGCACCAGGATCTTAAGAAAACCTGGCAACTGACACGTAGAGTACTTCTAAGAGGCAATGAAACTAATTATGATAATATTACGAGAATGAAAGTTCAAGTTGTGTAGTTTTTATGTCCGATTGACTAGCTAATATAAATGATAATCTTTAATGGAGAAGTGGTAACAAGGGACAGTAAACCACTTCAAAAAGATAGGTTCTCGAGACAATAGATATGGACATCAATATTCGGGATGAGCCAACTACTAACCAAACTTCATTTAAATTATAATTAGGCTCACATCATCTAGACAATTAAAGGAATAAATATTCAAGATAAAGGTATGAGTATAGTGTAGAAGGTATCAAATACAAAATTGCTAAAAGTCATAAAGTACTTGGACACATACTGAGGCTCTTTAGCCCCGATATTTTCAACTTGGAAAGATACATAAATTTGAGTGTTTATAACTCCCTGATAAGTGTACTGATCCCCAGATACGCATGAAACCCATTATAACAATAGAAAACTATTCTCCAATGTTATTGGTTAAAATAAGATTTGAACCTATAAAGCCACACATTTTATTTGCTTAAATAGGTGAGCCTAATGCCTATATACCAAGACTCTATTGTCTTAGAAGAATGTTGCCAGGCTGACAATTTAAATCTTGCCATTTCCTACAGCCAGTCTGTACAAGTTGTCCTTTACTCTAATTACAAGTATAAATCGATAAATAGATTTTAAAAGTGGCTTTTTTTTTGGCGAAACAACATTTACTTTTCTCAAACTGACAAAATCTGCCGGCTGCACTGTAGCGGAAACTCCTCATAATCTTTTATGGCATTGTTGCACACCAAATCTGTGCAAACCCTATCTACTTGGCAAAGATAACGAAAGCATTATCTATTTAAATCAAAGGAGGACTGCAAATAAGGTTGGTCTTTATCTATAATAACCGATAAATAATACTATACCTCTCTTTATCTACCTATCTTTTTTCCTTATTTTTTTGTAATAGCAAAAAAATAAAAAAAAAATAGGGCTTTCTCTCTCCTTAACGTAAAGCCTTACATTAACGTTTCTTGTAAGGCTATTTATACTTTATAGTCGGAAAGAATAGTGAAGAATACATTATTGTTATATAGTACTTGCGTATACTTGATAGCAGTAGTAGCAAAAAGAAACAAAGCTGTGGCAGAGAGGGAATGAATGTGTTTACATTACTAATTAATCTACTAATTTTTTCAACAAGAAACTATAATCTTTATCACATTCATACAATAATGACAAGTAGTATATTAAGATATTTTTACTTGACAGATCGAGAAACACAATTAGCAATAACAATAAGATGTGTTTATATTACAGCAGTAGTTTTTTTTTAAAAAAAAACAAAACAAAAAGAAACTGGCTTTCTGGTAACATCATTATTATTAAGCGTACCTTATCATCATGTTTTGCTATCTGAAGATATATCTAATATTACTTTTAGCCGTGCTACTCATGTAGAAAATACCACCTTTTCTGACTTTCTACTATGGATTGTATTATAAATCATTAATCTTTAATGAGCCCCAATTAGTATCAAGGAGATAAACAGGGTGGAAAGCTGTTTGATAGCTTATATAACAAATAATATATCTGATTTCCATTTTTTGCTTGTTTGCTTATTCATAATCTTTATGTATAATAATAAGAAGAACAATTGATAGCACAAAATATGGTGACATAAGTAGTATGGATACATTAGCAACAGTAACGCTTCAACAGATATGCTAAGATATATGAAGTAGGTTTAGATAAGATAGTATGTAATATTTAGTGTAGTGCTTCCCTTAGAATACAGGCTACATAATGAGCCAAAGAAAAATTCCCAATTTTTTTTTTCAAAATAATGAAAAGACTAAGAAATATATTACTTGAAAATTATTATAGATTATAATGTTGTATTTAAAGAATTTTAACTTGTGCGGAGAATACTTTATTTATAAGCAAATGCAACATAATATTAGTTTGAGAAAGCAAGAGATTCATTATTTGAACCCTAATATCGAAAAAAGTTAGATTAGTAAGTGCTATGGTATATTCAAGTAAAGTACTACAAAAACAGAAAATAATTGACGAAATATACTGGTTTCAAATCTGATCGAGTATTCCTAGTTGCTCGATTTATTTGTCTATAAATCAATTTGTTTCAAATCAACGTGAATAACACTCTTATAAACGTCTATAATAATTGATAAATAGAGCAAACAACAAATAGCAAAAACAAGCTGTATAATATTTTTATTAAGAAGAAAGAAAGTAGATTATTACTATTCACTATGTAAAACCAGTGGTAATTATTATGCTTATGAGTATTATGATTATTATTTATTTGTTTTAAAATAGATATAAGTGTAAGGATAAATATATTTACAAAAAGTAATATCGATCAACGAGTACTACAAAGAAACCAATCTAGGCTCCACACACAGCTGCTGGGGCTTTTGGGGAAGGATGGACCCAGGAGTTAATATTGACATACATTGTGTACACCATCACTGCAGCTCCAAAAACTCCCAAGAGGATATCTCCTCCCTTTTTCCAGGTGCCATTCGTGACCTTGTAGTGGAACATGGCAGGGAAGATGAAACAAAGTGGCATGCATGCAACCGAACCGACCAAAGACACAAACTTGTCAAGGCTATCAGCGCCGACTCCAAAACTGACTGCGGCACAGACAAGAGCAACCATAGAGCGTGTGAGGTTCTTGAGCCACTTCCATTTGAAGTGGAGCTTGCCACTACGATCGCGGAAGAGGGATTTCTCGAGCGAGACGATGACGGGGTACAGCATAAATGGAGAACTAAACAGCATGCCGCAAGAGTAGACAATCTGGGTGGTAGAGGAAAGGGCTGTTTGCGGAAGGTTGAAAATGACACTTGCTTTGGTTTGATCTCCAAAGGCAACGTAGCCAATTGTACCAATAATGATAAATACAACAGTAATAATTCCCATGCCAATATTAACAGCCAAAGGGAATTTCTCGGGTTTCTTCATGCCTTCAACAATTGGAACAACTATATATATAAAAGTGTATATGAAAGTTATTGTTAGTATTAGCTATTATCAATTTACTTGAAATAAAACATACCCATTGCAATTCCTTCAAAAGCAAAGACTGCAGTACCAATCATGAGTGCAAAGTCATTACTATTCATCATGATAATGTTTGGACCGGCGCCTTCTCTGGCAATCTTGTCAGAGCAGTAGTAAAGAACAACAATAAGACAAAATAGAATGCATGTATCGGCAATAATGACAATCCAAGAAAGGCGGCCAATTTTACGAATCCATGTCATGGGGATAATAACCAGAATAGCCATCCAGATAATGTATTTACTGTCAAATGCAGCATGGCATTCGGTCAATGTATCAATGGCAATACCAATATTTGTAGAAATAAAGATCATATAAGACGCCACAAATCCCATTTGTGTCAAAGCAACAAAGAACGCAATGGCGTATCGCATCCAGCGACCATAGAGGGACTCTCCGATACCACCATAGGTACCTCCTATTTTACTTCGGGTGGTTACGAGGAGATGGATAGAGATGGTACAGACAATTGAAATGAATATTAAGAGACAAATTGAAAAGATAAGTCCACCAGATACAAATCTATAGATATAATTGTGTACACATTAGTAAATGTAATAATAATATACATATATTTGATGTCCAAATACTTACGACCCTGGCAAGAACACAACTCCGGTACCAACAAAAGCTTTCAACACCATAAAAATTGTTTTTCCTAGAGAGGCGGTTCCTTCTGGCGCATGCTCAAGCTGTCCTGGATCATTCTTTTCACAATCCGAAGGAGAGTAGTCTTCATGGTGTTCAATCGTGGCACCAAATTTATAAGGTACGGTTTCAGAACTTATACTTGAACTACTCTTTTGTTTTGAATCGAGGGCCATTTTAAATGTATCCTTTTTGTTTTTAAATAGAAGGGGATATGTGAATGATTGTGTGGTAAAGGAAGATGAAAATGGTCAACCTCTTTTATAGTAGTTAGCTAGAATCGCATCTTGAAATATAGCAATCAAGACTTTACAAGATAAACCATCTCCTCTTCAATGTGTATCCCGCCTATTAGGTTTCGATGTGAATTAGATATGTGTGCACCGTGAGAAATCTACCTGAGGTAGCTTTAGTTTAGTTTGGACTAAGTCCATGCTAATTGTATTTTGTACCTTAATAATTATCGAAGATATAATTCATTTTTCCTGTTTAAGCTTGTGTCATTTTCTAGATGCTTACCTTCTCTTTCTGAGATTGTAGCGCACAACATGATTGATTTCCTGCAAAGTCGTCGAGCGGGAATCATAAAGAGTTGGTCAGTGCTGACCATATTCTACAAGAATCACCCCACAAATATTATCTATACATCTTCTTGTGAATTAATAAAACAGACCTGCTGCTTGAAATATCAAAATTTCCTGGGCATTTACCAAAAGCAAAAAAAAAATCCCCCACTCAGCATTGTATCAATGCATATTTCAAGTCCTATCACAGAAGGCACGTGACTGGTATTCAAAAAGGGTTCTTATCACCAACTACTGTATCTACTCCGAGGTCTTTTAGCAACAAGAGAATGGAGATTACAAGTGTGACATTACTCGATGATAGCGTTATTAGCCGGCTACGCTCGTATGTCTATATATAAAATGAACAAGAAGATAGAAAACGAATTATAAAATTGTTTTTTTTTCTTTTTCTAAAAAAAAATATTGTAGATCGATTGTGATTACTTCTTTAAAACAATGTCTCATTGAGTTGATCTATAATGGTACCAACTATTTAAAGTCTTCTGCTTCAATATTATACGCCTGGAAATAATATATTATTTTAATACTAAATATTTGCGCATATCTGTATGTAACAGCACTGGACGCTGATGCTACTGCGATCGAAGTTAGGGTGGATATAGAAAACTTTACTGTTCAAGTCACTGATAATGGTATCGGTATCCACCCAGAATCAATGACACAGGTTGCTAAGCGACACAGTAAGGTTTCGCTCTCAGAAAAAGTGTATACCTCTATGGGGTTTTTCATAGATTACTGGTACCCCCCCGACTATTGTAGGTACTTCCAAATGCCATTCTATTTCTGATTTGAACAATATAAAGACATTTGGATTCCGCGGCGAAGGTTTGTAATGATCAATTTATCTTTAATTCTGTTATATTTACTTTAAGCAGCTTTGGCGGCCTTGGCGGAGGCATCAATACTACAGATTACTTCCAAACACGATTGCCACAAAACATATATGACCATTTGGAAGGCAAGTCCCATCTAAATAAAATAGTGGGGAAAGATAGCATAGTTCTTAATATAGCCAAGTTTGTGCGTCCTGAAATGCGGCACCTTAATATTAATCTGTGTGAAGATTATTGTGTCTTCTCTAGGATGGTGTACTAGTCGAACATTCTTTAGCAAATCGTCAATATCGTCAGCAGGGAACTAAGGTGGTAGTACGTAATCTTTTTTACAAGGTAAGCTGAAACTCGCGGGGGTCGTGAGTATATCTATTCCAATGATGTCTTCATAGCACCCTGTACGCCAAAAGCAGCAATTGACAGAGAGTCAGTATTCAACTGAATATCGACTTGAACAAATCAAACGAGCAATATCGATCATTAGTCTTGTTTTCCCAGCCGTTAGTTTTAGTGTATTCAATATGGCTAGGGACACTGAAATTATGAGGACAAAAAAGGTATTTTTTCGGTCTATATTTATATTTATATTGAATGTTCGTGTAAGAACACTAATCGTAACTCAAAGTGTTCTTCAAGTATTGGAGTATTTAGGCAGCTATTTGGACACGCATTAGCTCAGGTAATTTTCCTTTTCCATTTTCACGGTGGAAAATAGTACTAGATTACACCAACTGGTGGATGAATAGATAGAATTTCGGAGATGACAGTAAAGTGCTAAACCTTTCGCAGATTCTTGAACCTTTTGAGGTTCACAAAGACGATTTTCGGTTACATGGATATATCTCAACGAGGGGATTCCCAAACAAGGTATCAGTAATCTTAATATTGATAGCAGCTCTAACATTTTCTATTTGTTTTTGATAAAAAAAAATCGTAGAGTCACCAGAATATATGTACGTCTTTATCAAGTCTCTCAGGGTATTGAACATATTTTTGGCAGATATAAATCGACACTGGGTTCCACACAACGATCTCTACAAGACGGTTGAAGATATATTGCTGAAGTACAATTGGGATTATGTGAGATATTATTTTGATATATATACAAGTTCTTATCAGCTGACTTTATCTGATACCAGAAATCAGTTAAGCCAGATAGTCTCTACACCAATAGAAGAGGTAATAATCAAAGGAAGTATTTTTTTTTTCTGCTACAGATTTGATAACAGATTTAATACGGCTACACTATATTCTCAATTGAATTCATGTAGCACGTACAGGCCAAAAATATCCTATATTTCTCATCCAGATCGACCACCCCTCCTTGGCCCATGACATCAATCTGTATAGTAACACCTTAAATGAGCAGGAGGTACAAGAGAAAAAGGAATAGCAAATCAAGATCCAGTATTTGACCTAGAACTTAATCTCATTAACGTCAAATTAGCCGCATGGTCGTGCACAGCAGCTTTTAAGAGAGTTTGTCTACGCATTTATCAAGTCACATGATATGTTCAATACTCTCAACCCAAAAGGATCTGGCTCACAGAAAATAAAGAACAAACAATTCCCGTGGGAAAGAAACAGTGTCTATCAACGACATTCACCCCATTTGATATCTACAAGAAAAACACCTCCAAAGCCAAGGCCAAACTTGAGTCCAGCCTTAGCGGATTCATCAGGGTTTGTGACCTGGAAGGACCCAGGCTCAGGAACAGTATATTACATTGATAAAAGAACCGGAAGATCGTAGGTTGCATTCACTAACAGGGTTATTTTACTAATACTTTTCTTAATTAGTTATGACATCCTTCCATCTTCTTTAAACCTTTTAGACGAAACAAAATTCAACCAAAATTCGATTAACAGAACATATTTACGTATCCAACCTCCACAGACCCTAGAAGAATCTACAAAAAAATCCAGTTTTACTACAGAGTGGATAGAAAGCATAAACCATGTGCCACACAAGATTTCCAAAGAAGATTTACAAAAGGCAACAGTGATAGGTCAAGTTGATTGTAAATACATCCTACTTGGTATCAAGAAACCTGCCTTGTCGCTCCTTTTTGTTGATCAACATGCAGCAGACGAGCGTATCAAATTGGAACGAATGCTGACAGAAATTGAAGGACCTCTAGAAACAATAGACCTCAATCCGCCTATAAAGGTTGACATCCATCCCTCTCTATCCAAACTTATAATCCAGTATCGCGCGTTTCTTGAACGATGGGGAATCTATCTGGATATCCCTCCTTTGACAGAGAATCTATTGCTTAGAGGCTCCAAATATTTCGCCACACCAGAAACTTCTTCACACTTTAATCACACAAATCCATCCGAGCCTTGTTTATATGTTTATAGATTACCAAGATTGATTGCTGATCGATGCTGTACATTTCCGAACACCCTTACTCAGCTTATAAATGATTATTTGGTTTGGCTTCAAGATTATAAAGGAGATGATGTGAACGATAAACGAACTTGTCCACGGGGTATGATTGAAATTTTTAAATCAAAGGCATGTCGTGGTAAGAAATAACGAAAATCGCATGAATCTGGCGTTAATTATTATTTGATGAATAGGCGCCATAATGTTTAATGATATTCTGAGCCTAGAGCAGTGTCAATCGATCATTAAATCCCTGTCCGATTGTAATTATCCTTTCCAGTGTGCTCACGGAAGGTATGTAGTAGCTACTACAAACTATATTGGTAGATGATATATTAAATACAATCAACAGGCCATCTGTAGCTCCAATCTTGTCAGCTTACTCTCCTCCAAAAAAGCAACGAAGATCAATTCACTGGGATTCGTTAAAGTTGAAATAGGCATCACACAAGCATATCTACAATTTCTTTCTTTAAAGGCATTAGTCTAAAATTAAAATAATAGCTATGTTTGGTTAGAAAACACAAAACAACTTATAAAAGAAAACAAATGTAGTGTATCTTAATTATTAAAAAAAGTTTAAAGATGTACGTCCAAGAGACTCAGTACTCTTTATTTTTAAGTAGATATTATGGGTATTATTCATTATATTGCTGAGATCCCAATGGTTAGAAACTTTAAAATAATACGGTTTGTTGTTTTCTTGTCTGCATGACCCCTCTATAAAAAAACGCTCGACACACCACAAGTTACACCTTGTATGCAAATACCTAACCAAACCATTCTTCTCCTTGCAAACTATATATATATTAAAGTAACCTGCGATAATCTATTTGAGTAATGGCAGGTACAAGTTTTCTACCCAAACAAAAATGTCCATTTTAGTATAGTTTCTTAATTTTTAAACGCACAATTAAGTAAAGGCTGGATAGAAACAGGGCGGCCAGATATGTTTAAAACGAGGCTGCTGAAATACACATAGCAAGAGAATAACAGAACATGCTTGAGTATCAAAACAGTCGTCATCAATTGTCATATAGATGTCTTTATTAAATGAGTGAATAGAGAATTAAAACCCCCTTGTTACCTATAAAAACATGTATAGCTTTGCACATCATAAACCCGCGCTATTATTTAAGGTTTACGAGTTCCATTTATTGATATTAATATTTGCAAATACCTTGTGTGGTATAATAACAAAAAGAGTAAAATTTGAAACATAGTGACTTGGTAAAGTCAGGTTAAATATCAAATAAATTAGTCTTGGAGCTGATGAAAGTCTCAGCTATTCTATGCATAAAATACACACACACACACACACACACACACACACACACACAGAGGATTAAAAGAAATATGTTTTTAAGAATTTTATTTTAAAATATACATTGTTTAACTGAAATATATTTCGAATTAACTTTACTTTACTTGACCTTTTGATTTTAATGAGAGCAAAATTGATACATACATATATCACTGATAATTAGAATAGTGAAAGAAGGCTAAAGCCATTAATTTGATACGCTATTCTCAAAAGGAGGGTTGAGGTAGGCGAGGTAGAAGAGGCAGAGGAAGAAAAAGCCTAGGGATTTGTTTGCATGTTTTGACCAAATATATCAAGAAAGCAAATCCTAGATTTTCATCCTTTCTAAACAATCATCTTTTTTCTAGGTCGACTCGAGCGAATTTTCTTTCAGATTGTCTTTGGAATTAAGCCTGAGTATATATATATATATAACCTAGCTTTTGATTCTTACAATTCAATATATCAAAGGTACGTGCTATTAAATTTGCTTGTCTTATCGAGTTGTTGAAAGTAGTATACATGAATTGCAGAGAAGTTTTTAATATATTTTTCTACTTATTTACTTATTTTGATTTCGCTGTTTTTGGTTTTGCTGTTCTTGCTGTTCTTGCTGCTATTGTTGAATTTGTTGCTTTTGTTGCATTTCGTTTTCGTTTTTGAGTTGGGATTGGAATTGGGATTGGAGGTGGGATAGGGGAGGCAGACATGAATATATCTCTCTCTCGCATAATTCTTTTAAAAAAATCAGGTGTCTGGAGGTACGTGACATCGTAGGTGTCGGTGTATTTTCGGGGTGTATAAAGCACAGGACACGCCTTGTCGTTTTGACAGACACTGGGTGATTCAAGAACGTAGTCAGGCCAGAAACTGGGATTGGTAGAAGTAATCTCCTTCATAGCATCATAATGAGGAAATCTCCTTCGAGCCTGGAATTCATCTAATCTAGAATCTCTGATTTCCGCCAGAATAATACCGAATTCCCTCCTCAGCATTTCAAACTTATTTCCCATATAGTCTATATTCTTGTAGTTCTGTGAGAAAATTCGACCACCAGGGCTTGCTGCATATGCAACCACCTTGGGAAGATTACAAAAATCAGCGTGAAATGACTTCCATAATTTGTTCTTTCCAGAATCGTCAAGTCTCTCGAATTCCGCGCAAAAGCGAATGTCAATCATTAATTCTAGCAAAACTTGCACCGTGGCTTCGTCCCATCCATCTTGCTGGTCTATTATTCCATATTGTGCTGTCTGATTATTACTATCTCCATTGACGATCGTCTCAAAATCCTACGGAGCTGAACTTGCCTGACTGGATGTTTCTTGTTTCGTTTATAGGATTCATTTAAAATGATTCAAACGTGTTTTTTTTTAAAAAAAAATTCGGCGTATTATTACTATTACATTATGTTAAGTAGAAGTAAAATTATAAGAGTAATATTATAAGAGAGTAAAGAAAACGATAATAAAACTTAAACTTTTTTTATACAACTTTTTATCTCTGGCGGAGTTTAAGCTTATACTTAGAAGAAGGTTCAAAGTAAAATGAGATAAAGCACAATGGCTTTATAATTTGTTGTACTTTATAAATTAAATACACTTGTTCCTGTCAATCAGGAAATATAGCAGAATGGCTCTAGCAAATAAAAGTAACGTATAGAAGACTTTTATTTATCTGCTGTGGTCATTCACAATTTATGGCATATGATTATGCCTCCATCTTTCACCTTAGAATCGTAGCATCCGCTTTAAAAGTGGCTCTGATAAAAAGTTAACAATTTCCAAAGTGTATAGAGATTAATGGAATGTATCCCAAGCCTAATTACGGTCACATTGATAAAGCAGTCCTATAACTACAAAATGGAAGCAGAGCTTTTTTCTAATGTTATCAGTGAAAGGTTGCAAAGTTACTTGTTATTTGTTGCCCTAAGGTGTTAATGTTTTTGGCTTGTAGTATTGGTCTGTAACCCGGTTAAAGTCACTGAGATAATTCTTTATGTCTAGCAAAATTTTCGCTATTTATGTAGTAGAAATAATAAGACCACACTTGCAAAAAAAACATAATAGTAATCCTTTCGTTTGGTTTAGTTTGGTTTAATGAATGAATCGTTTGTATAATAGAATATGTGTATATGATTATAGTACATGAACAATAAAATAGTTGCTTTTTTTTTAGAAAGATACAAAATTATAATGGTCTAATGTGAAAATGTAGAAAGAGAGAAAGAGGTGTAAGGTGGAATATCTATTGATCCATATACTCCTCAGGGGAAGGGCAAGTGCACATGAGGTTACGATCACCGTAGGCATCATCGACACGTGAAACAGAGGGCCAGAACTTCTTCTCACGGAGATAAGGCATGGGGTATGCTGCAGACTCGCGGCTGTATGGTTTGTTCCATTCATCAGCCATCAAAGTCTCGAGAGAGTGGGGGGCATTGACAAGTACGTTGTTCTCTTTTGAAACACTTCCATCCAATACAGCTTGGATCTCCTTGCGAATGACAATCATGGCATCACAGAAACGATCCAATTCAACCTTTGACTCGGACTCTGTGGGTTCAATCATGAGGGTATTTGTTACTGGCCATGACATAGTAGGGCTGTGGAAGCCAAAGTCCTGCAGACGTTTGGCGACATCTATGGCAGCAACACCATGATCAACGAAGGGACGGATGTCAACAATGAATTCGTGGCCACACATGCCGTTCTCGTTAGTGTAAAGAATTTCATAATGAGGGGCAAGTCGGCTAGCCATGTAGTTGGCGTTCAGGAGAGCAGCCTTGGTAGAGTTAGTCAAGCCTTGACCACCCATCAACTTGATGTAAGCCCAGGAGATGGGGAGGATAGAAGCGGAACCGAAAGGTGCAGCAGAAATGGGACCAATAGCATTCTGTCCACCGGTAGTAATGACAGGATGGCCAGGAAGGTAGGGTGCAAGGTGGGATTTGCAGGCAATGGGACCCATACCAGGTCCACCACCGCCGTGGGGAATACAGAATGTCTTGTGGAGATTCATGTGGCAAACATCAGCACCGATCTCGGCGGGCTTGGTGAGACCAATTTGAGCGTTGAGGTTGGCACCGTCCATGTAAACTTGACCACCGTACTTGTGGATAACTTCACAAGCCTCTGCAACACCACGCTCAAACATACCGAAAGTAGAGGGGTACGTAATCATAACAGCGGACAGGTTATCCTTGTACTTCTCAGCCTTAGTCTTGAGATCTTCCATGTCGAGGTTTCCATCTTCATCACACTTGACAATAACAACATCCATACCGGCCATGGCAGCAGAAGCAGGATTAGTACCGTGGGCGGATATGGGAATCAAACAGACGTTACGATGACTGTCCCCACGAGCGTCATGATAGGCTCTGATCACACGGAGACCGGCATACTCGCCCTGGGCACCAGAGTTGGGCTGGAGTGACACACCATCAAAACCGGTAATCTCTTCCAAATCCTTCTCGAGCTCCTGGAGCATGATACGGTAACCATCGGTTTGATCGACAGGGGCAAAAGGATGAATGTTTCCAAACTCGGCCCAGGTGATAGGAATCATTTCGGTAGTGGCGTTTAATTTCATGGTGCAGCTTCCGAGAGGAATCATAGAATGGACAAGAGAAAGATCCTTGCTCTGAAGGTGGTGAATATAACGGAGCATTTCTGTTTCGGAGTGATGAGAGTTGAAGATGGGGTGTTCGAGATAAGCAGAAGTACGCTGGAGCTGGATAGGGAAAGAGTTGACCTGGGGAAGAGCAGATGCAAGGGTATCGATTGAAACGGCTGGTGCTCCTTCCTGGGCAAATACTTCCAAGAGATCAGCAACATCAGCCTGAGTAACGGTTTCGTCAAGAGTGACACCAACAGTTTGTCCGTTAATTGCACGCAAGTTGATGTTCTTTGTGAGAGCCTTTTGCAGAATGGAAGATGAGCTGTCGACCTTTACGGAAAGGGTATCAAAGAAAGCACCATCATTCTCAACAACTAGACCGTTTTCACGGATACCGGCAGCAAGAACAGCAGTCATGTTGTGAATACGTTGGGCAATTGCCTTAATACCAGCAGGACCGTGGTAAACAGCATACATAGCACTCATATTTGCCAGGAGAGCTTGGGCAGTACAGATATTGCTGGTGGCTTTCTCACGGCGAATGTGCTGCTCGCGAGTCTGAAGAGCGAGACGGTATGCATGCTTGCCATTGGCATCCTTGGAAACACCAACAAGACGACCGGGCATACGACGCTTGTGCTCGTCCTTGCAGGCAAAGAAAGCAGCATGGGGACCACCGAAGCCGAGAGGAACACCAAAGCGTTGGGCATTACCGAGTGCAATGTCGGCACCAAACTCTCCGGGAGACTTCAAGAGAGCGAGGGCCATGAGATCTGTGGCGACAGCAACCTGACCACCAGCACTATGGATGGAGCTTGTCAAGGCTTCGTAATCCTCAACAGTACCACAGGCATTGGGGTACTAATCAGAAAAGTTAATACTATATCATGATACCAATATAATAAACTACTACTACTACTACTACTACTACTACTACTACTACTACTAGTAGTAGTAGTAGTAAAAACTCTTGTAATCTATATTTAGCTTACCTGCAGAAGTACACCGCATAGATCCTTTTTGTGTTCGTCAAACTTGTAGTTGAAGATGTCTGCAGTGACGACCTCAATATTGAAAGACTCTGCGCGTGTTTTCAGGCAGGCAATAGTTTGGCTGTGGCAGTTTTCGTCGACAACAAAAAGGTTCTTCTTGCGACGGGCAGCTTGCCATGTCATCAACATTGCTTCTGCAGCGGCGGTACCTTCATCTAACAAAGAGGCGTTGGCGATAGGAAGGCCGGTCATATCTGTCACCATAGTCTGGAAATTAATCAAAGACTCCAAACGTCCCTGAGCAATTTCGGGTTGATAAGGAGTGTACTACATAAAGAGTAAAAAAAAAGATTAGCAGGTTGAAAACTTTCTATTCAAGACATGTGCATATCTTTTTCTTATATATATATATTTATGGAATGTATAGTAAAAACAGCAAATATTTAAAGAATTGCGCACCTGTGTGTACCAAGCAGGGTTTTCCATGACATTACGGAGGATAACATTTGGAACGACAGTATCGGTATATCCTTGTCCGAGGTAGGATCTGTGGACCTTGTTCTTGGAAGCAATGGCCTTGAGACGGCCCAAAAGTTCACGTTCGGGGATACCTTCCTTAATGGCCAAGGGCTTTGGAGAGCGGATAGAGGAAGGGATTGTCTTGGACAACATTTCTTCCATATCCTTGGCACCAACCTGCTTCAACATGGCCTGGATTTCGTTTGAATCGGGTCCAATGTGACGGGGAGCAAAGGTGTCGAGAGGGGCAAAGACCTGGTGAACGGGCTTGGTATGTTGAAGGCGAACGAATGGTTTGGGTGCAGACAAGCGAACATTTGCCACAACACGAGCAGGCGAGCAAAGACGGACAGCACCGCTTGTCAGGGCGATCTTCTTGGAGCTCTGGGCAATACGAGACAACATTTCGTTTCCTTGTTTCTGGAGTGGCCCACAACGGATTTAAGAGAGAAGGTTGATCAAAGAAATAAAATAAAAATTAAAATCTTGGTTGTTCTTTTTAAATAAGATGGTGAGGACCGATTGGACCACCTGTGGAGAAATGTCTATGGATCTACCTACCATTAGAGGAAGCTTTCGGACCCGAGCCAATCCACTCTGTCAGAGTAGTCACGAAAAGAAAAAAAGAAAAAGAAAAAAAAAGATATTACTATAAAAGGCAAAAATTGTACAAGTCAGTATTGATTGAGAATCTTACTGTGCAAATGCATCTGACATATTATTTTCTTCCATGCAACTTTATATATTTGATGATAAAATAGAATCTGCATACAGCTATAATTTATCTGAATCAAATAAGTAATATATATATATACAGTGAATCTCATCTAAAGAAAATTTTTCTTCTTTTTTCGGGAGGGGTATGAGGAGGAGGTGGTGGTCAGCCAAATCTCTTTCTCTCTCTCCCTCTCTCTCTCTCTCTTACCCCACGGTATGGAACCTTTTTCTCTCTCTCTATATATATTTTTGAGATGGTCTGAGATTAAAACAAATGACATGTCTTTAATCTTCATTTTTATGTTGAAAATGGTATACATACAGTTATACATAGTTATACCTAATTATATAATAAAAATAATGAAGGCTACACTTTCTCTATTTAATATGTAAAGCTAAAGATAATTAGCTTCCAAAGGCTGCTGTATTCAAGACCAATATCATTAAACATCACATCAATCTGAATTCATAGTTACAATGGTCGCATGATGGTGTAATTGATTAAGCCCATTTCGCAAGTCTAGTAATAATACTTTGTAGCTCTAGCTACCTCTTGCTTGGCTAATTTGTTATCCTTGGATATATAATACTCAATACTTTCTTTTTAGGTGTGGGTATTGTTCTTTAAGAGAATATAAAATATTAGCTGTGTATTACAATTTGTGTCCACTCCTTTTTATCTGCATTTGGTAAATCAGGATTGTAATCAGAGTGTTTCCAAGAATTATTTCTTGAGATTTATATATTAAAAATGCCCTGTATGTCTGTATAATTGATTTACTTTTTTCTCTTGCTCTTCCTCTCTTGCTACTTACTGCAAATACTTGCTCACCTACTTGTCTTGGTACTCTCTTTTACTCTAACATATTTCTTTTTAAAAAAAAAAATACATGTAAATTTGTAAGAATTTATCTTTAATTCAATTCAGTTAAAATTTACCTTTTAATATATTTTGTACATAATCGCAGTTAAAAGGCATATGCTTGTTCGTCATCCTGCTAATATTAGCAATTAGCAGTTATTGGAAATGGATTTTGCTATAAAATGAAGCATAACGACGGTACAAGGACATACGGTCTCTGTCAACAAAATTTTCACCGCCATAAATAGCGGAACCGGTTTACCAGCAACACTTTTAATACAATAATTCTCACCAATAGTTTGACTAGATCTCCCGTCGTTGCTCATATCAGTACCGTACTCGCTATTACTTATCATGCTGTCCGTATCCATTCTAAGCCTACCCTGCAAACATATAACGATGTTTATGTGCGTGAAAATTTGAATGATATTTTATCTATTTATGATTTCGTATATTTCAATCAAACATACATACGCAGTCTCATGTGGAAGCCAAAGCTCAGATCAAAATTATTGGCTGATGTTATGGTAAACAGCAACAACAGCAACAACAGCAGCAAAAAGCCCAGGTATAATACTAGTGTTGCCTTCAAAATACATCCATGCCTGTAACTAGTTAATATACGCCTCGTCAACCCACCGTACAAGTTCGGCAATAAGGGATCCAGAGAAGCAGAGGACGAGTAGTAGCCTTTCTCCTGATTGACAAAACTGTTGGTATAAATCACAATGGCTATATCATCTGGGTTAGAGAACAAGTCTCGTTGCACCAACTGTTTGTAGTTTTCCCCGTCAAAAATTCCACTTATTAGATCAACTACAGATTCTCAATTTGCCCTATAGCGCAGAAGCTTTCTGGTGGTTAGATCGGCTAGAATTTGTGAAAGATTGCCACCAATTGGCAAGAGTTTCATAATGGCGACTGGCGTTTTGATATGCTCGCTACTGTCCTTGTAGCGATTCTCACCGCAATCGAGGCAAATTTTCTGCTATTCATCAATACCATACAATTTGGAACCTTTCAGGCAGACATCATACTCGTGGCCCTTAATGCTTGATTTTTATTGTAGTAAAGCACCAACGGCATCACCATGGCTGATCGTAGCCTCAGGCTCTAAAAAAAACGATGCACTAAATGGTAACAGTTTTTATCTAAATTATAAGGTAGCAGTAAATATAGTATTTTAGCCAATATTACTTCATCGTGGTTCCAGATGATGGTGTTCACAAATCTAACAATATCTCGGTATGATGATCTGTCAATCTTGTGTTGCAGCATCAGCTGAGCTAAACGAATACTTATCAACTCGGCCTTGGTGAAAATATCAGTGCCGATTCTGCCGTTATCATAAATGCGAGATTTACCCTAACTTCTTTTAAAAACTACAACGACATTTGTAAAATATGGGTGTATCAATTTCCATGGTGCTCATAGAATGATCTATAATGTATCATTGAGTAAGTATTCGATAAATTAATAATGTAATTACGCGGCTATTTATTACTTGAAGCACTATTAGGCTCATTGTCATTAATAGAATTATCTCCAACATCAAATTCCATTTCAGCATTTCTTCAAAATATAATTGTCAGTGACAGCTATTGTTGCATGATCGCTTTTGTGAACTCTCTTATAATTTTGAAGCTGATGGTAGTTATCAAACGGCAAGACATATTGAGCATATGTGTATATTTGTGTAGATAATATATTTTTGCTGGTTAGCTTGGTACGTACGTAATCTATAAAATGTAACTGCAGAGAATTTTGGTGCTATTCGGGAAATATAAAAGACAGCTTTATATACTCTTTATTTTAGACCAAAACGCTTGCTGTTCTTTTTCTGTTTTCCTCTCGTAGTGATGATATGACAATGGTTATAGTAATGTTGATGCTAGTTAAAACACCTCTTGGTTAACAAGGGGGTACCATCAAAAGAGCACTGGTGCAACAGGCATGGATTATTCACTTTTAAAATATTAGGTATTATTTTAACTTTATAAAGAGGTACATATATATTTAGAATATTATGTACCTTAAGATGTTTAATGTGTAGACAGTGTGAATCATGAATATAGATGTACATGTAACAGAAACTAAAAGTATTATTCATTTTATCTTTATCTTTCCTGCAGATATTTTGTGTGGACACGAAAGGATTGTACCTCTGTCTACATGAGCTACTGCAAGCAGGTACATACAAGTATATAAATATCCCTTCTTTTATTTATTCTGTATGTATCTCTGTCCTCATCTCTTTCATGTAAATAACTATCAATTGTTTATATTAAAACGTTGTCTTTCTCAAGCTTAAATCTCTATCTTATCCTACTTGCCTAAACTACAATATTCTCTTTCGAACTCATTAATAGTTAAAAACAAACCAATTTAAACATGTCTAACATAGACACTACTCTTCTCTGCTTTATCTTAGCAACATTGTGTTCAGTTTTCTTTATCAAATTAACATTATGAATGCTCCAAAAGCAATTCAGCAAACAATTTGCGCAAATGACCAGTGCTGAAGACCTGAATTCGATGCAACAGAGCATTATTGAGCAGAGCTGTAAGTCATATATATATTCTGTGCTTGGATATTTACTTACTCTATCAATATTCTTATATATTTCCTGTAGCTCTTGAACGTATTGTGTAGTCCGTGAAAAGAACCCAACTCACAGAATATCTTGATCACCTCGGCAAGCAGGTGGTTGATACAAGTAGAGAGTTCAAGGGAAAGAACAATTAACAGAAGTACAATTTGTTGCTTCAGTTACGTCAAGAGCGTGACTAAAAGGCGCGCTGCAAAGAAGTTCCAGGAGGACAGCCTTTGTCAACATTAGTCCCTCTCTCAGATCATGATCTGACAGTAAAGAAACTATACCTCAAAAAGCTATGCCGTATGGTAAAACACGGTCTTATTAACAAAAACTATCCTGCGGCCTCCAAAGAATGGAAGAGTATCCCGGAAAAATAATGGGAATACCATAGGATGCATTTGGAGAGGCTGACAAAGAACGGTGGATTGCATATCTACCAGTGTAAAATAATATGTTTTACAAGAAGCCTTCGGGAAAGCTTCAAATGGGACAACCAAATATACAAGAGAAGAATGGAAAAGAAGAACAAAGTAAGTTTATCAATTATTATTTTTTTCTTTTATTATGCTATAGACACAGCAAGATATAAGTGATTCTTCATTTTCTTTTCTTAATGTGTCTAAAACTGGTGATGCTGAATCACCCATAATGACAGATATTCTGCAAGTTACAAATGTTACTTTTGCTCGTGAGCTGTTAATACAAAGCTAATATAAGCTTTTTACTATTTTATATAGTTCTCCAGCAAGGACGCGGGTGGAGCCAGCTTTAAAAGAGAAGCCAAAGAACATATTTTGACCCTTTTGATTAGCCCAGTTTGATTTTCTAGTCTGTTTTTGGTGCATTTTTTCTTCTCTAAAATTGGTATGTTTGTAGAAATTGATGATAATAATAATAAGTATCTAAGATATATCAGAGTACTCAAATCATATGAGATTAAATTTGAATAATAGTGTTTTACTGCGTACATTTTGCAGTGGCTAAACGGTACCATTTTGTTGTTGTTGTTATTGTTGTTGTTGCAAGTAGCCAATAGAAGATTATCATTATTTTCTTGGCAATAATGTTTTTCATATAATAAAGCATGCATTAAAATAGAGATCTGACTCAATTCAACCCAATTCAATACCCTATAGTAAAAAACAAGAGAATGTAATATAGAAAAGGAAGGACGCTTAATTTGTTTATTCATTGAAAAAATGGTAACAATTCCTGTCTTGGCCATTTATACACTAAACAAGGCAATTCTTTTTTGCCGTAGTGTAAAAGATGACTGATAAATTGTCGAATTGATTCCCGGATATCCCGTAGTTTGGTTCCCGGGATCTTGGTAATCATCTCCTGAGTATCCAATACATATCCGAAACGTTCTAATTATTGGGATGGGCACAGGGACGACCTCTTCTCGTTCACAATATATCCTAGAGATTCCAGTTTAGACTTGATGAGATGTGTGTTTGTGTCAGGAAAGATTGACTGGAGTGACTGATGACAATCCAGTTGTCGACGTAATTGTTTGGTCGGTCAACTTGAAAACTTCTTTTAGAGTCTCTGCCTTGAGGTGTGGAGCTAGGATGTCATTGTTCAAACGTTTAAAGTTGAATACTGTAATATATCGTCTAATTTGATTTGGTTTTATAATTAATTAATTAATTAATTAATAGATAATAATGATGATAATAAGAGACGATGATCTAATTCACATAAAGAATTTTCTTATTAGTAATTTATGTGTTATAATAATTAGGGGTTTAATCAACTGCAATTGAGTACTGTACTGTACTTTATTTTATTTTATTAATCATCATATCTGAACATATACTAGAGCTCCAGTAACACATAGGATCAACGACGATCGATTCTTTAACATAATACTTTAATATTCATGGAAAAACTATCAATTAAATGAATACATTACCCATTGTATTTTCATTTACGCAGAAAGACATGTGTTATATTTCTATGCCTATAAATTGTTTAGAATCCTAATATTCAATCCTAAATTTATACTCTGCATATATGATAGAATAAGACTATATACATATATATATATAATTATTATGATTGCAAGTAGTCCGTAATTGACTAGGGGTCCATTGTCTGGGATCAAAAATGTGTCAATTTTAACCCTATTTCTATATTTGGAAAATCTGTGATTAATATTCTATTTAAAAAAAAAAAAAAAAAAAAAAAAAAACTTGTGATTGGCCACAACTACTCGCGTGAGATACCGGTTTGCTAATAAAGACGATTCGAATGTTTAGTAAAGAAGTAAGTCTTGGCAACTTGAATGCTAGTTTTTTTTCTTCTTATTCTTCTATCTTATCCTTTCCCCCCCTTTTAATAAACCCTACCGTCATATTTATTGATCAAAATAATACTGCCCATAAAACCTACTGTTATTATTTTCATTATTGTTTTTTTAAATGGACGCAGAATTTTATTTGAAGTGGCGCAATTCATAAGAAGACGAGATAAATAAAAAAACAAAATATATATATATATAAAAACAGTAATCCGATCTATGGTATGAAATATTTTTTGGAGGGTATACAATATGAAGAAATAGAAGAATAAATGTGATACAAAAGGAGGGGCTGATGAATATACAAATAAAGATCGAGTGCACAGACGTTTGAAGAAATACAGGAAAAGGGTCTTTTGCCATTTTAAAAGCAATAAATAAAGGCAGTCTTTTGTGTTTGTGTTAATATGTGTGCTTGAGTGAGAAAGAGAGTAAGAGAGTGCAAGTGAATGTGTTAAGGAAGAGAAGAAAGACGATTGAGAGAATTAAGGTCTCATAGTGTTTGCTTATTTTTCTTAAAAATGAAAGAGAAATAAGAAGGGGTGGATATGCTGTATATTTCTTAGACGGATTGTTTGGACCGTTGGGATAGCATTGCGATGGGTGGTGAGCGAAGTCTTGCAAATGACCGTCTTACAGACTGTCGTTCGGTAGGCACACGTGCTTCTAGTGCTGGAAGTCGTGGTCTGGTTGGATTAGCTGGAGGAGAGACGGCAGTTGTCGAGGGTGGCGACGAGAATAGATAAAGGAGACGGTCGTCTTGATTTTGCCAATGGGCCGAACAAAGTCGATATTCGAGAGGAATCATTGTATCTGAACGCTCAACAAATCTACCTCGAAGTACGTAGCTAGTGAAGTAAGGTTCGTGGCAAGAGGTACACACTTTAGAAGAGGCCAGATAATTGGCAAGTGGATCGGCAAGACTTTTTAGGGCTAATTTTCGACTGACAACTTGTCGTGCGCATATTTCTTTGAGACTGGGTGGATCGTGAGCAAGTTTGTATTCCAGAGTGGTTTGTAGGTTGCAGCCTTCAAGTACAAGTCGTCGGAGGAAGGACAATTGTGAAATCTCAGCTGGTAATATACATATAGGATTATGAGACAAGTCCAATGAGGTCAGTTGCCTCAGGTTGCCGATCTCTTCGGGTAAGCGGCTGAGCTGATTAGAAGAAAGTCCGAGAATTCGCAGTTTCTTCAGGTACCCGACCGAAGGGGTAATGTGAGAAAGTTGGTTTTTGGAAAGGTCTAACTCTAGTAAACGGGAAAGATAGCTGATTGTGTCTGGGATTTCGACAATCTTATTGTTAGCCAGCGAAAGCTCCTCAAGAAGGACAAGGTACCCAATCGTATCAGGTAAAGATTCAAGATAGTTTGAGGATCTTTTTTTTTAAAGCAAAAAAGATGTATGTATATGTGTGTATATGTATATATGTATGTATGTGGATGAGTAAGGTTATGGCTTCAAGTGTGATAAACCAAACTTCATTTAAACTTACAAATCTAACTTTCTCATCATTCTCAATAAACCAATTTCTGGTGAGAGCGAGGCAAGTGAACGTAAAGACAATTTGACCTCGAGCAACTTTCCCTCATGAGAAGCAGCTGCCACTGTTGCAAAGGTAAGCTTGGGGGCTTCTTTGCTTTGGTCCTCTTGTGGAGGTTGAATAAGACGCGTGTCGGGATAATATTTTGAATCAATATAAGCAAGGTCATTATCGATGGATTGGGATCCCTCGATTGATTTCAGGCCATAGAGATCGGGATGAGATTTCAAGGGGTCATTGACCTGTTCTTGTGTAGTTGGAGCAGTAGGAGTAATCAAGTAACCAAAGATAGTGGCACCGTGGGTCTTACTAGAAGTCTGACCCATAGTAACAATGAATACAAAAAAAAGTAAAGGAAGAAGAAGACAAAGGTAACTCTCTTGTTCTCTCTCTCTCTCTCTATCTATTTGTTATGTTTGGGAGGGACAGAAATGGAAATGGAAATGTCTATTTTTGGAAACACATAGTATTTTCATTACGCTGCCTCAACAAGCACTTTGAGGGTTGTTGATTGGTTTCCAATCTGAATAGTGACAAGATGCTCTCCAAGAGACTTGATACGACCTCCCTCTGATTGAAACACAATAGCCTGTCTTTCCACCTGGAGACCGACATCCTTTAACTTGGAGATCACGTCATCAGCCGTAACAGATCCAAAAGTGTTGGTGCTACTGGGTACTACTGCACGCTTAAATACCAATGATCCTACACTTGTCAGACCTCCTGCTAGTTTGCTGGCACTCTCACGGCGTTTCTCTTGATTCAAGAACTACAATGATGCAAATAATGTTTAGTAACCCCAACACGTGTCATTTTGTTGCTCATAATATATATATATATATATTCATATACGCATATGTTACCTTTCCAGCATCGGTTTCTGTAGCTGTCGACTTCTCCAATTCCAGTTCCAATTGACGATTGCGGGGACCAGTAAAGGTAGGTACATAGCTGGCCTTACTTGCGGGATAAAGGATGTTACGCATCAAACCAGCTATAAATTACATACATATATACATACATACATACATACATACATACATATATATATATATATATTATAATCTAAATAAAAGATATATATGTACTTATAGTTTCCCTTTGAGGTTTTACTTACGTCGGACAGACACAAGTTCATCTATGATAAATATTTTATTATCCCATTTCCGACTTCAAAAAAAGGGGGATTTTTCTTCTTCCTAACTTACCTTTCAAACCAAGACCCTCAATGAACTGGTTCAACTTGACCTGAATAGATGCTTTCTTGTGGGCACTTCTCTATGATGATAATTGTCAGTAAACATTTTTAAAAAACAACCCAGTAACCAAACCTTGGCCATTGCATTGGCAACCATCAATGGTCCATTAGTGCGTATGCATGTGCGGAAGAGGAGAGACATTGTTAAAGTCAAGAGTATACAAGGTCTGACTATACCAAGGTAACCAACTCAAAGTAAGACCACCAGTGGCTTGTCCTGTGACTGTTTTAGTACAAGAACAGGCCCATCTCATTCCTAACCCCTCTCTAGATGATTGCAAGGGCAACGGTGTTCTAGTGAGGCGCCAACTCTAACCATTCTCTAAATAACCACTCCACATCATACTTCAATATTAAATTACTGCCCCTTGCGTCGCACAACAAAATACACTCGCACTCAATTTAAATATTTTATGCAGAACCCCTACGACCCAAAGAAAAGCTTAATTTATGAAAAAGAGCTAAACCAAGAATTGAAACATTCTTTATATTTAGCTATTATAATATTTGGTTTGATAATTTTATTGATGTTTTATTGTCCTTTTGTCTCTTGAGCAATCTGGGGTGCATTTATTTCCCCACAAAAAGTAGGCAGCCACTTTTTTTTATAAAGAGATAATAATAATTAATAAATAAATAAAATTCATAAGCAGGTACTATACAATGATATTTACCTCCAGAGCTACAACGTAGCTGTCAAATAATCTCTTCGTCTACAAAAGTCAAATGTTATTATTGTATAATATTCGGCAGTTATCTAGCTGACCTTGTAAAACGGAGGGGGGCAGCACCAAACATAAAAAAGCTAAAGCCTACCAGTGCAATCGCGAGAGCTAAAAGGACATCTCTCGGCTTACTTGCACATCAATTCATGACTGTGATGCAATTAAGATTGATACAAAGGAAAACATCTTTATTGATTTTGTAACTTCCTTCCTTCTTTCCAGGAATCCTAGGACTGGTTAAAGGCGAAAAGCAGAATATACACGTTTGGGAGGTCTTACATTCATTTGTTATGCAGACATTGGCCGCCTCTCCGTGTATCTTCTGCTTCCACTTACCACCATACTTTCTAAAGCCTTTGATTCGAAAACCTACACCGGTCCCCCAAACACCAATGAAGATTATCAAGGGGTTTTTAGAAGACGACTTATCTGTTGAGCCCAAAAAAAAAGATGCGCATTAATAAAAATTGAATACAATAGTAATACTGTCTTCATTGGACCCATCACTTAACACAGTGTAATAGTTGAAAAGCTTTAGGTGGAAGTTCATTCTTGGTAACGACATCGGTATTAGTGTTGTCATATTTACCAGGCCATTGTCAGTACCTGCATAGTTAAAGTCATCAGGATTCACAATAGTTCTGTCCTCCGCCTTAGTCACACCTTTGCCGCATCTCCCAATTGGGGTTCTGCTATTTGGAGGGATATCTTTAATATTATGCAGCTTTAATTTGAAGCAAGCTGCCATATATCAGAAATAGATCTGCTGTCTTTTTTTTTCTGTGGGCTCTTTTTTGATCTTTTCAACCGTCGTATAAGATATAAATCTCGATTCTTTACGTTTTTCAATCGTCCGGTATAACTGATTCTTGTCATGTGTTGTCCCCAAATTGTGTTTGCATTCCTTGATTGTCTTTTGGAATTTCTCTATTTTTTACTTGCATATTCTAGTGTCTTGACATCTTCTGTTAAGCTTTGAAGCCCAGAAAAAGAACATCCTTTGTTTTTCGTCCTTCTTGTATAAGAGCATCTTCAGCAGTCCGCTTTATCTCCACTTTTACATTAAATTTAAAGATTTAGCTAAAGTTTGTCCTCCCAGCAGTTCGATTAAATTCACTTTAAATATAAAAGACAGTCCCTTTTCTTTAGCTAAAGTAGCGGTGTTTAACTTTAGATAAATTAAAAGTTCTCTCACTGCTGAAGATGCTCTAACGCCTGGGTTTATTAGAATCCGTGCTTCATATGACTGTTTTGTTTCCTCTTTTACGGTGCAGTGGGTTTTTATTTTCGATCCCAATAATCGTACTGTTTTCATTCCTGGTAGACATGTTATCCGATGTGCAAAAGATAGACCATACAATTTACATGCTTTCTGAATTTCACCCATATCAAATACTATGTTAAATGTGGTATCTTTGTTTTGGCGCGCTTTGTCTTGGGACCTTATCAGCCCATCCCTATAATACCCTAGAGTATCAATTAACTATACACTTTCTTTTCTTGTTGCTTAGTATTTGATGGCGGTTATTCCGACTTTTCTTGGTCTAGATTATGGGTCAATAACCGATACAATACAACTGAATCCAGATGTAGGGCACTCAATGGCGAAAATAATGCCGAAGGACATAGTGGGCGAGTAAACTTTGTATAACGTCCATATTTAAGAACATAATTTACAAAGATACAGAGATAGATCTTATATGCAATTACATGATATTGTCCTTTCGGAGGCAAGAACTTCTTCAATGTATTGCAGATCAACAAGCTTGTGTTAAGCAGAAGCTTCCTGTCTATCATTCAGCATTCGACTTATCTTCTATAATAAAAATTAACCATTAGTTGGCGATTTCAAGCCAATAAAATATGTTTCCACTTTATCTTTTTAAAAGTATGCCTTAAATTTGCTAGACGCTACTTCGCACTGTTTATCTTAGTGATCCACTTTTCTCCTTCTGATTTATCCGTTTTTCCTTTTTTGTATTACGTTTTTCAGTATTTTATCCTTCTACACGGCAAATATGATGCACATGGTTTCTCATATCCTTCTTTCCAGATGGGTTTCTTGTTGTTGTGGTCGAGATACGCTTTGATTCTCTATTGCGTGTAAGATGGTGGCGAAGTAGCACTAATATTACTTTGTCAAAAAGTTTGTTGATTATCTTTTTGCCGTCCCACATATTCTCGAAGTTAACCAGGTACGTTTCAAGAGCCATCACCATTGCAGATGATGATACTTCCTCAAGACAGAAGCTCTGTTTATCAAGACCAGATTCTTTGAAAGAACAAAACAAACCATTCTGCACATGGTGGGGGCTTAAATTGTCTTCTTTAGCACCACTGTAACAAAAAAATAGCTATGCACAACTTGCAGACGCTGGCTTATGAAGATATACTTGAAGTCTGTATCAAATCGCTTAGAGGCAATTAAATTCTTGTCCAACGGCTGGATGGTGTGTTTTGGATCGTTAGTTGTAACAAAATGCAGCAATTCGGCGAGGTTGAAGCCAGGAACTTTTTTAATCTTGATATCATTTGGTGTGGACAGACCAAAAGTTCAAAAAAAGGGGCAAAAAAGGGTAAAACAACTTCATCCAGAATTTAGTCAATCAGGCTAATTTATGACTGTCCACACCTTTTTTTTAAAAAAAAAGTTACAAATTAGTTCAAAGTACATATTAGATAAATTTGTGCATATAATTCCGTCTCTGTCATTAAGTGAGAACCTTTTATTGCGAGTTTTTCTAGACCTCTCATTATATTGCACGTCTCTATAAAAATGCTTCTTTTCTCAATCCTAGTGACAATGGAAGAATGCTAGCTAATTAGAGTCGATTAAAAAAAGGGCAAAATTAATTGAAACTCTCGCCCAATGATATGACTTAAAGTTTTGCCCTTTTTTTGCCCTTTTTTTGAACTTTTAGTCTGTCCACACCAACTTTTTCCGGAAATTATTGGTTGCAAAAATAAAAATTGATTTGGTGCAAAGATGGAATGCACCAGATGCATCAAAAAAGATGAATTCAGAGAAATACAAATGCCAATAGAAATACAGTTTGTGCCGGACCTGCCGAATTCTTTCAGGTTCAGGAAAGTGTGATTGCCTGTATTTTGTAGTATATAAACTTATCGTGTAATCTGACAAGCGGAGTTGGTTAAGATGACGACATCTTTATTCTAAACATTTATCATAACACACGTATGCAAATGGAGGTTTTTCATTTTTTTATTATTTTATTTTGAAAATACCTCATTTTCAACAACTTTCTCTACTAAACCCTTTAAATATTATATATATATATATATAAAAGTAAGTATTTATATATTTCAATTGTTACTTTTGCTCTAGTGTGTGTGTGTGTGTACGGCATTGGTCGATTGGCAATCACAAGATGAAGACGTAAAAGGTTCGAAGACCTCTCTCGCGTCTATCCCCAGAGCACATCCATTAGCACCCCTAAAAAGGTGCCCGATCATCACTGTCCGTAATCTTGGTACCCTTCTTTAGTCTGTGGATGTGGTTCCGTAAGGCCGGACAAAGAGCAAACTCGGGGAAATCTACCACTACCTCCTTCAGAGGTAGGAATAATTCCTGCTGCCATTGTTAGATCGTCTAGTGGGAGATTTTTTCTATGGCGTTAAAGGGTGGCACGACATTTATTTATCAAGCTTTTTTCCTGAACCATGACATTATGAGTCAAGATGCTGTTGGTGGATAAATTAAAGCAATATCAAGTATCGACCCTTCTCTTGTCTTTCATCCAAATTCTTCTTGGAGAACGGGATGAAAACAATGTGTCGCGGTTCGTCTTCTCAAAAGAGGCCACTCGGATCCATTCAATGATCCTGCAGTGGTTCTTTGTGCGAGTTGTCTATAAAAAATGGGAGTGTTCAAGGGTGGAAGGCGACAAAACGAGAGTGGATATAATGTGAACAATTGCAAAGCTGAATATTGTTGCCAATCGACTTGGGATATTTGGGGTTCATTGGATTAACAAACAACTATTTGGTTTATTAATTATTCTTTTCTTTTATTGGATCACGTGAAAGTTTAAGGACCCGACTTTTTTTATTGGAACAAAAAGTAAGCTTTTTTATTGAAAATGTACCTTTGTATTAAAAACAACAACTAATATGTATTTATAGTGGAGGAGTATCGTAGAACAACAGAATCAGCAGATAGATCCGACGAAAATAAACCTACGTCAGACAACGAGATCATTATAGGTTCTAACGGAACTATCACACTCTATGTTGATGTCGGACTCAAGGCACTACAGGTAATAATAATAGTAATCGGTCGTTTAGCCTGCCTCAGCTAAATAACTAAAATTTGATTCTTGATAACAGGAAGATAAGAAGCCTAGTATTGTAATTATTGGGAAAGGAAAGACTGTAAACAAGGCAGTGAGCGTGGTAGAGATTATCAAGCGACGCATGGAAGGTCGACTATATCAGTATACACAAATCGGAAGCACAAAGACTGTAGATACATGGGATCCTGTCAAGGAAAATAACTTGGACAAGTAAGTATTAATTTATATATATTTATCTATAAGGAAATGAAATCTCATTTATCTTTCAAAAAAAAAAAGAATTTCAATCAACAAGCAGTTACCAGTTATTATCGTTCGCCTCTCTTTGACTGCTATCCCAGCATTAGAGGCTACTTCTGGATTCCAGGCTCCTACTGGCAAAGACATTTACCAGTAGCTTATGCATTCATTCATTCATTCCTTTGTAACTTACTTGTAAGGATCTGCTATTATCAGCTCTAAGTTATATATACTGGAAATAGACACAACTTGTTTTTGTATTTTCTAATTATTTGATTTATTTTTTCTCTTGTTCTTCGGATTTTATACTTTCTATGGAAAAAAGGAGACGGTAAAGAAGTTGGTGAGGAAATGTTCGGAGCTTGAACAATATGGACAGACAAGACAATTATTCTGCCCAACGGGTAAGGCCACAGACAAAAAAAAAACAAAAAACAAACAAAAAAGCATACACACGCATACAAAGTATATGAAAATCGTCTCGGATTAGTCAGGTAGGTACACAGAGTCACCTGGGCATATATGGAAAGAAGTCCAATAACTCAAATGCCCAGAGAGGCGACTTCTGAATTGAAGATGCGGTCTGAGGTGGAACAAACTCATGCTTTTAATTGTATCGAAAGAGAGCGCCACCTCAAACCGTTTGTAAATAGGAGAAACCTTTTTTTATATGTATCATAATAAGACATTTTTTTAAATAATGAACTATCTGTGTATATATTTAACAAAAACGAATGCCACTTTTATTATGTAAACGTACAAACGCAAAGCACCGATATATAATTTTGGCTTTATGATTATTTGGATTGAAACGACCAAAGGTTGGGGTTGAACTGATGGTCTAGATTGAACGATTAAATTATTCCGACAAGTGTGCAGCAGCTAAAAACCGTTGCTCTTATATCCTATTTTGGTGTATATCCGTGTTAATTTGCTACTACAGGATCCAGGTCTACATGCCAAACCTCAATGCACCCATAATTAAACTTGTTTTCCAATGTTAATGTCAATTTCAACACATCCCTGTATAAAACAGTCACATCACATGATTAGAAAATTTCGCCATTCCGATAAGTGGGATGGGCATTGACCCTCTCCTCAGACTGCCCTTATTTGGACCTTTGTCTGCTTACTACCCCCTTTAACCTTCTTACGCCTCTATTAATACGATGGTACAAACAGAAGCCAATAATATGCAGTCGAATGAAGAGCGGAAAGAAAGAATATCCAACCTACTAGCATTTGTGCGACAGAAAAATGTGGAAATTTCAAATGCCAAATCATCTGTCACAAATAGTGGTTCAACTGTAGAGGAGGGGACAAATCCAGCTGGCAACCCCCAAACCAAAACTGTAGGCACAAAGAGACCTAGATCTGGAACAAGTTTGGCTTCAGCGATTCCTGGGGAAGCATTGCCAGATTACGCATTTGAATCAGATCCGAGTCTGGCTAAACTTGATCTTGTGCTGCGTCCAGAGATCGAAGTGAGACCCTATCAAACAGAAGCACTGAAGGCAGTCGTCAACCAAGATAGTCAGGATTCTAGTAAACACACTGTTAAATCTGGTATTATTGTATTGCCTTGTGGTGCGGGAAAATCTTTGACCTCAATCTTGATCGCGGCTGCAATCAAGAAACCTGTACTTGTAGTATGTTCAACGATCATTGCAGCAGAACAATTCTGCAACGAGTTTTTACGATTTACAACATTAATGGCTTCAAAGACCGGAATGTTTGCTGGAGCCAAGAAATGGCCTTTCAACGGTCCTTCTGGTGTTCTGTTTACCACATATACCATGTTAGTGGATAATAAGAATCGTGCCTCCGATAGTAAGAGAATGGCCAATTTCGTCCATTCAACTGATTGGGGCGTTATTATTCTTGATGAGGTTCACCAAGTTCCAGCCAGTGGTTACAGTAAGGCCATCACCAAACTTAAAGCACGCGTTCGCCTTGGTTTGACGGCAACCATGTTGAGAGAGGACGAGAAAATTGAAGATCTTAATACAATTGTCGGCCCTACACTTTATCATGCCAAGTGGAAGGAGCTGGCAGATCGTGGCTACATTGCCAAGGTTATATGTACACAAATTGAGACGTCAATGACCGACATTGTGCAGAAAGCTTACGATGCTGTTCAGCCTTCAAATGGAAATCAGAACAACATGCTTGGCCATAGTCACCACTTGAAGAGTTTACTAGCTATATTGAACCCTTCTAAGATGCAGATATGCCAGCGTCTAATTCAATATCACGAGGCAAGAGGGGACAAGATTCTTGTGTTTTGCGATCACATTGATGCCATTAAACTCTATGCCGAGAAACTCGACCGTCCTCTTATTTATGGTGGAACTTCTACAGAAGATGCTCGTAACCTTCTTCAACGGTTCCAAATCGATGCTCAGAAAGAAGTCGAAGGTGAACCATGGGCAGCAAAGGCGGCCCGTCGCGCTCAACGTGCAAAGCAAATCAACACTTTATTCCTGTCTCGTATCGGTGACACCAGTTTGGATTTGCCCGCAGCAACTGTGATTATTCAAGTTTCTTCACACTTTGGATCCCGTCGTCAGGAAGCACAGCGTCTAGGTCGTATTTTGCGCGCTAAGAAACGCTCTGAAAAAGGATTCTATTCCAGATTCTATACGTTGGTTACAACAGAAACGCATGAAATTACATTTTCAGAAAAGAGACGCCAGTTTTTGGAAGAAGATTGTGGTTATGGATATCAGTTGTGGAAGGTTGGCAAGGCAGACAGCGAAAACGGTGGCTGGGAGCTGGTAGAAAGCACAGACTCTAGTGGACCTAGTGATGATGAAGTCAAAACAGACCCAATCACTTGTACAGTTAAAACTACAGATTTACGACCATTTAAACATGACCAAGACCAAGAGAAACTTGTCCAATTCCTTCAGAAGCTTAAAGAAGTTCAAGTTGAAGAGGATGAATTAGAGCTCTTACCAACACCTCCAGCAAAAAAACGAAAGGGACAAACGTCAACTGTATGTGGATACATGGATTAGATATCTATTGAAAATAAATATTTAGCCAGGAAAATGTGTAATAAAAGTAATACATTCAATATAAATTACAGGTTTAATAAATATGAAGATCCCGTTCGCATAAACTCGTTTTTAATGTGGAGCGTCACATAGTCGGAGTTAAGGTCGGAAGAAGACCCACGCACCGGGCAAGGCGAGCTCTCACTCAAAGTGTCGGCCATGAGAGGAGCGCCATTGAAACTTTCTCTCGACTTCTTTGACCATCCAGTATGGTAGGTGATTCTAGTCAAGAATACATCCATCACCCAGTCAGCGCTAACAAATTCATGGATGGATGGATGAAAAAATATTAGACCTGCAAGAGAAGAAACAACGGACGTAACAAGCACGGCCGTGGCCACGTTAAGTTTGTGCGTTGCATCAACTGCTCCAAGTGCTGCCCCAAGGATAAGGCCATCAAGCGTTTCACCATCCGCAACATGGTTGAGGCTGCTGCCGTCCGTGATCTCCAGGAGGCTTCCATCTACGAGGAGTACACCATCCCCAAGCTCTACGTTAAGTTGCACTACTGCATTTCTTGCGCTATCCACGCCCGTGTTGTCCGTGTTCGTTCCGTCAAGGACCGTAAGAACCGCGCTCCCCCTCCCAGATTCAGATTCCAGAAGGTAATGGAATAAAAGTGATTGTGTAATTAAATCTGCATATATACTAAGCAAAATTCATTATCTAACGTGTAGCCTGCCACCGCTGCCAAGGTCTAAATTTGAAGATGACTAATTTCTACAGTTAAATGATAACCTCAAAGGAGCTGTGGACTTTCTTCTCTCTCTCTCCCTTTATTTGTTCTATGATGCTTTCCTTAAAGATCATGTTTAAATAAAGCTCAAAGAAAAAATTGTGGTTGCAGTTGTGTGCTTGTTCGCTTGTGTGTTTGTGTTCTTTTATTATAGTCTTTTTTGAAGTATTTTTTTCTTCTATCCTTGGAGCTCAACATAATTGGCTATTTTCGACAAACCAATACGAGACCAATCAGTCATTTTCATCGCTACTCTTCAGTTACTATCAATTACTTACCTGGGAAAAGTCCAACTGTTTTGCCATCAGGACTCAATCCTTGCCACCATTCTTCACTCACAAATTCGATATTACTGATAATCTCATGCTCATGGAATGATATCTCGTTATCTTCTCCAGCTGCATAATCATACAGTGCCACAGCAGTATGGCCCTTGTTCTCTTCGTCCTGATGAACCGGCGCTGGGGTGTGTGTTATATGTGCTTGTGGCTCTATCTGTTGAGCAGCATGGACTACTGCTGGGGACTCTTCCTCCTTTTCTTCGTATGCATTTGGCTGATGACGCTCCTGAGATGGCTGCTTTAATGCAAAAGAAAATTAATTAGAGAAATAGGAGTGAAATTAAGTGGATTAAAAGCATCGTACTATTTGTACTAACCTCTTCTTGTTCCAGTACTTGAACATAGTTGGCTTATTATTACATATATAACATACATCGAAACATTAATAAAAAATCATTGTATTTTGCTATTTAATTAGTCACTTTATTTTACCTGGGAAAAGGCCCTGTTTTGATCCATCCTCGCTTACGCCAAACCACCAACCGTCATCAACTTGGTCAATATTGGTTACAACTTCACCCTCGTCCAAAGACATCTCATTGGCCTCGCCTTTAAATAAAGATATAATATGATCAGTTTTATACGTTCTTCAGCACTTAATTACAGCGAATATACAATATACCTGCTTCGTAAGCGAACAAAACTACAGCGTGAATTCCAGTACTGTTCTTTCCATCTTCAACAGGAGCTGTAGTGGGTTGAGAATTAGAAGCCTTGGCAGCCTACAACAATAGTTTTTCAATATCACCAAAAACTTATTATTGGTATATTTATGTATATATACCTCTTCCTGTTGCCTACGCTCAATTTCCTCCTAAAAATTTAAACTCGGTCAAAAGCGAGCCATTTTTACATTTAACTAGTAAGTTTATTGTATTATACCTGGGCTCTTGCCTCTTCCGCATGTCTACGCTCCTCTTCGTCCTGCTGACGTCTGTACTCATCTTCTTGTTGGCGGTTGTATTCTTCTTGTTGGCGTTCATACTCCTCTTGCTGCAGCTTGTACTGTGCCTCTTCTTCCTCCTGCTGACGCTTATACTCTTCTTCTTGACGTTTATATTCCTCTTCTTCGTCCTCGTTAGCAGAAACAGCTGAGGCGGTGACAGCAGCAGCTGCTGCTACTGTTGCAGCCGATGCTGCTGCTGCTGCTTTTGTGTTAAATTCTTTTTCTTTACGCTGTTTCTCCTCTTCTTGGGCTCTGGCCTGGGCCTGGGCCTGGGCCTGGGCCTGGGCCTGAGCCTGAGCCTGAGCCTGAGCCTGAGCCTGAGCCTGAGCCTGAGCCTGAGCCTGAGCCTGAGCCTGAGCGCGTGCCTGGGATTGAGCTTGAGCCCGTACTCTGCGTTCTTCTTCTTCCCTCTTTATTTGCTGCTGCTGCTCTAATTCTCTTGCCTTTCGTTCAGCTTCTTCTCTCTGTCCTTGCTCACTGTTACGTTCAGCATGAAGACGTTCGCGTGCAAGCTTCTCCTCTCTTTCTCGGACTTCTCTTTCAGCACGCTCTCTCTCAGCACGTACTGCAGATGCGCCAGAGTCCTGTGCAGAAGTAGCAGCACCCCAACGACTAGCAAGTGGTTTGGGAGCTGTCTGGACTGGCTTATAATTTGTGCCCTAAAATGATTTTACATTTTAAGAAAATGCACTCTTGGGATCCAGGGCTATTTTTCGTCCCATAAAATGTGAATGAAAAAGAGAGAGAAAATTACCACAGCAGCAGGTGGGCCCTCTTTCTTCATAGATAGGCGCTGCATTGCGCCAATATCAGGTACAGCAGTCTTGGTATATACTGAATTCTGTTGAATGATCGTGCTTGTTTTAGAAATAGTTTTATATTTTGTTTATTTAGACTTACGACAGGTGTTACCGCAGGCTGTGCTCGGCGAGTCTCCTTATGGACACTGTAGTTTGCTCCTGAGGATTCTGACACACGCTTCACGATCAAACTTGGCTCTACATCGGCCTAAAATAATATGACATGCCTATTCAGCTTTTTATACGTATTAACAAAGTTATCTAACCCTTTACCTCGTCACGGGCATGAATTTGAAGATGATATCCCTGATATATGTATGTATAAAATAATTTATTAGTTATTTACTAGTAATACATGCTATATATATTATTATAGTCTACCGTATTCTATAATATTTACTTACCTTAAAGAAGTTGGATACATCGCGTAAATGAGAACTGAATAATCCTTTGCGTGTTTCTGGTACACCACTTCCGCACTGTATTCAAATATCAATATGTATGGTAAGATATAAAAAAAAACAAATATTTACCCAACCAATTAGGACAAACTTAGGAAGTTCTGTATTGGGATCTCGAACTCGGGCAAATGCATACTGCATCTTTCCATCCATAAACTCATCGTTGAGCTCCTCCAAGCCACCATCTGTTTACAAAAAAAAAACGAGAAGGTTTGGCGCGTTAAAACACATAAACCAAAACAAGGTACATTTAGAGGTATCGACATGCTTACCTCCGGTGGCCTGTAATTTAAGGTCATTGGTACCCTTGTCATATGTACATATGAGCCAGTTCTGACTGTCAGTATCGCTCAGAACAGATCGGTAAGCTGAATTGATATCCTGACCGTGGGTAGAAAAGTTGACTTGTAAGCTCATGAGATACAGACAAAGAAGAAGATAAATGACGGAGTTTGACGTTCAAACGGGATTCAATCAAAGGAAAAACCTATTCAAGTATTTCACGACGTCACTTTGACACCATGGCCACCATTAAGAGCAGACAAGAGCGAGATGAAATGTTCATCACTGCTAATCTCCCTTTCGGATTGAATGTAACTGAATCGATTGGATGTCCCGAACGACTTCGGTCATCAAATATTCAAGACTTGGCACTCCATCAGGATGTCCATGAGTTTGGCTTGGCAGGAAAGATATGGAATAGGTACCTTAAAAGAAAAAAAAAAGATAAATATTATAGAATCCGAGTTAAAAAAGTGATTTTGCTGAATAGTGCATATATTCTCCAAGCTTTCTTCTCTCCGGCAAACATATCCGAGCCATCATCACCTATTCCTGCTACCTACTATCGCAATAGTCTTTCTCCTGTTCCAACAAAGCCATATCGCATTATTGAACTCGGTGCAGGCACTGGATACGTAGGACTATCTGTGGCTCAACATCTCCGTTCACCCTGTGAGATCATTATCACAGATCTGGCCCCAGTAGTTCCTCTAATGCAGGCTAACCAAGACGCCCTGTTTCCAACTCCAGACAAGCAATCGCCGCTTGTGTTGTGTACTGATCTGTGCTGGGGGAATAGTGATGATGCTGTCCGAGTACTCGACAACAAGCCGTTTGACCTGGTCATAGTCAGTGATTGTGTGTATTTTCCTGAGTTGTTTAGTATCCTGACACATACATTGAAAGAAGTGTGCGGACCAGACACACAGGTGGTTATAGGTTATAAATGCCGCTCGCTTGAGAAAGAAACTGGATTTTGGCAAGATTATTTTGGAAGGTACTTTGAGTACGAGCCTGTTCGGCACCTCATAAATATACCCGAGACAGAAGAGGTAGAGCTAGGAGGACTTGTTGGTGAAGAAGAAGAAGCATTTGTATTTGTGGCTAAGAAGAGACCCGAGAACAAGATAAAGATCGCCGATGATACATTTACTACTCTTTTATTTTGCTCTATCGGAATCTAGACATTCTGTATTTTACTCTTTGCGTGTATTCACATATATAGTCCGATACCACAAATCACCGATGAATTACATTTATGGTTTATTTGTTTTTTACGACATTCTTTATATTTTCCTCCTCACATCTTTCCTTCAAAAATAACCATAAATGTCTACAGAAATAGAAGAGCCAAAATTCTCTCCTCTGAACGTGAGTTATTATATTTTGAGCGTGGAAGCATTGTTTGGCTATCAAAAGCCGATCATACTTCAATTGATATCGCAAGCCGCATGAGCATCCTTATAACAACAAAAAACTAAAGGAAGGGTTCCGTGGCTGTATAGAGTGGTCTCTAGGTTGATGGTCTTGAACCATTACTGTTTATTAAAGAGACTGTAGGCTTAGACGCATAGGACAGTTGATTGTCTAAGAACCTCACTTCCTGGTATAAGAAATTGTATGAACATGACACCGTGTTCACATTCCAAGAAGATTATACCAATTACCATACTAAATCTTACACGAAGTGGTAGAAAATCCATTAGTAAACTAAACCTTTTTGACTACTGGGCATCCCAAAATCTATATCTGAACCCAATTGAGCATGTTTGGAATGGCTTAAAAGCCAAAGTTCAAGAGAGAAAGGGCAATATTAGCAGTGTTTAAGAGCTCAATGCTTACATTTTTCAGGAATTGGATAGACTTGATCCAGAACCTCTCTGTACTCCTGTAGCAATTATGCCAGATAGGGTCCAAGCAATGATAAAAACTTGTGGTGACCACACCACATAATAAACTCCATTTTTGTTTTTTGCTTTTTTTGTTTTCTTATAGATGTAGATATAAATATAGCATAAAAGGTTGCTATGCATTTTATTTGGGACTAGAAAACAAGATATATGACTGTGATATCTCCAGCAAGAGTATATACCCCCATTATGCACAGGGTAGGCGTTTAAATTCTTTTCTTTAGCACCACTGTAACAAAAAAAATAGCTATGCACAACTTGCAGACGCTGGCTTATGAAGATATACTTGAAGTCTGTATCAAATCGCTTAGAGGCAATTAAATTCTTGTCCAACGGCTGGATGGTGTGTTTTGGATCGTCAGTTGTAACAAAATGCAGCAATTCGGCGAGGTTGAAGCCAGGAACTTTTTTAATCTTGATATCATTTGGTGTGGACAGACCAAAAGTTCAAAAAAAGGGGCAAAAAAGGGTAAAACAACTTCATCCAGAATTTAGTCAATCAGGCTAATTTATGACTGTCCACACCTTTTTTTTAAAAAAAAAAGTTACAAATTAGTTCAAAGTACATATTAGATAAATTTGTGCATATAATTCCGTCTCTGTCATTAAGTGAGAACCTTTTATTGCGAGTTTTTCTAGACCTCTCATTATATTGCACGTCTCTATAAAAATGCTTCTCTTCTCAATCCTAGTGACAATGGAAGAATGCTAGCTAATTAGAGTCGATTAAAAAAAGGGCAAAATTAATTGAAACTCTCGCCCAATGATATGACTTAAAGTTTTGCCCTTTTTTTGCCCTTTTTTGAACTTTTATGCCATTCACTAGCGTACGAGGGAATTGTCGAGGGAATTGCATCGAGGGAATTGAAAGAAAAATTACTTTTCATAGTAATTTATTCGATTCCGAATTGACAAAATTTCTAGAATAAGGACTCTAGTTACAAAAAGGAATATACTAAACAACCATACCTTAAAAAGCTCATTCTATATAGCCAAAATGAAACAAATCATTAACAAAAAAAATAAAAATTTGCAGGGTATTTTAGTAAATAATTAAAAAACAGATGCTGAATAGCAATCGGAATCGTATATGACGTGGCTCAATTCCCTCGATGCAATTCCCTCGTACGCTGGTGAATGGGATTAAGCAGAGAAAAATGAATGACAACAGAAATACAGTTTGTGCCGGGCCTCCCCCGAGTGCCGTCTATGTGGTCACTCTAACCAGACTCCTGAACATTTCCTTGTTGAGTGTCCTCTCGTTTGGCAAGTTTGGACTATGGCTATGCATATGTGGATACCACACTGGCGAGCCCAACCGTCCACAATCCTTCGTGCCTTTTATGCTCTCGCCCTCCCTCCCTCCCCTCCTCATATTGACTCATACCATGTTTTGGATGGTGTTCTTGCCGCAGTGTGGAAAGCGTACTGGCACACAATTTTTGACGATGTGCCTTTTGTTCCTGCCAATGTAGTTGTTTCTGTGAACAAATCGCTTCAATTTTTCTTTCAGTCTTCCCATCTCCTAGACTAGGTCTCTCACTCTTGTGCTCCATCTACTTTCTACTTTCGCTAATCCTAGGGGGACGACGTTTCCAGATGGGAGACGACGTTTTCAAGTCGGAGACGACATTTTGATTTTACCGGACCACAAATCGTGACTTGCTTTCCGGCATCAAATAACTACATCTGGTCCCTAAGGATTCATACTTATCATAATAAAGATACTTTAATGCAAGACAAGATAATGGCTTTGGCTAAATGTAAAAGCATCATAGTAAGTATGTAATTTTATACATATATATATACAATATATTCATGCATTATTTTATATATGTATATAATAATAAAATGGATGCCTATCATGCTACTTTAAGACAGTATACCCTAATAGAAAAATGTCGTCTCCCACACCTATTTGTCGAGGTTTATACTTTGACCAAAAGGTCGTCTCCCATCTTTATATGGCTGAGTTTAGAATCTAGTCAAAACGTCGTCTCCCAAAAGTCACGACTTTTCATATCTTGTCTGTTAAAAATAAAACCTTTAGAGCATCTGCAGCGGTTACATTAAACTTAATTTTTGCGACTGTTTTAATGTAGATTCCGAAATGTTCTTAAAAAATCGTCTGCAGCGGTTACATTACAGACAACATTATAGATAATGTAGTCCATTTTTAAGGTCAGGAACATTACATGTAGTGTTACATTATAAATCGATATTATCTTTTTGAATCGTTTTCTTCCCTCTCACATCCTTTGTTAAAACGAACAATAGTCTATAGAAATGAGCAAAGAAATTCTCACAAATTATGCTCACTATTAATCTGACAACATTGAAATTATTAAATTCATATTTTTAATGCATATATAGAGAGCAAATGTTCAATAAAATAAATTTTAGAAAAAAGAATATGAACATAATCATCAGTGAAAAACTGGAAACTTTAGACAGTCAAAAAGCCCAAATAGTTCCTTTGTAATGTAACCACAATTTGGCATCTGTTTTTAACTGGTATTCAATCCCTGGTGTGACTATACTACACTATATATAATGTTTTCGATAATGTAACCGCTGCAGATGCTCTTATAATTTGAATTTCTTTATTAAAGACTATAATAAGCTTATTATATTTTTTAATGTAATAAATATTACCTCTTTTTGATATTTATTTAAGATAAAAACTAATAAAAACTGCTAAATCTTCTTCAAAAAAGAAAAAACGAGTCGCAAAAACGTCTGAGGATAAATATAATAGAGACCTTGGTGAAACCTTGTAAAACATTTGGATGAGTTTAAATCATCCGTATAAGAAAATTTGAGCGTGAAAAACGCGAATGTTTGATAAATTTTCTCAAAAGTTTGTCAAACTTGAAAGAAATTTTTCAAACATTGTAAAGCATAATAGACCAATCATGTTGTATTATTTTTTTGTTGCTATACGCACGAAAAAATTAAGCTTGAAAATATTAATAGTTGTAATTTTAACGCATGCATGTAAGAATATAAGCATCCCTTCAGTATACTTTTCTCTACTTATTTTTTTCATTATTTTTTTAATAAAGTTAGTATTAATATTTTTGTTCTAACATAATACCAAGAAAAAAATGACTATTATTTAATAGAAGTTAACGAATCTCTCATTAGCTTGATTATATGAAGCATTGTTCGTGAGCTTAGTACCACTCCTTTTCCGACAGGCAATGATTACCAAATGTATACTATGTTTGAGACATGATATTCCGACAGAAAATGTTTGATAGAAATCTATATTTGGTAACTCGGCGCCTAAATGTCTCTTATCGTCTCACCAAGGTCCCTAATATTAATAAATTTTGCATATTTTAAAAAATGTATCTAATAATTATAAAACAAATATAGTTTACATTTAAAAAACATATCTTAGACAAATTCCGAGTCAATTAGAATTATTATTAATAACTAGACACTAATACGCTTACTTTTTTATATAATTCTTATATATTGTTATATGGTAAAAAAGCAAAAATAGTATAAAATTATTGCATAAAAATGGTAGCTAAAGTCGAGTATTTGTAAGATATACGATGTATTTGGGTCCCGTCAACAAATCACATACCTGTGACTGCTAATGAGTCATATTTTCACGATTTAACTTGAGACATAAATCATATGTTTTCATTTTGTGTGATTTAAGTGGAAAAGATTATAATCCATATAATTTGCATTTTTTTCAAAAACTTTCATAATGGATATAAAGGTAATGAAGCCTTTTATGCATAAGAAAGTTTGCATAGAAGTTAAGCGAATATATATTTACAAAATTCATGTTTTTATTTTTTATTTTTTATTTTTATTTCTTCTGTAAAAACTCTTTCTATCATTTCCTTACAACATGTACACGAGATATTTTATCAAAAATACAAAAAATTAAAAAATATTCATAAAGGACCAAAAAAAGTTTTTAATTACATATATTCGGATAATATATGAATTCAGTAAAAGTTTCATAGAAAACAAATGAGGAAAAAGTAATTCTACAAGCAAATACAATATTTTATTTTATTGAAAAAATGCAAATTTTTGAGATATTACGTTAGTTTTCTCATGATCAATCTTTTCAATTCAACTAAAACTCCTAACATACATACATATATCTATATACTACTTGGATCCAAAGTTATAGAGAGCCAGCGCTTGAATTGATGAAATAGATAGATGTAAATGCATAATATAACATATTTGAAGATAGTTTGGCTCGATCTGTGTAACAACATCCGACATTTATGCTTTTTAATTCGCTGGATATAAGTGTAACTTGAAGGGTAAAGTACTTCCCACGAATGATCTCTAGGAAAAAACAGAGCGGAGAGTCATTTAACCCACAAGTGATAGATAGCTTATGTTGACGCAAAGAAACAAATTGATAAGATTTATAAAGATTTAAAAAAGATTGTCTAGCTAATAAAATATAAAAGTAAATGAGTAAATAAATAAGAAAAGATCTAGCTAATAAAATATAGGTAATAAAGTATAATTAAAAGAGTAAAAAAATAGAAAAGAATATTGAAAAGAAATTATTTTGGAGTAAGATCAATTGGTTCATCTCGCTGTGAATGGAGAGAGAGAGCATGGTATTTCTGCGGTCATGCTTATTAAATTCTTTGAGCTTATTCCAGTAAGTATCAAAGTTATCATCAATCTTATTTCTGGCACAACCTAAAAAAAATAATTCGGGAACGGTTGGCCATTTTCTAGAGATATTACGGGAAAGGTCAACTGTTGTTCAGTGATTACTGTTAACATGATTAAAAATCAGAGGTTGTCGTTGTTTGGTTTTGTTGTTGGGAAGGGCGAATGGAAGAAAGGTTGTTGAGGGGGTGTTGGGGCTGTCTGAGTAGACGCAGACTGGTCGTGTATATGTGTCCGCAGCTAGTTGAGCACAGTCGGGCGTGTTAAACCACATACTGGCATCTGAACATACTGGGATGAAGTTGGTGTTGGTGTTGGTGTTGGTGTTGCTGATGTTGCTATAATCGAGTTGAGAGCCATGTTGAATAATTTTTTCTAGTTGGTTTGTGTCAGTGCCAAAGGTATTTGCGTACAATGTTTTGTATTTTGGCAGGGCGGCTAGCATATCCCTTTTTACAAGTGGAAACTTATTTTGATCTTTGTAGATCAAGTGGGCAAGGACCCGAAAACCACACCATCCGTCAGCAGTAGGGCTAAACCCACCCTTGACATCATCGATTATCTCATAAGAGACAGGAAAACCGGGCTGGAATTTGACCCTCTTGCCAACAGAGGTGCGATTATCATACTGGTAATCTTCTAGGGCGGTGGCGGGTCTTTTGAACCCATTTTTTTTGGGGGGCATCGACTAAAAAGTATATAAGTATAAGACGATATTTCTCTTTATGGATTCAATTACACTGTAAAATAAGAAAGCATATTACTTAGGTCGAGAGGCTCTTGTTTTACTTGTTTTGTTTTGTTTTTGGTGGCATCGACTAAAACGAATATTAGTATTAGTATTAGATTACTTTTAATGAATTCAATCACATTGTAAAATAATAGCGCATTTTACCTGGGTCGAGAGGCTCCTTTTCAATTTGTTTTGTTTTGTTTTTGGTAGCATTGACTAAGAAAGTTGTGTATATATAAGACAAGAGTTCTTCTCATAAACTCAATTAAATTTTAAATTAAAAACGCATCTTACCTGAGTCGAGAGGCTCTTTTTTGATTTTTTTAATATTTTTGTTTTGTTTTCTTGTGACCTTAAGGCCAGATAAACTCTTTTCAACCATCTTTGTAACCTTTCGTCGGTACATTGACTTAATCCCGGCCTATAATTCCATTAAGATAATTAGTTTTGTCCTATGTTTAATATAAGTAAATCATGAAACTTACAGTTCCAGCCAAGATACTTGTCTTTCTCCACATTGGGCGACCAAAGTCCTTTGGCAAGTATTTAGGACGGCTGCTGCCTTTGCGTCTTCCTGGATACTTGACGTTCTCTGGCGCTTGCAGTTTGATAGGAGAATGACTATTTTTGCCATCAAAGTCATTTACAGCTTTTTTCACTTTTTTTAAAAGATCAGCAACTTGCTGGCTGCCTTCGCAAGAGCGGAATAAAGCTTGAAGCTTAATGATTTCACTCATCCACTCTTCGGGTTTTTCGATGACAGGAACTTGCATATTTGGCTGATTCCATGCCTTGTCTTCCTTTCTAGCATCAATAACCCATCTATCTGGTAGATCAGAGATTTGAAGATCCCTTTCTACTGGTAGGGTATGGTGACAAGGTAGGCCATATTGAACTTTGTTCATGCAATAGCACTTCTCATCATCTTCTGGTAAACGGAGCTCCTGGTCAAGTACAAGCAATGCTCGCTTTGACACCTTCATGAAGAGGTTTGAGAGACGTTGGTTTCGTCCAACAAGAGCATCGATCGTGTTCGTTTCTCTTATTCTTGTTGCTCGGAAATCCATCTCTAGCCTTTCAATGTATTTGGCCACACTCTCAAAGGCCAACCCCAGAGAAGAAATAGCAGAGATGCCTCTCTTAAAAGCTTGATGAGCACTTTCTACTCGCTGAGTGGTGGTACACCCGAAATGCATAAGCTTGTTAGTGATATACCCTGCCCACTTATCCTTGCAATTCAACCACCTTTCGGAGAAGTAGGTTGATGCCGGTGCTCTGGCCTTGCCATCATCTACTTCTAGCCCAGCACAAGCGTCGTTAAACTTTAGGAGAGCCAAGTTGAACTCCACCTTAGTTCTACTATGGATCATGCGGCTTACATGATCCATAAGCTCTTCTTTCTCGGCTACGGACTTCGTTTTCCCAAAGAAAGCTTTCTCCACACTATTCAGCATATGCCAGTAGCACAAAAGCTTCTTGTTTTCTGGGAAAACAGTGTCAAGTGCATTCATTAAAGCAGAACACTTATCTGTTACAAACAGAGTGGTTGATTGCTTGTTCTCGAAAACAAGTGCCTTCATTTGTTCCAAAAACCAAACGTAAGAACCGGTTTGCTCATTGGAGACCCAGGCAAATGCAATTGGAAAAGATTTTAAGGTCTCCCCTCCAAGGTTGTGAACACCCTCTATGCAAATAAGAGGCATTCCCAAGTTGTTTGTCGAGTATGTTGCATCCACCACCATAACTTCGGAGAGTTTCTGGGCTCTTTCCAACATTTTGGGGTGGCTAAACAGGATTCTCTCGAGGCACCCACTCTTATTAGTCTCATAGCGAACTTGGTAACCCTTCGACTCCATAGCTTTGATGAGCTTTGTTCCATCATCCTGAAGAGTAGGAGCAGAAACACGAGCATATGCTGCCTTCATGTTATCAATGTCTTTAACGTACAACTTATGGCCAGGGTATGCTTCGTCATTGATTGCTTTTTGAATCTCACGAGTCTTGTTATTTGTCTCGATAAGCTTTGTTATCATAATAGAATCTTCTGTTGTAACTCTTGAGAGTCTGCCCTTCAAAATAGACTCCATACATTCATTGTCAAGAGGATGATTGTGGAAGGTTTCGATCTCATGAGTGGCCTTCAAGAGAAAGTATCCTTTGACTGCCTTCTTGTAGGATACCTTAAGGAGATACAGGTACCCAATCATTCCACTAGAAAGAATTTTCTTACGGTCATTGTTGTCAATCTTTTGGGTGTTTTTATAGTGATCACCCTTAGAACACTTCAAGTAAACTCGAGTTGGTTTACCATCTTTGATGACAAGTGCGAAGTTGTTGGCGAGGGCATATTCTTGCATCTTTGCAATTGCCAGTTGCATGTCATTATAACCATTAACTGGTGGGATGGGGAGAGGTTGTTGGACAGGAAAATGTTCTTTTCCATTAAAAAAACGGATTTCTTTATTGATAGGGTTCATATTGAAGTAAATTCTAGAAAGTACTTATTAACATCATGATTTCTAATTGCTAATCTGCAATGAGCAAAGTAATGTCTTTGATATCTCCGAGAAAAACATTATTCTCTAATACACTTGATTAGTAAGTTCTTACGAGATGAGTAAATAATAGAAAAGAAGGTTTTATAATCAAATATTGAATTAAGAATTTCAGGACACACCGTTTTGCCCTGAAGGATTGGAGAGAAGACATCGGGCCCCGGACAGCTAGTCACAATCAATTAGTCCGGTAAAGTCAAAACGTCGTCTCCCATCCTGAAAATGTTGTCCCCCTAGGATCGCTGTTCTACTTTATCCTGTAATATTTCTTCTCTTCGTTCTTTTTCTTCTGTTAATTTTGTTTCCCTCTTCTCTGTAATTTTATCGTTTCCTACTACATAGTCCCCACACTTTGTGTGTTCATCAATCTCTCCCCAGGCATCTACCTCTCCTTCTTTAGGAAGTACGACCTGTTTTTGGGCAATTTGATAATAAAACTTTGTCTCATACAAAAAAAAAACAGTTTGTGCCGGGCCTGCCGAATTATTTCAGGTTCGAGAAAAATGTGACTGTCTCTATTTTGTAGTAGATAAACTTATCGGCTTAACTAGTGTCGGTCTTTGATTTATGACTTGATGTCATAATTGTTACTTCTTTAGCTTTTAGCTATTCTTTTCTCTTTACACTAAAGCTTTAGGACTTCCTACTAAATTAGCTTCATATAGCTCTGACACAATTTACCCGGCAGTATGATATAATTATTTTAACGATCTTTAAGATATTATCTACAATATTAACTGTAATAATTATTGGCCCGATTACTTAATCGTTTATATATATTTTATATGCTGACATGATAGCTACTAAGTTATCCCAATATGAATATGTTCTTATATGTGATAAATCAAACAGCCGAGTGTCTGGATCACCACATGTCACATCATGATTTGTTAACCATGACTTTACCGTTGGAATATATACCAGGTAGAGACAAAATGAGTCGAATGGTGCTCAAACACCAGGATGTTGTCGATATTATTAAGAAGGAATTACTAGATGCCCCGAATGGTACTTACACTCTGGCTGATAGCGATTGGAATAATTCAAGATGTGATGTTCTCTATATGTCCAATCTACCTTTGTCATTCCCACCAGTGCTGATCGAAGTTCAAAATACCATCAATGACCTGTTCCTTCATCGTTTGGTTTCCTATTCGTTGAACGTTGTCAAAACTTATCACGCTCTCCCAGTGGTATTGGTGTTAGGTACCAAAAAAAATTCTCCGGTCAGCCTGATTTTGGATTTCAACAAGGAATCCGAGAAAAAGCCATCGTTATTGACGATTCCTTCTTTGATTCGGGCAAAAAAAATGCTTAATCATATCCAAAGAAACCACCATGACAGTAATTATTACACGAATCCCTTGAACCCCCTGCTTGGTCTGTCACTCTTCCTGTTGGAGCAACAAACGTCTTTGTATCGTCATACTTATTCTGAAGACCCGACCATTATCCTTCTTTATCAAATCGCGTTCGCGCAATTATACCCTCAGGAAACATACCAACAAAAATTTCAGTCGGCTGTGGAAACGATATGCTCAACGAACAAACACTTATTTGGAAGTATTCTTGATAAAGTTGACTGAAAGGAACCACTCAACAAGATTCGACGAATTTGTGAAAAAGGTATACATTACAATGATGAAGTAAAGGCCAAAATCGTGGATGATTCAGCATCCTCACAGTCTTCGGATGAACTGGATTTCCCTGAACCTTTACCCATAGGACCACAATCAAAGCGAACACATACAATGGTGAACGAAGACATTGAATTTGTTGAATCATTCAAAAAATAACAAAATGGCCGCATGAACTGGCAGTCTTGCTTAAAAGCCGGTCATTGTCGCAAACTCCTTGTCGCATACACTACTCCGGAAAGCTTACAAGTCGCGTATGCTATGGTTTCAAAAAAAAAAGACAACAAATAAATCTGTGTTCTTATTTTAACATGCTCATATTGAGTCAACGTCATCAGTACGTTCACTGTTCCTTGCACATCTTCATGTATAACTAAGGTGCCGCGTCTTGCTCATATTCTATGTCGTCTCGACCATATTCATACACAAATTCAAACATCATTATTATTTTTGTATTTATTGGTCGGTCACAGTACAAAGCACTGAGCGGTTGGCTTAATATGCCTAAATTTTTGTATTACAATATTGATATGAGAGGGAAAAGGTAAAAAAAAGAGACTAAGAGAAAAAACTACTCCAGGAAGCGCCTTATCACCACTAGTGTCTTGGCTGCTATCACACCCGGAAGGAAGATCTGTTCGTCTATGACAGAGGCCCAGTGAGCTCGCCAGATGGCATGAATTGTAGAGGCTACAATTAGAGATTTTGCGTGTTTGGAGATGAAAGTATCAGCAAAAGTTAACGTGGTAAAGAGAGTGTTCATCCTTGCCAGAGACCAGCGCGGGCATACCTGAGAGAGGATGATACTCCGTATCAGTCGTTTTTTGGGGCAGTTGATGAGGAAGTGATCAGAGGTATCTATGACCGACAGGAATATGGGGCAAATGTTGTCGTCGACAAAATTGCCAGTCTTTTGAAAAACAAAAGATCGAGTAGGCAGGCGCCCCCACAGGACCTTCAACCAGATGGTACGACTATCATGAGGAATTCTGAGTTTCCAAAAACGGATCCATGCTGCGCGAGAGAGATTTGGTGTAAGTGTGGTTGTATATGGCTTCGAAAATCCGAAGTAGATGCATTATACAGGGATGTTTTGCCTATAATAATGGCTTTAGTGAGGGGAGAGAGGTCAAGAGGGTCCGGCATAGAAGTGTCAGTCAGATGAGCCTGGCTATCTCAAAAATCATAATGAATAAAAAAAATAAAGAACAGTCAAATCATTACACTCTCGAGATTTTTTTTCACTTGCACTTACGCTTACGCTTTGACTCACGCTTTGACTTACACTTACACACTTACGCTTACGCTTACGCTCAAGATTTTTTTTTACATTGATTTTGGAAGCATCCTGTGACTATTACATGGGCTCTCTATTTCGACATTTATCCCAACACTTGTAAGAATGTGAAACGAAGCCTCTCAAATGACTTTTCTCCGCATCTTTGCAGGTTTCGGTAATTCTTTTTGATAAGGTGTCTTCCTGCAAAAATTTATGGTGCTTTACCCTACTCTTTGCCACGGCCCAGAATTGTTCAATTGGGTTAAGCTCAGGAGAGTAGATAGGAAGATGCACACATTTATACCCTCGATACTCAATGTACTTCTTTATGTTTTCATGCATGTGAATAGGTGCATTATTCATCACTACATAGTGACCTTTCATATGTGGATGTTTGTCCATTTCATCAAGCGTAATTTTTAAGAAACTGATTTGGTGACTCGTTACAGTTCCTGAGCTTATGTATCCTTCAGCCTCTCTCTTCTTGGCAGGCCTGGGTTTTTTACGCCGACTGTTATCAAACCTGCTGCAGAGATAGCACCCAACATAGACGTTGTGTTTGGTCTCGTAGTTGGCCTGGTAACAATAGCACGAGTTCCTTTTCTGGACTAAGCTCTTGAGCGTTTCATATTTATGTCAAAAGCAGACTTGTCAAGAAACACGCAATTCGTCAGGAAACTCATGTCTGTATTTTCTCATTAACCAACCCAATTGTATCGTTCCTCAATTTTTGCCGGACTGTTTCGTTCAATAGAGTGGAAATCTGCTTTCTTCAACGAAAGGTTGCATTCACTTCTCATAAAGTTATAAATAGTGCTACAAGAAACTTTAAGATCATGGAATTGGTTCAATAAATTCTTGGCCACTTCAACAACAGAAGCAAATGGATTAGCTTCAATGAAATTGATAACGGTCATTTTATGATCTTCAATCAAGATACATCTTCGGCCTATTTTTTGTATTGTCAAAAATGCTCTCAGGGCACATATAATATTGCTTTACCCATCTTTACGCTGTTCGAATGTGAATACCCAACTGCTTCGCTGCAGATGCTGCACTCATACACTTCTCAATCTTCAGTTCGAAAAACCAATCTTTATCCTACGCAGTATAACGCACATAGTCCCGTTTTACGTTTGCCTCCTTCATACGAGTATATTCGTCTTTTGGCTTTTCTATCAACATAGGAGAAGTCAGGGAAGATTCACTCGAGGAGACAGTTTGCATGTATTCCCTATGAGTAGCAAGTGTCTCAACAACAGCATTCCCATGTCCATCTTTATATAAAAATATTGTACTCATGTTAAATTAGTAAAGTATTGAAAAATGAAAGAAATGCACAAAAAAAAATATCTACCCTGTATTTATACTCTTACAGTGCCAAGAATCATGGTTACACGGTTTCTAAAAATATACTCTGGCCAGTGATATTAATTCTGATTGGCCAGTGTCATTACCTTCTGGAAGCACTAAAGACCTTCGGGTACTCAGATTTGCGGTCTAGCGAATAAATGCAGTCCCTTATAAAGGAAAATTAGCGTAACACTAGAACCACTAGACTACAAATTTGATTAAGGTTTGGCAGATTTTTTGTCAAACCTTATTCAAATTTGCGGCCAATAATATTGCCTTATTTATCTCTCTAAACTGACGATATTGAAATAGCAAAAATGTATAGCAGAATATAAGCTTCGAATATTAACTTGTAAGAGCTAAGAAAGTCTGATTAAACATTTATATACAAATTTTTCTCGTAATTATATATGAAATATAACTTAGATAAATAATCTGCAATATATATTCCGATAATACATAGAAGCCATAACAACTTTGTAGTCGAAAGAAGCGAAATATTTGGGCAAGACAATAGCATATGTTACTCTTTGTAATTTTAGTAGTCGCCTTGTTAAAAATTATTTTTCAGGTAATGAGCAGTCCTTCTATAGAACCATTTTGAATATTTCAAAAAAACTTCTTTAAGCCATTTTTTGTACGACTGTGCAAATTTGAGTGCCTAGAGGTCTCTACTGTATATATAAGCTAAACAGATGCCAACTTGGAGTGCATAGCATGAATACCGTACTTGAGATAAAGATTTGCATCATTTGAAAATAGATTGTTCATTTTGATTCAAATATAAGTTTTTGTTACGCACATGGCTTAAAATTTTGTTCTTAGTGTCACCTCGCACAGACTGGGAGTAAATAAGGGTCTCAAGGAAAACAGCGCATCATTCAACTCACGCCTCATAACATTTCATGACCATGAAACAACTCCGAAGCGAATATATGGTCAAAAGAATGATTGAAGGAAGAACAATACACTTATTAGTGAAAGTGTTGATTATTTACAGCTACAGAAGAGTAAATATAGGCTCAAATGGGTACAAGAAGAAAAACTACAAAAAGCACTTTACTAGCTCTTATACATATAGTTATTGTTTAGAGAAACCATGTGGTGTAAATAAGCAATTTACTTGAATACATTTTCACTCAAATTTTTGGCTATTGACCTTGATCCTTACTCGCGCCAAACTTGTCCCTCCGCTCCCTTTTCTTTCTCTTTCATTTTTATTCCTTTCTTTTCATATTCTTTTTCTATGGACACCGGTTTTTCATTCGCCCAGCCAGATGACTACACACAGCTTCTAACAGAGCTCCATTCAGAGTACTGCCGTGATCAGCCTGAAGATGTACTTCAATATTGCGCCAATTTCTTCAATCATAGACTTCAAGAACAACGTACGATGTTACGTCAACAGCGCAATCCCCAGAATTTTGAAGGTACACCCAAAATTCTGCACAATTCAGATGAGTGATAGTAAAGCTCATCATCTCATCTCAAGACAATGAGTTACATCCTCTTGCGGGGCATAACCAAATGTTTGGTGACCAACTATCAGACAGTGACAAAGACGATGATTTTGAGAGCATCGAGGCTTCGGATGAGGAACGGGATGAATTTACTGGAGAGCTCCTGTCGATGGCTCCCCCACCTACCTACAGCCGCGACCGTCGCACTTCGGTCAGCGCCGAATCAATGGCACCTACTCAGGGACGCGACTTTGTTAAAACAGTGATTCCCAAGAGTCCTGAGCAGTGTGCTCGTATTCGTGAGAGTGTTGGTAATAATTTCCTGTTTCGCAGTCTTGATGAGGAACAGTACCAGGACGTGGTGGATGCGATGGCCGAGAAACAGCTGCCTATCCATGAACGTGTGATTGAACAAGGAGCTGTGGGGGATTACTTTTATGTGGTTGAACATGGTACACTAGACTGCTATATAACCAAGAATGATGCCGAACCGGTCAAGGTTACAAGTTATGAAGCTGGCGGTAGTTTCGGTGAATTGGCTTTGATGTACAATGCGCCAAGAGCAGCGACGATTATTGCGACATCGGATGTTGTATTGTGGGCCCTCGATCGGGTCACCTTTAGAACGATCCTTATGGAAAACACTTCTAGAAAGAGGCGAATGTACGAAACCTTTTTAGAAGAGGTTCATTTACTCAAGTCGCTCGAGCCATATGAGCGCCACAAGATTGCTGATGCTTTGGAGTCAGTTCATTTTGAAGATGGTCAGAAAGTTGTAACCCAGGGCGATATCGGTGACCATTTCTTCATTATCGAGTCAGGAAAGGCTGGAGTATTTAAGACTGATGGTGAAGGAACTGCTCATCAAGTCAATCAACTCTCTCGAGGATCTTATTTTGGTGGTAAAGAATTTATCTTTGTGTTTCCAAAGGCTCTAGTATGATACTATATTAACGGTAATGTTATTAGAATTGGCTCTCTTAAATGATAGTCCGCGTGTTGCAAGTGTGATTGCTCAGGAATATCTGAAATGTGCTACTCTTGGTAAAAAGGCCTTCACGCGCTTGTTGGGGCCTGTTCATGAAATTCTGAAGCGTAATTCAGAGAATTACTATGCAGTTATTAACCAGCAAGAGAGACAGATTGAGTAAAGATATCTCAATAATCCCTGTCATATCCCCGGCCGCCCCTTTCTTCTTTTTCTTTTACCTCTGCAGTTTTACAATCCACTCAGTTTCCCCTTATTTCCTCCCTCTCTATCTATACATATCTAGACAAAGCATCCTATCGCATACAGAAAGATTCCTTTTTATTTTCTTGTTCTTTTACCCCTTAAATAAGAGTATGTTGCCTAGAACTCGTGTGTTTGGAGAATTATGGAACTCACCACAGTTAAATAGAATAGAAACTGCAGACAACAACTACAAAGCATAGGGGATCAATATCACTCAACACTAACTTGTCCAAGATCTACTATTGTTCGCCGACCCCTTAATTTAATGGGACCTACTTTTACCACACAAATCAAATACATATTTAAATAGCATACCTCAGCGTTAAGCCTTCATCCTCATCTCTTTCTCACTTGCAACATGATGGCCCTTGCTTCGCCTAGCGAAATTGCACCTCCACCTCCACCTGTGCCTATCACATCTACAGGTACCGGTATTGCCAATCTCCCAAATCAACGACATAAGATCGTCGCAAAGAATGGTGCTAATTTCACCCTTATGGTGTGCGGTAAGTAACATGATAATCGTTCAAGACTTTTTTCTTTATTAATCCAATCGAACAGGCGAATCTGGTGTTGGAAAGACTACATTCGTCAACACCCTCTTTACATCCACCATCAAGGAACCCAAGAACCTTAGCAAACGACGCCTTCGCCAACCACCTCCAAAAACTTCTCAGATTCAAATAACTCGAGCTGGTAAGAAAGAACCTTCGGATAGCTCATTAGTAAACAACATATCTAACTGGTCAAATAAAATAAAACAGAACTTGAGGAAAAAATGTTTAAGGTCAAATTGACGGTGATTGACACGCCTGGATTTGGTGATTATGTCAATAATCGCCACAGCTGGATTCCTATCATCGACTTTATTGATGACCAGCATGAAAAATACATGAGACAAGAGCAACAGCCATGTCGTAAGGGTGCGGTCGATATGCGTGTACATGCCTGTCTTTATTTCATCAAACCTACCGGCCATACTCTGACTCCACTCGATATTGAGGTCATGAAGAAACTTGGCTCGCGTGTTAACTTAATTCCTGTAATTGCCAAAGCAGACACTCTTACTCCTTCTTGCCTAGCTAAATTCAAGCAGAACGTAAGCACAAAATATTTTCTCCTTTGTCTCCTATTTGTGATCGAACTGTCCCCCTTCTCCTCAAAGAGCTTGCTCGCTTGATACCCTTTCTCTCGATGCTCCTTGTTCAAAAGGGGGTGGGGGTTCAAAAGAGTACCATGGCCGTCTAAACCCCCTTTTTGTTTTGTTTTTTCGTTTGGGAAAACTTCCTTTTTTATACAATAGATCCGTGATGTTGTGACAGCCCAGAATATCCAGTTGTATTCTTGCCCTATTGAGAGCGACGATGATAGCACCACCAAGCGCAATGTCAACATCATGACCGCCTCTCCCTTTGCTGTCATTGGATCCACTCAGGATGTCTTGACTGCAGATGGACGTAAAGTGAAGGGTCGCGAGTACTCTTGGGGTGTAGCTGAAGTTGAGAACGATGAACATTGTGACTTTAGAAAGCTCCGTAGTTTGTTGATCCGCACCCACATGCTGGATCTCATTACCACTACCGAAGAAAATCATTATGAGAATTACCGCCAAGCGCAAATGGAGACCCGGAAGTTTGGAAGTCCTCGGTAAGTTGGTTCGCATGAAAGTATTTATTTGTACTAAACTTCCTTTTCAATTATTTATTTATCTATATGAATAAAAGCTCTCAACCTTCAGAAAACGCAAAGTTCAAGGAAGAGGAAGAAGTGCTACGCAAAAGATTTACAGAGCAGGTCAAGGGTGAAGAAGCTCGGTTCCGTGCTTGGGAGCAACAACTGCTTAGTGAGAGAGACCGCCTGCACAAAGAACTTGAGTCTCAAAGCGACAAAATTAAGGATATTCAGAGTGAAATAGATAATTATTATTATAGCAACCAGCGTGATTCCCCAAGAACAATCAGAAAATAACATTTTACACTGTAATAGTCTCTGGGGGGTTCGTACCCTTCTTTACCTCTCTCTTTCCCCCAATAATATAATCTTATACGGTACCAATCAAGTTCTGCTACGAGAAAGCGCAATAAAACAGTGCATACTTTATATTAAATTTTAGTTTTCTTTGTTTAATATATATATATAAGTACGTTTCCGAACCTACCAGTTTTCATCATACTTTAGTCCTTGTCCTTTTTTCAATGCTTTTCCCTCTCTTTACTCTCCTTTCTCTCTCTGTTGCTATATTTGCCCAACCTCGTCGTGTTCCTCGTCTCGACCCTTGGGATGTTATTAACAAGACCTATCTTGTTCCCGTAGAGGCCCCACCAGGAGGATGCAGCGACTTGGTTATGCCATGGTAAGTACATACAACCATATCTCATATTTGTAATCTATGCTTGAAGAGTTAATTTATATATGTTGATTAGTGACAATTATTGCCCTGATACTTGCTATTATCCTGATGTACCCTGCCCTTATACATATGCTTCAATTTGTCCTCAAATTGCACCCAATACTCTGTAGTAAAATGAAACATGTAGAATAGGTCAATTTCTGGACATCTATACTCAATTCATTATACTCCGATTTTTATTCATGATTGATAACAATGAATACTTCCAATAATCAAATAAACAATATATATTTAATCTTTTTAATTAATTAAAATAGGAATAAAATAACAAATCACATTTTTATAAATCATACAATATATAAGACAAAGGTATAACCAAGTATTTTCTTGTACATCAAGACGGATACATACTTCTTGGTGCCTTCTTTTTATTACAGTATTTTGTGACTGGAACAGTCACGTCTATTGCAGGTGAAAGAATTAAGGCGGATAAAAAAAGAATTTTTTTGACCAACTCTACCTTTACTCAGACAAAAAAAGCAGCTTTCAACAAACGCATTTTTCTTGCAAGCGAGAAAGGAAAGAGAGAGAAAAGCGAGCAAACGACCGCATAACTCCAACTTCAATTACACCAAAGAAAAACAGTCACTGCTCTTGAACGCCGTCGATCCTTGTTGACTAATTAGACTTTGCGCGATCGATCAGAACAACCTTATTCCTGATGCCCAGCCACGAAAAGACAAAAGCAAGCCGTGCTAAGCCAAGTGTAGGGGCCAAGTCTACCACAGCCGCGATCAATGCTCAAGCAGAATCCCCCAAATACACTGCGAAGAACAGTATTGTCATGACAAAGACTGCAGGTGGAAATATTAGCGAATTTCCCTTTGAGTTTACTAAAGATTCAAAGTGAGTGATTTATCTCTTCTGCATGTATACATTCTCCTCGAATAAATGCAAAAATACACCTAGTATTATTTTCTGGGCCAGACGCTAATTAATTCACTAGATACTTCTTTTCATGCGTTGGATCGTGTGTTAAGGTCTTCAGCGTGGCCACTGGAGCAGTTGTGAAGGTACTGTCGCGATCTCCTGCTTCTGGAGGCCACAATTCAAAGATCACTCGGGTAATTCTCAACCCAAAAAACCCCATGCAACTTTATTCGGCAAGTTTGGATGGAACCATCAAATTGTGGGATTACAATGACGAGATTCTTCTAAAGGTAAATTAGATGTCTTTGATTTTAAAGCTAGACTTAATTATCGGTTAACACGAAGACGGTGATGGAATTATTGGGTAGACATATCGTATCGGTGCTCCTATTGAATTTATGGTTATTTCTGCTGTGCGTCCTGAAGAAGCTTACATCGTAGTTAACAAAGAAAACTCTGCAGGTAAATAACTATTGATCTACATTACCTAACCTTTTTAAAGATAAAAGAAGCAAGTGTAACTGACAAAAAAAGGGATTTTTGGACTTATTACTTAAAGTAGCCGAGAAGAAGGAAAAGAATGAAAAAATTGTCTATCGGTATGCACTTGATAGTGACCTTCCATTGACGTCTCAGGATCGATTGCGGTGGATTACAGCTATCCCAGAATGTCATTGCGTAGATGTATCAAATGACGGACGCTTTGTAGCGATGGCAGGAAAGAACAAATGTGTAATTTGGAATGTTACTGAAGGTGAAGAGCGTGTTTCAGAATCTGAATTACACAGGTACATGGAGGAATTTATGCATTTGTGTACACGAATTTAACTTTTTGGCAGCTATACATTCAAGGACCTCCCTACAGTCTTGGCATTTAGCCCAGACAACACATTTATCGCCATTGGTCACCAAAGTGGTCGTATCACACTGCAATATTGCCTTGTCCCTGGTACAGAGCACAAGCCTTTGTTGTCTGTGTTGCATTGGCACCATTTGCCTGTAAAGGCACTGAGATTTATGGGAGATGGCACTTATTTGATGTCTGGTGGTGAAGAGGCAGTATTAGTCATTTGGCAGCTGGAAACAGATCTCAAACAGTTCTTACCTCGTCTTGGAGGCAGCATCACATCGATCAACATTTCGCCCAACCACAAATACTACTCGGTTGGACTAGCTGACAATTCAATTCGTCTCATCAACTCTATTTCGCAAAATATTGAACAAGCGATCCAGGGTCTCCAATATGCTCAGACTGAATCAAATCGTCTGCCGCTTACCACCGGACTTATGGTTGAACCACGCAACAATAACATTGTACTTAATGGTGTGCCAGGAAGTATTCAATTCTATAACACCCAAGGAGATCACCACGTTATGGACCTCGAAGTTGCACCTACAAACCTCATTGCACGCAAGGAAATCAACGAAATCATTATAACATCTAATGTAGAACACGTTGCATTCTTACCCCGCGGTGAGTGGATGGCAACAGTCGATATGCGTGACGACGGAGAGACAACTGTAGAACTCTACCTTAAATTCTGGCAGTGGAACCCTAACAGTCAATCATACGCACTACACACCCGTGTCGATTATCCCCACGCACAGCCTATCACATCACTCACTTTTTCACCTTCTTCTCGTCACGGTCCTATGGCAATCACCACCTCTGCAGACAAAACCTTTAAGGTGTGGGTTCTATCAACGGAGCGTGAGGTTGTTTGGACTTGTCGCTCTGTTGGTGCTTACCGTGACAGTCCTGCCACTGGAGCGGCATTCTCTGACGATGGTAGTATCCTGGCTGTATCATTTGGCTCAATGCTCACTCTCTGGGATCCTTATGAAAATACCCTTCAGGGTATTCTTTCCCAACCATGTGATGATGAAGCAATTGAACATGTCGCTTTCTTGGGTGACAGTCCTTATGTACTGACAGCTACAAAGACACACTTTTATGTGTGGAATATGCTGACCTGCTCCGTTTGGTGGAGTTACCGATGCCCTGTTGATAAGCTCGCTGTCGACCCATTGAGCGGAAGAATTGCCATTGTACACAACGTTGGTACATATAGTCGATTACTCGTGTTTGAAGCCAAATCAGGGTTACCTCTTGCTATCCACACCATTTCTCACCGGTGTGCAGCTGTCACTTGGATCCCACAAAATGAATCCGCTGATCGTGAGACTAAATCCAGTAATATTACCATCCTTGATGTTAATCATGACCTTATTATGTTGGCCATCGTACCTGCTTCTAAGGCCAGTGCTGTTTCTACTGCTGCAGCAGAAGATTTATCAACAAAAACGACAATCGAGTCTGGCGAAACTTCGGGAATTCTTGACAGCATGTTCGGTGAGCGTCGTGATATACGCGAGGAGGAAAGAGAGCAGGAAGAGCTGAGGCTGAAGACTGCAATTCACCTTCGAGAAGAAGCTATGAAGCAATCTAGAAGAGAGCGACGACACAAATCTGAAGAGTCTGCAGATCCCACTGGACTAAAGGCTCCTAGCCACGTTTTGCCACATGTTGAAACTATCTTTGAAACCTTTATGGGTAGCTTAATGCGCCTTCGCATCAACAACGACTCGGTACAAGATGCTGGTATGGATATCGATACTGAGTCTTCCTCCGAGCCAATAAAGCTCCCCATCGCAGACGTAGACACCACTTTCATTCCCTCTGAAGACTTTACATCATTAACCGCATACTTTTCTACAATCAAATCAAAGGGTAATCAAATTTTATTATTTTAAAAAGTGTTCAACAAATCTAATTTTTCTTTTCTTGGTTCAGCACCTCCAAAAAATGCTTCCGAGACAGCCGCATCGTCCTCTGAAAATGAAGATACCGACGACGATGAAGATGCATCTCAAATCGACTGGTAGAAAATAATAATAATAACTACGACAACAACAACAACAACAAATGTGATAGATTAAACAAAAATTGAACCTCTTTATATATAAAACAAACAAACAAGCAAAAGACATATATGTGTAGTGTGTCTGAGTCAGTGTGTGCATCCGTGTGTTTTCCTACACTTTTTTTTTCTTGTATATTGACTTAAACAGTTTGTGAATGATTGTTTGGAGAAGATAAAAACGGCTGTATATAGTATAATATGTTCATGTTCATGTTTATGTTACATAGCCTTTGTTGACACTGGTAGACTATCTGAGCGAAACGTCCATTGTTGTTCCAGGCGGTCAATCCAGGACAACACTAGCGCCAAGCGACTCTTTAATGGTAACGTTTTCAACAGTCGCAGTTTATCCTTATTCAGGATTGGTAATACGAATGAAACCCACCAACACAATGCAGCTGATCTGGAGAGTGGAGGCATATCACCATGTAAGATCTGAATGTTTGTAAACCATGTTGGACCAAATAAGCCCTCTGTTGATGCTTTGCATCCTGTCACAGGCGGGCTTGCAAGACGGTGAATAAAGTCGCGAATTGTAATTGTCATAGATTCTGTCTCGTCATCTGGTAAGTCAATAGAGTTAAAGGTGTCATCTTGTTGAGGCATAATATCTGCTGCCCACAATGGGCGTCCAATCTCAACTACATCAACACTCAATGAACTCTCTTCATTAGTCTCATCTTCAGTAAGAGATGACTGCGAGCTAAGTTCTGTGTCTGTGATAGTTTGGAACCCAACGCAATCTTCAGATAAGTGGATTTCAGGTAGGATGTTGATTGTAGCTAAGAGGCTGGTATCGGTATCCTCTTTGATATAAGGACTGTGATCAAGGACTTGGAATCTATCGAGGCCAGCTAAATCAACCAATAGAATACCGTCTGATCGATGCTCGACAGCAAGAATCTTTACAAGGGTACCCATCAAGCTAAGCTTGGTACCACAGTAAACCATTCCGATACAGACATTATCATACCGCGAGGATTTTAACAAGCATGTTTGAAAGCGGCTTCTATCTTCAGGCATTACGGGTAGGCGAAAGCGTTGGTGAGGTAAAATAATTGCTTGAGAAACGTACAGCACCACAGATTTATGCCTATTACTGCTTCCAAGATCGCGACTGGTTCTACGTTGAGTGTCTTGGAATAGCTTCTTGCTTAGTTGACTTATCATGCGGTTACTTGGCTGATTAACAAGAGAAGTGTAACGAGGTAATGGGAGTTTACACGCTGAACAATGATTTTTAGTTGCTTTGAGGAACAAGGCACATAGACGGCAAAAAGTGTGGCCACAGTGAGTGGTTATTGGATCTGAAAATGGGTCGTGACAATGCATACACTCCATGATTGTTGATAATGCACTTGATTTCTGGGTAAGATGTGATGATAATTCTGAAGAAGGGTGGGCTGTATTTGTGATTAAGCGAGATATGGCGAAAACAGTGGTGTCGGGATGAAGGCTTCGTCCGAATAGATGTGATGGCTGATTACAGTCTGGAACGGGACAATGGAATACTTTCTGTGGTATAATATCAACACAGTCTCGACAAACGGTATAACCGCAAGAAAGTGCTACAGGATCTACAAGAGGATCCTTACACACATAACATGATAGGTAGACAAATTTAACCATGCTCAAAGCTCATGTATTTAGGTATTAAAAAAAACAAGTTTGTATAAAAAGCAACTCTTGAAAGCTAAATCCCTTTATTTATAAAGAAAAAAAAAGGTGCTTAAATGCTTGCCAACTCCCTTTAACTTCCCCCTTTTTATGAAAATATCATCTGTCAAGACTTCATCCCTCGATCAAGACAAATTCCTGATTTGGAAAAAATCACCGCCTTTCTCGATTTGGTACTTTCATTAGGATCACTTTCCTTCCAAGCCACGGATCCGTCCGTCACTTCCCAACCATTCACATTTGCTTAATCTTTTTGAAAGTCAGCCTTCAACCCCCTTTGTCCTGGTCATGCCTCACACACAGAGCAATAGCAAGCGGAAATCTATCTTGCCATTGCACATTGACACTACTTCATTTACTGCTCCTTCGACCCAAAACAATTATCCATGGCGGCGCATCATCTCATCTAAGCGTCAGCTCCCCTGGATCATATTAATGTCATTCTTTCTTGTCAGTATTTTCCTTAATTTTACCCACTATCGTTCCCAGACCATCCCCAACCTAGTATTTTCAAACGACCCTCTTCCAGCTCCTCCATTACCTGACCTCAATCACGCCATTATCGTCGCTGGACACGCCATCTATTCTGGACCCCCAGACTTTAACAGTGTTACCCAGGATGATTACTGGATTCTTGAATCATTCCAAAAGAATGGTCAGGTCCCTACATTCATTCAACACATCGACCGTGGATTAGTTGCTGCAGAAAAAGATCCTGAATCTCTCTTGATTTTTACAGGGTAAAGTTTATTTATAAATGTTTGTGCTAGTATATATATATATATATATATATGTAGTTATTGTTAAGTTGTACCTAATTTATCTTCGTTTCGTTTTCACTAACTAAACCTTTTACCTGTTTATCGATATAGTGGTCAAACACGTCCTTTAGCTGGTCCACGTTCAGAAGCTCAGTCATACTGGGAGATTGCAGAAATACTATCTACAAAGAATATTAATTTTACACAACAAAACTTGATGGATCGAGTTGTTACTGAGGAGTTTGCTCGAGATTCTCAGGAAAACCTTCTATTTTCACTCTGTCGATTCTCGGAGATCACCGGTCAGTATCCGTCGCGGGTGACGGTGATTGGATTTGAGTTTAAGCGGAAGCGGTTTCTGGACATTCATCGTGCGTCGGTGCGTTATCCGATAGAAAGGTAAAGTTAATAAATCATATAAATAAATTACCTTGGTGTAAGATACTCAATTAAGCTATTTAAATTTAAATTGGGGAAACAGATTTGAGTATATTGGAATCGATCCACCCTACAACCCTGGGGGTGTGTCGGAATGGATAACAGGAGAAGAACTCAACTCTTATGGACCATTCCAAAATGATATTTACGGTTGTCGTGATGGCTTAAGACAGAAGAAATTGGATAGAAATCCATTTCGACGAAGGTAAGAAAGAAATCAATTAAAGCAAAATAAGAAAATGTTACTGAATAAATTATTAAATTCGTTCCAATCGATATAAATAGAAATGCATATCGATACTCATGTCCTGCTCTGGTTGATCTACTCAACCATTGCCCTACCAATAACAAAATCTTCGACGGTCCTCTTCCATGGGATGGTGGCTCGATATAAAGAATTAAAGAGAGAGAAAAGGAAAAAAGGCATTTTTTATACACCCAAGACACCATTATTTATTAACTAATTTTATATTATCAATGGAATTTTGCACTAGTTTATGATGGTCTTGCGTCAATAACAATATTGATTTGTACTCATAGATAAATATACACACAAGAGTACGCTAATTATTTTGGACGGGTTTAAGAGTGAAGTGTACGTAAAGGCACACTCATATACAAAGTTTTTTTTTGGAAATAAACTGCTCTTTGATTACGGTTTAATAATTTTTATTTGATTGATACACTGGTAAAAAGGCGGCTTTAGTAGGACATTTTAGTACGGTTTTCAGGGCTCTAAGGCTGGCTTAAAAGGTGAGTTTTTATTAAGCATGCTTTTTTTCTTTTCTTTATAAACACACATGTATAAAAATATGCTTCAATTTCAATTTTTCTTATTTTATTTAGCTTCTAATGTTATATAAAAGGCGCTTTTTAAATATCCCACTTTTTACTTAATCATTTTTTATAATGAATACAAAAAAACGTTTGCCCACTTCCTATGCAGTATAAAAATAATAAAAAGCTATTCACTTAATCATTCAAATAATGTTAAGAATTACCAAAAAGACCTTTTTGGATTATCTGGTAATAACCAGTTTTGAATATTTATATTATATAGCGTTCAGGACAGCCTCAAAATTATTTTCGTGTCCTAATTTTGAAATGCCGCATAGTAAAAAATAAAAATAATTCCACTGTAATAGAGAACTCATTGTCAAGTGAAAATTTAGAATTTTCACTCACTTTTGCTTTACGCGGCGATTGAAATTCCAATGAAAAGACGTAAAATTTTACTGAGGGAGGCCATTTAGTGATGAAATGAAGTGAAAAATTGGGAGTTTTCTAGTTTTTCACTCCATTTCATCACCAAGTTCTTATTAAGACTTGAGCTTGTTTCTTTACCTTCAAACATATACATAATATAGTCAAGAGTCGTCTCTATATATCTACTTAAGAGAAAAAGTCTTGGAAAGCCAAGTTTATTAAGATGTATCTCTCTTATGTTTGTCACAATACTTATGTTTTCATCAACTGTGGTTGAGTTTTTCTTTTTTTTGACTGGGTTTCACTAATAATTCTTTTTTAGCAGTCTTTGAAAATATCACATCTTAATGGGTTCTCTAATATTGGGCAAAGGGGATATATAAAGGATTTCAAGAGCGATGGATGTGGGGGGGGGGGGGGGGGGGGGGTCCAGTTCAAGAACAAGAATTTGACAAGTGATCTGAAAGTGTGAAGAGGAGGGGAGGTGTTGAGTGATTTTGGATGTAGCTAATAGAGGTTGTCTTTGGTGATATCGTGGTTATGGCTCACAGGGATGGGATAAATGGTAACGTGGTCAGTTTTTATGATTTTACTCAGTACTATCAGCAATTGTCTCAACAAAAGGTGGCTCTTATTTCTCTATTCTTGCTCAGGGATCTCTCAAGATGCCCTCTTACAACAAAATAAAGGAAAAGAACTGATTTTATTAAGATGGTCAGTGACCTTGAATCTTATCCTACGTCCTATAAATGGTACAACAATTTAAGGATTTGTGCAAAACCCATCTCTCCCTACAGACAGGCTACTGAGGTTCGAACCAGAAAATAGTCTCACTATTCTACACCACTTATATTTGTGTGGGACTTCACAAGCTCAAATGTAATATAAAATAGTAAAAAAGAAATAATTCAGGACAGTACACTACCACAGATACACTCTTTCCAGAAATTATTGGTGCAAAAATAAAAATAAATTTAGTGCAAAAATAAAAAATTATTTAGTGCAAAAACAAAGATAAAATTTGGTGCAATTTTTTTACTATTTCTCTGCTTAATTCATCTTTTTTAGTGCATTTGGTGCATTCCATTTTTGCACCAAATTTATTTTTGTTTGTGCACCAAATTGATTTTTATTTTTGCCCCAATAATTTCCAGAAAAAGTGTATTAGAAACCAAATATGATTGTTTATTGTACTTAAGCAATATGATTGGCCCAGATATTTTTTCTTTGTGTAATTTCGTGAATTGAATCTTTTCTCTTTCAAATAAAGCAGGAAGAAAGGTTTGGTTCTACTTCAAACTTTTTTGATCACAACAAAACACCACCAGACATTTTTGGTATCATTTTGGGTGAAAATTGGCACCTAAGCAATATGATTGACTTAGAGGCCAAAATATTGTAATTTGTTTTTGTACTCAATTTTTTTCATCTGAATAAAGAATAAAATTAAGTTCAGTACTACTTGTGGGCTTTTAAAGTAAGAAAAAAAACTGTTAGGGAAGTCAGAAAGTATTCAAGTGAGACAAAGGATTTATTAAGGAAAGTTGGGGGTTGATTTGAGTAACCAAAAAATGACTTCACACTATGGGAAAAAAGGGGTGTTTTTTGTAATTGTGACTTCATTTTTGGCCTATAATAATTAAAAAATCACCAAAAAAATCAAAATAAAACAAAAAATTCTACTACTACAAAAATTGGAAGCCAAATATGGTAGAATATGGTACCCAAACAATATTATTGGCCTAGAGAATTTTTCTTTCTATAATTTTGTGAGTTGAATATTTTTTCTTCCAAATAAAGGAGGAAAGAAGATTTGGTCCGACTTCAAACTTTTTTGATCACAACAAAAAGCTGTTCAAGTAAGACAAAACATTGAATAAGAAAATGTGGAGGCTGTATTGTGTAATGAAAAAATAATTCTGTTAAAATTTGGTAAAGGCAATAATTTTCAGCATATAAAACAACTTTGTCAAAATTTCAAATAAGAAAAAATATACATTTTTTTTGTTTCTTACATAATATTAGTAAAGAATGCCTAGCAAAGGCAACCTTCTAAGGCACAACTCAACCTAATGAAGATATAAATATATAAACATATTTTTTTAATAAGCTACAGCTGTAATTTCAATTATATGCTATTAGAACATACCTCTTTAACTTATAAAAATAAGACAAACTGAGAGAGAATGCCTTAGTGTTTTTTTTAAAAACATTTCTACAAGTTGTAATATTGATATTAAAAGCTAGTAGATCAATGAGAATTTTTTAAATCGATTTTGAATAAGTGTGAGATCACGTCCTTTGCATTGTTTCTTACTCTACTTTACCAACAAAAGTTTGTTCATTACGTGTTTTTACATACACTATGGGAAAAAAGTGGGGATTCCGCTGGGGATTCAGCTGGAGATTCAGCTTGGGATTGAGCTGGCGATTCTTGCGAATTGCAGTACACACCTACTGACATTTCTTTCATTTATGGTAATTTCTAACGGTACAGCTGTTTCTATTGGTTTAGAGTTCCAATTTTAAGTTGAACCTGTTAAGGCTCAGATTTGGGTGTACGAATTTGATATAAATGAGCCAAAAGTGGATTAGTGTAATGTTTTAAGTGTTATGATAAATTTTTAAATGGTACAAAAATCTGAAATGGGGGGAGAAGCAAAGAGAGCTGGAAAAGAAGAGATTTTATTGGACAAACCCCATTGGGAAAAATACTTTTTTTTTGATAAGTCATTTTTTTTAATAGATTTTTGCAATGTTCATCAACATCCACCAGAACATGCCAAATTTTGCAATGTTGAGGAACTTTTGGTTATTGGAAGACCCGATGGACAAGTGAATATCAACAGCCTGAACAATGTTGATTTCATCTTTGTTGACTTCAACCAGGCCTCCAAGGGGCAGAACCACAATGTTGTTGTAATTGTCTGTTACCACGGCTGGGGTATAGATGCAATTTATATTGCTGTTTGGAACAATTTGGTACTTTTGCATAAAGAACGCCTTCCTCATTCTGTCTGCAGAGTCTCTTGCTTGAACGATCTTTATCTGACCAAGGAATAATTGACCATTTGATTGAAAAACACCTGCAAGTGTATCGCACAAAGTGGGAGTTGACAACCCGGAATTGTCACTGTTGACACGAGAACCAAAGAAATGGAGATTAAAGCCTGGGAAATTGACAGGGGCCAGCTTGACAAAATCACCAATTGAACTTCTCACAGATCTTGTTCCATTACCAGCTAGTTTCTCTATGACATACGATCCTCCATTACAAAGATGCCAACAGATGAATTGCTTGCCAAATCTTGTAGCGACATCTCAAGAGGTGGAATGGCAGTTGGTCTTGAATAAATGTTCGCAGATGAACTTATTGAACTGTTCACCGTTTTCAGTTTTGTATTGCAGCACGGAACTGAAACGAACAATGTCGTCAGTGATATGATGCAGAAGGTGGATCTTTGGCTTGAACGTGAAGTCTTGCTTAGAAAATCCTTTTTGGAGAATCTAGACATCCAGTTGAAAAAGCAGATCCGTTACATCAGTGACAGTGTGTTTTATCTGGGCAATATAGTAGTCAAAGCACCGGTCGACTCCATGCATATACACCAAAGACGACAGGCGGCCTAATGCATGCAAGGCTTTAATGAATAAACTTGCCGATGGTTTGTCACTAAAGAGCTTGCTCATAATTCCAGGCAGGACTTGAATCAATTCCTTGAAATCGCGTCCAACAAACAAACTAGTGTGGCAAAGCTTGTTCCTGAATGTTTGGCTGTAACTCTTACAAGATTTGTAAGAGTTTAGAGCTTCCTGGAGTCTCCCCTTTTCACTTGTAGTCAGCATCTTCTGTTTCCAGAGAAAAGTCATCTAGTATTTCGTCAGGCCAAGAGGAATAATGTGGAGAATTTTGACAGGCATGTCTTTGGTAGGGTCAAAGGCTTCGAGTCTAAGAAATTCCTCACTTTCATTCTTGATATAACTCAATTCGCACCCATTGAGATATAGCTCTGACTGGGAATCAGCATTGGCAAAGGCGCACAAGAAATCCCTCGTTCTTTCTTCTGACCCATGGTGGTCAACTGGAGAATATGGCGGAGTGTCAGGGATGGAACCCTGTTCAATATGAGGCAAAGGTATGAGGCATTTTTGGCAAAACTTCTTGGCAGATGTTCCCTTATGCATGGCAAGCTGAGATTGACGAGGGTTGTCATCCATAAAGAGCAACAGGGGCGCAATGACAAGAACTACTTCACCATAATCCTCAGAATACATCTCAATACCTTTCTCCAGCCTAACGAGGTCATTGACGATATGGGGCAACATCTCAATGGCATTCAGTATATGATTTGAGATACAAATGAAAAGAGCATTTTCTCGTTTGTTTCTTGTCTCAAGTGACAACGCAGCAAAGTACATTAAGTAACTGTCATACTTGTTGTACTGCTTTGTTGAATTACCAGAGGTATCATTGGAATAGAGATTAAGTGGGCAGACAACCACTTTCATCAAACCAGAGCCTAGAAGTCTTCTCTTGAATTCTTCAACACGGGATTTGTTGAGCCACAAGTCAGATTGAACACTAGTAAGAGCATAGGTGACAATTTTGGCAGGGCAATAAGAAACAGAGAAACCACGTCCAAGGAAAAGATTGCTGTCTTTTTGAACAGTAGACATAATCCTATCAACTTCAATGGTATACTTCAGGGTAGAGACAGCAAAGTTCGTAGAGTTTCCAAACCGCAGGAAGTGTGTATCATCAGGATGGTTCAGCCGAGGATCGTGGCCACCATAAACCTGGAACGCATTGGCAAGTATGGATCCGTCCTTGGTGAAGAACTTCTTAAGGAGATACCAGTTTGGGGAGCCTTGGACTTTGACAACATCACCCACCCAGTAGTTCATTCCGTTTGAAGTGATCATTGGGTGCTGGAGCAATGGGTTCTCCTTCCACTTTTCGCCTTGGTTGAGATTCAACTGCTGGTTTTCCATGAAGTCAGGAAGGGCCGAGATTTGAGATGATTTTCTGGGACATGTCATGATAAACTTGATGTAATTGGACGGTTTGTTCATCCAAAGTACATGTCGTTCATTGTCTTGGTTCACAACATCGAAACTGGCAGTAGGAAAAACAGGGATCTGGTTCTTTTTCTGCTTGTGATAGTTAATCACAGCATTTGGTGTCGGAAAATCCAGTGCTACTCCAGATTCTTTACGGATGTCCAAGACTATCTTCATGGCAAACATGATCTTCTTGATAGATCTTTCTGAGGCAAGATCTTTATCGCCGTAGAAGAGAGCATGTAAGATAAACTCTACTTTCGATTTAAACAGACGGGTGGGTCCAGTAACAATGTCAGCAAAGTCATCAGGCCAGTACGATGTCTGTCTGCTGCTGTCTTTGTTTGAGTAGGCATTCATGGCATAAGAAAGAGATTGGAAGGTTCTCATTTCTGCTGCCATTCTAGCGATATGATCCTGGCTATCATATTCTACTCTGGTGTCCGTGTCTTCATTGTCAGTGGTCTCATCATAGTCATCTGATGAATCACTGTTCAGCAAAAAAAAACAGGTTATTATCTATTTCAATATTGCATTACTAATTTTTACTTATGATAGAATGTGATCATCATTATATTCGTCTTCGTCAGAGATTTCATAGCCATATGTGTCCTGAGGGTTTTCAATAATAAATTCCATTGGGGCAGGTCCATTATTACTGTTCAGGTTGGTAGTGGCAGTGGTAGTGGCAGTGGCAGTGCTTGCAGAAGAAGAAGGGCCATCAAACATAGCAGGTCTAATGTTAAAGTATGCTCAATTTCAGCTTTACATTATATAGTATTTTTCATCCTACTTTTAGGATTAACTTACCTTCTTTTTAGAAGTTTCTCATACTCCCCCATTTCGTTTGGATGTTTTTTTGTATAATGTCTTCTGAGGCCTTGCAAGGACCCTAACACTCTTTTGGTTTCACAGACGGTGCACACAAATGTTCAGTTGTCTGTAGCCGTCAGTGTGAGGAATGTGTTCCTCTTTGTTGTGAAGTGATTTTCCATGTTTAAAAATCTTTGGAACGAAAGATGTAGAAAAACGTAAACTAATTTGAGGTACCATATCTTTAATCATGCAAAAAATGACTGCTAAAAAAATCATGTGAAATAATGTGAGCTAATTTTTTTTTGTTTACTTGTTTCCTTCTTTTTCTTTTTTTTTCTCATGACTGAAAGGTAAGTTTCAAGCGTAATCTAACAAGATGATAGCATCCATCATACTAAACACCCTCAGTAAGTAATATATTTATTATGCCCTACTTCATATTGATACTAATATATATTTTTTATTAGATTCTATGGAGATTCCAACATGAGATTGTATTAGGAAGTTACTTCAAACTATGCTAAGCTGTCTGTCGTGATATTATAAGGTATCTACTCCTAACATAACTAAATAAGCAGTCTTTTCCTTTACTTTTATTAATAACTTTACTCTCATCTCTTTAGGTAAGTCTCATATATCACTGTCTGTCTAGTATAAAAAGGTAATTTACCATATTATTTACTTCAAAGGTCATAACACTAATACTGTTTCTGTTTAATAGTCGTTCTTCTTTACTTTTACCATGTCTATCTCCCAATCTATTGCATAAGAGAGGCTGCTACACTAGACTAGCTACTAGTATATAGAACGCGTAATCCTAGTACTATTTTTTATTGAAACCTAAATAAAAACATTTTTTTGAAACATTTTTTTTAAACATTTTTTGAAACCCTATAATTGCAATTATTGGACCCCCCATTTTTCAGATTTTTTGTATCCATCCTTTTTTCCATTTATGGTAAATTCGAGCGGACACTTCATATTCCGCTTTAGGAAATTTTAGTCAGGCCAAATTTAAATCTAGCTTGGACATTGAGTTTAAAAAAATCTCAGTGGGTGTGTAGAATCTCTAGTTCTTTTTTAAGTAATACATTTTAATTGCCATTAGCTTATTGATGTTAGCTTTTATTCATATCCCGCTATATTTACCCATCTGCTATACCCTTATTTTAATTGGTAGTAAAAGAATAGAAAAAGGTTTCTATTGGTATGAATGAAAGAAAAAAGTTCTTTAATTGGCAATAAAATATTATTTTAGTTTTACAATTATTTTAATTGGATAAAATACATTCTATCATACTATATGCTTAAATTATATTGGTCATTTCAACAAAAACATTCTCTTAAATAGCTCTCATTTATATATTGTTGTGAATGAGTATTGATTACTGCTGAATCTGAGAGTAAGACTGAAGGATAAAATAATATCCTCAGCTATTCCAGTCAAACGGATCTCCCTTTATGATATTATCTAATACACAGATCATCATATACATAATTGATTATTTATTATTATCACCATGACATGGGATATACAAATACATATACATTATATATATGGCATCATTATATTTCATCTACATATTTCTTTTATTATACAAATACTTAATTGAGAGACTACAACTACAACTATTTAATATTATGAAACATTACCCAAGTATCTGGGTCGGAATACTAAAATATTACCAATAGCATAAATGCTCTTCTTTACCAAAACTCTTGGACTGATCTGACTGGAGAAGTATCATATCAATTGGTCTTTCCGGATCTTTCCAGAAGAACAATACCCCTGGAAGATGACATTGTGATAAAGATTACTTAAGCACACACTGAATTACAAATTAGAAAAACATATAAATATCAGTAGATAGTTCCGTGTAGAAAGAGAATCGAATTTTATCATTCTTTACTTTTCTTTTGAAATAAACAACCTACACAAGTTCTCACAAATTCTTTTGTCTATATTATATTTTGCTTTATTTTCTCCCCACAACATATATATTCGGATTTGTGCACAGTTTTAATTAGGCAAAAAAGTTTTATTTCATAGAGGATTTTTATTTAAAAATGTTTTTATTAGTTGTTATAAAAAGAACAATTCTTTATTCATTAATTGTATTGGCTAAATATCATTTGAATAATTTCATATTTTTATATTTAGTATACAGTTTATTATACCTACCTGATATGAACTTATCAGAAAGGTGTTGCTTTCTACGACTTCTCCATAACTGACTAACCTTTGTGATTGATGCCCAGTTTTTATGACATCTGGTGAAATCAATTCCATACTTCTTGAGCGCGTGTGAATGACTGACACACATTCTGGTCCGGTCCTCTTGAGGGATAGATGTTCAGCTTGAATTGGGCCCGAGAATCTGAACAGACGAAAGAGCAGCAAGCTGATCACAAATATGCTTGGTGCAAGTGTTGATAGCCCCCTTGACTTCTGCGGTTGGACTTATTCCTAGGTCTTGCTCAATCATCTGTAATACATGATTGGAATTTATATTACAGATGTTTGGTACTGGTCTTGGGATAGAGTCAGTAGATATCTATTGTAGCTGATATTAATTGACAAGGCTTTAATTATTATAGTATTTACTTACATTGACAGAAGCTACAATAGTATTATCTGGGAGTTCTCGATCTTTCAATTCATTGTGAAGACTTGTTATTTCGAGTTGTATTGCATCTTGTTTTTTCTCCAATGCTTCTTGACCATTCTTTAGAGAAATAAGCGCGTCTTGAATGTCTTGAAGCAACTGAATCACTGAATTATCTATATTATTCATAATAGTAAAAAAAAGTAATGAGTTTGTTATAGAAAAAGAAAGAAAGAGTAAAAAATTTCCCTAAAACTATTATTAGTTTCAAATTGTTAGCTCCAAATTATTAGTTTCAAATTACTTGTCCAAATCTATTGGCTACTCTTGAAGAATTATTGATCTAGTAATTTTAGAATGATGGCATAGAGTTACCCCTTTAAGATTACAAGTGTACATTCGAATTATCTATGCCATCATTACATTGATATAATTAAGTATAAACATATTCATTCAGAAAGCAATTACTTCTACAATCACTTATATAACAAAAGTTCTTTTTATTTTTTTTACTTACTCCAAAATATGGTTCGAATCACAAAGATCTCCCCTCACAAATGCAGTTCCTGTCATTTGCCTTACAATAGCTCTTCAAATGCTACAAAATGTCAAAATAGATGTCTTAAAAAGCTGGTAGATGCAGCTATCAATGGATCTTTCATCCAAGACATGTCTCTCCCTGTTGAAATCCAGTCTATGCCAGCACCAGCCCCAAGCTTGATCGTTGAGTAAGCTTATTAAAAACTAAAATACAAAAAGATAGAGAATATATTAATTATCTGGATACTTTGGTAAACAAACAGTGAAGACATTAATATAATCAGTGATGAAAATATGGATATCATTGACAGAACTGAAAATGATGAGCCCATAAAAAGATTGCCAGCCACTTCAACGAGATTCTTGCTAGCTCTACAAGCACATATAGAGCATGCACACCTTACCTTGGTAAAGAGCTTCTGAAGTATATCTCCAGAATAGAGGAGAAGAAATATGACGTTTGCTGCAATGGCTGTATGTTGTTTGATGCAAATGAAACTGAGTGCTCACATTGTGGTGAAGATTGCTACAAGAGTGCCCAAGACAATGGTACGTTGGTTCCTGCAAGAACCATGGTTCAAATTCCTCTGGGCGGACAACTTGCTCTCTGTTTGGCCAACAATAGCACCAGAACAGAGATGCGCTACCGTTACCATCTTAAGCCAAGTCAAGATGGCACAAAGACCGATGTATTTGATGGTCAGGCCTACCAGTCTAAGAAGCATCTCTTCTTGGGAAGTGATGACATTGCAATTTTGCTGTCTGTGGATGGGTTTGCTCCTCACAATGTTCCCGGATCAGTAACAATTGTCCATGCCACCATCTTGAACTTGAATCCAATGATCCAGTACAAAAGAAAAATAATGGTCCAGCTTGCCATGATTCCTGGACACAAGGCACCCACTGACTTCTGGTTATTGATGAGACCAATCATCAGAGATCTCTGTGTGTTGCAGTTTGAAGGAATGATTGTCAAAACAGCCACAGAAACCATCAAGGCCAAGGTCCACGTGTTAATGGCAACGGGTGATATCCCAGCTCTGGCAAAGCTAGCATGTCATGTTGGCCACATGAGCAAAGATGGCTGCAGAATCTGCCATGTTGTTGGCCAATCTCCTGGCCATGGTCAGTATTTCCGTATGTCACCAGCCACTGCCCTACATACACTGGGGAGCTTCCATGATTTCCGTGAGGCAGACGAGTCCAGCCAAAGAGGACTTACAGGACAATTACCACTGGCAACATTGGATGCATTCTCCAGGCCATATTTCTTCACCTTGGATGAAATGCACAGTGTCTGCCATGGTGTAGCAAAACAGGTCTGGGGGCTCGTCACTGGCAAGTACAGAAAAAAACATCTGCTTGTTCTCTCTGTTGGAGTCCAGAAAGAGATAGATGCAGCAATGACATCGACAAGGAAAACGATCCCTACATCATTTCATGGTGCTTGGAGAGACGTATCAAAGAATGCAGAATACTTTAAGACAGTAGACTGGGCAGACTTCCTTCTGTTTGTTGTTCTGACTCTAGTAGCAGAACGGATAAGAAATATACCTGCACGGAAGGCATTGCTTGGCCTTGTACAAGTGTGCAATTTACTCATGAGCTGGGAGTTATCAGTAGAGGAACAAGCCTCAATAAAAAGGTATATTAAATATCATTATTTGTTACTCTTTTTTAAAAATATATACTAACTTCTATCTTAGAGAACTTGTTGAATGAAATGTGTACCTTGAGACTCTGCTTGCCAAGGACAAGGTCGATCTTAAGGTTTTCACCATTAACCAGCACCTCTTACAACACTACCCAGATATGATCGAAGCATTTGGCCCGCCAAGATCATACAATGCTAGATCGGTAGAAAGAGCAATTGGTGAGTACTCTAATGTCATTAAGAGTAACTCTGCCATCGGAACCAATGCTGGCAATATCATGCTTTGCTTGGCACAGACCAGACAGATAGAGCACACAAAGGCATATATAGCAGCAAGACTTCTTGTATACAAAGATTTCTCTGCTGGTTAGCCGATGACGGGTGAAGGTGAACGTGTTGGTGCTGGGTCTGATATTGAGTTCTGGGGGCCTTTGAGGAATAGAACGATTCGAGATAGTTTTGAAGGCATTTCATGTCTTTCAAAACTTCTTGAAGACTTTTATGATTCAAAGGGGGAAGAGTGTAGCATGATTGAAGCAGCTATACAAACTAGCTGCAAGGCATTTGTCAATGGTTGTGTGATTGACTCTGCGCTCGACCAAAATTGTGTAAGAGAGGCACATAACATCAGATTACAGATTCAGGTTGATGAGAACCGCAACATTGGGCAGAGCTACTCTCCAATCTATAAGGATTTCTTTGGGAAGGTTGTCGTTTTCTTTGAGCACAAGCTTAACAACAAGAGGTGACTGCTTGCTCTTGTCCAGATATATGCCATCCATGAAATGAATAGAATTCATGTTGTGACAAATGTACATGCGAAGCCAAAGGTTGTTCATCTGGCTGGTATAAAAGAGCTGGTTGGCTTGGTGGTGTCTACAGCCACTAATGGACAGTATATTGTCTGGCTGGAACTGAATTGTGGGCTAAAATTGTTGCTTGGTTATCATGCAGACATATAATTTGTTTTTTTTTTGTGTAATACATTTTTTTTTCGAATTGTCTTAACTTTTTGCTGAGAGGATAAAATATACTTAGATATTTTTCTCTCTTTTACCTCTGACTTTTAATAGTCATCAGTTGCAATCTACATCTACTAAAAATGTAAAATCTGTAGTTAAAATATACTTTTGTCTATCAGGAGATTTAATTTTTGGTGTTCAATTTGCCTTTTGTCAACCTTTTCAAAAAACAGAGACTTTCTTGTTTCATTTTGAATTTTTGATGATTTTTTAATTATTATAGACCGAAAAGAAAGTCACAAATTCGAAAATCCCGAGTTTTTTCCCATAGTGATATAGTATATTATCTTTTTAGGGAATATGTCTATATATTCTTGTTTTTGAGGTATGTATAATAAAAAAGCAATATTGTACTTTGTAATGTAGTTATCTATCTTGGGTCTCATTAGCTGACAATTAGCCTTTTCATCATCTGGTCAAAATGAGTTGAGGTAATACTTGCACACCTAGTTTACAAAGTAATTGAATACTAACCATCTTTTATTCATTTTTATTTGTAGAGATTCTAACTTTTATGAAATTCATCTCAGCAAACTCAAAGGTAAGCTTTCATTTGATTTATATTTTTAAACTGAAAATACTTATTCATATTTATATTTTACTAGATTGCTTTTGTACTTCACTATTACAGGTGCTCTTAAGTGCTTTTGTCTTCAAAGATTATCAGAAATATAGATTCCATGACCCTATATTTAGCTTAGAATAACTAGATTTAATTTATTATATATTTCTGCTCATAAATTATATGGTGTAGCTATAGCTTAGCATTTTTTTCTACTTTGAAACAAAAAATAAAAACCAATTTATTTAAAACACAATTTTTTTGAACCATTTTTTTGAAAACCCATTTTTAAATCCATGATTTATTTTGACCAGAATTTATTGCAGATAATTTGTCTATATATGGGCATATAAGATACATCTATATTCCTACACAAGAAATTTCTCTGGTGGTTATTTGTTAAAGAGCGGAGTTATAAACTAATCCATAATAGGCAGGAGGTGAAAAAGTGGGTAGGCAAAAAACAACTATCTGGACGACCTCCTGAGCAGGCCCCCAGTGAACCCCCAGAAGCACCTCTTTTTTTCTGTAGTGTCACAAAAATTACGCAAAAAAATTGATACTGAGAAGAAGAAAACAGAAGGTTTAAATAATAATTATAATAATAATAGAGAAGGAGCATCATTTTATTTATCAAAAAGAATATTATTGAAAATGAACCAGTAGGAACCGAACTTGCTCAAATTTACAATGTAAAATGGGTTGCGGAAAATATGCAAATCTAACTTACAAACAAGATTCATATTAGCAATATCAGAATGCTCACCTGTCATTACAGTCTTGGCATAGTTATTGTTTCTGTCATTATCCGTATAAGAAACAATGCTAAGAAACTTAACAACAGAGCCTGAGACAAGTCCTATACGAGGGCGAGAGATTGGATCATCTCTAAAAACAAATGTGCTAAAACTGTTGTTTTGGATGGCATCATCTTCAATATCTCCAGAGTTGTTGTTGTCCTTTAGCTCTCTCGAGCTGCCAAAGAAGGTGTAATAGAATAAGGATTTATTGTTGTCCTTAATAAACCTCTCTATTCCAGTTCCAGACTTCTCTCGGTTGCCAGAACTATTAATTCATGACCCGCCATCAATTACATGTTGTAATGCTACCTGCTTTGCAAACTTCAGGCAAACATCCCTGGAAGTGTTTTGGCAATTTGTATGAAACAGATGTTCATGAATGTGCTTATTGAACTGTTCGCCCTTTTCTGTTTCATAATTGAGGGCTGATCCAAAACGAATTATATCTTCCTTGAGATGTGTCAAGTAATGAACTTTTGGCTTGGTGCAATATGCCTTGTGGAGCTCATTCTTGGTTCTTTATCGTAGTCAAACAATGCTCTGATCAAGCGCTTCACTGCATTATTTACTCTGATAATATAGTTATCAAAGTTTGATGTCATCTGACAAACAAATACCAGAGAACACAATTGGCCAAGTTCAACAAAGCATGATATTACAAGGTCTAGCTCATGATTTCCAGAGAATTCTGTAATTAGAATTACAGAAAGTATTTGAAGCAGAACCTTGAAATCTCTACTGAGGAATGAACCACTATGTCTCAAGTTTTGGGTGAACTTTCTTGATAGACCAGTTGATTGCGTGTAATCTGTCAAGAATTCTGAAAGTCTTGCTATTGTGGCTGTGTCATTCTTAAGCACGACCTTAACCAAGTCAATCACCATATACTTTGCAACACCAAGAAGTATTGTGTGGAGGATTTCCACTGGTGTATCCTTTTCTGAATCAAACGACTGCAATTCTAATAAGTGGCTAGTCAAACAATCTCTAAAGCTTATCTTGTTTGCAGGCGTGTTCATTCCAATTTTCAGAGCATTTGAGATCTTAGTGTCTCTGCCAGGTGACGAGTTTACAAGAACATAGTGCTTTCAAGTTTGTCTCTCATGACACTCACAGAAGTAGGACAAGTCCTTCACAAAGTCTTTTACAGTCTAAGTTCAATGTAGTATCTTCTGCAAGGAAATATGGTAGCCAGCTCAAGTAATCCGCAAAGTTCCGAATGACATGCCATGTCAGCCTCAATCCAAAGGATGGGAGCAACAACCGGAACATACTCATTGTCTTTAATGGAGAACATTTTTACACCTTTCTTGAGTTTCTTAAGGTCATCAACGATTGCTGGCAAAAGAGACATACCATTTGCACCATCTTTCTTAGGGATTGTAGAAAGAAACTGGATGTTTGCTATCGAATTTTGATCCTTAAAAGGCAAGGTAGTGCATCTCATTAACTAGCATTCAAACAGATTGTACTGCTTTGAACAATTGCCGGAAGTGTCATCTGTAAAAAGGATGATTAAAACAATCCTAACTTTGTAAAATACTGCATTGCAATCTATATTACCAGGCAAAACAGAAAAAGGCATAGGCTTCTTCATTCGATGAACTCCAAAAAGGAGAAAGTCATGAGAAGGACTCAATCTGGTAAGGCTACTTGAAATACTGTAGTAGTAATCTCTTTCAACAGGAGTGGTGTCAACGTGAGAGATCTGCTCTACTCTAAGATTGGTAACAGCAACCTCAGCGTCATAGCATACAATCAAAATTGCTCTGACCAGATACTCTCTCGCAAAAATGTTTTTGTTTGCCATGTGAAACGATTCAACCAAAAAGTGAATGCTGCAATCGTTTGTCTTCAAGTAAGCAATGTTTCCAAACCAGACATCTATACTATTTACAGTGTGCATAGGCTGCTGAAAGAGATGGTGAGTTCTCCACTTTTCACCTTGTTCCAAACAGATCGATTGGTTTGGGGTACAATTGGGCATGGATGTGATCAACTTAGATTTCTTTGCATTTGCCATAAGAAATCTCAAGTGGTCAGATGGAAGGTTAATATGGGCAAATGTGTTCCCATTCAATCCAGGTACTGATATTCTTTGTAAAGGAAAGACAGGCATCTTAGACTTCTTTCTTGTCTGATAATTTAAAAAAGCATCCAAACGAGGTAACTTAAATGTTCTTCCTATGAGAGTTTCTTGCTGGATCTTAATGATCAAGTTTATTGCAAGCAGTATCTTTTTCAACATTTGCTGGGAGATCATGTCATAATCCCCATTGATAAAAGCAAAAAGGATCATGGTTTGAAGATCGCAAAAAGGATAACAGCTTGTAGGGTCATTTATAGTGCCAATTGTCTCAAAGACATCTTCCGGGATCTCAGAGTTATTATCAGCCATTGATACTTTATCAGCAGCAGCAGCAGAAAAAAACATGTCAGAGAACGCGTTGAAAACTGGATTACTGTTCATTTCAATATCAAAGAAATTATTGACAATATCGTTTTTCTCATCTACAATGTTGTCTTCTTCATCCCCAATACTGGAGGAGTCATCTTCGTCACTCAAGTAATCAAATGCATTAGCATCTGGAATAGTGTTCTCGACTATCAATTCGGCCTGATCGGGTTTGTTGAGTACAGTATTGGTTGCCATTTGATTACTTATATGGTGAACCTTCGAATGCCTTTTCAGTAACCAAGGCTTTTTGAACTCTTTTTCGCATTCAGAGCAGGTAAAAACATCTGAATTGATGCTAAAGTTAAGTTCGCCTTGCCTTTTAGGGGGGCAAGTCTTAACAATTTTATATGTTTCTTGTCTTGTATTCTTTTGCATAATAGTAAATTGATTGTAAAAACAAAGGGGGAAAATGACTTTGCGAAAATAATTGAATTTATAAAATGTGCAAAGATCGATATTTAATGTCAGCGGACCAATTATAATTTTTTTTACTTCTTTTCTTTTAAGAAAATATAGCGTGTTTTTGTCTTCTTTTTCATTTTACTTTTCCACAAAATATTTATTATTTGCATGAGCTTCCATTTGTAAGATATTCCAGTATGCTTATAGTATTTATAGAAGTAGAATTTCGCTTAAAGACTATAAGCTCAAAGGTATTTATGCTATCAAAGTTTTTTATGTCATTGTGTTTATTAATCATACAATTTTAGTTTATAAATTAGTTTTTCATCATCTTGATAAATCAATAAAGAAGTAATAACTACATGTTTCTCTTACAAAGCAACAGAAGACCAACTATTTACTCCTCACTTGCAGAGATTTGGCTGTCTTTTATTGCAAATGCCTTAATAGAATCAAAGATAAAATTCTGTTAAATATATATAACTAAGTTTAATTACTAATTATTAGTTCTTCTGCTTTAGCTTTTCTCAAAATTCAAACCTTTATGCTCTTTGGGTTTATAAGCATTTCTGGAACTGGGTCTCTTGAATTAGCTAGACATAGTAGTTTGCAGCAAACCAATTGCATAATTTACAGGCATAAGTATAAACAGCTATACTACTAGTATTTCTAGTGGTATAAATATACTGGTGTGCTACTGCCTGTAGATTTTGTGGTCCAGTCTAGCTTTTTTTTTAGCCTAATTTTTTTTGAAAATAAAAAATAATTTTTTTACAACCCAAAATTATTTGAAACAAATTAAAAATTTGAATTATTTTTGAAATTGTGCAGTACATTTTTTAATTGAAATCTATTGGCTGAGAGTAGTTCCCCCATCCTCCCACTTTTCAGTCCCCCAAAAAATGAATTTCCTGTTATGAGCAAAATTCGCCCCGTATACAAGAATCCTTTTAAGGAACAAGATTACACAAAAAAATCTGCTGTGGTGAAAGCTGTTCAAGTAAAACAAAGCAGTGAATAAGAAAATTTGGAGGCTGTATTAAGTAATGAAAAAATAACTCTGTTAAAATTCGGCAAAGGCAAGGATTTTCAGCATATAAAACGACCTTGTCAAAATTTACAAACAAGAAAAAATATATGATTTTTTTTTGTTTCTTACATAATATTAGTAAAAGGTGCCTAACGCAAGCAATATTCTAAGATAAAACTTAACTCATTTAAGATATAAAGATATATACATATTTTGATTAATAAGTTACAGCTTTATTTTCAATTATTTATTATTAAAGCATACCTCTTTAACTTATAAAAATAAGACAAGTAGAGAGAGAATGACTTGACGTTTTTTTTTAAAAACATTTCTTTGAGTTTCAACATTGGTATTAAAAGTCAGTAGATCAATGAGAATTTTTTAAATCGATTTTGAATAAGTGTGGGATTACATCCTTCGCATTGTTTCTTACTCTACTTTATCAACAAAAGTTTGTTCATTACGTTTGTTTAAATTTAGTATACTATTTTTGTAGGAGACAGGTCTATATATTTTTGTTTTTGAGATATGTATAATAGAAAAGCAATATTATACTTTGTGATATAGGTATTCATCTCAGGTCTCATTTTTTGACAATTAGCTTTTCATCATCTGATCAAAATAAGTTAAGAGGTAATAACTGTATACTCAGTTTACAAAATAATTGAATACTAATTATCTTTTATCTCTTCTTACTTGCAGATATTCCAACTTTCATGAGATGTATCTCGGAAGACTCAAATGTAAGCTTTTATTTGATTTATATTTTTTAAGCTTGAAATACTCATTCATATTTATATTTTGCTAGGTTGCTTTTCTATTTAAGAATTGTGAGTGATATGGATTTCCTGACTTTTCATTTAGTTTAGAACAACTAGATTCAATTTATTGTATATTTTTGCCTATAAACTATATAAAATAACTTAACATTTTTTCTATTTTGAAATAAAAAATAAAAACCATTTATTTGAAACAGAATTTATTTTGAACCATTTTTGATATTTTGGAAAACGCATTTTTAAATCCGTGTTTTTTTTCAACCAGAATTCATTGCAAAAAATAGTCTGTTTATAAAAGACAGAACTATTTACTCAGCTATGTAGCCCCATTTTGGGAGTATAATTACACAAGAAAAATCTCTGGTGGTGTTTTAGAGCAAGCCTACTTTCTTAAATAAAATACTATGAATCCAATTAGAAAACAGTAGTCACTCACAGCAGCATTAGAAATATCACTAAATAATATGCGGAGTAAGAAAAAACATGCTTAATATAGTGATAGTAATAAAATTTCTGTTCCCTATCCATATCACTATATCGAGCTTTGACTATATGTAGAACGCATCATGACTGGGCAGATCTCAACAAGCTTTTTATGGATACAGCTACTCACTTCCAACTGGTCATGCTGGTTTGTTTTTTATTGTCACATAATAAAAACAAGCACGGGACAAGGAGAAGAACTTTCACTCTGAAGATTTACAGTTTGCAAATCCAGTAGCTTGGTCATTTGTGCTGACTGCCCATGCAAAAAGAGAAAATGAGACAGCAGAAAGTAAAGACCATTTCTCAAGTCTGTTTCAATCTTTTTGCTGAAGTATTAGTCAAAAAACATGGTCATTTCTTGGGTGGTTATATATCCATCATTAGGTGCTTGCCACTGCCCAAAAATTTATTGGCATGAAAAATATATCAGCATCGCAAGCATTCTAAAAAGAACATCACGTGTTTTTTATTTTTGTCTCGTTTTGGAAAAGTAAGAAGATGTGCTAAAATAATCTGCCTTTTTCCTTTTTAATTATCTTTTCTTAAACAACAACCTTTTATTTAACATCTTCAAAATAAACAATAACAACATCAGCACTGATTCTTCTGCTGAGATTCTTTGACTTCTGGCCTTTATTATTAATTCTCACAGAAATGCAAACTTAACCAACGTTGAACTGCTCTTGAATCAAATGAGTAAACAACATTTGATTTTGCGACAACAAATTGAATGGTCCAGACAGCAACTTCTGGATTGTGTAGCAAACATCATGATTGAAAGTTCGCGGTTAGTTAGTTGCAATTAGTTCTTTATGATCTACACTTGCAGACCACACTCATTCACTCTGGAACGTGGCCCTCAAGAAGTAAATCATGTCAGATATGGTGTTTTTAGACAATGTTGGTATGTTTGCCACCCAACTTTGACTGACGATCTTGGGAGCAACAGCTTCCAGCTGCAATATCAAATGAGCCATGCAAACTTCGAGTTACTTCTTAACATTGTTAGCCAGCATCAGGTGTACGAGATGGCTTCAAATAACAATAGCTATCCTATTGAAATTCAAGTTGCAACAGTTCTTTGGTGCTTTGTAAACACACATTTTGGTTACTGTCTCACTGAACAGTTTCTTGGTGTCAGTGCTGGATCCTATACACAGTTTACCATGCGGTTCATTACTGCCATGTCAGACTATTCTGATAAGTTTGTGAACTGGAGAGTCTATGACAGTGAAACAGGAGCAAGAAGGGCGGCTGAATTCGAGCAACCTGAAAGACATGGTGTTAGTCTATCTGATGTCATCGGGGCAATTTATGGAAAGCTTATTTCTATTCAAAAGCCCTTTTTACATGGAAACTCCTGGGTGAATTGCCACAACAACTCTTCTATAAATATCCTTGCTGTGTGCAATGCTAACAAGTGCTTTATATTTGTCAGAACAGGACAATCTAGTAATATTTTTTTGAAGAAATTTCTTATAAAGCTTTGTACTAATTTATTACTTCATAATGTGAAAAATACTTAGGCCATGTCAACGACACAAGGCTATTCACAGATAGCTCTCTCTATATAAACATGCTTTTTGACTGAGATTAATACTTCCCCAATGATACAGTCATTCTCGCAGATAATTTTTTATGTTAAAGCTTCTGTTTAACAAACATACATCTTTTAATTCAATGTTTTATTAATATAGATTCTGCATTTCCAATTATGGAAAACATACTCCCTCCATATCCCATTGCAACAAGCGTTCAACAAGAAGTATGCAAAAACACGCCATTACATTAAAAATATATTTGGCTTACTTATGCAGAAATGGCGTTTTTTGTTAAGACACTTGTACTTTTTGGATATCAACAAGATAACTCTTACCATTATCACTTGCTGTGCTCTTCACAACTTTTGTTTGGATAATAATAACACAGCAAGGAATATCTCAGAGGACACTCTTTGTACTTTCAAGAACTAAGTGTGTGGTTTTGATGCGTACACAAATGGAGGTAATGATGATGACGTAGAGATAGAAGTTGAGGATCTCGATCCATTTATGAATGAGATACCTGTGGATTTGGAGAATGCTTCACAAACTGTGAATATCTCTGTGAAACAACTCCAGTCTGCACATGATCTTTCTCAAGAAAGCAGGAGACAGAGAAGAGAAAGAATGACAGAGGTCATGAGACCATTGATGGAGACCCAGACGAGACAGTTCCAGGCTGACTTTTGAGAGCAGCAGAGGCAGCAAAGATGCCAACAAAGACAAGACAGCCAGCTGAGAGTGATCTCCAGAATAGGGGGCAGAAGGAATAACAATCAACATAACCAATAAAAAACCAATAAACAAAAGATAAACAAAGGTTGTTTTTTATATTTTCAGTTTAACATTTTATAGAACAAAGAAAAAAATCAACTAGCTATTGTTATCATTATTGTTATTTTCACCGTTTCTATTTCTAGTGTTAAAGAAAGACCCAATAATGCTTAACAGGTGGTTATTGGACTCTCTTGCAATCCTTTCTAACATTCCAACATCTGTTGGTGCTGTTGCTGTTAGTCTTGTCAAAGCACTTCGCTCTTCTCTCTCATTGAAGCAGCGAGAGAATGCAAGACTTTTTTGTGCATTCTTCACTCTCATGGTACATGCCCAGAAGCCTTTCAAAGAGCATGCCATCTCTTTCTGCCTCATATTCTTCCCTTGTTTGTCTTGTACCTCTGGTGGGTAGCCTACTAGAAGGACCAGCACTATTTCTGCTATTTGACGTGGCTGTTGCAATATTCGTGTCAGAAGTACTGAGAAGAGAAAGTTCAACAGATGCAACAGCGGAAGCAGAAGCAGCTGTGGTATTTCAGGTACGAAACAATAAAAAAATAAAATATTTGATAATAGAGACGTATAGAAATACTTTGAGACTGTATATCAGTTTTTTTTATTCATAAATAAAAAGTGTCTCTTTTTATAAGAAAACACAATCTGCTCCTGTCATTACGTCTTAGTTTCTTAAGACTTTCTTCCTTTACTATATTTGGTTATTAGAGTGTATTTACTGCTTAACTAGTGTTGGTATTACAATTATGACATCAAGTCATAAATTGTACTTCTTTAGCTCTTAGCTATTCTTTTCTCTTTTACACTAGAGCTTTAGGACTTCCTACTAAATTAGCTCCATATCGATCTGACACAGTTTACCCGGCAGTATGATATAATTATCTTAACAATCTTTAAGATATTATCTACAGTACTAATTGTAATAATTATTGGGCTGATTACTTAATCGTTTATATATATTTTATACTGACAAGATGATAGCTACTACACTATCCCAATATGAATATGTTCTTATATGTAATAAATCCAACATCCAAGTGTCTGGATCACCACATTATCCCCACCCAAGTATTAACTAAATACCGTTCAAGTACTCTAAGCAATTCTTCTGATCAGCTTGTTCTCTTTTTTTTTTAAACGAGTACTGTGGTGCTCAAATAACTCTTTATTTAGATCTTACTGCGTTTCTTCTTTTGATAAGCTGTCTTTGCATAATTCTTTCTTTTAGTACCTGAATTTTCTTTAGGTGCGGAATATGCAACTTTCATATCCTTTAATAATTTCGTATTGGCCTTATTGATGTCTTTGATACCTTCTGGTGCTTCACCAATTCTTTGCCAGTATTCCTTTATGAACTTAGGATCAGTAAAATGATCCTCTGGCTCCCAGGTATCGTGAGACTCATCATAATCCAACCATTTGCATCTATACAAATAATTGTTCTTGTCATCTTTCATGTGCCCAATAATTGCTTCGACTTCAAAAAAGTTATTCTTTTGCTCTAATATCTTGTCAGAAACTTTTTTCAATAAAGAAGGAGGATAATTCCTTGGTTCTAAAAATCCCTTTTCATTTTTTAATACATAAGTATTGGCAGCAGTCTTTCTAACAACAGTGTAGAATCCTTTATACTTTGGATCTAATTTATTCTGTTTTTCTGTCACCAAAATCATTACCGTGGTTCCTGGAACCAGATCTATCATTTTGTGACTTCCATCAAAGCGTTCCTTTTGCTTTTCTGTGACATGCTTTACGTGTTCAAACATGGCAGGGTAGACTATCTCAGTCATTTCTTTAATTTTTTCTTGCAACTCTTTCTGAATCTGTTCAGCAGTTGCACTATCCTTTTCTTTACTAAAATCGACAAAGTCATTTGAATTCCTTCCAAACATTAATGAGAATGGCGTACTCTTAGTCCTAGCATTATACTTGCTATTCAAAAACAACTGTGCAGATGGCACCTTCTGATCCCAATCAGCGACATTACCAACTATTTGTTTTTTAATGGTGTTCACTGCCGGCTGGACAGCTCTTTCACTTGCACCATTAGCTCTAGGATGGTACTGCGAAATCAACGCATGTTCAAAACCAACATTCTCTTTTATACATGTCATCAGTGAGTTCACAAACTCCCGTCCACAATCACTCTGCAACTTTCTCATCGGACCCCATGTACTAATGACGTCCAGTACTTGTAACGCAATTGTAGCTGCCCTTTTATCAGGTATGGCACGCAATACATAAAATTTGCTTGCGATGTCTATCATCACTAACAGGTACTCATTTCCTCTAGTCGACGTTGTAAATGGCCCAGCCAGATCTATTCCCCAACTGTCACCAGGAAGTGTTGCAGTCACAGGTCTTAAAGGATTATAACCTTTTCTTGTGATATTATGATGTTGACACTGTATACACGATTGTATAAGATCATTTGCTTGACTCTTCAAGCTGGTCCAATAGATATCTTTTCTCTTTAAGGCGTGTAGTATAGCTTCTACACCAAAATGACCTTTCAAATGTTCTTCAACTAATAACTTATTCCTTTCATTTTCTGTGGGAGGAGTAAAGTACTCACCACTCAAGATGTCTGGTAGCGGTTCCATAGTGACAGTACTATTTCTCATGATGGATCTAACCACACTATCCCCACCCAGTTCATTTGATAATGTTTCAGTCTCTTCAGACAAACGTGACAACGCATCAGGAAGCACATTTGAAACACCAGGCAAATGAACGATCTTAAAGTCATACTGTAAAATTGTGTCCATCCATGCGATCATCATCAGATTCGCAACACGTTGGGTGTGAAGATATGTCAATGCCTTGTGATCCGTGTACAAGATAAAGTGAGAACCATAGACATACTTGTGAAAACGCTTGAGTGCAAATACTAATGCTAGTAATTCTCTTTTGGTTGCAGAATACTTTCTTTCACTTTGGGATAAGCTCTTAGCCACAAAAGAAATATATTTTTTCTTGCCATCCTTGACTTGATACAACACTGCACCAATACCAGTAAGAGATGCATCACAGCTGATACTAAAAGGAGAGTTCATATCTGGGTACGACAACACCAGATCACTCAAAAGTGCTTTTTTCAAGTTATTAAATGCAGTTTGATGCTTATCTGTCCATAAATAGGTAATCGACTTTTCATTTCTCAATGAATCTAGTGGCAACATAATGGAAGATACATTCGGAATCAACATTCTAAAATAGTTGATCAACCCATAATAACTTTGGATATCTTTACCCGTCTTTGGTTGAGGAAATTCAACAACATTAACAAGTTTTCTGCGGTCCATTATAATTCCTTCAAGTGAAATATGAAAACCAAGCAAATAAATTTCTTTCTGAAAGAAATGACATTTTTTTGGATTCAACTTCAAATTGACCCTTGTTAATCTCTCAATCACTTGCTTCAAGTGTTTCTTGTGTTCCTTGAACGTTTTGCTTGCGCAAACAATGTCATCCACAAAAAACCGTACAAAAGATAGTCCTTCCAAAGCTATACTCATAGTTCTTTGAAATTGTGAACTGACATACTTTATACTAAACACTGTACCAATAGGTTTGTACTGTACACCACGCCATGTGAAACTAAGTTTGTGTGTGTTTTTTGGATTCAACCTCAAAGAATTAAACGCAGATTTCAAATCTAGAGTGGAATAAATATTCGCACCCTTTAAATCTTCAAACAATTCACCAATCAATGGCAAAGGCATACGATCAATTGACTTCAACAGGCAATTAATTAATCTGGGATCATGACAAATGCGATATCCAGTAATTTCTCCTTTACTGTTCGTCTTCTTGACAACAGTCAAAGGCGTATTCCATTGTGTGTTTGCAGACACTCTTTCAATTATACCATTGTCCAGCCATTCTTTCACCTGTTCATTCACTACACCTTGCATCTTGTAAGGAATGGGATAAGGGCTTCTGAACGCCGTAGCATTTTCTGGAGTGTCCAAACATACAACACTTTCAGGTATAGTACAAAACAAACCCTTAGGAATATCTTGATTGTCTTTAATGAATGGTCGAATATAATCCATAGCATCCTCAAACTGTTTGGGACCTACAGCCGAATTATTTTCCTTTTGTTCATTTTCTCTCTCAATAGATTCAAGAAGATCACTCTTATTATTGAAGCGTCTATCGGCTTCTCTACGTTCCTCACTTGAATCAGCATCATCATATGATAAAGGTAAATCATAAATACCAATACCAAGAGAAGACATATAATCAGTACCAATACTGAAATCATACTCATGACTATTAGTTAAATTCATCACTTCAAACTCACATTGAATAGTCTTACTATTGCAAGTTACACTGATCACACAAGTACCGATTCTTTTAATCTGGGTATTGCTATCAGCCAAACGAATAAAATACTTATGAACATTGTTTTTGTTCAATAAATCTTTATTAATGTGATTGATATAACTAATGGCTATTCCATTCTTCAAGCAAAAATTCTTGTCCACCGAACTGAACATGGCCCCACAGTCCAACAAGGAGATGGTTCTAATAGAATTATTTGCCAAAATAGGAAAGGTAATATTAGTGCTCATGTTCTTAAAATCTCTTTTAATAACCATGTTTTTAAGATTGTACTTACAATCTAATGCCATCTTGGCCAGAGCACTAGTGTTGTCTTGGTACTCTGACCAAGACAACGAGAGACTCCCCTCAACCACAGTGGAAGCTCTTGCTGGTCTACCAGCAGAGGAGCGGACTGCCATCCTTGAAACCTTTGTCAAGTACTTCTCCCGTTCCAGACAGGAGTGTCCCTTAACCCAGGGAGCCTTGCATGAGAAACAGATGCCATTCTTCATCGCCTTCTTGAAGTCCCATGACTTCTTGGGAGACTGAGAACCACCCTCGCAAGAGAAAGACCTTTTCTTTCCCTTGTGGGAACCAGCAGAGAGAGAACGCACCATTGTGAGCAGCAAACGAACTCCAGGAGGACGCGGCAGTACCATTGGCAGGATTATGTAACAAAGCAGTGGAGTCACTTGTTGACACACTCACCAACGAGATGATGTCCTCAATCTTTGAGGGCATCTTGGTGCCATAGTTGGCTGACAAAGGAATGAGACAAGCTTCCCGTACTCCAGATGCAGATTCCACCAGAAGCAGAGAACCAATTGAACACTATCGTCCAATGAGGCCTGGCGGTGGAACTTTTGGAACTTGGCACCAAAAGAATGAGCGGATTCTCCTTTGCCTTGTTTCATGCACCAGACACGACCCATGTTCAGGAACTTACAGAACGGCATGTCATAGTGATCTAGAAGAATACTTTTGGCCTTCTTCCAGTTGTAGGCCTTGCCTTTGAGCTTGTTCTCAAACCAAGAACGTTCTTCCTTGTTCAAACAAGTGGGCAACAGACGTTCCCAGCAGGAATCCAAGGACAGAGAGTGTGCTTCCAGGACTGTGGTAAACTCCTGGCAGAAGTCATACACCAAATCGAACACATTGCGGTTGGCCTTCACCAGAGGACCCTCAGAACAAAGCTGGAGAAAAGGTAGGTTACTGGGAACCAGAGTGCTTCTCTTGTCATGAGGCTTAGACGCAGGAGCAGTGGAAGCCTTGAGGTCCTTGAGGATTTGCTCAGCCTCAGCAAACAGTTCTTATGCTTCCTTTGCACCCTTGGAAGCAGACTTGGCAGCAGTAGAGGTGGGATCCCTCTTGGAAACACCCAAGTAGTGGCCTAGAGCGGCATAGTAGTTGCCCTTCTTAGCGTTGAGGTCCTCCTCAGCAGAAGCCAGCAACATTTCCACGGTGGCCACAAGGTTGTTGTTCACTCTGACTCCAGAGTTACCCAAATAGATGCGAGGAGAATTGGCACCCTCATAACCAGAACGGACAGCATCGGAACCAGAAGAACCTTCTTCAGAATCAGAGGCACCGTCCTCAGAACCCAAGGGAGTCATCACGGTATCACCATCGTGGTCGGCAGAACCAGCAGCAAAAGGAGGAGGAATGACACCAGAGTTGACACAGGCGGTTTCTTCACCAGAAACGATAGTAGATTTGACAGCGGATTGTTGAGACATTTTGAGAATTCAAAGTAAAAAATGTGGTATTTCAGGTACGAAACAATAGAAAAATAAAATATTTGATAATAGAGACATATAGAAATACTTTGAGACTGTATATAAGTTTTCTTTATTCATAAATAAAAGGTGTCCCTTTTTATAAGAAAACACAATCTGCTCTTGTCATTACGTCTTAGTTTCTTAAGGCTTTCTTCCTTTACTATATTTGATTATTAGAGTGTATTTACTGCTTAACTAGTGTTGGTGTTACAATTATGACATCAAGTCATAAATTGTACTTCTTTAACTCTTAGCTATTCTTTTCTCTTTTATACTAGAGCTTTAGGACTTCCTACTAAATTAGCTCCATATCGATCTGACACAGTTTACCCGGCAGTATGATATAATTATCTTAACAATCTTTAAGATATTATCTACAGTACTAATTGTAATAATTATTGGGCTGATTACTTAATCGTTTATATATATTTTATACTGACAAGATGATAGCTACTACACTATCCCAATATGAATATGTTCTTATATGTAATAAATCCAACATCCAAGTGTCTGGATCACCACATCTGCTGCACAATTGTCAATCCAATGCACAATCTTTTCTTAGGCACTGCCAAGAGAATGATGGAGAGATAGGTTGCAGATAGGATAATTGATGATAAAAAACTCGTTGCCATGCAAAAGGCAGTTGAGAAGATAGTGTTGCTGCCTGATTACACGTTACTTGAGACAAAGATTGCAAAGGGGTTTCCCTATATGAAAGCCAGTGAGTGGAAGTCTTGGTGTCTTGTATACTCTCCTGTTGTGCTTAAAGATGTTTTGCCGCTGAACAAGTTTAGGAATTGGATACTTTTTGTCAAGGCATGTCGAATCTTAGTTATGCCAAATGTCTGCAAAAGTGACATTTCCTCAGCCCACAAGTATCTTGAGAATTTTTGCAAAGAGTGTGAAACATTGTACAGCTTGGATCTAATCTCTCCAAACATGCATCTACATCTCCACCTGCAAGCCACCATTCGCAACTTTGGACCTGTATATAGTTACTGGCTGTTCAGTTTTGAACGATACAATAGTATCCTAAAAAACATAAAGACCAATAGGAAAACTGAATTCGAGCTGACGTATACAAGACAATTCGTTGAGGATGTTTATAAACAAGATATAATCAGCCATATTATGGAATCTACTGATACTCACACATATATGGATATCTTTCAAAAAAATCACAAAACATCAACAAAAAGCAGCATCAACAATAACCCCATACTCTCAATTCTCTTTTTCACTCGCCAACTTTATTACTGCTATGCTGGATGTATTGATATTGATTAAAGGCAACAAACCTCTCCCACTAACTGCATTTCCTTTGGCAAAGAAACTATTGTCACTGATGCCAACGCCTGAATACAGCTGCCTCGTTGACTACTATCAGGTTGCATACAATGATGGGATGATCTCCAGTTGCAAAAATGGCATGACGAGTTTGTCATTTGTAAATGATCGTATTGAGATATTGAAGTCTATTAACATACTAGGGCAAGTTTATAAGGAATGTAATGGCAATGGACGTGGTTCCTACATCCAAGCTTTGTTTGAAGAAAATTGCACGAATGCCCATTATGGTTATGTTGGAGAGATTCAGTACATTTTTGTACACTCATTCACACCCACAAACTCTCTCACAGCACCCAGTAACCAGAATCATGAACATATCTTTGCCTTTGTTAGATGGTTTAAAACAACATCAGACACACACAGACAACCCAAAGGTATTGAAATCTATCATGCCAACTTCTATAAATTGGATTTCCAAAGTATACTGCCCATCCATCATATACTTCTGCCAGTAGCAATCATTGACTACAAAACCAGACGAAATGTCAATAGGAAGATTGCAATTCCTTTGCCACAGAAAATTTATGCTAAATTGTCTTTTCTTTTTATATATTCCTTTATTTTATATATTTTATTACTTTATTTATTTCATTCTATTTTACTTTGTTTATCAATATATTTATCTCTTTTCTTATTTCTATTTAGTATCATTTTTACTTTCAGTCTTGTTGGGTATAAATCAAGTATAAAGGACGCGCGTGTATGTAAATAGAAAAAATTATTGTTTAATTGCCCAGGAAGGCAGTGACAAAATCAGCCGACGTGGTACAGTAACATTTTTTTCTTCTCTCAAAAATCTGGGCATTCTTGGCTTTGCATTCCCTTTTGCTTTATGATTGGAATGCATGTGAAGTTTTATAAAATAAAATCAACAGTAAAAAAATTGAGACGTATATAAGAATACTTTGAGACTGTATAGAGGTTATCTTTATTAAAGAATAAAAAGTTGTCCTTTTTATATCAAGATATGATCTGCTTTGTTAGTCACACCTTAATTTCTTAAGTCTGAGTTCATTTAGATATTAGAGAGCTGATACTGCTATATTTATAATTTAATCTAATTGCAGTGTTCTCATATTAACTCAGTGCTTACTGAGCTGTCATAATTATAGTACTTACTGTAATTAATTATTGGTCTTATTGATTTACCATAAGTAAAATAAATAAATTATTCATTTGTTCTTGTAATGATAGCTGTTTTACTATAATAATAGGAATATGTTCTTAGATGTAATAAATCCAACAACCAAGTGTCTGGATCACCACAATGCATGCTTTCATCAATCAAGCCCAGAAACTTGTTGAACTATATTTATTTTATTAATATTCTACTACACCGTGATCACACCACAAGAAATAACTTACTTCATTGCTTCTCCAGCTGGGATAGACAACTTTCAACACACGCACTGGGAATCCAGGGAAAAGTTCCTCTGTGTCAGACTCGCCGTCCGACATAGCTCCTTTTTGGATAGCACCAAAAAAAGCCATCTCGGAATCTTCTTCCACTGTGAGACCCATCTCCTTGTCTACCACCCTCCAGTACCTAGTGTATATATCCTGGCGGCGAGTATGGATCTAAGAAAAAATAATAAGATGAGTACAAAATATCTTAAATGAATAACATGTTTTGTAATAACCTCTTTAATCCGGCTGGCAATTCTTGCCCTGCGGTTGTTGTCCATGTGCTGCTCAGGCAACGTATGTGCTTTATGATGGCAGTACCTATAGTTACTTTTTATCATAGATACTACCTTGCCAGGCCAAAAGCTGACAGCTTGGGGTTGGGCATGAATATACTCCCGCAAGTATGCAACAACAGCAACATTATCAGGATAGTCAACCTGCTCATCTACATTCCATCTTTGTCTTGCTTCATTCTCGGCAATCTCAGTAGGATCATTAGATCTGAAGTCCTTTTTTCAGATCTTCTCTCTGATCAAGGCCTAGTTACTACATGTTAGATTATTATTCGCTCCATAAGATTTAACATATTTACCAAAACTGCAACTTTTGTCTCTTCAGACATTCCATTGAAAGATGGTGCAACTGCTGGGAGAACTTGTCTACTTGTGGATGCCAAAGACATAGCAATTACACCAACTGTCTCGGTGTTTCTTCTTTGAACATCAATAAATTGACCAAATCTATTGTCCAGAGATCCAAGCATGGCGCCCATGTTATCAAGGCAAGTTGACATTTCTGTCATGCGCTGTTCTTGGGTAACAGCAGGTACAACAAGATGTTGCTCAACACGACCAGCTGCAACCTGGGTAAGACTATTTCTAGCATTAGATCTAGGGGTTCTAGGAGTAATGGGAGCCATTTTCTATACAAACATATGTTTTAAAATAAAACAAAAATACATTAATTTTTTTATTCTTACTCTTGTTATTTGCTTATACATTAAATAAATTCATACAGACATAGTAGAGTGAAAGTGTTGGAAGATTTGATTTTGGAGATCGAGATCGAGAAAGAGAATATTATGAAATATAGTGAAATAAAAAGATTCTTTTATATCTTTATTATTAGACTTCTTGAAGACGTGATATGAAAATATGAATCATTTTCTGTTTTAGATTTTTTCAATTTAATTCCCAGTATCTTGTTTTTCAGAAGACGAAGATTTTTATTTTTATACTCAATTTTTTTTTCCTTTTTTTCTTTTTTTCTTTTTTTTTGTTTTTTTTTGTCTGCCTTTTTGCTTCTTTTCTCTTTATTTAATAGTTTTCCTTTTATTCATACAATCAGGTAAAGAAATGTGATGTCTTTAAACTGGTCTACTATACTTAATTATTTTTGTTTTTGTTTTTGTTTTTGTTTTTATATTTCTTTTTTTCTAGATCTACTAACTTTCTAATAATTTTTGAGACACTTCTTTATTTATCAATAGGTCTATTCATACGGTTGAATATGTCTCTCTCTTTAACATAAAGGTAAAGCAAGTCAAACATATTTTAGTTTTATATTAATTTGTTTCTCATCTATTAGTAGATACATGTCCTGTGCACAATTACACATGTCTACTGCGGTAATGTACTTGGTAAGCTTACAAAATTATATATATGTTTTTATACTAATACTATATCTATTTGAATATATTACAGTATATAACAAGTCCATTCTTTCAATTTTGGAGAATTATCAGCGTCATTTATTGAGGTCAGTATATCTCTTATATTAACAGTTATTACCATTGTTAAAATCATTCTTTATAGTTATTGCCTGTAATATATACATAACAATTATAACTCTGGCATACTTGGCTGTAAGTATATGTATATTTCTTTAAATACAAAACATATTATTTAACTTTTTAATTAACTTTGTTTTTGTAGTAAACAGTAACAATTATATTTATATCAGATTCTTGACACTACTCTAGCTCATTCTCATTTACTGTACTATTCTTATATTCACTATTATTATAAATTCTCTCTTTTTACTAATGGTACCCAAACTACCTAATCTCAAAATAGTTGAGAGCTATGTGTATACTATATTATTACGCAATGTAATTCAAGAGAATTTTTTTTTACAAAATAAACAAGCCCCATTTGTAAACTATTTCCCAGATACTGTTTTAAAGAAGTATGAGAAGACTATCTTTCAGTCAATCAAATGAGAGTACTGAAGTTTATCTATAAAATAAGATCCAATAGAATTGCTTAAAACCTGAGAAAAGTATTACTTTCCTCTGAAGAAAGTATCAGTTTCACTTTTTTTCTTGCCTTTTTAAGAACAATAGAATTTCATGCTGTACATAAAAAAGAAAAAAGATCTATTTTTATTTTAACCTGCGTTTCTGAGCTGGCATATTAAGGTAGTACTATACAACTTTTTTAGCACAATTCTTTCACATAGAATCAATGTCCTCATTTCTTAGATTTAATAAGAACTATATAATAATGTCAAGAACACCCAAATCCTGAGTTTAATTAATTTTTTTACTCAGGATTCGGTACTCTTTCACATAGAGGAAATTGAACACTTTTCCCAGTGTAGTTCACTCAAATAAAATGTTTCTATTAATTGTGTTATATGATACTTAGACTTCCAATAGGGAAGAGTTTTATATTAACTTCTGGTAGGCTCTGGGGCCCTCCCGCCAGGGAGGGGGGAGGGGGGAGCATCGCTCCCCTAGTTTCTATCTAAAAACTATTCATAAACTTGACAATCTCTAGTGGTATTGATTCTGCGACTTAGTTACAAGTGCCAGAAAAGAAATACCAGATTGAGACTTGACAAAACAATTCAGATCAAAAACAACAATTTCAACTGTGGTGATACACCACGCATATTCTAATAGTCAATTAACTAAGTATATAACTATAATAAAGTTACCCTGGAAGAGGCTTAGTATAAATTATATTTGATAGTCACATTGATACCCAATTTTACATTTAATCAACTGTCATAACTGAAAGTCACAGATACACTACTTGCAGTAGTAAAGGACTACTGCAAGAAGGTACATACGAGTGCATAAAATACTCTCTCTCTTCATCATTCTGTCTGCATCAATATCCGTAGTCTTTTCATATAAAATAGCTTCATATTCTCGTCAATAAACATCATCTTTCACAAGCTCAACTCTTCTGCCTCTTACTTGTTCTACTCCGTTTCCTAAAACGGATAATATCACATTGTAAAGACCGCTGTTTATTACACAACAAACAATTCAGTTTGGCAGATCTTTGGTTATCTTTTATTTAATAAAATAACAAGTAAAATTGACTCTTGTGTTTTTAATTTATTTTGTCGGACATTATTTTGATGAATCCAAGAAATCGGGATAATTGACTGCAGCAGTTCTGTATGTCAAAGATACCTCATAGATAACGAACCGCAGTAATGTCTTGTAAAGATTAACCACAGTAACATCTTCTGAGCATCAACCGCAGTAAAAGGACTTCTCTTGTAATTAAATAGAGTATAATAGTTTACTGCGGATAATGCGCAGTATTAGTTTAGAAAACTATATAAGACAATTCAATTCCTATCAATAAAAAGCATCTTTGATCCTCTCTTTGATTTTACGTATACTCCTTGATCCCCAGTGGGTTTGACCTTTTGACTTTGTTATAGTAAAAGGAAGACCAACCCAGATCGGGAACGACAATTTTACCACATCAACTTTTGGAAAAGTAATACAAAAAGGTAAGTGTTGAGACTACCAGGGGTCGAACCTGGAATCTCCTGATTCGTAGTCAGACGCCTTGTCCATTGGGCCATAGTCCCACTTGCTATTTTCACAAGTAGTAAAAATTATTGGAGCACTAACCAAAATCGTATACTTGTTTGATGTGACATCAACTTATGGACAGACTATTAAGTTATGGACAGTACAAAGTCGTGACTCTATCTCTGGACATGACAAAGTCCGATTTCTTGGATTTATTTTCTCTCTTCCTCTTTTTCCTTTTTTCTTGCTATCAACATTTAAATTCCCACTGGACTTTAAATGCTTTTCCCTTTGCATTGCACTGGTTTCTTTACACTTCTTGATATTACTTCTTTAGTATGCTTCCCAAGAGTTCATATTTTTTAGTTGTTTAATTATTTTTATTTTTAATTATTATTAATTATTTCCTTTTGTGATTATGCCCAAAGACCTGCACCATGGTGGGATGAATGATAGTTGGGCCAAAAGTAGGCACATAACTGCCATTTTTTTGGTCGAAACCTAATAAAATCTCTACTGTTTGTTGTAATATAGTAATATCATTTGTAGCAATTTAAAAAAGTAACATGAAAACACTTTTTTTGTTGCTGTACAATATTTTCAATACTGTAAAAAATGTTTATAAGTTGTAATGACTACTTTGAGTATTTAAATATATGTTTTATTGAATATCAAAGATGTCAACAATTATTAAGATTAATAATTTTTGGAATGTGTAAACAAAATGGTAACATAACTGCAATTTTTTTATTTTTTAAACTACGTTCTTTTTTTTTAGATATTCTTTTTATCTTGATGAATTGACAATTTGATTTTATTTAAATTGTGTAATGGCATATAGAACATATAGGAAATGAAAAGAAAAGCATAAAGTGTATAGAGAATAAAAAAACCAGAGTATATAAAGAAGAAAAGAAAGACAGGGCATGTAGAAGTTAAAAAAAAACATAAGAAATAGAGAAAATTAAAAAAAGAATATAAGATTCAAGAATGATATAAAAAATATAAAAGATATAAGGATATAGAGCATATAGAAAAATAAGATAAAAATAAAAAGGATTACAGAATGGAAAGATTGCCTTTAGTAATGCACATGTTGTTATTAAAGATATAATAGGGTGCGATTACATAAAACTGGTTTCCATTCAGTAGGTATTAGACCAGACCAACTTGATGACAAATATCATTTACACTTATAACTGCATAAGTCGGTTGCGTTTGGTGGCCTAGTGTATGAGTGCTTTGTGACCATTGTTTGACGATAGGCACTGATGAGTTGTGACCAGCTGCATCATGTTCCTTCATGACCTCCATGAAAGCAAGAAAGTGTGGGAAGCCATGGAAATCTACATGCTGAAAGTAGAACTGTATTGTACCGACGAGCCAGCTGTGAACAATTACATTATGGTTGCTAAAATAAATAAATAAATAGAATGTAAGCAACTTTTGATTGTATATCAAAAAATATTATACTTACTTTCTATAGGGGCAAGTAAACATCACGTAATGGTTGCCACGGCTGGTCTTGTTTTTCTTTCTTTGGTACATCCATGAGATATATACAGTCGAGTCTATCCACAGACTTGCAGCTACAACAATAACAGAGTCACCAAACTCGTGGCCAGTCAAGCCTGTTGTTCTCTGGTAATATTTCAATAAAGCTTCCTTCACACTAGGGCCGCCTACACCTTCCACCAAATCATCGTTCAAATTAACAAACTGATGAAACAGCTCCCACAAATGTGCACTACTAGAATCATTAGGAAGGTCCATGTAGCTCTCTCTTCCATATGGCTTTGGCCAAATGAGGTTGATTTCATCACAGATGCTGATTGCCGTGCTGGTATAATTGTTAATCGCAAATCGCTTGATGAGAAAACTGGCATTTTGACCACCTTTTGATTTGGACTTTATCAATTCCAAGAAGATGTTAATTATGCTCTCCATTGAGCAAGTGAAGTAGCATCGCAGGGGGCCTTGCTGCTTGATGATATAGGGTATATCACTGGAAAAATAGGGTAATTTCATCTGGATCAAATGTACCAAAAATGTAGATGATTGAGCCGATATCATCACAATTTTTGTGATATATCATTTTGAGCAATGGTACGATATCATCTATGGTGCTGATGCGTATCATCATAACAACGGGTACACGAAAACCCAATGTAGAACGATTGTCAGTCCGCAAACTATGGAAACTGAATAAATATTGTAGTTACGCTTTACTCCTATCGAGTCTACCTCTTTATGTGTTATATTTTGAGGTCTATAAAGAGCTAGCGTCCCATATTATTATTTTTACCGGGTTTTTTTATTGGCTGCAGAAATGCTTTAAAAACTATCAAAGAGATGATTGTAGGTTTTTTACAATATAAAGAAATGATGATAGTTGGTTTTTTATACGTGCTCAAAGTGATGAAACTAGGTTTTTTATACACACAAAAGCAATGAAACTAGGTTTTTTTACAATGGAAAAGAGAAACAAAGCATGGGTAGATTTTTATAAACAAGCCTCTTTGGTTTGTTTATTTATTTTACTTTTATTTATTTATTTTTTGGAAAAACATTGGGTTATACATTTTTTGTTCAATTTTGTTTTATTTGATAGGAAAATCTTTTCTAGATAAAAATCCTAATTTCGCGACAGTTTTGATACTATAGCTATTATAATCGCTAATACTTCTTGCTCGCTATATATAATTTAAAGCCTTCCGGGAGTAGACATGGAATACATACTTTAATAGCGGGAATGCTATTAAAAAATGATTAATAGAAAAGAAGAATTAGTAAATGATTTAAATTGAAATTTCTTCATAAATACTTACAAGGCGGAGAAGACTTGACATAAAATTGATATAAACATGTTCTTCAGAATTATCAAGACAATACCAGTAGTCTTTGAATAGAAATACATTCTAAAAATGAATAATTATTAATATTGTGCGTAGTAAAGGCGTATTTATTAAATATATTGTAGTTAACTTACCAAATATTACTGATTATACGTCTTCGTGCATAATATTAGACATAACTAATAAATCATAATAAAAATAAATATATATCTATGAGGAAGACAAAAGAATAATTTGAATTTTTTTTAAGAAAAAAACTTACCATCATGTTCGATTAAGAGATGATGAGACTCAATGGAAATGAGTAGCAATGGCTAGACAAACAATATGATGAGTAACAAAGATCTGTAAGATAATGATATCTTACCTTGATATATCAGACAGAGTATAGCCAAACAAAGAGACACATATTTGGTATTGAGCTATAAAAGAAAGAAAAAATTATAAGTGAAATTGTAAAAACATAAGCAAAAGAGAAACAAAGAAAATATCAATAATAAATGTTGTTAAAAGAAAAAAAAAGGAAAAAAAAAAGACTTGTCTTAAAATCCAGTTTGACCCTGACAAAATGCGGGCTGTAAAAAGTAATACTCCAAAAGAAGATGACCACCGTCATCTTGAAATACTACTTTGTGCCTCATTGAGTTAGAAAAGAAGTTGTCTAAATGTGGATCAAGCGGTTGGGAGATGTGCTTAAATATCAAATGAAAGGTAGAGAGTTAATCTGCACCGCTTATCCTCTTTACTAGTATGTGAATTTTAAATATGATATAACAAGTGTAGTGAATTGTACAATATTAGTTGAAAATTATTAATATTTATTTTATTAACAGAAAATGACAAAGCGTATTCCTACTGCTCCCCGCCGACCCAACCTATGCATGAATGCTGTTCTTAATAGCACAATTGCAGGTGTTGTTGCTCCAATTGATACACCAACTCCAGAAGTAGCAGTTAACACAGCCCCTGAAGTTCAAGTCGCTGTGACCCCAATGGATCACGTCCTTACCTTGTTGGCAGCCAACAATGTGTCGATGCAATCCTTGCAAGAAAATGCAAAAGGAGTGACTGACGCAATAACTCATTTGAAGAATGGCCTGGATTTGTCCAACAAGACAAATGAATTTTTGAAGAACTCGGTCCTTCAGCTCATGACTGAAAATGCTGAAATAAAAAAGGCAATGACCAGCCAAAATTCCGTGATGCCTTCTGCTGTACCAGCGGATTCTTCTTCTTCCATGGATGATGATCTTGTCCTTGGAGCGAAACATCATCCCTTGATTTCTGTAAGTAAATTGATAATAATAACATTACTGATTAATATATCTAATACTGTTTTTATAGCAACTTATCAATAGTTACATCAAGAAACCGAACTTTGTTAGCACAGACCCGCTCAAAGTTGCTGAGAATAATAATAGATCAGCATGGTCAATGACTGGCACGTATGGCGACAAGTACAACAAGACACTTGCACTGGCTCTCTTCAAGTACCTGAGACCTCAAAGATGTTGCACAAATGTGTCAAAGAGTGTCATTATGAATATAATAAAGAATCACTACCAAAATCAAGTGCGAGTCTTCCGGACCTCAGCAGAGAAGATTATGGTTAGAAATAAAGCTGGAAGAAGACGCAACAGAAAGAAGACCGTAAGTTTTAAAATAAAGTTAATTTACTATTGATTTAATGTTTTAATACAATACTCTTTGGTAGCTTCTTGACCGTCGTATTATCACGTACCAGACATACACAGAGGCTATTCATGAGGGCATGAATCGATATGATTGCGGAAATATTCTTTCTATTGACGTGATGTCTGATGGCGAGTCGGATGGAAATAACAAAGTGCGGGCATATCGTCCCAGCTGGAGAACTGATGAGGTAATGTTAAACATCTATTTATGTTTTAAAGAAAATAATAATACTTTATTAATACTATTTATTCTTTAAACCAGCTCCAGACGTTTATTAGTACTATTGATGAACTTACTGTTATCCGTTTGAAGAAAAATTCAGAAAGCTTGAAAAAGCGCATCCCTTATGAGAAAGAAGTGAGCATTCCCGAGAATTTGGCAGTCACTTTACCAGATTGGTGCTTTTCAAAATAAATCATTTTTTTCTTGCCAACTATTTTAGAGTCTTTTTTCTACTTGTTTATGTTTACGGATTAGCATGATGTATACAGATGCATGTATAGCATGCCAAGTACAAACAAAAATTTATAGAAATAATAAAAAATAAACGTGCAGCTATATATATTAGTCTGTATTAATTAATATTTCTTTTTTATACGTGTTTTATTTTTGTATTTGAATCTAAATATATATTTTTCGTGGCAAAGGAACTACACACATCTGAACTTCGCCTTCTAGACCAAGGTGCTCGCCTACTGCGACTGGATAGCAGATTCTATGCACTGGGAGAATGCTGTTCATGCTGTCATCTTCGAACCCCACCTCATTCACCTCAACTCCTTCTCCTGCTCTGGGCTGAAGTAAAACTTCCTTGTACCATCGTACATATGCAAATACATGCTGGCTCGCATGACCAGCAAACGAGTTTACAGCAGTATTGACAAAGAGGTACTGAATTTGGCCCGCGTATGGCTTGGTACTTCTACCATCACTTGTCTCAAACAAGGCTTGCATGAACGACCCACGCTGATTCTTCGTTTTGCTCTTGTAGATTTGCCCAAGAAGATTGATTGATTCAAACTTCTGTATCCGATTGTTAACAAAATTATCGGAATGACCAGCCTGACGATAATGAACAAGAGTTTGATCATCGTATGTCTCGCGATAGTATTCCAACAAATGCTCATACTCGGATTCATCCATGGAAATCTCCCCCTTTAGAGCTAAAGGAAGTGCGGAAGGGGGCAAAGGCTCGTTTCCCTTGACGATATCAAAGTTGATCTCAGGAGAATCAAGAAAAGCATTGATATCGAATTGGATTGAGGTGGCAGTGGAAGTGGAAGTGGCTATGGAATTGGCAGTGGATGCAGTGAGCTCAAGGATGATCGCCGAATGCTCAGGTCGAATTATTGGCAAAGTTTGGCGAATAAGATCTCCCTGGTATGCTTCTTCAAGATACTTCTTCATATAGGTTCCCTCAAACCCGTCTTTTCTATTTGTCGCATAGTTTTTCAAGATACCATTGCATCTTTCGAAACTAAAAAGCCAATAGCCATAAACCGGGCCAAAGTTCAGTACAGTCTCTCGCAGATGAAGATGGAGATGCATGTTTGGCGAAAGGAATGGGGCTTTATACAACTTCTCGCACTCTCTGCAGAAAGCCTCCAAAGATTGATGGGCTTCATCAAGGTGAGCCATGGATATGCTTGGCATTGAGAGGTACTGGCATGCATTGACAAACGTTGTCCAGTTACCGAGATGAGCTTCAGGTAGACGACCACGCAGGAGAACAGGAGAGTACACCAAGCACCAAGACTTCCACTCGTCGGCCTTCATGAATGGGAAGCCACGCCCGATCTTTGTCCCTAATGGCGTGTAGTCCTCTGGCAGTACAAGCTTGTCAGCATCCAACTGCATTTCGGCCAAGTGTGCATCTGTGATGAGACCTGAAGATCTCCATTTCTCCATTATCCTCTTTGCTGTTCCGAGGTACAGGTTGTGCATCGGATCGATGACAGTGCACTCCACGAGGTTAAAGTAAACCAGGTCATGCAATTCTGACCATCGGACACCATTTTCCCTCTCCAATCTCTTTCTCTGTGCATCACTGCTGGCCATTCTCCACAACTCAGCATCACGGCGGTTTTCGGCATCAGTGCGAGGCACCCACTCAGAAAACACGAACCCAGAGTAGTCCACAGCATTGGAGTCTGGAAGGCGAGGGAACTGTCGGTTGCACTTATTGCATGCACATGTGCTTGAATGAGAGGTGAACCCACAAGTCTTACGGGCAGCAGGAATGTCGCAGGCAACAAGAAGAAGGGCAGCACGGACAAGAGCACCAGATGGGCACTGTACGGTAGGCATCACCACACCGCCATACAACTGGTTGAGTTCCGCGACAAGGGGACGGAGGTAGTGATTGATCTCACTTGTCTTTGCTTCCTTGGGCCCTGGCATGAGACCAACGAGAACAACATTCTCCTTCTTGTACCGTTCCGATCTTGGCAAGTTGTTGATGCAAAGGTATATCGCACCACAGGAGTAAGTGACCCCATCGAAAGGTTGAAACCAATCGATGTTCATGGTAAGCATTATGGAGCGCTCATGATTCACAAACGGTAAACCATTGCTATCCTTCAGACTGTTCCACTTCGTACCGTCGTAAATGTCAAACATCATGCCTGGAACTTGCACTCTGATTCTCCAATGGTTGATGGTGTCTTCGAATCCAGGGCGGCAAAAAAGAATAGACAATGTTTTGATTATGGAGTTATACATGTAGATCTTTTTGGGGATAGTCAAGGCTCTTGATGTTGCAAAGAAAAGAGCGTTTCCACATTCTCTACCAGAGAGTCTCTCGAAATTACAGCACTCTGGAACAACATCGGACTCTTCGTATACTTTGTTACAATCGCCACATGCAACAAACCGCTGGACACCTCGAGTCACGTCGCTGAGACCGGTCATAGAGTTGACACCGCTTATACTGAGGGGAAGACGGAAAGACTGTCCAAAGTGTGCCAATACTTCGTTAAGAAACTTTAACAGAACAGCACCACCAGAATTGACAACATATTTGGATATGAAGAAGGCAGCAAAAGAAGCAATGAAAGCATGAGTAGGATCGACTGGCATATTGGATGAAGAAAAGTGCTCTATTTGAAAAAAAAATCAATACTTGTTGACTTTATTGATTTATATGTGCTTTTTGTACTAACCTCTAACATCATCAGATTCATCGTCAGAAATATCCAAAATGGTTGCTTCAATGACACCCTCATCTTCGCTTTCAGAATCAAACAAGGAATCAATGCCAAAAAGAGGTAAGTCTTCGGCTGTTTTGTTAGGTAAAAAAGAATCAAATTATTAGATATTATAAATGATTATAAAACTTTAATAAAAATACTATGCATACCTTCAACTTGATCTTCGGCATCAACATTGTATTCAAAGTCAATCTCCATGTCATTGTCATTCGACATTACTTCTATAACTGAGGCTATATTATATGAAAATAAATATTTAATTAAAATTGTCTCAATAATAATTTTCTTAAATTTGAACTTACAAGAAGATCCTGACTGATATTGTCTCACGATATCCTGTTGTGCATGTCTTCTGAGTGTTTGGGTAGACACCAAAACAAATCCCATGCTATTGGAAGAGCATTTAGAGCACTTGCATTCTGAATTGTTGTTGTTGTTTGACATATTGTGTGCGTATGTTTTATTTTTTAAGTTTTTAGAATTGACAAGAATAGAAAATTGTTCAGGAACACAATTTAATATATATCTTTCCAAATTACACCAGCTTCCAAAATGACATAGTTTATTCCGGCTGTTAAAATGGGCAGTTCTCTAAACAGTAATTGATTGCCTCATTCTAAAATACAATAATACACACTTTTGTTAAAACATGTCGTCATGTACATTTTATTAGCTGTAGAGCATATACAACAAAAATATTTGTAGTAATATCACGACCATTAACCTCATCATACTTATAAATAAATATTACAACAATAAAAAGCTTTATTATCTCACTCAAAAGATATCATTTGGTTTAAGTTTCCTACAACTATTGACTCTGCGACATGGCTACAAGTCCCAAAAAGAAATCTCGCAGACATTTTTTACAAAAAAGAGTAAACTCGTTTTTTTATCCAATAAAACAGACCGAGCATTATCATCGCCGTCGAAAATAAAAAAGACAAAAGTGATGGAAATTTAAGCTACCACTCCACAAATAATAGTACCCTACGCCATAGATGAAATTACCCTATTTTTCCAGTGTATGGATCAGGTAATGTTGCACTGGTCGGAAAACACTACAAGACAGGATATTATTCTGGACTTGTTGGTATAAAAACGAGTGCCAGTGCTTGAAGTATCTATTATTAATATTTAAAAAATGGTAACAATCAGCTATTTGTAATGATAATATATGAGACATATAATAACTTATGACTCTATCTCATCAAGCAATTCTGATGTCAATGTCCATTGCAAAGCAAGCGCACAGCCTTTCACAAGAGATAATAGAGCTGTTTTGACAGCCCTATTTGGTAAATAAGACACGACCAAAGTGGGAACAAGATATAAGAGAAAGTCAAGCCAGTCAACTGCCGAGTACCATCGATCTTGGCAAATACGTTGTCAAAACTGCCTTGAAATGAGGTGGGTATATATGCTCGGCTGGTATATGTTCTTCGACTATTACAAGCAGTTATTTAGTATGAAAAAAAGATGGCTAATTGAACATTTGTATACTTACAGGGTTGCCTACTTTGAAGTCTTCCAAAGGTCTTAACCGGGCGGAAATGTCATCAAAGTACATGCCATGCCATCTGTTAGTAGGGCATTTGCCTTTGGTCTCACAAAAACGGCAAACAAATAAGCTTGTATGGGAACCAATGTGGGCCATATCAGCTACAGCTGGAATATCGTCAGAAGCAAGCAGCAGATAGACCTTGGATCTGCAAAGCTCCACTCCATTGTGCTTGACAACCAAGCCATGTGCCTCAAGATCTCACAATTCATTAATGATGGATATAAGAAAGGAGTCCAAATGAGTTGGCTTTTTGGGGCCAGGCAAGATTGCCAGTTGCAAAAGGTATTTGTTGGTATATCTAAGTATTTTATTAGTAACTTTTTTTAAAAAAAAATATAATAATAATAATAAATAGTAATAAATTAATTAATTATCTGATGGATGGGTCTAGGTTAGATATTATGCAATAGATGATGGTATATGAGTTTTTGCCTTTCTTTTGATTGACAAACCCATCGGTATAAAGCCTAATGGCAATATCATTGGGATTGGAGAACAGGCCCTGCTGCACCAACTGCTTGTAATTGTCACTATCAAAAATGTCGGTTAGCTGACCAGCTACAGATTCCTGGTTTGCTCTGTAACAGAGGAGTTCTCTTGTGGCTGGATCTGCCAACATTTGAGAAAGCATATCCCCAACTGACATAAGTTTCATACTGGTGGCTGGTGTCTGACTTTGATCAGGATCAGTCTTGTATCGCGGTTTGCCACAGTCAACACAAGATTCTTGGTCGTCATTAATGCCATACAATCGACAACCACTAGAGCAGGCATCATACTCATGGCCCTTGATACTTGACTTTGACTTGAGCAAAGCATCAACAGTTTTGCCATGACTGATCTTAGCCCCAGGTTCTAAAAAAATGATATCACTATATGTTAGTGATCTGGAATTAAAGTACAAGGTAACAGAAAATATAATATTTTACCCATCATTATATCGTCATGGTCTTGGATGACAGTTTATAAATTGAACAATGTCTCTATATGCTGCTCTAGCAATTCTATGCTGTAGCATCAATTGAGACAGATAAATACTCATCAACTCGGCCTTAGTAAAAGTATTTGTACTGATTCACTGCTGTCGTAAATGTGAGCTTCACCCTCACTGTTCTCAAAATTACATGCGCACTTATATGAAATAGTATTATCAAGCTTCATAGACTCTATAGTATATTCTGTAACACATTATTTAGTAATTGGAAAATAAATAATACAATTACAGCTCTTTTCATTACCTGAATTGCTAACAGATTCATTTTCATTACTAGTATCATTTTCGTCATGGTACATGTCAACATCATCTAGAATAGACTGGTCAATTTCAGTCATTGTTGCTGAATTTCCTCTGTGAATTCTCTTGTGGTCTTGCAGCTTCTGGTAGTTATTAAAAAACAAGACACATTGATCACATTGGTATTGCTGTGTAGATATTCTATCTCTCTGCTGGCTGGCGTTGGAAGAAGACATATTAGTTGGGTTGGTACGTATGTAATATATAAAATAAAACTGCAAAGAGAATTTTGGTGCTATTCATTAAATGTAAAAGACATTTTTATATACTCTTTATTTTTTAACCAAAATGCTTGCGGCTCTTTTCCTTTTTCTCTCTCATAGTGATGATATAGCAATGATTACAGTAATGTCAATGCTAGGTGAAACACCTGTCAGTAAATAATTCACATGATTGGAAAGATTCTTCTTCATTAATAATTATGATGCAAGTTAAAATACTTCTTGGTTAACAAGGGGGTACCATTAAAAGAGCACTGGTGAAACAGACACATACTCTTTACTTGTGAGCAATTAGATATTCTTTGGGCTTTATAAAGAGGTATATGTATATTTAGGATAATTAACGACCAAATAATTTATGTTTTTTTTTAAATAAATTATCAATTACTCTCTAATACCAAAGGTAAAGAAAAACAGCCTTCTAATAATTAACAGTTAAAAAAAAGTAGTACTGTCTAAACACATTGGTAGAAAAGACATATTTATATTATCTGTGTTGTACTAATAGTATTTTTGAGATAGTGAATATATATTTAGCTAATAACATTGTTTTCTTGTTTATGTATAAAACTTAAAGAAATAGATATAGATAATGAGGGCTATAGTTTGATACTCTTTTACTGACATCATCAAGATAAGCACTACTGATCGAAAGGGATGTTAATTGAAAGTGCCAATGTGAGTTAAAGCACACCTTTTTCAAAAATGTATGGTTTCAATCAAAAATGCCTCTTGGTAAATAATAGTAATGACAGTTAAAATTATTTTTATCTTTGATGACAGCATCAATCAAAACGCGTTTTAGTTGATAATGATAATAAGTATGATATAAACTTGAGTATTATCACATTTACTTTAATGTTGATAAAAAGGGGCTAATTAACTATCACTGGGGAATTAGATTTCTATACATATGCGATAGTATGGGAAATTCTGAGTGACAGAATAATTAAATTCTAGAATTTGGCATTTATAGATTCCGTTCGCAATATGTTATGTTACCTGTGAGTTGTCCATATAACTTCTGAACTTATAATGATCCATATAGAGATGTAAGGTTCTTTTAAACTATTTAATCGCAGAGAGAATAATCAAATTATGGCATCTTTTTTTTTGGATGTTACATTAAATTAAACTTGATTTGAAACAGAGATTCCAGTAAAAAATCTATTTTTGATAGAAAACTGTCTACTGAAATAGTAGAATTCTATTGGATTACTTTACAGAGAAAACTGTCTACTGAAATAATAATATTCTATTGGATCATTTAACAGAAGAAACAGGATTTATGTATACTGTCTTCCGAATCTAAACACTTTTATTAGACAATTATGCATGGCTAAACTATAGGATTCATATATGCCATACTACTGCAATACTTCTTGCACTTCATTTCAAATATTTTTATAGGGATTGTTTTGGAAAAATTGTTTCTATTTAAAAAAAAAGCTTCTTGCTTATAATATGTACGGCTTGACAATATATAGTCTAATCTAATATATAAGCTACTACATAATTAATATAATAACAAACCCTTTCATATATTATAATATATAAATACTTCCAATACGATAGAATCCTAAAAAGAAACGCGTGTTTATGGTATTTCACTAGTAAGAGAAGGCTAAAAAATTATTCAATTATATTAGATTATATAAACATTTATTTTTCTTTAATTTAAATAATATGGTTACTTACCAGTACTTTTGTCAGAACCAGGCATAGTGCACATTGACTGTTGTTCTGAAAGGTTTAATAAAACGCATTAGTAAAGATCATGGAATAAAGTTTGGCTTTATTACTTACCAAAGAAAACCGGTTTTCAAAGACAAGCCATTCAATCAGGTACATAGAAATGTTGGCAGTACTAACAGAGATAGAAAATAAACAAAATTAGATATAAGAATAAAATAAATAAATACATTATTCAGACTTACCAGATAAATTTCTGCTATTAGTATGTCTTTATGATGAGCTGAGAAGAGAAAAAGAAAATAATTAATAAAGAAGCACATACACAATAACCGCGTTTTATCTTTTTGTTCTTGTCTATTAATCAACACGGCAAAGACTTGTAATACTATCAGCAACCACAATAATAATAAAAGAAAAAACATTAAGAATAAATATAACAGTAGAATAATAAAAACAAATTGCTTACCAGGGTGTGAACTCAAATACATCAATCAGAATAAAAGTAAATAAAGCGGAAAAGAAACAGGAAAAAAAGAAATAAGAAAAAAATAAAGAGAAAGAAGAAAAAAAAGTGGGCTTTCAAACAGAAGGCAGTTTAGATGAGAATTGACTCTAGTAAAATACAATAGTAATAAAATGAATAGTCCAAAATTATATTGTAACACTAAGTTCTATGTTGAATATTAAAGAAGTTGTTCAAGGTTATAAAGGATTTTATAGAAAATAATATATAATCCCTTTCTTTTCTCAGCTATTTCATAAATCTACTTTATATTAACTTATTTTGTATGTAAATCTTTGATTAAACAAAAATAAATATATTTCAACCCATACATTTATTTTATTTTAATAATTTATTAGTGTATAAAACTTTAATAAAAATACAATAAAGAAAAAATGCCTTCCAATAGCAGCAGAAAAACAGACCGTAAAGGAAAAGGAAAAGCATCTGCAAGTATATCTATCTCTGCAAACCGTGTTTTGGTTGGCCGTGTTGGACCTCGAGAAATTGCCCCCAGTTTCTCATCCGCAACTATCCAAGATCAGCAATATGCGGAAATTGTTGAAATGTTTAACAAAGTAAACAACAATATCAACGGTGTCAAGGATGACATTGCTGCTGTCAATAGCAACATGGCAGCCTTTAAAAACAGGATGGGTGTTGTTGTTGACACGTCTGGAAAGACACATACGGCATTTGCAGACTTTGCAACTGCCTATGCCAACGATCAGACTCGTATGGCTAGTCTAGGACTATCTCTGATGCCATCCTATGTCCCCCAGACCTCCCTCAGTGATGCTGAGGTTTCTGTCATTATCTCAGTAATTAATATTAATATATGTTAGTATCAACAACTTATTAAACAACCTGTATTTAGGAAATCTTCGCGGAAAAGTTGTGGGACTGGAAGTTCGAGTCTGATGACCCTGCTCTTGTTGCTGAGAACGAGAGTAAGAAGAAGTGGAACTTGAACGAGAAGATTAACCACCGCAATAACGTAGCTGTTATCAACTACTTGAAGAGCTACATTAGCGCCCAGACTCGTCTAGCTGGTACTCACCCACGGGTGATAAGTGATAAAATAAAGAACAGGTACAAGCACAGTCATTGTACTTTTCACGAGTCTCCTGAGCAGAAGGCCAAGAAAAACAGCAAGAGGAGAGCAAACAGTCGTACTCTTCAGGTTTGTATATACTATATAAAAAATTAATTGATATATTACTATTTTCTCAAGCTACAATCTATATAACCAGATGTCTATCCAACGCAAGTCAACATACATAGACAACTGAGTAGCCATTGATGCTGCAATGGGATATAAGACTGGAAACCCTGTTGAGAAGGCCTATCTCAAACTCTTTCAGAAGGATGCCATGTCTGATGGTGAGTCGGATATTGAGATTGTGGACAATCTTCCACGACAGTGTTTGCATGTGGCTTGCCCCACTTGGAGAAGTGAAGAGGTAAATAATATTTAGAATAAATAAATAAGTTTTATAACAAGAAAAATAAAGAACTAATAAAAATAAATACAGTTCAACAGATTGTTGACAATGGTTGACGACATTGATTGTACCCATTACGTGTCAAATGCAGGCATGGGAACAAAGCCAAGAATGAACAGATATCCAGCAACATTGTTGCCTTGCTCTGTTCCTGCCACCCTGTCCCAGTCATTGCCTCGTTGGGCAATTGACAATGAATAAACATTTTCTTTTTTACTATGTTCTGTTGTAGGACCAAATAGTAATAATTGAAATTGAATTGATTAAAGGAAATAATAATAATAGAGGATAAATATATAAGTAAGTGTGTGTATGAGAATTAATAGTAAATTTTTTTGGTAAAGGAATCGCGAGTTTTTTGTTGACGTTTTTTGTAGTTTTGTAATCTACTATTGCAACTGTTAGGAGAATCCAATGTACTGGCAGGATGCTTTGAAAATCTTGCTTGTAGAATTCATCCTGTAACAACTCAACTCCTTCTAATTCTCTTTGTGGTGATCTAGACACTCAGATGTTGGATTTATCACATATAAGAACATATTCATATTGGGATAGCATAGTAACTATCATCTTGTCAGTATAAAATGTATATAAATGATTAAGTAATCAGCCCAATAATTATTACAGTTAGTACTGTAGATAATATCTTAAAGATTGTTAAGATAATTATATCATACTGCTGGGTAAACTGTGTCAGATCAATATGGAGCTAATTTAGTAGGAAGTCCTAAAGCTCTAGTATAAAAGAGAAAAGAATAGCTAAGAGCTAAAGAAGTATGATTTATGACTTGATGTCATAATTGTAACACCGACACTAGTTAAGCAGTAAATACACTCTAATAACAAAATATAGTAAAGGAAGAAAGCCTTAAGAAACTAAGACGTAATGACAAGAGCAGATTGTGTTTTCTTATAAAAAGGGACACTTTTTATTTATGAATAAAGACAACTTATAGACAGTCTCAAAGTATTTCTATACATCTCTATTATCAAATATTTTATTTTTCTATTGTTTCGTACCTGAAATACCACACTTCCTAAAACCAAGAAATCAATATGTTATGTCGCAAGATGATATAGACTACAAAGAGAAGAAAACAAGAAAAAGATACTGAAACTGAACAAAGGATTGCTTGATAATTTTATTGGGTTGAGTTTACTTCTCTTTTTATAGTCGACAAGATTTTAAGTTGATAATAGAAGTTTAGAAAAATAAAGATAGTAAAAATAGAATGATGAATAATTGATATAGCAAGGATAAAATATATGAATAAAAATATAATAAAAATATAATAATAAAGGTACTGATATTGCGCAGAGATGTTGACAAAATGAATTATGTGCATTGTAGAAGAGGAATGTTACTAACATGGGGGATCATGATTTTGAATGAGTACAATGTAGACAAATATGTTAACAAGGGAAAAGGAAAAAGTATTGTGTGTAGAAGGAACAGGGAATGCAAACGAGATTTTTTCTGTGCACAGAAAAAATCTCCTCTTACCACCGAGGGCACAGCACCACATCAACAAACCGTTGACGTCAGCCTGTCATAACTGGGACGACACATCACGACAAATCGACAAACAACCCCACCGAGCAGACTGACCGTCCGGTACCCGACACCACAACATGGCTAACAGCTGTAATTGCTTATACCACACGTAATAACGTATTAGTCGATTTGTCCGAGTGGTTAAGGAGTGTGACTAGAAATCACATGGGCTTTGCCCGCGTAGGTTCAAATCCTGCAGTCGACGATTTTTTGAATCATTCAGATTCTTTTTTGTATTGTCGTTTTCGATCTAGGTTGTTCTTCCAATGCTATAACACAGCCAAAATTGGTCAAACCCACTGGGAATCGTAAATGAAGATAAAAGAATAGAAAGATAGAAAACTTTTATTGAATAAAATAATGTCCTCTTTTATATCTTTTCTAAACCTACTCAGCCATTATAAATATATGTTTTGATTTATATTCTACTTTTGTTAAGCTATGTGCTTTCTAATTCTTTTGTGAGCAAAAGGAAATCACTTTGGTTGTTGTTCTCAAAAAAGAATTCTATGTAATCGTCATCCTGATTGGCTGACAAGAATTTGGGCATGACATTAGTTTCTCATTTTTGATCTAGGTTGTTTTGTCAAGTTTCAATCTGGTATTTCTTTTCTGGCACTTGTAACTAAGTCGCAAAATCAATACTACTGAGGATTGTCAAGTTTATGAATAGTTTTTGAATAGAAAATAAAACATAATTTTTATTAAATATATTTCTTGACTATTTATACGAATTGCTACTTGATTTCTGGCTAAAAAAAATAGCTATGTTAATATGTTTTAGATGCTAGTTATCCAGTAATATCATCTACAAGTATATTTATCATCTTAAACATCTAAAGCATATACAAAAGACCAATTGGCAATGACAAGATCTTTTTACCCTAAAAGTCAACCATTATTGGTTGCTTATGAATTCCAATTTTGATTGCCAATATCAACTCTGACAGCTCATTCAATTGTTGGACATTATTTTGATGAATCTGTAAAATCTGAAGATGATTAACAGTAGTATAATAACTCTCCTTTTATTTAAATATAATATAATAACTACTGCAGATAATGTGAAGTATTAGTTTAGAAAACTATATAAGACAATTTAATTCATATCAATAAAAATATCTTTTATTCTCTCTTTGATTTTATGTATACTCCTTGATTCCCAGTGAGTTTGTCTTTTTGACTTTGTTATAGTAAAAGGAAGACCAACCCAGATCGGGAACAGCACAATGCTATAAGAGCATCTGCAGTAGTAGCATTTAAATTCAGTTTTTCCCAATTTAAGTGCTTTTTGTAAGTGCTTTCCAAAAAAAATTGTCTGCAGCAGTAGCATTTCGAACAGCATTTATTTACATGCTCTGTGATTTTTATGACTTTGAGCATAAAAATAGATGCTCAATTTAAAAACTTGCCAAGCATTTAATTTTTATTTTCTTTTCATTCTCATTAAAAATTAATATAATAAAATCATATTTTTTAACAATGAGCATCTCTCCCTTTAGTATTTTCTTTGATGAACTCAACATTTCTGGCAAAGGTATTATTATTGCCAGCTGTTTATATTTGATACTAATATGACAAGTTCTGTTGATTTAAATAATAATTCATATTGTCAATATTCACATGAATGAAAAAAGCAGACCAAAGAAGTTCTCTATCTAAGAGGACAAACAGCTTTGTCACTCCTATCTGTTTGTTACCTTGGATGCTATTAGAGGCATTGACTAAAAGAGTGATAAATTCTGATCAAGAATAAGCAACCACTACCACCAGTACTTGGGTAAAAATACTTTGAAGTGCAATGATTATGCTTTGCCTGCTTGTTGGCATATCATTAACAGGGTAATCAGTAAATATGTCAGATTTTTGTCTCAAGCATAAGAAATGAATGCAAGTGACTCAAATAACAAATCTGATGTAAGCAGTTAATATGTAAATTATATAAATATTATACTGTATATAATAGCTAAACAAGAGTTTAAGAGTCAAAAAGCAAGACAGTTGTTCTTCGTTGATATGAAGTCAAATTTCAATCTTGATCATTGTTACACTATCTTGTCTCAGCACCCAAAGTGGCTGCCCAGAGCACCAAAGGCCAAGCAGGCTAAGAAGGCAAGCAAGAAATGAGTGGCAAACACTAAGGTTGCAAACTCTGCTCTAGCTCATGCAGGTGGAGCTGAAGGGGAAGAGGAGGAAAAGAAGGAAGAGGAAAAAGAGAAAGAGAAGGAAGAGGAAAAAGAGAAAGAAAAGGAAGAGGAAAAAGAGAAAGAGAAGGAAGAGGAAAAAGAGAAAGAGAAGGAAGAGGAGGAAGAGAAAGAGAAGGAAGAGGAGGAAGAGAAAGAAGAAGATGAGAGTAACAGGTTCAATCTCAGCCCTTGCCCTGTAGGAATGAAAGTGGGCAAAGGCTCAGGAGGCAGACCAAAGGGGAATGGAGAAGCAACTGAAGAAAACTCTTCCTGTTCAAGCTGAGATAGTAAATAAAGGCAATGAATGTATAGATCTGATGAAAGAAAATATAAAAGAGGTTCAGAAATCAACCAAGGTTTTTGAGGATATCATGGGGGCTCTGACAATACACACTGCAGCCCTGCAAAGGGCTGAATACATTTGTATTTTATTTATAGACCCTCTCTCTATTGAAAATTCTATAGATTGCCAAATGATTTTGCAGCAGCAGCAAAGGATTAGAGAGAGGGGAATATGGAATGAGCCTGTTACCCACAACAATGTTAACCATGATCTTGGAGTTTCTGAGAGCAATTGAGTTGCAAAGAATAAAATATAAACTTATAAAGATGTTTTTATTATCTTTCCCCTTCTATTTTCCACAGACTATCTATAACATTCTGTCTCAGTGAAAAGTGTTGCTTCTGGTCCCAAATTCTTATATTTCTTTGAAGACAGCTAGCAAAAGTTCTATTAGGGAATAAAATCTCTGATCTAGGGATCAATCTTGGTACTTCTGCCAAGACACTCTCTATTTCTAACCTGTCTTTTATCACTACTTCTCTATTCACTCCCTAGTTATCACCAACAACATCAAGTTTCTCTTCTCTATCACACTCAATAATCATGTTGTGTAAAATTATATATGCAGTCATGATATTCTTTAGAGTATCATGACTCCACATTCTTGCTGGTCCAGCAACTATTGCAAAACGTGATTACAACATGCCAAATACTCGTTCCATGACTTTTTGCACTGCTTTTTATGCCTTGGCAAAGTTCTTAAAAAAGACAAGTCACTGGTTAAGAGAATTCAAAGAATATAACATATACTCATTTACCTTCTTCTTTGCAGTTTGATGATCATTAAAACTCTTGATAAAAGCAGTATATGAGGGGTATATACTATCTGTCAAGTAATATCTCATCATATACTTGTTGCCATTGACTCTGTATTCAATCTCTGGACCTTGTCTATCAGCAAGATCCTTAAAGAGAAAGGACTGATTTAAGATATTAATGTTGTTGAGAGAATCAGGCAAACCAAAGAAAACATGTCCAATCCACAGGTTGTAGGAGGCAACAGCTTCCAGAATGATTGTCGCAGTCTTCACTTTCCCAACAAGAAATTTATGCCAAGAAGTTGGACAGTTCTTCTACTCCCAGTGCATACAGTCGAGCAAATCTAGCATTCCAGGGAAGCCTCTAGATTTGCCTTCTGCCAAAAGTCTCTTTATCTCCTCTTGTATTAGCAACCTCAGGTATTCCTTTCCATAAACTGCAATAACAACAACACAGAAATGCTTCAAATACTCTAGCAAAGTAGATTCTGCCATTCTAAACGTTTCATTCAGAGCATCAGCAGGAAGTCCATAGGCAAGCTGGTGGAGAGCTATGGATATCTTCTGGAAAGAAGAGAATCCAAGAGAATGAGCAGCATTAACTTTCTGCTCAAAGTAGCTGTCATATTTCTTTACACCCTCAGCAATATGCATGAACAAGGATTTGCTCATTCTATATTATCTACAAAACTGTTTTTCAGTATAAACACTGTTTTCATCAAAGTAGTCCTTTCGCAGCTGTACATTACCAGTGTGTCTATTGCAATATACTGTGGTACATGTCTTTTTTGTTTCTTCTTTTTAGTATCTGCGTTTGGAAGCTGATACTTTATGGTATCAATAATAAATTGTGGTATTTCAGGTACGAAACAATAGAAAAATAAAATATTTGATAATAGAGACGTATAGAAATACTTTGAGACTGTCTATAAGTTGTCTTTATTCATAAATAAAAAGTGTCCCTTTTTATAAGAAAACATAATCTGCTCTTGTCATTACGTCTTAGTTTCTTAAGGCTTTCTTTCTTTACTATATTTGGTTATTAGAGTGTATTTACTGCTTAACTAGTGTTGGTGTTACAATTATGACATCAAGTCATAAATCGTACTTCTTTAGCTCTTAGCTATTCTTTTCTCTTTTTTACTAGAGCTTTAGGACTTCCTACTAAATTAGCTCCATATCGATCTGACACAGTTTACCCGGCAGTATGATATAATTATCTTAACAATCTTTAAGATATTATCTACAGTACTAACTGTAATAATTATTGGGCTGATTACTTAATCGTTTATATATATTTTATACTGACAAGATGATAGCTACTACGCTATCCCAATATGAATATGTTCTTATATGTGATAAATCCAACATCTGAGTGTCTGGATCACCACATAAATGTCTGGATGATTGCTGCTATCTCTGCGTCACGATTCTCTTCCTTGAGAATTATTGTGGCAAAACTCTTGTTCATATGTACTATATTAAATTCAGAAGCTTCAAAATATATAATAAAGAGATAGTAAGAAAAAGAATAAATGAAGGCACTAGAAAAATTAATGTTTGGTAGAATTATTTAAATGCTTCTCTTTTAATGTAACTGAAATTTGGCCCTTTGCTTTTTGGCTGTTTTCAACTTCATATGTAGCTTATGAGTACTTAAATTAATATTAATATAAATGCTACTGCTGCAGATGCTCTAACACAGCCAAAACTGGTCAAACTCACTGGGAATTATAAACGAAATTAAAAAAATAAAAAGAGAATAGAAAGATAGATAGCTTTTATTAAATGAAATAATGTTCTCTTGTATATTTTTCTAAATCTACTCAGCCATTATAAATATCTGTTTCAGTTTCTATTATACTTTTGTTAAGCTATGCGCTTTCTAATTCTTTTGTAAGCAAAAAGAAATAAATTTGGTCATCATTCTCAAAAGAGAGTTCTGTGTAATCATCATTCTGATTGGTTGATAAGAGTTCGGCACAACAGATTTAATTTTGTTCATATAAGTATTGTTGTGCTTAAATTTTGTGATACAAGTTTTAGTGACTTTTTTTTACTGTCAGAGTTGACATCGGCAATCAAAATCGGAATTCACAAGCAACCAATAATGGTTGACTTTTAGAGTAAAATATCTTGTCATTAGGTGCTTGCCACCATCTGTAAATATATTGATATTGAAAATTGAATGTCATCTCAAATATCCCAAAAGGATTATAACCTGCTTTTTATTCTTGTCTCGTTTTGGATGAGTAAATATAAATACTAAAATAACTAATTTTTCTTCTAGTAATCTTTTTTTTTTAAATATCAAACTCAAAAAAAGAGTGGTGGTAGTTTAGATTTCCTTTTTTTTGACCCTAATTATTTTGAGGGGTTTTATAGATTGGGAACATAAAACAGTGCTTAAATCTTCAAAATTGAAAATTTTCTGGGTGGTGGCAAGCACCTATTGCCAATTCATCTTTTATATATGTTTTAGATATTTAAGATGGTGAATATACTTGCAGAAAATATTATTAGATAACTAGCATCTAAGACATATTAATGTAACTATTCTTTTAGTCAGAAATCAAGTCTCAATTTGTATAAATAGTCAAAAAATATATTTAATGAAAAGCATCTTTTATTCTATCTAAAAATTATTCATAAACTCGACAATCTCCAGTGATATTGATTCTGTGACTTAGTTACAAGTGTCAGAAAAGAAATACTAAATTGAGATCTGACATTACAAATGAAGCAGAAATTAGAATAATTATTTATTAGTTTGTAATTTTAGAAATATATAATATTACTAGACACTATCACAGCAAAAATTATATGATTTTATTGAGTAGAAAGAAAGCAAATATCATATTGGAAGCACATATTTCAATATGATTCTATTATAGGTACTCCCTAAATACTTAGTATATTTGTAACAACACTACAGGAAAAAAAGTGTGGTTTTATGGCTGCTTTATGGTGGTTTGACAAGGTGGCTTTGTGGCAGTTTTTTTGCCAAATATCTACTTTGCCCCCCTGGAATTTAAATACATATTATAGATCTCTGCTTTCTGATTCTTCTCTGATGACTCTTCTATTGGACAGCGTTTCATTCTTTATTATATAAAGTATATTATATAATCAATTACTTTTATTGGGTACTCTCTTAAATGCTATTTATTACTTTAATATTTTAGCTTAGGAAGAAATTCTATTAGACACTAGTACTTTTTTTTATTGTTACTTTTATGAAAGCAGTTTTTTATTGGATAATATATATGTAAATGTTTGATCATTTTAATAAATACAAATTTTTATTGGTTATTACAATAGAAGATTCTTTTTATTAATCATTTTTATTGGTTGTTATGACAGAAAAAAAATTATATTATTCATTTTATTGGTTATTATGACAGAAAAATAAATAATATTGTTTATTTTATTAGCTATTAAAGCATAAAAAAATCTATAGATACCTTTTATTGACTATAAACTATTTAATATTCTAGGTTTTCATAGTAAAATATTCTATTCAATTCTACTACACCGGATTACTTACGAGACTGTAATCTTTTATGACGGTCCCTCCAGAAATGTACAACTCTTACAGTTGATGCCCAGTTTTCAAGACATATGGTGAAGTCTATACTAGAATCCTTCATTATATTTGCATGCCTGGCACGCAATTCTTTCTTAAGTGCTACTGGTATAGACCCCCAGCTAGGATTAGAACCAAGAGCAATCACCAAAGGATGGGCAGCCATATCATCACATATAAGCTTTGTACACATATTGAGTGTGGCCCTTTTGTTACTTGTTACTTCAATGCCAAGGTCTTTACTTATCATCTTGAAGATATGCTTTAAAGTTATTTCATGAAATATGCTCACTGGCTTGCAGATGGTATTAGCACTGAACTATTAAATGACATATTAATATATATTCAACTCATTTTATTTTTTGTCTTACAATGGCAGAGACAGAAGGCGAAGTGTGTTGGTTGGAAATGTTTCTATTCTTCAGTTGGCTCTGGAGAGAAGTAATCTCCAAATTCAAATCTTCGATGCTCATCTTCATTTTGAGTTTCAACTCTTTGATCTGTGCCTTCATTTCAAGTTTGGTCTTTTCTTGGTGTGTCTTCAAAGATATTATCTCATTGTACATGATGTGTAGCAAAGAGATGGAATTGTTATCTGTGTTATTCATGTTGAGAGTTTGATTTACCTGAGAAAAAGAATTGTTGTGAAAGAAAGATAAAGGTAAAAAAAAATTTCTATTGTCTATTATTAGTTTTATATAAATGAGTTTAACCTATTGGTCCAGCCAATATTATTATTGGGCTACTGTAGTTCTAATAACAGCTATTACACAATGTTTTAGCTTCTGTTTCTGAGTTTATATTTGTATCATCTATGTCATTGCCTACTTGTAGTCATTAAGTCTATACAAATCTCAACGCTATTAAGTATAAAGGCATATTATTTAAAAGGAATTATCAATATTCATATCTTTATTCTTAAGTGTTTATTTCCAACCTAAAAAGTGTCTTCAAATTCAATTCTTAATAGTTACCAATGCAATCAATACAAAGAGTGTCACACCAATTTAAAAAAAGTCAAGAGTTGTAAATCTCAATACTTTAAGAACCGTCATAGAAGACATAATGATATCCAGATTTCACAGACCACGCCTGTTCCTGAACAAGTCAGTGTTGTTTTGAACACTGTCTCAAACAACACTATTAAGTAAGACTACAAATCACATACATACTATTAGAGAGTGTAATTAATTATATTGTTATCTTCATAAACAAGCAGAGAACGTGCTGATGCAATCGAAGCTCAGATCATAAATACATTCAACAGCAAAGATAATGATGATCCAATTATGAATATCTTCAGTAATAATGATAATGATGAGTCTATGATAAGATATATATATACATGTCTTATTATATCATGCTAATTATTATCTATCTTGTTAAAGTATTATGCGGAATATATCACTGCAAAAATCCACTGAAATACTATGGTATACAACTGCCTGTAATATAGTGTAATTTTGGGTTTTAACTTCTATCTTTGGTGTAATTTGATATGATACTAAAGGTAGCTCGAGAACAAGTGCCGTGTTGCACCCAAGATGTGGAGTAAATCTTGGAAAAATGACCGAGTATGGTTCATTAGTATTTCTGTGTGTGCACTGGCATAGTATGAAGTATTAAGAAGGTTTAGTTTAAGTTTACGCTTTATTGTGATACACAGGTCATGCCAGTTTAAAGAACAATATGCAGATACTTGATTCATGTAATAAAGCTATCTTTACTGAAAACTTTTCAGTAAAGGTAGGATTGTTGACTATTTTAACTAATCTTTGACACTCTTTATTATGAGGTCATTCATAGTATGCTCCCCCAATTACTTGATATTCAGTTATTATTGATTTAAAATATAGTTTATTTTTTGTATTTATTAAAAAAAGAATTGTTCTGGACTTATGATCTAGTAGTATTATTATATATCCTGGATCCTTTCTACTGGCCTGCTTGATATTATTTTGGATTGGGTGATTCTTTACCCAAAAAATAAAATGCCTGAAAAATAAAAAACAATGTGCTGTTTGATATTATAGAACAATGTTTAGAAAGTATGAACAAGAAGTGTGTTCAATCAAAAGGATTATGCTTTCTATATTCTATAGATACCAGCATTTATACAAACTTATACTTACACAACAGCTGTTTGTTGAGAATAGACAGAATTTTTTTTTTGAGGATGGTAAAGATGACATTTGATATGATTTCTTTGACTATGAGAATAATTGACAAAAACTAGTTTGGATGAATTGGATGCTAGAGAAATTCATTTACCTTTATAAATCAAAAGAATCTATTTGTAAGCCAAGAAGTACTTTTCAAGAGCTAATATAGCATCTAGTAAAAGAAAATATTATATTATTATAGTGTATCAATAATGTTAACATATAGATATTCTTTAAAAAAAGACTTACCATTGTAATTTCAGTAGCATGGGATAAAGACTCTTGATCTACAATGTGTTTGTGAGAGGGACGTTCACCTATAATAAAAAGTATATTTGGTTAGATAAATATTAAAACATAATATAATAAAAAAAGAGATGTAAAATATTATTGTGTTGATAGCCGTGTTTAACTATAGAGAGTATTTTTGGCGATATAGTCTTTATGAAAGAAAGAGAGAAAGTTAGAATAATGTTATGGGCTGATGGCAAGAAGTATATTTACTAACCTTTACTAATCCGGATGACCATTGTGAAGAAGATGCATCAGAAGACAATAAAACGCTAGTGTCTACAACAACAGAAACAATTATTATTTTTAGTTATATATATATATATATTATTTTAAATAAGTCATCTTACCAGAAAAACGCGTGAAAATAATGAAAGTTGGAAAGAAAGAGAATGGAAGAGAAAAAGAGAGAAGAGAGAAAACAGTAAAATAGGGAAAAAGTAAAAAATAAAAAATAAAAATAAAAAAAAGCCAAAAGACCAAAGAATGGAAGGATGGAAGGACAAAAAGACAAAAAGATGAAAAGGCAATAAGCATATATTAGATGGAGTTCAAAATAAATTAATATGAAGACCAATTCTTATTTATTATTCAAAGAAGTTATTTTGGATATATTTATAAAATAATATTCATCACATATAAATATTCTCAGACCTTTAATATCATTGAAAGTTTGTTCTTTATTTATTGTTACACACTTAATCACAAATCTTTACTTACTCACTCACCTACCCAAACATCCACACAAACGATTTCAATCTATCTCTGTAGGTTTATTATAAAAGACATAAAATATATATAAATTTGTATAATAGACCAATATTAATAATTGCAAAATGGGCAATATAACATTTATTAGAAAATGTCTGGAAACCGCCATATTCTCTCTGAGATTACTGTGGGAGAGAAAAGAATCATTGCCAGCCTTGCTGGTATGCAAGCTGACATAAAAGCAGTAAAGTGTCAATTGTCTGACATGGGCAAAAACATTGATGCTATTGCGGTAACCAGCTCTGATAATGCTGTACCAGCCAGCACGGTTGCCAACCCTATTCCTGCTCCTATTGTTGCCACCATTCTTGCTCCTGCTAGTACCAAGATTACTGCACCTCCCCAAGCAGATTTTGCTGCATGACCAAGTAAGGCCAATACCAAAAATGTCTATGTATGTATTCAATTATATAAAAATATATCAATTCAGTATTTAATTACAATCAAACAGAAATTCATCAAAGGGTACATGTGGGATCCCAACTTTTGGTCAGACAAGCCTGCCTTGAAGCAGGCAAACAAAAATAGGCCCAGGTGGACCACTACAGTTTGCTTTTGCCTTTTGCCTAACCAAGAATTGGCTAAGAATGTTTTTGACTATCTGGTGCCCAAGTTTGTTGGTGTTGGAATGAGAGAGGCAGACCTGAACAAATATGTCTACATGACTTACTGCTTGCGTAAGCGTGAGCAGAACAAGGATAGAGAGGCCAAGAAGAAGTCAAATACTGTTTCCAGAAGACATGGGCATGAGAAGGAGGTAGGTTATATTTTTAATTGACTTCATTTTATATTTTTCTAGATATAAATTAGCGAAAATTCTTAATTGATATTTCTATTAGCACTTCAGACATCACAAGGCAGCATACAATAAGAACAAGATTGCCATTGACAAGAAAATGGCGCAAGATCGCTCTGCTCTGCTCATCAGGGAAGCAATGTCTGAAGATGAATCAGACAGTAATGCAACAGGCTCAACTTCTTCCCAACCGATTCGGATCTCACATCCAGAATAGAGAAGCGATGAGGTAAATTTTTCAGATAATTTAAATATATTTTTGTTTTTGTAATGTATAATAATATATGGATATGAATATTGTTCTTGGTATAGTACAATTGTTTGATTGAGCTCGTTGATGAGGCTATTATAGCTGATTTGGGCAGCAATGCCCATCAGTTACTGGAACGAATTTGGTTAAGAACCACAGATTTGGCAGTCTCAGACGCAATTGTGTCACAGTTACCTCAGTGGGCTCTTAGAAATGGGCCCTAAATAAAATATGCAAATTCTTTTTTTTTAAACAAAAAAAAACTTTTCGTCTATGTCTGCTTCCTATACTCTAATTATCAGAAAAAATATATAAAAAGAGGTACTACTCATCTTTGGAATTTTCTTTTTGTTTTTCTTTATAGAAAGAGGGCATAGGGCATATTTATTAATAGAAATTTTAGACATAGTATTTTTTGAGTAAAGGAATGATGAGTGTTTTTTTGATATTATTTCTTGTTTTTTCACTAGCAGTCGCAACTTCCATGTCAATGCGATGTACTAGCAGAATGCTATGGTAATTGTCTGGCATGAAGTTTGGCAAGTAGAAATCAATGCTTTCAGTTTCACACCTTTTATCAGCTGTAATTGATAACCATCGAATATATGCAAAGATGTGTTTTTTTTATGGACTTGGGACGCAGAAGAGTTCAGATGTGGTGGAGGTGTGAATGAATAAATGAACAAGTACTGAATTTGTCCCATGAATGCAGTTTTAGTTATGTTGTCACTGCCAAGAAACATTGCTTGTACAAAAGACCCACGATTTCTACAACTGTTTTTGCCTTTGTATATTTGGCCTAGGAGATTACTTGACTTTAATTTTGTGATTTGATTATCAATAGAATAAGGGTATAAGGAGGCATTGCGGTAACTAAGAATACTAGGATTGACATATACAAGCTAATAAAAATGGAGCAATTGAGGATAATCAATATCACTCATTGTTGATGCGTTTAAGGAACGTAATGGGAAGGATGATGGAGGAAGTGGTTTGCTGCCTTTCATTGAAGGTGATGGATATAAGAATATGTTAACAAGTTGTTGCAATTAGAAGTCTTGATGTGAAAGGGAGGCATAGGAGGCATAGGAGGTATAGGAATCATAGTTGGCAGTAGTTGTGGCAGAGGAAGTAAGTTTTTGAAGGAGTGGGATGAAGGGGACTAGGCTAGGGTATGTTAAGACCTTTCGCACATAATCACCCTTATATGTATCATTAATGAATGTTTTCATATATGTAGCCTCAAATCCGTCTTTTCAGTTGGTGTCAATTTTCTTAAGCAGCCCATTGTATTTCTCAAAACCAAAGAGCCAATAACCATACACTAGTCCAAAATTGTTGATGGTCTCACGAAGATGAAGGTGCAGGTGCATGTTGCAGGTGAGAAAACCAGGTTTATATATCACTAGGCATTGCTGACAGAAACTCTGCAGATAGTCATGAGCTTTGTTAATTTCAGACATGATAATTGATGGCTTTATAAGAAGATGGCATGTATTTACAAAATCTATCCAGTTCTTCAACTTGTGTCACGGCAGAATATTCTTCAAGAGAACTGGAGAGTATACTAATACTCAGGATTTCCATTCGTCTGCTTTCATGTACAAGAAACCCTTTCCAATTTTGGATCTCAAAATTGTGTAATTGGCTGGCAGCGCCATTGATTCTGACATCTTTTGCATTGTGGCCAAATCCGCTGGTGATATGTCATTTTCTTTGATCCATTTTTCAATCATTCTTTTTGCCGTTCCCAGGAAAAGATTATGCATGGGATCAATGATCGTTCCACATACTAGATCAAAGTATCCAAGACGATACAACTGCGACCATCAAACACCATTTTTGACCTCCAACTGCTATCTTTCTGAGGGGGTACTTGCACTTTCCCACTCCTCAGCATACAAACGGTTCATATCATTATTCTTTGGCTGTCATTGGTCTGTGTTGAATTCAGAAAAGTCAACAGCAGAACTGCCTTCCAGGCGAGGGAATTGTTTGTTACATTTGTAACATGCACACATGCTATTGTGTGCAGTGAATCCACTGATCTTTCTTGCTGCAGGAATGTCACATGCTACCATTAATAATGCTGCACAAATCTGGGTGCCTGCTGGGTGTTTGTAAGTAGGTACATGTATTCCAACATACAGCTGCAATAACTTATCCACCAATGGTCTTATATAGTTATTGATTTTGTCAGTTTTTGGCTTCTTTGGCCCAGGCATAAGTCCAACTAGAATCATGTTCTCTGCAAAAAATTGTTTTTCTTGAGGAAGATTGTTGACAACCAGATACATGGCACCACACAAATAACTGGTCCCATCGAAGGGCTGGAACCAATCGATGTTCAACGTGATCATTAATGAATAAGGGTCTTCAACAAAGGATTCGCCATCCTTATCTTCCAACTCTTTCCATGTATTGTCATCATATACATTGCACAATGTATTTACAATATTTAACTGCTCATTCCACTGTCTGATTTTTTGCTCAAAATCTGGGCAGAGAAAGAGCAATCTTTGTGCATTTTTTACTGACTGGTAACAGTATTCACGTTTGGCAACCTGGAGACCAGAGGAAGATGTTTTTGTCAATTGACTGTTGCATGCAGAATGCATGCCAAGTGTTGTGATCCAGACACTCAGATATTGGATTTATCACATATAAGAACATATTCATATTGGGATAGTGTAGTAGCTATCATCTTGTCAATATAAAATATATATAAACGATTAAGTAATCAGCCCAATAATTATTACAGTTAGTACTGTAGATAATATCTTAAAGATTGTTAAGATAATTATATCATACTGCCGGGTAAACTGTGTCAGATCGATATGGAGCTAATTTAGTAGGAAGTCCTAAAGCTCTAGTATAAAAGAGAAAAGAATAGCTAAGAGCTAAAGAAGTACGATTTATGACTTGATGTCATAATTGTAACACCAACACTAGTTAAGCAGTAAATACACTCTAATAACCAAATATAGTAAAGGAAGAAAGCCTTAAGAAACTAAGACGTAATGAAAAGAGCAGATTGTGTTTTCTTATAAAAAGGGACACTTTTTATTTATGAATAAAGACAACTTATAAACAGTCTCAAAGTATTTCTATACGTCTCTATTATCAAATATTTTATTTTTCTATTGTTTCGTACCTGAAATACCACACCAAGCTTTATGAAGTCACAATGGGAAGGAGCCAATGCACTTTCCTCATACACCTTGTGGCAGTCCTGACACATAAGGAATCTCTGAACGCCTTTGTTCATGGTAGAGAAACCTGTCATGCGTTGGAGACCAGGAAGGCTCAAGGGCAATTGGAAATCTTGCTTGTAAATCGTTAAGAGCTTGTTAATGAACTCGATCAAGACAACAGCACCCTTGTTGACCACATAGCGGGAAGCAAACATTATCACAAAAGTAGCAATAAACCTGTGCACTAGGTTCTCAGACATATTGGGGGTGGCAAAAGGGTCTATTATAAAAAAAATTAACACCACCATTTTTTTCTTAGTTGTTTAATACTGACCTTCATTATTAAATTCTTCGACCTCAATTTCAACATTATCTTCAACCTTTTCAACCTCTTCAACCTCTTTGCTTTTTTCTTTGTTGTTGTCTGTGTTATTGTCATAATCAGCATTGTCAATAACCTCATTGTCAATAGTCATGTCATCATTGTCAGACATAATATTGGCTTCCCAAAAAGGTGAGTTGGTCTGACCGACCAATATTTTTGAGGGGCCTGTTTCCTGGAACAGAAAAGCTACATATAGAATAAAACTCTTAGTTTATATTCTCTGGTGTTAAAATATATTCTGCTTACTTTCAATATCAACTTCCATCGAGCTGCTTTGAACAGATGTATCTATTAAAAATTATTATTATACAAAATACCTCCAAAAAAAAGTACCCATTTTACTTCTTTCGAAGGCTTCATATCTTGCTCTTTTGTTATGGCATTGAGCAGTTTGTCTTTGAACTAGACTGTAACCTTCTTGGTTATTTTTGTATTCATTACAAAAGCACTTCTTATTATGAGTATTCGAAGTAGAGGACATTGTGTTTTTTTAATTGTTTAAAATGTTAAAGTAAAATAGAAACAAGTGTTATATATGTTTTTATTTATTACAACTTTATAATAATAATAATAAAGCAACTATGACGATTGAAATAGCTAAGCCAATAGAATCTAGTACAATGACACTATCAGTTTGAACACAAAAATAATACTGAGATAAAAAATCACCCTAAATTTACTATGATATTCAGGTACCTCCACACATAGATATTCAGGATCATTTTTCCAATGTTGTCTCCTCTGAGATCTAATTCTAAGTAGTCAACTTGCTTTTTATCAGTTATTTCAAAAGACAGAGATTTTCTTGTTTTATTCTGCATTTTTAGCTATTTTTTAAATTATTATAAGCCAAAAATGAATTCATAATTACAAAAAACACCCCTTTTTTCCTATAGTGACTGGGAATTGTCAAGTTTTTAAGAATAAGTTCTTAGATATGAAATCAAGATGCTTTTTATTAAATATATTTCTTAATTATTTATATAAAATGATAATTTATTTCTAGATAAAAAAAATAGCTACAATAATATATTTTAGATGCTTGTGATCTAATTATATTTTCTACAAGTATATCCATCATCTTAAGCATCTAAAACATATATGAAAGACCAATTGGTAAAGTCAGAATCTTTTATTCTAAAAGGTTAACTCTTACTAGTTGCTTATAACTATCAATTTCATTCACTAATGTCAACTCTGATATTTTTACAGTGAATTAGAAAATAGTGTCATGCCCAAATTCTTGTCAGCCAATCAGGATGACGATTACATAGAATTCTTTTTTGAGAACGACAACCAAAGTGATTTCCTTTTGCTCACAAAAGAATTAGAAAGCACATAGCTTAACAAAAGTAGAATATAAATCAAAACAGATATTTATAATGGCTAGGTAGGTTTAGAAAAGATATAAAAGAGGACGTTATTTTATTCAATAAAAGTTATCTATCTTTCTATTCTCTTTTTATTCTTTTATCTTCGTTTACGATTCCCAGTGGGTTTGACCAATTTTGGCTGTGTTATAGCATTGGTAGAACAACCTAGATCGAAAACGACAATACAAAAAAGAATCTGAATGATTCAAAAAATCGTCGACTGCAGGATTTGAACCTACGCGGGCAAAGCCCATGTGATTTCTAGTCACACTCCTTAACCACTCGGACAAATCGACTAATACATTATCACGTATCTTGTAAATACATCTGACTTTGGCCAATTTCTGGTGAGGGATAACGGACAGTGGATTCCTTCGGTGGTTTGGTCCGGCGGTGAGCCGTGACGGGTGGTACCGGACTCGTGGGCATTGACGTCAACGGTGAGTCGACCGAGTGACGTGTCTCGAGGGACAAGAGTGGACCCCCAGGTTTCTTGGGAAATATTGCTCCCGATACCCCTATACCCAAACCCCCCCAATATAATCCCGTTGTGGTGATCCAGACACTTGGTTGTTGGATTTATTACATCTAAGAACATATTCCTATTATTATAGTAAAACAGCTATCATTACAAGAACAAATGAATAATTTATTTATTTTACTTATGGTAAATCAATAAGACCAATAATTAATTACAGTAAGTACTGTAATTATGACAGCTCAGTAAGCACTGAGTTAATATGAGGACACTGCAATTAGATTAAATTATAAACATAGCAGTACCAGCTCTCTAATATCTAAATGAACTCAGACTTAAGAAATTAAGATGTGACTGACAAAGCAGATCGTGTTTTGATATAAAAAGGACAACTTTGTATTCTTTAATAAAGACAACCTATATACAGTCTCAAAGTATTCTTATATACGTCTCAATCTTTTTACTGTTGATTTTATTCTATAAAACTTCACACCCGTTCCTTAAAATTAAAATACCCATCTACATCGTCACCTCAGAAACACCTGTCACCCACTAAAAACATTATACCTCTTTCCCCTAATTTTACATACTTCTTTATTGCCGACATTTATTTTACACTATTTTTTATTACATTTTATTAGATTCTATTATTATACTATTATTATATTTTTTTACTTTACTTTACTACATTATTATTATATTATTACTTTCTATTCTACCTTACTATATTTTTACTTTATTTTTATTCAATTATTATATTTTTACTATACTTTTATTTTACTCTCTCTATAATTTTCTATTCTACTTCTACTATCAACACTAGTTATATGTAGTAAAAATTTTTACTTGACTTTCTTTTCTTTTCCTCAAAAAATTATTTTAACCAAACATTTTTGTTTATAAAAGGAACAATCTTTTCAATCAATAAAATCATCATTCTATTTTTGATCTTATTTATTTTTGTCCGTTATTATCATTATTCTTTATTCATATACAGTGTCCTTGTTCTTTGGAGTGTTGTCTGTTAATTTTGATATATTTCATTTCTCTGTGTTGTGGGGAGAAAATAAAGCAAAATATAATATAAACAAAAGAATTCGTGAGAACTTATGTAGGTTGTTTATTTCAAAAGAAAAGTAAAGAATGATCAAATTGCCTTTTTCTACACAGAACTATCTACTGATATTTATATGTTTTTCTAATTTGTAATTCAGTGTGTGCTTAAGTAATCTTTATCATAATGAGTCATCTTCCAGGAGTATTGTTCTTCTGGAAAGATCCGGAAAGATCAATTGATATGATACTTCTCCAGTCAGATCAGTCCAAGAGTTTTGGTAAAGAAGAGCATTTATGCTATTGGTAATATTTTAGTATTCCGACCCAGATACTTGGGTAATGTTTCATAATATTAGATAGTTGTAGTTGTAGTCTCTCAATTAAGTATTTGTATAATAAAAGAAATATGTAGATGAAATATAATGATGCCATATATATAATGTATATGTATTTGTATATCCCATATCATGGTGATAATAATAAGTAATCAATTATGTGTATGATGATCTGTGTATTAAATAATATCATAAAGGGAGATCCGTTTGACTGGAATAGCTGCGGATATTATTTTATCTCTCAGTCTTACTCTCAGATTCAGCAGTAATCAATACTCATTCACAACACTCTGTTTTCCCTTTTCTATCTTTCTCAGACTTTGTTGTTGTCACAATTTCTATTTTAATCTTCTCCCTATTTTTTCTATCTGTCTGTCACCAATTCTTACCTGTCAAATTACCCATTCTTTTCCATTCTTATTGTATTCTTCTTCTTGTATTTTGTAATTCACATTACATTTATTTGCCAAGTGATACTGTTACAATCCACAACAAACAACACATCACGCGTCAATATTGACATGGGGTGCTGTAAAAATAGTCAATATTTAATGAATTTTGGTTGTCCGGCACACTGGGGAATTAGATTTCTACACATATGCGATAGTATGGGAAATTCTGAGTGACAGAATAATTAAATTCTGGAATTTGGCATTTATAGATTCCGTTCGCAATATGTTATGTTACCTGTGAGTTGTCCATATAACTTCTGAACTTATAATGATCCATATAGAGATGTAAGGTTCTTTTAAACTATTTAATCACAGAGAGAATAATCAAATTATGGCATTTTTTTTTTGGATGTTACATTAAATTAAACTTGATTTGAAACAGAGATTCTAATAAAAAATCTATTTTTGATAGAAAACTGTCTACTGAAATAGTAGAATTCTATTGGATTACTTTACAGAGAAAACTGTCTACTGAAATAATAATATTCTATTGGATCATTTAACAGAAGAAACAGGATTTATGTATACTGTCTTCCGAATCTAAACACTTTTATTAGACAATTATGCACGGCTAAACTATAGGATTCACACATGCCATGCTACTGCAATACTTCTTGCACTTCATTTCAAATATTTTTATAGAGATTGTTTTGGAAAAATTGTTTTTATTTAAAAAAAAAAAGCTTCTTGCTTATAATATGTACGGCTTGACAATATATAGTCTAATCTAATATATAAGCTACTACATAATTAATATAATAACAAACCCTTTCATATATTATAATATATAAATACTTCCAATACGATAGAATCCTAAAAAGAAACGCGTGTTTACAGTATTTCACTAGTAAGAGAAGGCTAAAAAATTATTCAATTATATTAGATTATATAAATATTTATTTTTCTTTAATTTAAATAATATGGTTACTTACCAGTACTTTCGTCAGAACCAGGCATATTGCACATTGACTGTTGTTCTGAAAGGTTTAATAAAACGCATTAGTAAAGATCATGGAATAAAGTTTGGCTTTATTACTTACCAAAGAAAACCGGTTTTCAAAGACAAGCCATTCAATCAGGTACATAGAAATGTTGGCAGTACTAACAGAGATAGAAAATAAACAAAATTAGATATAAGAATAAAACAAATAAATACATTATTCAGACTTACCGGATAAATTTCTGCTGTTAGTATGTCTTTATGATGAGCTGAGGAGAGAAAAAGAAAATAATTAATAAAGAAGCACATACACAATAACCGCGTTTTACCTTTTTGTTCTTGTCCATTAATCAACATGGCAAAGACTTGTAATACTATCAGCAACCACAATAATAATAAAAGAAAAAACATTAAGAATAAATATAACAGTAGAATAATAAAAACAAATTGCTTACCAGGGTGTGAACTCAAATACATCAATAAGAATAAAAGTAAATAAAGCGGAAAAGAAACAGGAAAAAAAGAAATAAGAAAAAAATAAAGAAAAAGAAGAAAAAAAAGTGGGCTTTCAAACAGAAGGCAGTTTAGATGAGAATTGACTCTAGTAAAATACAATAGTAATAAAATGAATAGTCCGAAATTATATTGTAACACTAAGTTCTATGTTGAATATTAAAGAAGTTGTTCAAGGTTATAAAGGATTTTATAGAAAATAATATATAATCCCTTCCTTTTCTCAGCTATTTCATAAATCTACTTTATATTAACTTATTTTGTATGTATATCTTTGATTAAACAAAAATAAATATATTTCAACCCATACATTTATTTTATTTTAATAATTTATTAATGTATAAAACTTTAATAAAAATACAATAAAGAAAAAATGCCTTCCAATAGCAGCAGAAAAACAGACCGTAAAGGAAAAGGAAAAGCATCTGCAAGTATATCTACCTCTGCAAACCGTGTTTTGGCTGGCCGTGTTGGACCTCGAGAAATTGACCCCCAGTTTCTCATCCGCAACTATCCAAGATCAGCGATACGTGAAAATTGTTGAAATGTTTAACAAAGTAAACAACAATATCAACGGTGTCAAGGATGACATTGCTGCTGTCAATAGCAACATGGCAGCCTTTAAAAACAGGATGGGCGTTGTTGTTGACACGTCTGGAAAGACACATACGGCATTTGCAGACTTTGCAACTGCCTATGCCAACAATCAGACTCGTATGGCTAGTCTAGGACCATCTCTGATGCCATCCTATGTCCCCCAGACCTCCCTCAGTGATGCCGAGGTTTCTGTCATTATCTCGGTAATTAATACTAATATATGTTAGTATCAACAACTTATTAAACAACCTGTATTTAGGAAATCTTTGCGGAAAAGTTGTGGGACTGGAAGTTCGAGTCTGACGACCCTGCTCTTGTTGCTGAGAACGAGAGTAAGAAGAAGTGGAACTTGAACGAGAAGATTAACCACCGCGATAACGTAGCTGTTATCAACTACTTGAAGAGCTACATTAGCGCCCAGACTCGTCTAGCTGGTACTCACCCATGGGTGATAAGTGATAAAATAAAGAACAGGTACAAGCACAGTCATCGTACTTTTCACGAGTCTCCTGAGCAGAAGGCCAAGAAAAACAGCAAGGGGAGAGCAAACAATCGTACTCTTCAGGTTTGTATATACTATATAAAAAATTAATTGGTATATTACTATTTTCTCAAGCTACAATCTATATAACCAGATGTCTATCTGACGCAAGTCGACATACATGGACAACTGGGTAGCCATTGATGCTGCAATGGGATATAAGACTGGAAACCCTGTTGAGAAGGCCTATCTCAAACTCTTTCAGAAGGATGCCATGTCTGATGGTGAGTCGGATATTGAGATTGTGGACAATCTTCCACGACGGTGTTTGCATGTGGCTCGCCCCACTTGGAGAAGTGAAGAGGTAAATAATATTTAGAATAAATAAATAAGTTTTATAACAAGAAAAATAAAGAACTAATAAAAATAAATACAGTTCAACAGATTGTTGACAATGGTTGACGACATTGATCGTACCCATCACGTGTTAAATGCGGGCATGGGAACAAAGCCAAGAATGAACAGATATCCAGCAACATTGTTGCCTTGCTCTGTTCCTGCCACTCTGTCCCAGTCATTGCCTCGTTGGGCAATCAACGATGAATAAACATTTTCTTTTTTACTATGTTCTGTTGTAGGGCCAAATAGTAATAATTGAAATTGAATTGATTAAAGGAAATAATAATAGAGGATAAATATATAAGTAAGTGTGTGTATGAGAATTAATAGTAAATTTTTTTTGGTAAAGGAATCGCGAGTTTTTTGTTGACATTTTTTGTAGTTTTGTAATCTACTATTGCAACTGTTAGGAGAATCCGATGTACTGGCAGGATGCTTTGAAAATCTTGCTTGTAGAATTCATCCTGTAACAACTCAACTCCTTCTAATTCTCTTGTTTTGTCCGAAGTGGATTTGAACCATTTGACAAATGCAAATACATGCTGACTACTATGGGGATTTCTGTATGTTAGAGAAGAAACAGTTGGCCTAAAATTGTGAACAAAAAGGTACTGAATCTCTCCAACATACGCATGTTCCGACCCAGTTCGTTCAGTAAAATATGCTTGTATGTATGATCCGCGGCCATTCGTGCCAATGCACCCTTTGTAGCTTTGCCCAAGAAGATCAACGGACTTCACCATTTCGATCCAGTCATTGACGAAAGGTGAGTCATCAATTACATCTTTGCAACCTGAGATCTGTGGATTCTTGTACGCAGCTTGATAGTATCCTACAAGACAATCATATTCATGTTTTGGCATAAATGATAATGGTCTTGTTTTCAATGGCAAGGCGGATGGTGGCAGGGGCTCGTTTCCACGAATTATCATTGAAAGATTCTGTGAAGCTTCAAGATATTCGGAAATTGAGAAAGAGTGAGAGAGGTAGGTGTTGGTGTTGGTGTTGGTGTTAGTGTTAGTGTTGGTGTTGTTGTTGTTGGTGGTGAACTTATCGAAAATTTCAAAACATGCAAGTGCATGCATAGGTTTCAGAAGTCGATGCACAAAATCTCCCTTCCACGACTCTTCAATAAACTGTCTCATAAATGTCGATTCGAACCCATTTCTTCGATTGGTCTTGATATTTTTCAGAACACTATTGTACCTTTCAAAGCTGAAAAGCCAATAGCCATAGATGGGCCCAAAGTCAATCATTGTTTGGCGTAAGTGCAGATGCAGGTGCATGTTGGGAGAGAGAAGGTCCAGGTCGTACAATGTCTCACACCCTTTACAGAATTCTTCTAAGCATTTGTGTTCTTTCTCAATGTCTTCTTCAGAAACACTAGGCTTGGTGAAGTATCTGCATGCGTTAACAAACTCTATCCAGTTCTTGAACTCTGGCAACGGCAACACATCCCTTAGAACCACAGGAGAGTACACAAGGCACCAAGACTTCCACTCATCAGCCTTCATATAGGGAAATCCCTTGGCAATCTTTGTCCCAAGTGACGTGTAATCAGGCGGCAACACTACCTTCTCAACAGCCTTTTGCATGGCAACGAGTTTTTTATCATCGATTAATCCATCCGCAACCCATCTCTCCAGCATTCTTTTGGCAGTGCCTAAGAAAAGATTGTGCATGGGATTGATGATCGTGCAGCGGACAATGTCAAAGTACTGAAGACGATGCAGTTCGGACCAGCGAACACCATGTGCAACTTTAAGACGCTGTCTCTCAGTCGGTTTGGTTGCATTTCTCCAGATCTCTGCATCCTTACGATTGTCATTCTTAGTGCGAAGGAGCCACTTTGAGAAATCAAATCCAGAATAATCAACGGAACTCGTTCCAGCCAACCTCGAAAATTGACGCTTACACTTGTGGCATGCATTTGTACTTGTATGGGATGTGAACCCACATACTTTCCTTGCAGCAGGTATATCACAGGCAACCATGAGAAGGGCTGCTTGGATAGAAGTACCATTTGGACATTGGTGAGTCTTAATCTTAATACCTTTGTACAGCTCCATCAACTCATCCACAAGCGGTTTCAGATAGTTATTTATGTCAGAAGTGCTTGCTTCTTTAGGCCCTGGCATTAACCCAACAAGAATCACGTTCTCCTTCTTGAACCGCTCACTGCGTGGAAGATTATTGATTGCAAGATATATGGCACCACAGGAGTAGGTAACATCATCGAATGGCTGAAACCAGTCAATGTTCAGCGTGAGCATGAGTGATCGCTCGGTGTCAACAAAAGGTATACCATCTACGTCTACTATCTCATTCCACATCGCACCATCGTACACGTCAAATAAAGTGCTATCCATTTTCGGGCCGCGGTTCCATGAGTTGATGTTGTTTTCAAAATCCGGGCGTTGAAAAAACGTCTTTAGGGCTTTCTTGACGGAGTGGAATACATATGTCTTTTTGGGTGCTTTTGACCCGGGACCAGACTTAAACAAGCTGTTGCCACACAAGGAGGTTTTACCAAAATTGGGTGATGTACAACACAAAGGGGCGGCTTCATTATCATATATGGCATGGCATTCGCTACATGCAACATACTTCTTGACACCACTTGTCAACGCTTCAAATCCGGCCAAACGTTTGAGGCCAGCAACACTCACTGGAAGGCGGAATGGGTCAAACAAAAACTGCAGTATCTTGTTGATTATGGCAATCAGGATTACAGCTCCTTCATCCACGACGTATAGCGAGACAAAAAGAGCAACCGAAATAACAATGAATCGGTGAATCAAATTCAATTCCGAGATTGATTCCAATGAAGGATCTTTAATTTGATTTTTTTTAAAGAACGTTGATTAACTCTCTATTTTCTAGGATATAATATTATCTAAAGCTGTGTACCTACCTTCATCATTGTCCATCTCAACATCGGATTCATCTTCATATTCTTCTTCGTAAGTGTCACTTGTATACTGGACATTATCTTCAGGGCCAAACACGCAATCCGTTTCAGAGAAAGGTTGGTTTCTTGTCCGTATATCCAAAATGTCATTTGTGTCATTTAGGTCTACAAAAGCGGAATGTTAGACCCAAATAAATCAATGTAATAAAACAAGTTTTCTTACTTCTAAGCTCAGAATTCATTTCAACATCTTCCTGTTCAAATTCAAAACTATCTTCCTCTTGATTTACAGGCTCAGAAACAACACTACTAATTGTATCGCATGTGTCTTCATGGGCTACACATTTATTATTATTAGTGTTAATATTATTATTATTATTATATAAAATAATAAAAAAGGAAATGATATAAAATAAAATAAAATAAAGTAAAGTAAAGCAAATGTATTAACCATACGCGTTTGAACATGTGTAATATCATGATTATCTTTTTCTTGATGACGTTTAAATGTTTTAACAGATACACGATCGAATCCTAGTGTCTTGCTTTTACAGATAGAGCAGCGACACTCTTTTCTAACAGTTGGTTTGCGAATAGGAGCCATTTTAAAATGAAAAGAAAGGTTTACAATAGTATTTAATAGTAAAGAAAGAGACTTCAAAGAAAACACACTTTTATTTTATTTGAGTTTGATGTTGCATTCTAATGCTACACAGCTGCCAGTAGCCAATAGAGTAGCTTAAAATACTATTCAAATACTTTACTCACAAAAGTGAGCTGAACTACAATTTTACCTATTCTGTCTATCAGAACTTAGGTATACTTTACATATGCGAAATTGATCTGTTTTTGCAGTATACGGTCTTGAACTTGTGATACAGTTGCCAATTGTCACAAGACTAGTTCTTGGTATGAAAAATGGGTATTTTGTGGTGGAGAGGGTATCATCCGGACGGGTATAAAAATTTTTGTCTCCTTGGTAAGGGACACAGTGATCAAGTCGTAAATGTGCTTTCCAATTCCTCTTGCAACTAAATGAAGTTCATCCAGTGCAAAGAAGGAAGATGCAAAGAAGGTTGACAGTTCACTAAAGATGCTTGGCTGGTATACATTTTTTATCTATTATAAGCAATTATTTAGTACAAGAAAAAATCGAATTAAACTGTTATATACTTACAGGATTGCCAGTTTTGAAGTCTTCCAAAGGTCGCAAAGGAGCAGAACTATCTTCAAAGTATATTCCGTGCCATCTGTTTTCTGAGGCTTTTCCCTTTGTTTTGCAGATTTGGCAACCAAACAAACTGGCATGTGAGCCAATGTTTGTCATGTCAGCCACAGCTGGGATGTCACCAGAAGCAAGCAACAAGTGGATCTTGGCACGGCAAACCTCAACTCCATTGCCCTTGATTACCAAGTGATGCACCTCAAGATTTTTTTATTTCACTGATGATTGGCACCAGGAAAGAGTCCAAGTGGGTAGGCTTCTTGGGACCAGGCAAGATTGCCAGCTGCAAGAGGTATTCATTTGTTTATCTAAGCTTTTTATTAGTAATTTTTTTGAAATTTATATATTAATTGATTTATTACCTTATTGATAGGTCAAGGTTAAATACAACAGCATGAACAATGGTGTATGAACTCTTGCCCTTTTTTTGGTTAACAAAACCATTGGTATATAGCCCAATGGCAATATTGTTGGGATTTGAGAACAAGCCTTGCTGCACCAACTGCTTGTAATTTTTACCATCAAAAATATTGGTGAGCTGACCAGCTACAGATTCCCAGTTAGCTCTGTAATGAAGGAGTTCTCTTGTGGCTGAATCAGCCAGCATTTGAGAAAACATATCACCAACTGACATAAGCTTCATACTGGCAGCTGGTGTTTGACTTTGCTCAGTATCAGTCTTGTATTGCAGTTCGTCACAGTCAACACAAGATTCCTGATCGTCATTAATGCCATACAATTGGCAACCATTAAGACAGACATCATACTCATGGCCCTTGACACTTGACTTGGACTTGAGCAAAGCATCGACAGTTTTGCCGTGGCTGATCTTAGCCCCAGGTTCTAAAAAAAGAGCAACATCACTACATGTTAGAAATTTGAAATTAAAGTGTAAGGTAACATAAATGTTCTATTTTACCCAACATAACTTCATTGTGATCTTAAATGATTGTATTAACAAATTGGATGATGTCTCTGTAAGCTACCCTGGAAATTCTGTGCTGAAGCACCAATTGAAAGAGATGAATACTCATCAACTTGGCCTTTGTAAAGGTATTGCTATCAATTCTGCTGCTATCATAAATATGAGCTTCACCCTCGCTGTCCTCGAAACTACAACTGCACTTGTAAGAAATGACCTCGTCGATCTCTATTGCATTCACAGCATAATCTATAATGCATTATTAAATAAGTATTCCAATCACTTATTAATAATTTTACACTGATTATTATTATCTGAATCGTTAACTAATTCATTATTGTCAATAATGTCATTTCTAATATCATTTTGCATTTCAACATCCTCTGCAATATATTGTGAAATGATATTTGCTGATGCCAAGTTGCTTTCATGACCTCTCTTATGGTTCTGAAGCTGATGGTAAGTGTGGTGATCCAGACACTCAGATGTTGGATTTATCACATATAAGAACATATTCATATTGGGATAGCATAGTAGCTATCATCTTGTCAGTATAAAATATATATAAACGATTAAGTAATCAGTCCAATAATTATTACAGTTAGTACTGTAGATAATATCTTAAAGATTGTTAAGATAATTATATCATAATGCCGGGTAAACTGTGTCAGATCGATATGGAGCTAATTTAGTAGGAAGTCCTAAAGCTCTAGTATAAAAGAGAAAAGAATAGCTAAGAGCTAAAGAAGTACGATTTATGACTTGATGTCATAATTGTAACACCGACACTAGTTAAGCAGTAAATACACTCTAATAACCAAATATAGTAAAGGAAGAAAGCCTTAAGAAACTAAGACGTAATGACAAGAGCAGATTGTGTTTTCTTATAAAAAGGGACACTTTTTATTTATGAATAAAGACAACTTATAGACAGTCTCAAAGTATTTCTATACGTCTCTATTATCAAATATTTTATTTTTCTATTGTTTTGTACCTGAAATACCACATTTTTTACTTTGAATTCTCGAAATGTCTCAACAATCCGCTGTCAAATCTACTATCGTTTCTGGTGAAGAAACCGCCCGTGTCAACTCTGGTGTCATTCCTCCTCCTTCTGCTGCTGGTTCTGCTGACCACGATGGTGATACCGTGATGACTCCCTTGGGTTCTGAGGACGGTGCCTTTGATTCTGAAGAAGGTTCTTCTGGTTCTGATGCTGGCCGTTCTGGTTATGTGGGTGCCAATTCTCCTCGCATCTATTTGGGTAACTCTGGAGTCAGAGTTAACAACAACCTTGTGGCCACCATGGAGATGTTGCTGGCTTCTGCTGAGGAGGACCTCAACGCTAAGAAGGGCAACTACTACGCCGCTCTAGGCCACTACTTGGGTGTTTCCAAGAGAGATCCCACCTCTACTGCTGCCAAGTCTGCTTCCAAGGGTGCCAAGGAAGCACAAGAACTGTTTGCTGAGGCTGAGCAAATCCTCAAGAACCTCAAGGCTTCCACTGCTCCTGCGTCTAAGCCTCATGACAAGAGAAGCACTCTGGTTCCCAGTAACCTACCTTTTCTCCAGCTTCGTTCTGAGGGTCCTCTGGTGAAGGCCAACCGCTATGTGTTCGATTCGGTGTATGACTTCTGCCAGGAGTTTACCACAGTCCTGGAAGCACACTCTCTGTCCTTGGATTCCTGCTGGGAACGTCTGTTGCCTACTTGTTTGAACAAGGAAGAACGTTCTTGGTTTGAGGACAAGCTCAAAGGCAAGGCCTACAACTGGAAGAAGGCCGAAAGTATTCTTCTGAATTACTATGACATGCCGTTCCATAAGTTCCTGAACATGGGTCGTGTCTGGTGCATGAAACAAGGCAAAGGAGAATCTGCTCGTTCTTTTGGTGCCAAGTTCCAAAAGTTCCGCTGCCAGACCTCGTTGGACGATGGTGTTCAATTGGTTCTCTGCTTCTGGTGGAATCTGCGTCCGGAAGTCCGGGAAGCTTGTCTCATTCCTTTGTCAGCCAACTATGGCACCAAGATGCCCTCAAAGATTGAGGACATCATCTCGTTGGTGAGTGTGTCAACAAGTGACTCCACTGCTTTGTTATATAATCCTGCCAATGGTACTGCCGCGTCTTCCTGGAGTTCGTTTGCTGCTCACAATGGTGTGTCCTCTCTCTCTGCTGGTTCCCACAAGGGAAAGAAAAGGTCTTTCTCTCGCGAGCGTGGTTCTTAGTCTCCCAAGAAGTCATGGGACTTCAAGAAGGCGATGAAGGATAGCATTTGTTTCTCGTGCAAGGCTCCCTGGGTTAAGGGACACTCCTGTCCAGAACGGGAGAAGTACTTGACAAAGGTGTCAAGGATGGCAGTCCGCTCCTCTGCTGGTAGACCAGCAAGAGCTTCCACTGTGGTTGAGGGGAGTCCCTCGTTGCCTTGGTCAGAGTACCAAAACAACACTAGTGCTCTGGCCAAGATGGCATTAGATTGTAAGTACAATCTTAAAGACATGGTTATTAAAAGAGATTTTAAGAACATGAGCGCTAATATTACCTTTCCTATTTTGGCAAATAATTCTATTAGAACCATCTCCTTGTTGGACTGTGGGGCCACGTTCAGTTTGGTGGACAAGAATTTTTGCTTGAAGAATGGAATAGCCATTAGTTATATCAATCACATTAATAAGGATTTGTTGAACAAAAACAATGTTCATAAGTATTTTATTTATTTGGCTGATAGCAATACCCAGATTAAAAGAATTGGTACTTGTGTGATCAGTGTAACTTGCAATAGTAAGACTATTCAACGCGAGTTTGAAGTGATGAATTTAACTAATAGTCATGAGTATGATTTCAGTATTGGTACTGATTATATGTCTTCTCTTGGTATTGGTATTTATGGTTTACCTTTATCATATGATGATGCTGATTCAAGTAAGGAACGTAGAGAAGCCAATAGACGCTTCAATAATAAGAGTGATCTTCTTGAATCCATTGAGAGAGAAAATGAACGAAAGGAAAATAATCCAGCTGTAGGTCCCAAACAGTTTGAGGATGCTATGGATTATATTCGACCATTCATTAAAGACAATCAAGATATTCCTAAGGGTTCATTTTGTACTATACCTGAAAGTGTTGTATGTTTGGACACTCCAGAAAATGCCACGGCGTTCAGAAGCCTTTATCCCATTCCTTACAAGATGCAAGGTGTAGTGGATGAACAGGTGAGAGAATGGCTGAACAATGATATAATTGAAAGAGCATCTGCAAACACACAATGGAATACGCCTTTGACTGTTGTCAAGAAGATGAACGGTAAAGGAGAAATTACTGGATATCGCGTTTGTCATGATCCCAGATTAATTAATTGCCTGTTGAAGTCAATTGATCGTATGCCTTTGCCATTGATTGGTGAATTGTTTGAAGATTTAAAGGGTGCGAATATTTATTCTACTCTGGATTTGAAATCTGCGTTTAATTCTTTGAGGTTGAACCCAAAGGACACACACAAACTTAGTTTCACATAGCGTGGTGTACAGTACAAACCTATTGGTACAGTGTTTGGTATAAAACATGTCAGTTCACAATTTCAAAGAACTATGAGTATAGCTTTGGAAGGACTATCTTTTGTACGGTTTTTTGTGGATGACATTGTTTGCGCAAGCAAAACGTTCGAGGAACACAAGAAACACTTGAAGCAAGTGATTGAGAGATTAACAAGGGTCAATTTGAAGTTGAATCCAAAAAAATGTCATTTCTTTCAGAAAGAAATTTATTTGCTTGGTTTTCATATTTCACTTGAAGGAATTATAATGGACCGCAGAAAACTTGTTAATGTTGTTGAATTTCCTCAACCAAAGACGGGTAAAGATATCCAAAGTTATTATGGGTTGATCAACTATTTTAGAACGTTGATTCCGAATGTATCTTCCATTATGTTGCCACTAGATTCATTGAGAAATGAAAAGTCGATTACCTATTTATGGACAGATAAGCATCAAACTGCATTTAATAACTTGAAAAAAGCACTTTTGAGTGATCTGGTGTTGTCGTACCCAGATATGAACTCTCCTTTTAGTATCAGCTGTGATGCATCTCTTACTGGTATTGGTGCAGTGTTGTATCAAGTCAAGGATGGCAAGAAAAAATATATTTCTTTCGTGGCTAAGAGCTTATCCCAAAGTGAAAGAAAGTATTCTGTGACCAAAAGAGAATTACTAGCGTTAGTATTTGCACTCAAGCGTTTTCACAAGTATGTATATGGTTCTCACTTTGCCTTGTACACGGATCACAAGGCATTGACATATCTTTACACCCAACGTGTTGCGAATCTGATGATGATTGCATGGATGGACACAATTTTACAGTATGACTTTAAGATCGTTCATTTGCCTAGTGTTTCGAATGTGCTTCCTGATGCGTTGTCACGTTTGTCTGAAGAGACTTAAATATTATCAAATGAACTGGGTGGGGATAGTGTGGTTAGATCCATCATGAGAAATAGTGCTGCCACTATGGAACCGCTACCAGACATCTTGAGTGGTGAGTACTTTACTCCTCCCACAGAAAATGAAAGGAATAAGTTATTAGTTGAAGAACATTTGAAAGGTCATTTTGGTGTAAAAGCTATACTACACGCCTTAAAGAGAAAAGATATCTATTGGACCAGCTTGAAGAGTCAAGCAAATGATCTTATACAATTGTGTATACAGTGTCAACATCATAATATCACAAGAAAAGGTTATAATCCTTTAAGACCTGTGACTGCAACACTTCCTGGTGACAGTTGGGGAATAGATCTGGCTGGGCCATTTACAACGTCAACTAGAGGAAATGAGTACTTGTTAGTGATGATAGACATAGCAAGCAAATTTTATGTATTGCGTGCCATATCTGATAAAAGGGCAGCTACAATTGCGTTACAAGTACTGGACGTCATTAGTACATGGAATCCGATGAGAAAGTTGCAGAGTGATTATGGACGGGAGTTTGTGAACTTGCTGATGACATGTATAAAAGAGAATGTTGGTTTTGAACATGCATTGATTTCGCAGTACCATCCTAGAGCTAATGGTGCAAGTGAAAGAGCTGTCCAGTCAGCAGTGAGCACCATTAAAAAACAAATAGTTGGTATTGTTGCTGATTGGGATCAGAAGGTGCCATCTGCGCAGTTGTTTTTGAATAGCAAGTATAGTGCTAGGACTAAGAGTACACCATTCTCATTAATGTTTGGAAGGAATCCAAATGACTTTGTCGATTTTAGTAAAGAAAAGGATAGTGCAACTGCTGAACAGATTCAGAAAGAGTTGCAAGAAAAAATTAAAAGAATGACTGAGATAGTCTACCCTGCCGTGTTTGAACACGTAAAGCATGTCACAGAAAAGCAAAAGGAACGCTTTGATGGAAGTCACAAAATGATAGATCTGGTTCCAGGAACCACGGTAATGATTTTGGTGACAGAAAAACAGAATAAATTAGATCCAAAGTATAAGGGATTCTACACTGTTGTTAGAAAGACTGCTGCCAATACTTATGTATTGAAAAATGAAAAGGGATTTTTAGAACCAAGGAATTATCCTCCTTCTTTATTGAAAAAAGTTTCTGACAAGATATTAGAGCAAAAGGATGACTTTTTTGAAGTCGAAGCAATTATTGGGCACATGAAAGATGACAAGAACAATTATTTGTATAGATGCAAATGGTTGGATTATGATGAGTCTCACGATACCTGGGAGCCAGAGGATCATTTTACCAATCCTAAGTTCATAAAGGAATACTGGCAAAGAATTGGTGAAGCACCAGAAGGTATCAAAGACATCAATAAGGCCAATAAGAAATTATTAAAGGATATGAAAGTTGCATATTCCGCACCTAAAGAAAATTCAGGTACTAAAAGAAAGAATTATGCAAAGACAGCTTATTAAAAGAAGAAACGCAGTAAGGTCTAAATAAAGAGTTATTTGAGTACCACAGTACTCGTTTAAAAAAAAAAAAAAAAAAAAAAAAAAAAAACAAGCTGATCAGAAGAATTGCATAGAGTACTTGAACGGTATTTAGTTAATACCTGGGTGGGGATAATGTGGTGCTCCAGACACTCAGATGTTGGATTTATCACATATAAGAACATATTCATATTGGGATAGCATAGTAGCTATCATCTTGTAAGTATAAAATTTATATAAACGATTAAGTAATCAGCCCAATAATTATTACAGTTAGTACTGTAGATAATATCTTAAAGATTGTTAAGATAATTATACCATACTGCCGGGTAAACTGTGTCAGATCGATATGGAGCTAATCTAGTAGGAAGTCCTAAAGCTCTAGTATAAAAGAGAAAAGAATAGCTAAGAGCTAAAGAAGTACGATTTATGACTTGATGTCATAATTGTAACACCGACACTAGTTAAGCAGTAAATACACTCTAATAACCAAATATAGTAAAGGAAGAAAGCCTTAAGAAACTAAGATGTAATGACAGGAGCAGATTGTGTTTTCTTATAAAAAGGGACACTTTTTATTTATGAATAAAAAAAACTGATATACAGTCTCAAAGTATTTCTATACGTTTCTATTATCAAATATTTTATTTTTTTATTGTTTCATATCTGAAATACCACAGTAAGTTTTGAACAACAGGACACATTGATTGCATTTGTGTGTTTGTGTAAATAATTTATCTCTCTGCTGATTGATGTTGAAGGAAGACATATTGGTTGCTTTGGTAAGTATTTAGTATATAAAATGAAACTGTAAAAAGATTCTGGTTATATTTGCACAACATAATAGAGAGCTTTATATATCACTGTGGTAAATGGCAGCATTTATAACTCTGTACTTGTAGCTTTTATACATGCTCGTATCAAATATACGTGCTCGTAGATATGTCAGGGAAGATTTTTCAGCCAATAAAACTACTCAAATATGAAGAGCTTATAACTCCGGGCTTGTAGCTTTTTTATGCACTTGTATTTAATATAAGCACTTGTAGATTCTCCAGCAAATGCGATTGGTGGGATTTCAGATTGTTTTTGCATCTAATCCAATCAATTGCTCCAAATATAGTAGATCTATACCTTTTTAGATACTTTAAATTTTCTTATAATTTGTCTAACAAACTTAATGTTTTATAGCAAAATATTTTTATTTTTTGACTTTATTAATAGTAAAAGTAATAAAATAAGGCTCTTCTTTAACCTTCGCATATCTATAGCATTGCCTCTAACAAAGGGTACTAAAAAATATTAGATGAATAATAAAATAAGTATATAAAGAAGAAGACTATAATAATTTTAAATTAAATAAAATATAGTAAAAGTCTAATTAAAATTGTAAGATCAAGGTCTTTATAAGCTACTAGATATCGCTTTGGTCAGAAATAAAAAAGGGAGTTTCGTTTAACATTACAAGAGCTATAGCTATATATCATTCTATCTATAAAATATGTGTATGTGTGCTTATCTTGTAGGGCTTTGATAAAAGGTTTTGTGTTATAGAGTCTTCTTATAGATCTCTTGCTTAGTATTGTTATCATTCAAAAGCTATAAACTATAAATTAGTTAGTACTTCGTAAAGTCTCAAAGACTTGTCAACAATAGTAACAGTGAGAAGAAATAGAAAGAAAAAGACTTTACAAAATAAAAACACAAGTTCACATTAAAAAGAAATATTAGTAGATATGACTGTTTCTAGCATAAGTTCAGATTCAAGGTACAGAGTTCATAGGGTTTGTTTGACCCTCTAGTTGATTTTTCTTAAATCAAGCAAGTAGTTCTCTTTATTTGGAAATCAAGATGGTTTCCTGGGTGGACAACTAGACTTTCATCTGCAAAATATTTCTCTAGGGCCAAAATAGGATAGAGATATTCTAAACTTGGTAAGTGCTAGATGGTGTTCAAAAATCTGTCATTTCTTTCCAAAATGAGACAGCTTGTTTCAAATACTTGTAGATTTTTTTTTACAGTATACTCTTTATCTCAGAACAATTTGTTTATTTTCTTTTATTTTATTTCTTGCAATGATATCACAACAATAAAAATGATGATGATATTAGCTAAACACATCTTGATCAATAATGACAACAAGTATTATATAAGTATAACTATTATAGCATTTACTTTACAAGATCAATGATGAATGCTTAATTAACTATAGCATATTTAAACATCGTGTTACTATTCCAAAGTCTATTTACACTGATGTCATTATTTTAACCGGTAAAATATTCTGGCGTCAAAAATTAAAAAGATAATGTTATAGTAATAACATATTTATGGTTAAGCTATTATATATCTTTTTAAGAAATTAAATGGGTAAACATTGTGAAATGTATATATAATAGGAAATATAACTTTTATTCTTTTTATCTTTCTTAAAAAATAACAATTCAAAAATGTCTGATATTAACATCACACTCATAAACTCTGTCAGAAAAATTGAAATTGATATTGCCAAAATAAAGCAAATGGTACGCATGCTTCAAAATCAGTTTAGCAAACAATTTGCCCCAGCTGTCAGTGTGGAAGAACTTAATATAATGCAACAAAACATCATTGAGCAAAGTGATAAGATACATTTATTATATATCTATATATTTACTTGCCTTATTAATATGATGGTATACAACTTCCTTTTTGGTAGCTCTTGAACGCGTTGCCAAGTCTGTGAAAAGGTCTCAATTCACTGAGTATCCTGACCAGCTTGGCAAGCAAGTAATTGGTACAGGTGGCGATTTCAAAGGGAATGTTGTGAATGAGTATTGATTACTGCTGAATCTGAGAGTAAGACTGAAGGATAAAATAATATTCTCAGCTATTCCAGTCAAACAGATCTCCCTTTACAATATTATCTAATACACAGATCATCATACACATAATTGATTATTTATTATTATCACCATGACATGAGATATACAAATACATATACATTATATATATGGCATCATTATATTTCATCTACATATTTCTTTTATTATACAAATACTTAATTGAGAGACTACAACTACAACTATTTAATATTATGAAACATTACCCAAGTATCTGGGTCGGTATACTAAAATATTACCAATAGCATAAATGCTCTTCTTTACCAAAACTCTTGGACTGATCTGACTGGAGAAGTATCATATCAATTCGTCTTTCCGGATCTTTCCAGAAGAACAATACTCCTGGAAGATGACTCATCATGATAAAGATTACTTAAGCACACACTGAATTACAAATTAGAAAAACATATAAATATCAGTAGATAGTTCCGTGTAGAAAGAGGATCGAATTTTATCATTCTTTACTTTTCTTTTGAAATAAACAACCTACACAAGTTCTCACAAATTCTTTCATCTATATTATATTTTGCTTTATTTTCTCTCCACAACAGGGAAAAACAAAGCCCAGAAATATAATTTGTTGTTGCAGTTGCTTTATGAGCAGGAGTGAAAAGATTGTTGTAAAGAAACCTCAGAAGGGCAACTTTTGCCCCAATTAATACTTCTTTTAGACAACAATTTGTCTATAAAACTATTGCAGCTCAAGACGCTGAGTCACACAATCAAGCACAATCTCATTGACAAAGACTTTCCTGCTTTAAGTAAAGAATGGAAAGGTATCCTGGAAAAGCATCGGGAATACTATATGACGCAATTAGAGAGAATGGCAAAGGATAATGGCTTTGCTATCTACAAGTGCAAGAGCATGTGATGTGCCAAAAACCTTCTCCAAAGAAGCTTCAAAAGTGACAACCAGAAGCAAAAAAGAAGAATGGTAGAGAAGAACATTGTAAGTTTATTAATTAAAAGGTTTCATTTATATGTTTTAATAAAAGTTTAAAAAATTATAAGGCACAGCAAGATCTAAATGATTCTTTATTGTCTTCTGATAATATGTCAGAAATAGATGGTGGCAAGTCGCCTATTATGGTGGATATGCTGTAAGTTATCATAGTTTCTGCTGATTTGGTGCTGTCAATACAAAACTAATATAAACTTTTTACTTTTTTATAAAGGTCTTCTCTGGCAGAAATGAGTGTTCAGCCAGTACATAAGAGAAGCTGAAGATCGTAGAAGGTTTTGATTGATTCAAAATATTTCTTAGTATATTTTTAGTTTGGTTTTTATATTTATCTTTTATTTTCTTCTTTTCTCTTTCTTTCTCTTGTTTTTTTATTCTTTCTCTTTAAATAAAGATGTGTTGCCCTTTCTTATGTGATTGATATTTATATATTTATTAGCTTTGAAAACTAATATACAACATCTGCAGCATTATTACAATTAATTTTTGAATGAAGCACAATAGATTCTTTTTTTTTCAAAGAACAAAAAAAAACTAATAATACTCTTGTGCTACTATGTTATACTTGATAGATGTTATATTCTATGTAAGTATCTTGATATAATATACATCTCGTGTTAACAAAACAATGTTCATTCAGTTTTCAACTAGATTCAACTAGACTTTATATTATATGACTCAAATTTTTTTTGAGTTTTATTTGGTAATAATTTTGAGTGATACTCACTGCTTTTTTCACTTGTCTTATAGATATACTAACACTTTTTAATGACATATGCAGCTTACATATTAATAATATTTTCTATTATATATATTTTTAGAGCAAAAAAAATTCTTTGAAGCTATTAAGCATATTACATAAAGGTAAGCACTATATTATTATGTCTATTTATTTATTTTCTCTCTAACATTGATATATTTATAGAAACCGGTTAGAATTAAAGAAAGCTATCTAGTCTATATTGAAGTACTCAAAACACATGAAATGCTTTTGGGATAAAGGGTTTTTACTGCATACTCTACAGTAGCCATATAATACCATATTTTTTTGCAAGTTCAAATAGATGGGTTTTAAGTAGTATTACTATCATATAATAAAATATAAATTGAAGTAAAATCTTATTCAATTCAATTCATTCCAATTCATTTTAATTCAATTCAATAAATGATTCATTTAATATGGCAAATAAAAAGCGAAATGATATACTAGTATTGGATACAGTAGAGCAAAAAAAAGGGGGAGGGACATAAAAGAAAGCCAAAAATAAAAAAAACCAAAAAAAAACCAAAAAAAAAAATGAACCTCGGTCTTTTAAAAAAAAGTGGCAACTGTGCCTCTAATTGTGCTATACAGACTCATATTTGCCATCTTTTATTATGTAAAAAATGGCAGTTATGCTACCAAAGTGGTAATATGTTGCCACTTTTTTAGCCATAGTGCAAGAAACTAATATTTTATGTTGCAAGATGGTATAGACCACAATGAGAAGAAAACAAGAAAAAGATACTGAAACTAAATGAATTATTTATTGAGTTGAGTTTGCTTCTCTTTTTATAGTCAACAAGATTTTAAGTTGATAATAGAAGTTCGGAAAAATAAAGATAGTAAAAATAGAATGATGAATAATTAATACTGCAAGGATAAAATATATGAGTAAAAATATGATAAAAATATAATAATAAAGATACTGATGTTGCGCGAAGATGTCGGCAAGATGAATTATGTGCATTATAGAAGAGAAATGTTACTAGCATGGGGAACCATGATTTCGAATGAGTACAATGTAAACAAATATATTAACAATAGAAAAGGAAAAAATATTGTATATAGAAGGAACAGGGAATGGAAACGAGATTTTTCCTGTGCATGGAAAAATTCTCCTCTTACCACCGAGGGCACAGCACCACATCAACAAACCATTGATGTCAGCCTGTCATAACCGGGACGACACGTCACAACAAACTGCTGGACAAACCCACTGAGCAGACTGACCTTCTGGTACCGGACACCACGACATAGCTAAATGCCATAGTAATTTACCGCACACATCACTCCATACATATGGAGAGATGGCCGAGTTGGTCTAAGGCGTCACGTTAAGGCCGTGATCTCTTCGGAGGCGTGGGTTCGAATCCCACTCTCTTCATTTTTTGAAAGTGCCCAGCACAAGTGCTGGGGATTATTTTTGTCATTCCTGATCTAGACTATCTTCCAATTCACTGTAAACGTAGCCGAATTGGTCAAGCTTTAATAACACAGGAGTAAGCAAATAAGAGAGAGGATAAAAAGATGATTTTTATTATTTTGCTTTAGGTTATCTTATATACTTTTTGAAATGATTATTCATCTTTGACTACACTCAAGTAGTGTCTAGTAATATTATAAATTATTATAAGTTGGTTACAAATTTCTAAAATTACAAACTGATGAATAATCATTCTAATTTCTGCTTATTTTATAAGAACAAGTCACTAGAACTTGTATCACCAAAATTAAGCATGACATTTTGATGAATCCATAAAATCTGAAGATAGTTAATCGCAGTACTTATTTATGTGCAGTATCTTGTCAGAGTTGACATTGTAGATAGAAATCCTTAAGTCAGGTATCTAATTGGTTATTTCTTTTAACATATGCCCTCAATGTTATACCTATTGGTCCTCTTTTTTGTTAACTAAGACATATTATATTGCTTTCTATAAATGTAAAACAAATATGTCTTGGGTAAAATAATTAGATTAGATAGTTTCACTTTTAAGAAATCTATATAAATACTCCAAGATTTATGTCAATAAAAAGAATTCAATTCTCTATATTCCTATCTGTTCCTATTTATTCACAACGTCCTAGTTGGTAGTGATCTATTATCAAAACTTATACAAGTTAAAATAATAGAAAGATATACCCAGTCAAAACTTGACAATCTGATTCTTGAGACTCACACAAAACTCAGATATTTTTTAGTGGTTTTTTAAAATTTGGCAGTGTTTTTTGAAAAAAAGAAAGATATTAGTGATCTTAGTGCATTTTAAAAAAAATCAAATAAATTGCTTTATAAGAAAATTTAAGCTATTTTTTCAAGTTATAATCTTAAATAAAGTATAACCAGACAAGAGAAATTTGAAAAAAGAAGTCTCTTATTTTTCAAATTTTGCTTGCTAAGAAGTATGTTTTTTCAAATTTGCAATCAATTATATTCTTTTAATTTTTGTACTAAACTGCCTTTAAAAAATACTTGTAGAAAGAAATGAAATTATTTAATATTACTGCTTATAATTTTACTCATATTATATGTCTAATGATATATATAGACAGATTTGAAAATTTGAGTAATTCAATCTGGTATGACAAAGACAAGTAGTACCCAAAATTTGAAAAATATTTGAAAAGTCTAAATGTACTAAGGTTGCTATTATTTTTTTGCTTACATATAAAAGTCATCAAAATACCATGGAAATTATCATGAAATATTATCTATCAAACTCATATAAAATGCAAGCCCAGATACATCTAATAAAAAATTGCTTTTGGCTTTTGATTACCCATTATAGCTTATATTTATTTTTATATTTATTTTAGATGTTACACTACAATATATTAGGAAGAGAAGTATGAATTCTTACACTGCAAAAATCACTCATTTTTATCTGTGGCCAAATAGAAAACTATCTAGTGAAAATTTGAAAAAATCCACCTCAATTGACTTTATTTTATTTTATTGGCAATGATAATCATAATAGTTTTCATTGGTTGTTGATTCGATTGCACCTTTTTACAATTTTTTTTTACTATAAAAAGAATTAAGTAAAATATGTTTCTGAGACTTTTTCTATTATTGTTAATTTTTCCAAACCTAAAAGCTTAATAATATGTCTATCTCCAACAACAACCAAAAGAAATGCAAATGCTCAGTTTGTGCAATCCATTACAAAGGATTTGTTATGGTATCTCCTCAGACATTCTGAAGACATGTTGACAATAATAAAATTTGACTCTTTGCTGCTCCTTTTTCTTGTAAGCCAAAAGTTATAATAATAGTAATAATAGTAATAAAAAGTAATAAAAAGTAAAGAGTAAAGAGTAAAAAGTTTGATGTCTGATCAAAAAGATTTTTTTTTGATTTTTTATTACAGTATTGCAAACAGAAGAAGAGCCCATAGTAAATGACATTGACATAGACATTGACATGGACATTGATGTTAACAATGTCAAAGATCAAATTGAATGTATGTATATACTTTTATTAAATCTTTAAAATAATTGTTGTGGTGGTTGAAGTTGAAGAAGTTTTTAAGAGGAAGAATTAAAGATTTGAAATTAGGAACGAAGATTTGTGAGAACTTGTGTAGGTTTTGTTTATTGAGAAAGATTTTGTATCAAAGTTTGACCAGGTTTCTACACTGAACTACTACTGCTATTTATATTGTTTTGGATTGGGAAAATTATATGACTGGGGTCAGGTAATCGATCCTATCTGAGCCTTAATCAGAGCAACATGATCTTGGGATAATTAATGTATGATTAATTATATAAATGTGTGTAGCCCCAATGAAGTATTAACATCGAAAGTAAATGTGTTTATGAGTTATAATTATGCTTATAATAATTCACTGATGTATCCCATATTATGGTGATATCATCATATGAAATATAATCACTATCATGCATGCTAAACCTGTGTGTTAAATAATAAAGTAATCGGTAGACACCTTTGACTGGAATAGCTGAGGCCTTATATTATTTCCTTCAGACTTATTCTCAATTACAGCAGTAGTCAATACTCCTTTACAACAGCTGAATTGCCTTTGAAGCTCGCGCAATGTTTGCTTGATTTCAGCAAGATCAACCTCAATCTTTTGAATTGAGTTGAGGAGAGTTGTGTTAATATCAGACATGTTTAAGTTTTTTTTAGCTATAAGCAGTGAGTTGAAAAGAAAAGGTGATAGTTTAGACAAGTAGAATAAGAGCGATTTGAGTTTGAGAAAGGCAACGATTTATTACAAGCAATTGATAGCTATTTATATGAAAAAGATACAGACAGATATACAAACAAAACATATAAAAGAAGGGATGCTTATGCACTTGTATGCACCTGTCTGCACCTGTCTGCAGTAGCTCATGTGAATATGATACAGTCTTTTTGTGTCGACACAACAAAACTATAAGAAATATAAAGATAAAATGAATTAGACTTTAAATCAATATTATATGTATAAATTTTCATACTTTGCACCGTCTACATATTAAACGTTTTAAAGTATATGATATAATAATATCACTCTATACATATTGCAGATATAGCATGAAGTTTGGTTAAAGTTCTTGATGACAAAACCCTGTACCAGTTAAAATTATAACTTTAAATATACTCTACAGTAGCTATATAACATCTGAACATCATATAGTTAATTAGCCCTTTTTTATCAACATTAAAGTAAATGTAATGATACTCAAGTCCATATCATACTTATTATCATTATCGACTAAAATGCGTTTTGATTGATGCTGTCATCAAAGATAAAAATAATTTTAACTGGCATTACTATTATTTACCAAGGGGCATTTTTGATTGAAACTGTATATTTTTGAAAAAGATGTGCTTTAACTCACATTGGCACTTTCAATTAACATCTCTTTTGATCAGTAGTGCTTATCTTGATGATGTCAGTAAAAGAGTATCAAACTATAGCCCTCATTATCTATATCTATTTCTTTAAGTTTTATACATAAACAAGAAAACAATGCGTAAATCTTAGGGGACAGGGGGTTTTTGGATGATGGGGACAGGGTGTTACACAAGCTTATAGTGAGTAGTCTGGCAGATAATTAGAGGCGTGACTACTTTTAACTTGTCCGGCAGACATCCATCGTTTCTGTGTGTAACACCCTGTCCCCATCCAGTATAATCACTTGTCTTTATTCACTAAGAAAAATCATGCAAAAGTGGAAGAACATTTGTCCGTAACTTTTCATTTTCATTTTTATTTATTTTTAAAAAATTCATAACTCGTTCAAAAAAATAGATAGAAATATGAGAGTAAGATGGTTGGTTTCGTTGATTTTTTTTGCATAAAGTGAGTATTTGTTTGTTTTGTAATATTTTTTGAATCACGTTTAATGAGTGAATTACAAAAGTTCTGTACATTTCATTTGTGAAAGATTGAACAAAAAAACAACAATTTGAAAATATTAGTAAAAATCACTTGCAAATGCTTTATATCAATAGAAAATAGTAAAAAATCGTTTCAGTAAAAGTTTTAGACCATATTATTATGTAGAAAAGATATTTATTAGCAAAAACAATCTATCTCAAATGGTTAAAAACGTGAAAAAAAGTGTATATTTTGCTTGTTTATTCAACCAAAACATAATAAATTAACTTCAAATTTTGGATATAGAGATGTACGTATTTTTTCAGCAATACGGCAAAATATCCAAGCTTTAGCGTTCGAATTAAGACAGAAATCTATCAAAAGCTATGCGTCGTTTCTGTTTTACATCTTTTATGGTAAAATTCACGTCTGTGATTGGATGAAGATCTTAATCAGATTGCTTATAAATGCACAGACTTTGTACTCCAAAAAATAAAAGCCAATTATATAGTCTTCCAATTAGTTGGATGCCAATAATATTCGTATCTGGGTTTTACATGTAACATTAAAATTAAAGACAGACTGGGTGCAATTGTGTTTGTTAAAAAATTAAAGAAAAAAATAGGAGTAAAGTATATTAAAAGATAGAAAGATAGATAAGTTATATATGTGTGAGGTCAATAATATCGGAAGAATTTACGGGAGAATTTGTAGGAGATTTAGTGGCAGTAGTAGTAATTGTAGTAGTTGTAGTAGTGGAGGGTAAAAGATAAGACTTGTTCTTTGGGAACTGACCCCAATGATTCCAACTTGTGGAAAAGCAGTCAATGATACTCCCTCTACGGATAGCATCAAAATACAGCGCATTTACCTTAGGCCAGGACCGATGTACATGAGGCTTCACTTTAATTGTTGTCCAGTGGCACCCATGTACATGGTGCAAGACCATCGGCAATGGCTTTCTTTTGAGAGGCTTCCGATCATGGAGGGGAAGGAAAGTTACAGGCAAGACGCTCCGATCGTCCGAGTACACACAAACAGGCTCATTATAGGTGTCAGCTATTATCTGAGCACAGTCTGGTGCAGAGAACCACATAGAGGAAGGGCAAGATGGGATATTTTCCCCAAGAGCAGGGTCAATCTCGGAGCCAAAGGCAATGACCTCTGTCACTTCAGCAACATCCATGCCAAAGTTGTGCTCGTAAAGTTTACCGTGGGTTGCCATCGTGGCCAACATCTTCTTCACCAAAGGAAACTGATCCTCTCCACCCTCTTTCAGGTGTGAAAATACACGGAAACCGCACCAACCATCGGACTTGGGGTTAAACGTCAACAAAATGGTGGCTTAGTCGATTTGAGCAGGCAGAGCAAAGTCATGCACATTTTTGTTTTGTTTTTTTCGGACTAGGCAAATCGTATCAGTAGTTGTCTTGGAGATGTTTAGGTTTTTTAATTCCAGAGGAATATTTTTCAGCTAAGAAGAAACAAAAAACAATGTAACATTTAGCATTTAATTTTAGTAAAATATCTTATCGGTTACCTTCTTCGAGAGGCTCTTGCTTTTTAGCGAAATTGGTTGTTTTAGCTATAGAGAAAACATGCAATGTGTGAGCAAACCATACAAAATATTTTGTGATTCATTTATAAGTTATCAAAAATTACCTTCTTCGAGAGGCTCTTGTTTTTCAGCGAATTGGGTTTCTTTTTTTATTTCTTTTATGACTAGAAATAGTAAGCATTAGATATTACATTGTAATTTCACAAAAAAAACAATTATAAATTACTTTTTTTGAGAGGCTCTTCCTCTAAGAACTCCTTCATCACTTCTTTAAGTCCTTCTTTCAAAATACTTCTGATATCATTCTAAAGAAATAAAGAATAAATATGTATTAGATTGTGAAATCATGTTTGTGTATGTTGCATGTTTACTTTGTTCTTTTGCACAAGGAGATGTCTGTGCTTGTGACGGACAAAGTCCTTTGGGAGAGCAGTTTTCCTTTTGACGTGCTTAGGTCTTCCAGGAGCTTTGACCTCACTTGCCAAAGGAAATACAACATTTGGATGGTCAATTATTTCACCAGCATTGTCAACAAGTTCATCAACCATTGCCATAAGATTCTGGACTTGTTAATTCCCTTCACACTGACGAAACAATTGTTCAAGCTTTGTTATACATTTCACCCACGGGGCAGGCTTTTCAACGTCGATTTTCTGTAGAGAAACGTCACATTCCAGTTGCTTCAAACGTTCACCCAAAGAAGAAGACAGAATCCATCTTTCAGGAATGTCTGATAATAGCAACATACGATCTCTTGGCAGATCATGGCGACAAGGAAGACCAAACACCACTTTTACTCTGCAATTGCAAAGCTCACCAGGTACAACCTCTTCTAGAAGCTCAGCACGGATGGTGATCAAACCAATTCTGGAGACGTGGTGAATCAATCCACGGAGGCGAGGTTCATGGTATATTCTGGCATCTGTGATAGTTGCCTCATTCAACTCAAGGTCCTGATAGTCGCCCTCGAACTGGAGAAGATAGGAGCAAATTTGCTCAAATGAAGAGTTCAATGACTGAAGAGCCGAGATTTTTCTTTTCAGAGCATTATGGCCACTCTCGACACGTTGTGTTGTCACACAGTCAAAATGTTTTAATTGACTAGTGAGGTAGCCAGCCCACTTTTCCTTGCACGGCATCCACTCATCTTCAAAGTACTTTTCTAGAGTTCTTTTTTCTACAACCTTCGTAGAATCATCATCATTGTCTTCTAGCTGCTCTTTACTTTGGAAATCTTTCCGAGATGCCAGCGATTTGAAAAGCTCAAGATTTTCATCAAAGACATCGCATTTATCTCCGAAGATCATTTTGTTGACTAAATGTGTGCACAACTCTTTTTCTTTTCCTGGCTTCATTGTTTTTTTTTGCCATTTTAGCAATGTTGTTGATCATATGCCAACCACACAGAAGCTTCTTGGCCAAGGGGAACTCGGAATCAAGCGCATTCATCAATGCTTTACATTTGTCTGTAACAAATATAGGGGCTTTATCAACCCCCTCCAAAACAATTGCTTTCAGAGACTTCACAAACCAAACATAGCTCTTCTCTGTCTCATCGGCTACCCATGCAAAGGCCACAGGAAAGCTCTTCAACCTTTCTCCACCTAGGTTACTGACACCCTCTACGCAAACCAATGGCATCTTCGCGCAGTTTGTCTTGTATGTAGCATCCACAATAAAGACATCGGGGAAACGTCGAGCTCTCTTGATCATTATATCGTTCGTAAAAAATATATGAGTGAGTCTATTTCTCTCATTAAACTCGTAGAGAACGGAAAATCCCTTTGCTTCCATTGTTCTGATGAGCTCAGTAGCGCCATGGGCAGACTCCTCATCACCACGAGTAGCACTGTACTTGAGATTGTTGATATCGCTGATCCTCAGCTTTCTCATTCCTGTCACCTTGTCACTTGTTGCCTTCTGAACATCACGGGACTTGGCGTGATTCTCCAACATTTTCTTTGCAATAGTGGCATCTTCAGCAGTCAAAAGAGACATTCTTCCTTGGTGAGAAGAAGCCAAATTCTCAGGGGTGACAGGGTGGTTGTGGCAATGTTCGTTTTCCCCATAGGCGGGCAAAGGAAGATATCTTTCGCTCTTCTTCTTATAAGAAAATCTTAAGAGATAGGGGCATCCAGTAAGAGAAGAGTTGGGCGTCTTCTTTCTTTTCTCATCACTTATATTGCGCTTGTCACGATAAACACCAGCCTTTGAACAAGCAATGTGAAGAATAGGGAATTTTCCGTCCTTAATCTTAACGGTGAAGTTATTAGAAAGGGCGTAATCGTTTACGGCTTGAAGAACACTCTGCTTGTCAGGATAACCATTCTCGGGGAATGAGAGAGTTGTTTTAAGCGAGTACATCTTCTCAATAGGGGTATTGAAGTTGGTGTTCATATTTAATAAAAGAGCACTGTAGTTATATAAGTATTTTTATTGATTCATGTATGCAATGTACGCAATGTATGCAATGTATGCAATGTACATAACGTAAAAAAGGCATCATATCTTGTTATTTGGAAATATTATTTTTTATTCTTACAACTAAATGTTAATGACTTTAAGAAAGGGGGTGTTTTTATTTTTCCCGGGAAATTGGAATGATCTAAAGATGGGGACAGGGGTGTGCTTATAACGATGGAGCAAGGTGTGCTTATAAATGATGGGGACAAGGGTGTGCTTATAAAGAATGGGGACAGGGGGTTCTTCAAGACACTTTATAGCCGGGCCTCGGACTCGCAGTCACCTTAAATTGTGCGGTGCCGTTACCCCCCGTCCCCATAGCCAAAAACCCCCCGTCCCCTAAGATCGCTGAAAACAATGCTATTAGCTAAATATATATTCACTATCTCAAAAATACTATTAGTATAACACAGATAATATAAACATGTCTTTTCTACCAATGTGTTTAGACAGTACTACTTTTTTTAACTGTTAATTATTAGAAGGCTGTTTTTCTTTGCCTTTGATATTAGAGAGTAATTGATAATTTATTTAAAAAAAACATAAATTATTTGGTCGTTAATTATTCTAAATATACATATACCTCTTTATAAAGCCCAAAGAATATCTAATCGCTCACAAGTAAAGAGTACGTGTCTGTTTCACCAGTGCTCTTTTAATGGTACCCCCTTGTTAACCAAGAAGTATTTTAACTTACATTATAATTATTAATGAAGAAGAATCTTTCCAATCACGGGAATTATTTACTGACAGATGTTTCATCTAGCATTGACATTACTGTAATCATTGCTATATCATCACTATGAGAGAGAAAAAGGAAAAGAGCTGCAAGCATTTTGGTTAAAAAATAAAGAGTATATAAAAATGTCTTTTACATTTAATGAATAGTACCAAAATCCTCTTTGCAGTTTTATTTTATATATTACATATGTACCAACCCAACTAATATGTCTTCTTCCAACGCCAGCCAGCAGAGAGATAGAATATCTACACAGCAATACCAATGTGATCAATGTGTCTTGTTTTTTGATAACTACCAGAAGCTGCAAGACCACAAGAGAATTCACAGAGAAGATTCAGCAACAATGACTGAAATTGACCAGTCTATTCTAGATGATGTTGACATGTACTATGACGAAAATAATACTAGTAATGAAAATGAATCTGTTAGCAATTCAGGTAATGAAAAGAGCTGTAATTGTATTATTTATTTTCCAATTACTAAATAATGTGTTACAGAATATACTATAGAGTCTATGAAGCTTGATAATACTATTTCATATAAGTGCGCATGTAATTTTGAGAACAGTGAGGGTGAAGCTCACATTTACGACAGCAGTGAATCAGTACAAATACTTTTACTAAGGCCGAGTTGATGAGTATTTATCTGTCTCAATTGATGCTACAGCATAGAATTGCTAGAGCAGCATATAGAGACATTGTTCAATTTATAAACTGTCATCCAAGACCATGACAATATAATGATGGGTAAAATATTATATTTTCTGTTACCTTGTACTTTAATTCCGGATCACTAACATATAGTGATATCATTTTTTTAGAACCTGGGGCTAAGATCAGTCATGGCAAAACTGTTGATGCTTTGCTCAAGTCAAAGTCAAGTGTCAAGGGCCATGAGTATGATGCCTGCTCTAGTGGTTGTCGATTGTATGACATTAATGACGACCAGGAATCTTGTGTTGACTGTGGCAAACCGCAATACAAGACTGATCCTGATCAAAGTCAGACACCAGCCACCAGTATGAAACTTATGTCAGTTGGGGATATGCTTTCTCAAATGTTGGCAGATCCAGCCACAAGAGAACTCCTCTGTTACAGAGCAAACCAGGAATCTGTGGCTGGTCAGCTAACCGACATTTTTGATAGTGACAATTACAAGCAGTTGGTGCAGCAGGGCCTGTTCTCCAATCCCAATGATATTGCCATTAGGCTTTATACCAATGGGTTTGTCAATCAAAAGAAAGGCAAAAACTCATATACCATCATCTATTGCATAATATTTAACCTAGACCCATCCATCAGATAATTAATTAATTTATTACTATTTATTATTATTATTATATTTTTTTTTAAAAAAAGTTACTAATAAAATACTTAGATATACCAACAAATGCCTTTTGCAACTGGCAATCTTGCCTGGCCCCAAGAAGCCAACTCATTTGGACTCCTTTCTTATATCCATCATTAATGAATTGTGAGATCTTGAGGCACATGACTTGGTTGTCAAGCACAATGGAGTGGAGCTTTGCAGATCCAAGGTCTATCTGCTGCTTGCTTCTGACGATATTCCAGCTGTAGCTGATATGGCCCACATTGGTTCCCATACAAGTTTATTTGGTTGCTGTTTTTGTGAGACCAAAGGCAAATGCCCTACTAACAGATGGCATGGCATGTACTTTGATGACATTTCCGCCCAGTTAAGACCTTTGGAAGACTTCAAAGTAGGCAATCCTGTAAGTATACAAATGTTCAATTAGCCATCTTTTTTTCATACTAAATAACTGCTTGTAATAGTCGAAGAACATATACCAGCTGAGCATATATACCCAACTCTCAACCTTCTCTAGATCATCATTTTTTGCATTAGATGAACTTCATTTAATTGCAAGAGGGATTAAAAAGCTTGTGTATGACCTGATTACCATCACCTTCACAAAGGAAATCAAATTTTATTATACCCATCCAGACAATACCCTCAATACCACCGAATACCCTTTTCATATACCAAGAGCAGACCTTGTAACAATTGGAAACTGTATCACCAGCTCATGAATATATATACCCACCTCATTTCAAGGCAGATTTGACAACGTATTTGCCAAGATCGATGGTACTTGTGCAGTTGACTGGCTTGACTTTCTCTTATACCTTGTTCCCACTTTGGTCGTGTCTTATTTACCAAATAGGGCTGTCAAAACAGCTCTATTATCTCTTGTGAAAGGCTGTGCGCTTGCCTTGCAATGGACGTTGACATCAGAATTGCTTGATGAGATAGAGTCATAAGTTATTATATGTCTCATATATTATCATTACAAATAGCTGATTGTTACCATTTTTTAAATATTAATAATAGATACTTCAAGCACTGGCACTCATTTTTATACCAACAAGTCCAGAATAATATCCTGTCTTGTAGTGTTTTCTAACCAGTGCAACATTATCTGGTCCATATACCCTATATCATCAAGCAGCAAGGCCCCCTGCGATGCTACTCCACTCACTCAATGGAGAGAGTAATTGGCGTCTTCTTGAAATTGATAAAGTCCAAATCAAAGGGTGGCCAAAACGCCAGTTTTCTTGTTGAGCAATTTGTGATTCACAATTATACCAGCATGGCAATCAGCATCTGTGATGAAGTCAACCTCATTTGGCCAAAGCCATATGGAAGAGAGAGCTACATGGACCTTCCTAATGATCCTAGTAGTGCGCAGTTGTGGGAGTCATTTCATCAGTTTATTAATTTGAATGATGACTTGGTGGAAGGTGTAGGCGGCCCTAGTGTGAAGGATGTCTTAACTAGATACTATTAACAAACTTTGGGTTTGATGATTTCTGATATTGGTGATTTTTACGATTGTTGTTGCTGGTTGTTTATGGATGAATTTGACCATGTATTCATCTTGCATGTATTGACAAAGAAGAAATGAAAGAAGCTGTGATAATCATTACATGATGTTTATCTGTTCTTACAGAAAGTAAGTATATCATTTTTCAATATAAAATCAAAAGTTACTTACATTATATTTCTTTCTTTACTTTAGCAACCATAACATAATTGTTTATAGCTGGCTCGTTGGTGCGGTGATATTCTTCTTCCAGCATGAGGATTCACTTGGCTCTCTTTGTTTCCTTGCTTTTGTTGAAATAATAAAGGAACATGACATGGCTGCCCATGACTCATCTGTACCAATTGTCAAACAGTGGTCACAAAACAGCTCAACAGGTCGCCAAACACAACCTACATATGCAGTAATAAGTGTCAATGATATTTGTCATCAAGTTGGCCTTATACAATACCCACCAAATGGAAATAAGTTCTACGTAATTGCATCTTATTATGTTTTCAACAATAATATGCACATTACAAAGGGCAACCTTTCTATTTTATAACTTTTTTTTATTTTTTATCTTTTATATGGTCTATATACCCTATATTTTTTATGATTTCTATATCTCCCATGTATTCTATATTATTATTTTTATTTTCTATATATCTTATGTTTTTTCTTATTTCCTATATACTCTATGTTTTCTATTTTTTTATTTCTCTATATGCCCTATCTTTTTTTATTCTCTACATATCTTATATTTTTTTTTATTCTCTACATGTTCTACATGCCATTATGCAATTTAAATTAAAATAAAATTGTTAAGTGAACAAGAAGAGAGATATATCTTTTTTAAAAAAAAGTCTTGATTTAAAAAAAAATAATGACAGTTATGTTTCCGTTTCGTTCACACATTCCATAAAAAGTTAATCCAAATAAAACTGGACATCTTTAATATTAAATAAAACATACATTTCAATACTTAAAGTGGTTATTACAACTTACAAACACTTTCTAGACTATTCAAGACATCGTACAGCAACAAAAAAACAGATTTCATGCTTCTTTTTTAAAATGTTGCTAATGATATTGCCATTTTACCAAAAATTGCAGAGAAATTATTGGCTTTTAACCAGAAAAATGGCAGTTATGTACCTATTTTGGGCACAGCTGCCACTCCTATAGCCATAGTGACAACTATAATTATTTAATATTATAAAACATTACCCGAGTATCTGGGTTGGAATACTAAAATATTAGCAATAGTATAAATGCTATTTTTTATCAAAACTCTTGGACTGATCTGACTGGAGAAGTATTATATCAATTAATCTTTCTGAATCTTTCCAAAAGAACAATACTCCTGGAAGATGACTCATCATGTTAAAGATTACTTAAGCACACACTGAATTATAAATTAGAAAAACATATAAATATTAGTAGATAGTTCTGTGTAGAAAAACAATTAAATTTTATTATTCTTGACTTTTCTTTTGAAATAAACAATTTATACAAGTTCTCACAAATTCTTTTGTCTATATTATATTTTACTTTATTTTCTCTTCATAACAATATGATATACTCAAACAGTTATTATTAATAGATAATAATTTAGAGATAGATATAAAAAGAGTAATATATTGGAAATATAAAACTATATATATACTTATAAATAATTTGACTATGAAGAAAAATATTATCATATAATATACTATTATTTAATTTTAGAAATAACAATAAAAGAAAAATAAAGTTTATACTCGGTAAGTTTTTAAATAGAACGTTTATTTTTATGATACTAAAAATGCTACTGCTGCAGACATTTTTTTAAAAATCATTTTCAAAAATATACTTAAATCAGAAAAAAAACTAAATTTAATATTACAGCTACAGATGCTCTTACCATTTTGAATGGCACATATAATTAGTTTATGTATTTTTCCATTTATATGTTTTACATGGGACATAGTCAATTGCGCCCGTTTAGCTCAGTGGTAGTAGCGCTTGTCTTGTAAACAAGAGGTCGGTTGTTCAATCCAGCCATCGGGCATATTCTTTTGTCATTTTGTCACGCTGTCGTTTTTGATCTGAGTGTCGTTTCCAATCTGGGTTGGTCTTCCTTTGTCGGACATTATTTTGATGAATCCGAGAAATCGGGATAATTGACCGCAGCAGTTCTGTATGTCAAAGATACCTCATAGATAACGAACCGCAGTAATGTCTTGTAAAGATTAACCACAGTAATATCTTCTGAGCATCAACCGCAGTAAAAGGACTTCTCTTGTAATTAAATAGAGTATAATAGTTTACTGCGGATAATGCGCAGTATTAGTTTAGAAAACTATATAAGACAATTCAATTCCTATCAATAAAAGGCATCTTTGATCCTCTCTTTGATTTTACGTATACTCCTTGATCCCCAGTGGGTTTGACCTTTTGACTTTGTTATAGTAAAAGGAAGACCAACCCAGATCGGGAACGACACCTTTTACTATAATGTCGTTCCTGATCTGAGATGGTCTTCCTTTTACTATAGCAAAGTCAAAAGGTTAAACCCACTGGGAATCAAGGAGTATACGTAAAATTAAAGAGAGGATAAAAGTTACTTTTTATTGATATAAATTGAATTGTCTTATATAGTTTTCTAAACTAATACTGCACATTATCCGCAGTAAACTATTATACTCTATTTAATTACAAGAGAAGTCCTTTTACTACGGTTAACCATTTTCATATTTTATGGATTCATCAAAATATTGTCTGACAATTTTGTTGTTTCTGATCTAGGCTATCTTCCAATTCACTGTAAATGTAGCCAAATTGGTCAACCATTAATAACACAGGAGTATAGCAAATAAGAGAGAAGATAAAAGATGATCTTTATTATTTTGATTTAGGTTATCTCATATTATACCCACTCATTTTTCATCTATTTTAGGAAATAAATTTGTTATTTTTTTTACTTTATTGCCTGACACTACGGGAAAAAAAGGGTGTTTTTTGTAATTGTGACTTCATTTTTGGTCTATAATAATTAAAGAATCACAAAAAAAATCAAAATGAAACAAAAAATTTCACCACCGCAAAAATTGGAAGCCAAATATAGTAGGATATGGTACCCAAACAATATTATTGGCCTAGAGAATTTTTCTTCCTATAATTTTGTGAGTTGAATATTTTTTCTTCCAAGAAAGGAGGAAAGAAGGTTTTGTCCTACTTCAAGCTTTTTTGATCATAACACAAAGCTGTTCAAGTAAGACAAAACATTGAATAAGGAAATGCAGAGGCTGTATTGTGTAATAAAAAAATAATTCTGTTAAAATTTGATAAAGGCAACAATTTTCAGCATATAAAACGACTCTGTCAAAATTTCAAATAAGAGAAAATATACAATTTTTTTTGTTTCTTACATAATATTAGTAAAGAATACCTAACAAAGGCAACCTTCTAAGACACAACTCAACCCAATGAAGATATAAATATATACACATATTTTTTTAATAAGTTACAGCTGTAATTTCTATTATTTGCTATTAGAATATACCTCTTTAAATTATAAAAATAAGGCAAACTGAGAGAGAATGACTTGGCATTTTTTTTTAAAACATTTCTACGAGTTGCAATATTGATATTAAAAGCCAGTAGATCAATGATAATGTTTTAAATCAATTTTGAATAAGTGTGCAATCATGTTCTTTGCATTGTTTCTTACTCTACTTTATAAACAAAAGTTTGTTTATTATGTGTGTTTACATATAGTATATTATCGTTTAAAGAAACATGTCTATATATTCTTGTTTTTGAGGTATGTATAATAAGGAAGCAATATTGTACTTTGTAATACAGTTATTCATCTTAGGTCTTATTAGCTGACTATTAGCCTTTTCATCATCTGGTCAAAATGAGTTGAGATAATACCTGCACATCTTGTTTATAAAGTAATTGAATACTAACCATCTTTTATTCATTTTTACTTGTAGAGATTCTAACTTTTATAAAATTCATCTCTGTAAACTCAAAGGTAAGCTTTCATTTGACTTATATTTTTAAACTGAAAATACTTATTCATATTTATATTTTACTAGATTGCTCTTGTACTCCACTATTACGGGTACTCTTAGGTGCTTTTTTCTTCAAGAATTATAAGAGATATAGACTCTATGACCCTATCTTTAGCTTAGAATAACTATATTTAATTTATTATATATTTCTGCTCATAAATTATATGGTGTAGCTATAGCTTAGCATTTTTTTCTACTTTGAAACAAAAAATAAAAACCAATTTATTTGAAACACAATTTTTTTAAGCCATTTTTTTTTGAAAATGCATTTTTAAATCCATGATTTATTTCGACTAGAATTTATTGCAGATAATTGTGTCTATATATGGGCATGTAAAGTACATTTATATTCCTACACAAAAAATTTCTCTGGCAGTTATTTGTTAAAGTGCGGAGTTATAAGCTAATCCATAACAGGCAGGAGGTAAAAAAGTGGGTAGGCAAAAAACACCTATCTGGACAACCTCCTGAGCAAACACCCAGTGAACCCCCGGAAGCACCTCTTTTTTTCCCGTAGTGTGAAAGTTTAGAAATAAAGATTTTTTTAATTTTTAGTATATTTTGGATGAAAACAATTAATCATTTCTGTTTTTTATTGGGTTTAACACATACAGAGCAATTATTGGTCAATCATATTCTATATCTGACAATAAAGTTTTTTTTATTGAGTAAACAAATACTTGTAATTGGAAATCAATAATCAGTAAGTGTCAAACTTTGAAATTTTGATTATATTTATGGATCTTTTCTCATCAAAAATAAAGGCTAAGTTCATAACCTCTTTACATATAGAAATTATCAACAAGAGCAGTTATAGTTGGTAGAAGAAAAGGATTGCTATGGAAATCCATTAAGATTCCAGGGAGTCAAAAAGAAGACACTGAAGTTGTTTGAAGAAATGCATATTTTTGCAAGATAAGGGAACTATCTTGATTAATAATAATTTTTCTAATGAATAGACTGTTATTAGTGAAAAAAAGACCAGTTAAGCCATTAAGAATTTTTGCTTTGTTAATATAATAGCTGTCTGTGACATTCATACAAGCGTCAAAGAAGTGCTTCTTAAAATCAATATTGTCTGCTTAAAAGTTCTCGATTTTAAATTTACTTTCGCTATGAACTATACTCTCTTTTTAAATGTTATTCTCTTTTCAAGACTTTGTATACACAAAGGATAAGTCATTGAATATTTGGCGACAGATAAACTGTTTACCAAATCTTAAAGCAATATTCCAAGATGTATATATTTGGTTAGTCATGAAGAGATGTTCACAAATGAACTTATTAAATTGTTCTGCACTCTCTATTTCATATTGAAGTGGACATCCAAATCATTGAACATTGTCAAGCAAATAATGTAGGAGGTGAATCTTTGGTCTGAGAGAGAACATCGGGACTTTGCATCAGTTTGACACAAGTGTTTATTCAGTATATATAAAATATCTGTGAATTTTGATAATGCATCTCTGAAGATGTATATATATTGCTTGTAGTTCAATTCAATACTGCAAAGATATATAAGTGAGCATAGTTGTTCAAAGTGAATAAAACATTGAAAGAATATGTTTATACATATAGTCAATTGAAAAAATAGTTTGCTGATAATTGTTGGTAGAGCTTGGATAAGCTGTTTGTAAGCTCTGCCAACAAATGACCTGTAATGCTGAAGATTATTTTGAAACTTTCTGGAATATGCATCCAGATTTCTACCAGACATAATAATATTATCAAGTATATTCCTTTCTGCTACAGTGAGAACTTCTTTTATAAAGTAATCTATTAAATATTTAATAAAACTAAGGGGAACTCTGTGGAAAACTTCTACTAGACAATCTGTAGTTATATCAAAGGAATTAAGTCAAAGAAACTCTTTACTATCATTGACTGAGAAGCTTTGTGTATTGATTAGGATTCTATAGTGAGCTGTATTTATAAGTTTCAATTGATCAACATTGTGAAGATGAGTTAACTTCCTTTTTGCAAAAGTATGAGAGATTTTTGTTATTGTTGTATTTGCTGCTTGTTGATTGAAGTCTTCAGGCATTATTGGTTTGGGAAAAATGCATTTACTATATGAATACTTTGAGTTTGTGCTTTTATGCATAGCTAGTTGTAAATGTCTAGAATTATTGGCCATAAGAAGGAGGAAAGGAGCAACAAAAAAAATGTATTCATTGTGATCATATGAAAAAACTTTGATTTCAACCTCTAGCTTAACAAAATCATTGACAATTGAGCCCAGCATATCAACAGATTTTAGATTTTTATCAGATGTATAGATAAAAAGAGTATTTTCTTGTTGACTTCTCATTTCCAGAGACATTGCAACCAGATATATTAAATAACTATCAAAAACATTATATTGCTTGGATTTGATATCTGATATGTTATCAGACTAAAGAATGATTGGTGTGACAACCACTTTCATATATTTATTAATATTGTTAGATAAGTCAGAGAAGATTCTTTTAAATTTGTTGTTTGAATAAGTCTCAAACTAAAAATGAGAAATAGCTTCTGTAAGCCTATGTTGTTCTAAAACCACCTTTCCATTTGCGTCATATCCAGCAGTACAGCCTTGTTCTTAGAAGCATAAATCCTTTCGCATGATGGAAGTGATAGTCTCAATTGGCATAAGATATGGGCAGGTCATTGTAGCAAAGTTAGTGTTTAAACTGATGAATAAGTCAGATATTATTGCATTGTAGTTATCATTATAAATAACTAGAAAACATTCAATATAGATTATCATTTTTTTATGAACTTGTTTACCAGCCAATGACCATTCTGGTAATTCTTTATCAAGTTGCCAATCCAGTAATCTTGATTATTAAATGTTATAACAGGCGTTTGAAGGCTCTCATAATATTTCTATTTATTGCTCCGATTCAAGTGTAAGCGTTGCCCAACAGTGAAGTCTGGAAGAGTAGACATTTGGTCAACTATACCTGGGGTGGCAGCAAGATGTTTCAGGTGTTCTGAAGGTTTATTCATGAATAATGTATGTTCTTCACCCTTCTTGTTTTTTGTTATATTTCTGGTGAGATGCAGAATCAAAATCTTTAACTTGATCTTTTGTTGAAAGCTAAGGATTCTGTCTGATACTGGCAGAACTAAAGGCTAGCTTCTTTTTTGTTGCAATTTCAGTATACTCTTCAGCATATTGATAATTTTTCTATTATATACACTGAGCAAAGGTCATCCCCATAAAAAAGGTATGAAGCCATCTTTCCAAAGTAGATTTAAATTAATTTGTCAGATCCAATATATTTTCTACTTCTTTTATTTAACTTGTTGCATACTTTAATTTATGAATATTCATTTCAACTGTTTCTGAAGCTCTACTGCTCAATTGGTTAGCAAAGCTTCTTAATAAAGGTAGAATAGTATTAAGCAAAAACATTTTATTAATATCTATGAGCAAGTTTTTATTATCTTCAGCTTTGTAATCTTCTTCTTCTTTTGCAAAGATGTAAATATCACCACTCAGTCTAAAAGACAAATACAATAATGACAATGTAAAGCAAGATTAATACGTATTGCTATTGAAAATATATTTGGCTAAAAAATTAATTTACTTACATATTCTCAAACTTGTCTATATTAGATTTATAGTCTTGAGCATTATCTTCATCAGTGTCACTATTGATACTGACATTTGAATCATAATATTGAAAATTAAGCTCAGGATAAATAATTGATACTGAAGAGGAAAAATATAACAGTTCATTAACAATATCAAAGTGGGCAGAAGCTGAATTAACTCTAATATGATAATTATGTAATTAGTTATCAATATGTGTATATAAGTATATATATGAATGCAATTACTTTTCTTTTTCCCAAGAAAAAAAGCTTTTAAAATACTCGGAATCAAGTTCTTTTGGATAGATGTTCTTAAAATATTGACAAAAAGTATTAAAGATACAGATTTTAATATTTTCAATACACTATGAGCAAGATTGCAACTTTCTGTTGCTATTAGGTCTAAAGTTCAGGTGGCTTATATCTTTATTGCCACTGCCGCTTCTGCTGCTGCTGGTATTTTTGTGGTTGCTGTTCATTTTAGTAATGAATTAAATAATTTGAATACATAATTGGAAAGAAGCACAAGATAATTTAACAAATTTCAAGTAATTGTTTAATATAACTGAAAGTTACATAATTGATAGCCAAGCCAAATTTACTTAAACATTTTTTCTTTTTTTCCTTATTTTGTATTATTTACATAAAAAAAAGATTTGTTTTAATTATAATAGTATTTACTCATTACTATTTTCCTTCTCTTTATATAGAAAGATTATTTACTCTTTCACAATTGACTGCATCAGATTGCTGATAAAAAATGACTTAAAGTATTTTTATTTTTCAAAAGAAACACTACTCATTACAACTTTGTCTTATTGATTTATATTTGTTGTAGATAGCAACACTTGTATATCTCTGATAATAAGAAGAATATGATTGCTATATCTACATTATCATCAATCTTATATACTATTAATACATATGACTTACTTATATTTCTATTCTATTTTCTCAGATTTTTCATGTGCTTTTACTGATAATAAAAGATATTTATTTTATTTTTGAGACTATGTATCTATAAAACATAGCCAACTCATTTAATTATAGTAAGTAGCTCATCTACATGTTTTTATTATAATAATTACTGCTATTACAAAACATTATATAGTATATTGTACAGTCTATTAGCTTACATTATTAGTAGTAATAATATAAATCAATAAAAACTAATAAAAACCATTTTTTTGTAACCAATTATGTAATTGTATTTTTATAAAATATTTTTTCTACTACCCTCCCCCTATATCCTCAGAAATTGGCACCCCCAAAAAATGTTCTATTTTAAATCTCAGATGACCTTCTGTAATCTTGATACTAAAAGAGATATGTATTTTGCTAAAACATAAAGAGTGTCAGAAGTGAAAAAAAATTGGTGGATGTGATACTTTTTGAAATGATTATTCATTTTTGACTACACTCAAGTAGTATATGGTAATATTACAAATTATTATAAATTGATTACAATTTTTTAAAATTCCAAACTGATAAGTAATCATTCTAATTTCTGTTTCTTTTGTAAGAACCAGTCACTAGAACTTGTATCACCAAAATTAAGAATTACACAATGTTATAGCACAGCCAAAATTGGTCAAACCTACTAGAAATTGTAAATGAAAATAAAATAATATGGTATATTTTTGGTGTGAATAGACTAAAAGTTCAAAAAAAGGACAAAAAAAGGGTAAAACAAGTCTATCTTCAACTTAGCCAATCAGCTTTCATTATGCCTGTGCTCAAGCACCACCTTATTTTCTGCCGGTTCAAATTTGAAATTGACCTTTTGAGGCTTTTTTTCTATTGGAGGCTCTGCAAGTGGCTTTTTGAGAAAGTTAATTTTCTATTGGGGATTTTTTTTTATTCCTTTCCTTTTCCTTCTCTTTTCCTTCTCTTTATTTCAAATACAAATTAAACACCAATCTCAACATGTCCAACCCAATTATTTACGATATTTCAAACATTCAAAATGTTTTAGTCAACTCGTCTTTGGAGGGGATTAAGATGCTTCCTTTTAAAGTAGTCGTACCTGTAAAAGCTAGTGAATGGAGACGTTGTCTTGACCGAATCAAGACTCTTTGTTCAACGAAATGGAATAAAAAAGACGTCTTGATTCAAAAGAATATATTTTTGGAGAAACATGTCAGTGTCATTGCGCAGGCATATATATACCAGAGCAAGATTCACGCCCTGCACAAAAAGAATCAAAGGCATGTGGATGTAATGGAGCTTTGAAAATAAAGCAGTTCAAAAAGTCTCCTACTATTGTTACGTTCTGTATGACAAGGGACCATAACAATCATGTTCCTGGAGACAGATCAGAGATGAGAACTTTGCCCTTGCCTTTTGAAGCTATTAAGTTGATTGAAGATCAACTGAGAAGTGGAAGCAGCTGTAGAAGCACAAGAATATCTGTCCTTCGACAGATTGACAGCTGGGGTGTTAGTGTTAGAAAGCCAAACTATGAAGAGATATACAATAGAATGAAGAAGGTGTATTAAAAAAAGATAAAAGGAAGTTCGTATTTAACAGTTTTGGTAAAATGAAATAAAATAGATGACAAATTTGTTGTATATGTTCAACTCTGATGAGAAGGCATCTATTGCTATCTAGATGAATGAGAAATTGCCAGAAAGAAATTATTGCGTTTTTACCGGAGACCTTCGTGTTAACAACATTGAAAGCAATCTTTTTGCCTTTGGCTTTCAATTGCCTGCCCAAGTGAGAGTTATGAGAATAGCTACATCATTCTGCCTTGATGCTACTCATGGCATATCAGCAAGAAGTGGAGAGGTCATGTACTCTTTAGTGACTCAACACAACGTAACTGGAAAAGGGTTTCCTGTTGCTTACATGGTTACAAATGACCAGACAGTCAGGTCAATCAGCCAATGGCTTATGCATCTTCATGAGAGAAGCTACTTCTGTCCTTTGAATATCACCATTGACTGTAGTATTCCCAAAGTTAATGCGATTACATCTGCATTTCCTCATGTTGCAATTCACTATTGTGAATTCCATATTCTTTGTGCTTGGCAAACAAACCTCGACAACAAAGTAAGACTTGATGTGTCATTTACATCAGCCCAGCTGGAAGCATACAAGCAGGAGTTAAAGAACAAGCAGAAGTATATCTTGATAGAGTTGAACAAAGAAGTATTTTTGACAAGAATCCTTGATTTCAAACGCGATATACCCAATCAGTTACACTTCTTGAGATACTTCGAAGCACGATGGACTGGAAGCAAAGTATTGCTGAAAAGATGGGGGCGCCCTTATGTCGATGACTTGCATAGAAGATATTTGACAAATAACTATATTGAGTCATGGCATAACCAGCTTAAGACTATCTACTTTGGCTGTGCTAGAATCAGAAGACTAGATTGCCTCGTGTTTGTCCTTACAAACGATGTAGAGTATTTCTACAAACAAGAAGTGGATCATATTCACTTAAACAATAAAAAGATGGGACCAGTAGAAAACGAACTTGCAAGAAATGAATTTGCTGCATCCAAGATAGATGATGACATACTCTCTTCTATGATCATCAGTCCATTAAATGTGATTAGTACTAGTATGGATGACTCTGATGGCGAGTAGCAAATCAAGTCTTTTACAAATGATACAATATGATATTCTATCACTGTTGTAAATGATTTAATTGAATGCTGTTTGTGCCCCAGATACATCTCCCGACAAGTGCCTTGCAAGCATGTATTTCTTCTCAAAAGATACCATAAGATTAACGTCTTATATACAATTCAAAGAGATGCCAATCACTTGGCAATGCAAAGACCAGCAGTGTTAGCTGAAGAAGAAGAAGTTGTGATTGTTGACAAAGAAGATGGTAGAGAAGATGCTGTGGGTGCTCAAAATGATGTTGATACGTCTATTACAGACCTTATCACTCACACCACCTTACTTCATCATCAAAGACTCAATCTCAAACACATGCAAACTATTTCTGATATTGATGTGTCTGAGATAAATGATATGACTCGTTGTGTTAAAGAATTGTTAGATATAATAGATAATATTAGAAATAGAAATAGAAATAGTTTTAGAAATATGAATACCCAACGTCAATAAAAAACCATTACACATGTATTATTTTGTATTTTATAAAGAAGTGTTTTTTTTTTCATAAACAAACACTGTTATTTTTTAAAAGAAAAAACAAAAGAAAAAGCGGTCACTCGTTCCTTTGAATCTTTTTGTCTCAAATTTGAACTGGCAGAAAATAAGGTGGTGCATCCTCACTTTTTTAAAAAAGTTCAAAATTAGTTCAAAATACATATTAGGCAATGCTATACTCATAATGCCATCACAGTCAGTAAGCATAGTCAATGCTTCATATTCAAGTACATCAACATAAAGAAGCCTGTTTTGTTGTGAATAAAGACAAATTTGTTTATATTATTTAATTATAACTCTTCAGAATCTCTTACTGCTTGAATCTGTATCTGCATATTGTCAAAGCATACGTATATAAACGATATCCTCTGTCCCTAAAAGTCCTCCACATCAGTACAAGAACTCTTAATAATTCTCATCAATAAAAAGCATTCTTCTTGAGCTCAAAAGTCTCTTCATCTTATAATCTAACTATCTACACCACTTTTTTTACAAACCTATTTATTACAGGTATAACATTTTAGTCAAAATAACTTGTTAGTATATATTACTCTTATAAAATTATAAATAATAATCAATACTTATCTACCTTCATTTTAACTCTATCCTTTTCGTTTTTTTTTTAAAAAAAATTATCTTTTTGTATTGCCTGTACCTTACGTTAAACTATCATAATAAAAGTATGTCTACCCCCAGCACTATTGAGTTCGTTTCTCATCAGGAAGATGCCAATCAGTCACATTCCTGGATGAAGCCAGATGGTGGTAAAAATTGGTTGTCATTGATTGATCGGCTGCAGTACTTTCTGCTGAACAACGACGCAGACAATCTGAGAAAGTACCTTGGTGGCTTCAAGAACGGGAAGAAGGTCAAGGTCAGCAAGACCAGAGTAATCAATGACTGCTGCCAGTATTTTGACAAGCAGGGTGTGAAGCGCACCAGCTCTCAAATAAAAAGCAAGCTGACATATCTGATAAACAAGCAATATCCTATTGCATTCAAAGCCTGGGAAGACAGCACAATGAGAATTAGCAAAGAAGAAATGTCTCGATGTAAAAAAGATGAGCTTGAAGATATGAATATTGTTATGTATAAGTTAAAACAAACATTTAAATAATTTAAATTATTTTTTATAAGTATATCTTAATGATATATGCCCAAGCTTCATGCAGATGAGAAAAGTACTTGGTGAAAGTAAGGCAAAGTCACCTGCTGTATGCAATACAACAACGCCCTTAGACTTAAACAAAGCCCAAGACATAAGCAAGAGTGAAGGTAGTGAAGACAGTGAAAACGATAGAGGTGACGAAATCAGTGAGAGCAGCAAAAGCTGCAAAGACTAAGAAGAACAGGGAGCTGATGTCAGCAATGAGATCAGTTCTCAGAGAGAGGTTGTTGTTCAAAGCAACAGTGAAAGCAGCACCTCTGAGCACTCTGACACCAGTGTGTACAGTGGCAAAAGACGGCCTAAATTCTTTGGCAATATTGGGAAGAACACGGCAAAAAGATCAGTTAAGAGCATGGAGGATATTGGGCATGTATAAAAGAGTTCAATGATGCCTGAATATTGCTCTTAGAATCAAAGTACAAGGAAGAGCTCAAGAACCAGAAGGAGAAGCTGCAAAAAGAGCTTCAATGCAAGCAGCTAGTAAAAGGAGTGATCCTTATAGCAAAAACATTTGACTGGTCTGAAGAGAAGACTAAGAATGAATTAGAAGAGATGTATAACCAGTACCTTAATTAATAAATTGTATTTCTTCTATTTATATTATGCGTTTAATTTATATATATTTATATACAAATTCTCAAAACTAATGTTATTCTATTTAAAAAAATAGAAAGGCATGTAGATTATATAAAAATACTATTATTAAAGCAGGCAAAATTGATCTTCTACTTACATCTTCAAATAGTTTGATAATAAAATATTAAAGAAAGAGAAGAACATAAATAATGATGAAATATCTATTTAATTACAGCTGTCAAATGCCAAAAAGTGAGATATATCTAATAGATATAAAAGCTAATATTTTTGTTTTTTTAATGCATTTAGAATGATCAAAGTTTATTTTCTTTGTTCAAGAAGATTTATTCTTTTCTTTTGACATAATAACATGTTGTGTCTGAATCCACCTTGTATTTCCGTCTATATTCTGGGATCCATTTACTATATCAGACTCCTCTGAATATCATGTCTTCTGCAGGCATTCAACTTCAGCTTTCTCTCTATCTTCCCATTGATGCTTGGCTTCCTGAGACCATTTGTTGTCATCTTGACACATCAGGAAATTGTTCAAGGCTACGCAAACCCAAATCCATGCGTTAACCTTTACAATGTCTTCCTTTCTTTTTATTCTTACAGAGATTGATTTGAGAGAGTAGAATCTCTCTTTCAAAATTCTAAATGCATGCTTAAGATCTTGGTATTGAACTCTTGATCTGCTAATGAGAGTTCACTGTTCCTTGGCTTCTTTTTGATTGGAACAATATTGTTCATAGCCTTATACCCCACATCTGCCAACACATACTCATCATCAGAAAAGAATCGCTCTGGGAATTTTCTAAGCTCACACTCAGACAAAGTACACATATCATGCGAACTTCCAAAGAAACCAGTTGACATGTATTGGATTATGCGTCTATGATTACACACTGCGACACTGTTTACATAGTAAGTGGATCTGCGACCAAAAAACTGCTCTGACTTCCACAATGATACTTTTGCCAGCTTAAATAAACATCTATCAAGAAATCCAACAAGGTTTGGAAATTCTAATGGATATTCATTTGCTCATTCTATCTCTACTTTCTCAGATTTGGTTGGCCAATAAACAAACTTGTGCTCCAAAGAGAGAATTACTTTGAAGAACCTGATTGTTATATTCTTGATAGAGCCCACTATTTGTTTTTATTATAGGAAACAGGTGAATAAATTTGCTTTTGTATATGCAAGTAAACAGCCATAGACTATTATCTTGAGTCACTCACTTCCTATTTCAGAACGTCTTGCAAAATGGTCACTTAACAAAGAATTACCATTTAATTCTAATTCGTCAAGAACAATGGAAATCTGTAGTCTAACATTGATTGAGTAAAATCCTGACAATTATTGGTAAAGCTTGTGGTTTTTTACAAGATCATACAGCTTATAAAAAGAGCTCTTACTTATTCAAAACTCTTCCAGAAAGCTGCTTTCATCCAAGGCAAGCATAAAATTCAATCTTTCTTTTTGAGTTACAAGTTTCTTGGTCTTGTTTTGCTCTTTGAAAAAATAGCGTCCTTTGCTGATATTGTCTTGGGCTTTCATAACCATCAATTTCTCCTGTTGTAGCTTTGATTTGCATATGCCTGCAAAATCTTTGTACATGTCATGATCTTCCTCACAAGCAATGACATTAGAGTCAGACAACATCTTGATCATCTTCTTCAACGTGTGTTGAGTAATAGCTGCAGATGCATCCAAAGTTGATTTTGCGAGTATATTTATTGGAGTATGCAGCATTTTTTTTAAGATAATAAGTAAAAGAGTAATATATTTCTCACTTTTACATATGCTAGTATTTAATTATAGCAAGTATATATGCTTTAAATTTTCGTTTGCTATTTAAGTGTAATGCAACTAGAAGGGATGCATAATATTATCATGCAAGTAGTATCAGATAAAAACTGGCCAATCATAGCCGTTGATTAATTTTGCCCTTTTTTTGCCCTTTTTTTGAACTTTTAGTCTGTCCACACCAAATATTTCATGGCAATATTTATGGTATTTTAATGACTTTTATAGGTAAGCAAAAAAATAATAGTCAGCTTAGTGCATTCAGACTTTTCAAATATTTTTTTATATGTTGGGTACTACATTGTCTTTGTCACACCAGATTGAATTGCTCAAATTTTCAAATCTGCCTATATATATTATTGGACATGTAATATGACTAAAATTACAAGCAGTAACACTGTAGAAAAAAATCTACAATTATTTGAAACAACCTGTTAAATTTGGAAGAGAAAAGCCGTTTTTTCAATTATCAAATATTTTTTCTATATTTAAAAGGCTTTAAATTTATTTTTGTCTCATAGAGCTATTATTTTATTTTATTTTTTTATTTTTTAAATTGAATAGTCATTTCTGGTAAAAATACAAGGGCTATATTTTTTTTTCTTTTCTGAAATTGTCACAGATAGAAACACAACCAATTAACTAAATATATATTCAACTTAAGTTTCAGTATCAACTCTGATTTCAAATAATTAATCATGTCAATATATTTCACAGTAGTGAATAATTAGGTTAAAAAAAATGATTTATATTTGCATATATAGAAAAAAAGAGAAGAGGAAAAAAACTATTCGCAATAACGTGGATAAGAAAATACCACATATCTAATGATTTCATTGCTGATGTTGTGAATGAGACCAGCCATCCCTGTGATGGACTTCACCTCCATCACTTTAATCTCACCAAGTGTTAGACTTTTGCACACAAAAAACTTCGCCTCATTGTTGGGCCAGATGCCACGCAGACAGTTGACAATAACAAAGAGCTTGGTCTCTTCCAAGACAGATTGAGAAAAGAATTTGTGAACAAATCTATACCTTTGAAAAAATTAATTGAAACGTGATTAATAATATAACATCATAAAACATAACTCATTACACTTACTCATTCAGGTGTTTAAGCACAACAAGGTTATTGGCTCGAACATGCCTGCCTTCAAATGAAGATTAGACTCTATATACCATATTGTCCTTCCACATCTTTGTGGTGCAAACTACGTCAGTGGTTTCTTCAACCATAAACATACTGTCTTGGCCCCAAATAGACACTAATGAACTAACTAGATTGTGGTAGTTCATTCCACACTCATCTGCCACAATGGCCAAAGACTTTCTGGTTGGATTTGATCAAAGTTGGGGGCCAGCAATATTGTTACTTGCAACTTCGAAGTTGCTGGTTCTCCTGTCCGTTGATCTTCTACGGAAGGTTTGACCACCAAGTCAATGTTTGACCCCGGCATAACAGAACAGGATGTTTTCCATATTTTTCCCTGGTTTCTTCTGAGACCCGATTACTACCCTGTATTCACCAATGGTGCATTCAATTGGGCAGCAGCTGTATGCCCGCAGCAGGCCCATCTTTCTTATCATGTAGCCGAGATGAGCCAGCACATGCTGGCTCATCACAAAAAATTGTGGGCTTTAACCTTTTTTCTGCGACTTCGTGATGAAGGAATACATGCCAGCGACCAATTGCTCTATAAAAGTAATTAAAACATTGTTTAATATATATGTTATTGACTTACTCTTCCATGATATTGATTTCTCTCTCTGCCACTTTCCACTGCTGGGCAATAGCGCAGGTCTTTACTAGGTCTTGCACAACATTTCTGGTTTTGGCAAGAACAAAGTTCTTTACCACCACTGTCAGCACAACAGACAGAAGGAAGTCTAACCAGTGGACTGCCTTCTGTCGACCAGTTGTTTCCTCCAGCAATTGCCAACTACCAGTAAATATTGCTGAGATGTCTGCTCTGGACTTGGTAATTGATCTGTCGATCTGGTTAAGCCTGACATTTAAGGCAAATGTGTATATGCTTTGCTGTTGTTGCTGTGGCTGTTGCTATTGTTGCTGTGGCTGTTGCTGTTGCTATGGTTGCTGTTGCTGTGGTTGCTGCTGGTCTCCATTGTCTGCGATTCTGGGACTGATCTGAAACTTTCCACCAAATGCTTTGTATAGTTGCTTGCCTATACCATGTCCAAGTAGATGCATCTCATCAAGCCCAAAGAAAGTAGGACTAGTCAGTGTAGGAAGATCCCTGAAAACATTTGGACCATTGACACTGTAACTCTAAAAAGAAAGTATTAATATGTCAATAATTTGATAAGTAAGTATTTACATTTCCCTCAAATTGATGAAGACTTTCTACAGTTCCCATACAAACAGGCAATTCATTACCAAAAAAACACATTGTGTGATGTTTGGAAACACCTTTGGAAAAACAAGCTTGACACCCAAAGAAAGAATTGTGATGGGCCAGATTCATCAAGTCTGACATGGCTGGATTATCACCAGTTGCCATGACAAGATGAATCTTTACATTAATTTGTCTGGTGACAGTCTGAATCTGAATACCCGAAGTGGCCAGTATACAAAAATCCTTGATGATCGGCTCAAGGAAAGACCCTATATCCCTTGGGTGTTTTAGTCCAGATATAATCTCCAGCTGCATCATATTGTTGCTCCCATATCTAAATATATTTTATTAGTATATTTATATATAATGTCTTATACTATAACTTTCTTTTGGATCAATATTTAGATTGACAACATGAATTATAGTTGCCAACATCTTGGTATCATCAAAGAAATTGAACTGGTCAACAAACATAGTAACCAAAATGTCATTCTGGCCTACTATACTGCCTTCACACAGTCTGCGGACAGCACCACTGTCAAACACATCTGACAACACACCAAAACGACTACCCATGATATGACTTCTACCATATGCTATTTTGGCACATTCTTGACTATTCCCCAGCTTGAATCTCAGTTGTTGCAAGAGATGCACAACCTTGAAGGTCTGTACAGGGACCAGAGTATCTCTCTCACATCTGAACCATTGGCTACCACAGCAAGAACACTGTTCTTCCTTAACTATCAGATTACTGGCTTCTACATCATGGAAACGGATGCAACCTTCCATGCACATGTCATAAGTGGCTGTACAAACAGTGTATTCATTCTTTAATATCTTGCCATCTTGTAATATGACAGGAGTGCATTTGTTGCATCTAAAATGATAGTAAGCTTATATATAAATAATGGGGATCTATATGGACATGCAAAAAAAGACCAAAAGGGAGAATTAAATGTGACATCACCTATAATTGGTCTTTGAGAGTGTTACTGACAAATTGAGTACTGATAAGACATGCAAAAGCTACCAAATTAAAGAATTAAATGTGACGTCATCTATAATTGACTTTTGGGAGTGTTACCAACAAGCTGGACACTGATAAGACATGCAAAAGTGACCAAATTGAAGAATTAAACATTACATCACATATAATGAGTTTTGCCTATTACACACATTTTTTGGGGGGATCAGATAAATTACCCTTCAGATTGCCAATAAAATTGCTGCCCTTTTTTTACTATAACATCAGCACATAATTTTCTGACATTTAACATGAACAACATTAACAGCACCAATGACTTTGTCATTGTTAGTGAGACGTTGAAGAAGTACAATGCTGTCTTGACTGAGTTCAACTCAATTTTTCTTGTTGGAAGAGAATTTTCTTCAGTTGTAGCTGTTTGAGAAGCTGCCAAGGCATAGGGTATCAAGCATAACATTGCTCTCACTACTGAATATGCATCAAGCTCTCGCATCAAATTGATTTGCAAGTATTCTGGCAAATATAGAGATATCAGAAAAGCTGAGAAGGTTGCTTCCAAAACATCAGTTACCAGTGAGACTCTTCCTGGATGGGAGAGAAAGCATGAAAAAGATAAGCAGAAGCATGGTTGCCCATGCTTTATGTATGCCAACACTACTAAAAAGGGAAAGTTGACTGTGCGCTCCCGTGAGACACAGCACAACCATGCAATTGAAGAAGATCGTAGAGCATATGCCATGCATCACAAGCTCTTGCCCAAGGCAATGACTCTTGTTGTCCAGCATCTCAAAAACAATGACAATGTTTCCACTATCTTTCACAGTTTGAAAATAAATGGATTCACTAATATCGTTTGACACAATATTGCAAATATAAAGCAACATTCTGGAAAGTCTGATAAAGGAAGGAAGATGTTTGATTTCATCACAACTCTTCAAGATCTTGACTTCTATGTCAGATACTCTGTTGGTAACATGGAAGACAACCAAATAAATATGATCTTCTTTGTTCACCAAGATGCAATCAACGGAGTATGAAGAATATCCAAGACTGTGATAATCGACACCACTTACAAGACAAATAGTCATCAAATGACCTATGTCAACATTGTTGGTACCAGCAATGTGAGTGGAAACCCTCACACAACATTAAAAACATTCCCAATTGCTGGTGCTTGGGTAGACCATGAGATAGAAGAAAACTATCTCTGGGTAATTAGCTGTCTCTGCAATGCAGTCTGGCCTGATGTCCATGACAACAACAACAACAACAACAACAACAACAACAACCAAACACCTCTTCTCTCAGATGTTTTTATCACAGACAATGAGAAAGCATTAAGAAATGCTATTACTTGAGCCTTTCCTGAGTCGAAGCAGCTGTTGTGCTATAAACACATCAAAGACAATTTCAAGAAGCAATTGCTTCTGACAATGAAGGGAGATGAGAGTAGCAAAAAGAGAGACCTGCTGGATTCTTTGGCAGAGTTCCTTGACTGAATTGCATTGAAGTATATTACACCTGAAGAGATAAAAAAGAAATGAGTGGATACCTCGAATTTGCAAAGGAAAATTGCAAAGACCAGAGAAAAGTTGCCAGTACTTTTCTTGAGAAGTACATATAAATTTTTTAAATTTGATGTAAACAGTATTTAATTATAAAAAATTGTGTTTTTTTAATATACTTTATCAGAAAAATGAAAGACAAAGAAAACTGAGTGAACATGTATGTTAACAAACATATCCATTTCAATAATCGCACATCAAACCGTGCAGATAGTGCCTGTGCTTCTCTCAAGCATTCTCTTGGTACTTCCTCGGGTAAACTGAAGACAGTTACTCTTAAAGTAAAAAAGTGGTATGACGAGCTGGTAAGTTTATTCTATAATATTTTATGTATTTATTGGTTATAATATATTTATAAATTGTACAGGTTGCAAATCACAAGCATCGGCTAATGATGGAAAGCCTTGGAGAAGGAACAAAAGTTGTGTTCAATAAAGTCAATGCTGCCAGACTAAATGACATTCGTCTTAAAGTCTGTAGATTTGCAATGGATTAGATCAAATTGGAATTATCCAAGTCCATTATACCCGAAAAACTAACCAAAGAGTGCAAATGCCTTATACAATAGAACTACGTGCTTTCTTATTATCACACACTCGCCAAATTTGATACCATCCCAATCTCTTGCATTCTAAGATGCTGAAGAAAAAACTCTCTATGATGTGTTTGAGGATAAATATATATGTTTTTAGGCGCTTTTCAAAGTTTCATGACTTTTTCTACAGACAAGTTATTGAGAATTGCTTAAACATGTTTTATAGGGAAGACTCTTCCAAATAACTCTTGTTTAAAAGATTCTCAAAACAAGGCTTGAATAAAAAGTCATGGACCTTCAAAGTCAAGAGATATCAATAGAAAATATTGGAGTTTCAGCTTTTTTTTTAATATTGAAATGAAAAAGAGAGTCACTGTAGCAACAGATACATTTCAATGCTCCTCAAAAAGATGGTTGTGTAACGTAAAATACTATTTTTTCGATTTTCTTTCTATATATATTGGGAAAAGAATATATTCTACTATCAAAGGTTTTTTGGGATAAAATTGAAAAGATTTCAAAACTTTGATGTTTACGCTCGAACACATCATAGAAGGAGAAAGTAATATATATAATAATAGCAATAATTACATGATGATTTTCTCACATAACATTTTATTACATAGACTTTTAACTATCCAAAATGCAACACCAGTACTCTCAAACACCAACAACATCAAACCAATAACCCCAGAATTTAACTATGCTCTTGAGCTTATTTGTGAACATTTCGCCAATGCTCAGAGTGAACAAGAACAAATTAACATCTATCAATTGATAGAAAAAACTTTAAAACAAATCGACGCACAGAAACTCAAAAACCTGAAGGGCCCAACAGTAGTTGAAGCCATTAAAGGCCGACCAAAAAATACCAAGTGCAAAATGATTGCATTAGAACATTGCATCAATACCAAAAAAGAAAAAACCACAAAAAAAATTAAAACAGAAAAAGAACAAAAAAAGTAAGATTTTAATATTGTTTGGATTTAATTTACTAAATCTTTGCTTTGTTTTCTAGACAAAAAATATCCTCAGCTAAAGAGCAAAAAGCCATCAAAAATATTATCAACCTTGGGTTACCATGCGATTCCACATTACTAACCAACCTCACAATTCCACCAAAACATATATTAACAAGCTTTTCATCTGAAGCAGACGGAAATTGTGGGTACAGCATGATAGCAATGGAAGTGTACCAGGACCAGGAGGAGTGGTCAAAAGTAGAAGACAAAATGCTAGAAACATTTTTAAAACACCAACACAACTACTACCATGGAAGAATGGAGCATGGCAATATGTCTGCTTCCAATAGCCCACTCATCTGCAGTCTCCAAGACAAGCGCTCACCTCTCCCCCAGCAACATTGGTTTGGTACAATTGACCATCCTCAACTTGTAGCCGATACATTTAGCAGAACAGTGGCCGTATATTGGAATATTTCAACTGAAACAGACGACTGTCTTTTCGTTCCATTTGCTACCTTGCCAGAAAAGTGGAACCGATAATTATTATCTTAGATGTAAACTACTTTCTTCTTGCCAAGCGCAAAAACACTCGAAATTTCTGCTGGCCAAACATCAATCCCTTTCATAAAAGAATAATTCAAAAGCATGGCATTGAAGATTATTCTTTGATGTACTAACAATCAAGATATAACTTTTACATTAGAATTATCTTGAACAATACTAACTTTTCACATATATTTTTTTTAGATTCTTTTTTACTTTTTAGATTCTATATTTATCTCTATTATCAATATTTCCTTCTGTTTCTATTCAATTTATTATTATCTTTCTATTCATCTATATTTTTATATTTATCTTCTTTACAATCTTCCATTTTTATTTATATCTCTATCTTATTATCATTTTTTATATTTTTACAATCAACATAATTTTGAAACATTTAACAAATATCAAGGCTGAGCCTTTAAAAAAATACGTGTAACATGCAAAACTAATTATATGTGACATCATGTCTAGTTCTTCAATTTGCTCACTTTTGCATGTTTTATCAGTGTCCAATTTGTTGGTAACACTCCCAAAAGTCAATTATAGGTGACGTCATGTTTAATTCTTCAATTTGGTTGCTTTTGCATGTCTTATCAGTGCTCAATTTGTCAGTAACATTCCCAAAGGCTAATTATAGATGACGTCACGTTTAATTCTCCTTTTTGGTCTTTTTTTTGCATGTCCAACCCTAATTTTTTTTGCATGTTCATATCATTGCCCTAAATAATTCATCTTTAATTATATACTTATGCAATTCACATTCTGCCATGTATTTATTTACAATCTTAATATACTTGTCAAAAACATTGCAAGATACGTTATTCTCAAAAAACATAGAGAATAACTTCAGGGTAGTAGCCTCTGCATATGTATTAGGCTCATAAAAAGAGATGTGAGACTCTTGATTCACGTTCTTGGTAACAAAATCAGACTTGATTAGAAGAGTGTTTATATTTACTAGGTTGCGAATACGCAAATATTCATGAACAGATTCTGTAACACGTATATGTATGTATAAATAAATTCTCCAACCGTTAAATCTTATAAGTCTGTTATAACTTTTGTTTTTTACTCTTATTATACGAATAGTCATTGCTATTATCACTATCATTGTATTCAGCTTCGTTGCTTTCTGTATAATCATTATTGAATTTGACATCTACTGAATTACTAATACTCTGCACACTTCCTGGAGCCATGAATGCTTCAAGATCATTTTCTTTGGCTCTACCAATGTCTTGATCGTGGACTGCATTCAAAAAAGTCATGTCGGTACTGGTAATCATATCTTGGTTTCTTTCCTGTTGGTAGGGAGTAAGAGTGAAAACCTCTCATGCTGTTTCTCAACCATGGACTTCGTCCAAAAAGGCTTGATTGGCACTGTTAAACAGCAATTAGTTTCTTTCTTGGAGGAAAGGAGCAAGGACAAAAAAATCTTGTGAAATATCCATATAATCAATTACACTAATGTCACTGTTGCTTCTAGAAATACGAGTTACAGAAGTGTTTGTGTTCATCTTTTGTTTTGAGTAGGCTACAAAAAATAGTGTAAAGGTGCTCTCCAGCGTCCTCAGTATATTACCTAAAAAATCGTCAATTGGTTCAATTGACAAATATAGGAATGTCAGCTATTATTATAGTATTATTGTGATAATAGATGATAATAAATATCTGATAATTTGGTGAAAAATGAGCATTTATCTAAGCAAGAACATAGTAATTACTGAGCTGGATCAATTCGTGGAGAAATAATAGAGTAATATTAAGAGTAAAAGATACTAAATCCAGCCTCTAAAATGACAAGAGTAATTCTCATTGACAGCCATATAAATACTTTCAAAAAATAATGTTTTCTCTTATACAATTCCCTACAACCTCTTAAGATCTCTCACAATCTTTTACAACCTTTCACAACCTTTTTCTATTTTTTTAACTACTATGAGCGCTTTTGATAACCACAACATACATAATTATCAAGACCAAGAAGGCATTATACAAATGATAGTAGCTCCTAGAGCAGACTGGCGTACAGAATGGGACGACACAACTATAATGGTATTGCTTTGCCTGATCATAGAGACAGGATTTTATGTCAAGCATCTCAACAGTGACAGTGGAAGAAAGGCAAGCCTATGGAGCAATCTTCACGCCGAGTTTTGCATCAATCCTGATGTGATACGCTTTGCTGGTACTTCTGCGGGACATCAGTTTTCCCTGAAATACAGGGACCTTAAATATGTAAAGGAAAGGTTCCAAACTATCAAGAAGGAATTCCGCAAAGTTGTGGTCGATATACAAAGAGCTGGATCCGGTGGCCCTCCTCCTCAAGAGAGGTTTCAATTTTTTGATGCCATGAAAGAGATAACGCTGTTTGACCCTAGTTTTTTCTCACTAATGATCATCAGTTCGTCGAGCATTTTGGTTGGAGCAAATGCAGCCCCAGTAATATCTATCCATCAAGAAGACAGAATTACATATTCCAACACCTATCTTTCTGGCCCTAATTTTGTCCCAGAAATTATGAATGCAATTGAATGCGGCATTTCCCCGGTGACAACAGATCTGGAGGTACTGCCAATTTCAGAAGGCAGTTTTGAGCCTAGCTCTTAGCTGTCTTACCAGTCCTCATTTCGACTCCCTTCTACATCTGCGTCTGCAACTATGCCAGCACCATCATCATCGGCACCAGGAATAGAAAACAGAAGAATGACGCAATGTGAGTTCCAGTCTGCCTTCTTGAGAAATTCTGAGAGACAGACTGCTATCTTTGATGAGGCTTTCACCTCCTTAAGTTTGCAGTTGGAGGAGGTGAAAGATGCCTTCATCCACTCAGTAGAATGCCAGTATATACACGCTGTGTCATTTTGGGAGGCAAATTGCTTGGACAGGGCATCAAGAGACAATAACGCAAGAGAAGATGTCCTTGCAAGAAAGCAGATTTCCAGGGATGATCTTCTCAGCAGAGAAATAATCCCAAGAGAAGAAAGAGAAGCAAAAGGCAAATTGTTAGCCTTTTCAAAAAAAGTGCAAATACAATTACACAGTATCTTTCTGCTTCTTCTACTTCTCACAATAATGCATCTGACTAACATATTTCTCTCCTATGTCTTCTTCTCTTTATATACATGAACAACATATCTTAATTTTTTTCCACTTTTTTCTATGCCTTCTTTCCTTCTTTTATGTATTTTCTTTCTTTCTCTTATGCCCTCTTTCTTTTATGTCTTATTCTTTCTTTCTTTTATGTTTTCTTTCTTTTATGTCTTCTTTCTTTTTTTATGCCCTCTTTTTTCTTCCTTTATTCTATCAATAAAATATTTTAAATCTTCTTTCTTATCATGGTTATTATTAAATAAAATATTGAATAAAAAAATTAAAAGTTTAATAAAAAAATTAAATTTTACAAATATTTTGAAAAGAAATTAAAGAGTATCTTTTACTTGATCACGTCTAGCTCTTCCCTCAGAAGCAGTTTCAGTCTCTGTATGAGAATTATCTATTTCAGCATATAGATCCTCAAAATCCTCATCATCATTGTCAGCATCATGTGCCTCAAAGCTGGCACCATCTGTATTGTCAGCTCGAACAAACCAATCCATGATAGTCATGTTTCTCTGCAGATTGGCCTCACCTGCTCTTAATAGCTCTTTGAGATATTCTTTGCTGTCGCCAAAGGTGATACACATGTTGTGCAAAATACAACATGTAGTTATAACTTTTGCCATTGATTCTGGCTGCATAAGAAAAAGATGCTTGAACATGAATCTCCATCTAGAGACAAGCAACCCAAAAGCATTTTTAATTTTAAATCGTGTTGCTGATTATATATTATTGAGCTTTTTCTCCTCTACTGTCATGTCATTGACTCTATAATAAGGAATAAGACAATGCTTTAAGATAGGAAAAGCAGAGTCTTTTTCAAATATATGTAAGTTTAATTAGTTTTATAGAGTATTTATATAATATACATTACCTCCAACAATGTATGATCTTGGATCACAAAACAGCTCTCTAGGACTGTGAATTATATTTTGATATAAATTACTAGTCTTGAAGATAAATGTATTGTTTTGGCTTCCTAAATACAAGAAAGTTTAGTAGAAGTAATTACATACATATTGCTATATAATATTTACTGGCCAATCCAACTCTTATATCTATAAATCTTTTTTTGTGATCACATACAGCCATAAGAGCCATGGAGGCGTTGCTGTGACGATCCAACCAGCTGTTACCAAATAAGGATGGCTTTTGAATTACAATTAGCTTCTTATCCACAGCGCCGATGCATTCATTAAGGTGCTGGTGTTCCGATCGGACTGAAAAAACAGCAAATCCATCCATGATTTTTTGACTTTCCTCAAGTGTTGCTGGCTATCTTATTGTTGTCTTCAAAAAGGATCGAATTATGCCATTTACGAATCTATTGGTAAAGCGGCTGTAGGACCCATGGCTCACCGTTAACAGCTCTAGTGCTATTCTGTACCCAAAGTGCGTATTGCTCAGATACCAAAGAGCAACAGCAATCTGCTTCCACACAGGGTGGCTGACCTCGCTCCTTTCCTCAGAGGCTTGGTACTCAGGGTCTCGTCTGAGAACATTTACAATCACATTAAATGTCTCTCTATTTACTCGATAATGTGCCCAAAAGCTATTGGGACCAGTTCCATCGTGCAAGTAGGGGTGGCAATATGTCCACCAATGGTTTGTGCCTCCATTCAGGTTGTTTCGAATTCCACTTTGTTCCACAAGATGGACAGGGGAACCCAACTAACAAGCGTACTGAAAATCGTCTATGGTTCGGACATTCTGGGCTAACATTATTACATTGTAAGCCTGAGAGAATAGCATATATATAGTTACTGCTTAGTTTCTAATCTGTGTTATATGAGATACTTCAAGCTCTAAACAATTGTATTTATCAAGATCAAAATTAGAGTTACGTTGAAAAGTGACATAAAATATTTTCTGCATAGTTGCCAACTCATGCTCAGCACTTGTCTCATTTTCATCATCACTATCATTGTAAACAGAATTACTGCTGTCAATACAGCTGTTGATATTGGTGTTGTTACTCATTTTAAGTATTGTGAAATTAAGAGAGTAAAAGGTATAAAAAAGAAAATAACTAATATTTGATAGGTACATTAGTTATAAAATATATATTACTAAAATGCCACAAAAAAACCCAATCATTTATAAAGACAAATTTAAATTTTCATATAATAATAAATAATATAGTTCTTGTCATTTTAGAGGCTTGATTTAGTATCTTTTACTCTTAATATTACTCTATTATTTCTCCGCGAATTGATGCAGCTAAGTAATTACTATGTTCTTGCTTAGATAAATGCTCATTTTTCACCAAATTATCAGATATTTATTATCATCTATTATCACAATAATACTATAATAATAGCTGACATTCCTATATTTGTCAATTGAACCAATCGACAATTTTTTAGGTAATATACTGAAGACACTGGAGAGCACCTTAAAGAAAAAAGTATCAAGAGTGTAAGTTTTGTGATATAAAAGTTTATTGTTTTATATGGATATCATTGTACACATTATGTCTTTAAAAATTGCTTTTCATTAAAATCGTATTTTTATACAGTAATATATTGTTTCTAAGCATAATTATGACTGTGAAAAATATATTTTACTTAATATTTTCAAAATTTAATTATTTAGAGCATCTGCAGCAGTTACATTACAGGATTTCCACTTCAAAAGTTATATTTTTTTCAAACTATATATTTTGCAAAATCAAAACTTTCATTTTGTGCTCCAACTATATATGAAAAAAATAAATTAATTAATGTGGATAGAAAGAAATTTAAAGCAAATTAATAAAGAGTATGAAGAATGCTAATATGTGCAATAAAGTATTTAAAGAATGTCTACACTGTTTATTAAAAACAATATAAGAAAACATGCAATGTCAATATATTGTTATAAGAAAAGTATATAATGCTAAGTTTGTAATATGGTTTTGAGAACTGTCTTTATCTATTATCTTTTTCTATACTCAAATCCTCCAACATGAACCCCAATCAAATTGCTATCGTTAAGAGAAGAAAGAGAAATGGACCACAAAAGGTTCTTCCAATCCACATCAAGAACATGATTGTGGAGAAATGTTATATAGAAGAGTCCATGACCCGAGCCAAAGCAGCCAGGGCATTTGGTGTCTCATGGGCGTCGATTAACAACATCATCACCAAGTTCGAGAGGGATGCTACTGTAGAGCCCAAGAAGTGAGGCAGCTCGTGCGTGGAAAGTCTTAAGATAACTGATAAGCATTCGAAGCTCATTCAAGATCTCTTGGACGAATGCTGCACCTTGACTCTTGGTCAAATGAGAGAGGAACTGTTTAGAAATTTTCCAGGGCTTCAAGAGCAGAACTTGGGCATCAGTGGCTTACATAAGCACATTATCAACAACATTGGGTTCACATTGAAGAGAACCAAGCCGGTCGAGGAAAAAAGAAACGACCCGAAGACTATTGAGCTGAGAAAAGTATACGTAGACAGTATGCACACGAATGGTTTATCATATAAAACCAATTGTATTTTTGTGGACAAAGCAGGGTTTAATGCAAACCTGATCAGAAGACAAGGGTAGTCCAAGAAAGGCAAGACCAGCATTGTGAAGATGAAGTCAAAAAGGGGACTAAACATCTCAATTCTTGCCTGTATTTCTTACCAAGGTGTTGAGAGTGTGCAGGCGAAGTTGACCCCTGGTGGCATGACAGGACCAATTTTTGTTGAATTTGTAAAGACGATTATGGATTCGCTCGACCACAGTAATGCTGCCTCTCACAACTTCATTATGGATAATGCCTCGATCCATAGATCCCACCTTGTCACTGAATTGTTTGCTAATTCACGACACCAGCTACACTTTCTCCCCCCATACTCTCCTTTCCTAAACCCGATTGAAGAGTGCTTCTCCAAACTCAAAACACTGGTCAAGAGAAAGCCCAGGTTGGTATGTGGTCAATTCTTGGAGTATATTGCTGAGTGCTCCCGCCATATTGCTATGGAAAACTGCCGAGTCTGGGTTGATCATAGCATTAGCTTCTTCCCCTAATGTACAAATAGCCAAGAAATAAATTGATTTTTTTTATATATAGTCGGAGCACAAAATGAAGGTTTTGATTTTGCAAAATATATAGTTTGAAAAAAAAATATAACTTTTGGAGTGGAAATCCTGTATCAAAAACATTATATATAGTGTAATTCAGTCACATCGGGTATTGAATACCAGTTAAAAACAGATTGCCAAATTGTGGTTACATTATCAAGGAACATTATAAATGTTACACGACCAGTTATTATTTTTTTATTACTGTTTTTTTTATTTCTTTCTTCACTACCACTTTCTTTTTACTTCTACACTTTTACGTACACCCATAAAAAGGAACAACAACCTTATTACTGCATTTTTTGAAAAAGAAGAACGCAACAAAGAGTTATGTATGACCGTCAGCAGCTTCCTATTGAATGAGCTTACCCACGACTACTCTGACAATGATATTGAAAAAATATCCCAAAGAAGTGCCATACTATGATCTTCCATGATAGACAGCGAGGCCACAATCAGCTGTTCAAGAATTATTTTGATGAAAGTATAACCTACACTGATGAACAATTCTGTAAGCGTTTTAGAATGAACAGAACATTGTTTATGCGAGTTCTGGAGGCTGTCAAAGACCATGACAGCTACTTTGAGCAAAAGTTAGATGCTGCTTGTAGACCCAGATACTCTCCTATCCAGAAGGTAACTGTAGCTATCTGCCAGCTAGCATATGGACTTCCTGCCAATTCTATGGACGAATCATTCAGAATGGCAGAGTCAACCGCTCTTAAGTGTCTGAAGCGTTTCTGTGCTGCAGTTGTATCTGTTTTTGGCAATAAGTACTTGAGAGTGCCAAATGAAGAGGATGTAAAACGACTTCTTCAAGAAGGGGAGTCAAGAGGGTTTTCCGGAATGCTAGGTTCCCTCGATTGCATGCATTGAAAGTGAAAGAACTGTCCCACTGCTTTGCACAGGCAATACGTTGGAAAGGAGAAGACTCCTACCATCGTTTTGGTAGCTGTTGCTTCATATGACCTCTGGATCTGACATGCTTTCTTTGGCTTGCCTGGATCCTTGAATAATATCAATGTCTTGGACCGGTCACACCTTTTTGAGGATATAACCGATGGAAAAGGTCCTGAAGTTAACTTCATCATTGTTGTGGTGGTTGAAGTTGAAGAAGTTTTTAAGAGGAAGAATTGAAGATTTGAGATTAGGAACGAAGATTCGTGAGAACCTGTGTAGGTTTTGTTTATTGAGAAAGGATTTTATATCAAAGTTTGACCAGGTTCCTACACTGAACTACTACTGCTATTTATATTATTTTGGATCAGGAAAATTATATGACTGGGGTCAGGTAATCGATCCTATCTGAGTCTTAATCAGAGCAACATGATCTTGGAATAATTAATGTATGATTAATTATATAAATGTGTGTAGTCCCAATGAAGTATTAACATCGAAAGTAAATGTGTTTATGAGTTATAATTATGCTTATAATAATCCACTGATGTATCCCATATTATGGTGATATCATCATATGAAATATAATCACTATCATGCATGCTAAACCTGTGTGTTAAATAATAAAGTAATTGGTAGACACCTTTGACTGGAATAGCTGAGGCCTTATATTATTTCCTTCAGACTTATTCTCAATTACAGCAGTAGTCAATACTCATTTACAACAATCATCAATGGCAATACCTATAGTCAGGGATATTACTTGACGGATGGCATATACCTAACCTACGCTGCTTTTGTTAAAAGCTTTAATGACCCTCAGTCTGCAAAGCACAAGGTACTTGCATATATATTGTATTGTTATTTATTATATTTACTAAGCACTTATCTTCTTTAAGAACTTTGCAAAGACACAAGAGGCAGTCAGAAAGGATGTAGAGTGTACATTTGTTGTATTGCAGACACATTTTGCAATAGTTGCTGGGCCAGCAAGAATGTGAAATCAGAAAACTCTGCATGTCATTATGACTACTTGTATAATCTTACACAATATGATTGTAGAGAATGGTAGAGGAGAGAAAGGATATGTTGGTGAAGGTAATGGAGTAGAAAGAGAAGTTGTGGGAGAAAGATCTGAGGTGGATACTTCCTTGACTGAAACAACGTCCTTGATACCCAGATCAGAGATAGTGCTCTCAGATGGAAGCTTCGCAAGTTTCATCCAAAAGTACATGGCAATTAGAAACCGTGAGCAGCACTTTCAGTTGAGACACAATCTCGTAGAAAGCCTGTGGCAAAGAAAAGGAGATTTATTAATAAAATAAAATAAAATTTAAAATCAAATATATTTATTATTTTTGCTTTTACTTTTTGCAAACTAATTGTCATCACAATCCTCTCCTTTGCTGTTAATATCAAAGAGATTGCTGCTCATACTGTCATCATTGCTGATGGGAGTATTCCCTATACCTCCTTCTTCAAGTCCAACATCATCTGACGGCTGACAGGATCTGCAATCAAAGAAGTATTGATCAACAGAACCTTTATGTCCTGAGTCCTTTGAAGGACGGCGTTTGTCTCTCTTATGGCATTTACCACCAAGACGTTAGACTCCATAGTCTTTTTTAGGAGCTTCTTGCGCTCATCACCCTTTGCAATACTTTCTGAATGCAACGCAATCAACCTCTCAACATTCTTCTCCTGCTTTCTTTTAGTCGCCTCTTGCTCCTTGGTAAACTTTCTTCCAGCTGAACGAGCTGAAAACTTCTCTTCGTCTATACCCTCACCAATTGGGTTAGGGGCAGAGGCCGCCACTTTGGAATTACTTTCCTTCTTTTTGGCTGGAACACTTGACTTCCATTTTGGGTGTCTAGCCAAGATTCTGAAGCAGTGATGAAGGTTGAACTTCGTTTTTGTCTCAATGAAGTACACCTCATCTGCCTTTGTCTCCTAAACTTTTATTTAACTACTGTGGACAGCATAATATGTATTATCTATATTTCAATAACTTACATTCCATTCGTTGTTGGTGCCACTGGAATTTGAGCACACTATAGCCGACAAGATACTGGCATACTTGTTCACACCCTTGTTTATAATTTGCCAGCAAGCAGGCAAAGAACATTCATTATGCAAAATACAGCCCTCAGAAGCATACTTATGGTAATGGTTAGTTATTTTTTCTCAGAAAGTATCCCTCTTTTGTTCAACATCTTGAATTGCATCCAAGACGATGCAAAGGTATGAACAACAGAGCTGTTCATCTTCAGCAATAGTGAAGTTTTTTCTTGGGTCTTCTACATATACATGGACAATATTTATAGCCAAAATTATATAATCGTAACTCTTAATATTAGTATTATAGGCATATACATTGCAATTGCAACATTACTTTTGCCAGAAGTGTCAGCTTCAAGGTTAATGGTGTTGGGAAGGTTGCTCATTATAGCCTTTTTTTTATATTTCTTTTGTGGAAGAGTAAAAGAAAAATTTAAAAAAATTAATATTGATTTATAATATAACACTACATAAAATGTTCCTGACCCTAAAAATTGACTACATTATCTATAATGTTGTCTGTAATGTAACCGCTGCAGACGATTTTTTAAGAGCATTTTGGAATTTACATTAAAACAGTTGCAAAAATTAATGTTAATGTAACCGCTGCAGATGCTCTTACTCCTTCATTCTTTACACACAAAAATGTTGACAATTAAAAACCCACAAACAAACAATAACCAAACCACTTTCGAAGGGGTTGTATCTGAAAGTGTTTCTGCTTTCAGCTTCTTGGGTACTTCTGAAGGGACGTACAGAAGAGACAAACAATGCGTTGAGTCAAGAGAGGCCCAGTCAGTACAAAACATTGGCAATGATGACAGTCAAGATATCCCAAGGCCTGATAAAAACTCACATTCAGAGTCAAGCGCTTTATCTGCCAAAGAGATAAAATCTACAATGTCATTATATTTAGGTAGAGGAAATCCACAGACTGGTGCAGACATGTATTATATTACAGAAAAAATTGTGTTTCATGTGATAAACAATACATTCGATGCACTTATTAATAAGAAGGATGTTATTCCTTCATGGGGTAACTTAAAGTCCTTTCAGGAGAATTATCTTGTTCACAAGGTCGAGAAAAAAGCCTTGGAGAAAAATATATCTCTTAATAGATTTAAAAACTCATGGGCAGTCTGTCATATGCTTTCTCAAAAATGTAGAACTGCGATAAATGACACAAGAAAGAAAAGAAAGGTATACTTCTTTAAATAACAGTATTGTAACTCATTTTATTTTTTTTGGAAATAAAAAATGGGATCCTCCAATGAAATGTCTTTATTTTTACTCCGAAATTTCCAAATATGGTAGTAGCAAGTTGATTAAACTGAAAGTCGAGTTGAGAATACTATTGATTCTGCTGGAACTTTCTAGTATTATCAACTCGCGAGTTGAAATTACTGGTTTGCCCACAGTTTGATTAACTTTTAAAATTAAATTTTTCTTTTTCTTTCAAAAACTTATTTATTATGTCGCCCTTGCCTACTAATATCACTGCTTTTAAGAGACGCTTTGTTAACAAGTGTGATTCGGAAAAACTAGAGCATTTAATTGAGCAACAAGAAGCTGAGATTTCTAGCGGAATTCAAGTATAAACAAAACAGACAATAGATTATATGCAAAAAAATGCATACCAATATTAACAATATATCTTTATAGCCTACTAGTATTGCTGCAATTTCTGAAGAGGTACCTAAGAAAGCTCGTAGGGGTTGACCATCGAAAAAGATTATGCTGGTTGAAAATTCAACAGCTGAATCGTCCAGTTCAGCCAATTTGTCTACTTCTGTTGGCTCAAATGCCTTTGTTGCTCTTCAAAGTAGCTCATCAATCAATGTGTCTGAGTTTGAGATTGCACTTAAGGCTTTGCCAATGAAAGTACGTGCCAGCACTACCGCAATTTACAGAATGCCCTTAGAACATTGGAAGGTATGTCTCAACTCAATAGAATAAGAATCTATATTGTATTGATTGTATTCATTTTTTAATGTTGCTTAAATTGAAGGACTTTTGCGAAAAAAACTGACACAGATACCCTATTGATCTTCAGTATCCATACACTGTTGGGCCCACTGAATTTGTTATTGCCTTCTTCAAAGAATTTGTTTTCAAGCGAATGTATATGAAAAGTGTTTCAGTAGAGACTGATGTTAGAATACAAATTGGCTTAAGAACAGAAGATAACAATGAAAGACAATTGACTTTGCTCCAAAGTAATACAAAATTGCATGAAGTACATAAAAAAAATCCGTCAATTATACTTAATCATCAACCCATTTTTATAGTTGCTGAGAATGCTCCTTCTAACAAGAACAGTAGTAAGAAAGTTATCGAAGTTCCTTTAGGTGTTGAATCTGTCAATCAATACAAGAAAGTCTTGATGTTCTTGCACGAATTCCAGTCCGAGCACCAAGAAGTTGGATGGCCATCTCCTAAGAAGACTAAAGAAGTGATCGAATTGATCAAGAAGTATGAACACGACCTTGTTTACAACCAAGTACAAACAAACATAGATAGAGCAGCCCATTGTGTGATTCGAGACTCTTATAAGTCTGGCGAACTTATAAGAATCCTGAAGAGCCTTTGGACTTCTGACAGCAAATCAGGCTTGCGCGAGATGTTTTCTATCTCTTCCCGCCACCATATGCTACTTAGGGATCAGGATTTGAGAAATTTAAACTTTGCGAATTGCTTTTGCACGATCATTCCAAAGAAACAGCCCAAAGGAATGCAACAGGCTCTTGCTTTGGTTTTTAGTCTAGACAAGGGCAAGACTCTGAAGGAAGGAGAAGTCAAATTTGCATGTGCCATGCGCCATGAAAACGTATTCAGATGTCCTTTTGGTGCATTTGCCTTTTTTATGTTCAGTTTGCTTCAAGTAGGTTGGCCAGCTAAAAAAAGAGACTTTTTTAAAATAATTTCTAACTTTCTTGATAAAAATTATAGACCAGTAGTGACTTCTTGAACGAAGACAGATGTCAGAACTGGAAAGTATTGCGTGGACGTACCAGCCCTGAGAAGAGTTTAACTGGCGCTTCTCAATGGAAAACTGCAAAAAAGGCACTTGCAGATGAAGAGATATACACCACACGAGTAATGCACGGTGGCCTTCATGCTGGGTCAATGGAAGCTGAGGGCTTAGGGATACCTTTTGATCTGATCAAGCGAGGAGGAGGATGGAAGGATCGACTTGGTCGTTTGGAGACCCATTACTTGGGTAAACTCCCATCTCCTTTTGCCAGAGGTATGGCTGGCTTTTGGGAAAAGCCTTTCTCACTAGCAAGAAATGGCGTGTCACTGCCAATGGAATTACAAAAGATGGTATTTCCTTGGATCGAAGACTATTTCGGTGTCGGTAATGCAGAGTGAGTAGCTGTCTGTGAGAAGGAGATGAATGAAGTCGATGAGAACGAGGATGAGGATAAAAATATCATAAATTTGGAGATAGATGAAGAAGCAGATTCCGTAGAATTCGTGGAGGAAGATGGAAGATTGCAGTCGAAAGAAACAAAGAGAAAAGGAAAGCAAAGAGCAACTCAAAGCAGTATCAATACAGCAAAGTGCGGATTTTTACGACTCTTGATACGATGCAGAAGAATAATCTTATAAGATGCAGCCGTTTACTTGTATTTGAACAAAGAAAACAAGCACATCAACACAAGAAACCTTCTGTTCTCAAGTAATAGCTTCAGAATATTCCAAGAGGATATTGTAGCTGCCATTACCAGCCCTTCCATTGGTAGACTAGAATAATATGAAAGCCTTGTTCCTAACATTGTTGATACGAACAAAGAGGTAGCCAACAGAGTGACAGAAGTAAATCATCGGATCATACGATTGCAGCAACAACAAGACAGCCGATTTGAGAAAAATAAAAACTCTTTCAACAACTTCATTGAACAAAGTAACCAGCAAAATTGGCTTCTGATGAACACGACACAGCAACTGGCTAAGGACATAAAAATCCTCATGATCCAGCAACAGTGTTTAAATTCACAAATGCAATTGCTCATGGCTACCAACAATGCTTCTCAAAGCATAAATACCAATGCCAGCTTGTCTCAACTGCCTATCTTTCCTGTTCTTTCTACTACTCATTCAACATCACCTTTTCCTTTCTCTACCTCTGCTCCTTTTACTCCTCCACCTACTCAGCAACCAATTGCTATAAGTGCCGCCCCACCTTCACTCAATTCAAATAGATACCCCATTGTTTTGGCAAAGCCCAAAGCCAAGAAAAAGGCTAGATGGGTTAGCTACGAGCCTAGCAATTAAAAATACTCTTTTTTAAAAGCTGTGATATATACACTACCATATATCTGTTACTATTCTTTATCATATTATCTATTCACCTTATTCTTTATCAGCTACAATACATTTTAATAAAAAATTAAATGTATATATTTACACAATTATGCATTTCGTGAGTCATTTTAAAAGATGTTGAAGTAAGAAAGACAATATAAAATAAATAGAGTTGATGAATAAAGTATCATATAAACCATGTAGTAGTATAAGATAAACATACTTTACTTCTGGCATCTGATATGACACTCAAGATTCGCATTTTAAGAAGACTTTCATGGGTAAAAAACCCGATTTTTTTCCCAGTATGAGATTTCAGTATTGACATATTTTTCTCCTAAAAAGGAAAAACTGCTATTTTAAGTAATTTTTCAACTGCCTGGGCCTATAGGTCAGAGAATTTTTTTATTGGCTGTCCATATTAGGATCAGTTTAGTTTTTATACCGTTACAGTAAATTAATAAATCTATATCCAAGTAATACTTTATGAAAGAAATTGTATTTAGCAACTGAGTAAAAATATCACTGATATTAATTAATTTAATTAATTTAATTAATGAAATCAAACTATAGGCTTTTCACGTATAATGTATATTATTTACACTTCTTTTTAATATACTTCTCTTAATTTAGTTTCTATTTTTTCCATTGTTTTTTATATGTCTTTTTTCAGTTCCAAGGTTTTTTTTTAATAAAAAATATTTTCATTTAAAACATCATGTATTTGCTGGACCAATTATAAGAAGAATAGATATACCTAAAAAAGGTATAGCGCTACTATATTTAGCTTATTTGATTGGATTAGAAAAAAATAATCTGAAATCCAACGAATTGTATTCTCCAAATTTTTTATAAAAAGAGAAATATTTATTTACAAATGGTATAATTTTGCTATTTTAAAAAATTTTATTGGATTAAAAAAAAAGTAATTTGAACTCCTATAAATAGTATTTGCTGTAAATACTTTTAATTTACTAAAAGCCAAGATTCTATTAGCAGATATTATAACTCCGTTACTGTAGGAATTATACAGTTGCAAAGTTATAATGTCTACCATTTACTACAGTGTAATATTAAATAATTTTGTGGTGATCCAGACACTCGGATGTTGGATTTATCACATATAAGAACATATTCATATTGGGATAGCGTAGTAGCTATCATCTTGTCAGTATAAAATATATATAAACGATTAAGTAATCAGCCCAATAATTATTACAGTTAGTACTGTAGATAATATCTTAAAGATTGTTAAGATAATTATATCATACTGCCGGGTAAACTGTGTCAGATCGATATGGAGCTAATTTAGTAGGAAGTCCTAAAGCTCTAGTATAAAAGAGAAAAGAATAGCTAAGAGCTAAAGAAGTACGATTTATGACTTGATGTCATAATTGTAACACCGACACTAGTTAAGCAGTAAATACACTCTAATAACCAAATATAGTAAAGGAAGAAAGCCTTAAGAAACTAAGACGTAATGACAAGAGCAGATTGTGTTTTCTTATAAAAAGGGACACTTTTTATTTATGAATAAAAACAACTTATATACAGTCTCAAAGTATTTCTATACGTCTCTATTATCAAATATTTTATTTTTCTATTGTTTCGTACCTGAAATACCACAAATTTCATTTCCTTCTACTAGTATTTTTTAAAGGCAGTTTAGTACAAAAATTAAAAGAATATAATTGGTTGCAAATTTGAAAAAACACACTTCTTAGCAAGCAAAATTTGAAAAATAAGAGACTCCTTTTTTCAAATTTCTCTTGTCTGGTTATACTTGATTTAAGGTTATAATTTGAAAAAATAGCTTAAATTTTAAAAACCCACCGAAAAATACCTGAGTTTTGTATGAGTCTCAAGAATCAGATACTGTGAGAGTGTTATTTGTTAAAGAGACAAAATAATATTGCATATATATTTCTATTAAGTTTCCTTGTAATTCAAATGCCTGTTATGTAATGGTTGGTTTACACTGTATGAGTGTATAGTGTACGTGTGCCTGTTGTGTAACAGTTCCAGAGATTGTTAACTTGCCAGGTTCATTAGCAAGAAGGAATCAGTGTTTGGTTGTGAGGTCTGTTCTTCACTCAATTGTGGTGTGTATATCACATAAATCAACAAGTTATTCATATTATTTTTGAAAAATATTACCATAAACTGTTTCGAATACTTGTTAACAGTGTTTGCTTTCTTGAGAAGACTATAGAATATGTAGTAAGAGTATAAAATGCAAGTGAGTTTGTAAAAGTGCAGGTGTGAGAAGTAAATTTACCAAATTATTAAAGCGGTCAAAAAATAGAAAATCAAAAGAGAAGAAAGTGAAAGAAAAGAAAAAGGAGACGCAGTTATTCTATTAAATACAACTTTAGAAATACATGAAAAAGAAAAACAAACAAAAGTTAGGGCAAGTGTGTTCTGATAAAAATCAAATATAAAATCACACTTTTTTATAACTTGTAGTATTTATTATTGATGAATATAATAAACATCTTTATACTGATAACAAGTACATATGAATTAAGACCAGTAATTATTTGATATAGGAATGTATATTTTTATAGTTATAGTAAGTATGTTATTTCTTACTGAGTCCTTTGTAAACATCAATGTTCAGTGTGTTTCCCAAGAAAATGTAACATATCGAGTTTAAATAAAAATTATATATAAAAATAGATAAATCGCGTTTACAGAGTGAAAGTCTTTACTTTATTCCAAAAGTCTTTATGCATTTTCCAATAACTAGAAAAGACATATATTGCACAAAATGTTAAAGCTATATATATATTTAAAAACTAACTTTTGGGATTGCAAAAATTTTATATTTAAAAGAACAATGTCCTTTTCTCTCCTTTATATCAAAGAAATAATCACGCGAAAATACCACCGCAGCAAGTATGAAATCACATAACCTCTCGACACACTCAAACTTATATCACTCCAAATATTTTATGCAAAGACTTGCTCTTCCATTTGCACTTATTTTATAAGAGTAAAAAGAAAAAGTGTATTATATAAAAATATTTACTTTTACTTAAGAATATAATAATTGTAATATAATTTTTTTGAGTATAATTTACAATTCTATTAAAGGCATGTAAAATACAGAGGGTAAAGTGATGCTGATATAATTCAACAGCTAAAAAAAAAGCATTTTAGAAATTACAGCCGAAAATAAAATATAATTTTTAATTTTCACTTTTTTGAAAATTTAACAACACTAACAAAGTTATATTAAATTCTTAAATTGGCAGTCTTTTGCAGTGAGCATTTGCGGTAACCTTGGTGGTAGACATGCCCTGTCTAAGGTGAGCTTTGATAGAAAGGAATATTGCTTGCGAAACTTGAGTCATGTTGATTTGAAAATTAAAGAGAAAAACAAAGCAAAGCTCTGAATACACTTACCTGATATCTTTATAAGTCACACAGCTACAACGAAGAAACAATAGACTTCACGTATGCATATATTCAAAATAAATAGCATATGCTTAAAGAAAAGAAAAACAACTTCTTTAATTTTTCCCCCATACTGAAGAAAACCGGGCTCTCAATTTTTCATAATAACTTGATATAACTTTCTATTAACACAGTATTTATAGCTGATATTATAGTATTATGTACTTCTTTAACAGACATCTTAGTGTTTCCAAGAACTATATTAAAATAATAAGAATTGCAGAAGATATATAGAAAATAATGAACTTTTTCTTAGCGGAATTCAGTTTTCTAAGCGCACTATATATATGTCAATAATAATATCTTACCATGAAATTAGCCCTTGTTATATAAGTAAAATAGCTTGTTATTCAATTTTTAAAGTTTTCTACATAGTAGAAGCAATAGCCTTGCATCCAGAACATACTACCACACCATAGTTTTTAATGCTATCCAAGCTGACAACAAGATTAGCCACATAAGTTTGAATCAATTATATATATAGTGTCTGAAGATGTTGTTGTCTTGGGTAATGTTATTGTAACTTTACTATCGTTAAATGACCATAAATCACTCTGCAAACTTGATATCATATATATTTATTAAATAAATTACTTGATAAATCTGAGACACCTCGGAGGATATAGTAATTGATAAAAAGCTGTGCTTTATACAATACTTCGTGTAAGAAAGACAATTGCAAGATAATTATGTTGCGAGCACATTGTATATGAACATTATTTGAGATAAAAGAATCGAGAGTAATGAACAGGGTATATCATTGATGAGGGCCAAGATCACTATTTATCAGCTGTGTTAGAGTTATGTTATGGTTTGGGCGTGCAGGACTTCTCTTAGTTGAATGATCTTGAGCTTCATATGACTTACAAGCAATTAGAGCAAGAGCTCTATCTGGGTTATTCGTTCTTGACACACGAGCAGCTTGTTTTTGCTCTCAACTCATTAGGAGTATCTTTGTGCTTGTATCCTAAATAATAAAATAATGATGAACAATAGTCTCTTGCATAATACAGGGTGCACTCCGATAAATGACTCAATTTACTTTTTCTTTTTTTAGAAGTAGAGCTTTCTTCCAGGGGACGTTGATTTTGCTCGTTTAATTTTGGTTGCTTTTTATTTCGAATCAACTATTATGCTGCAGGATATAGAATAGGGCGCATCGTAAGGTAATATTGAAAGGAAATAAATCAAAAAAAGGTGCTCAAGAAGTGAATGAGAGCATATTCAGCAGAGTTAACTTTTAATTTATATAAAGCCAAACATAGTCACTTTTCCTAGCAGTTCAATTTATCCTTTTCTTTAAATAGGGGTACACGTTCAAGTTGTTCGAACAATAGGGAAGTTGCCGAGTACTCGACAATGACTGAGGATGTCGTATTTGCTCTCCAAACCGTGCTTTATGCAGTGTAAATGTTTTGTTATACCCTACTCTTTACACCTTTCCAAGAAGTTCTATCCATATTTTTCTGTGGTAAAGGCCAAGGAAATCTAGTCTAATGACTATTACAAGCAAATAAAACTACCATCTGTTTAAAGCAATATCCTATACCATTGGCGGGCAGCTACCACATTGGAAGAAGTTGGGGAGGAGGAGGAGGCAGCAGCCACTGCGTTATAGAGAACACACAGTTTTGAATTCTTGTCAAGTTTAATTTTTATTTAAAATGAAAAATAAATTACTGGGAGTACCAATTTTAACTAAAATATTTAAATTCAAGATAAAAGTGTAGTTAAAGAGGACTACTGAAGATGCTATTTACATATATATATTTGTATTTTTTGTATGATTATCAAAAGAAAAAAGACAAGCTTAATCGACTGTGATTTTATAATCGATTAACAACTCTGTTAGTACCTTTTAGCAAAATCTCATTTTTACCTTGTCTCAGCTAAATCTCCTTTCTATCCCAAATTTTATTCTTTTGTGTTTCAATTCTCTTTTTTCGTCTGTCCAAAAAACAAAAAACTAACAACGTCTTAATCTCAGGTAGACATATATCCTGGCCACCTGTCCATTGAACGTAAAAACAAAATAAAAAATCCCGAAAAAAAAACATCATATAATCCCACATAACCCTCCAAACAAATAGTTTAACTTCTCATTGTAATACACTCTTTCTGGAAATTATTGGTGCAAAAATAAAAAATTATTTGGCGCAAAAATGGAATCCACCAAATGCACCAAAAAAGATGAATTAAGCAGAGAAATGGTAAAAAATTGCACCACATTTTATCTTTATTTTTGCACTAAATAATTTTTTATTTTTGCACCAATAATTTCCAGAAAGAGTGTAATCAAATTCGAGACTTTTTCAATGAATCTGAGCCTATCAACAGCTCCATACAAACAAAAAAGATCTCAAGTAGAAAAACTGTAACCAAATCATGTGACGTGAATTGTGAGTCTCAGGAACAAAATAAGGTTTTCTCGACCCAAAGATAAATCAGGCTGACCGTAAATGTTCATAAAATTGTTTCAGTACATAAATTTAGAATCATAAGCAATTGACTAGCTCTTTCATTTTACCAAATGGTACCCTATAGCCTAGTATTTCACCATGTTCTTAATAAACTATAACTTTTAAAGATCTCTATGGCCTGTGCACATAACAGACCAGCCATCATTTCTTTGCCCGAGAAATTAAAGATAATCTCTAGATCTTAGATTTGAATAGGAAATAAAAGAAAAAGAAAACACTCTCCCTTTGTTCCCCTTCTGAGTTTTATGTTCTTATGTTCTTTGAACACACACATAGTGTGTGTGTGTGTAAATATCTTCAGCTAGTGACGTCGGGTCGGACTCTGAGACTCTCGAAACGGCGCCACTTCGAAACGGTAGAAGTCCTGAACAGCTTTCAGTAAGACACTTTTTATTCTTGGTTCCCGATACATTTCCAGTAACAAACCAACTCTTCCTCAAATATTATCCACAAAGAATACAATATATAATGGTACGTCTTTTTTTTTCACCGAATATTTCTTTCTTGTCTCTCGAAAACATGTAACTTATTTTATACAAAGGCTGGAGCACTCGAGAACGCACAGAATGAGATGCGCAAAATTAGGGACCACGAACGTGAGTCTGACTTTGGTGCCATTTACTCTGTTTCCGGTCCAGGTGCGTTTTGAATATAAAAAAGAAACTAAAAGAACAATAGCTTGTGATGAATTCAGTCTGAAAGATGACCTTTTGCTTCCGTCGAACAAAACTATAATTATGTTATAACTCACGCGCCTTGGTACTCATAACTATTTTATTAGTCGTTGTGGCCGAGAACATGTATGGTTCTGCCATGTACGAGCTGGTAATATACAATATATAATGTTAGGCGCTTGACAATATTTCTAACATATACGTTTTTTAGGTCCGTGTCGGACATAGTGAACTGGTGGGTGAGGTCATTCGTATCGACGGCGATAAGACTACCATTCAGGTATACGAAGAGACTGGTGGTCTGACTGTGGGCGATCCTGTCTTGAGATCTGGAAAGCCTTTGTCTGTAGAGCTTGGTCCAGGTAATATACTTTCTCTCAACAAAATGAAGATATTGGGGCTTCTTTTGTTTCAAAATAAAGATCAATTGATAGATCGACATGAATTTTTGATTGACATTTTATAATTTCTTTTTAAAAATTTACAGGTCTGATGTCCAACATCTATGATGGTATCCAACGTCCTCTCAAGGCTATTCAGGAAGCCTCTCAGAGCATCTATATTCCCCGTGGTATCGCTACCCCAGCTCTCGACAAGGGCTTTGGTTGGGATTTCGAGCCTCTCAACTTTGAAGTAACTTTATTTTCATTTACAAAAAAAATATTATTATTATCGTTGTTTCTGACGCTCTATTATAGGTTGGAGACCACATCACCGGTGGTGATATCTACGGTAAGGTCTGGGAGAACTCCCTTGTGACCATTCACAACATTATGCTTCCTCCCAAGGCTCGCGGTACAATCACCTACATTGCACCCAAGGGCCAATATACCATTCAAGTTAGTAAATCAATTATACAAGAGTCATAGATTTCGTTGTCTAATATGTATCTTATGTAAGGATGTCGTCCTGGAGACCGAGTTCGAAGGCGAGACTACCGAATATACCATGAAGCAGCTTTGGCCCGTCCGTTCCCCTCGTCCTGTGGCTGAGAAGTTGACTGCAAACCACCCCCTTTTGACTGGTCAGCGTGTGTTGGACTCTCTATTCCCCTGTGTTCAGGGTGGAACCACTGCTATTCCCGGTGCTTTCGGCTGTGGCAAGACTGTAATTTCTCAGTCATTGTCAAAGTACTCCAACTCTGATATAATTATCTACGTCGGCTGTGGTGAGCGTGGTAACGAGATGGCTGAAGTATTGATGGACTTCCCTGAGGTAAGACGAGAATTTTCGTACTTTAGTTTGATTGCATAACTAATTTATTTTATATAATTTCACAGCTTTCTATTGATATCAATGGTCGCAAGGAGTCTATCATGAAGCGTACAACTCTTGTTGCCAACACTTCAAACATGCCCGTAGCTGCACGTGAAGCTTCTATCTACACTGGTATCACTTTGTCCGAGTACTTCCGTGATCAGGGCAAGAACGTTGCCATGATGGCCGATTCCACTTCTCGCTGGGCTGAGGCTCTTCGTGAAATTTCAGGCCGACTTGCAGAGATGCCTGCTGGTAAGACATACACAATGCTTAATACCTTTGAGGATCAACTAACCCATTAATCTTAGATTCCGGCTACCCCGCCTATCTTGGTGCTCGCCTCGCCTCTTTCTACGAGCGTGCTGGTAAGACTACCTGTCTCGGTAACCCCTCCCGTGAGGGCAGTGTTACAGTTGTTGGCGCGTGAGTAAATAATGATAATAATAACAGCCAAATCAAATGTCAAATATAAATAGATGCATATAAGATACGTATCTGATATATAATTTATATTCCATCTAGTGTATCTCCTCCCGGTGGTGATTTCTCTGACCCTGTCACTGCCTCTACCTTGGGTATCGTACAGGTGTTCTGGGGTCTTGATAAGAAGTTGGCCCAGCGCAAGCATTTCCCTTCAGTAAATTGGAGTCTTAGTTACTCAAAGTACATGAAGGTCTTGGAGCCTTTCTACGAACAATCTGACCCAGAGTACATCTCTCTCCGTGACAAATGCAAGGAAATCTTGCAGATGGAAGAAAACTTGTCCGAAATTGTCCAGCTCGTTGGCAAGGTACAAAGTGGATTGATTACGGTTTTTCGTTTAAGAAAAAGAACTTCCCATCGCAAAATATTCCTTCCTAACATTTTTCTTTGATCCATTAGTCCGGTTTGAACGAGAGCGACAAGATTACATTGGATGTTGCTCAGATCATCAAGGACGATTTCTTGCAACAAAACGGTTACAGTAGCTACGATCGCTTCTGTCCTTTCTTCAAGACAACCTGGATGTTGCGTAACTTGATTGGCTTTTACACTCAGGCCACTCACACTGTCGAGGCATCAAACGGCCAGGTTTCGTGGTCTAAGATCCGAGAATCGATGAGCGATATTGTTTACAAGCTTTCTTCAATGAAGTTCGAGGTATGTGTGTGTATGTGTGTATGTGTGTGCGTGTGTGTGCGTGTGTGTGCGTGTTGACTGTTTTATTCAGTTATCCTCCACATAATTATTTTATATATACACATGTATATATTTCTTTGTTTTTTGTTTTTAATTTTTTCTATCTCTCTTTAGGATCCTGCTGATGGTGAGGAGGTTCTCGTTCAGAAGTACTCTGCTCTGTACAAGGAAATCGAGGCCAAGTTCCGTGATTTTGAAGTGTAAATTCTAGCTCCTTTAAGGCTTTTCTTTTTTATCGAGAGAAACAAATCAAAAACATCTGCTTCATAAAGAAATCAAAACCCTTTTTGTTCTTCATGGCCCTTCTTCCTCTAAATCTCGGGGAATCAAAACACAACCGATTCAAAAATCATCCACTCACACTCGTCCCGCCACTTACAACATCACATCTGCTCACGAAAATAATAATAATATATAAAAAAACGTGGGGACCTAAAAATTTTACGTACAAGAAATATTTTCCATTTCTGTTTTCTTCTTGCAGCCAAGCAAAGGTCGCCTAGAGCATCTCCTTCTTTTTATATAGTTTTATAGTGTTTACGTTATTAAATCAGAGACACAGTTTATGATCAACTGTTGAATTCAATCTCAATTCCGTCTTGTTTAATTGGTAAGATGAAGAGGATGATTTGGGATCGAGAGATAATCCAATTGGAAACGCAATCAATGGCGCGATAATCGGATGAACCATCCAAAAATCCATGCTCTCCGAAAAAAAATAAAGAGCTTTCGTTAATGATAACAAGAATGAGCAGACTAACTAAAGCAAGCAATACACCTCTTATATGTATAGCCTTACAAAAGATTGACACAAACACACAGACAAAAAAAAACAACTGCTTAAAGAAAGGAAACGACCCTTTCCATCTCTGACCCACAAACGTTCTTTTGCACTCCTTACCATAAAGTATGGATTATCCGTCAGAATCACACACTGTCTATGGCAGACCCAATGGCTTTCCCCCCTTATCTCCGCGTGGTTCACGGCCTACACCAGCCAATCGCTCAGGACGTGCGATCAAACAGAGAGTAGATTACGGAGAATCTTCAGAAGAAGAGGAATCAGATCAACTGTCAGAAGAAGAGGAATTGGAAGAGGTTAGAACAGCTAGATACTAAAAGCAAGGCTTTAGAAGAAGATAGATGACAATGAAAGATGAAATAAAGAACGAGAAAAAGAGAACGCAAAAAAGAAAAGTCTTACAAATAATCAATTCCTTTAGGATTTTTTATCAGAAGAGCGAGAAGACTCGGAGGAGAGCGAATTCGAGGATAACGAAAGAAGTCGATCGAAGCAGAAGCCCAAGCCGACCAAAAAAAGTCATGCACAGCAGCAAAATAAACACTGGGCATCTGTGGATCAAGAGATCCCCGTCTTTATTCCCATGGGAACAAAGGTAAGATCAAACCATACTATTAACCAGAATCCCAAACGACATTTCTAACGGGACTTTCAATTAAGGTGTTTGAACGAATTCTCGACTATAGAGTAAATGCCGAAACGGGGGAGGGAGAACTCTTGGTGAAGTATAAGGTAAGAAAGAATATCAATGGTTTTTTTTTGCATGTGTGCGTATATATATATATATATATATATATATAGAGAGAGAGAGAGAGAGAGAAAGAGAGAGCTATTTTATTTTTGATATATTGACACTCGATAATAGAACATGAGTTTCCATTCGGCAGAATGGGTTCCATCTTCTGTAATCGAAAATGAACATTTAGGAAAGCACCGTGTAAAAAAGTTTATGCAAAAGTGGTACCTTGATGGACAGAAAGGAGAAGACTTTCGTGAATACTTGAAGGTATGTCGATTGTATTCCTGCAGAGGTTGTACTGCCATTGGAGCGCCGACTAAACCATCCCCGGTCTATAGGTGGACCGTGTCATTGATGAGGGAGAGCTTGCTGATGCAGCTACTGGCCAAGTAGCAGTATACTATCTAGTAAAGTGGAACGGACAACCCTATGACATGTGTACTTGGGAAAGCGAAAGAGATATTAGAAGAGTAAGTCACAAAACCTTATTAGTGTACATATCCTTACAACAATTTTTCTTAGATTGATATGTCCAAAATTGAAGAATTCCAGGCCAGACGTATTATTCCCTCTCAAAAACTAGTAAACCCACCCCCTCGACCAGATATATCAAAGTTTGCTAAATATAATAGCTCTCCAAAGTAAGTATATTTACAAGAAGTGCCCTTCAGTTTGCTAACATAAAGTGTGTCCACAGATATCGATACAATAACGAATTACGTACCTATCAGTTGGAAGGTTTAAACTGGCTGAGATTTTGCTACAATAGTCATCGTTCCTGTATTCTAGCTGATGAGATGGGCTTAGGTAATTTCTCTTTAAAAATGGAGTCGCATATATGTGTTCGGTTACTTCTTTAAGAGGCTCACATTTTGTTTTGGTCATTAGGAAAAACCGTGCAGTCTGTTGCATTTTTAAATGACATGTATCACACACTGGGTATCAGAGGCCCATTTTTGGTTGTGGCACCCCTTTCAAGTAAGTTCTTAATAATAGTCTTCTGGCAGTAAGAAAAAATTATTGTTTTTTCTTTAAATGTATTTCTCACTAATATTTATATAAACTCTGTGCTCGTGTGTACAGCTATTCCTCACTGGGAACGCGCATTTAAGGCCTGGACAGATCTTAACGTAGTAGATTACCGTGGGAGTGTTTTGTCGCGTAACTTGCTGGTCGAAACTGAGTTTTATTACAAAGACATTCAAGGCCGCACAATTCCTAACAGATACAAATTCGATGTTCTTATCACTACATATGAAATGGTAATACCAAACGCTCTACGTTAGCAGTCAAAACAAAACTTGAGATACTAATATTCTTATCTTTAATAAACTTCTCAGGCTATGGCTGGTGTATCACAGCTGCGCCAAGTACCATGGAAATGTGCTGTATTCGACGAGGCTCACAGACTGAAAAACAAGGTAGAATTCACTTAAATTTATTTTTAACATATTTATTTTATGAAATATTAACTCCAATATAAATCTATCTCTCTATTAATTACAAAAATCATCTCAGCAATCCAAAGTATTGGAAATACTGAAGACATTCGATATTGAGCACAAGATATTGCTTACAGGTAATTTATACACGAAGAAATTATTAAGAATGTTCAAAAAAAATGTTGCAGTACTCACAGATATATATATATATATTTCTAAAGGAACACCACTCCAAAACAATCTTGATGAACTTTACAGTTTGCTCCATTTTATGCAACCTGAAGTCTTTAGGTAATGTTCAGTTTCTTGATTTTCTTAAAGATATATATATATATATAAGTGATTTTAACCCAGGAATCTTTAAAGCGATGAGAAACATTTCTTTACAGAATACGGATCATTGCAATCTGCTGCAGAAGTTGAGAAACTACAGGCCCTATTGAAGCCAATTATGTTGAGACGTTTCAAGGAGGATGTCGAAAAGAGTATCCCAGTCAAGGAAGAGACTGTAGTCGAAGTTGAGCTGACAACACCTCAAAAGAAATGGTACAGAGCTGTGTTAGAGAAAAACTTCAGTTTTCTCAAAAAGGGTGCCAAGAGTAAGTTGTTGGATCAAACAAGATAATTCATCACACATATATTCATTCTATGCGGTGTTATTAGCAAATAGAGAAATGCCTCATCTTCGAAATATTATGATGCAGCTTCGTAAGTGCTGTATTCACCCGTACCTTCTTGAAGGTGCAGAGGAAGTTATCGTGTCTGAATCAAATGCAAAGGGACCTGTTGAGCAATTCAACTGCTTGATACAGTCTTCTGGAAAACTGGCAAGTGCTTATTCATTTTTTGGGTAGATTTAAATTAAAAGTGCTAATGCTCATTAAAACTTTTTTAGGTGCTTATCGACAAACTTCTTCGAAAATTAATTCAAGGTAATCACAAGGTATTGATCTTTTCCCAGTTCACCAGGTAAGTTTTCTAAAAAGAATTAAACGAGCTTCAAACACAAATAATATATTAATATTTAACTTGTGGTGCTTAATATAGCTGTCTTGATATTTTGGCCGATTACTTGCGCGGAAGAAGCTACGCATATGAGCGTATTGATGGAAGTGTTCCCGGTGATCAGAGACAGGCTGCTATCGATAGATTTTCTACCCTTCCAATTGAAGACTCTTTTGTATTTTTGCTGTGCACTAGAGCAGGTGGCGTGGGAATCAACTTGACAGTAAGATTAAATATGTAAAGACCAATTGAGCCTTGCACAAATAATTAATTATTTGTGGCTATAGGCTGCAGATACATGTATTATCTTTGACAGTGATTGGAATCCTCAAAACGATCTTCAGGCACAAGCTAGATGTCATCGTATTGGACAAACAAAACCAGTACAGATTTATCGCCTTATTTGCGCAAATACCTACGAGCGGGATATGTTTGATAGGGCTGGTATGAAACTTGGCTTGGATAAAGCTGTTATGTCCAGATCTGGTGTTGCAGGTGACCAAGAAGATGGTGGTCAGGGAAAAAGTGAGATCAGTAAAAAAGAGATCGAAGATTTACTCAAAAAAGGAGCATATGGAGCCATGCTTGATGACGAAGCCAGGTAAAAAGATAGAAGAAAAAGAAAAGAAAAATATTGCTGCTACAATATAAAAGGGTAGTTACTTGGTTGCGGATGTTTTTTATTGATTTCTCTAAAATTTAGCGCCAAGTTTTGTGAAGAAGATATCGACCAGATTCTTGAACGCCGCACCACTATTATACGCCACGAAGGAAACGAAAAGGGATCTGTATTCTCAAAGGCAACCTTTTCTACCACCGAGGATTCTGGAACAGTTGAACTTGATGACCCTGATTTCTGGGAAAAATGGGCTGCCAAGGCCAATATCGATACCACTGAAATGCCGGACGACAATGAGTTGATTGTTTACGAGCCTAGACGTAGACGCCAAGTTCAGCGTTTTGGTAGTAGACTTGCAGACGGTATTTATTCATCGAATGACAACGCAGAAGACTCCGACGCATATGACGATGAAGTAGAAAAAAGTAAAAAGAAAGACCAACCTCGCCTCTGGAGTCTTTCTGAAAAAACAAAATACGAGCGCAAGTTGATGATTTACGGTTATGGTCGATGGGATCTTATGAAAGCACACTTTCCTCGTCGATCTGAAAAAGATCTCAAGGCTGTAACCCGCGCAGTAATGAGACGTGTATTACCTATAATCGAACATAGCAATGAAGAAGAGAAGAAGTTGATAGACGATATTGAATACATTCTAGAAACAGACGCAGCAGAAGAAGTTCCCGGAGACGAGACTGTTCCTTATTCAGGTGCAACAAAAAAGCAAATCACAGAGTTCAGATCCTTCCTTATTCAAGCACCTGCTGATTATCTTGATCATGTTGAGCGTAAAGGTGTGTTGATCACTAATATAATACAGCAATTAACTAATACTATTAAAACTAGGACGCAACTTTTTGCTGAGAATTCAGATGCTTTACATGATCAGAGATAAGATTGTGCCCAAAGACTGGGAAGATGCCAAAGCATTGACGGTTCCAAAGGTTACAGGTGCGTCTAAGTTAATTAATAATATAAATTCTCGATAAAGACTAACTTGATATTCTAGGTCATCCACCCTCTGATTGGTGGGAGCATGACGAGGATCGCGATCTATTGCTCGGTATTTGCAAACATGGCTATCAACAGTGAGTCATTATTTGTAGCTTGTTGAAACCTAGGAATTTTTAATTTTTTATACTCTTATTCGTTTATTGCCACAGGTACCTTGCCATGCGCAATGACCCTGAGTTCTGCTTTTACGGGCGAAAATACGATGATAGTAAGGCTGGTACACTTGAGGATGATGACGCTGCTCCCCTTATTGTCGATACAGACAGTACACCAGTATCTGTATCTGTAGATACTGACGAAAGAATGGACGACACAGAAGACAATGTTAGAGTAAGTTGATAATGATATATATATTGATTAATGACTTTGACACCTAATTTTTCTTTTTTTTCTTTATAAAAAAACATAGGTCTATATGTGGCCTTCAAAAGCTGATATTGGTATGCGTCTGAGAAGAATTATTGCTGCATTTTTGAGAGAACAAGCGAATGACCTTCGAAAGCTCAAGATTATGGAAAAAGAACAAAAGAAAGAACACAACCGCCTTGTGCGTGAGCAAGAAAAAGAATCTCGAAAGGCTGAGAAGCAGCGCGAAAAACTCAATGAGACCTCAAACCGCTGGCCGAAGAAGAGTAGAGCCGACTTTTTGAGAACAATTTTATCCTTTGGTGTCGAGACATACCCAGATGATCGATCAACAATTTGTTGGGACAGATTCAAGGAAATTGCGGGATTAGAGAAGAGAACCGACGAGTCCCTCAACCTTTACTATCAAAAGTTTATTCCTGCTTGCGAAGAGATGATGAAACGACATGAGCAAGAGCAATCAGGCACTGAAAGATCTACAACTGCCAATAGTAATCAAGACCCATCCACATCATCTCCTTCCTCATCGCTCCAAGCACCCAATGCAGAACAGGGAATAGACATATCTGCTGCAAGTCGTGAATCAAGTGCCGAACCTGGAGGAGACTCAAATGCAGACAAAGACGAACAAAATGAAGCAGTCGATCTTGTCCCGTACGATAAAGCGCGCCGTACATTAAAACGTATAGCACAAATGAAGAGAATCCGTGAAGAAGTTATGGTTCACCCAGATATTGACTCTCTTTTGGAAAATGCACGAAAAACATCTGGTCTTCCGAGCTGGTGGGAGGTACCTTTGCACGACAAAGCACTTTTAGAAGGCATATGTAAACACGGCATAGGTCGTCACGACCTTATGGTCGATGACCCTGCTCTTCCCTTTTTCCAAGTCAAACAGCATGTTTTGGATGAGGAAAGTAGAAATCAGCCGGAAAACGACAACTCAACCTCACTCATGGAGAAGATTGGCTGGCCAAAGGATCTTGTGATTGCTCGTCGAATTGAAGCTCTTTGTGAACTTATAACTAAGCCTAAGCCCCCACCAAAGCGCCCCGCATCCAGTAGAAAGCGCAAGAGAGGTGATCCAAAGCCTGTCGCTAGAGCAAATACATCCTCAATGGGAAAGAGCACGAGTATCAAGCTCACCTTACGAGGTCCCCGTGAGAAAGATGGGTACAACAGTGACGTAAGTATATCATCGTCTCCTATGGATATTGAGGATGGTACAGACAGCGGTGAAGATACAGATACTATTTTGCGTGAGGCCACAAAACGCATGCGTAACAAACGTAAAGGCCGGAGTCCAACCAAGCCTTTGAAGTCTCAGGCAGCTAGACACCATGACGAATCTTCAGTAGGATCATATCATCGACATAAGAAAACATTCTTGGCTAGACAACCTTCTTCATCATCATCGACACCAGATACGTGGAGAAACGGTAATATGCGACCTCGTAGTCCGTCCTATTCATCTTCTATGTCATCCGACTCAGATGATCAAGGTGGTCCCTTGAGGAAGTCGGTTGGTTCTTCCAATGACTTGTAATATAAATTCTTTTCTATTTCTTCTAAAGAAAGAAAGAAAGAAAGAAGCGCATTAATGCTATAATGGTTTTTATTTTATTTTATTTGTGTTGTTATTGTTGTTGCTTATATCTGGTATTTGCAGTTTAATTTTACATATAACCTTTCTCTATCCTTTTTCCTTATTCTTTACTTCATTTCGTTTCATTTTATTTTATTCTTTGAAAAGAAGAAGAAAACTCTACACACCAAGCTGATCTTATTTCTAATCAAAATGACAATTTTCAAAACTCTAACCTTGTCAATTAAAGGTAGTGTTAAAAGTCCACCAATACATTCACAACCACAAACGCTTCTCTTACAAACTATTAGATATTTCTTTGATTTCATAATAAAGTATATAGATAAACTCTTACTCAAGCCGAATATTGATATGATATTTAAAATCTTCATGTTCTACCTCGATGTTAAAACAGTGAATGTATTCAGTATCTTGTATGAAATATATTTAAAACACTGTCCTTCTAGGATACAGCCTAAGATCAATCGTCTAGCAAAATAATCTGAACGTTGAATGAGTATAAGAATGAATACGAATATAAATTTATACCACATTAGCCTTAAAGAAAAAAAAAGTTTTATAATATTAGAGACGTTTGTTTAAGCGTATACGTCAAATTACTTCTTTTCACTGTACTTTAGATCTAGCTTGCCCTTAAGTTGCTTTACACAGTCCCTGATTAGCTTAACAAAAAAAAAGACTTTATTTATTTCGAGAATAATTACTCTTTGATAAACATCTAATGCTAGAATTTCTTGCTCATTTTTGATATTTTCCCAAAGTGATCAGATAAGTCTGGTTTGCTAGTTGTACTGGTAAGGGTTACTGCACATGCATTATGGTGCACTCACTAAAACTTTGTTTTCAAAAATCCTCCTCTCCTGGCCGGGGTAGTAGTGCCGAAAGCCTTTAGTTTAATGTCACGGAATCTTGCAATGAGTACATCAGATATCGCTTAAATACATTGATTTTATTTTTTGGCCATCTGTTTCCATGGTCTTTACTCTTCGCTTATTTCCATCTCCAATATCATTGGTTCTCACTTTTTGTGTACATCACACATATTCTCCTTTTTAATTAGACCCAGCCAAACACTCCAATAATAACCAATAAAGAATAGCTTGGTTAATGATTTACTTTAGATGTAATAAATAAAGTGAATAACAAGCCGTATTCTTTTCTATTTTTGATAAGACAAAAAATCAATTAAAAAGTAAAATCACGAATAAAATTAAAGTTGGTTAAGATTCCGCATACGACATGCATATCAAAATGGTGTATTGCGCCATTATATGATCTGGCGCTTAGAGTGACAGCAGATGCCATAAAGGTAACTGACAAGCGCATCTAAAGATACCACCACCACCACCACTGCTAAATAAATACTTCTCACTCATAGGTCGATCACGCTTTATCCTCCCATCAACTATTGTCAATAATCGTTCAAAAGGATTCAATTCAGGCCAATAAAGAGACAAATACACGCATTTGTAACATCAGGTTGGAGTTATGAATAAAGTAATTATCCGTAACGGTGTAATTTCCTTTAAAGACCTCATCACAATCCAGCTTCCCAAAATGCCCGTTCATGAACTTGACAAAATGAGCAGTGTTAGTACCTTTTGGAGCTGGCTTATTATCTGCAGGTTCATCGTTAGTTTCTGGATCCTCCTTATTAATCTTGGTTGCAGCTCTCTTTCTTCCTTTATTAATTTCTTTTTTCCGCCTTTATTTTTGACAGAGTGTCTCTTATGACTACATGAACAGTACTATAGGAGTCAATAGCACATTTAATTTTATGAGTTTGCACTTTAGTTTTTGGTTGCTTTATTATACCACTCCTGTCTTTTATATATATATCTACCCTAAGTATTTATCATACTCATATGAAGACCAACCTCATCAATAGGAATACATTTTTTTGTAAAATCCGAATAAGAGTTTTTTATATCTCATATAGTACTCAAATCTTGTTTGTAGGCTTTCCGTTGTGTTTAACTTCGAGCTCAAGCTTTACTTTTTTCACTGTAATATGCATTGTGTTTTATAAACTGTAATTGAGTTCCAGCCTTGATATAATACAGTTTTCAAAACGTCTAATTAGACTACCTATTATGTCGTCTGAATATAATTTGGGGTCATTATCAAGTAGCTCTTTCATATACTCACTATGCTCAGTAGCGATTGAACTTTTCGGACCACTTTTCTACTCCATATCCTTACATGCGGCCCCTTATGCGTCTTCGTAATACCTCCACTATCTTAACTTAGTGTAATAATTAGTATTTGGATCTCTTGCGGTATTGGTCACTAATCCATGATCTTGAGAATTTTCAAGTGTATGATCTATGAATGAGTCTTTGGTAAGGTCACCATAATTTTTGTATGGTTTTGCTGATAACTTTGGATACACTAGGATTCGACTACTTTTTTAATTGAAGTTTCTTTAGCAATCTTTTTTTGGCCTACTTAATGCTCAAGTAATTTTGTAGAGTAGCTATTGTTTCGAGAGAAATGTTGGGGTCGTCAATATTTGTTAAAGTATTTTCCATGATATTATAAGTCCTTTCTTTTTTTTTTCTCATTGAAGATGGCTATTATTGTGTTATATTTTAAATAGGGAGAAAAACAGCTGAAAAAAATATGCGACAATTAGACACACTATTCCCGCAAATTTTAGTGAACTCGTTGTGATAATTTTTTTTTCGAGCTATTGCCATCATTAATCTTCAAGTCAAGTAAGAAAGGAAGTTTTTGGTGGAGCAAATCGTATTTCTCATTTTGTATCTTTCATGACTGGACAAACAACAAAAACGAATTATTGGTGGTTTAAAAGCGACTTTGGTATATTGGAAAATTAACTTTCGGTCGTGGAGCCACTGTATTAAAACAATTGTATAGTTTCCTTTGCTTTCATTATTTTAAACGGAGATTTACACCAAAAAAACAACAGATTACGTATAAACTTCCCAGGGAGAGAATCTTTCAAAACAAGTAACTTCATCCCGCAATTCAACACAACTATTTTTTATAAATTTACATTTACTTTTTAAACAAATGGCACCAAAGCAATTAAGTGCAAGAGCAAGGCTTATAGCCCTGTCCAACAAAGCTAGCAAAGAGTTTGGCGCGCGCCCTACATTTTGCCTTTCCCATCAAGAAGTGGGTCCAGGATGCTTCATAGGCCAGGTTTCTTTACTAGATCAGCTCATCAAAAGTAAAAAATTGGCATCAAACGCCAAGGCAGCTAGAGAGGAAGTTGCAAAAGAGGCTTTGGAACAATTCGATTCAATTAAAAGAAATTACACGCATAAGGCTAAATCAGAAACTTTGCGGAATGGCTTGAGCTTTGATTCAGGTTCAAACTCGAACTTGAACCGAGGTTCTGGCTCTGGCTCTGGCTCTGGCTCTGGCTCTGGCTCTGGCTCTGGCTCTGGTTCTGGCTTGGGCTCTGGCCCTAGATCAGGCTCAGGCTCAGGTTCAGGCTCAGGCTCAGGCCCAAGCTCATCACAGAAATCTGCTCCTGGTTCTCATCAAAAAAACCAACCTCGCAAGACGACAGCTTCTGGAAATTCTCATGTGCCGGTCCCGTTTGCTCCCAAAACCCGGTCAGAAATTAAAAAAGCTCTTGCACCGACAAAAAAACCGTACACTCCACCACAGAAGGCACCTACACCCAGACCATCTAGCCCGATCCTTTTGAATGCAACTAAAATTCTTCCGGAATGTCAAAAAACTGAACCTATGGATATTGTGAAGGATGAAATTAAGCCAAAAGAAATCGATGACTTGGGAAGAGCTAAGAGAATTTTAACTGAATATCTCAGATTTCAGAACGAACCTACACACATGCAGAAGCCAGCAGTCGTGCTTTTGGACGAGTTAGCTGAAGCAGTTCCATGTGAAAAACCTGTGTACAGTGTTTCTGAGGATTTGACTCCAAACGCCAGATATCTCAGCCCATGCTACTCTTGCATTGTCAAAATGGACAACTTTACAGTCTGCACCGAAGAGTCTATGCCGACCATCTCGTTGGCCAAAGAACAATGTGCGAGCCTATCTCTTCTAATTCTTGCTAAGATTTTATGTCCTCCAGATCTCCATCAATCGTTGATAGAGAACATGGAGAATGAAGCAAGCTACCGAAGATATACATTGACAAACGGTGAACGGTTACTGCTTAATGGTGTCAGTAGGTCCAATATGTCAATTCTCCATGAAGCTCTAGTAAAGCTTGGCTGGTCTATTGAAGAGATGAGCTACATGGAAAGAGGTGGGTGTTATGTATGTCATTTGGACATTGATCGTGACCCAGCCCCTTCCATGCGATCCTCAAGCACAAACTGGTCAGCCACCAAGGTAGAATCTGCAGAGGTGGCTGCTAGAAACTTATTGGATCTGATGGAAGCGGGAAATTTCATTGTAGTCTCTCGTTAAATAAAGAAGAACAAAGCCTTGAAAAAAAAGTCCCGTCTACCACTGTCAAAAATTAAAACAAGCAGATTAGTATTATAAATCAGTGCAACATACATAATAGAACATTCTTGTAGTGGGAGTTAATAAGTAACTAACTAGCTAATGTTTAACTGTTAATCATTGCATATAAACTAAAGAAGATGATAGATAACCCGTGGTTGTCTTAAATTTAACTTTATGAAAGGTTGATGTACTGGATCTGTTACCAAAATTGAATAGTGGCTATTCGCCATACGTCTGCTATATGTCTCCTATGGCATGCTCTATTTTTTATGGACTTTATCAGGGTTTGATAAATATTTGGATGACATAAAGGCTGAGTAAGGATCAGAAGAATTATATTTGCATACTGTCATTTGTCGAATGTGATGGTAGGTATAGACTCTTCAGTGTAGACCGTAAAGTTATCCCTTTCGACAAAAGGAGAGTAATATGGGCTAAGCTGTATACATAGGTTTTATTCTGTAATTTTTTGCACTGTCTTTTTGGCATTTCATACAACATTAAGTATAAAAACAATAAATTAAAAAATAAATGCCATATTAAAAAGGAAAATTCAGTGAGAAACTTAGTGTACCAACTCTTATTGGATAATTTTTTTTGAAAAAATAAATAAAAAAAAACTAAATCCTATGTTTGCATCACATTTAAGTGAAATTAAATTGTGCGCAGAATAAGGAAAATTAATGGCGTGCAATCTAATTCAATGAATTCAACTACTATAAAACATCATTTTGCCCTTCAAGATAGCTGTAATGCATCTTCTGAAAGTCTATTACTGTGCTGTCAAGATACATTATTTATGAATGGCAGTAAAGGAATACTGCATGCTATACTTAATGGCGTTGTGATTCAGGTACATTGGTGTTCAATGTTTCCAACATGTCTATAGCAAATATTTTAGTCGCTTTCTCACGTCTACTGCTATTCCTAATAATAAACCAATAATGCTCAAGACATGGAATCTTGGCAATAATGTCAAACAACTTGTCGCTTGTCCAGAATCCAATAATGGTCAGCGGGTTTGTATATTAGCAAGGACCGAGACCCAAGTGTGGCACCTAACTCTCGCCAAAACAATATTAATGGGCGAGTAAGCATCTATTTCAATTCAAAAAATACCAAATAGAAAAAAAAAAGAATAGTAAATGTTCGTTGGATACTTGCTTGAATTTTCTCTCTCTGTGTATATGTGCTCTATGTAAATAAACGTAATTATATCTTAGTTCTCAGCAAGCAACAAAAAGACCACGTCTAGAAAAACCGAAAGGTTCTACTGTTCTTTTATGCAATGCAAGTTTTATGCACAGATACTTTGTATACATTGAATACTCACCACACTGATTGGAAACAGGATAAGCTGCGTTATATATGTCCCACAGATTCACCCAACTTTGGGTTTTATTGCCTTCTCCAAGGAAATACCATTATATTCTACGATTTAAAAACAAAACAAAAGAAAGAAAAGAGTTATGCCTTGTGGAACTCTACAATTTCTTGTAAAATCACGACAGGCTGCCTTGGTAAATGTCTTTTTATACTTGTACTCAACATCGCAACAGCAAAAGTGTATTGAACTGTGCTTTTCTCAGTAAACCTTTTTCCACAGGCACATTTTCGACTAGATGAGCATATTTCATCTTTCTTTGATATTTCAGGGCAAGTATATACATGGCACACTAGCTGCATATTAATTAATTATATATAAAAATTACTGATTTTTAAACGAACAAAATCATTTTTCTTCATTTTATCCAACAGCCAAGAAAGTATAATATTTGGGTTAGACGACGGATCGATTTATTCAAGAGACTTAAGCACAGCGTCTACTCAAGATCATTTAATATCCAAGATAAAAGTAAGGACTTTTCTTCGAACCGAAATACTCAATGACTTGAATATAATTACATTTTTATTAAAAAGAAGAAAAACGTTACACTTCATCATTATGTAGGGATCAGGTCACTTGGAATCAATACATTTATTAAAATTAGCTGTATCGAAGCATAACAATGATAAAATAATGGTGTATGATACTATGGTACTTATCAGGTAATTCGAGATGTGGTGAAAATCAATACGATTTTAATAATTATATTCTTAGATCTGAAAACACAATGCAAGTATATTCAAGCATAGTAAAAAAAGAGAAGCAAACTGTCTCCTTTCAAGAATTTCTATTGCCTTCTCCAGTTGTACACTCAGTGTCTTTTCGGGTAAGAAGTTTTAAATATTTTAATCCAAAATTTCCAAATCCGTCCCTAAAATACGAAAAATATTGCTGTTTATTTCGAATAGGATGAGTCTGTATTATATGTAGGGAAGAATGGAAGAATATATTATATCAGTTTTTTGCCAAAGTACCAAGGTATTCACTATCACATTTGCGTTTTCTTAATTTTGTTTCTGTAATTAACTACTATTTCTATTATTATCGAAAGATAAAAAACATGAATCAATTGTCAGTATAGACATTATTGTTTCTCCTTTAAAAAAATTAGAGGATGTATCTCGTATCTGCACAGTGGATACTTCACAATATAATAAAATTGTTATTGCAGCTCTCCAAAAGAATAGAACCTTGACAGTTGCCGAAATAGACTCTAGGTATTTATATTACGTATATATATATATAATGCTTTATTATGTCTAGCTTGTGTATCCTCATTTGATCCGTTAGCTCTTCCGAAAAATTACAATCAGAGCAAAGTGATTTGAGAGAATCTATACGACAAATTCTCAAAGAACTCTCAGAGTGTGAAAATTTAGCTAAAGAAATGGACGAGGAACATCAGGTAAGATACATTTTAGAGGGCTCGAATAAGAGAGAACTTGCTTTTCTTATTAGTTGTTTTTTTTATTTGTGCTCATATCCACTTTTATATAGGCTGTCAATGAAAAGTTAAAAGATATCAATTCCACATTATTTTCACTTCAAAGTATAAAGCAACACAAAGAAACTTCTGAAGCATTCAAGTGTGAAATTAGACCAATTCTTATTTCTCGTCCAGTAAAAGAGATGATGTTTTCTGATATGGCACTCCGTGTTCGTATAAACGTTCCACTGTCAATGAATTGGAAAAAATGGCAACGTAAGAAAAAATATTTTGGTTAGTATAGTATAACTTATCTTATATTGTATAGTACATATTAGCCTCAATGATCAAAAGCCTTTGTCTCAAGAAATGATTTCAATTGAAAGAGGGCTTCAAGGGTCTGTACAAGGAAAAACGTTGACTACGCCTCTTCTTGGCCTCGACAAGCTGCGCAAATGGTAAATATATAGGTATTTAATTTCAATATATTTCTATAACCGGTTTTTTAGGGAACATGACATACCATTGCCCACAAATACATTACAATTTCCATTGGAAGTAACAGCGAGTCTTTCATATTCACCTATGGAACAATTCCTTCCAACCGAAAAGCGTATTGAGAATCTATATAGTAATAATGGTAAGTAGTGCGGCTAAAGCTATATATAATTGCTTACGTATTTATTTATTTTTATAAAAAAACTGTATGTTTATAAAGAATCCCCAGTGGTCTTTTCTGTATATCAAATGACAATCGATGACTTGCATTTTGCTGTCCCATGTAGCTCTGAAATGATTTCGAGTATAAAGTCCTTTGGTCTTTGGTCAGTCACTGAGCGACTGCAACCAGTTTATTTTAACCATTGTCTTATGGATAAATCTGGAAACTCTTTGGTTACAAGACTAGATACTCACTGTTTACGTTCCAATGACAAGGAGGTAAAGTATTTCCTATCGGTTCTTTATTTGCTTTAAATAGTGCAAAGAGAAATTTATCTTTAAATTATATTTATTTGGATGTTAGAGCACGACGGAAGAACAAAAACGCCCCAAACTTATTGAGGACACCACCGAAATTCATTTCAAGGTTATTGCAAAAGATAAAGAGCAATCTAATTTTGTTTATTGCAAAATACTCTATTGTTTACTACAAGAAGGCAGAACAGAGTAAGTTCTCACTCTCACAACAGAAATTTATACTGAACTTGTCGAATACCTACCAATATATTCGTTATCCCGCTTATTTGCTGTAGAACAATCTTAAATGAAATGCTTTGCGGAGCAGAAAAGGCACTTTTTACGCTTGCCTCGCATTCTAGCTTTCCAGTCGAACTTAGCCTATCCAAAAGTAAGAAAAACCTTACTACTCCCATTTTATATCCTCTAATACTTGTGGAAAATAGAGTCAACCGTAATAAACCACGGCCTCGATGTCACCCTGAAAATAAAATGTTACAATAGTTATGTCTTATTTAAAGTAGAGGCAGCTCTCCTAGCAAGAATCTCTGATCGTTTGGTAGACCCCATCAATGCCCCTCCGAACAAAGGTAAGAATCTCGTTTAAATATTGTTCTGACAATTAAGTACACAAACATATATATTTATATCTCTTTGAAGAATTTCAAGAAGATATGGCTACTTTTTCCAAGCTACACCGCACGCTTTTGGCTTCTTACACCAAGCTAGAAAGTGAGTTCCAAAAAAGTTCCAGTGACAAAGATATTTGGGATGCCCTGCTGGTTTCTCTTCGGCACATGCGAGAAATACATAATGTAAAACCCATTTGCTGGGTGTCTTTCTAACCGCTGGAAATTTATTTTGCAAAAAAGAAAATTGCAAATTGTTTTTTGGATTGTTTTATATATTCCAATTACAATAAATAAAGAATGTATTCTATGTAACACTACGATATATGGTGTCTCATACCTCCCGTATATATGTCTAATATAAAGATACTGTGTGGAAAAGAGAACTCTAAGTTCCAAAAAAAAGGAAGAAAAAAGAGCCAATCTTTTCTTTCAATGGGTTCAGGAAGTTTTCTTGGGTGCAGATGACTCTGCACTAGGCGATTCCGTAGAATGTGTGCTATTTCTGGCTGTCTTTGTGCTCATGTCAGCAAATCCAAGGTTGTCCATGTTATCTTTGTCCATCAGCCCCCTAACATTATGGCACTTGTTAAGCACATTTACTCATCAATGATTTTAATCCCTATTTCTTATTTACTTGTCCATACGACATTGAAGATATGCCTTTGAAAATTCTCGACAGGCACCATTGTTGTTCTTGTTGACTCTCATGCACTTGACGTAGTTCTTCATAAAGTCTTTACATTCGCCTGTATCTTAGGAGTGAGCCGAAATGTTGTATAAACTAAAGATATATAATAAGCATACCGTCATGGTCTACCGGGAAACTTCCAAGAAGTGGAGGTGCCCCTGAAAATGACTCAACGTTGGGTGGTCTTCCGAAACTCATGATGTTTATGCGTGTAATCGCAAGGCTTGACGGATAATCCCAGACCATGCTTATTTTCCAGCCTGGCTTTGAGACCCGACTAACAAGCCACCACCATTATTATAACTTCTATTTCATAAATTAAATAAGTTTATTTGGAAATCACAAAAGCATTATCAAGCAGCCATAAATAACAGTGGGTTGTTGGGGATTAAACATGAATTTTAAGTTAATTGAACTGTACATTTATATACACATATATATGTATATATTTCATAATAAATATAAGAAGAAAACCATTATTCTTCATTCGCCAGAGACTCTGGCTGTCCCCTCCCTTCCCTTCCCTTCCTTATTATAATATATACCACTCGCGAATAGATGATAAAGAATAGTATTATAGCAATAGCAAGCTTTTATTTAAAATTTTCGTCTCAATAAAGAATTGATGGTAACACAGCCAGAGTCTCTGGCGAATGAAGAATAATAGGTATAGGCCTTCGGCCTTCGGCCTCGGCCAACAATACCATTATCAGATCAAGCTTGATTTGGCTTTAGTAGCACCTAACACAGCGAGACTGTCAGCCTTTTCATTGCCCGGTTCTCCACTGTGGCCAGCAACGTAGACAAGCTTGGTTTCTCCTTGGCGTTTGTCTCGTGCTTCAAGGATTCTTTCAAAGAGATCTTTATTTTCAACCTTTTTCCCATTGGAAGAGATCCACCCTTGTTTGACCCACTTCTTGCTCCATTCATTTACTGCTTTTATGACGTATTGTGAGTCTGTTCTGATTTCTAGAGTGCCGCTGTCATACTCGGCCTGTTTGAGTGCTTCAAGAACAGCCGTGGCTTCTGCGCGCTGGTTGGTTTGTCGATCTCCTGAAAGACGGTTACTGATATTTCTTGGGTGATTATTGCCCCAATACACGCCATAGCCTGCTCGTGCCCATTTTGTTCCATTAGAGGATGAAGCGCCGTCAGTATAAACTACTTTATTTGTGCTATTAAAGACATCTTGGTCTTGAAGACGTGATTGTTCCAAAGGTTCATTCTTATAGAGAGATTCGAGGGAAATTGTTTTTTGAACTTTATTATACGAGTACACGGATTGACTATCTGACTGGATTTTTCTCTGATCAGCTTTAGAGTCGTTTTTATTATAAGGTGCAGACTTTGAATATAGAGGACGGGGTTGAGTGTAAGACTGAAAAGATCCTCCACCGTTGACAAAGGCTTCTGCCTCAGCTACACTATCAAATTTTTTATGTTGTGCACCAGAAAAGCCTTCTACTTGTCTTTTGCACTCATCCCAAGAGCTAAATACACCAGTTCTGCGGCCCTTCTTAACTGCATAGTAACCTTTTTGTTTAGGCATAAACGTAGTAAAAAGTCGGGAAATAATATTGAAAATATGGATGAGAGAAAGATAAAAATAAATAAATAAATCCAGTTAAATTGATTTAAAAATTATATATGTAAAATATAAAATATATATCACGTGATACACTCTTTTCTGAGTGTAAAACGGTTACAGAATCTCGTCAAATGTTTCAAAATGTCATGGTGAGATAGGTTGGCTTTGTTATCTATCTCTTGTGAACCCCATAAAATCCCAAATATACAGATGTTTTCAAATTAGTTTTACAAGGGCAAACCATACATAATGTACTGTTTTTTTCCACTACTCTTACAAGGGGCATGTGTGTTTGCTCTTTAAAAATATTTGTTAACTACTTTATTCATTGTATACACGATCCCCTTGGTGAGAAAGTTTTGATAGAGTTTCACTTGGGTGCATAATAAGTCCAATCGTTACAAATGATCAGTGTAACACACAAGCGGTTAATCAAAACCAGTTATTCTCCTTGCCCTCAGGAACGTTTTTATTTTAGCTATTTTTCATCTCTTCTTCTCCCATCTCCTTATAAATATGTGTGATCCAGTATTTCCGTACAGCAAGAAAAGGATATCCACCAGTTATCATTGTCGCAGAGTAGGCAAACTACTTCAAACGAACCCTAATGAAAGGGCGGTTATATACCATCGTGGCGGCCAGGGAGCTGTGAGAGACGACACAGATGTAGAAGTGGATTTCAGACAGGAAAGCTACTTTTTTTATCTTTCAGGTAAGCTACTTTATTTCTTTATTATGTTGGACGAAAAGAAAGCCATGTTCCTGAAAAGTTTTGTGTAGGTGTGGAGCATCCAGGCTTTCATATCCTCGTCGACCTGTACAACGACACTATATATCTCATTCCTCCTACCGTGCCGGATACTGAGATTTTGTGGAAGGGTGAGCCTGACACCGCCAAGGAACTACTAGAGATATATGACGCAGATAAGGTCATAGCAGAGGCCGATGTACCTGCCCTTCTTCAAGTATTGTGCCCTCAAGTAGTCTATGTCTTGGACACAGTCGACACTTCGATTATAAAAGCAGCCGGTATACATGAATGCCAATTAGACAAGGTCTGCCTGAGAGTAGCCATGGATGAGTCTCGATTAATAAAGTTTCCGTGGGAAATTGAGCATATTCGATACGCTGCCCAAATCTCCTCTCATGCTCACATGGCTTTGATGCAACGTGCTCAAGCAGGACAACCAGAGTCATATTGTGAGGCTCTGTTCAGATGGGTGTGTGCAAGGAATGGAATGCCGCGCCAGTGTTATATCCCTATCATTGCTTCTGGATCGCGTGCAGCTACTTTGCATTATACTCGTAATGACAAGACCCTTCCTGAAGGTGAGCATGCAATGCTACTCGTCGATGCAGGTGGAGAGCGTTTTTGCTACGGTAGCGATGTCACTCGCACATTTCCTATATCCGGTCGGTTTTCTTCCGAAGCAAAGACTATTTATGAGATTGTACTGAAAATGCAAGAGGTAACAACAATATTGCTTGGTGTTTATTTATTATCATTATTAATTTATTTATTTTTGTGATTTGTTATATAGACTATATTGTCTCAGTTAAAGCCAGGTGCAATGTGGGCTGGTCTACACAACCTAGGTGTGTATATACTATGCCAAGAGCTTATTCGAATCGGTATCCTCGTAGGTGGGACTCATGAAGAGCTCTTGCACCTTGGTCTTCCCAGAGCATTTTACTTTCACGGTAAGTTTTGTTTGATAAATAAAATGCTACTTTAAATATTAGTTAAACTTATGTTTTTTTTGTTTGTTTTTAGGTACTGGTCATTCTGTCGGTTTAGATGTTCATGATGTAGGAGGGTAAGTTAAAAAAAATCAAGTAAACCGTTGTATCTTGTTAGTAACTATCGAGCTAATTTATTGGATACACTAGTCGCACCGCAGGTGTATTGACCAACAGCTATCATGAGCGAAAGATTCAGTCTCAAATGTTGATCAGTCGTCCATTGAAGAAGAACATGGTACTCACAGTAGAACCTGGCCTTTACTTTAATCCGACTAGCATTGCGATGTGGACACAAAAACCAGGATATGCAAAGTACTTTAACATGGACATGATTAACAAGTACATGCCAGTCGGAGGAGTAAGAATCGAAGACACTGTGGTATTAACTGAAGATGGGTATGACAATCTTACAATTGCACCAAAGACAGTAAACGACATTGAGGCTCTCATGGCTTGTCGTGCCCAGTCTTATATGGATTCCATGCCCTGATAACCTATATTTACGTTCTGTGACTCCTACAATCAGCCTATTTTTTATAATAAAATACAAACCTTGTTTAGTTTAAACCCTTGCCTTTAACAATACACACACACATAATATATAAACATATCTATATATATATATATAAGTTTAGTATGGCTTTTGCTGCTCGTACCCTCAGACTATGCCTTGCACGTAGCAGTGCAACAATGCCTTTAACTGCTCGCCTTCAAACCCCTTTGGCCATGCGCATCACTTCAACCTCATTACCAGCAGCTCAATCCATTTCGTTTATGGCCATGCGTGGATATGCCAAAAAAGCTGGTGGAAAGAAGAAGGGCAATGCTGTTGAGAAGGAAGACGATGCCGATGTCCCTCTTTTGTTTGACCAGAAACAAATTGACGAGCGTATGAGCAACGCAAATTCCAGCTTGAAAGAACAACTCACTACCATTCGTGTTGGACGTGCTAATCCAGGTAATGTATAAAAAAATCATATATTATTATTATTATTATTATTATTATTATTATTTGAAACAAATACAACACCCTAATATATAAATATATAAATATACAGCTATGCTCGACAGTGTCCGTGTCCGAATTGAGACTGAAAGCTACAATTTGCGCGACTTGGCGCAAGTAACGATCCGTGATCCACAGACACTTGTTGTTACTGTACATGATACAGACGTAAGTAAGCGCTTTGTTTATACTACTAAAATTATGTCGGCTGATATAAGATTATAGTATCTCTCAGCAGTTGAAAAGAGTATCCGAGAGTCTGGGTTGAATCTTAATCCTCTTGTGGATAATAAAATCCTTCGTGTTCCCATCCCAAAGTATAATCATAATTTTTATTTCATTTGCTACGAAAGAAGAAGAAAAAGAGTGGATATATCTTTGTGTGTGCATGTGTGTTAGTTAATTAATTATGCATTTATTTCTAGGCCAACAAAGGAAAGTCGCGATAAGATGGCAAAGTTGGTAGTCCAGGCAGGAGAACAAGCAAAGGCCAAGATTAGATCCTTACGCCAGGATGGTATGAAGCAATTAAAGCAGGATTCCAAGTCACAGTCTTCAGATGATACCAAGAAGTTGGAGAAACTGGTAAGTTAACGTCTAAAGATATATATATACATATATATATATAGTGTGTGTGTGTGTGTGTGTCTTTGTGGAGGTAATACAAGGTTATATCTAATACACTATATAATATATATATAGGTCCAGACTTTAACAGACAAATACAACAAGTCTATCGATGAATTAATCAAAGCAAAGGTCAAAGACATCCAATCATAAGCGTCATGAATATATTCTAGATAGACATTTCTTCAGCGCTCATATCAAATCGGTGGTTCAATATTATAACGTGGTTGGAGTGTATGGAGGGAGGGATTTTTTTTTTGAAAAAGGAAAACTAAGGGGGTATATTTCAAATCTTGGCTTGGATTCAAACTGATTACACGCCCAAATCTTTAAAGATAATGCAGGCCAGCCTTTAGATCTTCAGCTTTTTCTTTGATAAGCTTAAATATAATAACATTGATAATAATCAAGGAGGGAAGGTTATATATATATATTGTATATATTGTATATTGTATATTAATTTAATAGCTTTACAACGTATATTAACTTTATTAGTTTCTTGTCCTCCGCTAATAAAATCTCATACTGAATATTGTCCTTAATGGGGGTACTCAGCCAGGTTGATCGCTCAAATTTTAAATTCAGAACGCGATATTATTGGACTAAAATTGTAATAGCGACGATCAAAATTTGATCGAAAACGTACGGCTCTCTGATTGGCTGAATCCTTACTTTTTTATATGCAATACGATACTGTTTTTATCTTTCTCCTTAATAAATCATAGAATTTACTGTCAACAAAGTCATGTAACACTTCTTTCACTCCGTATAATATGCCAAAATACAGTGCAAAGCAACAAACAGTTGCTGCCTTAAAGAAATCGCGTAAAATCAGAAAATTTGTAGCGAAGGAAAAAAAAAGTCTGGTACAATCTTTATCAACAAGCGCAGATGAGCTGTTGAAAAATATTTCAGAAGTCCTTGAAGAGGAAGTTGATGCAGAGTTGGAGAAGATAGCTGTTGTGGAGGATCTTGAGCAGAACCTTCAAGCCAACAGATACTTACACAAGGGTGGCAATACATTGCCAAAGCTTAAATCAAAGGAAGAAAAACTTGCTTTCCTCGAAGACTTAGATGCAGATGGGTTCAAAGAAGAAATCAGAATGTCCAAAAGCTCGTTTAATAAGCTGTACGAGATAATCAAAGACCATTCTTTATATAAGTCACCGAAAGAACATAAGCAGACTGATGTAAAGCTTCAATTAGCTTTGGTCTTGGAGAGACTAGGCTCAGACGGGAATGCTGTATCCTATAGCAGGCTTGCACGAAGATCTGGTGTTGGAGGTAAGCGTCTTTTAGTAAACTGACTTCCGTTAATCTATATAAACATATAATTAATCCATTGAACTAATTATTTTAAGCTTATTAGAGGGCAGTGTCTTAAACTTCACAGTTCGTTTCTTCAAGGTAATGCTATCAATGGAAAACATGTACGTTTTTTGGCCGTCAGAACTCGAGAAGACAGCAACGATAATCCCAAGCAATGAGAAACCATTCGGATTTCCTGATCTTGTTGGGTTTTTGGATGGGTGTCTGTTTAACTTGCAGCATACACCATCGTGGAAAAAGCCAGAATTCTTTGGTCGTAAGCGCACATACTGTGTAAACACTCTTGGGGTATGCGACCATCAAAAGAAGATTCGTTATCTCTCTTGCGGATACTTCGGAAGCATGAACGATGCCAGGGTGTTTGAAGAATCGACCATGGGTAGCGACCCCAATAACTTCTTCTCTGGTGACCAGTATGTTTTAGCCGATGCTAGTTACATTCCCAAGACGTACGTTGTCCCTGTCATAAAGAAGCCAAAAAACAAGGAATTGTGTGATGCGGACAAAGCGTTCAATTCATACATAGCAATGATGAGGATAAAAATTGAGCATGCATTTGGGATCCTCAAAGCAAGATTCTGCTCTTTGAAGCGACTCCCAATTAAGATAAGAAGTCGAAAAGACATGAACATGGTCAATTCTTGGATCAGAGTTTGTGTCGTTCTCCATAACTTTTTGATCGACCAGACAGATGACATGATGACAATGACGATGAAGATTTCATGGGAGAAAAGAGAAAAAGAAGAGATCGAAAGGATCAGCAGAGAAGGTGTGACTGGCACTGTAGATGACTATCCAGCAATGTCATTGTCAGATGAGAATGCTAAGCTCAAACGTATCCGTATCAAAGAAGAGATACTCATAAAAAACGGAGATGGGAGCCTTCTTAAAAAAAAGTAAAAAATAAAGAAATAAATTATCTCAAAAGTAGAAATGATGTATAACAGGTATTCTATGATAGTTGCTGTCATTATTAAATTGATAGTCTTTAACTACCATACGTTTTATTGTAAACGTCGTCAGTTTGCTCTTGCACTTTTTCATCTGACCAGTTTTGCCCTTTGGCCAATTCTGCAACTGCTTTCATCATGTTTTCGAATTTTCTGTGTATAAATTCGCGTTCTCGCTTAATGTGAAGATCGTCCTTAAGAACTTCTAGCTTTTCCCTATAAAGCCGTTCTATTTTTGCCTCTGGGGACACAGAAGACTCATTAAGTTGTCTCGTCACCTCTTCTGCCAACTCTTTATATTCGACGTCTACTCTTCTGCGTTTTCTAGAAGAGCTTGACTTAGGAGGAGGGGAGCAGAGTACAGACATGTTATCATTTTGGCTGTCATATTCCTCATTGTTGCTGCTATGACTGTTTTCAGCTGATTCTTCGTCCGTGTTGTCATCATCGCCATTGCTTTGCTCGCCGTCCTCGTCATGTATCCATTCCATTGGCTTTGTGGTATCACAAACCGCTGGAGAACCAGTCTTTCTATTGCTCATAACCTTTTCCATCTGAAAGAAAGCAGGGCAGATTTGATTCAATTCAGCTATTGTTATACAAATTACATTAAAACAAAGAGATCTAGAATTGGTATTATATAGATAGTATCAACTTACACTCTAAGCCTTCTTTTTCACTGGTAGAGCCTTCGTCGTTAGAATTATTTTTAATACTATTCTTCCAAACACGATAGGCTTCTCCATATTGTTTTGTCAAAAGATTGTTGAGCCTCGACTTTATTTGGGCTGTAGTTCGATAAACCCCTTGCTCCTGAAAATACTGGTTGCATTTATTCAGTATTGTAACCTTTGACGACTTGAACGTTCGTCCTTCCTTGTCACCGCCAAGATACATATTGAGGTTTTCTCCGCCGTTCATCAACATGAATTGCTGAAGTCTCTCCATAGAAGTCAGACCATCTTTACCACCATCATGTTTGTACCATGTCTTATATTCGTTTTTGATAGCATGGTTATCTTCAGTGGATAAAGATATTTCGCTGTTAGAATTAGACATGTTTTTTTTTCGTAATAAGGTGTGAAGCAAAATAAAGGTGCAGGTGGGAAGAAAGATGTCAATTGTATGTTTCCTAGATTATATAGCAATTTTTTTTGCATAATCTTTTATTAAATGACGTATAATCTTGGCATATGAATGTCATTAAAATTTTGGTCAAAATTTGATCGAAATTTGATCGAAATTTGATCTTTTGCCTTTTGGTGTCCTCAACTACAAATTGACATCATTGGCTAAGATTCACACAAGAATTTGAGCGATCAACCTGGCTGAGTACCCCCAATATATATATATATGAAAAAGATTTTCATCTCTCTCATCCAATGGCAACATCTAAATTGTCTTTCGAAATTCTTACATTCATTGCGAATTTGCTCTCGTTAAATGACAAACTTAACTGCATAACTGTTTGTAAAGCATGGCAAACACCTTTTCAGGAATCGCTTTGGCGAGTCATCTGCATAAGGAACAAGAGAAGACTGGAAACTATTTGCAACAAATCTAACAAGACTCAAAAAAATTATGAAATAAATGGATACCGGGTACGAAAATTGAGCTTGCAAACATTTCTTGGTACCAGCGACAATCAACTACACCAGCTTCAACAGACTTTCCCTTACATTGAGTATCTTCACATGCCCGAGAAATGTATGAGTGAAGAAATTGGAACCACGGCCGACTGGACAATCTGGCGATCATTAAAGTGCCTAGAAATCTACACTACAGGACTTTATTTTGCCGACAATACAGATGAATTCATCAGTATTTTGTCTTACTTGCCTAATCTTAGACGATTGGATGTGCTTGGAGAAAAAGACGCTAGAAAATTACTTTACAGACAAAAGGATTTCGAAAATCTACATTCCCACTTACCCAGACTTGACTATCTGTCAATGAACTCAACTCTAGAGGCTCTTTGCACTGAAGATCTAGTTGAAACTCCAAAAATTATGCCAGCAAAACACTTGACGGTGCTCAAGCTCTGTGTGGATGATATGAGCCCGCAATGGATGTACTACTTTGCTCACAAATACCAAAATATTCGACAATTAGAATTCAACATCAACACTGAACTTTACATGCCAAACTGCTTTCGAGATGAGGCAACTATTATGCTATTCAAACTTCGTTCTGTATTCTCTCACCTCAGAAATGTCTCATTGACCGGAAGATCGGGTACAGAATGGTCGCAAATTACATTCTGGGAACTTCTTGGTCTGTCAGGAGTACCTATCAAATATCTGAATTGTGATTTAGGCTCTTATAGCTACATGCCGAACCTGTTAGAAAGAGCAGTTGTTGGAAGTATACGTTCTTGTTAAGCAACCATCGAGAAACTTCGCCTCTCGAGTTGTATCAGCTTCAATGAACCCTGCAGACTTCCTAGCATTATCAGCCTCTGCCTTAACCTGGTAGATTTAGATATATGCTCGTACGATACACACATCGCAATTGATACTCTATTGGACAATTGCAGGTTTCTAACAAAGTTGGTTATGGATACTCGAACGATTTTACTGAATCCAAATACACCTGCCACGCCTTTGACCCATATATTGGAATCAATTGAAATCAGAGTAGCCTGGACTAGTAGACAAATATTTAGCTACCTATCATCTCGGTGCAGAAAATTAAAAGAGATGCGGCTGACTGGTATTTCTATACACGGTTTAGTCTCCCACGAGACAGGATGTTATTATCTGGATATGCCTTACACCAGGTTTGAGCTACTGCAGCTGAATAGTGTATTATTTTATTCGTCTGAAGCATCGATTCTCAATGATAATCTTGTCAATCTGTTTGTTATCGAACAAGCAAACCCCACCCAGAGCACATTGACTCATGAATCTATCTTATTCGATAATAATCTCTTTCCAAAAGGTACCAACTCTAAATGGTTTCACATGCAGCCGGGTCCAAATCGATATTTCCCGGAAGGAATACCATATGAGTTACAACAAAACGAAGTGGATCAGGCTAGACAGTACTTTAAGTCTTACCATCTCGTGTATGGGCAGCCGATTTACAAACGCAAACTGGCTTTATATAAACCAGGTCAAATATCAAGTCAATATTGGAAGAATGATCTTTGGAGAGGCCATGCTACACTACGATGCGAATACATACACAGATATTTTATAAGTATTTTTGGTTCTAGAGAATCCATCGCGCAGTTAAAGCTACACGAATCAAGCTAATATGATAGAAGAGGAAGAAAGAAAGAGATAAAGAGATAGAAAGAAAGAAAGAAAAAAAAAGGGGGGGATGATGATTTCGATAATGATATCATATGCAATTTAAGAGGCAATTTCAAAGGACATTCTAGAAAACGCTTTTCGAATATATTTTCTTTTTCTTTTTATCTTTTACTTTTATGGAAAATCATCTATTTTCACTCTCTTGTGAAGATGTAAGGTTCTATTTAGACATCATTATATACATATATATATATATATATATATTACTGGATAATGGGATATCATAAATGTATTTTGTACGATTAATAGTTATAGACTACTTTTATAGCGAAATTTTATTAATTTGTGCTTAAATTTCAGGAGAAATGCTATGAAGAAACCGTCATTTTTAGTTATTGCAATTGAGCCTTGTCGACACGATGTGTTTATAAAACAATCAAATATCCTGATTAATAGCAAGAAATTAGGACATAGAGCTCTAAAGAACGTAGGTATTATTTTGATTCAAATCGAAGAGTACTTTATCAAAAGAAGTTGAAGGAAAGAAGAGGCGTTAAGCAAACAGCCAACTCGGTTTGTCCCAATAAACCACTGAGGAAAATTAATAAACATATATTGCACAATATAGAAACTCTTCTCTTGTTTTATGGCTTTGAGTTTTCCAAATTCAACCACAATGTCTACTAAAAAGGTGGACAAAGAAGCGATGCCAATATGAAGAAGAAAAACTTGATAAATAGAGTAAGGAAATGGCAATAATACAGGAAAACAACAAAAGACAATAATGGGCTGAATTGGACACATAATCAAGATAGAGAAAAAACGAAGGCTCAAGGATGGCGCAGGAAGATTTTCAAAAAAAAAAAGCCTCGATCAATATCGTTGATTGTCTTTGGGGAATAGAATGGAGAGAGAGAGAAAAGACTCTACCCCCAATAAAAAAAATGGCGTCTAGTACAACTTTCGCTTCTATGCCACAAAATCAAAGTAAAAGCCAAGCCATTGAAGTCAGCAATAATATACATCAAGAAATATTGCACAAGAAAACTAAAACAAACTAATTTAACATTTATTTATTTATATGCAAAGTCTACTTGTAGTAAAAAAAAATAGCTTGATTGATATTAGGTCTTCAAAAATTATAACATAATGCTAGCTTGCGTGATAAAAAAAAACAAAGGAAAATAAAAGTTCAAACGGGTCTGAATGAACAGTTTTCATTTATTGCCGATTTCATTAGTATTAGCGACCTTTATGCATTTTGAAAAAAACCAAAAAAATTACTTTATAAGGATATTGAAGGCTTTTTTTCAAATTGTAACTTTAAATTAAGTGTAACAAAACAAAAGAAATTTGAAAAAAGAGGTCTCTTATTTTTCAAATTTTGCTCAGTAAGAAGTGTGTTTTTTCAAATTTGCAACCAATTATATCCTTTTAATTTTTGTACTAAACTCCCATTAAAAAACACTAGTAGAAAGAAATGAAATTATTTAATATTACCGCTTGTAATTTTAGTTATATTACATGTCCGATGATATATATAGGCAGATTTGAAAATTTGATCAATTTAATCTGGTGTGACAAAGACAATGTAGTACCCGACATTTGAAAAAATATTTGAAAATTCCGAATGCATAAAGGTCGCTATTATGTTTGACCAATGGTCTGTCTTCATTATCTAAGTATGGACAGCAAGAGGAGGAAAATACTCTAGGTAAGCATCCTCACACTTTGCACCCTTTGGTGTGGGTAAATTACGGTTATTCAGCAAGAGTCTTTAACTTACACTTGAACTAAATATAAGTCTTCTTCTAATGATAACAATAATAAACAGTAGGGACAGACACAAATTAATTTGATTGGATAATCTTCTTTTTGACCATTTTTCTCTACCCACACCAACTATATTTTATGCACAATAATTCATAGTGAGTTTACACACAAAATTTGCTCGAATTTAATAATACATTTACTATAATATAATATAAACCAAAGCCCCTTTATTATCTTTGTGAGCAGGAAAGATAGATAGATATATTGCAAACATTAATTGAATTTGATATATTGAACTTTTGTTGGTGCTGTTCTTGTAAACACAATGCATTTGAGTTAATATTGCTAAAATAAAGACTAAGGCACCAAAAAAAATGAAAAAAAGGTATATTTGATATTCTATGTATTGCTTTGATTTAATATATTCCAAAAATATACTATTAGCTTGCAGGGTTTATCAATAGACCAATCTGTGCATGATAGGAATTCCACAGGAATTTAATCCAAAGGAATATAAAGTGTCAATAAGCAATATTTAATGCAAGGCAAGTAAAATTAATAACTGTAACATATATTTACCAGACTTGCGCCAAGGTTTTAGATTGGAACACTTACAAGTAACTACGCCACAGTAATAAGAAAAAATCTCAAGGTTCTGTAATATTGCCTTTTTGTTATATATATATAAATGTGGTATATGATGTATACTATAGCTCACAGTGTAACTTTAACTATCTATAAAACGTAATAAACATACACGGAAATGTATATGTCATGAGGAATATATAGAAGGAAGGAGGAGTGAATAAAAAAAATTAGCTTACCCTTTATATAAATGTATATATCATATTCCTTTCCCTCCGTCTTCAAATAGGCGCATTGTGGCTGGCTTGGTATTATTATAAAAGGAAAATAGCTCCTCAAAGTGTTACCACAATTCTTTTTTGATATATATATATAGATTTCTGTAGTACTTGTTTTGTTTTAGAGTGAAACACGCGTATATAAAATAATAAAATACTGCTTTTGTGTTAGTGGTGCTAGCTGTAGATATTTTGAATAATACTTATAATTATAGAAATATATCGTAAGTGTGCATATTGTACATTACATCTACTTGCTTTAATAAATTTTGTCTAGTTCCCAATTAATAGTCTTTTTACTGCCTCGTATTTTGGTGTTTTCAAATGAACGAATATTCTATATAAATATATCCAAAGAGAAAAGTCAATATTTATATGTGTAGAGCTTGTATAGTCATTGTAAAAGTAAAATAAAATACACATATCTTTTGGCGTAATTTTTGAGTACTACTACAGCAGCAGCAGTAGTAAAAAGAGAGAGAGAGTGTGTGTGTGTGTGAATGAAATTAAAGATGTTAATCATAACATATCTCAAAGATTTCAAGAATAAAAACCATTAATTACCTAAAATATAAAACACATTATCTATTTATCTTGTGATCAGTAAAGAGAAGGAAGAAAGAACGGACAAAAGGATAAAGGATCAACAATTGCGCAGTAAAAAGAACGCTTTGAACACAAATGACCGATTTCAGTCTATAGACCACTTACAAATTTCAGCCCATTGGCTCATTGGATAATCAAATTATCAGCCAAAAGCCTAGATTGACTTGTATCGATGCCCACAAAGTAATCGGTCGAACAACACCACTGTATCAACCGATGTGGAAATATTATATATAGTCACTTATTACACATGGTTTTTATAGCAACCAAAAATCAAATAACATGTACTATACTACGAAAATAAGAAATTGTCCCTTTTTATATATATATATATATATATATAAATGTAAATCATATTTAGGCTCAAAAGTTTTTTTTTAAGAAAGAAAATTAGTTGATTGACATTTTTTACTTAGTCAATAGTGTGGTGTTCATCGCCAATTTTGGATCAAATTTCAAAAAGTATAAAAATTAAATTAGATCTCCGGAAATATAAGAACCAAAATATTACTGCTAAACTGCCTTCTAAAGACTGCATCTTATAGAAATTATATATAATAATTAAGTGCAATATTATATTATCGTGGAAATTAAATAATTGAAAGGTATATGATCATTAGGCTATATACAGGTTACATCTAGTGTTTCAATGCTCTCTGATATAATGTCAAATATTCTGTAGGTCATTTGATTTCTTTTAATTCTAGCAGCTTTAGCTCTACTTAGGGTCAAATTAAGGCTGGTTGAATTAAAAAAAATGGGACCCAAATAGTCTCTCTCTATATATATATATATATATCTATGTATATATCTGTTAGTTTTCTTCCAATTTTGGATGAATAATTCGCTTCATACGATGGCCAACGCCATTAATTTTTCTCAAAGTAACTACTTTATACAAGCTACCGGGTCTTTGCCAAATATAAACAAGTACTAAAATTTGACGCAGTTTAGTATATACTTTCAAGCCGCCACGGGCTTATATATCTTTTCCTTAGGTTCAGGGACTTTTATTTTTATTTTCTGAAATACAAAACGGCCTTTATGAACTCAATCAGTATTACATGTATACAGCATTTAGTAAATAATATAGAAACCACTTTGAACATATAAGGTGCTAAATGTGTTAGATATTATTATTATTATTTTTTGCGTTTTATAAAAAATTGTAGGATAAAGCTCACAAATTTGTAAATGCCTAATTTGCAAAAGTACAAGTGAAAATAAGCTTTAGAATGAACCTCCGTTCTTTTTATTTGGTACGATACTTCGGCAGAGATGGAAAAGGAAATAAGGTCGATAGAAATGAAGTCTGCGACGAGAGTTGTACAGAACATTCTTTTTTTTTATTTATTTATATATTTTATAACAATAATAAAAAAAAATCAATACGAGAACTTGCCAAGTGACACTCAGAATATAAAAGTGTTATAAATGTTCTGTTTGAAGACGTTGTTTTATTTTGTCTTCGAGTCGCTACTTCTTATTCTACTTTCTTTGCATTTTCTTTATATCTCTGTGCTTTGAATCAATGTCGTACTTTGCCCCTTTGCTCAACTACGAAGCAGACAGCTCTAATGAGCTAAACTTCGGTCCCATTAACAGAAATAACACGACTGAATATCAAAGCACTATACACCCAAGCCATTGTTTCAAAAGAGACGCATATGATCCTTTCTTTTTTTTTGATGGTCTTTTAGATAAAGGTAAACAGCACCACCACTAGTATCACTATCACTATTAAACACCTATATATACATTCGGCTAACATTAAGTTTTAGATAATTCACTTGGTATTTTTTATAGCTTAGAGCCCTTCTATAGCGTATCAAGCCATGATATCCTAGTTCAAGGTCAAGATCAAGATCAAGGCCAAGATCAAGGCCAAGATCAATATCAATATCAATGTCAAGATCAAGATCAGGGGTTGTTTTGCTTGTCCTCGTACTCCCAGCAACTCATGAAGGCAGAATCTATCTGCTCTACAAATTACAGTATGCCCAGCCTCGAAGATTCCCATAAACAAGAAGAAACACTTTACTCTTCGCCCTCTTCTTCTTATTTTTCTGAAGAATTATTCTCCCAACGGTACTACAGTCCTAGCATGTCTCTAGTCAGCGAGACTTCTGAGTTTCTTTTCAAGCCCTTTGATGACCAATGCAAAGGAACCTGTCCTGCCCCATCTTTATTCATCACACGCGAAACTGGTCAAGAAAAGCCAAATCGCAACCTTACAACTGTAAAGTCCAAATCAAGCAAGAAAAAAACCCCAAAGGCCAAATCACGAAAGGTCCTCCCCATTTTAAAGAAATTCAAGTGCGATTATTGTCCTTATGCCAGTAATCGCCTTAATAACACAAACCGACACGCCAAGAAACATACGGACGAAGTAATAGAAAAGTCTCCATGTGATGTGTGCTCAAAGTCATACTCCGGTAGATCTAATATGCTTCGACACAAAAAGCTTCACCATATTTAAGATAAAGAATGCAACAAAAAAACTATTATATGAATGTATAAATCTATAGTAGACCTACCCTCATACTCACAAACACAACAATTCACATACCCATACCCATACCAATATTCATACATGCACACACACTCTTTATTTGTCCTTATTTTTGTATTTGCCACTCATTTAAATCATATTTTTTTTTGTATATTCCTAGTAACAATATTGTCTCCTTTCTTTTATTTTCAATTCATTTTTATTTTCTGTTTCAAATAAATCAAAGTAAATCAAAGTAAATCAAAGTAAATCGAAAAAAAGGCAAACATTGTTATGATCAACTATGAGGCAGGGTCTAGAGAGTAAAGTAGATTAGGATTTATTGTATAATATGGGGGATCCTCATACATACATATATATATATTATTGCAACCTTAACCAGTTACTATAAACTCTTTTTCGTTCATTCATTTTAGATTTATTTCGTTGGGTGCTTTAAAATAGATATATAATCAGAATTATTCTTCATTCGCCAGAGACTCTGGCTGTGTTACCATCAATTCTTTATTGAGACGAAAATTTTAAATAAAAGCTTGCTATTGCTATAATACTATTCTTTATCATCTTTTCTTTCGCTCCTGGTATTCAACCGCTCGACTTTATCGAAGATCCAAGTTATGACAAATGATATCCACGACACTTTACAAGCTCTCCCCGCCCGCATGGAAGCTTTGGAAGCACGCTCTGCTGCTCCTCCTGTGGCCCTTGATGGTTCTCCTGCTGATGAAGACGACACAATGCTACCTACCGACCATATTGTCGAACGACCTATCGCATCTGATCTCACTCCCTTCCCCGAACTTAGTAAAGCCATTCCCGGGATGGAGCGCGACTTCTTCAGGCAACCCTTGGACGAAGCCTCTCGCCGCCGATTCCTCCTTAACTGCCCACGAAATGTACTTCGTCAGTACCAAGCCCCTGTTCTCAACTACAGTGGCGTGGGAACTCACACCAAACGTACTGATGCCCAACTCGCTGATATTCAGTTCCGCCTATCTGGTCTCACCCCTCCCATCGACCTGTTCGCACATGATGTGCTTGTGGAAGGATCTATCCAGGTTACACAGGCGTTGGGTTTTGCCAACACTATGCATGAATTACTATCAGACCTTGCCTCTGTTGTCACCCAGATGCGTAGTGATAATATCTGCCGAGATGCCAATCTACCTATCACACCAATTGTCACCAACTCTGCCTTGGAGCCCAAACCACTTCTCGACTCTCAACGAATTGTGGAACAAGCTAAGCTCCAGCGTGCTTTGCACGGCGCCGCACGACCTTCCCGAACGAGAAAGGGAAAACGCACCGGCCAATCAAACCGGACCAACAAACCCACTCAATCTGACCCGACTTCTGCTATCCCAGTCCCATCTTGCCAGCGATCTTCCCGTCCCCACGACTCGAAGAAGGTTTTTCACAGTCACCCACAGCTGTCCAAGTCTCAGACAACCAATACACCACAGTAGGTGGGCGCCTTCAACTATTTCGCAACGCATGGACCAAACTCACAAACGAACACTGGGTTCGACGCACCGTCGAACAAGGGTACGACATCCCTTTCACTCGTCTGCCACCCATCTCCTCGTCCGGACCGTTGACGAACCACAACCGGATGGACAGCAATGTGATCGAACAGGAGATCATGTCCCTTCTGTGCAAGAAAGCCATCAAGGAAGTACACGAACCAGGGTTTCGTTCGCGCATCTTCACAATTCCGAAGACAAGCGACCTCCGGCCTGTCCTCAACCTACGACCACTCAATCAGTACATCCCGAAACAATCTTTCAAGATGGAATCCATCAAGCACGTCTGCCAGTTGATCCAGCGTGGCGACTACCTCACCAGCGTCGACCTGCAAGACGCTTTTCTGCACATCCTGATCGCCAAGTCCTCTCGCAAGTATCTTCAGTTCTCCTGGAAAGGTCACATTTACCAGTTCCGCGTTTTGCCGTTTGGCCTGTCCTTGTCCCCATTGGTATTTACGAAGATGGTTCGCCCAGTACTTCGTTGGGCACGGCGACAGGGGATTCGTCTGTCGGCTTACCTCGACGACTTGATCGTGATTGCCCGATCCCCAACACTGTCCCTGCAGCACATACAGCGAGTAGTGAACAAATTACAGTCACTAGGTTTCTTGATCAAAGCGACCAAATCTCATCTAACTCCCTCAACCTCCATAGAGCACCTAGGATTTGTGATCAACAGCAAGGATATGACACTAATCATCCCTCGCTCCAAGTTGAGAGATATCCGGAGAGAAGCATCTCGCCTTCTCCACAACCCGACAATCACCTTGAGACAGCTTTCCTCGTTCATCGGCAAGGCCCAGGCAACCACTTTGGCAGTCCTTCCCGCGCGCCTGCAAACCCGGCAACTGATATCCATGCGCAACCAAGCCTTGTACCGCGGATTGCAATGGACCAGTCCGATACACCTCTCTTCCATGGCTCGGCAGGAACTTCAGTGGTGGATCGACCAGCTGAAGGCATGGAATGGACACTCGTTCCTCCCAGAAGTACCTCAAGTCGAAGTGTACACCGACGCCTCGGAGACCGGTTGGGGCATCGTGTACGACAACACCGTCCTGTCTGGCACATGGACCACAGACCAACAAACCGAGCACATCAACTACCTCGAATTGCTGACCATTGCCTTTGCCACCAAGCTTCCACGCCTTCAAGGGAAAGCCCTTCGCATCTACTGCGACAACATGACCACGATTGCCTATGTCAATCATTTTGGAGGAACCCGGTCTGCCAAACTCATGAATCTGGCCACGGACATGTGGAAGCAATGCCTTGTCACTGGCACCCGTGTCCGCCTGGCGTACATTCCCTCGCCCTTGAACCCTGCCGACCCTCCCTCTCGCAGCTTGATTCAGCAGCTGGAGTGGAGTATTTGTCCAACGTTCTTTCGGCACTTGGACTCACTGTGGGGTCCCCACCACATCGACTGCTTCGCATCAAGCCTGAACACCCAGCTTCCGACGTACATGACATGGAAATGGGATCCGCAAGCATTTGCGATGGACGCACTTTCTGTACCTTGGACAACCTGGCCTCGCCTATATCTTTGTCCGCCATGGAACCTACTTCTCCACATACTGCAGAAACTACAACGAGAGAAGGTTCCAGCTACGTTGATAACGCCCAACTGGTCGAGCGCCCTCTGGTATCCTCTCCTCCTCCAGCTGTCGTCCCGCCCGCCAATCCCCATCCCTCGTCACCTGGTCCTTCCCGCACCAGGCTGCGCCGGCCACGTTCTCCTGAAGAACCCACACTGGAACATGATCGCGTGGGACATAAATTACGCAGGTTAGAAGACCAAGGATTCGATGACAATGCCAACATCATCATCCTCAACCGCGATCGCAACCACTCCCGACAATCCTATAACCGTATTCAACGCGCTTACATCGACTGGGCACACCACCACGACGTCGACCCTTTCATTCCTAACCCCGTTCATATAGTCAACTATCTGGCCTATGGTGCTACCCATTTGAAATGGAAAGCATCCACTTGTCAAGCCTACCGCTCCGCCATTCTTGATTTGTACTCGGATAAAGATTCTATTGTCAAAGACTCTACCTACATTGAATTCTTTTCCGCACTCAACGAACAGAACCTACTGTCTTTCCACCGTCCAACATATGATATTGCCCCGGTCATTCGGTTCATTCATAACCTTGGTCCTAATGACACAATGAATGCGATAGATCTCACACGTAAGTTGTGCTGGCTACTTGCCATTTGTGGGTTTCTGCGTCCCGCCGATTTGGAACGAGTCGATGACCACCGTACATCAAGAGACAATGGCATCCTTCGCTTGGTCATTGTTGCCCCCAAAGAAAAACGTTCAGGTAGACGCATCGAAAGGGTTGTCGCCATTCAACCTCATGAAGACCCCTTACTTTGCCCCGTCGCCACCTATCTAGCCTACAAGTCCAACATCGCCTTCTCGGTCTGCGTTCGGCCTCACCCTGTCCTCTCTCAGGTGACTTTGCAAAGATTAGTACGTGACGTCCGTAATTACGATAGACCCATTGGATCAGAACGGATATCCAAGCATATTCAATTTCTCATGGAGAAGATCCCTCGTCCTTCTGGTGCCCTCCTCCCCAAGGCCCGGGCTCTCGGACCTACTCTTGCTTTGGCTTCTGGTGCTTCGGTTGAAGACATTCTTGTACACGGCTCATGGGCTTCCTCCGCCGTTTTTGACACATTTTACCGCTTGTCACGACAGACTGTTAGCAATTTCTCTACCATGACTTTGACTTCTTCTAGCGGTTATCTGGACACACAGCCAGAGTCTCTGGCGAATGAAGAATAATGGTATTGTTGGCCGAGGCCGAAGGCCGAAGGCCTATACCTATTATTCGAAGAGACAGAGACTCTGGCTGTCCCCTCCCTTCCCTTCCCTTCCTTATTATAATATATACCACTCGCGAATAGATGATAAAGAATAGTATTATAGCAATAGCAAGCTTTTATTTAAAATTTTCGTCTCAATAAAGAATTGATGGTAACACAGCCAGAGTCTCTGTCTCTTCGAATAATAGGTATAGGCCTTCGGCCTTTGGCCTCGGCCAACAATACCAAAATTGTGGTTGGAGTTTCTGAAGGTGACAGAAATGTCTATAATTATATGTGATATTATAATTTACCATAAATCCTGGATAAAAAAATTCCGTGATACCGGAGAAAAATTGTACAAATTTTTATCTGGGTGGAGATTATCCACATCTCTTTTATGGCTTGAAAGAACACTTTATATATATATATATATATATATATACATATTAAGTCACCTAACGTTTGTGACGTTATGATATCCATTCTGGTATACTGTACATATTGTTTTGGTATGCAAGCAATGTCAAATATGACTATAATTATAAAAACTGTTTTCTGAAAAAGAAAGTAGAGGAGATACCAGTTTCTAATAATGGTTATTTATTATTACCTAAATAAACAAACCAGCCCGTATTATATATACGTGTATATATACATCTATATATACATACATTTATAGTAATGTTGTAATACTAGTTAATAGGGAGGTACACCAGCTTTACCGAAGCAGGGTAAACATAAGAAAGAAATGAAGCCGACTAAAATACGGACAAGCAGGTGACATACTCTTGTGGGTGTAATATAATAATGATATGCAGTATAACTAGGCAACTTGAATCTTAGCTGTACATAAATCGTTTTGAAAATCGGCTTGTGGAACCATTATCTCCTCTAAATCAAATCCAAACAACAAAAAAGACATATTTCTCCCCTTTAATATAAGGGGAGGAAAAAAAATAATCTATAGAAATAATAGTAGTAGTCGGTTATTGGTTTGTCTGTTGCCTTGCTGAGAAGCTCGGTGGGCTGAGTAAGACACGAATTACTGTTTCGTTTTTCATACTTTATTTTCTTTTTTTTTTAAAAAAAAAACTATAATTTGGCGATTTTTTGTTTTGGGATGCAATCTTTATGTACAGTGATAGACAATTAGAATAATATATATATATTTATATACTTTTAAAGGTATGAGGATGAAGTACAAGTTTGGGTTTATGAGCTATATGTAATACAAATACGCATACAAACGCACACACAGGCCAACAATATTACTGACTTGTGAGAGAGATGATGGCATTCTATAAAGCGTCTGTAGTGTGTCTTCTATACGTAATTATTTTATGTTTATATCAAACTAGGGGAGGGGGAATGAGGGAGGTAATAAGATAAATGAGAGATATCGGCGTAATATACATAGGCTGTCGATATTTTTTTAAGCTTTAAGTCTACCGCGTGTAAATGATTTTTATGTGCGTACTTGTAATACTTGTGATTCAACTGTTCGATAGACTTGTTGATGTTGATTATAGGATATATTCGATTAGACCAATTTTTTATAGAGTATTGTTTTAGATTCAGTTATATTCAGCACACAACATACTGTAAAAGTAATGCGTGAATAGAGGGAATATGTATGTGGTCCAGTCTTTTTTTTATTTTTTTTCCTCGAAAGCCTGTAAAAAAAAAGGCGATTTTTATTTAGGGTTTTATTGGAAAACGAGAACACTACAGAAAAGCAGCTTGGCTTGAATTTCAAAATAAACAAATATAAAGTAAATAAAACGCCAATAAATTATATGAATTCTTGCTCTTGTTGCGTCTAATTTTTTTATTTTGTTTTATTACATTATTCTAATATCTATTGATCATCTTGTACCCTAAATATTGAAACATACATAATAGCAATACTAATATTTTCTCAATATTTATATATAAAAACACAAATACAAGAAGAAGAACATGAAGAAGAATATATAGGCTTAAGTGCAAACACTCCCCCTTAAAATTGAAAAAAAAGGATTCTATTTCACCTTACTATCGAAACTATTTTCAGTGTTTCCACTGCAAAAATAAATAAAGAAATAAACAAGTAAATAAAGGGGGATCTCAGAGATGAATCTTGGGTACGCTTTTCAAAAAAAAAACAAAAAAAATCCCCCCCCCCCTGATTGTACCTCTTTAATGGAAAATAGTTTACCTCGAACTCCTAAGAATTGGTATTTTCTTAAAATTATGTTTATAAAATAAATGTCGACAAAATTCTATTGGATAAAAATAATAAAATAAGTGCATAAACGAACGGAGATACAAATATTAACTTTTAATACAGCGAATAAAGCTTTTTTTTAATTTCTCTTCTCAGTTTAAAACTATAGTTTAATCCAATTATATTTTAGAAATTAAAACTCAAAGGTCTTATATAAAAATACAAAAGAAAAGCTTAAAAACGAATTGGTTTATTTTATATCTTGACCCGAATATCAGGTTAACGTATTTTATAAATCCAAATAATATGAATACTAGTATTCTTGCTGGGTGAAGGTCGTGGATTTATAAAAGAAATTCCTTCTCCATATATGTATATTAAAAAGAGAAAGAAAAAAGCCTATATTATACTAATGGTTCGTGTCATACAGAGGCTTTGAAACGATCAATATCTATCTTTTCTCATCTTATTTCTCTTTCTTATTTCCTCTTCCTCTTCCTCTTCTTGTTTTGTTTTTAGTAACAACTCTTTGGCTAATTAGTTTCAAATCATCAGTCTAAATTATTTTCAAAGCCCAAACTATAAATCTTTACAGCAAGCAAAGTCTAAAATAGAAAAAGGAGGAGGAGGAGTAAGGGGAGGAAGAGGAGAATGGCCGGTGATGATTATGGATATGATGATGCTTATAATTATCATCATCAACGGAATTGTTATAATTAATAATAAAATTAAATGAGTATTAATATATAAATTGGATTGAAGACAGAATACAGTGTCCAACCTTATCAAATAGTCAAGCTGTGTACTATCTTTAGGTTAGGTCTTATTATTCTCTCGACATGTCATCAATGGGCGTATATATACATACGCATCCATATATAGCATAGAAAGAGAGAAAAGACTTTTTTTTTTAGAAATAAAAATTCTTGATATCCAACCAACGACCAGTATTACGTAGTGAGTTATACACTGCATATTTAAGACAAGACAAGACAAGCCAAACCAATATAGTTCAATACACACATACATACACACATACATATATATATTTTATACAGCTTGCTTATCAGATACTAATTTCATCATGTTCTTCTTTTAGCTGATGATCAAGAACATTTCATCAATCAATAATGTTAGCATCCGCATTACCATTCGAGATCATTAGTAACATCGCGCTTCGACTCTCTCTAAAAGACAAAAAAACATGCACCACAGTCTGTAGGGCGTGGAAAGAGCCTTTTCAAAGATACCTATGGGATACAATCGAACTCGACCAGAAAAGCCAATTAGTTGATGAAGCGTCACAGTATTCGATATCCCTCATATATAGAACAAATGGATACCGAGTCCGCAAATTAACTTTGGACACCTGCTGGTTCCCAACCCCAGAAGAATGTACTACCTATGCAAGATACTTTGGAAACGTTGAACACCTCAACCTCCAGCTCATACATTTTGCCATCCAGCCAGCCAAAACATTAAAACTTGATGTCTGGAATTCACTACGGCATCTACAAATCACCACAAAGACTTACTACAATCATTTTAGAGTCAAGGATTTCTTGAACAATATACCCCCCATTCATCATCTCACACAACTATCCATTGACCCACACATGGGCTCCAATTCTGTGATAAACAGCGAAGAAGAACTCGATGTCATCCATGCCCTGTTTCCACGACTAGAATACCTGAGTGCTGGCTTAACCCTCGCACCACCCAAAGAAAAGGACGCCAAGAGAACCAGCCCAGCATTGCCAGCAAGCAATATGTTGCAAGCTAGATTCAACAAAGGGGTCGTGTCCATAGATTGTTTAGATTATTTTTCCAAAAAATATCCAAACATTCACACACTCAAATTCAACATTGTATCCAAAGTATCCAAAGTAAAAGAAGTCAGCAGTAAGCTTGCCCAAGGTCTGCTTGATCTTCCTTTTCTATTTCCCCGCCTAAAAAAGCTATATATAAGTGAAATATTGGATTTTGACTGCAACTACATACCCATATGCCCGCTGCTGGCCCAGTTCGGTGTCGGTCTCAAGAACATACACTACAGTTTGGTGACACACAACAAACTTCACACAGAGTATCCGGTGGACGCCATTAATCTGGTCTGCTGTAACCTACCGACAATCGAGACATTGTCACTTGATCTGAGTCAGGCCAAGTCAAATATGTACACTATTGTAGCAAAGCTTGGGGTTTATCCGCGCCTCGTCAGCCTGGATCTCAGTGTACCTCAGACCAGTGTTGCCCTGGACGTACTTTTGGATTATTGCTTTAACCTAAAGACAATCAAATTGAAGAGCCAAACCTTATTTACCAAATCAGACCTTATTGGAAACCTACCACGACATGGATTGGAGAATCTAGAATTGTCAGGATCAATTATTGATATGTCGGTATTCACGCATGTGTCGTTCAGATGCCTAAATCTGAAACAACTGGTCGTAAAAGATGTGAGTATCCAGGGATTGCTGTCCAAGACTGGAAACCTCTGCATCGACATGCCTCATACCCACTTGAGATTATTGGACTTTAGACGTGTACGGTTCTACGGATCGACTGACTACTCTTGTGATAAAAGCACCATGATAAACATTATTGTTCTTGAACGAGACTACCACCACAGCAGCATAAACAACATCCCACCGTCCCAAAATCACATTCAGGATCAAGATCAAGATCAAGATCAGGATCAGGAGCAGGAGCGGAAGCAGGACCATGAAACCATCAGTCTAAACTTGTTATTGTCGAACCGAAATCCTCAAGGACCAAAGAACACTTGGATCCACCAGTACTCTGAAGGAAGGTTTTATAGATATAGATATCGGTCTAGCGAAATACCTGTAAGAATACTTTTGGATCCTGAAGTGACGTACGCCCAATCTTACTTTAGGAAATTTGAGGACAACGCAAAGAGCTACACCAAGCGCGCAGATATTACACGATATGAGGACGGACTGATAGCAAAGCGGTTCTGGAAAAGTGACCTCCACAGGGGTCGATCTACTTTAAGATGTGGCTCTATAGAACAGTGTTCTATTAACGGAACACGTCCTTTTGATAATATAAAAGAATAAATGTATAAATGTATAAAATCTTAATGTCCGGATCTTATTGTTCTATAATTTTATATATAATTAATTGTGTCGGCCAAATCACACCTACACACACCATAATCAGTTCTCTATAAGGATACTACAGCCTGAGATAAAAGAAAGATATGAATGCTTCAAAATAAAAGATAATCTGTTCCTATGCTACACATACTAATGTATATATATATATATGTGTGTGAGTGAGTGAGTATGTATTTTGTTTTGATCACATTTTACACTTCACCAACATCTGTAGATCGTGTTGTAAAGAAGTTTGCCACTTTGTGATCAATCAGACTTGATAGGTGATTTACGTGCAAAAGTAAGAAAGAGAAATAAGAAAAATAATGGGAATACAGCACACAGGCACACAAACACACAAACACACACACACACACACACCCCTTTTTTATTATTTTAGTTAGCATAAGGTAAAATAGTATATATGTATATAATAAAAAGAAGAAGAAGAAGAAAAAAGTGACCAAAAATGTACTTGATTCTGTGCAAATCTTAATTTCCATTTAGAATGCAGAGATCACGACTTATACATATATAGCAATCAAAAAAAAATTAGGATCTTTTGTGGATAAATCTTGTGTACTACCACCCGGGCCGGACTAACGGACATCTTTATTTGTCCAAAAATATGGTCCCTTTAACTAAAACAGGGCTATGTTGCGTTCCACAACGTAACCATGGATACCATTATAATATATATATATACATATGCAGTGATAACAGTAAATTTTGTTACTTTGAGAAAAGTGAATGTCCGTAACCAAAAAACTAATGGCAATAAGCTAAAATTGACTGTCCCAAAAAATATCCATTTGTTTCTTGATGCCAAAGAGATTTTGTGATTTTGAAGAGAAATGTCACAAAATTAAATCAAATTGACCTAAATGATATTTTTCTTTTCATTTTAAATTTTAAACAACTTATTTTACACTTCTTTTTCAAAACTATGTCAAATAGTGTTGTTGTTGTTGTTGTTGTTGTTGTTGTTGTTGTTTTTTTACGAAAAGTACAACTACTTAAGCAAGAAAGGCAAAATCGATATTTGTTTTGTGTGAGCACCTTCTGAAATTTTCATTCATTTTCTCAAAATGGAATACCCTTAACAGACCAAACCCTATTTCTTATTTGATGAAAGCTGAATCCTGCCTCGTCGATAAGCACATAATTCTTTCTGAAAGTCCACGCCAGCTGCCTTCCATTCGATTATTATATTGAAATGAAGATTAGAAGTTTTTGTAGTATATCTCTCTATAGTGTAAGTGTATGTACTTTTCAGCGACAATTTAACCTTTTATTCTTCTTTCTCTTCGTGGTCTTTATCGGTCGCAATGACGCACTTTGCATATATTATCAGCTAAGGTTCAATGAAGAAAACATTGTTAAAGCTTTAGAAAAGTTTTGGCCGTTGATAAATGAACATAAAATGTAGTATTTAACTGATCCAATAATTCCCGTACTTGCATCTAAAGTACAAATTTCAAATGGTTCGTTTTCCTTTCACAGATACAAGTCCTATGAAAATATAGTCAACAATCCTTATGAAGGATTTAACAAGTTCCCTAACAAAAAAAGGACTTGGCTCAAGCTGCTTAGTGCTCTTAATTCTCATGCATTCTTCAATTTTTGCCCATTTATATTTTAACAGTATTCATTTAATCGAAGTCTTTAAGCTAGTCCTTACGTTATAGAAAAAAGAAGGCCGATTTCAATGAGATTGTTGCAAGTTTTCTGGGGTATAAGGTGTGATTTATTGTGGAATTTCAACCAAACACTAATTGTTTTTTTCTTATATATATATATATCATTGTAAGAAAAAAAATCATTGGGTTCTTGAGAAAAGCTGGCAACTGGCGCGTAGGGTACTTGTAAGAGGCAATTCAACTAGTTACAATACTACTGCGAGGAAGGACCTTCAAGTTTTATAGTCTCTAGGGCCGGGTTACTAGTTAGCGCACATAATAATTCTTAGTTGAGACTTGGTAACAAGGGACAGTAAACTGCTTCAAGAGGATGGGTTCTCGAGACAATATAGAATAACGCCCATCGTAAATATTCTTCTGCAAGTCACAGCAAGCTCAGCCAATCAAGAGAGCAATTTTCCAAAAGAAAAATTAAAGTGAATGCGTTATTTCTCAAGAACTTGACTAAGATCTATAATTTTTATTGAATAAATAGATTCAGTAATCATTCTTTACTTTAGTTAAGTTGATAAAAGAGATTGTCGGTAAGGGAGTATGACGCCAACCCATCATACATAAAATAAGTTAATTCGATATATACCATATTATTTTCATTATCATCAATTATATATGTATATTATCGAGTAAAATAAAGTAAAAACAATGTCTGTAAAGATTTGAGAAATACCCATCTTTGGAGTGCAAGCTTTTCCCGCCCAGGATGAGAGGCATTCTTGGAGATTTCTACTTTCTTTGGAAACTAGGATGTCGATTGCCAAAAAACCGAATGGGTTCTTCATCCACCAATTCATTCCGTACATTTCTGCAGATCTGCAATTGAGCCATTGCACACCTTATAAACTAGCTTACCTTCTTTTTTATTTTTCCTTTTTCTTTGCTTCTAATACAACTCTTCTATCTTGCTTGTAATGATATTACATTAATGCAAAGGTCAACTCAAGAGTATATATAGACGTATAGACATATAAGGATATTGTATTATTTTTGTTTTAGTATCTAAACTCCTCTCTCTTATCCCCTCCTTTGTATAATGAAGCTCAAAGAATACAGAGGGACAAACCAATAATAACACTTCAATTTAAAGGGTTCTTGACGTGGTTACAATCACAGTTCATTTGGTTCAACAACAAATAAATAAATAATAAAAAAAAAGAAGCTTCTCTATACCTATCACTATACCTATCTCTATATCTCATCTGTATATATAAGCATAAATATATAATGTTTTTTTTTCTTGAATAACGTAACATATACTTCGATTAGGTTTAACTCAGGGGAAAAGGATAATTGATCTATTTATTAAAGCAAAAAAAAAAGGTAAAAGCAGGCCGAGACTATCAAAGACTAGATATTATATTACATAATAACTTTAGCTTTATACATAAAATTGTTTTTTAATAATACAAATATCAAAACTTTGCTATTATTTTTATGATTTTTTTTTTCTTAAGAAATAATAATTTAGGTACACATTTGTTTCAAAAATAACAAACAAATAAAAAGTTGTTTCAATTTCTACCATTGAGTGATTGTCATTCAAATATCTACTGGATTCAAGAGAAAATTTATTATCCTTTTTCTATCTATAAATTGCTATAGCACTGAGTGTGAGAATTATATACAAAAAAAAGAATGGGAAGAAGGTGGATATGTGTTCCTGATGGTGTAATCCATGGGTTTAGATCTGCTGCTCAAATTACCAACATTTCTTAATCCATCTTTGTATAAATTCTTCAAAAGCAACAATAGAAAAAGGAAAATGATGGAAGTACAAAACAGATTTCTATAACTTTGTATCTCAGGGACTTTTTTTTTTGGTGTGTGAATTAGTTGGCTGTTTAGTTTAAAGTACAATAAATATATGTATATTTGGAGACTAGGCATGTGCAAAACCATTAGAAATACAGTACACTACCTCAATATACATATACAGAAAAGCTCTGTAATATATTGATATTCTAAATATACGACGTCTATTTTTACGTATATATATAGAGATATTGTACATCATGGACTTCTTATTCACAATTGCCTTTGTCAATCATTACACAAAATGTTCCCCTCAATAAACCTACTGTTTTGGCTAGGGTTACTTCCGGGAAAGATAAAAATAAATAAGGGGCTTCTCAAGCGCCCGACAAGACCCAAAAGTTTGTCCAGGATTTCCTTATACGGATTGGCCAGAGTTTCCAAAATTAGTAATCTTTGGACAAAACTTTGGATTTCACTTTTCGCCTGGACAAAACTTTGTCCATGATTACTAAGTATGGAAACTCCGTCCAATCTGTATAAGGAAATCCTGGACAAACTTTTGGGTCTTGTCGGGCGCTTGAGAAGCCCCTAAATATATCAATTTATAGATACAAAAGGAGATACCAATGACATGTCACTTTGTACGTTATACAGCTTGATGAAACCATGTACAGCTATACTCGTTTCAAGTATATCTGTGAGTTCAAAATGTTCTGTAAAAGATTATGCAGGAATATTCTTTTACTTTCCTAATTACCGAATAACCGGAGATACAATGGTAGGAGTAAAGGAGGGAGGGATACGAGGGGGGAAAGGTAGAAACAGATAACCGATTTGAATAGCCATGTAGAAAACATTAGAATTTAACAAAAGCACACTACACACATATACTCTATACACACAACATTCATGTCTTTACTAATAAAAATGGCTTTCTTGGTCTTCTTTTTCTTTTAATATTGTATTTAGCGTGGGATAATAAACTGAGTTCCAGAGGTAGTATTGACCAGAGAGATATACCCATTTTCTTTCTCTATCTAATTATGTATGCGCTTTAGGAATACAATCTATTTGGCTAATTAAGCAAGAATATTGAGTATGTTAAACCATGGATATTGATCGCTTTATGGATATGTCTGTACGCAGTCAGTTCCTCTTTAAGTAGGCGCGTATTGCTACAAGAAGGACCAGAATACCAAGTATTCGGGGAATATACACCGAATTTACTAATTAATAAATATTACTGAGCTTTCTATATATATACACCTTTTGCCAAAATGATGTCGCAAAAAAAAAAGTTAAAGTGTCGCGCTCTTAAAAAAAAGTGTGTCGCATCTTACAAAAAAAATAGTGTCGTACAAATCAATTTTTATTGGAAGTTCATATAAATTAAAAAATATATATATCGAGATACAACCAAGGGGAGAGACTAACTACTGCAGTTATTCCACATTGTTGTTTTCCAAAGACAGTCAGCAAAATAAGGGCTAAATAATAATAATCTAGATGAGGTTGTGGAGATAAAGATGAATTTGTGGTGGCAGGTATAAAATTATGGGTATAATGTACATTGTCAACTGGACCATTTCAGTTACCATCCGACTAGAAAAAGAGCCAAACTAGTGTAAGAGCAAATCATGAGATGTTCCTAGATGCCGTTATCTAATCCAAATCAACGAAAATGGCAGGCGTAGTTGACGACCTTGTCATTGGAATGGGGTCAGTGAAGATAGACACACACAAAAAACAAAGATTAACTAGAATGAAACATTTATTGGTATTGGTGATATTGTAAAAAGGGGTAAAACTATACTATGATAATAACAATGATTTACAAAAAAGAATAACAATTCTATTTTGGATCAATAGATAAAGGCTACAATTCCTTTATTGCTTGACCTGATCGACTGATCGCTTTGATTGTATCCTTGGTATCTACAGGAGACCGCCCTGATTTTTGTTGCTTCAAAACCATAGTTGCTTCTTCTTGTTCAAGCGGCATTTCCTAAAATATCATCGCCGTATATACATTTATAGTGTCAGTAATCCCTATTTGATTCCAATAACTTTGACTTGATTGTAACCTTACCTTTAGTTTCATCAATAATTCCATCAAACGATTCAAGTAGTATCGGTCTTCCCAGTCCCTTGATACAATTGGAGACCGCATCTTCACAAAGCACCATTTCCCAATTCCCATACGACTGGTTGATAGTAAAGTCAGTTTATTCCCAATACATCGTACAGCAAATATGCGTCGTCGTCCAAATGTTGTCCAAGATGCGTATTTGAATTGATTTATTTCGTTCTTCAAACAGCTGCTAGTATATTTCATCAATTTCAGAGTATCTCCTTCGGTATGATTTCCGTCTTCTTCCCTATATACACAAGTGTGAGTGAGTAAGAAAAGGCGTTAGTACAGTACCGCAGACTTTGTGTGATATCTATATACCGGATTTTTTTATCATACATACCCTGAGCATTCAATCATCACACGTTCAACTTTGTCCTTGCAACTAAACCAGAGTCCTTATTTTAGAAATTTTGTCAATTCGGAATCGAATAAATTAATATGAAAAGTAATTTTTCTATCAATTCTCTCGTTCACTGGTAAATGGCAAAAATGTAAACAAGTTAGGCACGCGACTTAATGAGATTTATACCTATTTTATTTCTTACATACCAAAATAAATGCTCACACCAGAAAATGTAGACCAGTTATCTTGGAATATAGAACGCCTGTACAGTCCTAGACTTTAAGTAAACGACTGCCGTTTTTTTGAAGCAATGTAGCACTCGTTGTTCTTCCATGTTGAGTTCATATTCTTGTCTAGTACAATCCAAAGTTTCATCGCCAGAATGGGGACCAATTACCGCCACAAAATGATCATTGAGTTTCCTCGCATCATCACCATTGATCCTTGGTTTGTTTGTGGAGACGGATGGTGTTACGTTGGGAGGGTGGAAGCTGTAGCTCTTTTTGGCTTTTTTTTTTCAACAACAGTGAAGCAGCGGAATTGCTTGATTCTATGCATATAGAAAATCAAAATTGTATTAGCAACTTGACGAAGCTTCCATTACGCATTCAAATTATATTTTTACCGAGTTCCATTTCGTCGCTGTCTTTGTTTTTTCGTTTTCCGTCCTAATGAGTAGTGTTATAGATTAAATAGTTAGTCAATCTTGATCACAGCACCATAATTAGATCCTTAAAACTTACACAGCTTTTGCAATACATAATCTTGGTTAAGTTGCTGCAATTGTTGTAGTTGTCATTAATATGGTCTGTAACGATGTGTTGCTGTTGCTGAAAAGATTGCTGGATTTTCATCTATTTTACGTAAAACTATCAACATGATGAAGGGGAAAGGAATGAATGAGCCTATAGAATTATGGTGTTGAGATGTATGCCATCTTACCTGCAAATCAGAGAATATTGCATTATAGTCAAAGCTTGATTTAGTAATATTCGATTTAGTAATATTTTTGTGAGCACTTATTCGCAGTCACATAGAGCAATTCTGCAATATCACTAAGAAACATATGCGGAGTAAGAAAGATCCATTTGATTTAGTAATAGTAATATAATTCCGCCAGGCGGAAGACCAGACAGCCCATTTTGCGGGGAAATTGTATAGGAAGTGAGAGAGATCGTTGGGGTGAAGGTGACAGATGGGACAAACGTCAGTGGGAAAGGAAGCAGATATGATGTGGTGAAGTAGTAATCGACATGGAAGCTTGTGATGAAGCGGGGGTTTCCAAAAGCGTGGCCAAGGAAAGTCCAAAAGGTGGGGAGGGGTAGGCGGAACGGGAGGAGTGCAGAGGGGTCGATATAGTCGGGTGTGAGGCGACGTCGGTGGGTGGATGGTATGAGGACAGACAGGAATGGTGATAAGTCAAGGGACGAGCCAGTAAGAGCGGGGATGTGCGGGTAGAGCAATTGAATGAGAGTTAGAGGGAGACAAGCACGGAGCAGGAAGGGCTGCAACAAGATTGTGCCGGCATCAATCTGGCGAAATATCTTGTTAATAACGCGGGCGGGCACGGGGAGGGCGACGAGATAGGACCGACAGGGACGGGTCGAACTGGAAGGCGTCAGCAACGGTAAGTTGGCGCCAAGAGCATGACCAAGAAGACAAAACGGTGGACGGGACACAGGCTGATCGGAGAGGGAGGAGAAGACAAGTGGTGCTGTTGTTGTAACGAAAGAAAGATCAGGCACCTGCAAAGCAAACGTAAGCATGCTCAGAAAGACGTCACAAATAAATACGTCAACTTGTCTTTGTTTTTTCGTCTTCCTTGGACATCATTCTTTTTAAGCTGCTACGCTCTTTTGGCTTCCTCTCTTTGGTTGGTCGAGTGTGATGGTTACATTCTGCCATATAGCTCATGCGTCGACTCTGTATTCTTGGTTTTATTGTACTCTTGACCCATGATTTCGGTTGATGTCGCTGTGTATTTTGCATCTCCATTCTTCCTGGTGGAAGTCTGCTGGTGGTCTGTGATAGTTGAATATTATTCTTTCTGTCTCCTTACTACATCTCCGTCATTTCCTGTTCATGACTTGCCCTTCGAGCTTTCTTTTTTTTAAGCTGCTAGGGGTTGGTACATCCAAAATTCGGACATATTCTCATGGGCATAATTTGGTCTATGATAACAACACACTTGGTCGACCTATTGTCTTTGGTGATGTTGATAACAAATATTTTATGAAGACGAATGTATAGTAGTTGATTCACTTTTTCTTTGTCCTTATTATTAGGAACATCTCATGATTTGCTCTTACACTAGTTTGGCTCTTTTTCTAGTCGGATAGTAACTGAAATGGTCCAGTTGACAATATACATTATACCCATAATTTTATACCTGCCACCACAAATTCATCTTTATCTCCACAACCTCATCTAGATTATTATTATTTAGCCCTTATTTTGCTGACTGTCTTTGGAAAACAACAATGTGGAATAACTGCAGTAGTTAGTCTCTCCCCTTGGTTGTATCTCGATATATATATTTTTTAATTTATATGAACTTCCAATAAAAATTGATTTGTACGACACTATTTTCCTGAATTGTGCGACACTGTTTTTTTTAAAAAAAAAAGTGCGACACTTAATATTTTTTTTGCGACATCATTTTGGCAAAATGTGTATAAATGTTTTTTATTTTTATTTTTATTTATTTAATTCTTGTAATACGTTTCAAAACATCCGTAGCAAATTTGGTTATACACAAACACAAGGTTATGTATATATTTATATATTTATACATTTATATACATGTTTGAGGCTGGTGTAAGCATAATAACTGTTATTTAGAATTTGGTTACCTAGAGGGTGGTCAAATAACTTAATATAATCAATAATATTTCTTATAGTTCATGTATTTTGTTATTTATTTATTTATACATATATAAATATAAGTATATTTTTGATTAACCTCTTATTATTTTCCTTCTTCTTCTTCTTCTTTTTTATCCTTTTTGTTCTTTGTATTTTATTTTATCTTTTTGTTTTACTATAACACAATTCAATTTGGTTCAATTTATTGATCTAAATTTGCCTTTTTGTATTATTATTATTTTTTACTTTCACAATATAAAAAAAACAAAACCAAAAAAAAAAAGACAGAAAAGGCAGAAAAGCTGGCTAGTCTTGTAACCTTTAAACAACAGTAAGTATCATTTTGTTACCAAAGATCTCAAAAATTATTTAATCATATATTTTCTATATATTTGTTTCGTTATTCTATAGAAGCAAGTCCCACAACCCTTGTATTAAATTTGTCATTATTAACTTTTTTTTTAAAAAAAAAAAGAAGCACTGCTACCACTACCACTACCGGGCAGTAGTAACAAAAGAAACTTTGGCTTACATCAAAAAGGTAAACAAGAGTAGATATATTGATATTACATAAAATCTCGCAGCATGTAAAACTATAGACTAATCTATATATGCATATGCATATTGAATCACAAAGATTTACCTAAATAAGTGATTGTACAAAAAACCACAGATTATATTTGGCAAAGAACGAAAGAAAAAAAAAAGAATAAGAACAAGAAGAACAATCTCTTTCGACTTTTTCTTTCTTTTATTTTCTTATATATGACCATTGCCAATCTCAGCAAACATCGTCGTCGATAAATATCAAGTATCCTAGTTAATAATGTACCCTGTTGAATCAGAAGTTCAAGAAAACTTCTTTGAATACTCCCTCACTGGCCAACAACCAAGCACATTTCCCAGGAAACACAATATGGAATTGCAGTTTGCTTCGAATCTGAATATTGACAAACTCAACCATAATCATAACCATAATCACGGCTACCATAACAGCTATCATCATCAATATAGCCAATTCCCGACGCCTGCTCTGATTTCAGACCAAATGTATTACTGCCAGGGCGGCACTAACCTGATCCCAAGTGGCTCCATGATAGACGCTAGCCAGTATGTACATTCTCAAGACGTCTTTAGAGACCAAAGTCTCTATCCACCGTGGTATCCCGAAGCAGAACTATTTCAACAATTGGGAAGCCTTGCCCAACCACCAATTCCGATTGAAAATGAAAACGAAGCTAATAATTATCTTTCAAGTACCTGTACTGAAATTGGAGAATTAGGTTAGTTTCCAAACTAGATAAATAGATAATTATTTATATACCTAAATTTATATATATATATCTCTTGCAGAAATGCTTATGGTAAAGAATAAGAAAAATATATATTCTATACTCTTTATCATTACTGTTCTTTTGCTGTTTCCTTTTACTTTCCTTCTTTTTTGGTTTACACTTTAAACTAATAAACTCATAACCTAATGTTTCCTTTTATAGACTCTATGCTCTTCTCGAATGATTTTGGAAACATTTCATTACAGCCAGACTTCCCGTCTTCTCAACAGATGGACCAATACTTACCAGATTTGATCGAATTTGGCCCTTTCACAGACATTGGCTTACCTTCGCCTCTTTCACTACATTCCAGCCAATCTCCTCCTCAAGACTACTTTTCATTATTTCATACCAATCAAGCTGAATCACGAACAGAAAGAGTAGATGCCAAGACGCGTATTGAGGTACATATGTATCAAAAGTTCAGCCCCCATCAGCCAAGTCAGCCGACGTTTGATACAGGCTTGCTACCCATGACTCGAAGGGCAGAGCTTGAGCTCCAGGGTCAGCTTAAGTCCGTATCTGGACCTGGACCTGGACCTGGACCTGGACCTGGACCTGTATCTGGGCCTGAGCCTGAGCCTGAGCCTGAGCCTGATAGAAATCGCGTGCTCGAGAATAGTGGATTCAATAAGATGTTTAACTACAAACAAAGATACCCTGGACAGTTCAAGAAGTCATACATATGTCTCACATGCAAGCGATCACTTTGTAGCGCCTATAGCTTAAGCAGACATCAAACCACACATCATTCGAATGCACAAAAGAAAGATATGTGCCATTTATGCTCAAAAGCTTTCTCCAACAAAGCAAACCTAAGACGCCATATTCGACTTTGTCACAGCAAGACCGTGTCATTACCTTGAATTCAAACATTGGGGCCATTTCTTCTAACAACAACAACAACAAAAAATACACATTAATGTTAACAGCAACAGCAACAACTACGACTACGACTAATGATATATATGTATATGTATATGAGTATATAAAGCACATGGTTCTTTTATATATATATATATGTATGTATATGTATTTATATTTTACACTCATCCAAATCAACTTAAACCCTTCATCAACTTACTCAGACAAGAATTACGCCAAAAGAGACAATCATCATTCAATGTACCCACAAACAGCATACAAAGACAATTTAGCATACCAATATAATACCAAGACATACTATACTATACTATACTTATTTATTTCCTTCTTCTTATTCTTATTCTTTTTATTTAAATATATACATACATTGATACATTAATACATTTCATTACATTACATTACATCCCTACATACATACATTATTACATACACTATTGCATGGATAATCAAATGATAATAAATTGAATATTTTCTTAAAGCCTAATTCTTCAATGGTTTCCTTTTTATTGCCATGGCGTTATAAAGTTATCAAATATATCATTATTATAATTGTTACATTTGTGTGTACTGTATATATATATATATATATATATATGAATTCTAAATGGTGTTAATGATTACTGTATGTAAAATAGATAAAATAGTAAATAAAAGTAAAGTGAGCCAAAAAAGGATTATTCTTTTATGTGGTGCGGTCCAGGCCTTCTTAACTTATCCCAGTGTGCACTGGAACCAAATCTATATCTCTTTTGGGGAGATGGAAAGACAGACAGAAATACAGACATACATACAGACATACAGACAGAGAAAGTGTCTTTTTTCCTCTTCTTTGCTCAGTTTTGATTATATGATTTATACTTGTGATTATGATGTTTTTCTATTTCTGTTTCGATTGTATTTTATTTGACTTTTTTTTTTATATATATATTTCCTGCAAAACATAGCTGAACCTGATTTATTGATTTTGTGTCATATTTTTTAAACAAATTTCTAAACCTAGATAAATGTGTACTACATGCTTATTTAGGATACATCTATTTTGGCCATCTGGATAAGGAAGACTAAGATAATTCTATAATCAATTTGCTCAAAAGGAGAAAAATGAGATGGAACAGAGCAAAAAGGCAAGAGAAAGCACAGAGACAGAGAGGCCCAAAGAGCACAAAAGAGTACCGCGCACCATAGGCACACACAGGTACATACTGCAATGTGATCAAATATCCCGTTGCCTGACTTGCATTTAACAAAAATAATACAATACAATAGAAATAAGGTAAACCCTCATTCGTCTCCCTTGTCTCCAATCATTATAAGAACATTGTCATATCTAATCAATCTAAAATAAAATAAAATAAAATAAAATAAAATTCAGACAGTGTTTTTAAATCTAGTCGGTTTGTTCTGGTTACACGATAGTCGCCTTGTCAGATTTTACTTGATATTTTCGCCTTGAATAGACATTCTTCACATGTATTCATTAGATACTATTTGTAAGCGCATAGTCAATAAAAAGGTGTAAGTACAAACACACGGGGGGAAGTACATACAATATTGTGTGCCAATAACGTAATAGTATATAATGTAAATTATATAACCAAAAAAAAGAGAGAGAGATAGATAGATAGATAGAACAGTGAAAAGGAAAGACTTTTAGCAAATAAGATAAGAATTCAGACCCAACTCTTTAATTGACAGCTACCATTGCATTTTCATTGATAGGAATCTTTTAAGGAGCCTGGCTGGTATACAGCCTAAGCGGTTACCAAGCAACAGTCTTTTACCTTTTGGTATTATATATTCCTACACACAAGTCCATAGAACAGATACGATTACCCATATATATATTAAAGGTATCATTAAGCTTAATGGTCCCCAGAATATTGCTCATGTTGATCTAATGGTGTAAATTATTTAAATGACTGTTTTTTTTTGAAAAGCAAAAAAAAAGAATAAGCAAGCAAGCAAGCAAGAGAAAGAAAGAAGGTGTATATTTCTTTTATTTATCTTCTTCTTTAATACATAACATAATAGCTTTTGTTCAAAGTAACCCCTCTTTCAATATATTCTCCTTGTAATTTTTTTTAAAAAAAAAAACGCCATGCGCACTCATAGTAAAATGACTATACATGTGCGTATGTAAACACCCGTATGCTTTAGTTGTGGTCTTCTTTAGTATAAATGTTAAAAAGAATAAAAAGTAAATGTACTACAAAATACCAAGTAATGTTGAATAAAACTTTAATATATAATATATACTTACTTGGGTATGCATATATATATATTTATATATTTATATATCAAATTAAACCAAGAACAATTGACATAAAGTGAAGCACCAAGCCTCAAGTATTTCACAAGAATTAATCTTTTTTTTTCTGTTTTTGTATTTGTTTGTAAATTTATTGAATACAAAATTTTGTTTCTTATGGTCTTTCTGTTGCTGTTGCTGTTATTGCTGGATCGACAAAATTTTGGAGGTACGTTGTAAAGCATTGCCTTGCATTAGATTGCATTACATTACATATTTAATTCCTGCCTTTAGTATACATTATATATATAAATTTCCTTTTCTTTATTTATACTCTTTAGGTATTTCAATGTTGAATACTGTAAATATAGCTATATTTATAAAAAGACATTTATATATAAATATTATCAGGAGCAAAAGAAATATCAGTGGCAGAAGAGTAATGAGGGTCTCTTATTTCCTTTCCTTCTTCTCACCCCTTTTATTCCTCTCTCTCTCTCTCTTTCTCCTTTTATTTTTCTCTTGCGTACACATAAATATATATATATATATATGCTATTGCTGTTTTATTGCTATTATTTAAACTCACTGGAATGAGAGTTTATACCTTTTATTCTTTAAAGACGAAAAAAAAAAGAAACATGTTTTCAGAAAACATCAAGGAATATATTAAAATAATAGGCTATTTTGTTTCATTGTTTTAATGTTTCAATTTACCTCGAAATATGATAGTGATAGTAGTAGTAATAGTAATAGTAGTAATAGTACTAATGACGATAATTATGATTTAAATAAAGAAGAAAGTGCCAATTTAAGCCGAATCAATATCTATCAGTCATGAAGAGAATTCGATTCGATTTGATTTGATTTGATTTGATAGTCTGGCCCTTTTCTCTTCTTTTCCTACTCTTTACAGAATATGAATTTATGTAAATTAAAGGTGAAGGTGAGATGGGATAAAAGGTAGAAAGAAGAGAGAGAGAGAGAGAGATTGAATGCTAGGCTTGGTAATTACACTTGTATATAGTACTGTCTTGTCTTGTAGTACCCCCCCTTTCATTTCTTCTTCTTATATATATATATATATATTAATATATTTTAGTATGATTTGGATTACTAGAAAAATAGCCTTTCCTTTTCTTTTTTCTTTGCTATTATTAATATCACTATTATTTGGTACTGAGACTTTAAGAACTTCCTTTTCTCTCTTTCTCTTCACTCCTTCTTTTTTATATATATATATATATTTATAATTTTCCTTTTTAACAGCAACTCATGAGCCGTCAATCATTTCAGAAAAGGATTTGCCTGCGTTGGGTATGTGGATTTTGTTTGATAGGTCTGGTGTGGCTCATGGTCTCAACAATTCAACTGAACCAGCGACTTCAAGGTGAGAATATATACACTGCGCGCTGAGACTTTGCGATTCTTAAGCTTTGATTTGTACTTGTACTTGTACTTGTACTTGTATTTGATTTGATTTGATTTAATTTGATCTCCCATCCATAATACACTGTACACAATGCATATTTAGATACATACATACATACATACATACATACATACATACATATATGCATACAGAAAATAAATAAATAATTAATCAATTAATCAATCAATCTCACAGACCGCGTGTGCCTTGAGTGTAATGTCGAGTCCTCCACAAAGCCTGAACATCTACCTACAAATCTTGAACCAACTACAGATATCAACACAGTCCAGGACTACCCATACACAATCGTCACCGCCGCTAGTGCAAACCACCTCTGTGCTCTCGAAAATTTTCTCTACAAACTCAACCACCACCGATCTCGGTTCGCCAACAAAGGATTTCCTCGGATTGTGGTCTACAACCTGGGGATGAACCGCACCCAGCTGCCTGTTTTGGACCAGCTACAGGCCAATGGAAAACTCGACGTTCTGGTTCAGTTTGATTTCCTGGCCTATCCTCACTTCTGGGATGTGGCCATGCGCCGTGGTGAGTACGCATGGAAGACAGCGATAGTGGACGAGATGAGAGTTCGGTTTGGAGGCATAGTGGTCTGGCTGGATGCGGGCAACGTGGTGACTGCAGATTTTGTGCGGATGATCCCAGGTATCGTCCGACGCCAAAGGGGTTTTTGGTCTCCTCGCAGTCAGCACACCGCCAAGATCTGGACACACCCACGCATGTTTGAGTACTTTGAGGTCTCTGCAGAAAACTATGAGAATGTGGAGAACTGTAATGGGGCCGCTCTTGGGTTCGACACATCGGATCCAAATATTGTCAATGGGCTGATATTACCCTGGCTGGCATGTGCCAAGGCCAGAGAATGCATTGCACCCCCAGGGTCGTCGAGGCTCAATCATCGCCAAGACCAGGCTGCCATCACTCTACTGGCCCACCACCAAGGCCACGTCTGTACCAAGCCAGCATCAGCCTTTAGACTCCAACTGCATCGGGACACTTCCTGTAGATCAGATCTACTTGGGCTCGATCTGCAGCACAGATTATTCCATCCGTCCTCAATTGATTTGCCTCCCTGGCGTGCCAGTGACACCGTTCGACTCTATCACCACCCTGAGTGGAGATATCCACAAGACAATGTTCCTTCTGCAATTAAGCAGCTTATCCTAGAGGGACCATGATTGCCAAAGAAGAAAAAAGAAAAAGCCAATATCAATATCAATATCCATCATTATAACCATAGCCATACCCATACCCATATTTATATTCATATTCATAATCATAATAGCTAATAATCATAATCATACTAGTCATATTTACACACCAAAACCTACCCACCCACACAGACATATATATATTTATATCATTAATTTTTGGAATTACACTATATTAAATTCACACAAAACAGGAGACTTTCCTTTCATTTTCTTTCCGCTACTTTCTCTCTCTCTCTCTCTCTCTTTAGTAATACTCAATAGGAGAAACTTACCAATACTACTACTGCTGGTATTATCATTACTATTGTTTCAATTCTTCTTGTCAGTTGTGGACTGTGGCTGATTAAAGCATCTCCTCTTTTTTCTTTTGAAGCATGGTTTTATAAATGTATGTATTAATAATTTTGCTGTTGGGAGCATAAGAAATATACTCTTCTTAGGAGATGGATATTATATATAGATATACCTTTGCTCTTCATCGCGTTACAGCCAGGAGAATGTGTAATGATGCAGATATTTTATGATTAGATTATCCCTTTAGTATACCTTTTTTTTCATAATTACAATTATCAATTACTTTCCTCAATTAATATTCTTCTTTTGTTGTAAATTTGGGAATGTAATTTAAGACAGAGGAAGGAGTCTGTGTTTGTTTAAAGAATCCAAGAATTCACCTAACAAGACATTATTTTATTTATTTTTTGAAGTGTATGTTGTACAGTAAGATAAATCAGCTTAATGCAAACATACTGGCTGTAACCAAAAGACCTTCCCCCCAAAAAAAGAAAATAAAGATAGAATGAGATATTAAAACTAGCAAGCATACAGACCATAAAAACCTATACATCTACAGAAAGGCAAAACTCCGTTGAGCCCTTTATTTTTATTTTTATATTTTATTTTATTTTATTTTATTTTTCCCTTTCTATTATATTTTATATTAAATATATATATATATTATTCATTAGATATTCTTCTTCTTCTTCTTCTTCTTCTTCTTTAATTCATATATTAACTACAGACTTTTCAATCTCAAATTATATTCTTTTATATAAAAAAAAATGAGTCCTAATACCCATCTCACGCCACCATCACCGAATCACCAACCATCTTCAACCCTAACACCCCCTCTCCCTGCAGCCTCCTTGTCTGGAAGACTCCCGTCCACACGTCTCAGCATAGCCGCAGCCGCAGCCGCAACCACAGCCTCACTCCAGGCAAACTCACGCTCCAAGAATTCACAATTACCCACCCGAGGCGTCACTCCATCAAACTCTTCAGTCAGAACAACTTCCCAATCGTCATTTAGAACAAATACTCCAATCCGAAACATTCATTCATCCCAATCTACCGCAGCCGGAACAAATGTCCAGCGACGAAGAAACAGTCTCAGTGTGGCAAACAGTCGAAGTATGAACCACCAAAACCTGGTCTCTACTAATAACAGCAACACTAGCACTAGTAGTAGAAATAATAAGGTTGGCGTGATTCCTCCTGTACCGGCAATCCCGGTTTTTCAAAGATCCTCAGCTGAGAATGTCCAGGTCACTGTGAGATGCCGACCGATCACTCAGCGAGAACTGACCGGCCGAGGCGAAAATCTTTGGACAGTTGATACCAAAGAACGGTTGGTAAAGTCCAACAATATTAGAAATGAAGCTACAGGAACAAAGGCAGACGTTGAGTATAAATTTGGTAATTACATTTTTCTTTACATGTTTATAGAAAATATATTTACACGTACATACGCACATACGCACATACGCACATACGTACATACATCGTATACACATATATGATGTATTTTGATCTTATTGTTAATTAATTAATTAAATTTATTTATTTTTATTTGAATTCTGTGCCTGCTTGCCTGTCCGTAGACCATGTGTTTTATGGGAGTGACAATGAGAAATTATACCAAGCAGGTGTAAAAGGTTTGATAGAGTAAGTGCAGCTTAGTACATATTCTATACATAATATAGGAAAATATTATTTATAATGTATAACTTACATAATGTGTATATTTTCTTTAAACATCTACTAGTCAAGCAATGGACGGTTATAATGGTAAAGAATATCAATAATTGAGTTCTTTGAGATACATTTACTAATTACCATATACAATATGTACATTATTGCTTCTTAGCTACCGTATTTGCCTATGGACAGACAGCCAGTGGAAAAACCTATGTAAGATACACTTTAAAAAAAAAGTTCATTATCATCATTACTACTACCATTAATGTTACTGTTACTGTTGCTGTTACCATGATGACTATTATTATTCGTATGAAATATAAAATTAAATCCTATATGTGTTTTTATAGACAATGGTAAGCTTTTATTTGCAGCAAAATGTATAATAATTTCAATTAAACCATGATAATTTCCGTTTTTCTTTTTTTTTTGTAAGATGGGTATGTATCTTTTTTTTTTTTGCATGGATTTGCGTGTGTGTAATTTTACTGCAACTTTATATTAAAATGATAAACAATTATTATAACGCAAAATTATAACAATTTGTTTTTTGTTTTGTTTGAAATCTCTAGGTACTGAACAAGAACCTGGTGTAATCCCTCGGGCTGTAAATGAAGTATTTGAGAATATCAGACAAGTAAGAACTAAAAAAAAAAAACCAAAAAGAAAAAGAAAAATACTAATAATTCAAAGGCTTTGATTAAGTAAATAATTGAATAAATAATAATAATAATAATAATAATAATAATAATCATACATACTACACGCAAATTATGTGGTTTATTCGGCTCATCCCGTCTATATCGGATGATATTTTTCCATGGATTTATTTTCTCATTTTTTTTTATTGCTTTTGGAATTCTGATTTTGGTTAGGCTACCAACAAGGAGTTTTTGTTAAGAGTTTCCTACCTCGAGATTTATAATGAAACGATTCGAGATTTGCTTGCTCCAAATAATACAGACATCAAAATACACGAAGATAGACGAGTAAAGTATTTCTTGTAGTTAGAAAAAAGTTTCTTTTTTTTTTATTGATTGATCTTTTTCTATTTCATTTCTAAAAACAAAAAAAAAAGAGAGGTATCTATGTGAGTCCTTTGATTGAAGAAATCGTGACAGGTCCAGAAAAGGTTATGAAAATTATCCAAAGAGGCGAAGGTAAATAAAAGACACATGTATACCATGCTTGTGTGTGAATAAACCAAAACGCTTAATGTTTGTAGCCAATCGACATATCAGTACAACAGATTACAATATGCATAGTAGTCGAAGCCACACCATATTTCAAATGGTAAGATTGCACCTTTACTTTCACTTTTCACTTTTCACTTTTTCTCGGAATATCCATAAATAATGATCACAAATTCTAAGGCTTGTATTGTGTAAAAAAATACATAAAGGTTATTGAAAGTAGAATACGAAACAATGATAGTACTACACTACTCAGTCCGGTTAATACACAACGGCGCATGTCATTAGCCCCAAATATCAAAGGGCGTCAAGAATCTGTCAAGATATCACATCTGGTAATAATAATAACACTAGTTTTTTTTTTTAAAAAAAAAGACAAAAACTTAAACATTGCATGTGTGTGTGTGTGTGTGTGTGTGTGTTATGTATCACAGAACTTGATTGATTTGGCAGGATCAGAAAAAGCAGTTACCAACCAAGAACGTCGTAAAGAAGGTGCCTATATCAACAAGAGTCTATTAACCTTGGGAACTGTCATTTCCAAATTAACAGAACAGGGCAAAAGGTTAGTGGTTACTAGATATACATATTCGTGCAATTCACATTCTCACTCAATATATTATACGTGTTTGAAAAAAACAAACAAACAAACAGTAGTGCTGGTCACATTCCCTACAGAGACTCAAAATTAACTCGAATCTTGCAGACGGCTCTGTCAGGTCAGGCCAAAGTCGGTGTGATCTGCACTATCAGTCCAAGCTCTCTAGATGAGTCCCACAATACCCTAAAGTTTGCTGCACGTGTAAAGAAGGTGGTCGTGACTGCCAAGAATGAAGAAGTCATGGATGATAAGGCGTTACTGCAGCGATACAGAGGCGAGATTCTGGATCTGAAGCACAAATTGATGGCCGCAAATGAAGTCATCAAGGAAGAGAAAGATCACACTCAATCTATGCTTAGTGCCGAAAGGCGTCAGGTAAAAATACACAATAGAGGAAATTTATATCTATAAAAAAAGGAGTTCTATGTATTGATAGCCAACTTTCTTATTCTTTAGTATGAAGAAGAGTTTAAACGAATGCAGATCGTCAGAGCAGCTCTCAAAGAAAGGCAAGTTATTGTATATATTATCAGTCAAGGTTAATTGTTTCTGTACTTATGAACCTTATTAACGAACAAATGTTATATTCTTCTTCTTCTTTAGAATTGACCATTTGACTCGATTGATATTAACATCCCAGTCAGTTAATATTCCTGTTGATCCCGGTGTGTCACAGGTAAAAAGAAAACAAAAGTCTATAGTAATTAGTTAATTAATTGGTGAATTAACTTTTCTTTCTTTATTTTATGCTTTTCTTCTTACTTTGGTCTATAGATAAAAGAAGTAGTGCCTGGTGCCAATATCAATAATAATAATAATAACACCAATAATAATAATAATAATAATAATAATAATAATAATATTAATAATAATATCAGCAGTAGCAGTAGTAGCAATATTCTTGGTATTCCACTAGACCCTGATCACCAGGACCCATGGTTACTTGTTCGAGATTTGCGAAAACGACTCGAGGAAACCAATCTGGAAAGACAGAGTTTGGAACGACAGTTGGGAGAGAGCAAAGAATACATTAGAAATCTAGAGATCGAGGTGGCCCAAAAAAAGAGTTTGTCGGACAAAGTTGCCCATCTTGAGGCTGAACTTAGTATTACCAAGGCAGAGCTTCAGGTTACCACAATCCTTGCCCGTGAAGATGTTCCTACTGGTAGTTCCCGATGTCTACCAGAAGATTCTAGACGTCGTTGGGAAACAAATACATTTTAGACAAAAGTGTATGATAAATAATAATAAAAAACAACAACAACAATAATAAGGATAATAATAGTACCAATAGTACTAATATCAATTAATAAACATCAATAAAAAATATATATACACACATATAAGAAGAATAAATGGCCATTCAATAATACTCTTTCATTAATGATTAAAGAGGTATACATACATACATACGTATATATATATATATATATATATATATAAAGAAAAATAAGAATAAGAATAAAAATTAATAAGAATAATAAGAATAATAAGAATAGCAAAAATAATAATAAAGAGGTATGATCAGCTTAATTTCTTTTTTCTCTTTCCTTCTTCTCTTCAATTGAAAAAACAGATATATATATATATATACGTAAAGAGAGAGAGATATAGATAGAGAGCGGTTCATGAAGTGGGTAAGCACAATAAAAGAAAAAAAAGAAAAAAAAACTAATAATGAAAAGAAGAAGAAGTTAACTAGAGAGAATTGGAGTGAGTTGGATGATTCAAGTACAAGTACACAGTCCACAGGTAAAGGTGACTACTAAACGTTGCCAGAACCCTCGCTTATGAGCAGAGTCTGTGTCTTGAAGACCTCGGCTGTGGTGTTCCATAGTCTGATAGTTCTGGTTAGGATTCATAGTCATCGGCTGTGAAGTATAACGCTGGTAAGGATCTTGAGTACCACCGAGTCTTTGCCTGGAAGGGTTGCGACGTGAGGATTCTCGATGTTTGGAATGTTGACGGATCTTCTGGCCGCCACTCCCACTAGATGCAGCAGCGGCAGCGCTGTTTAGAGCTGCTACAGCACCATTACGATAACGAGACCGAGGCTGTAATACACACGTATATATATATATACGTGTGTGTGTATTTGTAAAAAAGGTAGGTTAAGTAGGTAGTAGTAATAATATTAGTATTGGTATTAGAATCTTATATATATATATATTTTGTTTCCTATTTTCTGTCTGTTTGACAGTCTTTAAAACTATAGCAACTATATAAAACCTTACCTCCAAGCCACTGTTGTGCTTAATGAGCATCCAGTCATAGACACCATCCTCGGCATCTGGTATCGTTTTTAACACCTTGTCAAACAAACCTCGCATAAAGTCGTAATCAGGTGTTTCCTCGAATCCAAGTCGACGTGCGTATTGAAAGTAAATGGCGAATTCATCTATACGATATTTTCAGGAATGGTTTTAATATCTACCGTATATGTATGTGATTCTTTCTTCTTCTCTTTTTATTAATATTAGTATTACCTGGATATCCTTCACATAAATCTTTGACTGCAGTTGATTGCTTCTTCTCGCCAATCTTCTCATACTTTTGCTTGTTTGTAGCTGCCTTGAGTCCTTGCCACGGCAAAGATCCTCTCAAGAAGTACATGAATACATGTCCGAGTGATTCCAAATCATCGCGTCGTGATTGTTCTAAGGATCGATTTTCAATTTTTCTGTCATTCTTTCCCGTGTCTGTCCTCATCTTTCTTTTTCTTTTGTGCTCTCATTGTTTTATACCTCTTCCTAGATGTGTGTTTACACTCATATAACGTGCTGTTCCTGACAGACTTTTACGCTCTCTGTAAGGTATATGCTGTTTGGTTTTTGGATCGCGGTATTGTTTTGCCATTCCAAAATCAATCATATAGACGGTATTGGCTTTGCTCGTGCCAGGACGACCGATCAAGAAATTATCAGGTTTTATGTCTCGATAGATCAAATTACGCTCATGCATGCTTTGAACACGGCTCACCTGAAAAAAAAATATGAAGTCAGTTCTCTCTCTTTTTCTTTTTTCTTTCTTTTCACATCATTCACTCTCTAACTCTCTCGTTTTTATTTTATTTTTTGAAATTTTTGGGTTTTGTATTTACCATGTGTTTGGCCAGCATGGCTACTGTCTTGACGCTAAATCTTCGAGAACAGCAGTCAAAGAGGTCCTCCAGACTCGGCCCGAGCAAATCGATCACGAGGACATTGTAAAGACCTTCTTGACCAAAATAATAAGCTGTTGGAACACCACCTATATATAGACATATGTATGTTTAAGAAGAAAGGCAGAACATGAAAATGTTAATAAACCAAATATATGTTATGTATATTTAATATTTGTGTGTTTTTGTTTTTGTTTTTGTTTTTGTTTTTGTTTTTTTTTTTGAAGAAAACCACTTACCAAGACCAGCTAGGATTTTGTATGTTCTATACTCATCACGTAACTGAGGTGCGTCTGATTTACGAGGTTCGAATTTGATAGCTACCAGTTGGTTATTGAGTAGATTGGTGCCTTTATTTCATTTTATTTTTTTGTCATTTTTGTCATTGTTGTTGATTTTTTGTGTTAGAATTCCAAGTGTTGAGTTATTGTTGTTGTTTTTACCTTCATAAATAATTCCAAAACTTCCTTCTCCAATCTTATTGCCGACTTTGTAATGAACTCCTACGACATTGATGGATGAGATGATGGAAGAGCTTGCACGGCTTTGTGAATTCCGGTGAGGATTGGCTGCCATCAAAAATAGAATAAAAGAGTAAAGAAATAGAATAAAGCAATAAAAATTAAAATAATAATTATATATATATATAAATATATATGTATGTATAAATGTGCGTGTAAGTGTAAGTGTAAGTATAGGTATAGATATAGGTATAGGTATAGGTGCTTATATATCTATATCATATATATATATATATATAGATATGTATGTATATGTGTATGTATGTATATTATATATAGATATAAGGATACACGCACAGAAAGTGAAATAAAATCAAATAATAAAAACTAATAAGAACAAGCAAGAAAATATGAGGTGTTGAAAAATACAGTTTTTTCTAAAAAATAATAATAATTTATATAAAATAATATAATAAAATATAATATATAATAATAATTTAATATTAAAAACAAAAACAAAAACAAAAAAAAAAGAGAGAGAGAGAGAAAAGAAAGAGAGGGGAGAGGGAAATATGAACCTCTTTGTGCTATTTCTTTTAAACTATATTTTGTTCTGGTTGATTGACTGATTGGGCCAATATTAACCTATTGATTCCTTAATCCACTAACTCATTAACTCATTAACTGACTGACTGAATAACTGACTAAATGACTGGCTGGCTGATGTGCCATGACATGACTATGTGTTTGTATATACTTATATTTGTTTGTATGCTTTATACATCTTTGGGGTAGAGCGATGGCAAGAGATCCGTTTTTGTTTCTGGTTTCTGTAACACCAAAGAAATCAAGGTTCGTTCTTACTTCATTTCACAATATATATATATATTTATATATAATATTTTTATTTATTTATTTATTTATTCTTGTAAGGAGATGTTTATTATCAGCCCAGGTTTTATTAGCATATAGAAGAAAACCTCTTGGTGAAATAGATGTTATTCATAGGTGTATATATGTATGTACTTAGGTACATCATTTCCTTGTAAAGTTCGACAAATATTATATACATACATAAAGATACATATAAGGGGGACAGAATGGTAAGGACAGGATAAGAAGAGACAGGACACTTAATTCTTACCCGATAAATCAAAGACCGACAATACCACAAGCAAAAAGGAAGCACAGCCATGGGGGTAGTGAGCGAGTCAATTATAATTTTTCTTTTTCAAAAAAAAAAAACTTTTAGTATATGTCCAAAAATAAAAAACATTGCGCATATTAAATTAGAACGCCGTATTTGCTCTAAAAATAAACTTACGTATTTACGCAACTTTTTTTGTACAGTGCGAGTTGCGCTCCCGGAGTTTTAAATACTGTAATTTCCAACAGTAAAAGTTAATCTCAAGACCTGAAACGCGCTTTTGTTTTGTTTTGTTTTGTTTTGTTTTGTTTTGTTTTGTATTGTATTTTATTTTATCGTCAAGAATAATAGTTTAAGGAATGTTATAAATCCTGTGATTATAATCCTAAAAGAAAATATATAAAGAGATGTTCTACTAGAATTGGTATATCTTTGATCAGCAGAATTTGGTAACTCTTGAAATTAATTTTTTTTTCTGTAGTAATATGACCTCTGAGAATTTTGAAATGATTCTGTTCCCAAGTTTGATCTCTGCAATAAAATATTCCTCTTTACATCCTAGGGATTGACCGATCCAAGATTTGGGTGATTTTAATAAAGTCAAATACTTGAATTGTAGTTTTCTCCCTTCTTTATAACCTCTATCCCAATGGACATTTGTATCCAAGAGTCTTGGTATTACTTATAAAGTATTATCAATTCATAGTATTCTTTTTGGTTTGTTGCCAAAGATTAAGACATCTTTTCCAAGTCTGTCAAGCTGCTCTTCAACTCCCTAATAATTAAATTACACAAGAAGTTTTGTCGATATAATCGTTTGAATTTTATCAGAGTTATTTAATTAACATGTATAAATATACTTTGACTAATGAATACATATAGAGATATAGAGATAAATTAAAAATAAAGCATTAATAGTCAACATGACTAATATCATTAATAAATGCTTCATTGATCGATCTACAGCGCAGTAATGAATATCCATGATAGAGATCCTCTTCCCATCTACTGGAAAGACCTAATCCTCCTAAAATATGCTTTTTAACATTGTTGAAAGGATCTTGACTTGAAACCAGAAATGTCTCAAAGAACTTTTCTGTTATCTGCCTTTCCTTCCCCCCGAGTTTCCGGGTCTTTCCATCACTGGTCCAGAATTTAACGTCTCGGTGGTAATGATACCAAGTCCGTTTGATAGGTAGTGATGGACTTTCATCACTAGAAGATGATTCAGTATCTGCGGTTTTCGTATTTCTAGATCGGCGTAGATGGTCTGTTTCTTCGATAGACAAAATTTGCAAGGAATGGAACCCACTGGGTTCTTCTGAAAATATGTTTTCCTCGTTTTCTACAGCATAAAATATAGTGCTCACCAGTCTGAGGATCTTAAAGTCTGTAAAGGGCATATTTAGGCAGAGCTCTCCTGTATTCTCTGAGATTCTTCCTAATATTCTGGCGCGATACAATATCATGCAATCGAAGTCCCTGCAGTATAATGATAGATAGTTAAATGTAACTGGACTTGTTTTCGATCCTTTGAGCTCTAACGATCTCAATCCGTGCGTACGTGTGCTATTAAACGCTTCTGGACTTAGCGAAATAAATACACCCGACAATTGAAGGTCCTTCAATGATGTACAGCTTTCCAAGAGGGTATCAAGTTCAAGATTACTGCCTGAATGGACTATTTTCAGAGTTACCAAGCGAGGACATGCACCAAATTTCAGGAAAACCTTGGGAGAATCGAAATAATATGCGACCAGCTGAATAAAAAAGTTTTGGATTGTTGGCGAGCAAAAGTGGATTAAGTGTGGCCCGCTATTCTGTGTCTCCAACCCCGCTCTTTTTGATATCTCTAAACTATATTCCAAATATTGGAGTTCTTTGACCTGTGTCTGTAATGTCTCCCAAAAGAAATCATAATCTAATCCCATCGGTACTTTCTGGGTTACGACCATGCTTTTCAAATGAGGGAAATTTGATGATAGACTTGAAATCATTGTAGAAGTTTCTGCATCGGGTATCTGTTCTTCATGAAGTACAGTGTCCTTGAATGGTTTTCTGGTTTTAAGTGTGCGTATGTTTGGATATTTGAGAGAGAAATAAATAATCCAGCCAATATCCATGTTGAGGTTGAGAAGCTTGACTACGGTTGTGGTATTCGCTGGCTTTATGTTCTTCATCTTTAATATTTCAGATACTGGTATGGAACCAAACAATAGGTCGGTGTGAAAATATTCCAGCCGTGGCAAGGTTTCATGAAGCCTTTCCAAATTTTCCCAGGTATCTCGTGGCTCTGGAGGTAACGTGTAATAAATGCTGTCTTGGATTGTTAGATGTTTTAAGCAAGGCAGGCACGCTAATATCTTAAACAACTGCTCTTTCTGATCGTCGTCATTCAGTCTTTTGATATATATTAGCATTGTAGTCAATGCTGCCCAGAGCTTCCAGTCAGGAATACTTCCAAGACTATCCTCACGCATAGTATTATGCGGAATAGAGATTTCTTTTAGCTGTTTAAATAATCGCTGTAAAATGTGGAACTGTATCTCGGTCGTCTGGACTTTTGCTTTGAAAACCAATCTTTGAACTTTGTTTCCGTTTAGTTGATATATTGTTGGCCGAGTAGTTGATAGGTCGCATATTTGATTTAACTTCTCTTCGCTGTCGATGGTTAACGTATCCCAGAGCGAGCCTTGAAACGGAGTCTTCCATGTCCGGCAAACTGTAGAACAAATAATTTTGTCATTCTGCTGAAGTGATTTTGCAATGACTGTCAAGATCTCGAATGGCAGTTCTGTAGTTAACATTAGGGAAGAGATGACCACCAAAAAAAAATGAATGGGAAAATAAAAGAAGAACTTGGTCGATCCAGTAAATATCAAGGAATTACGCTTTGTACTATTAAAATTGTGTAGATCTAAGCCTCTGGGGCTCAAAGTTAACGAACTTGTGAATTGGGCGTGTAACTACACGGACATTCTTTATATGTCAATGGTGTAATTAAATGACCCCAAGCCCAAGTTTTCTTGTCTATTTTTACACCAACAGATTACTTTAAAGAAATGAGAAAGGCTTTTTACTTTGATATGAACCAATGCGACCCATCTTTATTTTCTGTTTCTAATTCAAGAGGTATAAATAGAATGTTCCTTTTGCAAAAATATACTCATAGTGAAATATTAATACCTTTTGAGTGAGAGGTTTTAATCATTTATTTTTGTAAAAAAAAAGGTGAACTTACAGAAGTTGTATAATATCATATTAGCATTTGACTATCCTTATTTTTTATTTTTAATAAGAAAATAAATTCAGTTGTATTTAATATGTACACAGGGCGTATTCAATGATAAGTGCTGCTGCGCAAGACTAACTTGAGAACACGACAATCCAATTTGGGTATTTAATTTGTTGTTGCTTTCTGCTATAATTATCTATTGTCTATCCCATAAAAGCTATTTATAAGGATAAGGATAAGGATATGTTTCCCATAATATAGATGCGTATAGACACACAGTCTACCTCTTCCAATGTTACGAGAATCCCAAAATAAACAAAATACAATAAAGGTATTTTATATTTGGAGTAAAAGTATTATTGCTATTAGAAGAGTAAGTTTATTTAATACAGATATATAGTAGATATTCATTCAAGTACTAATGGTTATTGGATATCACAAATCCTTTCATAAACCATAAAGAATTTATTTATTATGTTTATGTGATAACTCTGGTAATTATGAGCATCTTTCTTTTTTTTTTTCAAACCAATGAACATTAGTGATTGTATGGTTTATTGCATACAAGGGTGGATCGTATTGGCAAAATACCCGATACTTAAAAAACATATATACCTTTAACAGCACAAACTTTCAAATTACTTTTATTCAATGAAAGTTAACATATATGTATATATTCTCTTTGCCTGCTTTATTATACAGGAAAATAATATGTGATCAGTTTATTCTTATCGCCCAGGGTTTTGGAAGGAAAGCAAGGGGTGGGGTACTATTTGGACAGAGTGTTATACCATGCTGCACATCCTTATTATGATTTTGTCTGTCGTGTAAACAAAGATCATATGTGCATGTATTTTAGTTACACGCTTATATATATATATATATATATGTATATGTACAAACTATACCTTTTATTAAATAGAGCACAAAAATAGCTTGCTTATTAGAATGCATATATTCAATGTTTAAAATCAAAGAATAATAATAATAATAATAAACATTTGGCATAATCACTGACACTTCCTTAATAATCATATTGTTTAATCACTCTCGCCATATACAAAATCACATCACAAATAGATAAATGACTGGTTATAGAGATAGCCTCGCAGCACTTGTTAGTATATGAGATATACATACTTTTATTAATTCAAAGCTTTTTATGAATACAGTGTTACGGTAAAACAATAAAAAAAAGGTCGTAAGATATATAAATCAATTCACAGGTATTTGAAAGAAATCTTGCTATACAATATTTAATCAGAATGTTTGTTTTTGAGGAAGCGATGGTATAAATACTGGTAAGCTGCGGGTTTTGATGCACATATATAATGGCTGTATAGGCTCCATATTCTCAAAAGAGTAAAATAAGAACTTGTTGATGACTGGTATTTCCTGCATAGCAAGCCAAGCTTTTGCTATATCTCCCAATCAGGATTGGAGAGTGCAGGTACCAATAGCTTGAAATGATCCGATTTGATGGCAAAACATTCAATAACATACCCTACAGAAAAAAATAGGCGATTTTAGCGAATTGCTGCAAGTTTTCCGGGGTTTAAAGTGTCTTGTACTTGAGTTTTAATTAAGCACCAATTTCTCTCTCGCTCTCTTTTATATTCTACTTTTTTTTTTACCCCACCATGTTTTTTGCAGTCAAAGCAAAACATCTTTTTCTTAGCTTTTTCAACCCATTACAAAACTAAATACCAAGTTATTTGAATCTAATGGCTTATCAGCGGTAGCTTGGGTGGGTCCTAGGCGGTAACCAAGACAAAATTTTCTATCTTCTTTGAATTCTAGTCAGTCTTTGTCTCAAACGACGACCCTCCTGGAGATCTTCTTCTGCTTGTCTTCTGATACGTCCGATCCGAATGACGCGGGTGAACCTTACAGGTATAGTCCCATCATATCTCAGATTGTTAAGTATATGTCGGAAGTTCAGGACAGCAGCAACATCCTGATTCCACCAAAGATGCATAACCTCTGACCCGTCCATGTTCTCCAAACAATTTAGATTGGTACATCTAAAAGGACTTGTTTCTATTTTTTTCACAAGGTCTAGAATTATTAAATGTCTTTAAAAGAAACATAATTAATAGCTATCAAGGCTAGTATTAATAAAATACGAATCAGTAAAGTTGACAAAAGAAAGTAACTTGTGAAGAATTGACAGAAAAATATATGCATCAAGTACAATTTGGTTGTCAAGATTGCTCACATGCTCATTAGAAATCTCGGTAGATTTAGAGAATCGCAGGGAATCTGTCTTCTTGTTTTTCAAAAGTAGGAATCAGACATGACAATGTTAACATAAAACAGGTTTATACTCTTTGATAAAAAGAATTAATTAAGCAATATAAATATCTTCATCAATACCATAGTACTTAGAGAATAGCCTTTTTTTATATAAAAAATGTAAAAAGTATTACATAGAAATAGATATATGTATATTATTTAGTAAATTTATAGCTTAAACTGTTACTAAATATCCTAAAAAAATAGCACTTCTTCTTTCCATACTTCTTTATATTCAACTTGTATTATTAGAGAACCCGTTGTCGAGTGAAAATTCTAAATTTTCACTCACTCTTGCTTTACGCGTCGATTGAAATTCCAATGAAAAGATGTAAAATTTTACTGAGGGAGGCCATTTAGTGATGAAATGGAGTGAAAAATTGGGAGTTTTCTAGTTTTTCACTCCATTTCATCACCAAGTTTTTATTAAGAATTCAGCTTGTTTCTCCACCTTCGAACATAAATCTAATATAGTCAAGAGCCCTCTCTATATATCTACTTAAGAGAATAAGTCTTGGAAAGCCGAGTTTATTAAGATGTATCTCTCTTATGTTTGTCACAGTACTTATGTTTTCATCAACTGTGGTCGAGTTTTTCTTTTTTTTGACTGGGTTTCACTAATAATTCTTTTTTATCAGTCTTTGAAAATATCACATCCCAACGGGTTCTCTATTTTGATCAATAAAAACTATAAAATTCCAATATAAAACCATGTATTTGTTGAACCAATTATAAGAATAGAGATATCTAAAAAAGGTATAATTTTGCTACTTTAAACGATTTTATTGGATTAGATAAAAAGTAATTTTAACTCCAATAAATAGTATTCGCTGTAAATACTTTTAATTTACTAAAAGCCAATATTCTATTGGCAGATATTACAACTCCGCGACCGTAGGAATTATACGGTCCCGTATATCTTATACGAATCCGTATAATTCCTACGGTCGCGGAGTTGTAATGTCTGCCATTTACTACAGTGATAGCTGAGCTCGGACCGATTCTTGGGCTTGAATAAGTGTGTACAACGATCACCCTTAAAAAGGAAGAATATATCTTTAGTTTAATGCTGGTTGTGAGACTTGATATTCCAAGAACCCGTAGAGTCGTTCCACTTGATGGATAAGAATTGTGCTAGGGTAGTAACGAAGAATAAAATAGATAAATAAAATCCAGGCGGCGGACAAACTTGTTTATGGCTATGAACAAGACCTTGTCTTTGTCTTTGTACTTGTATTCTTTGATATTTCCAAAGTTGTTATTATGGACATTATATGATTCAGAAACCACAAACATTGTATCTACAAACAAAAGCACCCTTGAAATGTTCAAGAAGTGGAACTCATGATATGCCCTCTTCCCCCGCCTAGCACGCGTTGGTACAATCATATAATTGTAGCTTTTTTAAGTATATTAATATCTGATGAAGGAGAGCATATCGTTTCAAGATCTATTAGACAGTCTATACACACCTGCTATCTGTTATGATTTTAATAATAGAAGTTTTGAACAACAGGTCTCGATGAGAAAGCCACCTATAAATGTATATATGTATATATGCATATTACATATATCGTTAACTTTTAATAATGTGCCAACTACCCTAACATTTCTTTGTCCAAAGAAAAAAGTACGCCCCCCCCCCTCTTTGTAAAGGATAACTGCTCCATCGTCTTTAAGCTTTAAACATTAACATGTGACATCATCTGGATTTCAACATGTTTTATCATGACACTCCCATATCCAACTGTCAAAGCTTACTTTTTCGTATCTTTCTCTCTTTTTTTCTTTTTTTCTTTTTTCTACTTTTACTCTTGTTTTTGCTTTTACTTTCTTTCTTTCTTTCTTCATACATATTTTTTTTCCCTTCAACCGGAACACCTTAGTTAATAAACATGGCTAATGTGGCAGAGCAGCACTTGCCCGTTGTTCAAAAACCAAAACGTGCCAATGTCCAGATTGTGAATGAGGCTACCTCATTGATGCCTTCTCAAAACAAATCAGCAGATCTTTCGCTTAGTCTAGAACCAACCGAGCGACGAAAGCAATGGCTCGGGCTAATTATTATGGGCATGTCTGCAATGTCATTCTCATGTATGGCCATGTTAGTCCGAATCAGTGCCGTATATTTTTCGATAGTAGATATCGTCCTGGCCCGTTCTGCTACTCAACTAGTACTGTCACTCGCAAGTTGTGCAGTGCTCGGGATAAATCCTCTTGGAAAATACGGGGTTCGGAAATGGCTTTTCTTCAGAGCTCTGGTGGGCTCCATCGGCCTTATCTTGTTTTTCTACAGTCTGACCCGCCTACCTATGTTAGAAGCAACCTGTAAGGATACAAGTCCATATGTATTGGATACTGTGTTTTCTTTCTTTTTCTTTATTCTTCTTCTCAGAATAATAATACTTATTCATGCTTTGGTCTGTTTAGCTCTCTTCTTTCTAGGTCCGACATTTACTGCCATTGTTTCTTATCTGGTATTGAATGAACCCTACACTTTATTTGATGGTGTTTGTTCTGTGGGATGTTTGTTTGGAATCATACTAGTGTGGAAGCCAAAGTATGCCTTGGGCCACCCGGTGGCTGATCCTACTGCGGGTGTGTACAATATGGACCCGTCTCAATTAGCTGAGGATGAGATGGCAAGGTCTTTTGCTATCTTGTGCGCAGTTGCAGGAGCCATAATGTCAGCAATTGCATACATTTCGGTCAGAAAAGTCGGCAAGGGAACTCACCTTATGGTTCATTCGGTGTATTTTGCGGTTATCTCATGTGTACTCTGCATTGGAGGCGTGTTTGTTATGCCCCCGAACACATTGCTGCAGGAAGACTGGTCATCTTATACCCTTCTTGGATTGATGGCGTTATTTTCTTTTGCAGGTCAATGCTTCCTGAATCAAGGGTTAGTGACATATTTGTGATCTGATATCATATTGGTATATTAACTATTATTATTATCATTATTATTATTTCTCTAATTTATATATGTATGTATATAGCGTACAAATGGTTCCTGCTGGTCTTGGTAATACAAAGGCTTGCTTTATTCAAGTTAAATTTTACTCACAACGAACTCTTTTATTATATTCTATTTTATTATAGGAGCCTTGATGCGTATTTGTGACATTGTATTTGCATATCTGTCCGGAGTTTTTGTCCTTCATGAATACCCTGATAGTTTATGTGTGTCTGGTGTGTGTTTGATTGTTGGTATGACAACCACTTTATCTATACACAAATGGCAGGTCCAGAAAATCAGGGCACTAGAATTGCGTAAACAACGCTCTAGAGAAAGAGTTTGATATTTCACATTATGCCAAACATGATCTACTCTTTGATTGATACCTTACAAAATAATTTCAGTTAAACATTATTCTATCATCCATTATTACTCATTTGCTTTCTATTCATCAAAAATATATTAAAAGAGCTCACTCATATCTAAAATAAAGCAACCAATAAAGCAACCAACTAACCAAAAAAAAAATGAACCTCCAAATTTACCATACAAAATAAAATAAAATAAAATCAAATCAAATCAAATTCAGAAATCACTTGTATCACGTGGGACTGTCTTGTGTGTACTGTTGTAAATTTGCATCATTTCAGCCTTACTCTTCCATCTGTACCTTTCTTTCTCTCTTCCTTGTCTTCTTCTTTTTTACGCTTTCTCTTTCTCTCTATATCTCTATTTCTTTGTCTCTTATCTTGATTTAATACACAGCTTTATATCGCTCGTCTGGTCTCTCACTCACTCTCTTTTATGTCTGCTACGATGAATGAAATACAATCACCAAACGTGTCGCAGAATCATTATCTTCATTCCAACCCAATGCCCTTGTTTGAAAGTCCTGGAAGATGCTCTAACAACCAAGCCAATATCCAACCTTCCGTACAGACCTTGCCTCAACCAACAATAGAAGCACCACCTGTTCAAAATATAAACCCTCCTGATAATGAACAACCTACCCGGATCCCCGTACCAGTATCCACACAACCTAAGCCGACAACAACTATCGATAGACACTTTGTCTCTGTCAGAACTAAACGAACCAATACAAGCACTCGCTCTGTGCCCTCATACATGAGCACCACTCTGTCATTTCAAAACCGTCACCTTGAGCAAAAGCCAGCTACTGAGAACTCTACTCGATCTAGAAACATCAATACTAGTGTAAATACATACTAGTGGCTTAAGATATTATATATATATATATTTGCGATAGAAGCTTATTTTTATTTAATTTTTTAATTTTAGAAGCGGTCTCCCAAGGCATCTCGCATTCCTCGCTACAGACCTACACGAAATAATAGCGCTGAAGAAAACAAAGGAGAGATTGGGCCAGGGGAGGAGTACATCCCCATGGCTGCTCGTGTCAAGATATTTGAGAACAATCTCGGTAACGGCTTGGTACCTACACCCAAGGTGACTGAAAATACACTTGAGAACATCGTAAGCCTTGGTCAAAGAAGCTTGTCTTGTAGTTCTCGGCATCATAGAAAGAGAATAATAATAGAAGTCTCATTTATTTACACTATCTATCTATTCGTTTTCTTTCTTTCTATTAGCAACCTTTTGTACCTCATAAGCCTACATTGGCAAAGTCACCTTTTCTACTCACACGCCAGCGCTCTTACTTGAATCGGTAAGTATTTCATAGTTTAAATTTATTGCTTGGAAACATCCCCTAACGATATTATCTTTTTATTGGATTGGATTGGATTGGGACAAAGCAGACATCAACCTGAACAAGTAAGTACACTTTCAGACAAGCCAGACCAGAACAGGCCAGGACAGGCCAAATTAAAAATAAAATAGAATAAAAAGCATATACCTGATTAAAATATCAATCAAGTATTCTTACACAAATGTCTGTTTTTGTATTATAGGCTGCACTTCCACCTACCACATCTTCTCGTTCTACAAGCAGTGTACAAATACAGCGTACTCAAACACCAGCCCAGAAATCTCGAGCTGCTCCTCAATCCGACGATACATCCTATCCAGCTGCTAAGAGACAGAGAAAGATGGATTCAAAAGCACCTATTCAGGTAAATTTCTGGCGGATATATTAAGAAATACAAAAAACGTACTAATGTATATATATAGCCATTCCGGTTTGCGACAGAGGAGAGGGCTCTTCATTATCTCAAGGGATCTCAGGTTAAAGTGGATGCTTGGAAGGGTAAAGAACAGACATCTCGTTCCGAAAAAACTCGCTCTACTATCAGGGTAGCAAAGGAAGAAGAACCACGCAACCCTAGAAAGCGCAAGGTAATAAAGGAAATCAAGTAAATAGTGATACCTCTTGGCTGTATTGTGTGTCCTAAATATACCTCTTGTACTTTTTTTATATGTAAATTTTGTAGCAAGAGGATGCTTTGTCGTAGCTTTACATATTCTTCATTTTATCTACAATCTTAAATGTTTGATATAGGATCATTTCTCTTCTATGTTTCCGTGTTTTTCTTTTTCTTCATTCTTCCTTTTATTATTATTATTATCATTATTATTGTCTTTGTTGTTACTCTTACTCTTACTCTTACTCTTAACTTCCCTCTTCTTTGTTTGTCTTTTATTACCTTATATTTATTTTATTCTCTTTGTCTCTCTGTCTTATCTATAGCTTGTAACCTATTTTCTCGTTAATCATCCATTTTTCATACAAAAAAAAAAGAAACCCCCCATCCTTTATATGGGACTGCACAACTGTGGTCTCCGTCCACGCAAAGAAAGTTAATTCGGCAGTCACTTTGACGCCACAAAATTGAGTCCTCCCGAACTTTTTTTTTTCCTTGAACAACAAATTTCAAGACAGCTCTTCTTTCACGTCATTGCCACCATGGTATGTGTAAAGCTCTTGAGAAACTGCACTTATTTCAGAGACAAAAAGACTAATTCTTCAACCAGGTTAACTACGTGTTGTTCGAAACCGCCTCTGGCTATGCGCTCTTTGAGCGTCTGCAGTCCGAAGAGATTGGCTCCAAGTTGGCCGAAGTCCAGCAGACCGTCCAGGATCTTTCCAAGTTCGGAAAGATGATCAAGCTCAAGTCATTCGCTCCCTTTAAGAGTGCCGCCGATGCCCTTGAGAACGCCAACGATGTTTCCGAGGGTAAGAACTCGTTTATTACTCGACAAAACCGATAAATCGATCTGTCAAAATATAATACCTTTCGTTCATATATATATGCTTTGACTTTAATTGTTTCTTTTATATAAAAAAAGAGTATACTAATCATATAAATATTATTATTATTACTGTTTTACAAAAATATAGGTATTGTTAACCCTTCGCTTAAGGCTTTCTTGGAGATGAACCTCCCCAAGGCTTCCAAGAAGAGCTCTTTCTCTCTCGGTGTTGGAGAGAAGAACTTGGCTGGTGCTATCAAGGGTGAGTGTGGTTACGACTGCGTTGCCGACGAGACCGTTATGGAATTGGTCCGTGGTATCCGTCTTTGGGCCGACAAGTTGCTCGGTCAATTGAAGGAGGGTGATTTGGAGAAGGCCCAGCTTGGTCTTGGTCACAGTTACTCCCGCGCTAAGGTTAAGTTCAACGTCAACCGTGCCGATAACATGATCATCCAGGCCATTGCTCTTTTGGATCAATTGGACAAGGACGTCAACACCTTTGCTATGCGCATGAGAGAATGGTACTCATGGCACTTCCCCGAGCTTGTCAAGATTGTTAACGACAACTACAAATACGCCAAGCTCGTCAAGGTGATCAAAAACAAATCTGAGTTGTCTGAGGAACATTTGGAGGCCATGGCTGAGGTTCTCGACGACGACGAGACCATTGCCAAGCAGATCCTCGACGCTGCTCGTGCTTCAATGGGTACCGACATTTCTCCCATCGATATGATCAACATCCAGAACTTTGCTGACCGTGTTGTCAACTTGGCTGAGTACCGCAAGAAGCTCCACACCTACCTGGTAACCAAGATGAACTATGTTGCTCCCAACTTGGCAGCTTTGATCGGTGATGTTGTTGGTGCCCGTCTGATCTCCCAGGCTGGTTCCCTCACAAACCTCTCCAAATACCCTGCTTCTACCCTTCAGATCTTGGGTGCCGAAAAGGCTCTTTTCCGCGCCTTGAAGACCAAGGGTAACACACCCAAGTACGGTTTGATCTACCACTCTTCTTTCATTGGCCGTGCTGGTGCCAAGAACAAGGGTCGTATTTCGCGTTATTTGGCCAACAAGTGTACCATTGCTTCCCGTATCGATTGTTTCAGCGATAAGCCTACCGATAAGTTCGGTCAGGCCTTGAAGGCTCAGGTTGAGGAGCGTTTGGCTTTCTACGACAGCGGTGCCTTGCCTGCCAAGAACCTCGATGTTATGAAGAAGGTTATTGACGGTATGGATAACGATGAGGATGAGATTAAGCTTGAGGAGCCTGTTGCTGCAGTATCTGCCGGCAAGAAGAGAAAGGCTGATCCCGATGCCGAAGAAGAAGAGTCTCCCAAGAAGGCCAAGAAGGAAAAGAAGGAGAAGAAGGAGAAGAAGGAGAAGAAGGAAAAGAAGGAGAAGAAGGAGAAGAAGAGCAAGGATTAAAGAAAGAACTGTTTTGTACATGGGCTTTTTATTTTATTTTTTTTAATTCTTTCTGTTCTTTCATTTAGCCAATTCTTTTCTCTCTCTCACACACACACTCTCTCTTTTTTTTTTGCTCTTCTTACTCGTTTTGCATGTCTGTCTTGCCATTTTGTCTACAGCAAGTACGCGCCCCACCGCCCCTTCTTTATTATTTCTGTGCCATATGTACATCTCTTGCACATAACTATAGAAAAATGTAAAAAAAAAATGAAATAATACTATTTTTATTATTATCACATTGAAATCAAACAAAAAGCTATATTCAAGTATTACAAAAACAAAAAAATGGAATTTATGTAAAGAAATCCTTTGTAAAAAATAAATAATAAATATCTAAATGCATAAAAGAAATAGGTAAAGGTAGAAAGAAGTAAAGTGAAGAAATAAAGAAAAAAGTTAAAGTACATAAAATAAAAAAATCGGGCCGGACTACATCGAACATTTTCGTGTTCCGGTCGGACTTTTTACCTTTTCCTAAGCTTCTTCCTCGGGGCAATGTAATCCATACGCATAGTTGTCAGTGATCGTACCTTCCTTTTTCAAACTTCAAGGTAAGGTGGACACCATCCGACCAACTAAAGACGAAAGCAATCCATCCAACCAACGAACCAATCAACCAACCATCCAAATGATATTTCTAGATGCCTCCCAAGTTTGATCCTTCTGAGGTTAAGATTATCTACCTTCGCGCCACTGGTAAATGACGAACCTATATTCATTTTTTTTCTTTGTTTAAATAAATATCACATATATATATATATATATGTATAAATTTTCAAAACCGACCACCTTTTATATATATGCATGCATAAGCATTTATATACATGTACATTATACTTGTACATTTCAAAATGTGGAACATATTTAACTAATTTTTTTTGGATGAGTACAGGTGGTGAGGTTGGTGCTTCTTCCGCTCTTGCCCCCAAGATCGGTCCTCTCGGTCTTTCCCCCAAGAAGGTCGGAGAAGATATTGCCAAGGGTACCAAGGAATGGAAGGGTCTCCGTGTCACTGTCCAGTTGACCATCCAGAACCGTCAGGCTCAGGTCTCCGTTGTTCCCTCTGCCTCTTCCCTTGTCATCAAGGCCCTCAACGAGCCCCCAAGAGATCGCAAGAAGGAGAAGAACATCAAGCACAGTGGTAACGTCTCCCTCGAGGCCATTATCGATGTTGCCCGCACCATGCGTTTCAAGTCCCTTGCTCGTGAGCTCAAGGGTACTGTCAAGGAAATCCTCGGTACTGCCAACTCTGTTGGTTGCACTGTTGATGGCCAGAGCCCCAAGGACTTGTGCGATGCCATTGATGCCGGTGAAGTTGAAATTCCCGTAAGTATATAAATATAGTATGGAAGGGGGGCTACTGTCATTGTTTTGAGATACATATATTTTGTATTGGAATATGACATAGCATTTGTGGTAAACGATTACAATGAATCTAATATTTAAACCCTTTCTTCTTTCTTTTTATAGGAGAAATAAATTATTTTCAATGTATTGTAATTGAATAATTGATTTTTTCATATATATATATATATTTTTTGGTTGTCATGATTATCATACTATCGACATTATCAATAAAAAACAAAACAAAACTGTGGTTTCTTTGATCTACTTTGAAACTTATTAAGAACACGACGAAGATCATTTACGAATTATGCCTTGGATTTTGAAAGCTTAATTTTTTTAGGACTTTTACAATGCAGTGAACAAAAGACTAATTTATTTATTTATTTATTATTGTTACTGTAAATAATATTTTTGTTTTAACTTTAATTACTTGGTTAGTTGGTTGCTTGGTTGCAGATCAGAAATTTATTTAGATTTGAATCTTATTAAAATGTCTATTCAAATAAATTAATAAATAAATAATCTTGTTAGTTATTTGAACCTTGAGAATTAATACCAATTACATTGAATTAACTGCTAAGATTTATAGTTCATTCTTTTACAGTCTTTTCTTGCATAATTGAAAATCGATCATCTTATCTTTTTTTATAAAGAAAAAAGGTGCTTTATATTATTATTATTTTTAAGTATGTAACAATGCAACAAATTACAATCGTGTGTAACAATTGTACGGAAATCGAAATATGGATTTGATTGAAGCTCCAATTCTAAGCATGTCTATATATTTTATATGTATCACACCCACCGATTTTTTTTTTCACTTCCGACACTCTTTGTGTTTTAGCGAAATACATGCCTCTTTTGGTATCAAGGTTACAGAAGGTCATCTGGGATTTAAAATAGGACATTTTTTTGGGGGGTGCCATTTTCAGGGGGTATGGGGGGGGGGGTAGCAGAAAAAAATATTTTATAAAAATACGATTACATGATTGGTTGCAAAAAAAATGGTTTTTATTGGTTTTTATTGGTTTATATTGTTACTACTAATGATGTAAGTCACTACACTGTATAGTATACTATGTAATGCCTTGTAATAGCAGCAATGATTATGATGGAGATGTGTAGATGAGCTACCTACTACAATTAAATGAGTTAGTTGGCTATGTTTTATATATACGTAGTCTTGAAAATAGAATAAATACCTTTTATTACCAGTAAAAGCACATGAAAAATCTGAGAAAATAGAATAGAAATATAAGTAAATCATATGTATTAATAGCGTATAAGATTGATGATGATGTAGACATACCAATCAGATTCTTCTTATTATCAGAGGTATACGAGTGTTGCTACCTATAACAAGCATAAATCAATAAGACAAAGCTGTAATGAGTAGACTTTCTTTTGAAAAATAATAATACCTTAAGTCATTTCTATCAGCAATCTGATACAGTCAATTGTGAAAGAGTAAACAATCTTTCTATATAAAGAGAGAGAAAATAGTAATGAGTAAATGCTATTGTAATCAAAACAAACCTTTTTTTCCGTGTAAATAATACGAAATAAAGAAAGAAAGAAAAAATGTTCAAGTAAATTTGGCTCGGCTATCAATTATGTGACTTTCAGTTATGTTAAACGATTAATGGGAATTTGTTAAATTATCTTGCTCTTCTTTCCGATTACGCATTCAAATCATCTAATTCATTACTAAAATGAACAACAACCACAACAACACCAGCAGCAGCAGAAGCGACAGTGACAATAAAGGCACAAGCCGTCTAAACTTTAGACCTAGTAACAACAGAAAGTCGCAATCTTGCCCATGGTGTACTGAAAATATTAAAATCCGTACCTTTAATACTTTTCGCCAACATGTTAAGAACATCCACCCAAAAGAACTTGATTCCGAGTACTTCAAAAGCTTTTTTTCTTGGAAAAAAGAAAATTAATTGCATTCATCTGTATACTCACATACACATATTGATAACTAATCACGTAATTATCATCTTAGAGTTAATTCAGCTTCTACCCGCTCTGACATTGTTGATGAACCATTAGACCTTTCTTCTTCAGTATCAATTATTTATCCTGAGCTTGATTTTCAATATTATGATTCAAATGTCAGTATCGATAGTGACACTGATGAAGATAATACCCAAGACTATAAATCTGATATAGACAAGTTTGAGAACATGTAAGTAAATTAATTCATTAGCCAAATATATTTTCAATGCAATACTTACCAATCTTGCTCCACATTGTTATAATTGTATTTGTCTTTTAGGTTGGGTGATGATGCTTACATCTCTGCCGAAGAAGAAGACAACGTAGCTGAAGATAACGAAAACTCGCCCGTAGATATTGATGAAGTGTTTTTGCTTAATACCATTCTACCTTTATCAAGAAGCTTTGCTAACCAATTGAGCGGTGGAACTTCAGAAACAGTCGAAGAGGACATTCACAGATTAAAGCATGCAACAAGCCAAATGGAAGAAGTAGAAAATATACCGGATCTGACAAATCCATTTAAATCTACTTTGGAGGGATTACTCCATGCCTTTTTTTATGGGGATGAAGATCTTTGCTCAGAGCGTATGGTAAAAAAGATCATCTATATGCTGAAGATTACGCTGAAATTGCAAGAAACAACAAGTCAGCCTTTAGTTCTGCCAGCACCAGACAGAATCTCTAACTTTCAACAAAGGATCAAGTCAAAGATTCCAATTCTGCGTCCCACCAAATGTATAGCAAAAAACAAGAAGGGTGAAGAACATACGTTTTTCATGAATAAACCTTCAGAATACCTGAAACATCTTGCTGCTACCCCAGGTATGGTTAATCAAATGTCTGCTCTTCCAGACTTCACTGCTGGGCAACGCTTACACTTGAACCAGGGCAATAAATGGAAATATCATGAGAGCCTTCAAATGCCCATGATAACATTTAATAATCAAGATTTCTGGATCGGCGACTTGGTAAAGGATCACCAGAACGGGCATTGGCTGATAAATAAGTTCATGAAAAAATCGATAATCTATGTTGAATGTTTTCCGGTTATTTATAACGATAATCACAATGCGACTATATCCGACATATTCATCGGTTTAAACACAAACTTTGCCACAATGACCCGCCCATACCTTATACCAATTGAGACTATCACTTCCAGCATACGAAAGGAGTTATGCTTCCAAGGACAAGGCTGTACTGCTGGATATGACGCAAATGGAAAGGTGGTCTTGGAACAACATGGGCTTACAGAAGCTATTTCTCATCTTTGGTTTGAGACTTATTCAAGCAACAAATTTAAGAGAATCCTCCCTAACCCATCTAACAACACCAACAAGTACATGAAAGTGGTTATCATGCCAATCATCCTTTGGTCTGACGATACATCTGGTAACAAATCCAAGCAATACAATGTTTTTGACAGTTATTTAATGTATCTGGCTGCAATGCCTCTGGAAGTGAGAAGTCAGCAAGAAAATACTCTTTTTATCTGTACATCTGATAAAAATCTAAAAGCTGTTGATATGCTGGGCCCAATTGTCAATGATTTCGTTAAACTGGAGATTGGAATCGAAGTTTTTTCATATGATCACAATGAATATATTCTTCTTGTTGCTCCTCTCCTCCTTCTTATGGCCGATAATCCTAGACATTCACAACTGGCTATGCACAAAGGTACAAACTCGAAGTATCCATGCCGTAAATGCTTTTGTCCCAAACCAACAATGCCTGAAGACTTCAATCAACAATCAGCAAATACAACAACAACAACAACAACAACAACAACAACAACAACAAAAATCTCCCATACTTTTGCAAAAAGGGAGTTGACTCATCTTCACGATGTTGTTCAATCAAAAACTCACAAATACAGCTCGCTATAAAATGCTAACCGATACACTAAGCTTCTCAGTCAACGGTAGTGAAGAGTTTCTTCGACTTAATTCCTTTGATCCGACTACAGATTGCCCAGTAGAAGTTCTTCACACCGTTCCCCTTGGTTGTATCAAGTATCTAGTAGATTACTTTATGAAAGAAGTTCTCACTGTAGCAGAAAGGGATAGACTCGGTAACATTATCATGTCTAGTAGAAATCGGGATGCATATTCCAGAACATTTCAAAACAATCTTCGACATTGCGGGTCATTTGCTGGCAGGGATTACAAACAGCTTATCCAAGTTCTACCAACAATTATCAGCAAAGTATTCCTTCAATCGACTGTACGTATAAACATGTTCTCTCAATGTTTTATTTACCTTGGACAACTATGCTCACTTATATATCTTCGTGGTATTGAATCGAACTACGAGCAATATATATACGTCTTCAGAGATACATTGTCAAAATTCACAGATACTTTATATGTACTGGATAAACACTTGTGTCAAACTGATGCAAAGCCCCCGAAGTTCTCTCTCAGACCAAAAATCCACCTCCTACACCACTTGCTCGATGATGTTCAACGATTTGGATGCCCACTTCAATATGAAACGGAGAGCGCAGAACAATTCAATAAGTTCATTCGTGAACATCTCTTCATGACTAACCGACTATATACATCTCGGGATGTTGCTTCAAGATTTGGTAAACAGTTTATCTGTTGCCAAATCTTCAATGGCTTATCCTTTGTGTATAAAAAGTCTTGGAAAGAGAATGACGTTCAAAAAGAAAGTATAGTTCGTGGCGAAAGTGGATTCAAAATCAAAAACTTGCAAGCAGACAATGTTGATTTTAAGAAACATTTCTTTGGCGCCCGTATGAATGTCACAGACAGCTATTATATTAACAAAGCAAAAATTGTTAATGGCTTAACTGGACTTTTCTCCACTAGGAACGGGCTGTTCATTGGAAAAATCATTATCAATCAAGACGGTTTCCTTACCTTGCAAAAATATGCGTTTCTTCAAGCAAATTCAGTGTCTCCTTCCTGGCTCCCTGGAAACTTGACGGATCTCCATAGCAATCCTCTTATTCTACCAACCACAACTGTCCTCGTTGATAATTCCTTTATATGTAAAGAGGTTATGGACTTAGGCTTTGTTTTTGATGAAGAAAGATCCATAAATATAATCAACATTTCAGAGTTTGGCACTTACTGGTCATTGATTTCAAATTACCAGTATTTGTTCACTCAATAAAAAAAAACTTCATTGTCAGATACAAAATATAATTGGCCAATAATTGCTCTGTTTGTGTTAAACCCCCCATAAAACAGAGGGGATTAAAGTTTTTCATCCAAAATACGCTAAAAATTCAAAAAAAAACTTTATTTCTAAACTCTCAGCCAATGAAGTAAAAAAATAACGAATTTACTTCCTAAAACAGATGAAAAATCAGTAGGTGTGATATAAGAAATATGTATTAAAATATGCACTACAATCTCCAGTTTATCTATTTAATGCCCAAAACTACTTTGCGGTTTAATAGCCGCTTTTAACGAGAAAAGTGTTTTTTCTTCTTCTTCTTCTTAATGGCCACCCAAGCGTCATGATTTTTTTTAAACACAAGATATTATTGAATACAGAACATTTGAATATGATGGATTTCACGCTTAGCATTGCACTGAGAATGATGTACCACATGGAGGGTGTCATGAATGTCTTTCAATTTTTTTTTTCAAAATAAAAAAAAACATCATATGATAAGAGTTGAATAAAATAGAAGAAATGGGAAGAGGAAGAGAAAAAAAGGAAGGAAAGATATTACTATTGCTATTATGATGACAGGCTATGAATGGTTTATTTTTGTGGCTAATGACGAGCAAAGTAATATGATACATTATTTGGGTAACTGGTACTTTAAGTATAATAATATTAATATATAAAAGAAGATAAAGAAAAAGAAGAAGGAGAAGAAGCATGCGATCATCTTGTATAGACTTACTGCCAAGGATCTTATTGCTTTGGTGTATGATCTTAAGGCTAGTGGCTGTGTAGCGGCGAAGATATTTGTAAGAGTATGCTGACAAATACTGTGTTTCTCTTTAAGCTGTTTACTTTTAAAAGACTAGTAAGACTCGGAATACTTTATCAATAGAATTCATTATATATATGTATTGATGTATTGGTATATTGCTTACTAAATCGCTCAAAGGTTTGTCAAGATAATCAATATATTTGACATTCCCATAATATAGGTCAGCATTTAGTTATCCAAAGATCTCACGATATTACAGCTTGCAAAGCTTGGGGGTTTGTAGTACCTTAATTTCTGTAATTTGTATTGTGTATTGCACAACAGAAAACACAATAGGCAAATGATATTGATAGGTTGGCAGATACAAACATATATTTATACATGTATCCTCAAAACAGAAAACAGTTTACGCAATTATATATCTATAAAAATATAAATATGGATATATTATAAAAGAAATGCTATCATTTTTTCTTATTATTTTAGCTTATGATATGTATAAATTAAGTTTCTGTTTACAAATGGTCCCCCAACCTCTCTACACATGAAACATATATGTCATTCTTTCTTTCTTTCTTTTTTTCTCAAGAGGTCTGGTAAAAATTACAATAGCCGCAAGCCAACAAAACCCAACCAAATCATTTCGGCCCGGGTCGCCTAAATAATAGATGCGGTAATGTGGGTTTAGCCCGGGGATCTCTCATTCTTTCTTTATCTCTCTTTCTCTCCTTGTGAGTTGTCCAAGAGTCTAGAACTGCCTGTGAAAAAATTGATCTTTATAATATCTTTTAATATTCAATATATTTGACATTATCATTAGGTGCATGTGTAGGATCATTAAACAGGATCAAATAATATCCTTTTCTTTGTGGATCCCCCCTTTTTTTTAAAAAAAATAATAATAATGTTGTCATGGTAACCTGTTACAGCTTCAGTACATATCCTTATACTTATAAGCAGCATTTCTTTCTTTGTAATTAACCCTAAAGAACTGATGGTACTTAAAATTGATGCAGTACTTGCTCTCATGGTTAGACTGACGTAGTAATAGCAGTAATAACAGTTGTAAAGTCCCTTTTTCTTTTCTTTTATAAGGCTCTTGTATGTCTCGTATAAATTATGAGACGAAAATGGGGTTTCAAGAAATTAATATCATGTTGATCTCATTTACTAGCCCTATTATAACATTCCTACTACTATTATTTTTGAGCCACTTTTTAGTAATTTCCTTTAATTTTACAATTTAATCTTACAAAAATGACTTGGACAGATAATGCAAAAGTTCCATTCTGCCGATACTTTGCGCAAGAGTTTAGTGGTAAAATTTAAAAGGAAAAGAAAGAAAGGGCAACATTATGGTTTCTACACTAATGACATAAAAATCTCATAGGCCCCATAAAATCGATTTTGATTGGGTTACAATATTACTTTTTAGGAAATCTATTGGTGGTTTTATTTTTCACCAAAAAAAAAAAATAAAAAAATAAAAAGGGACGTTTTTCCAAAATAAGCAAAAAACGTAAGACAGAAAGATATCTCTATCTGTGTGTGGGTTTATAATAAAAATTATTTTATATACTAGCAGATTTGGGACCTTGAATATTCAGTATTATCTTCTTCATTTTGATTGCAAGTTAATTATAATCAATATAGGTCTTTAGGATCTTAAAGGGAATCAAAAAAAATTAGTCAATAAATCAGCTTTTGAGTGAATTATTAATTCATAGACTTTGTGTGAGGCTTATCTATCTTAATATTTATTAGTGTCTCAGCTTTTTTTTTTTTTTGAGATATGAAGAGCGAATGTTATAAAAAAAAAGGGTATCTGAGAGTAATTTGTTTCTCTCTTTCATCATTCTTTCTTTCTCTCACTTTCGCTCACTTTTAGTTACTTATTTTCAACGGTGTCTTTGCCTTCTTTACCATGGATCCCATTGTTGATAACGAACATTCAAATCTTCTTGGAACCAAACGGAAATCATGGATGGAGAGGAATAGTATAAAATATGCAGCCATTACATTTGTTATCTTGGTTACCGGATCTTTGTTCCTTTGGTCAACCCCATCAAATCCAAACAAAGGTACACCAAAAGAACCAGAGACACTTTTGTGATACTCACAGGGCTTTTTGTCATTATTTTGTAGGCCAAGAGGAGTTCAAGGGCCGTTTGGTCACTGGATACCAGGGAGCAGTTGCTGTCGAGGCAGAAGAATGTTCAGATGTAGGAATCCAAGGTACACAATTCAGTTTAGCAAAACGCATCGATATTATTTATTTTATCTAAACTTTCTTATTGTGGTTGCAGTATTGAAGGATGGTGGAAATGCAGTAGATTCATCTATTGCCTCTGCACTCTGTATTGGCGTCATTGATAGTTTTGCAACAGGTAAAGTAATATACTCTGCTTTAGAGGATTTTGGATTCACAAGGCATTTGTTGATTCTTACTTTGACTGATTTTGTCTTTGTTATTTTCGTTAATGGATCATATTTTATGATGTACAAGGCATTGGAGGGTAAGCCAACAGATCAATAGCCAGTCTCGGTTGCGTGATTTCACTAGTACATGACGAACTCAATTTATCTTATTACTCTTCAGGGGTGGTTTTATGTTGATCCGATCTCCCAATGGAACCTATGAGTTTATTGATTTCAGAGAGACTGCCCCGGCTGCATCTCACAAGGACATGTTTATAGACCAACCAGATCTGGCAAAATATGGTGGCATGGCTGTGGGTGTACCGTAAGTGTTTTTTTTTAATAAATTACTGTTGTACTCAGTGTGAGTTTTAAATAAATGCGAAAATATCCCACTAATGGTTATAATGTTATCTTGAACTGCAGAGGAGAGATTAGAGGTTTTGAGTTGGCGCACAGCAGGTAATCAAAAAATAAATAAATAAACATTGATAGACAGATGAAAAGATAGAAAACTACAAAAAGGCATATAATTTCTTAAACAAAATCTTCTTCTTTTTTTTTGAAAAATAAATAAAAGACATGGTAAACTACCTTGGAAAGCATTATTTGAACCTGCTATCAAGTTAGCCCGTGGAGGTTTCAAGACCACTCGGTTACTCGAAAAACGCCTTCAGGTACAGTGATAAGAGTTACACAATCCGCACTGTTTGGATATCAAACAAACAAAGATAACATTAACGTTTCTATTGGTTGAATCAAAACAACCTATCCAACTCTGTAGTCCGGAAAACCATGGATGGAAAATTCAACGGAATGGACAGACGTATTTGCTCCTCAGGGTCACTTGGCAAAGGCTGGCGAATTGATCAAGCGTACACAGCTTGCCAATACCCTAGAGATTATCGCAAATGAGGGAGCTGATGCGTTCTATGTCGTAAGTATTCATGAGTATTTATGTATCTTGTACATTAGTCTATATTTCTTGATCTCACACTTTTTGTATATATATATATATGTTGGTTTAGGGTACACTTGCTCAACATATGGTAAACACAACACAGGCAGCAGGAGGAATTCTCACTCTTGAAGACATGGCCTCCTATCGCCCTTTGATTCGCCCTGCTATTCATACCTACTACCATGGTCGCAAGGTCGTTACTTGCTCAGCCCCAACAAGTGGTCCTGTTATCTTGAGTGTCCTAAACCTATTGGAACGATTCAACCTCAAGATGTTAGGCAACACTGGTCTGAATGTCCACAGGCTAGTAGAGGCATTCAAATTTGGCTATGCATTCCGAACAGAACTCGGAGATCCAGAATTCACTCAGAACTACGAGCGTCTGGATGAAATTGTGTCCAAGGAGTGGTCTTCAATTGTCCGAAAGAATATTTCAGATGTAGGTTATCTTGATGTTTCGATAGAATAAAACAAAGCCTAAATATGAGCATGAACTATTCAAACTACATAGGAAACCACATTTGATCCAATGTACTATCAGCCCAAGTTTGATCATGTCGATACCCACGGAACAATGCATCTATCAGTTGTAGACAAGAATGATGGAGCAGTGGCCTTGACATCAACCGTCAACCTGCTGTTTGGTGCTCGCCTGCTTGATCCTGTAACAGGTGTGATAATGAATGATGAGATGGATGACTTTTCTATTCCTGGGTAAGATATAACATAACATATAATACAATACAACAGTTTGATATTTATTTATTTCTTTCTTTTTGTTTTCTATAGTAAACCAAATACCTTTGGCTTGTACCCCAGTGCCTATAATTATGCAGGTAAGAGAACTCTTAAAGATCTTATTTAGATAGAATATGGGATACCTTTCTTGCTGTATTCTAATGCGTCTATCTTCAAAATGATAATAAAAGCACCCGGAAAACGCCCTCTATCATCAATCACCCCAGTAATCATAGAACGCGATTCAGAATTTGAAATTGCCATTGGCGGCTCAGGAGGATCAGGTATCCCAACTGCCACTCTTGATGTAAGTACAATCGCTTAAATATATAGTTTATCACAGTATTCTTACTTGGCTATCCTATCGATCTCCTAGGTAATTCTTAATGTTATTGACTATGACATGGACCTATACGAGGCAATTGCCAGTCCTCGTGTTCATCATCAGTTGATTCCTAATGTTGCTATAGTCGAACATGATTATGATCAGAAGATGGGCGGATATTTGGAGGAGAAAGGTCATGATGTAAGGAACTCGATACTTTGGTGTTTGTGTAGAAACCCAAAATTTACAGATATCTTAATCTATAGGTTGTATTTCTGGATAAAAGCTTGTCGGCCACTGCAGTCCAAGCAGTTGGGAGATTGACCAATGGCCGTGTAATTGCTGCTAGCGATCCACGCAAGTATGGTATTGCTGCTGCCTATTAAATCATCTTACACACACACACACACACACATATATATATATATATATATATATATATATATACATAGCCTTGGCAAAAGAAAATTAAAGAGAAAATAGTAATTATTGTGAATTACTATCTCTCGCAACAAAAAAAAGGGTATTACAGTCAAGTACTTGTTCTGTATTCTATGATCAAGATATCCAATTCTTCTTTCTTCTTTATTTTCTTTACTTCTTGTACCATTCGATTTTATTTTATTTTTTATATATTTTAAAAACCATTTATTTAAACTACTCAATTAAAGAAGAACAATAACATATATCTTTAAATAAACCAATAAAAAGTGCTGCATTTATCAGATCCTATAGTAAGTGTCATATTGAAAGAAGAAAAGGCAGAACATGTTTCTTGTTGCTTGATTTAGACAGTAAATGCTATAACCAAGCCTCGCAAGACATTCATGATCATACAACGGAGATACTCTTAATTAGTATAATATTTGTACTCATCCATTCAACCAATATTAGAATGAAATAATATAAATATATATAATTGAAACAAAATGGTGACAGCTGTCTATAAATAATAATAATAATAAAAAAATATAAGAAAGGTTTCTATGATGATGATATATTTTGCATATTTTTTTTTCACCTAACAGTAATGCCTCATATTTATAATTATAATATGCATATATACAGATAGATAGATAGATAGATAGATAGATAGATATAAAAAAAAATTAAATAAAAGAGATGGAAAATATTCACCTCTCTTCTTTTTTTTAAAAAAAATAAAATAAAAATAAAAATAAAGAGGTGTAAATAGGCCTATGCCTCATTTAAGATGTGGTGCAAATAACGTTTTTTTTAATTAGATAGAAAACTAACTCTAAAAGTCATCTAATCTTCATGCCGCATTATCTTCATTCTTTTCTACAATCATAAATTCATGTCACTTTTATCAGTATTTAGAGATACATTCTACTCTGCAGCATCATGTTGCTTTCCTAATCCGACCATCCAAGTCAATAAGCGTACCTTTCGAGTCATTCGTCTTCTAGGAGAAGGGTAATTTTAAATTGCCATTTCATTTGAATAACATTCCTTATCTTCTTAATATATTCCAAATAACGAAGATAGTATTGAGAGCAAGAAAGAAAGAGCAAGAGAAAAAAATGAGAAAAAAGGAGGAGGGGGATAAAGAGAAAGATATAACAATTTATATAATATAATATTATAGTATATTATCTCTTATTACATATTAAAAACAAAGAGACATTTTATTTCATTTGTACTAGTGGATTTTCGTTTGTCTACCTTGTTCAGGATGTATCTACCGGTCGTAACTTTGCTCTGAAGAAGATTCGATGTCCTTTCGGAAGCCAGGCTGTGGCAGACGCAATGCGAGAAATTGATATGTATCGAATGTTTCAGCATGCGAATATAATCAAAGTGGTGGTAAACCTATATCTTTTATTTGTCAATAAAGAGAATAATATGAAAAGCAAATTTCGTGGTATTCAACTCAATTACATGTGTTTATTACAGGATACTAGCGTTATGACAGACAAGGATGGCACCAAGACTGTCTACATATTCTTACCTTACCATAAGGTAAGAAAAGAAAGCCCATTATATGTTATGCATTTTGTATAAAATGTCTTGGCAAACAAGAAAGAAATTATTGGTTTTTTTGATATTTTAAATTGGGGACTTTATTTTAGCAAGGCAACCTTCAAGACAGTATAAATGCCAACAACATCAACAAAACACATTTCCCAGAAAAGGAGATTCTTAATTTTTTCCGTCAAGTGTGCTATGCTATTCGTGTATTGCATACACATCGTCTTCCTGATGTTCCAATGAAAAATCCAGAGGAAGAGGAAGAAGCTAGAAAGCCAAGGCAGAATTTGATCTTACTAGAAAACAACTTGACTACATCACCTTTGTCAGAGGAACCATTGGTGCCAGTACCGGCACTGAGTTATGTACCCCCTCCACCTATGGAACATAAGAAAGAAAAAGGAACAGTGGTACCGTTCGGTGAGTTTGAAGAATAAGAAGGATATTCAGGATGAAGTGTGTTGGCTAATACCTCTTTTTATTCCTCTTCCTCTTTTGGTGTACAATAAGCTCACCGTGACCTTAAACCTGGAAATATATTAATTTCTGACGATGGACAAAGTCCAATCCTAATGGATCTTGGATCAACTATGCGGGCTCATGTCGTGATCAAAACGAGACAAGATGCATTGTTGCAACAGGTATGGAAACTTGTATTTTTTCTTCTTTATTGAGTTTAGTCTGATATCATTTATATGATGTGTAATGTGTAGGATCTTGCTGCCGAAAATTGTACAATGACTTATAGAGCACCAGAGCTGTACGATGTACATACTGGAATGGAATTGAACGAAAAGGTGGACATTTGGGTAAGAACTATTTGTCAACCGTGTGAGGAATATAAAACTCAAGAATCTTGTGTAGAGTCTTGGGTGTACCTTGTATGCAACAGCCTATGGACAAAGTCCATTTGAGGCCAATATTAATGAAATCGGAGGATCACTCTCGTTGGCTATCCTAAACGGCCAATACAAATTCCCAACTCAGGACCCGTACAGCGAATCTTTAAGAAACCTTATCAGGTCAATGTTGATCGTAGATCCAAAGGAACGACCTGATATCCACACAGTAGGTTAAGCTTTTTTTTATACACACAAATATTCACTCATCTGCTGTTTACCCATTTAAATATTCTTCTTCCTTTTCTTACGTTTTGGGTTTATGATAGGTAATTGCTGCATTTGATACTCTTTTGCAAAACCCAGGGCATTAAACTTGAGACTGAAAAGAAAAAAGAGTTTCCAAAAAATATTTAAACTATCTAAAGCTTTAGAAAAAACAACAACAACAACAACCAACAAATATCAACCCAAAAGATGTCTTTTATTACTATTATTACTACTATTGTTATTTCTATTACTTCCTTTTATTATCACAAACAATCATACAAACACATTCACACACCAATACACACCCACCTACATATATAAAATTGTTCTTTATTTCCATGTCTTATATAATAATAATAATATATATATATATAATATTATAATTGTGCTTATTATTGTTATTTCTTTATATAACTATATACATATTATATAAGAAAGAGAGAGAAAAGATAAAAAGAAAAAGAAATAAGAAGAGGTTCTATGAATAGGATAGACACGAGAAGAGGTCAGGTATAATAAGGACACCTTCTTATTTTATTCTCTTGTCCGCAAGCGCGGTAATCAATATCCATGATGAGAGCTCTTGAAACATATTTTAGTCAGGTTGAATGGTGAAAGGGGAAGATAAAGAATAATACAGCTGGTGGTACGCAAGTACCTTGTTTCTTTTTGTGTGTGTGTTTTTTTTTGCATGATCAGTGCTTCTTGTACCTACAATACAAAAAAGCAGTTTTTTATTCTTTTTGGATTTATTATACATTAAAGAGAAGAATAAATAGTAAAATATTCCCAGGTACTCTTTTTAATAGACTCAACACAAAAGATATGCTGGGTTACTATAGTGACCGGAGTAGTAAATTATGCCTTTTCTGAGTTTAAACACTATTTCTATACAAATTTGGAAATCCCAGAGATTTTTTGTTATTTTCAATTGATGTTTTGAAAACTTTTGTTTTTAATGCTAAAATACATATATATATATGTATATATTGACCGTATAAAATAAGCTATATTGGCAAGGTAGTAAAATCAAATCGAATCGAATCGAATCGAATCATAATCATAATCATAATCATAATCATAATCATAATCATAATAGCAATAATAATAATAATTCTATTCTAATCTATTGTACCGATCTGGTATACACTTTGGTTGTTGTTTAATGTATATATTGGCTTGGTATATATTATTGCAGGCTGAGAAGTCTAACAATAAATGTAAAATAAGCTATAATTACCATGAAATTATTGAAAGACAAAAAAAAACAGTAACAACTAGTCTAATGGATCCTCTTGACATATATGTCCTTGCTCATATTCGATCATAAATTTACTTTGCCACTCATTGCTCATTGCTCATTTGAGTATTAATAATTGTATATTCTGGTGACCCATTCAATAAATAATTGTCATTACTAGATATATAATAATGTTTTATTAGTAATGTTGCTCCTGATCGATAGACGTAGGCTGTGTGCTCAGCCATCCTCTAGTAGACAGTAACTTGTCACCCATCAATTCAAAATTATAGCAGTAAAAGGATGAAAGAGCAATTAAAAATAGAAATTTTTGTTGTATAAATAATAGATATCTATTGAATTTCATTTTGATGGCTAACCCCGTCAAATATACCTTATGACAGTCAGGTGCCTAGAGCACAGAGAAACACACACACAAAAGAACACACACGCGCACACAGCAAACGGCCAATTTGATTTTCTAGACTATTAAACGCGCATTCCATACGATTCACGCCAAAGAGAAAGAAGAGCAAGTGCAAGTGCAAGAAGGAAATTCGTGACCTTTAGAATCTAAAATGGTATGGGAAGTTTAGTAATGTGTACAATAGGTATGAAATAGGTAACGCATGAGAGGACAGACCCAAGAAAGAAACTGAATGTATCTTGGGGGATCAGATGTATGTCACCCTCATGGTTTTGTAAACAAGTCCACTTGCTCTCCCTCAAGGTCATCTGTGTGACAAGGTAGATTTGAGCTGTTCTTTCAATAGGCTTGAATTGGCCAAGCCATAAGAACGTCAGTGGTCTTTTTATAGCCGTCATATTTATTTTTACTACTGATTTCTCTAATTTGTAGTGAAAACAAAAATAAGAATAATAACAAAATAAAAAAAAGAGTTCACCATGGCAACATACTCTCTAATAGGAATTCAAGACTTTCTTTTTACTAAAAATACAAATACAAGTACAAGTGCAGATACACACATACATATGTATAAACATATACATATATATGTGTACACAATATATATAAATATATATATATAAATATAAATTATAGAAAAAAAAAGGTTAACGTTTAATGCTACTGCGGGCCACCAACTCTTCATTTCTTTTTTCGTTCGGTTGCTACCGTGGAACTGTGTAACAGGTGATCTTGAGGGTACTCCTTTATACTACACTCTACCTATTCACGGGTTTTGCTTGTGTTTCCAACGCCATAGTATTCATAGTATATTATGGTATAGTATGGTATCGTATGGCTGTGGCAGTGTGCGAATAAAGACCCATTCCTTATTTTTTTTATTATCATTATTATAATTGAAAACCCCCCATCAGAAATAAGAACCAATGAAAACACGAAATTCGTCAAGTATTGAACAATAAGACTGGCGTACAAGAAACAAGGTTCTCCTTTTATGTACCTACATCTTACAATCTTGTCTTCCAAAACAATACCTTTCGAGAGCATTGTGACGCAAGGACAACCACTGAATGCTGCGGTCTACAATGGCTAGCTTCTTCCTCAAAATGGAAACGTGTGTGTATGTGTATATATAAACATTCTGAAGATCTTCAATTTTTTTTCTACTTAAGACTTTTTCTCTTTTTCTCTTTTTTTTTCTCTTTCTCTTTCTTTTATTTTTTTTAATTATTCTTTAATTATTTCATTTGATCTCTTTCTCTCTAGATCTAGTGTTTCTTATTTCTTCTTATTCTTCTTCTTCTTCTTTGAGGCTCTTTCTTTCGCACAAAGAACGCTCACACAATGGGCGCGCACCAGTCAAAGATCAAGCCAAAAAATGTCGCTGTTCGACAATCCAGCACATCTTCATCTACTTCATCCCAGAAATCACAGCCACTACCAGAACCACCGCCACCTTTACCTTTACCAATACCTGTTCGACCACCGATGGAGAGAGAACGAACTCGCGAAATTCGCCTATCAACATTCGAAGCCGACCTTGACCTCAATCAGATTCTACAGACACATTCTATCCAGCCCACAGTCAACCACGTTTTACACCCACCAGACTTTGTAGTCTCTGGTATCAGCGTAAATTCGACTACATCACTTGACTCATTAAGAACGACTGTATTCTCGACAATCAGCACAGCATGCTCCTCACTATCATCTGTCTCACTCCATTCAAAATCACACGCCTTCGGAAGCCCTCTTCTTCAAAACCACACCCGATCTTCAAGTATATCCAGTACATCAACATTACCTCACACCTTACCAATCAACCCACCCAACTCTGACCCAAAGTCTCCTTCAGCGCAATTCAAAAGTCTGCTGATCAAAGCTGACACCACCCATGATCCTCAATTGCGTACTTTAGTCGCACAGGCCAGGCTACAGGGCTATGGCACCCCAGTCGCCATTAGCCAAGGATTCCAAGAGTTGTTAAATATTGCCGAAACAACCAATCACATCAACGCATTTTACTCTCTTGGCCTTTGTTATTATCATGGACTTACTCCAAACCAACAAAAGGATTACGCCCTTGCCTACCGTTGGATAAGTCGGGCGGCTATCCAAGGCGAGCATAAGACAGACCCTGAAACAATGATGACCGTCTGTCTATCACAATACTGCAGTGGGTACATGTTAATTCAAGCACAAGGAACCGCTGCTGATACAGCAAAGGCTACAGAGTTCTTTCAAAAGGCGGCCACAAGAGGACACCCGGTTGCACAACACATCATTGGCTGGCAGTACGAAAACAAGGGAGACCCCATAAAGGCTAAAGAATTTTATCAATTGTCAGCCCATCACAATTATTCCGATGCCCAAGCGTCTCTTGGTGTATTGCTTATTGATTACATCGATGCATTTACTAAAAACTTTGTTAAAGAAGAACATGTTGTCCAAGAAGCACTTGGGTGGCTCAATCGGGCGGCTAGCCAAGTAAGGAAAAAAATATTCAAAATGATAATAATAATAATAATAGTAGTAGTAGTAGTAGTAGTAGTAGTAGTAATAACAATAACAATAACAATAACAACAACAACAACAACAACAACAACAGCAGCAGCAGCAGCAGTGATAATAATAGACAAGGGAGAATTATTATTATTATTTTGCTCATTAAGAAAATATCAACACTATTCCTAATTAGAACCATCCTTGGGCATTCCTCAAACTCGGATCACTGTACGCACAAGGCACTCGAGTAAAGAAAGATTTTAAACATGCAGTATCACTTTACGAACGAGCAGGCACCGACATCAACAACCCTCACTATGGAATCGCTCACTACATGCTTGGCTCAATCTACAGATCAGAACAGAATCCTTTATATAACATTTCCCTTGCTATTCGTCATCTGACCCTGGCAGCAAACACAAACTATCGTCAGGCTAACCGCATACTCGGATTAATGTATTACCAAGGCATGGGAGTACCAAAAGACGATTTAAAAGCCCGGTCTCTCTTCAAGATCGCCGCCTCTCAGGGCGATGGCTATGCCTTGGGTCTTTTAGGTGAACAAGCAGAAAACGGCAGGGGATGCACCAAAAACCCTGTGGAGGCACTCGAGCTATATGAAAAAGCCGGTAAAGCAGGCACCTATGTTGCAATATACTCCAGAGCCATCCTATTACATCGTATGGATAGACGTGCCGAAGCTTATGTATGGTTTGGAAAGGCAGTCGGCAGCCTTGCAACAGCCAAAGATCCAGACAGTCGGAACTTCCTTTTCAGAGCGCGTCTGATGCTTGCACGTTACCATATCAACGGATGGGGACAGTCAATTTGCGACCCTGTAGGGGGATTCAATGACCTACTCGCTCTTGCCAGGACAGGCGAGTTCTGGGAAGCCCACTATTGGATCGGCGCAGGCTACGAAAGTGGAATTAAGAATATGAACAACCAGGTCGAAATCGAGCCCAATTTGAAGCTAGCCTTTGATTACTATGAGCAAGGCGCACTCCATGGAGACGTAGATCTTATGCACAAGGTTGCCCGCATGTTGGCCAATGGGTTCAGTCACCAGTCTGTCACGATTAAAGACCAAGTCAAGGCTTTTGACTGGTATACCAAGGCTGCTAACGCCGGCCATCCTACTGCCCAATACAGTCTTGGTCTTTACTATGCCAACGGACTGGCACCTCTCAAGAAATCCGATATCCCAAAAGCCATCGAACTCTACCGAGCTGCTTCAAAGAATGGCTTGCCAGACCCTATGATCAGCCTTGCCAAGCTCCTGATTACCAGCCCGAGCGAATCTGATGCCCTTCACAAGGAAGCTATTGAATGGCTAGACACTGCTGTTCGAATGGAACATCCTGCAGGCCTCAGAGAGCTTGCCAAGGCTTATGAAACTGGCCTGATTTTATCAGTTGGAGAAAACGAACGACATGCCACCGGACTCGAGCTGCTAACTAGAGCAATCAAGCTCAAAGATGATCCTCTCTCATGGTGTGATCTCTCTCGTTACTATGAAAATGGATGGGCTGTGTCAAGCAATCTTGAAAAAGCGCTCGTGTGTCTCAAAAAAGCAGAAAGTCTCAATCATCAAATGTAAGACAAAGATTGTTATTTATTTGTTTATTTATTTGTTTATTTTGGGGTGGCAATTGATTTGAAATGATGTTATTTAAACACTGACATATATGTATATCTGTATACATCTTATTCTTTTAGGGCTACTATTATGATTGCTGAGATATTTGAGCGCAAGACCCTGTGGGACCAAGCGTGGAATCAATATGAACGTACTGTTGAAACTAATATCCTCAAATCAGTTCTCGGCTGGAAATCTCGCATTGGAAAGGCACGTCTGGTACTTCATCGCAAAATGGGTGCTGAAAAAGACCGCCGACAAGTATTCCAATGGCTCGTTGAGATGGTGTCCCTTGGACCTGGAGAATCTTCTATTGAACCGCTGTCATTACTTGGTACTTATAACATCATCAAGCGTATTTATATATATATTTGAATCCTAACTTTTTCTCTTTCTTTTTTATCTTTGAAAGGAATGTGTTACGAAAAGGGATTTGGTACTCCAAGAGATGTCGAACAAGCCATCTCATGGTATGACAAAGCACTAGAACAACCTACAACCGTTCCAATTCACTGGTCCCAAGAAAACGCAAGATTCAAAATGGCTCGACTCCTCTGTCAAGAAAAACAGTATGAAAGGTCTCTTCAGGAATTCCGTGTCCTCCAGGGTATTCTGGATCCTATGACCCGCTATTCACACGAAACAATGGTACAAGCTCGTCAAGTCAGATACTACCTTGGTAAGTCTCTTTTTCTTGAAACAAAACATTGAATCAATCAAACTTGTATATTAATCATGCAATATTTTTTTAATTTTTTTTTTTACTTACAGGTTATCTCTTATTGCATGGAATTCCCAGTGACCGAAACATTGATGAAGCCAAGATATGGCTTGGTCATGCTGCAGATGAAGGCCAAGGATCTGCAATCTACGAACTTGGTTTACTAGCTATTTCAGATGATGAAGATGCCACTGCACAAGAACTTTTTGAACGTGGTCGGTCTATGAACCATCCAGGATGTATCCGTGAGCTTGGACTGTTTTGGCTGCGCGAGAATCGGGATGACATTAGTTGGAATGGCCGTGAAGTGTATGAGCTGTTAGAAGAAGCCAGTCACCTTAATGACCAGGAAGCCAACTACCAGCTTGGTCTCCTTTACGAATATGGTCTCGGTAACTCAAAGACCAGGATCAACCCTGTCCGTGCTCTGGAGTCCTACAGAAAAGCTGCCCATCAAGGTCATGAACAGGCTGCTGAAAACGCCGCCCGGCTCTGCGAACAGCTTGAACAACCTGAAGAAGTAGTTGTGTGGCTGACCAAGATTTCCCATCGATACTACTCTCGTGTCGTATTGGCCGGTTATCGTATTCAAGGCAAAGGCGGTGTCCCCCAGGACGCTCGTGCCGGATTAGCTGAACTTCACGAGGCGGCCGAAGAGCTTGAGAAGGTTGATAACAAGACCGAACAAGAGACCGAAGCACTTGGAATGGCTTATTTTACTATTGGAGAATGTCATGAGCACGGAAGAGCAGTGGATGTAGACACTGAAGTTGCCAGTGTGTGGTACAATAGATCAGTTCAATGCTCTGAGCATGTCGAGGCCATGTATCAACTAGGAAACTTTGAGAGTCTTAATGGAAATGAAGAAAGTGCCTTTGAATGGTTTGGTCGTGCAGCCGCCAAAGGTAACCATGTCGATGCTCAGTACCAACTTGGCTTGTTCCATGCCAGTGGTCTTGCCAACCTTAGTGCCAATCCTGCAGCAGCAAAGAAGTACTTTACAAAGGCCGCAAATCAAGGACACAAGGAGGCTTTGATGTGTCTTGGTGACATCTTGTGGAGACAAGAAGAATACAAGGAAGGAATGCAATACATTGAATTGGCCGCCAAAGCAGATGTTCCAGAGGCATTAACTCGCCTAGGGTATATCTACCATCAAGGTTTCCACAGCAGCTCCAAGGGATATCATATTGAACAAGATTACGGTCGGGCCTTGAGTTACTTCCGGTCGGCTGCAAAGCTCAATCATTGCATGGCTGCGCTTATGGTGGGTACATACTATGACGAGGGCTATCTCCGCAGAAACACCATGGATCATGAGAGTGCGCTTACTTGGTACAGGAAGGCTCATCGGATGGGAGCCGGTGCCTTTGCCGATCTTGCTATTGCAAACCTCTTGTACGCCAAATCTGAGAATACAGTGGATGTTTCAGAAGCCGAAAAGTTACGCAGTGATGCGTTTGTAAATTTCCAAGGTGCTTGTAGTTTCAAGGATGATACGGGCGCCTATGCCCGCGTTATGGTGGCGCTATACTATCTCAATGGATGGAAACCTGTTGAAAAGGACGGAGTTGAGGGGTTCTCACAACTCTTGGCAGTTGCCAAGGACGGTGGTAGAGATGCGTTTGGTAAGGTGGCATCGTGTTACGAGAATGGTGTAGGTGTTGATTCCAGTGAGTCGGAAGCATTATTCTGGTGGCGCCAAGCGGCTGAATTTGATGATGATGTTGAAGCCATTGACCGTGTGGGGTATTATTATACCCATGGTCTGGGTGGTCTAGTAGCTGACCCAGTAAAGGCCCAAGAATATTATGACCGTGCGAACAGCTTCCGTAAGCTTTCTCTCTTTTTTTCTCTTTTTTACTTAAAAGGACTTTATTCTAACAATATATATTTACATAGGAAATGCACAGCTTGAAAGCGAGCCTAGCTTTGTATCTTCCAGGGCTTCGATGGCTTCGTATTAATGACCCCTTTACACTCATTTTTATAATGTATTCTTATTTATTCTCTTAACTTGTATTATTATTTTCTGTTATTATTACCATTACTATTGCTATTACTACTATTATTACTATCGTTATTTTCTATTTTATGTACAGTCCTTTTATACTCTCATTTTCTATGACATTTTTGTATTTTAGAATTAATGCCTATAGTTTATTAATCTAACCTATCCACTCTATATATCCACCAACCCATTGTATTTATTCCAACCTTTCTATTTAATTTCCATTAACCCTCACATATATCATATACCTTGCAAATGCATAAAATGAATAAACTTTTTTTTTCTTAAAGAAGAGAGAGTTTTTTCTCCCTCTTGGGTATCAAGTCAATCAGTTGCTTTTTTATGCTATTATTGATGTGTAGTGCCAATTCTCATAGGAAAATACTTTTATTGGACAGTTGTAGCTACTATGAGTCATGTTTGGTAAGTTCCAGAAGTTTGGTCAAGTGTTGGTCTAAGAAAGTATCAGGTCAGTTGGAAGATAGAGTTTTCCGCCTCTCAAAAAAAGAGCTTGTATTGAAATCAAGAATACTTGGGGAAAAATAAAGAAAATATGAACGGCCAAGGACACCGAAAATTAATCCATTCCATAATTTTTATTGTATTTTAATATAAAATTATAATAAATTATAATCATCTCATTAAACTATTATGTAATTCATATATTTACATAAAATTAAGAGCTTCTTTGATTTTGAAAACAAAATTATGAATAAAGGTAATACAGTTATTCTATTGAAGTTTCTTCTTTTTTGAGTTTGCTTCAATTGAAATGAAGTACAGGAAACCCTCTGTGTTCTGCTGTTGTTGCTGCTGCTGCTGCTGCTAAAGTAACTTTTTCTTCTTTTATTATTACGACAACAATGTTCTATTGTTGTTAACTTGACATTGTACCCAGGATCGTGCTTGTTTTCCATTGGTTTTTTTTTCGGGTGATCCCATAGATAACCATATCCAAAATTACGTATTTTGGTCACCAAATAGTTCTTGTTACCATGTCGCAGTAATCCGCCAAGCAGAGAAATCTCATCCCTTTCTAATGTCCGAACTCTTCTGTATGTGTATTGGTTTGAACCTGATTTTTTAATAATCTTGGCAGATGTCAGGCATCTCAAAGAAGAGGGCATAGTAACTATGATGATCAAAAGGATCGACAGACGAGCCACGTTATCATTAGATCAATGCCTTATATTTAATATAAAGAAATCAGGAACCAACATAGGTACTCTTGTTCCAAACACTTCTTTTTAAAGGAAAGAAAACTAAATGAATATAAATGCTATTGGATCAAATATATAAGTATAGCTGAGCATGTATGTTTCATTTCAAAAATTGAAACAACTAGAATGTGTTGTATGAAAAGTAAAAAGGCAATAAATAAAAAAGATTCCATCTTCCTGGTATTTCAAAATAACTAATAAACAATTAAAAAAAAACACAAACACAAAAAGACACAAAAAGCAAAATGTCCATTTTAGTAGCCAACTTACTTGGACAATCATTTTAGGAAATTGTGTAAAAAAGAAACCTTTTATTATTATTATTTTAAAAGGGCGGTTTCGCCTATGATGTCGATAGCTCTTCCACCTCCTGTGACTGTTGTGTATATATATTAGAGAAAATACATTGTCCCAGAAATAGTTATTCAATGAATAAAAATAGTGATACCATTGGCTGATGTTTTTCGATTCTTGGTTACACATCAGGCACGCTCCAGGCACTGACAGAATTGCTATCATTTGTATTTTATTTTTTAAATTTTTTGATTTTTTTTTATAAATACCCATCGAATTATTGTCTGTTCAGATCCCTCTCTTTTTCTGTTTATCTTCACTTTTCAAAATACCAAGCTTACCGGTCTATACACCAGTCACTGTATAGCCAACATCATTCAATGTCTATTACACAGTCTGTAAACACCATTTCTGGAGTACCTTTAGTGCTTTCCCCACATTGTGGTGATCTGCTCAAGTGTTCTTGCAATTACTGCCTTCAATTTGAATCTCTGGACGTCAACATTGACTCTAGTTTCTCTCAAGGCCAGCCCATGGAAGAACTACTTGCTGCTGGATCAGAGCTATTGCACTCCTGTTTAACACCTACCTATGCATTCAATGTCAAAGCGCCTAATATGGGTGGCTATCACTGTGACACGTTTCTGTCCGAAAATGCAAATGTTCCTATTCAAGACCAACATTTGGCTTTGGCTCAAAACAATATTACACCTCCTTGTTGCTCTTTGAGTATCCTCCAAGACGACTTCATGCCGACCCAAACCGACGTAAACAAAGCTTCGAGCGTACCAGACGAAAACAATCTTTTATTCCAAACCTTTTTGAAACAATTTCTTGAAGAGGACCCTTGTCTTTTTAATCTGGTCGACAACCCTGCTAGTCAAGGATCCTGGCCAATTGAGAACATATCTCAAGAGGTGTATCCAGGAACATACCAGCCGCAGCCGTTTTTTGTAACGCAACAGCAACAGTACACTGACTCGCCTGAGCCTTTCACTCCCGGTCTTTCCACATGCCTGTCCCAGTACGATTCTCCAATGCTTACCGACCGTTCTACGATTATGTCTATGAATGGATCCCCAAATACTATGTTTATGCCTTTTTATGAACTGAAATCAAACTTTGATTATGCCTCTAATACTGGAGAAGAAAACACCGACTGGTTGCACCGACTCCTCCGAGATCCAGTCACTAATACATCTTCCGGAACCAAAAATCAAAGAAACAAGAGAGGACGTAAAGGAGTCAAATCATCCGATAAAATTAAGAAGCATATTTGTTGCTTCTGTTCTTATAGCACAGATCGTGTGAGCAATTTTATCCGGCACGTAGAATCACATACACGGTGTGTTAACGAATGGGAGTGCAAACCATGTGCAATATCGTTTTCCAGCAAATCCAATCTAGCAAGACACAATAGACGAACTCGCCATTAACAAACTATGCAAAAATGTACAAATCCCTGTTTATAATATCCTCTTTAATTTATTTATTTATTTATTTATCTTTTCTTTTCTTTTCCTTTTCTCATTCATGTACACTAACTTAGACCTCTTTATTCATTCATGCTCTTTAATTTCATTTCATTACATTACATTACATTTCATTACATTTACTTTAGATATTAGATTACAACATTTATGCCACCATTATACCCATATGCCCAATTCATTTTTTTTCTCTTACTGTAAATTTTCAAAAACAAACCAAAAAAATAATTAAAACATAAATCATATTGAAACACTTTCTTATATATTCAAAGTATCTAACTATATGATTGATCTTTACGTTTTGTTGTTATTTAATAAATTATAATATACTATCATGTTTTCACAAACAATAATGATGATAATAAAATGTCTTTTTAAAAAAAAGAAGCCTATTGATACCATTGACTCTATTACTATTATACAAATAAATGTTTTTTTCTTTCTGCCATTAATTACTATTGATATTCATTAAAAGGTCAACTTATATATATAGAATAAACTATGCTTTTGTTGTAGATGCTAATTAGAATATAAAGCAAGTGTAGACATAAAATATATCATATTGTTTAGGGTCTACAGATTTAATGGATAATTTTAATAAATAAAAAGATCAAAATAAGAAAATTGAGCATACTACACATACTACACATTGCTAATTTCTTGTAAAATGCGCAGTAGCATCTGCCTCTAAGCTTATTTGTGTTTAATGTCTTGAGAGTCCAAGTGCACTGGGTACACTGTATCACACATTGGACACTACAGCTATGAGTCAACCTTACCAATCTATAGTAGAGGTAATAAAATAACATGAAAAGGATGTATGTATAAAAAAAAAAGAGTGATAGTTAGTGGGGCAGCAAGTGGCTTGGTGTAATGATTATTATTCTTGTCACGGAGTTGGATACAACGGATATTTCAGGCTGATTCAGCCACAAAATTAGATTAATAGAATTGTGAAACCAATAGAGTTACACGACCAAGGAAAAGAAACATACGCACACACACACATTGTTATATATATATAAAAAAAAACAAAGAGTTGGATTTGTAGAATAATAAAATAGGGTTCAAAATTACCACGATTTTGTATAAGGTTTTTTTATTTATTATTATTTATTTTGTGTATCTGGTACAAACTGGGCTATTCTTGGACTATAGGTAGATTATAAATGAATTGGTTTTATTTGATTAGAAATGCATAAAGAAAAATAGATGTATGTCTTTGTGATATTTGCTTCTTTATGTATTCTATCTAGTAAGTTGTACACTCCAGCCACAGTTGGTGTCTCTGGTGATTTAATAGCACCACAGCATCTGATGATGTAATAATAAATCACATTGGGAGGCACGAGTGAATTGTCATTTATTAAACCCGGTGTAGTAAGAGAGGTGTTACTGTCTAGAGACAAAGAGAAAAAAGAAAGAAAGAAAGGCAATAGTGTTTGCATTTATGTCTTGATGTTGAATAGCTAGAAATAATTTTGGTAATTGATTGAAATGGGATCATATCATTGTTCATGTATTAAATTGAATGAATGTATGTGTAAATGAGTATATGTTTGTAAAGAAGACAGTAAAGAAGGAAACGGGTCAGTGCCTTGGTATGATAATCTAGTGGCGTAGTTCTTTTAAGAGAGAAGTGGGGGAAAATACTTTAACTGTGCAGCTGTTTCAAAGTAAATCAATTTGGATCCAGGGTGTACCCCCATCCCACTCACTGACCTAAAATAGCCTGATTTGGAAGTTGTTTTTTTATGCTTTTAAATTTTATATAGAAAAGTACTATATCTGTTTCTTTACTATTCATTAGATAAGAATATGTATATATGAATTTACAGCTGAATTGCGTGTAGTATAACGATATAACGATATAATGATATAATGATATAATGATATAATGATATCTGTATTTGCTGTGCAATTCTAATGTCAGATTCTTATTAATATTAGTTAGATCGTTTTTAGTGATATGGCTGTTCTTTGTTAAAATACAAAAAAAAAAGAGAGTTTTATTGTCGTGAGTGCTGTAGTCTGTGTTTTGTGTTCATCAAATATATGTGACCGGGTGCCTCCTTCCGATATTAGCACTGCGCCACAATCATAGTATTTTTTGTACCTCCCGTAATAATAATTATAGTAATAAGAATACAATATAAAATAAAATAAAATAAAGACAGATACAATTTCGTGTTCGATGATCGTGGTACCACGACATTAGAGAACCAAAGGAAAAATCAAGTTAACTGCGCAACATAAAAAAAAAACAATTCTGTCAAGACGTTATCTTGGACCTGTTTAGATTTACAAAAACCAAACAATAATCCACACTAACCATGTTAACAAAAATGCGCCTAAAAAATCATGATTTCAAAAAAAAGGGGGAAATTGTAGACAGCTTAACGATTGAGATTGGTAAGTAATATATTCAAAACTGTCTTTACTGATTCATTTGCTTTCTTAAATCGACCCAAGGTTGATTATTTAGATTTGGCGTCGCACTTTCCTTGGCATAATGATATCTAAATGTGTGGGTAACACACCCAGTACTTTGGGTATGTATATTATAAGGATAAAATATCTGTATATGAGAGCTATCTTAATATTTAAGTACAAAAATTGAAATTTAGAAAATAAACTAAAAAAAAACGATGATGATGATCTGTGTATCTCTTTAAAGAAGACTTTTATTTTGTATTCAAGTAGAAGAAGTGTTTAGATCGAATAAATAATCCCATTTATTTAACGCCACAGTAGGTGCATGTGCTACTTAATCCAAATTCTATCTAGCCAAAAATAGATATCAATTTTAAACTACTATTAAGAATATATATATTCATTTATTTATTTTTAGTCAAAAGTATGACATAAATCAAAATAGTGTAACATATAGCTGTATATAAGGTGAAAAAATATAGGTATTCTTGGGGTTCTTTCACTTATAATTCACAAAAAAACGCCTTAAACTCTCTTCTTTTGCCTCTTTTCAATAACACTCTATCAAACCAATACACTATGTACATCTCACAAGCTGTAAACTCTCTATTTGACACGGTTCTCAGTGCCAGCCTTCTGGAGTCTCAATACGAATCAATTCCTCATACACGCTCACAGTCGGACGCCAGCCACACATTATTTGCTTTTGACACCATCGATGCACAAATGACACACCTGTCCCTTGACTATAGCTCAAGCCACATAAACATAAGTGCTTTAAACAACGAAGAATTTTCGGTACAAAACCCGGAGCCCAATGCATCAGACTTCATTAGTATCGGCTGGTCCTGTACAAATGGTAAGATGTGGTCTAATAAAGATCAATCTATTTCAAAAAAGCCAAAGAACCAACAAATTTATTCTTTGCAAACTTTCTTGGAACCAGAAGTCGCAGAATTACCATCGAGCTACACCGGATACAACGCGAATTACATATTAAGCCCTCCTTCCGAACCAAACCAAGACACATTCGACCAAATCTCAACACAAGCTTGTGCTCATATGTTTTCACAACAAACATCATTTAACAAGTTCAGTGCAGAACCTTCTATGTATGCCACCTGCTTCGACTCGCCGCAGTCTTTGATGCTCGACCCCGATTACATTGTAGACGACTCTCAGCTTGAACTCCTGATACCTGAGAGTATAGACGCGGTGTGTGACTCTTTGAAAAACGCTCTACAGATCAATAGCGATCATTGGGAAACACAAGTGCCCGGGATTATAAACCCCGTCGGATCCCCAAAGAGACTTACACCTTCTAAAAATACAACAAAAAGATACAAATGTAAGCTTTGCTGTTACAGAACCAACCGATCAAACAACCTACTCCGGCACAGCCAATCTCACAATAGACAGGCTAAATATTGGAAGTGCAATCAATGCACAAAGTCGTATTCGAGTAGATCTAACCTTGTTAGACACACAAACAACGTCCACAAGTAAAGTGCGATTCCATTGTAAATATCAATTTTCACCTGTATTTAATTATCACTATATATATACATATATACTCACATCCTTTCATCACTACATCATTTTTCTATTATTATTATTATTTTGTTATACGTATTATTATATTGATGTCTAGATGATACAAAAATCATACAAAAATCATACAAAATTACATAAAATTACATAAAATTATTTAAAATATTGATTACTTTTCTATATATTTCGCGTTCTTCTTTGAGCAATTGGGAAACAAGATTTATTGATTGGCATTAGAGTTCCAAAAGGATATAAAAGAATATATAGGTAGTGAGCTCGTGCTGCGCTACTAATGACGGCCACAGAGGTCTGAACAGATGATCCTCATACGCCACACATTTCTAAATAAGGGTTCATGCGTACATGTGTTGAGGCTGAAGAAATCCAGTAATCTGGGAAAAGCCACACTTATCGTCTCCGATTTAAATCTATTTAAATTTCCTTTAAAGTTCAATAAAAAATAGATGGTGTATCACAAACATAGCAAAGGATGTGTTATTTTTATAGACCTGGAGTAGATACAAGAAGATCTTCAGCCAGTATTTAGACCCTTCTTTTTTTTTTAAAAAAAAAATGATGTAAATATTTCAAAGATGTGTTTTTTATTTGTTAATTAAAGTGGCCTTCAAATAAGGCATCCTCCTATTTTATGTACATTATAACTAAATTAAAGACAATGAATTGTTTAAAAAGCCCTACGTCTACTACCAGCTTTACATAGCCAGCGTGGTTCTTCACAGACTCTTAATAGAACATTAAAAATACACGTGTATATAATGCTATTATTCTCTTGTATAAAAGAAAAGAAAAGAAAAAAGTAACAATCTTTAAGGGTACGATAGATATTTGTGACCAAGTCTTTTCCCTCTCTCCTTCTCATTTTTCTCTCTTTAATAGGTTCAAAGTTCAGTTACTACGGTCTGGTTTTAGTAATTACTGCGACAGTTAGTTCCAACGTGTAGTCAAACTTGGTAATCAGGTTGAGAGTGTGGCTATTGCGATAATAAAAAGATATCGATAATGAACCGGGCACAGAAAAAAATATCCTCCACTTCATTATCGCCAATGGCGAATGTTCCGGGTAGCGCCCAGACTTCACCCTGTTCATTCCGTTTGGTTCCGCATTCTACGCAGTAAGACCCCATGAAGATTTAATTCTACGTCGTATGATATCCTCTGCATTTCCCATGAATAAGAATAAAATATTATTTTATCTCACTGTCTGCGGAGGAGTAAATCACAGACTTCTAGAACTTGTTTATTTATCCAGCCACGTTTTATGTGGAGCCATCCTTCTTGATGAAGATACCTGACTGTCTGTCTGTCTTTTCTCTGCTCGGAATACACACCTTCTCTTTTTTTTTTACTTCCGCTATTTTTCCGCCGATTTACCGATCTTTCAGGCTCCTTGCTTTTCAGGTATGTTTCCCAGTAACTTTCGTCCTCCACACATGTATTCCATTAATATTTGTTCTCGGGTGCAATTTCCCTTGAAAATATTCTGTCAAATGTACAAACCTTCATTTCCTATATACACACATAATAAAATGCAATTTGATTTACTCCAATTCATTTCAATGTAAACTACTCGCACTTTAATAAAAGAGGTTTTTTTTTTTAAAGAAAAAAAATGACCAACATCTGAAAACAGGATTGTGATCACCCTTTGCGTGTTGAACTTGATCTCAGTGAAACCATAAAGTCTCGACTTTTTTTTTGTCTACAGAATATATATGAACCAACAGAACTACACCGGGTATATGCGTGGCAATTTTTGTATTTTGGCTTGTTTTGCTTTGGTGAGGATTATAAGGACGGCTCTGCCATGAGTCAATTGACTTGGGCTCAGATAACATTTAGATAACCAAAAACAAAATTAAATCCGATTCCTATTCACGCCAATTCCAAACTTTTGATTATATATATATTGTTCTATTCTCCTATTGAACTATAAATATAAATTATAGTAGCTTTTAACAACAGATCTGTATATTTATATATAATATTGTCAAATATATCTTTTATTGAATGAAAAAAAAAAGAGTTTGATTTCTGCAAAGTGATAGGCAAAGCAAATTGATTATCTGATCTTCTGTGTATTTATTTATTTATTTATTTAGTTATTTGGTACAAGTAATAAAAAATTGGATAAAATATTTTCAGATTTGAAACAAACAAGAGACTCTCACTCCCCTCCCTCCCTTCAGCTTTCAAAGTAATAATAAGAATAATAATTTTCAAAAACAGCGCTATAAACTTTGATCATGCGGTACAACAAAATAATGTTTCAGGGAAGACCATTAAAGAGTACAAGGGAAAGGTGCTCAAGTGAAAACAAGGAAATTGAGAGAGGAATATAACTACATATATATATAAAAAAAGAAATAGATAAAGAAGAGGAAGGGATAGCAAAATGAAGAAAAATGGAAGAATAGAAGGGGAAAAAAGACTAGAGACTTTGAAAAAAAAATAGCGTCATATGTAACCATAGATCCTAATTTAGGGAGCTGAATGAAAATATAGTGGTGGTTAATTCGAAAACACTACAAGGTGCTGACTATGCTGCTCGTTTTTGCACATAATCATTATGAGTCTACGGTAATGAACCAGGAAAGATATCCACGTATTCTTTTAAACTTATATGTATGAAACACAGGTTAGCTACCATTAATAAAATCCCAGGTATTTGTATTTAATATAAATAGGATCGAAGAACTTTATCCCAAAGGAAGTGCATCTCAATCTCACAAAAATAACAAATACTTTGAAATCTTCAACCTTGACTGTGTGTCCCTAAACCTGTAACATAAAAAATCTTGGCATGTTTACAGCACAAAATACTCTGAACCACTCGTGTGGATTCGACTATCAAATACACACCAATGCCGAGTATGCCGACACCGTGTCTTTCCAGAACCCACTCAGCTCTCCGCCATTGGATATACCACCAGCATATTATCCAGCGATATTGGACTATGATCCAGCGATCTTTACTTATCTGGCTAAAAAAGAAACAGAAACTATGATGGTTACTTCAAGTCAAAATTATGAAAATGCCTACTGTTCTGGTGTGAATCCTTTGGAACAACTGCCATTGCTAGCCGTAAATCTGCAACAGCCCCAAGTCTCCGAGGTCCCTCCAAATTCATCTGCGTACATGTCCCCACTATACACACCTCTATTCTCACAATCCTCTTTGATTCAGCCCAATGATCCAACTCAGATTAATATGTTTATGCCTTTGGATTTGCTACAGCAAAAACACAGTCCTCCTGTGTCGATCTGCGAAAATACACCCACATGGTGCCCGCAGTTAAACATGACCCAGGACTCCGCAGTAACAGCTCAATCTGATCCGGTTCTCGTACGACGAAAAAGAGGAAGACCACCAAAAACTAGGCTGGAGACAAATTCCAAGAGACACAAGTGTTACTTCTGCCCTTACAAGACAGATCGCATCAATAACTTTATCAGACATATTCAATCCCACACTCAATGTGGAGAAAACTGGAAGTGTGCCCAATGTCCAAAATCGTACTGTAGCAAATCCAACCTTGTCAGACACGTTGAAAAAATTCACAAGTAGCTAAAGAGGAAAGAAAATGAGGATTCTTTTTTTTCTTTCCTCTTATAAGATATATCCCTAACAATTGCTTCTTGTATATACCGCTTTAGCTATTATATGCCTTTATGCTTTCTTTTCATACACACACACACACACATATATATATATATATACTTAAGTTTTTCTATGCCCAATTACTTTCTGTCTATATATGCTTTAATCTTTCTTTTGTATATCAATCAATAAAACATATGCCCTTTACGTAAAAAAAAAAAAATTATTACAAAACTTGCAAACTAACAATGAGACTCATTTTTTAGACACACACACTTTTAATGTCGGACATTTAAACAACTTGTTTAAATGGTGGAAATAGCGATATTGTGGTTTTCAAATCTATCGATAACTTTATGAATATTGATCTGTTATTGGTCAGACAAGTCCCGGGAATCATTGATTACCTTTATACACAACTTTACTTAAGAGTAAAAAAATAAAAATGTGGAATTATTTTTTGAGGTATATGCCCTGAGAAATAAGTTGGATCCAAACATTATTATATGGTGCAAATATCTATTTTTCATTAGTAAATGGGTTTTTTAGAATGAAAAAATGGGATAGCTCAATCAATACTTGAGCAATCAACGTCAAAAAGTGCTTTAATGGTGGATATTATTGTGTCCCACCAGATAACTTAAAAATATGCAAACACATTGCTGAACCGATCTTTATGTATAGCTATTTTTTTGTTGTGTTTATTTTACCATATTGATCAAAATGATCATTTTATTAAGCAATTCTATATTTCAGCGGTATATTTTTCCCCGCTTATATAGGAACAATGATAACCACTGTTATAATAAGGATAGAATATGTTTTATTTTGCATATCTCATTATTATCACTGCATTGAGCTTAAACTGTATATGTAGCTTTCTTTAACAAATAAGCCTAAAACTGTGCAATGAACAGAGCTGGGTTTATACTGTTAAACATAAAATATGCTTTATAGAGTATCAATCAGTAAGATCTAGTATCTACGCCAAACATCTATTACATATTTGACTTTTCAAGAATATATATATTCTATGTAGATGAAAATATTGCAATTTGGTAATCCAACTCAAAATGAGGTAAAAGGGGTCAAATAGCAATACTAATAGTCTGCGAAAGTGAGAGTCACAATTTGTAAAAGGGAAACACTGAATAAAAAAAAAGCCATAAATGGGAAATTAAAGAAGTGAACTAGGGAGTTGGTAATTAAGAAATCAAAACACTGGAAGAGGTATCCGGATGTAGTACGAATAAGGAATGGTTCCAAACGGAAGTCCACGTGTTGCGCAGTCTGAGGAGGAGGGGATCAAACACTAGCCAAAATTAAGTATTAAAGTACAGACTGACTCAGTCTAATGGTAGCTAATCAAGTTACGATATCATTCTTATCCCCATTCTCTCATCTTCTCTATCTCTCTATCTCTCTACCTCTCTTTCTTATACACACAGATAGAAATCAGCTAATTAAGGATCCAGCTGATCTGAGGAATTATTATGACTATAGCTACACTTTTATTAAGGCCTTCAATTATTCTTATCACTCAGTTTATTATTAGATGTTGCCCAATGATAAATAATCCTAAAAATAATTACAGGTAATGAGGAGTAAATATCTCTTTATTTTTGATAGATTTGTAAGTTTCTATAATGTTACTGGGATAGCAATATATTCAATATTTAGTTGCTGCTGATGATGATTATGATGATTATGAAGTGCGTATATACATATTGATGACGTGAATAAAGTTATTTTGGGCATGAGAAAGTGGCTTGAAAAGATAAACAAAGGCTTATATGTTTAGATAAGTTGTTAAAATAAAAATCGAAATTAAATGAAATAAAGAGAGGCATACAAACCTCTAATTTTCTTTAAAGAAAAAAAAATAATTGACATAAAATAAATAAAAGATTAGTTAAAGAAAGAACTCACTGTAATTGGGTCAATGGAATGATTTAAAATGCCTTGTTAAATTATCCTGTCTCCAATATTTGCGGTCGCAAATTGGACATTTCAACCGTAACCGCAGACCACCGTGAGTGCATTCATGACGAGTTAGATTGTGCTGTCGATCTGTAACGTAACTGCAATCGATGCATTTGAATTTTTTTTCAGTAATTAACCCCTTTGGCTTGCTTTTTCTTATTCTTGTCGTTGTTCCCGGGGTTTGAATGCTGAAACTTGAGCTTCCGGGGATAGACCGCGTTTCCCTTTTTCGGACTTTGGGTAGACTCGATGGAGCAAATGGTGTTTTCAAGGCAGAAAACATAGGGGATATGGGATTTGACTCAGTTTCTTTCTGTGGCCCCAAGTAGAATTGGGGTCCTGGTGATTCGTATGGTGTAGAAAAGACAGAAGATTCAGGGCTAATCGTTTGCTCTGGTTGATACCTTGGTGTTCGACTAGCTGTGAGGTGTGGGTCACATTCAGGAACGTTTTGGTATAATTCATAGTCTTTGAATTCTACATTTTTGCTAAAGGCTGGCCTGGAATTTGGCGATGATGAACTGACAGTTGGCGATGCCGGACTGAGAAGTACTTTAGGTAAATTGCTGGTGACAGAGCAAACTTGGGCTGGGGGATCAAAGAGATTGCAGATGTTGTTTCCATAACGGGTCACGAGTACAGATTTAACATGTTCAAAGATGTAGCGATGGTTGTAATAATTGAGGACATTTGGATAATAATCAAGGGTATTATTGACTACGAGACAAAGACGTTATGATTAAAAGGTACACAAAGTAATTAGAGTATTATTATTATTATTTTACTTTATTAGTTACCTAAATTATTTATGTCGTCATCGTTCTTGCATAGGCAAAGACCTTTTGGACAACCATTGACAGTATTTGAGGGCAGTGATAAGCTAGTGTTGAACTCTTGGGCCAAATATTGGGAGTTATTGTAAATATCTGCTTTGCGGTCTTTGGAAATTTCTTTTCCGTAGCTCTTGATTAATTCAATGCAGTATGTGCATAAGGTGGGGTAGGGCATGAACAGTGGATCCATATCAAAATCAGGCGTGTCGGGGGTTGAATTCTTTTACAAGAAATAGCTGAAAGAAAAGGGTCTTGGCATCTATAGGTACTTGAAAAAGACTGTATTTATATCTTGGTAGAGTATCTGAAATGTATGTGACGATACGTCTTATATTTCAAGCGAGTTATTAGGGCTTGAATCAATTTATGTTTTTTTTTTATTTTTATTTTTATTTTTGTTCTTTTGTTTCTATATTTATCTCTATATATAAAAATAAAATGTGTATGTATGTATGTATGTATGTATGTATGTATGTATGTAGGACGAGTAGAGGAATTAAACGTGACGTTAATTTTGGTTATGTGCTGTGAGGGTTGGTGTGATATCACTCACTCATTCTACTCTATTCACTTGCTTATTTTATATAAATTATTAAAATATAAAGATGCTCGATTATGTTGATCTGTTGTTTGCTGCAATTCTTATGATTATATTGTGTGAATTAAACATTTCGCATTACGTACAGGATGTGGATTGGATTCCACATCAAGACAATCACAACCGCAGCATAGTCATTCAATATACTAAAAGATTTTACAATCTTGATCTCACCGAGCCAATAGACGAATATTATATATATATCTAAAAGAAAAATAAAATAAATGCGTGCATACACACATGTATCAATGCTACATCAAATTTGACATAAATCACTTCTTTAATTCATAATATATATAATTAAATAAAATAATGATTATTGGATAGCTTATGTAGGTTGTCAGACAAATTGATTTGTTTCTGTGTTGTTAAGATGATTCATCCCTTGGCTATATTGTACAATATAACAATACATCGCCAGGACAACGGTTATAAATACTTTTATAGCTTAGATCATTAAAGATACGTCAAATATTAGACTACATCAGCTAAATATTATTATTGTATGTATGTTAGCCTATTTCTTTTGAAATTGAATAGCATTTTTTTTGGGATATATGACGACATGAGGAGTTACTCATCTCATGACAAAGGGCTTTCACACCTGTAATAAGATATACATTTAACCAATAAACTTAATTTTTCTCTTAAGAAAAAAAAAAGACAAGACTCCACAAAAAGGTTATCATTTATTATCAAACGACGCACCTTTCGCTTATAAAATGGAACCTCGCACATGAGTGCACAGAGTTAAAGAAAGAGGGTAAAGATAAGGAGAAAAAGAGCAAGGCTAGATATATATATATATATATATATTAGATCGGTACCGTCGTCCCCAGCTGGGCTGTATTAAGAGCCAACAACCACACTATTCAAAGATAAAATAATACATTTGCCCGGGTTGATAAAAAAAACTTCTAAATTTTAAATATATGTAAGCTATATTTACAGGTATACTTATATATTTTGCACTTCAGTGAGAGTACTTAATGTTAACGAGTATAGTCTTGATTGCATCTTTGGGATATCCACGAATAATCTTTTTTTATTATTTCTTTAAAGCCAGAGAAAATAGGCCTGGATATTATGTATACAGTATGCACGGACCAACATAGATTTATATATATAATATCATTAGCACTGTGAATTGATTATTTGGTGATATTGATATATGATCTATTGGTAAGATGAAGAAAGTAGGGTGAAGCACCTACGGTGTAAAATTATTATTATGTATAAAGGTAATCTTTTCATTTATATACAAAATAAGAGCCATATTCTCCATTTCTCAAATACATACTGTATCTACACAAACGCTACAGCATGATTAATCATTTCTTTTCTCTTTCTCTCTTGTAGAGAACCACTGACTTTAATGGCATTAAAATCAAGCAATAAGGATATAGAGAGACTGTTATAGTTCATAATTTCTCCTTTATTATTGCCCAAAAGCGCCTTCTTTTTTTGGGAAAAAGAGGAAAGAGAGAAAAGAGAGTAATTGATTTTTTGTTAAAGAAAAATGAAAATACAACAATATATATATACAAGTGGTCAGAAGGGTTGCATCTAATAATTAGACTGGTTTTTTTTATTCAAATACACGAGACGCTTGTGTGTTTCAGACACAAACTTCCATAACGCTTTAGCTTATACGCAGTAGTTGGTATGGTAAAGTTAAATGTATCGGTGTTTGCTTTAGTAGACACAAAAGAGTAAAAGAGAATGAAAAATCATTAAAATCTCGGTTAGTTACGACTGAAAATTAAAGTAGTAAGAATCGTCTTGAGAATTAATGGCACGATACTTAAGAGAGAGAGAGAGAATAATTTAGAGTATGGCTGACGTCGATGATGTGATGAGATTTGTACACATCAAGGCATTATTTAGTATAAAGCCTGGAACCAAGCCGTGGGTGCCTAATGTAGAACACGGAAAGACCAGAAAAGAGAAAATATGATGATCTTGATGACGATGCTGATGATGCTTATTATTACATCAAATACCTTACATAATATATTGACTATATTCCTTTTTCTATTTTTCTAATATGAAGGCTTGATAGATATGTGATTGATGTAGATATTTTCTATTAATCCTTACAGTTATCCCTTTTTTTGTTTAAAAATAGATAACTACTGATTGCAGCAAAGTTCATATATAAAGAAGTCAAAACATATTATATCCAGGGCTTTGTTTGGTGTTACTCTATAGCCTTTTTTTTGATTGATTTATTTCTTCCTATTCTTTTCATCATTAGCTTTTTTTGTCTATCGTAATATGGAATGTTCATTTGAACTATAAAATAAATGTAAATTATACAACGACAAAGAGTAAAGACGTGTCTCTCTTGTCTTTATTCTTTTTCTCATTTGATCATGTAAAATTAACACTGATTGATCCTCATCCAACTAATCAAATCCAGCACTTTCATTCAATCTGCATCAATAACAACAAAAACAACAGAAACAGTAATTACCCTTGTAACAAAGTTGACAATCTCAAGTGTAGTCGTATTAGGTACCTTAATTTGCACTATGGTAAAAAAAAAGGGGGGGGGGGGGGTATTATGTTAGTGGGATATTTTCACAAGCTTTTTCAGGGGTTTAAGGGCTGTTTTAATGTTGAGCTTTGATTAAGCACTGCCTTTTCTCTTTATTTTATAATATTTAATATTGAAGCTCAAAAGAAGAATAAAAAAAAACAGCCTTTTTTGTCCTACCATATTCTTACAGTCAGCTTAACATATCTTTCTTTTTCCCCATGCAGTACAGAAAATAATAAGGAGACCAAAACATTAGAATATTAAAATAATGCAATGCCTTGCCAAGCGTCATCTTAAAGATACACTGTGATAACCAGGTTGGAAGATCTATTTTCTGTTTGTCATTGTCACTCTTTTAGATCTTGGCAGTTTTTGTCTCACATAAAAATTCTCGGGAACATCTTCTTTTGGCCTTATGGTACTTCCAACTTGAATGACACTGGTGAACCTATCAGAAATCATATAATACTGAAACAGTTGGTCAAACATACACCAAAAATTCAAGATTGCAACAATATATGTATTCCATAAACGATGTTGAAACTATAACAAAGTCGTATACTCCAAAAAAAGCTGTATTGGTACATATAGAATGACTTTAAGGAACATTAATATTTATTTTATTTTATTTTTAAAAAAAAAAACATGAAGTCTGGTTGCAATATTGCTTTAAAAGAAGATCACGGTAAGTTACATTTTACATTTGAGAGCAACACTATGGGGTGTGGGCTGGGGACTTTCTTAGATTTTTTAAGATATGGATGGAAACACAAAGCACAGTGTTTGAACATACCAACTCCATCGATCAATCAAATATTGAATCCATGTTTTGCAAAGTAGGCTTTTCATCCCTATACATTTGATTAGCTTATGGTATTTGATATGAGGTGCAGACCAGCTTGCTATTACCAAATCACAATTTGTACCAAGCTTGAGGCAAAAACTAATTGATCGGCGTTCATTGACTTGGGTTTGGTTGATATAGGAAACGAGGCGAATTTTTCCAAATAAAGGCTGTCGACTAGTTTGATTTCTAGTACTTGTGCAAAAGTAATTGAGGTTGGATGAACTTGTGTATTTGAATAAGATGTGAAAATAAAAGCTGTCAATATTGTTGATTCGGATTGAAGTTTGAGAGAAGCCTTGTTCGGCAGCAGAATCATTTGAATGTTAGGCTCTAAGATAAAAAGAATTCGCAAAATTTGCTACGTTGGAGTTAAACTCTTGGAATTAAAATCTCCCACTGCCCGAACTGCCTACTATCCCTCATATGTCTAGCTTTTTCATGAAGGTCTTTTAGGATCTTCCCAAGATATTCTAGCACAGGTTCAGAGTGTCAACCTACATTTAACATGAAGACCATGTTGTGTGAAGGGAAAAGTGGCTAAAGGACTAATTTTCGGGCTGCTAGAAGTTGGGTAATACAAAAGACAAGGTTGTATACTTATAAAGAAAACAAAATTTTCACATTAAGTACAATAAGCAATTTGTCTGATCTTAAGATATATAATAGAGTATAGAATTGATAAAAAATATTTTTTATTGTACTTGAAAGTCCCATAATGCATTGTCAAATATATATATATAAGATAGAGAAGGATGTTGGTTTTTGATTAAAATTTTACATTAAGATAACAGATATATTAGGGGTCGCCAGCCGTCAATAACCGTCGGTGTTCTAAAAAGGATAGAAATACGGTGTGGACAGACTAAAAGTTCAAAAAAAAAAGCTAAAAAATATCAAAATTTGTAAGTCTTTTCATTGGGCGAGAGTTTTAATTAATTTTGCCCTTTTTTTGAACCTTTAAAAATTTTGTCCTTTTTTGAGCTATTTTTAATCAACTCTGATTAGCCTGTCTTCTTCCATTGCAACTAGGATTGAGAAGAGAAGCTTTTTTTATGGAGAATATGTGGCATATAATGAGAGGTTTAGAAAAACTTGCAATAAAACTTTCTCATTTAATGACAGAGACAAGATTATATGCACAATTTTATCTAACACATATTTTGAGCTAATTTTGAACTTTTGGTGTGGACAGACTAAAAGTTCAAAAAAGGGGCAAAAAAAGGGCAAAAAAAAGACCAACATTTTAAGTCATATCATTGGGCTAGAGTTTTAATTAATTTTGCTCCTTTTTTTTGCCTTTTTTTGCCCTTTTTTGAGCTCTTAGTCTGTCCACACCAAGTGTTATCTAAAATTTTTGCCGTGGTAATTTTTTTTAATACAGAAATGTAAAGATATATCTTTAAGGCTTGCAAAAAAAACAGATACTCTTAACATTCACACAGTAAATAAATAATATGCTTGGATGTAAATAATATGAACATGAATTCTCCTATGTATTAGGGGCGTATCGCATAGCCCTAGCGGAGCAGTTTAGTGTCCTACTCAGGACATTTTGGCCAATCATATTCCAGAATAGGAATGTGTGGCAAGAATGAAAGAAAAGAAAAGAGAAAGACAAAAGGAAAAACCTCTTATTTATAGACATTTGATAAGTGGATTATCTAAAGCTGATGTCATTGGTTTCTTTGTTATACTGATTACATTCAATATATGCGGGAATTACTATCGTGAAGATGTAAACAAAAAGCTGTAAATTCATGCATTTGCGTGAGAGACAGGGCCAAAATTATATGCGGTGTTTTAAAAGGTGCCAACATCACGATTGTTCATATGGATGTCTTTACGCCAAATATCCTAAAAGACAAAGTATATTACTAGCCTTACCAAAAAATACAGTTTAAGTGTACACAGCCAGCAATGAATGTCTAGCTACATGTTTACGCACTAACAACAAAGTCAAAGCAAAGAGGTATAAAGTAAGATGCCATTGTACACCATTGGTAAAAAAAATGTTACACGATGTACTTGAGCTCAACCACATAAAAACAGTAGGGTCCTGTTCTTCATATATGCTTTTAATTAAATTCAAACTTGTGGACATACATTTTCTATTCTCTTTACATTTCAGTTTTACAGGGTTTTTGATATAACTTTTTGCTAAATTAGCTTGTTACATTCTATAATTTCATTATTTCTCTAATCCTAACACCAGCCAAAGAAAAAACACAGCAAGAGAAACAATGAAAAAATTATTGGTAGTTAAATAAAATTTGCAAAAAATAATAATTAAACTTCGCAAGCTCAATATAAGGGTCTTATCTGCTGCTTTTTTTTTTACAGAGTGCTGACCCATTTACGTTCAATAACACTGGACCATCATACACATATTTACAAATTCAATAAGTGATTGTTTTTGAATTTGGTGGATTTAGCCGTCCAAATTTATATTTTAAATTTTGATTTTTATACTAATCAATTTCCAGAAGCTACAAGATTAGCTTTTAATATTAATATATTGCTACATAGTTGAAGATAGCATATGCTTTATCAGATAATACTCAACGTTATATATTACAGATTGTGTAAGATGTTCATAAGAATAACTTTAGCTGTCTGGACAAACTTTAACAGCAACATTATATTACTGTAAGATGGCTTCACTTTACCTAGATTGCTTTAAAAGTATAAAAACTCACTCTTGACTCCCATGTGTTGATTTCTTTATAGAAATGTTCCTTGGTTCCTGAGTTTTTATTTCATTCTTTAAGGAGCTACTGAATACCAGCTATTCTTTATTGATCTTTATCTTTGTGTGTACATATGTGTGCTAGAGATATATGCAATGTATATCGCTCTTTTATTACAATAATTTTTTTTGGTATCTCTGCCTACCCCTCAAAACGTGATATTCAGAGCTTACATATTCGGAATATGTAGATCGTGACTATTAAAATATTACTCTGCATGGCATTCTGTGACAGGTCAAATGTTGTAAGCTGATCATTACTAGTTCCATTTAAATATTGATGTACAAATACACATGTAATTATTGAACATATTCCTGAAAGCTACTAGAGTGTTTAAAGTGTAAATTAATGCATAATCTAACAGTTCACAAAAGTAAAAATAAAGACATCCTTTTCCTTTTTACTCTAATGATGTTCTAGCTTATACAAAATATTTTTTCACATAATCATTTTGAAACTGTAAAAAAATTCTAGTGAATAAAGAAAATATACTGAGTAGAACACCGAATAAATGTGTTGGTGGTATAACAACGGGTTAGAGGCCGCTCTTTATAATCTAACCCTATTGGGTTCTTATACCAATCTTAATTGGAAGAATTATACAGTCTTAACCAGATAGTATATTGTGGTGTTCATGTACACATACGCACACATACAAGCATTTGACATATATGTAAATGTCAATCGTCCGGATCTATACTTATTTAGATACTGTGGTCCCTCTCCCCCCGGGCCATCTGAATATACACTTCTAATATTGCATGATATCTAGTCAAAACTATAATATCATGCCCAAAATAAAGTACAGCGAAATATATATTATTTTCAATTTTATTATATCTTCTTTTATTTTATATATAATCGTGAAAATGTAGCATAAATAAATACTACTTAACGGTGTGTGAAAGTGTTAATGAGTGCATGTGTACATTTAAACTCCAATTTACTTAACAACACGTCTCTTATATTTCATTTTTTTTGGGGCGACTGGAACGAGAATTCAAAAGAAAGAAAGTACTGTTATTACAACCGACTCTGATTCACCTTTAATCAATATTAGAAAGTTTTTGAATTAGTATTTAGATCTTTAGTTCACTAAAACTTAGTCAAACTAAAACAGAAAATTATACTAAGCGAAGATTTTGGTTATATATGTGCCCAAATATACAGTAGCCACAATTGTTCTGTATGAAATTTCTGTAAAAAAAAATCTATCCTCTAATACCCAAATTCAGGCATCGCGCAAGATTAAAAATATAATGTATATCAAGTAAAGTTGAATCTAACAAGACAGTCTCCAGAAAACTCAATACATAATAACAATAAATGTAGTTTAACAACATAAGATAAAGATACAAACATACTCATTTGTTTGATTTGCTATAATTCAAAGTAATAATAATAAGATAAAGCCGTATTTTTGTCTATAATTTATACTACCTTGTATCTTGAACGAATTTAGAAAAGGAGGGCGCTTTTAATGAATGTTAGCAATAATGCTATTATCTACCTTTGTTCCCTTTAAATATACCATTATACTTACTTCCTTATAACAAGTTGTAACTATCGCTGTATTTTATTTTCAGCCTATACATAGATTTACTAACCATAATAGCAGCCTAATTACACTATTGATTTTTGTAAAAAGCAAGGAATTAAAAGAAGAAGAATAAGAAGAATAAGCATCAATCATTTTTTTTTTAGTTTTCTCTAATATTTGTATTTATTCAGATTGAATTAGATTCTATTCAAACTTTTTACACGTTCGTATCTAGCTAATTTATTTGGTTTATTTAGAAATAAATACTTTTACTAACAATATATCCGTATATATTAAAAGGGTTTGCATTTTTTATATCTCATTATACTATACACTGAAATAATTATTTGTATTAAAGAAATTTTATCGTAAATATAGGCTTGATCTCTGAAAGAAATAACCAAGGTAAAGCACTGAATTGCTAAGGGAGATTTTATCAAAATAAATTTCTGTCAAAGTTTTTTCCCGATGATTATCTAATTACACGTATAGATCAAATAGACCAAGATTTCTTTTTTTTCTTTTATCTTGAAATGCATATGTATATAAACAAGTACACATATCTTATCTTCTTTTATTGCCCAAACTGGGTTTGTTCAAGAGGTCTACCCGTATTATATTATATTATATAATGTAAAATATTCTCGCGTATATCTTGTACCAAATATTAAACAACAGAAGTGTCCGATGACTTTAATCACAAGAGTAGTTTCCAAGACGTTCAATTAATACACATATAAAATATTTGTCTACAATATATATATGTATATATGTATATAATCGAATGTTTTTGTTAACCCCAGCAGCAAATATTTACAGCTATTGTTCTTTAAGTATTTCTTTTTTGTAACTTGTTGAAAATGCCGCGAAATATTAAAGACTTGCTATTTTTGTATAACTTCTTTTCCTTTTTTTTTTTTAAAAAAAAACCAAAAAAAAAAAAAGCAAATGAGCCACCAATTTTTTAATTTTTTGACTTGATGGCCTGATTATTGTCTTGGTTGCTTTTATACTATCAAGGCATGGAAC